GGACGTAGACGTAGTTGTATTGCTAGGGTTAGAGTCGAAGTACGTCTTTTTTATAGGGTTTGTAGCGCGGGCTAAATCCAATCTAAATACGTACTGTATTACTATCCCCGATGCCGTTATATAGCTTCTTATTCCAAAAAGTATCCTAATCTTATAGTTTCTATCCCTTAAGTCTTCGCTGGTTCTAGGCCTTCTGGTATTTAGCCTTGGGGTTCTTAATTCTACTATTTCTCCTATCCTGGCCTTGGTCCTATGCCGGCCTATCCTATAAGTTCGAGTGCTGTTCTTCCTAGACCCTAACCAACTTGGCCTTAACGAATTCTAGCTGGCTTATAGCCTATGTTTTTTCTTCTGTAAGTCTTTAGGTAACTGTCCAAAGCTCGGCTTATTCCTCCTTAGCCTCCTAAAGGCGTTAAGCAAGAAAGATAGGGTTCGGGCCAATAGGTTCGTTATCCGATTATTATATCCTCTATTGACCTTCTTTATTCTAGGTCAATTGAAATCCCTAATCTTCTATAAGTTATAATACTATGGCAGCGGCGATATCGTAGCCTATAATAGGTTCTTCGAATATAATATAGGGGCTATTGCTTCCTGACTAAAAGAAGTTGTTAATACTTCCTTCAGCTATGCCTCGGTCAACTACGTCGTCGAAGTTATCCTTGGTATAGCTTGCCGCAGCTACTTCAACCATATAGGTTGACTTATCGATTGTAGCGTTTTCTTTGCCGGGCACCTGCTTCCAATTCTTCTTGCTGCGACATTCCCGTTTGAAATGCCCTTTCTTACCGCAGTTGAAATAGGTAACCTGGGACTTGTCCTTATGTCCCTTATCCTTATATTAGGTGGCGTCTATACCCATCGGACTAGCATAGGTGTCATACGATATACTAGGGTACTATCACTTCTTTTTGTCGTTGGCCTTGACGAATATAGGCTGCGTTCTATATCCCTTACGCTACTAGCGCCTAGTATAAATCCGATTGTCAATGCAGATAGCTATAGCAATATATTCGTCAAGCATATTAGGTCGGTCCTTTTAATATAGTTTATCCTTGACTTCTTCCTTTAATCTATTATAGAACAACTATATAAGACCTTTATTATTGATCTTATACCGAAGTAAATCCTAGTGGAACTATATAACATAGGTAGCCGCTAACTTTGTCTGTCTTAGGCGTACGAGTCGCTCCTATATATAGAGCTTCTTATTATAGTCTCCGAACACGTTCTGGATTTCCTGCTTAAATTTATTGTACGATTTGAAAATTTCAATAGTAAAGTCGTCCTAAGCATCCGTACTATTGGTTAGCCAATCCTTAAGGGTAGGTTCAAACTATCGAAGTACCTTCCCCTTAAGCCGTAAGGAGATAAATATAACTTTGGCGGATTCGTCTGCAAATTTGTCCGGGTAGTACTTAAGGTAGGCCCTTATAGATATAAGGAATCTAGTAAGTCCTTCTTTGTCGCCTCCGTACTTAGGGGGTGCTTCGAGTTTGGCCTTGTCCTTAGGCTTACTATTATAGGCCTTATTACTTGCAGCAGCGTGTATCACTGGAACTATGTCTTTCCTATCACTTCCGACAAAGGTTTTCACCCGGCCTAAACGGTACGGTTTTTCCTTTGTATATAGCAGTAGAGGGTCCGGCGCGCCTTATAAATAGCGAGGCATAGCGGAGTAGGAGAATATATATATATTATAGGCCTTATTGACAAGTTGCTATATATTACCGTTCTCGGCCTCGAGCTGGGCGATCTTATTGTTGAGAGCCTTGAGGATCTAGGTGTTATCTTTCTAGGCCTTAAGCTAGGCAATCCTTATGTTAAGGGCTTCGATGACCTGCTGTATCTGCTATATGGTTGTAGTCTGGCCCTAGGAGCCTAGGGTACTAGATGTCTAAGGCGCTATGATGATCGATATTACCTTTGATCTAAACTATGATAGAGTCAAAGGGAGTAAGTAATATATGACGAAACTATAGGCAGTCCTGCCTCTAAAAGGGTTCGCCGGTCGAAGGTATTTGCTAGTCGGACTATAGGTCTCGGTAAAGCCAAAAGATTTATAACAATGCTAGTCGCAATGTTTGTATAGTAGTATAGGGTTACCTTACTGCTTGTATTGCTTATTGGAGAACTCCCAGAGTCCTCCAGAACGAATGACCATATACTAGCTATTTTCTATAGAGGCTTAGAGCAAGAGGTATACTAGAGCCTCTGGTTAGGTAGATTGATACCTTTTGCTCTTAGTGTACAGCAACCATCATAGTGAATGGGTTTACATCTGAAGGGCAAGAGTTGCCCTAAGCGGGTTTGCTATAAGGATTACTACTGTCACTGATTTTGTTCCTCTTCTTTAATATAAACCTAGTATAGTATAAAATCAATACGAACGGAAGCTCAATCGCTTTTATTAACGACTATACGGCCTAGGTTATAGGCCTAATAGCAGAGTGTGACGAAACCACAGGCAGTCCTGCCTCTGAAAGGGTTCGCCGGTCGAAGGTATCTGCTGGTCGGACTGTAGGTCTCGGTGAAGCCAAAAGGTTCACAACAATGCAAGTCGCAATGTCTGCACAGTAATGTAGGGCTACCTTACTGCTTGTATTGCTCACTGGAGGACTCTCAGAGCCCTCCGTAACGAATGACTATATACTAGCTATTTTTCCGTGGACGCCCACGCTCGCCGTCGTCCTCGGGCGTCCATGGTCGCTGGTGCTCGCCAGCGTCCCTAGGCGTCCATACGGACGCTCCTGGACGCTGTCGTCCATCGGCGTCCATGTGGGGCATCCTACTGCCTCGTGCTCTCCGATTGGTAACTTCATCACCTGCATGGCCCCACCAGGTCGGGTTATATGGTTGGTTCGTAACACAGAGGCGAACTGCTCTGGTATCCAAGCCATTATAGATAGGGCTCTAGATTGGGGAAGACAAAGCGGCGCCTAGTTCGAGAGCGAAAAGACGGCTATCGTATACTTTATAAGAAGTAGGGAGCGATCCTCCGAAACGCCGTTTATAGTTAGAGCGAAGTAAAAAAAGAGCGTAAAGATCCTAGGGGTAACAATGGACTGCGAACTCTGCTATAAGCAGCATATTGCCAAGACGGCAACTAAGGGTCTTATAGCTATTCTGGCACTAAGGAGGCTAAAGATGCTTTCTCTGCAAATAGCAAGACAACTATTTATAGCGATAATGGCTCCTATTATAGACTATGCGGCTAGCGTCTGGATATATGCGTATAGGGGAAAGGCGCTAAGCTGGCTGAATAGGGCTTAGAAAATTGGTACCCTAGTAATTATAGGAGTCTTTCGGACCGTAGCTATAGCTATAGCAGAAGCCGAAGCGAGCATTCTCTCTATACGAGAACGATATACCTAGCCGGCAGCTAGACTATAGATCAACATTCAGATATTGCCTAGAACTTGTCCCCTAGCTTAGAAGAAAATCCGGATAATAGTACGATTCATTTCCCTACTTTAGAAGATCGCCTATATAGTAGAAGGAATAAAAGCAGAACGGATAGAAACAATCTAGGAATACACTATCGCTCCCTAGGCACCTTGCCTACAGCCGATGATTGAAGCTAACCGAGAGAAGGCGACCGAGATGGCCAACAGAGCTATAGGCATTATGATTGCAACCAGCTCATCTATAAAGAAAGGCATTGTTGGTATTGGTAGTATCGCATAAGATAGTCTCTTCAATAGGACTAGCGAGACTATAACAAGATTTGCTATAACCCTTGGCATAAGGGAGGAGCAGAACCCGTATACAGCAGAACTAGTAGCTATTACAATGGCCTTAGAGAGGATTCCGGCCAACGCCTGCTATAGATATATTACCATTGTCACTAGGAACCAGTCAGCGCTAGCAGCAATTAGGCAACTGCGATAGCAGTCTAGCCAAGGCACTTATAATAAATCTACAAGTTGGCTAGATAGCACTAAGAAAGAGGGAACTCGGTCGACTTCTTATAGATCCTAGCGGAAGCTAACTTTGCGTTGGGCTTAAAGGCTAAGGCGGCAGTATAAAGGACAACGAGGCAAGGACAGATATCCAACCTCCAAATGCCCCAAGCCAAATCTACTGCAATTAGGCTGGCATTGACCAAACAACGATAGAGGAGTACTCTCCCGGAAGGCGTAGGCAAATTCTTAAAGGCTCTAGATGTAGCATTTTCTAGCAAATACACTTGCGATCTCTACGACAAGTTGAAACGAAAAGAAGCCTATATCTTGGTATAACTCCGAACCGGAATGGCGAGGCTAAACGGCTTTCTAAACAGAATCAGAGCGGTCGAGTCAGGCCTTTGTCCTTACGGCCGAGCGAGGGAAACCGTAGAACATTTTCTATTGCGATGCGTAAGATAGGCAGCTCTAAGGGAAGATATGTTGCAATATATAGTAGCAAGGCGAGGGAGCCTCTCGTTCTACTTGGGAGGGAAAGCACTATTGGATCCAAAGATGTGGTCGCCAGATATAAAAGCAGTCCGTACAACGATCAAGTACGCAATGGCAACAGGGAGATTAGATCTTGACGAGGAACGACGAAGATTGGGACAACCACGGTAGGGGAGCTCTACTAACATTATACAGCCTCAACCAGCAGATCCTGCTTTAGCTGCTGAAGATAGGACGCTGAACACTTAGAGAACGCAGCCTCCAAGTCGATCTGCTAAACTAAGTCAACAGGCAACAGGTGGCGTGAGAAAATGGGAGATAGTAGAGGGCTTGTACGAGTTGATGGTTGAACGTCAACGAATTGGATGTTGCGAGGGATACATTTTCTTGACATATCGGACACTTCGGTGTTAACATCACCACTTTTCCATAGTTCCAATTCATGGTGTTTGGCCTGCAGTACCGGTGCGTGCAACAATCTCACCCTTAGCAATGGTGACATATATCCAGGATTAGGACCGGCGAGTAGAAACCACAGCTTGGAACGAATACTCGAATTAGGCAATGATGCCGTGCCACTGTAACAGTAGCAAAGAGATGGAGTGACGAGGAAGCCAATTGAAGCAAAACAAATCAATGAGTTCTATTCAGATTTCTTCTTAATCACCCCGTCCCTCAGTTCGAACTCACTGGAAAAATGCCTCCGTCCATAGTCCCGCATCATCCCTCTCCAGAGACTCGTCAGCGCCGTCAGCGGCAACAGCGCAAGCAGTCCGAGTACGATCAGGCCCCCCACGCCGGCGCTGCCATCCCAGCCGATGCGCTTCGTGGTGGCCGTCAGATGGCCCGCCGGAACGTCTCGTGGCCACGAGAAGAATTGAGCCTCCTCCCTCCACTGCCGGACAAGGCTGAAGTAGGCCTGTGCGGTGTCGACCAAGATGTGCTCGACCAGCTCGTTTAGCGCGAGCGTCCGGCCGCGGAGATGATCCCACATTTCGAGCGAGGTCATTCCGGCAGCCGCCATGCCGGCGACCATGGCGCCTCCATCGCGGCCGAGGGCGTTCTCGATGGCTGACGCCATGGGGTACAGGTCCTCCATGTCGAGAGCGTCCTTGGTGTCCATGATGTCCCCGATGGAGATAGGCTCCAGGGGTGAGGTCATGGTCACTTGCCTGATGACATCGGCACCTCCGTACAGACAATCGAGGAGGATGACCCTGGGGACACGGTTGATTGGCCCAACGTTGGTGAACACGAAGATTTGGTGTACCTCGATGTTGTCCGCATGCCTGGCGTCATCGCCATCCTTCTTCAGGGCTTGCCAGGTCTCGAGGTTGAACCCCTTGCTCCCGTCCACGTATGTGACGGTTTGATTCGGCCCGCGCGTGTGCCAGTCTGTCTTGGGCGAGAAGTGGAAGCGGTGTGTGACAGTGTTGGGCTCATCAGGTTCTTCCGTCGAGGCAAATTCGTGAACTTCGTAGCCCAGGCCCAGTCCTCGGTGCTGTCGCTGCACTGGACCGTCACGTTCGTCGCGGCCACGATGGGCTCGTACGCCAGCACACGGCCCTGGTCAACCGGCACGCGGTAGCCCCTCCGCTCCCACGGGGCCGGCGCGACACCGACGCCGTGCGTCCGAATGGACGGGTAGACGGTCCTCCCGACCCGCACGCCCTCCCCGTCCGCGAGGTGGCGCGAGAGATAGCGGTGCGTGACCTCCCGGCCATGCGCCTTCTACGAAACAACGCGCTCGAACGCGCTGCGCAGCATCACGGCCGACATGTCCCACGGCGTCGCGGCAGGGACGCGCGTCATCTCGGCGGTGATGGCCGCCGTGGAAACCGCGCGGATGGGGCTCGTTGTCGTCCATGTTGCGGGGTGCATGCCCAACAGGCTGGAGAAGACCCCCGCGCCAATCGTCATACACGCCAAGATGGTGCTGGGACCCATCTTGCTGCGGAAGTTGAACCCGAACTCGTTCCATATGCTTGATGTCGCCGAGTTGGGCGCTCGGCGCGCACTCGGGCCCGAATTGGGCTGGGCCGTCGTCCATTGTGCTTGCCCATTGCCGTGACGCTGGAAGGCAACAAGAGTAATCACCGCGATGACTCCTCCGCAGATTTGGATGGCGTAGTTCCAGAGATCGGCGTCATAGCGCGCCAGACTGCGCGAGTGGCCAACGGTTCCTATCTTCTGGTAGGAAAGGTGTGTCGGGACGTCCCATGCCAGAAGCGGTTTTCTGTGGAACTGAACCGCATAATAGATCCCGGTCAGCAGACAGAGCAGTGAGACGGTATTGAGTGCGAAGGACCATATGCGGGAGGTGGCCATGGCCAACCTTAGGTTCTGGTTCAAGATTTCGTCGCTTTCATCGTCTGTGCAAATTTCTCATCGGAGGCACGCAGCCTAATAAAGGGCCTGACACGCTAAAAATACATACACGCAGGATCACGACGTTTAAAATAATCTTAAACTTAGCGCGGAGCTAGCGACAGGCGCTAACGAACTCTCAGGGATCAGACCATGCATAGGTACCTAGGGTACCTGCACTACGAGAGCGACTCGCCGAGGCTGTATATGTTGCAATGTGCAGAGTTCAGAGGGAGAGAAAACAGTGTAATACTAGGTGATGAAGAAGGTAATGAAGGTAAAGAATCAATGTCCTCAGCTAGGCCAGGGAGCTGCTTTATATATAGGTGGGCTTATAAGCTATAACGTTACTAAATATAAGAACTATAAAGGTCTTTAGCAGCTTATCACGACGAGTTGCAGGCTCCATTGCTCAGCGCCATTTCTCGTCGTTATAGAGGCAGCCCTGGTCCAGGAGCGCGAACCTGGATCTCGTCCCCCAAAACATCGGGCGACTGATCAGTCGGGTCAGTCAAGTCCGCATATTAGCATTGTAGACGTTCGCCGTCATCGACTTTGCGCTGTTTTATATCGGAGATGATAAGACAGGACTGGCATACCTTAGTCGGCACAGTAAGATACCTACCTACCAATGGGTGCCACCCATTGGCTAGCATAGCAGCATCGAGGAGTATCCATGGGCGTCAGCAGGAGAGCCCAGCTCACTGGAACGCCAGAGCTGGCGGATTACATTGGAGCCGTGTCAATACTTCCGCTTCAGACGGGCGCTTGCACCTTTTACACGTTGCGGCAATATAAACATCGCACCAGCTTACAATGTGTCTGTCACCGAGCACACGGATCACATGACACAGGAGATGATAGACACCTCGCAAGGAACGGCTTTCATTATAAGAAAATTATAAGGTTGGAACTAGGAGATGGCTGTCATAACCTCATCAAGGCCACCTTAGTGTCGTATGCTTCCAGGTGGAGTAATGAGAGCAAGAAAAAACCAATCCGCCGGAAACCAATGAGCCGAGACGCCTCCGCCAACGAAGAATAAGTATAAAATAACCGTGTTCCCAGCAAGCCGGGTGCCCCATTCTCACTCGCCGGAGTGGCAGCTTTGCCGGCCAAGACACGGGAGCAATCCAATACCAAGGGAAGGCCCAGTATGGCCAAGCGTGCCCCAGTCGAAAACCGCTTATTCTTTCCGCCTCTCCCTCCCCAGTCCATCGGCGTGCTCGTGCGGGCTCCCAATGGCTGGAACGTGTGGAGGACGTGGCAGTGTGACAAGGCTGTGGACCAGAGCGTCCCGTCACACTGTGTTTCGGCCAAGCCTTTCGCCGCAGCGCCGCTGGCCTTGGATATGGTTTTGGTTTCACCTCCCGTGTGTTCCCTGCATTTCCCCGCAATGAATGAGCGCGCTGATAGGTATATGCCCTCTTCTCCCTTGCTGGTTATGAGTATGGAGCAACCTCCAGTTGAACCAGTTCCTCCGTTTGCGTGTACCTGGTCATGTGAATGGTGCCGGAGGCCTCCGGGCGGCGTCGTGTTTGCTGGCTCGGGCTTTGTGTAACGAGGACTGACTCGGAAGGCACGTCGCTGTCCCAAGACTTCGGTTCCCCGCCGGAGTCAAGATGAAGATGACCGTCGTCGGGTCCAGGAGCGGCCCAAACGCACAAGGAAAGGGGATTTTCTCGGGTCAGCTTTAGGATCCTCGCTCTGAATGGTAGACACAGAGGGTTGCCGTTGCTTTCTCCATGAACCTCTCCGGGGTTGTGCTGTTGGAGATGATGTTTCGACGTCGCGGACATCAATCTCCTTCAGGAGGAAGGCCTCGCTTCCGTGGTCTTTCAGTTCGGCTTCATTGCTCGTTTCGCTGGGGGATACTTCAATGCTTCCGCGCATAAATGCGAACGGAAACTCGATGCTACTCCCAACTGCACGGATGTTAGCCGTAGGCTGCAGGAAGAGCAACGCTCAACATACCATGAGTGGCCCACAGCCGCGCGTCGACACTATACTTGAACAGCTCTTGGTCATCACCAACGTAATCAGTCTGGCTGAGCCATGCCGCAACCCATTCTTCTGCGGCCTTGACGGCATCGGATTTCCGTCCGGGGATTAGAAGCTTCGTGTCTCGAGTCGCAGCGAAGTTCAGAATGAATTGGCGCCTGGAGTATTCGGCGGCCGTTAAGGCTTTGATCACATTGATTCGTTCCAGTTCCAAGGCGGTTGCCCGCCGTCTGTTTTCTCTCACCGCCGCGTTTGCTGGCACGGCCATATTGCGTTCTCCGAGCGCAAGGCAGCCAGACACCTGTCGCGTCAGGGATGTCGACGGTGGCGGAAGTGTCGGTGTGATTGAAGCGGCATTGAAGTCGGCCAGCGTACTGATCGATAAGCCACAGAACCGAGGTCACGCGCTGCTTGTATGCACGATGACTGATGACCTTCTTATAGACTAGAACCCCATTGACTATGGAGTACTCGGATGTCTCCGGGGCGGTGATATCGAAGGGAAAACCCGGAGCGTGTAGGTGCTGGAGGCGTTCAGGTAAGTCTCGGCGCCGGGATGAGAGTCGCTGATGACAGGCTGCGTTGTTCGAGTGTGGAAGAAGTTTGGTTCGATGACCAACCGTCAAACAGACGAGAACCACTGCTCCAGGCGGTCACTCCGCCCTGCTCCCTTGCCGTCTCCTTTGGCCCCAGCATGTGCCAAGATATTTGAGCAAACCAATCGCTGAGATAGATTATTTACCAAGATGTCGGGTCCGTTGCCCAAGCTGCGTGCCAAGAGACTGCCAAGGGCGCCGTCAAACTTGGCGAAGAGGGCCGAAAGAAACAAGAGTTCTGGAGTGTAGGAAAGGGAAGGAGAATGCGGGGCAGGGGCCGCAGACGAGATCTGAGAGACTCCAAGTACCGGCCGCAGAGGTTCCTCCTATGACGCGAACACTTTAGGCAGATATGCGCTTCAAAATTGCCCGAGACACGCCCGGGTGCGTGTCTCTGATTCGATATCCTTATCTTACCTCCCTCTTGTTACTACACTGTAGGGAAGGAGCAGCCAAGACCTGGCTGCAAGCAGTCGGTCTTACGACAAGCGACTTGGCGTGATGATCATTGCTTTCCTCGACGAGACGCATGATTGTTCCAAAAATGGATCTATATGTATTTGCGATGAGTGCCGAGGCACTGATGGTAGGGAATGGCAATCGGATCGCGAGGCACGTTGCCTCATCAGGGACATATGGTCGGCCGAATGTTCGTTCCCGTTACATACCTCATCTACCGGGGACTTTAACCCGAAGCAGACGGATATCTGCCGAACACACCGTACCCAGCGGAGCGTCCCATATACCTATCATATACCGTTATTGCAAGTTAAGGTAAGGTATTGTTTCTGCAACCAGCCACCGTGCCTGTTCGGTGGACCGTTCATATATTTCAATAAACGTCGCGAAGTTGGGGGATTCATGTATGGACTTCAGCGAACTTGCACTTGGCTAATTAGGGTACTTACGAACTTGCACTTGGCTGATTAGGGTACTTACCCAGGCAGACAAATGTCTGGCAATACCTGCAGACGCCGCCGTTTCAGATCCGATCAGTCAAGTGCCACCTTGGGGTGTTACACCTGTGTGACTATCGGGTATTACAGGCTCTTCATGCCATGTCACCCGAAGAGGATGACTCGATATGCCATGGGTCACACGGTCACACCCCCATGAGCGGGACGTCGTCGGATAATAACAATCGGGCTGGCCACTTGTTAGCGGCTGAAGACTTCCTTTCCACCCTACACCATGGAGCTCAAAAGTTCGGGTTTACGTCGTCTTTACGTAAAGGATGGCAGTTGACGAAAACTGGCCCCTTCTACATGGCGAATCATTCAAGGCACAAAGAGCGGTTGGTTGTTGGATCCGAAGGCATCATTTCAACTTCGAACCAGGGTTTGGTCTATGTTCTTTCCTCCCTAGTCCAAGCCTTTCGGATGGACAAGAGTTATTTCTTGCTGCTGCGGCACAGCATTCCGCATCGTCTCCGAGCAGTAACCTATTGGCCTGTCACGCCGCCATAGACCGAGACTGTTACGCGAGATACCGGAAGAAAAGGTAAAGCTGGACCAGACACACTATATTCGCTGTCTACAATTCCCGTGCACAGCAAAACAAGGAGCAGGTATCGGGTTATCCAGTCGCTGCCAAGCAACCCATACTACGCGTCATACTCCTCACCCGGTTTGCCACAGACCCCCTTTTCGCCGACGAGAAGGAGACTACTAGTATAAGACCCGGTTGCGCCAACGCCGCTCCGCCGATATTCCTGTTGGTGCCTGACCTGCTGCTGAGGTGGTGCTTGGCAGCTATCTACCTTACCTCAGCTAGTGGAGGAGTAGTATCAAACCTCGAACTCAGCGTCTCTTGGTGCTCGCATAGGGGTCAACACGGCGGGGGTCGACTGAGCGCGAGCTTGAGCTCATATAACGGGGGTCAGCGTAACGCGGGTCAGCGTAGCGCGGGTCCGTGTAGCGCGAGTCCGCGTAACGGGGGTCAGCGTAGCGCGGGTCAGCGTAACGGGGGTCGGCGCGGCGGGCGTCCGAGGCACGGGGGTCAACCGAGCGAGAACTGGAGCCACCAGGGTCCCGACCGGACGCGTTCTTCGGGGTTCTCAGCCCAAGCACCTCCTCGACATACTCGACACGACTCGGGTTGCGCTCTCTCTCGGCGTACGCGTCGGCAAAGTTGCGCCTGAGGTCCTCGTCCAGGTCCGGCGCTACCCTGCTGACCTTGTCGGAGTGCTGGAATATCATCCAGCACAGGTCCTTGTAGTCGTTGGGGCCCTCTCGGTTGTAGAAGGACCTCAGCTTGCCCTTGAAGAAGTACTTGAGCTTGAGGACCTTCCACTCGCGCCGGCCCTGATTGGTGGTTACAGAGATCGTCTCAGTTGCGCCAGAGAGGTCTCTCGGCGTGCCCCGCTCTCCTGCCGTCGGGGTAGTGGGAATGGGTTAGCATTGTTTCCTTGTCCGGAGCGAGCACATCATCCACCCTTTGCGTCCAAGGCGGGTTTGTTTTGTTACTAGTAGTACTACACTCACCATTCAGAATTAGATCGACCTCCACAGCTAGACGACGCACCTTCTCTCCAAATTCAGGACCTGTGAGGACGAAGATCCTGGCGACACCAGCCCCGGCAACGGTCTGAGCGCGGGGCACGTAGACCCTTGTTCTCAGATGTTAGTTTTGTACTAGTACTTAGTGATAGCGGAGTGCTCCGACGACAACTGAGGAGAGTCACATACCGCTTGTCATGAGCAAAGACAGCCAACAGGTCCTTGACCTTCACCTCGACAGCAATGTCGGCATCCCTCGTCGTGCGTCCCTGGTTGCCGAGAAGGACCATGCCCAAGCCCCCCAGAATACCATATCGAATCCCGGCCTTCTTCAACGTGTTGATGACATGGTCCGAAGCGTTGATGAGGTGCTGCTGCGTCACATGTTCTTCGTTCTCCTCCTCGAAGTAGTCGAGCATGTCGTCGGTGTAGGTGCAAGGAGCCGGCGGGATTCCGGGCGGCGCACCGGCGGCGTCGGCCGCTGGAGCGTGCCGGCTCGAAGAGCTCGAACTCGGCGGGCCTGCGGACCGGATGGGAAGGGTCATGGAGGAGCTCGGCGGCGGCTGGCTCCGGGAGCTGCTGGACGGCGGCGCGTGGTGGCTTCTGCCGTAGGCATCCCGGGGCGGTACTTCAAGCCTCCTGCCAGATGGGCGCGGTTCTGGGGCGAAGCGAACGTCGCGTCTGGAAGAGCTAGACATTTTCTTTTTGAAGAAGCGGTATTACAGGTTACTGATTGGTGTCGGAGAGCGAGAGAGCGTGGGAGTAAGTCGCCTCAGTGATCAGTACCAGCTGATTCCCGAGCAGCGAAGTTCAAGGGAGTGGCTTGGGTCAGAATGATGCCTGCGTGGTTGGCGCTGGAGGTGAACCAAGTCACCACTGTCCCCTATATACATGGTGGTCGGTGTCGCCGTCGTCGACGATGAGTGGGATCCCGACCCTTGGCAGGCCATCAGAATAAGACGGGCCACTGTGTCGAACGTTGGTCGGAGTCCACGACATCCGGGGTCCTGCGTCACTCCCGACCATCTCTCGACCAACTGGACCAGACTGAGAACCGATGGGACAGACGGACTGGTGGTTCAACTTCATGACTGAAAAATGTCTCAGCTCCGGGTTGGCTGTCGCGGTGTGGAGTTTGATGATGGGCATGGAGGGCGTAGAGAGCATGATTACTCAATGGAAAGAAGGGATATTGTTCAAGAGATAGGTGGGTAGTAGTAGACGCTAACTAGAAAGGTCGTATAGGAAAGCTTAGGGGTATACTAGCTACAAGTGAGATTGGAACTGACTAACATATGCCATACAAGAACTACTAGTATGAACTCTCACCATGTAATCTCATGATAGCTCCGGAGCGCCTTCCTCCTAGCTAGCTGCTTATCCGGTGGTTCCGCATGACGAGTCCGTGACAACACCGTAACCGACGGCCAAGGCTGGGAACAAAAACCTGATTTCCGTGTCACAGAAATGCTGAGATAATGCGGCGCGGAAAGGGTTGAGGGCCGGCGCCGGCGACGGCGACCTTGCCCTTGGTGGCGCTGGCGTGAGTGGCCTTAAGAGTTGTAAGATGTTCGGCGAAATTCTGGACTTAGAATGATGAGGGCCCAGTAACGAGAAATTAGCATCATATGGAGACCTCGCGTGCCACTCAGTATGTAGTAAGTATTTAGTACGATGCTACTCTGGCATACCAAGTAAGATCAAACTTCCGTGGGGTGACCCATGAGATTGATTCCCATCATCACTCCTGAGTCCTCAGTAACATCCCCGATCGAGGAAACGCAATCTCCATAACGCCGCCGAGGCGTGTAACAACAAGCTTGCCCACCGCAACACCGCCACGATGGTCAGAGACTGACGCGCGGGATATGCCCGTAACAGGAAATTGAGGTTCGATGATGTTCGATGGGACTATGTAAGACTGGGTCCATCTTCTAGCGGTTTGTTTCAGATTGCGCTGTCAACGCCGACCGTTGAACTGGAAGGATTTAAGCATGTTGTCTCAACACCAGTTCGACCCACTCAAGTGGCTTGGTAATAAGGTAGTATTGTTAGGAATCTTTGACGTCAACAAAGCCAATAATAGACATCGACTTGGATTACCATCGTTGAAACGCGGACGAACTTACTGCTAAGATGTTCTCAGTGGATATCAACTAGTACCAGTCGTGCTTTCAACTAAACTGCCACGGGGGCCAGCTACCTTAGCTAGTAAGGCCGCATGTTGACAAGCGGTCGCGGGCGAGAAATGCCGATGTACCGAGTGGCCGGAAGCGTGCCGCACGCGGACGGCGAAGCTTATGCAAGGGTTTCAGATAGGCCCGGAGCCGGAGAATATAACAAGGCCCGCTAATACCATGGTCCATGGATGGAATGACGCCAGTCACAGAGCCTGTCTTACCCAGCAATCTCTTCTGCATCACACACCGGCTGGACATTCGGTAATCGGTCGACCCTGGATCTAGCCATGGACAACACCAACAGCGAGTCTAGTAGTCCCGCGACCCCAGTGTCGGCATCTTCCGAGACAGGCCCGCAATGGTCATCCACATATGTGCTTGATCTGAGCAAGTCAGGGGATGCCGACTGCGGGCGCGGTGTGGACGAGGCACTCGACGTGGTGCACGCGCTGGAGGACCACGGCATCCCTTGCTGCGTGGTGGGAGCCAAGGCGCTGGTCTACTACGGCGCTCACCGCGTGCCGATGAACTGGGAGATCTGCGTCCCGACCGACGCGTTTGACGAAGCCAGGACGCTGTTCACGCGCAGCCCGCTCAACGAGGCATACGAGCTGTGGCACCCCGTGCAGCCGCAGGTCGCGTCGCTCGTCCACACCTACCCGCGCTTCACGCGCAGGGGCGTCAACTTCTTCTTCATCCTCGTGCCGGCCTTCGAATGCTTCATCGACTGCAGCAGCCCGGCCAAGTGCGAGCGTAGCCCGCGCGGCATCCCGTATCCCACGCTCGAGAACCTCGCGCAGAGCCTGCTCGACACGCAGCAGTACGCCGACCTGGCCGACCTGGTCGACGGCATGGATCTGGATGAGGAGTGGGGCGAGAACCACCTGCAGCTCGACGCGCCGCCGGTCGACTGGATCAGGGAGAAGAACGAGCTGATTGCCCGCTCGCTGCCCGAAGGCATGAGCGCCAGCGCCGCCTTCTCCATGCTGACCGAGACACCCGAGCCGCGGGAGGCCTGGCTGCGCACTGTGAGGACAAAGCACAAGAGGATCAATGACGAGTTGCCGAAACACAGATATCTGACGAGGTATCGGAAGGTTGGGTCACCAGACCCACGCGAGAACAAAGGTCGAGAGGTGTAGATAAGCATACTAGGTACTAGTACGCTCCAATCCACCAGTACTTATATACCGTACCTTAGTTAAAGAGGCAGGAAAATCCCAATGTCGGCATACCTCGGTCGCCAAGCCCATGGAAACCAGGCGCTCAGGAACAACCCTCTTTATATCGGGGCACGGCCCTTATATTGTATATGCCAGATCGGGCTTCGTCCAATCACTCTTCAGTCTTGGGACGCGTCGTGTATATGCAGCGCGTCGACGTCATCAGACCCGGTGCAGGTGGCAAGACGCGCATATCGCCTCCCTCCAATATAAGGCTCTCCCACCCCCTTACGCGCTGCTCTGCGCTGCTCTGTCCTTCCTCGTCTCTTGGCACTCGGACACCAAAGCGGTCGCATTGTTTTCTACTGTCAGCAGTCATCACCCTTCCCCCTCTCACTTCAATCATGAGCTACACTCATCGCAAGAGCAAACCGAGCATTTTTACTGATATGCCTGAAGCCGCGGTAGCTTTCGGGACTCCAGAGTTCATGGCCCGACTTGACTGCGATCGAGCTGAGAGCTACCATCTGAACCATCAATCCTGCCCTATCTGCCAGAAGAAGAACGCAGAAGACTCCCGGGATGATGGCTCAACAAGCTCTGCGGCTGCGCCTCCTCCCTTTATGGACCGTCGCTCCAAAAGGCCCCAACGTCCCCCAAGGAGGTCAAAGCGCGAGCCTAAGTCGGATGGCCAACCTAGGGAGCAGCCGCAGACGCCGCGGAATGCAGGATCTCTCTCGCTCGCCATTCAGATCAAGAACAGCAGCCCCCCGAGTTCTTCCCGCCTGCTGGCAAACCGTCCGATTGATCAATTCCCGGTCCGGTCGATCTTCCCAGCTCCAATTCTGCACATGACCCAAGATGACTGGTGATTCAGACAACGCCCAGAAAGACAAGGGGAATGCACCAGGTTGTTTTGGGATAGCACTGCATGGTTTTTGGACGGACCGGAAGCTTGGAAGGTTTCCAATGCCTCCCATACCCCTTGCCCTACCCCACAAAGTACTGTACCTACCTATGAACTCAACGCCTCAGATATCACCAAAAAAACAGCATCGGCACGTTCCTTGACCCCATGGGCGTCCCTTCGATGTGCCAGTTTCTGAAAATAATCAGGGAAACCTGCATCGCAGTCATCGCAGCGCAGATCGGACTGCAAACAACCATGTCAGCCATCCTTTCTCGACCGTGACGCGGCAGTAGGTGGGTATGCCTCTCGGCCTATCAATTACTACCTGTCGAACAAAAGGTTCCACGGAATAAAACGGTTTATATCTCTGAAGAATGGCAAGCGTTCGGGGTTGCGTTTGCATATAAATCTTCCCTGTCTGCTCAAAAGGATCCAGAACTGGTCGCTCTGAGGACAAGAAACCGCCCCCTTTGAACAACAACGACGACAAGACGATGTCGCTTTTGTGGGGAAACCGAAAACGCGAATCTGAACCGAGTACTTCACTTTCAATCTGGGTCGGCTTGCTGACTCAGTAGAGCCTAGGTTACGTGCCGGAACCGCTCTTGTTGATTGAAATGGTAGAGAACGCGTTCGTGCTTAGTTTCACAGCTCCGTTTGTCAACGCCGTTTTCCCAGCCATACTCGGGTGTGAACCTACCATCGCCTTTGGTGACTGAGTTCCCCCAACGCGTTGCAGATCCGGCTTCTAGACACTGTCGCTAGGAAGCGATCGAAAAGCCGAGCTGCATTGGGCTGCAATTACCGGCAATGCTGAGGATATATCTAAGCTCCTATACCACTCACCTCCCAAAAGGCGCACATCGATTCTCACGATAACCAGGAGTAAGGTCATGCTAGATGTTAACGCCCAGGACGAACTTGGGAGATCTGCGCTGCACTGGGCGGTGGCCTGAAGACATGCGACATGCGCCGAGCTACTCATCGGTCATCAGAAAGCAAAGATACTCCCTGATGAAGACGGGAGAACTCCGCTTTACGAGGCCGCCATTAATTGCAGGCCATGAGGATATTGCGAACAAACTACTAGAAAAGGAGGTTGACGCACTAAGCGTCAGCGGCGTCGACAAGTATGGAAGGACGGCACTTCACTGGGCAGCTGAATATGGATATATGGAAGTAGCGCGGCTGCTTGCCAACAAGGTGGCTGAACAGGGTGGCAACATCTCGGCAGAAGACAGGCATAAGGACACGGCACTGTATAGGGCAGCTCTGAGGGATCACCAGGGGATAGTGCAGATGTTCATGAATCAGCATGCCAGCATCAAAGGAGTGAACAAAGGGAACAAGACTGCACTGGACTTGGCTGCAGACGAACGACATAAGGAGACGAAAAAGACCCTGCTACATCAGTAGGTTATATAAGGAGGAGACGAGAAAGTTATAGGGAAGCTCCCCGATATAGAAAAAGTTCAAGTCAACGCAGAGGTGTACGATGGTCGGGTTGTTGTTGGCTGCTGATAATGGGCACGGGGATGCGGTGCAGCGGCTGCTCGAGAAGGGCGCAAACATTGAGGCGGCGGACAAGGACGGCCGGACGATACTATAGCATGCTGTCGCAAACAGGCACGAGGTCATTCTCAAGCTTCTCAAGTCTGTGAGGTAGTATATTGAATTCTAATTATAATTTTTCATCATAGCGTGACACAGGAGGGGTATGGGGGACAGTGCAAATACATAGCTATTTCTGACTCTTCTAGAGTCTTCTAGTACCTTCATCTGCTTATGATACTAGGCGTACCGCTGGGGCCATTGAAGGAGAATCACACCAAGTTCGAGACCGGTGACCCCTCTCGAAACGGGGCTCGGCAATTGTACGATCACTATCGGGCGCCTTCCGTAATGATACAAGCCGGCGAGGAGGAAGAGCAGGAGGTAGAGATTTATAACGGTACAAAGCTGGATAATAGTAGTGTTAAACTCCTTATAAAATGGAAAGGTCGTGGGGAAATAAATATAGAATCCTTCCGGGAACGTGGCGGTAACGGAGGCGGTCGGCAGGCATAAGCCTTTATAGTCATATAGTGTAGATATCGTCTAAGATTTACCTCAGCTAGGTAATCCTTCTGATTCCATACCTTCTGCTCCTTGGCTATGAAGATTAGATGCTTAGGTCAACGTTAACGTAATGGCATTTGTTTATGTTACAGCCCCCTCGTCCGGTAGTTCGCATGCCGCACTTTTCTGACTAGAGTAGTATCAAGAAATAAAATCTGGGTGGAATCCCAACGCCGTATAGAGTAGATCTGGCCGGTAATCACCTGCTGCTCGGCGATGGCGTGGACGATGGTGTAGCCGAGTTTCCAGGCCCCGGCAGCGGGTACGCATAAACTGGTTAAGGTCGGTACAGGTCAAGTCGCTGCTGGTGGTCCGCAGGGTGTCGGCGGTGAGAAGAGAGGCAGCCGGCGCGGCCGGAATCGAAAGACCGGATCGACATGCTAGAGGACTGAGATTTAGATTAGTTGCCGGACTCTTGGGCACTGTCGGTCATGCTCCCCGCCAAATGTGCTCTGATTCAGCCACCGAGACAAAGGCGCTTATGTGATAGTAGGGGGCCGTTGAACAAACAACTTGCAGAGTAAATTACGTTATGTGGCTCTTGATAAATACCCCATGGTTGACCGGTGCTTTTAACGGCCTCCTGCTTGCCGAAGTGAAGTTGTCCTAACCGGCAATAAGAAGCTGAGGGTTCAGCTTGTCGCTTTGTATGGTGTCTGTCTGGGAACTCTTTGCTCCCTTTCAAAGCTCACTAGCAAATTATCCCTCTTTTCATCAAGGGACTCTAGATCCAGCTGGTTCCACGTTTATAGGCCTTCACTATAAAAACCAAAAACCTTCCCAATTTCGGATCAGTCAACCTCAATTTTGAGTTTTTCGTCCCCTTTAGATTAAGTTAGCTGGTTGCTCCCGTGTGCAACGCCCGCCGGCCTGCGACTTCTCTCCCGGCCGGGTCACCTTCTAATCGCAGTTTAACATCCCGACCGCACATACCGGACTCTTCTTCCCCCGTCAAGCACGCCCTCTTGTTCGGCTCGGTTACACACCTGCAATAAGACGGCTCTGCTCCGCACAGCATCTCCGGTTTTCCAACTGACCTCCTGCAGAAAGAAATGGTCACGGCAGACTCAAACCTAGCATGCCTGGCTCCAGCGATAACTCGAAACTGGGCTTTCGGCCCACTACCGGCACCTTGACAGTTCTACCTGACAGCTCAGCTGCGGATGAAATCCAGGGACCGCCCCACTACGATGCCCAGATCTAGCAGCGTGCCTCCACGCTGTGCGATGAAGCAGCGCGCCTGCCCGAAATAGAAGGGCCAGACAACGCGCTATCTACCCAAAGCAGTGGAGTATGTCTTCCCATCCGATGGAATACGCAGTACTGACGTTCGTAATCTCGTGCTGTGCAGCGGAACCCACCAAACTACGGTGGCAGAACCGGCGAGGTCGTCATCAGAGATGCCGAAGCTGATAATCGAGATCCTGAGCCTAGTAGAACCACCTACGTTGATGTCTTCCGCACCTTCTTTCAGCAACTGACAACTGAAGAGCTTGATGGCGTCTTGGAAATAGCGCGGGAACCAGACTCCAGATGCGTCATTATTCCCAGTCCTCAGGGGCATCGGGACCCGTACAGGGAGCATGCTACAGAAGCTCACAAACCGACCATCGCCTACATGCTATCCTACGCTCTGTATCGTGTTCTCGTAGTCGCCGAGCGCGATCGCGTGCTCAAGGAAGCTCGAGCAGAAGAAAGACGTCGTGGTATCGTCTGAGGAGCGAAGTACGGGAACAAATCTTGTCTACAGGCCCTCTAATATGAGCGCGTCAGTGGACAGCGCTTGCCCTGTCTGTGGCAAGATGCCATTAGCTCTTTTGTATTGGCCCTTGCTGTGTTGCTTTGTGTAACTAGCAGTTCCGTCTCCTCGCTGGAGTCGATAACGTACATGATAAGCGAGTGACCCAGACAAGCGAATGACCCACTCTCCACTACCCTACAAGCATTATCCTCAATTACAAAACAACAAAACTATCAACCAACTACAATTACATCAGAAACGGCTGAATCAGATGCTTCTGCAACCTCCTGGCAAGTGCGGGCATTATGACCAGGCTTGCCGCATACACCACAGCACCGAACCTTCGTACGACCCCCACCAGCACCACTACCATCCAGCTGTGTTTCTTGCATTGTCTCCCCACCTATAGCCCCCTGGCTTACCACCTCCTGTGCCTCCTGCACAGTAAGTGATCCTCCAAGCCGCACACGTGTTTTTTTGGCTCTCCGGCGCTTGCTTAGCGCCTCGTTAGCCTTGCGGAGCGAAGACACCTCTGCCTGAAGGAGGGCCACCTGGTGCATTATAGCCATCGTACCCTTGGTAAGCTGGTCCACAGCAGCCAACATTGAAGTCGGGGAGCTATTTTGATGGTTGGCAATGCGAGTCTTGATAAGCGTTGACTGTGACTCGGCTTCTCGAGGGTTGTGTGGTGTCTGGAAGACCTAAGATTGTGCAGTGCCTGGCCGTGAGGTTGGGGGTGTTGGTGTACGAAGCTTGATATTTAGCTTCGAAAGCACCCTCTCTGGATCGTATGGCACAAGGCCAGCCCCTGTAAAACCGCCCTGTATATTCCTCTTGGTGATAGAGGCAAAGAAGGCTGTGCGAAAGGCATAAAGAAACTCGAGCTTGCTTATATGGTCGATATACGCGCGTACTAAGTCCTCGATCTGGCGACCGTACGCCTGCTTTAACGGCCTAAAGCAGCCAACATCAAGTGGCTGGAGGAGGTAGGAGGAATATGGAGGTATGTAGAGCGTGATAATGTTGTTCTGCTGGCAGTAGAGCTCGAACTCGGTCGAGTGGTGGCTTTCGTGGCCATCGAGGATTAACAACCGGTATTTGCCCTTTGTCCGAGGCGCTATATGGTAGTCGAAGTGCTTGATCTAATCAAGGCCTACTGCGTTAGTAGTCCAGCCGTTCTCGGTGGTTGCAATACGCTAGTCGGCCGGGAGGTTGCACTCGGTGTACCAGTTGACGAGGTGGTATTACGCGGCCAAGATAATGAACGGAGGGATAGCTTAGCCGAGAGCATTGACTCCCTAGATTACTATTGCCCACTCGCGATTGCTAGGCTAGGCCAGCTTAGCCTTGCTCCGGCCATCTGAGGTCGTAATAACCATACCCGTAAAGATAATGCCTATTATAAACCCGGTCTCGTCAAAGTTATAGACATCGTCATCCACGATACTATATTTGGCCTTAGTGTTCTGCATAAGCCTAAACCACTTGCGAATAACGTCTGGATCTTCGTATCTAGCCCTCTGGTAGTCGTATCTACATGTATATCGCGTACGGAGCTCTGGCCGGCGTTTGACGAAGTTGTAAGCCCAGCGTTTGCCAATAGGGGGCGCGTCGCGTTCGCACAGTAGTTGGTTGGCCATATCTTCCACACCATACAACCTAGGCGGGAATGCACGTGCAGATAGCTCATTGACATATTGAACTATCGCCTTCTCTTCTAGATCTATGAGCTTGCGCGAGTTGGCTGGAAGATCGTATCGTGCAGGCTTGCCGGCGCGTCGGCGCCCCAGGGTCCTACGGTCAACCCCATAGATCTTAGCTGCGGCTCGTTCGCTTAGATTCTTGTCGTTTTGAAGAGCTTGGAGAGCCAAGATTATCTGGCCTTCTTTTGAAGTAGAGGGCATTTTGGATGGTAGAGGAAATTTTGTTGTTGAGTGCAAAGATGTCGCGTCGTGTAGGAAGTGGGTCATTCGCTTGTCTGGGTCACTCGCTTATCATGTACGTTAGGAGTTTCCCGCTGGTGTATGGTTTTGGCAGAGGTAACAATGAGATCGGCAATCACATTACCAACGATTGGTTTGGCTAGACAAAAACTCGGGGAGGAGTAGGCAACCTCACGTGTTGGTTGTCACTACTTTGCTTGTGTGCTTACCCATTTGCCTTCTGGGCAGGTCTCTCTGCACTCGCATGCCCAAATCAGACCTGTCCTTTTGCCGCCGAACAGACAGTCGACTTCGGAGGGAGCACCCTGGCCATTTTCTGGCATACAGTTACAATACTAAGAAAGACCCCTCCTTTACAGAACGACTGGCCGAAATAGCAGGGCTACCAGACAGAGAGCGGATAGCCTCTGCAATCCGCTCTGTCTCCGGTGGCTGTCCGCCCGCCCATCCATCTCCAGGGGTTGTCGCATCTCGGCGAAGTGCTACTTAGGCCCCCGGCACTGCTGCTCGAACCCAGCCACCCGCCGCTTCAAATCGGCCACCTGCCACTCTACTTCAGCCAGACGTCGATCGGCTTTGATCCACTCTTCAGCCAACCGTCGCTCCGACTCAAGCCGCTCCTTGTTGCGCACTTCAACCACACGACGCTCCGCTTCCTCGTAGGGGTTTTCCTCCTTATCCCCGACCTCTGTGGTAAACTCCGTCGGGTTGTGACAATGGCGAGCCCTGCGGAAGATAGCTCTCAGTTGCTCGTATGTGAGCGTGGCTATAGGGTTCCTATTGAAGGTCAGGCTTGTTGTATCGTCTTAGGGAGAAGGATGGCAAACCTCGTAATCCCAGCGGTCAACTCAGCGGTTGAGGGACGGCAATATATCGCGGGTAATCCAGCAATACCGACAAAGTCGGAGAGGTACAGGTCGATATGCCCAACGGGTTGTTGATCGAGATTATCATCGTGAAAGAGCTCATGCTGCCGGATCCAATGGCTCGAGGAGTCGTCCACTACCAGCAGGCTTACCCATGCCTTCTTGATGCCGGGGCGTTGAAGGTCAAGGATGAGAACAACCTGAATCTTGTTGTCCGATAAATCGATGTATTTGCGCGCCTTCTCCTCTACATGAGGGCGGGTTTCGGCCTACGAGACTTCGCCAATCAGAGAAGGTAGGGCGCCTATCTGGCCGAACGCAACATCGGGTTGCGTAAGGATTTTGTCATCAATGTTGAGACTAGCTGTTCCGCGATCAACGACCGATTGTAGCGAGTCCCGGATTATCGGTTCATCCGCCGTAGCAAGCAGCCGTGCAATAATATACTTGAAATGATCGTGGAGACCGATTTGAACCATGAAATGTAAAACCGATTCGCTCATGACGTCGAGATACACCGTCCCGGATTTGAAATCGTATTCGAATCGTCGAACTTTAGGCTGGCCGAGTTCAGCCAGCCCGGCGTCCAGCTGATCAGAAAGATCGTATACTTGGGTCGGCTGCCAGTGGAAAGCGAAAGTCGACTCGGAACCGCTCCGGCGGGAGTCGACGATGTGTTGAAGGATCTCCTTAACAGTAGAAACGTCTAGCCAAACCTACAAGGGTTAGCAATCAATCGCCTTTGGCACGAACGGAACAAGGGAAAAAAAAGTGATATACCGGCTCAACAGGACGCTCATCCTCAGAGGATGAAGGCGCCGTCACCCGGTCCAGTGAATCGGAGGTCATTTGCGAAGCCATCGCTGGTACAGCTAACGTCACAATGACTTGCCGTGCATCGGAAGATGGAGGTTCAAAAAGTGCATGCTTACCTGTGCCCAAATCCCATAAGCGAGTGGTCCGAGCGCCTTCTAGCGCCTTTTAGCGCCTTGTTGTGGTGTGCAGCTGGCGTTCTTCAAGCGAGGTGGTCCGAGCAACATTTGAGGCTGAGGGACGTTCAAGGAGAACGCGGGCTGGAGGGACTGTAAGGGCCACCTTAGCCCAACACTGTGCGCCTCTGAACGAAACGAGAAAGCTTATGCAGCTTTTGCACAAGATAATACCTATCTATGCACGTTGGTGATAACTATTCTCGCGCCCCGCCTGAATACCACACTCCATTGGCTCGGACTAACCAAGCGGAGCCGGAGAGGCCATGGATTTGGGGTAGACCGCAGGGCACAGAAAACGGGATTGGAAAGGAGGACGGCAACGCGATCGGGTGTCTACGCCAAACGAGAACGAGAAAGCGAGATGAGGTGAGTACCTTTGGCGCACTAACGTTACATAATTGTATTGGCCCTTGCTGTGTTGCTTTGTGTAACAGTTCCGTCTCCTCGCCACAAGGGCGCGCTGTGCCTCGCATGGGCGGAGGGGAGGCTTAACAATTGGCATATGTACTTGACATGGCAGAAGGACAGAATGGAGGCGGCTTGGGTTCCTACTACAGGTCAATCCAACGAGGAGGCGAAGATGAGCGAGGACGGCAAGGGCGTTTGCCACTGGAAGCATGACCTCTGGACTCGCGCGCACAAAGCCCGGTTCGAGGAGCTGGGCACGGCATAAAGAATACGATAGACACGGAACAGGGGAGAGAGAGGCGGGCTTGCAGGGTAGGAGCGAATAGTTAGTGGTCCGGAGGACAGGAGATGCAGTGACCACACTGAGATTCTCGCAAAATCGGTTAACAATAACTTTTTCCCGAAGCTTGGTCTGCATATTGCCTGTTCTATAACGAAGCGGAATTTGCTCGTGCTGCATGTAGTCCATATAGCCGATGCTTTTGTGTTGTTAGCTTGCGACGTAAGCCGGACAAGTGTCGGGTTGCTTCGGGCCGGTCTCTGGGCTTCGACATGTGCGGATTTGTCGAGGACCCGTTTTCGGACCCATGCCACAAACGTTAATTGGTTGTCGAATCATTGAATTTTTTGGGTGAGCAAATCGGTCGCTCGCGTCGCACCGCCCGGCAAAACTCTGCTTACTAATTTGGGTCGTGGCACAGTCAAAGTGGCTGGGTGGCTGGCGCGAGCCGCCAGCATGCCACAGGAACGTGCCTCTTACGCTTTCTTTCCACTTCACATAGAGAGCATGCCAATTCGCAACGACAGACCAGCCGCGGTTGGAGATTATCAAGGAGACGGACAGACCAGGTCGGGCCGTTGTGAACGTTGCTACTATCCCTCTCCGTCGGATTCAGGACAGGACTAGAACTGATCGAGAGATTGCCCGGAACATACATGTACCTAATGAGGGAAGAGTGGAAAGGTCATCGAGCACCGGCGACGTGCCCTGTCGCTTGGATGCGTGGTGGTCCGGCCCAGGAATGGATGACGACATGGGCGGGGGCCCCCGACCGTATAAAGATTATGTTTGCCCGCCGGAAGGCCGCAGTATGTCCCGCCGGGGATTCGTTTTGTAATAATAATCTCTTAGTTTTGCTTAGTTTAAGTAAGGTAACTATTATAGTCGTCCGCTTTAGTACCCTAGAATATAAATCGAATCCTAGTTAGGTTTATTTTTTTATATTCTTAATAAATTTATATCCTTAGGAATAGCTCTATTATTTAAGGCGCTAGGATTAGTCCCTTTGTTAATTGTCACGGTCGGTATAGGTGTCGCCCCAGTTAGGAGTCGAACATACGACCTTGATGGAACTGGTGGAACGGGTGAAGTGGGGCACAGGTCACGCGACCTACAAATTGGAAATATCTTTGTGTAATACTGGGTCGGCCACCTAGAACCTTTTCCTTTCCTTTCCTCAGGCTTAGTTTAATGGAATTGAGTGTCATGAATAGCTGGCTTGACCCTGTTGAATGTACCTTACCGTCACATAGATGCAATAGTCTGTTTGACTATAATAGAGGAACGAACTTTATTAGAGTTAAGGTACTTACTACGAAACGAGTCAAAGCAAGTATGTTGCAAATTTAGAAGTCTGTTGTCGGAATAGTATAATACATGCCCCAAGGATTCCAGTTGGAATTGTAGGAACGAACAGGGCAACAGTGATGAATCGGTGGTTGCAGCAGGAGAAATCCCGCATGGAGCTAGGACAGGGCACAACCCTGCCCCTGCAACAGGAACATGGTGATTTGAGGATAAGGTAAGGTAGGTATTCTAGCTGCATTACTATCATGCTGTATCCGCAGACTGTTATTTCACCCCCTTATCCCGCTAATAAGGCACTTAGACGTTCGTACTCTCCTAATGCGTTAAGCAGCGGTTGAGATGCATTTCAACGTCCATGTAAACGTTTGCTGGACACAGCCGCTTCCTCTAAACTACCTTAAGTAGGTAAGGTTAAGGTTCCCGAATCCTGATCCCTCCTGCGCCGCTTCGCTCTACCTACCATTTTAGCGAATGCTGGTTCCGGACCTTCCGCTGCGAGTGCTTATAGGAGACATGGTTTGTTTTCGCAATGTAACAGTCAGGATCGACGGCGTGGCGGAACGTGCCTTGTTGAGGGCCGAAACTTGTATCGAACGACCGGGCCACTTGCCGCGCGCGGCGCCAGCGGCCTTCTCGGCTACGGACGAAACCACCATTGCCATGTCTCGGAGACTCGGCAGCCAACGTCCCCAAGGGTTGAAGACGCTCTGCTCCTTCTCAGTCACGTCTAGACCGCGGCTGACACGCCCAAGCACTAGGAGTAGTGCTGTTACGCCGCAGATGAAGCCAGCGTCTAAACCAGCTGCACCCAGACACCCGGGCGCGCAAGGCCATGAAACACTCCATCCATGCTTGCGACGCCGCATCAACACGACGGCCGTACCGGCCCCGGCGTGGTTCGACCGTCTGCATAGGTGGTTTCAAAGAGACGTTGGGAGGTCAAGGGCCGCGAGAGTCGAGACCGCTGGAGTCGAAGACGTGATTCGTGAAGACTCGAGCATGGAGGACTGGGATGTGGAAGTCTCGACACATATAAAAGGGCCTTCCTCCTCCAAGAATGTCGAGAAGAACACAACAGCATCAGCATCAGCATCACAACATCCGCTACCAAGCATCAGAACTCAACCCACCAAGCCTCGACCGCTGTCTCCGGAACCACACCTCGCTCCGACTACGCTTACCAAACCCATCCCGTCTCCAAACCTTCCTTGTATGTGCCTACTAAGGTCGTGGCAAGCCGGCGAGCGATGCTCTCTGAGCCAACCATCCCCCAAACCTTACTACTTGTAGATACGAGCAGCTAACAGACTTGAACCCCGGGGCCAGAAAACCACCACCATGTGCCAATACAGCCACGTGCTCTACCAAGCCTGCAACCACCAGCATGGCACGAGATTTGTCCGGCCGTGCCCGAGGTACCCCAAAAATGGGTGCAGCGGGCGTGTCACCACGGGAATTATACGGGTTCCCGGCCTGTGCCCGGAGTGCCAATACGCCTAAGCGCTCCCGTCACAGGTACAGGGTTTTAGGTTGTTTGTTCAAGGATGGATTGTCGAGCTGGGACTTGGAATACATCCAGGGGTAAACGGCGAGGACTCTGTCGAGCTGGTCCTCGGCAAGGCTTGAAGAGGTTCTGTTGAGCTGGTTCCTTGACATACCTTTCAGGGGGCTAAGGGTTAAGGATTGAGATGTATCCCCTACACTCGTTATTATAGCCTTCAGGTAGTCATGAGGCACACCGCATACTACTCTGTTTGTTCTTTATTTAAGTGCCTACTATGTGATGACGCTCATTTACTGCTTGCTTGCTCAATACCAAGTACCCTCCACTCTCCTTTGAGCTTTAATCCCCTCCACCCATTTGTTGAACCACTATGGCAGTAAAGACCTTTGTGGTCTTTACGTTCAGTATGACTTTCAAGCCCTCCCACATATAAGCCAGTTCCTGACTTAGCAGAGCACATTCCCTTCTTCACTTCACCTGCTTCGTCGCCTCGTATTACACTCCTTTCTCCGCCTGACCTCTGCACACTGTAACACCATTTCATGCTTACTAAACCGCTGACTTTGACAGAAACACGCCCGGGACCTCCCCTTATCATTGACATAATACATAAACGAATATCAGCTCCTTTACAAGAGTCAATGGAAAGATGTAAAAAGCCATGATCCATTGAGCAAGAGATTTTCCGAAGTTCGATGCAAGACAGGACGCCTGCCCTTTTTTCGCTCCGTGTCCATGCCCATTCCATGTGAGACATCCAACCAAACAGCCGACCAACAACCAGACACAAGACGAGAGAGATCTTTAGCAAAGTAGGGATGATGATGATGATAATGATAGAAATAATAGGTAAGAGAGGTCAACAACAGCAAGTCGTGTCAACCCTACCTAGGTGCCTGCCCCAAAACTCAACACGCGCTGCTCGCCTGGTGGCAAGGTCTGTGTTGACTCTACGATAGTAAGAGACGGTCGAGCAGGCCGAGGCGCTCGAGCGCCCGGGAGCCACGGGTCGCCTTCTTCGACGGCCGCGTCAATGAACTTGTTGGGAACCTCCTTGCTGCTCCTTGGCCTTGGCCGAGGTCGGGTCCATGGTGAGGCCCGTCAGGCTGTCGATCTGCTTCTTGAACTACTCCAACATCGGACAGAACTTGCCCACGTTCGCTTGTTCAAGCTCGTCCTCCCAACCGTACAGGTCCGGCTCGTCGTCTAGCGAGGTGACCAGGGGCCTTTCCATGTCTATCGACATGAACGAGCCGGCGCCGGTTCAAGGTTATAATGTTTGTCCGGCGCGTGTTGCCTAAGATGCTAATGGAATAGTAGCATGACCCGGGTGCGGCTCCTCCTACTTGCCCCGTTATCAATAGCGTGCGGTACTACAACTTATACACTACACGTCTAGTTTACGAAGCTGTTGCTGCTTGCCTTGTTGAACTTTTCTTTGGTGGTAGTGGCGGATTTCTAACGTTATAGGAGACAAGGAATGTTAATCCGACTTTAGGCCTCGGGGCCTCCCCTAGCTGCCGCGACCGTCTTCCGCGACGCTACCCGCTGGATTGACCTACTGTGGAGGCTAGAGTAGTCTCTGAGACACAGACTTGATTCAAGTATTCCGTAAGGATGTCGGCTGTGGCGAATGCGGGTGGCTGTGAGGCCGGGCCGCTAGTGCGGAGGTATCTGTGCCACTGCCTTGGTAAGACCGGGGGGAAATACGGCCGACTACCCTCGTATTTGGTCTCTGTTTATTATTTAGGGATCCCATCCCCCGCGGCGAAACTCCCCACAGTGAGGCACCCTCGGGCTTGGCGGTCGTGACTCAGCTCACAAGCAACCTCTCCCGACGTCTAATGTAATCGGCCCCAATCCCGATCAGCGGAAGCAGCAACATCGCAACAAACCACAAGACCAAAACTCGGCTCATCCCTCGAACAAAAGACGCATCCCAACAACCTGCCAAGACCACAGTACCTTACTCAGCCAAACAAACCACAAAAAATGCCCCGCCTGCTGCGCTACAACCTCGCCCCGACCCTCAACGGCCTCATCGCCACCCTGCCGTCCCACTCGCACGCCTGGATCGTCCCGGACGCCTCCATCGACTTTGCGGCCCTCTACGCCGAGTTCGACACATTTGTCATGGGACGCAAGACGTACGAGACATTCCTCAGTCTTCCGGCGCACGAGAATCCGCTGGTCGGGAGGGCCAAGGAGGATGTCGTCGTTGTCACTGGTGGGAGCCAGGGGGGCAGGAGGAAAGAAGGGTGGGGGGATGTGACTGTTATTGGTAGTCAGGGGGATGCGGAGGTGGTGCGCTTTGTGAGGCGGTTGAAGGAAGAGGATGCTGCTGCTAGTCCGGGGAAGGAGAAGAAGAAGGATATATGGTTGATGGGCGGAGGAAGGTTGGCCGGGTTGTTGATGAGGGAGGGATTGGTAGATGTAGTCGAGGCGGCAATTATGCCGGTTGTGATTGAGAGGGGAGTGGGGATGTTTGCGGATGGCGGAGAGGGTACAGAAGAAGGGGAAAGGGTGTGGAAGTTGAAGTTGGAGAGTGTGAGGGCTATGGAGAGTGGGATTGTGATGACGCGGTATCGGGTCGTTCATGAGCAAGGGTGGACATCTGGGGCACACGATGGATTATGAAATCTAAATATGAGCTGGCTCAGTTGGGTGGTGTATGCCAGCGAAAGACTGCACGGAACATCGAAAGCTTCGGAACTCAGCCGTTCGCTCCAAGGCGGCGGGGCATAGCGCCGGATGCTCAATAATAATAGGATGCTTATTCGTAATCTCTGTCAATCGTCGGTCCGCAGCCACATCGGCCGCCGGGAGGCCATCAACGATCTGGGCAAACGTGGGGAGTGCAGTGTTAGTTGAAAGCACGTTGCGGGCAGCTCTTGAAAAGATCTTACGATGCTCGGATCGCTTGACGGGCTGCAGCAGCGGAGTCCATTTGCGCCTTGGAAGTCACCACGGGACGTGATCCAGCCTAGTGTGAGACGGTCCCTGAACCAGTGGCGCCAATCCCATTGGATGAGACTGAAGCGATTCATTCAACCTGCCCTTTGCGCCCGCTTTGCGCCGCACTCCTGCTGTTTAGCCGCGCGGAAAGCACATTGACCTCGCTAATGATTGGTGTTTGTCTCAAACTGCTGCACTCCCTAATAGTTCTGATACGCGCTCCTGTACGCGCCGACCTGTCCAACGCGTTCGCCTTAGCAAGCACGTTAGCGACAGCCAATTTCGAAAGACCATCAGTTCTACAACGCTGTGATCTTTACTCCCGTATAAAGCGTTCAACAAAGATAAACTTTGTTCTGTTCTGCTGTCTAATAGTACCTTTAATTATTAGGCGCTTAGGTACAGGAGCGATATCACAAAGTGGCGTATAAACGAGCCCCTGACTGTTCCGCTTTGAAACAAGCGGGTAAGAAGTCGTTGAATTGTGTGGAATGGGTTGGTCATTGTAAGTTAACAGGAGTTGGTTCCAGCCAGTGCCCAGAATTTGCCTCTAAACCCCAGGTGTTCGTTGCGCCTTCCAACAGCTTCCTCGCTTATTTCTTCAACTTCGCCCTGCTCCTTGCCCTCGTCTTATTAGGCGGTGCCAAAGGAGCGCGGCCAATACACCTTCACACACAATGGAGATTGCTCCTTACGAAGGCATCGAAGTCTTCAATGGGTGGGGCCCCGAAGCTATCAACGGCGGCCAGCATCAGAAGTTCCACCGCGCGGCTGATAGTAGCGGGGTCTTATCGCCGAAAAGCAGGCTATGCGGTCTCTCGAGGACAATTTTCTGGCTGGCCATCACTATCACAGTCTTGGCTATTATCATTATAGGGCTAGCGACTGGGTTCGGCGTAGCGTTGAGCAAGGCGCAGAACGCCAATGCCTATAACAGCAGTAAGCCTCGATGCGATCTAGAGAGCTGGGCTTGGGGACGCTAATAGCTGGTCATTTGTCAGTGCCCAGCAGCCTCGCGAGTACAACGCCCACTGTCTTCTCATCACCACCATCATCGTCCACTCACATATCACCCGCGCTAACACCACTATCGACGAGCACCGTCTCCTCGACATCGATGTCGGGGGGCATCCCGCAGCCGTCTAATATCTGCCCGGGTGCGAACAATACTATCCTGACGCCGCCAATCGGCGACGTGCGGTACCTTGTAGCTTGTGACTCGGATTTCGGCGATAGCGGGAAGCAGACGCTCGCATCGTTCGTCACAGCAACGTGGGACGACTGTCTCGACCTCTGCAACACGATGAACTACTTCCAGGACCGCGCCGACATCGGCTGCACCTGGAACGTCTTGGGAACCGGCACCCAGACGCCAGGGACGTGCTGGTGCCTCGGCGGCGCCGACAAGACGGTCGTCGCGAATCGGGGCAATGTCGCGGCCGTGCCGCAATGAGGTGGTGTCTTTGTGGAATTGATAGATAAGGGCGGGTTCCGGTTGTGCTGCGGCAGGTCAATAACAGCATCAGCACTCGAGGAGAAGCGGGAAACTGTTTGGGTCTGTCAGGAAAGCATATTGTGATGGGGTGACGGATAGTGAGGTCACGATGGGGGAGGAGAGTGGAGTGTGTTCTTAGGGACTGAATCCTCAACTCCGAGTCTAGGAATGAGCATGATTCACGACCTATACCCTGCCGGTGCATGCTATGCAACGTTTTCGATCGAGACGGATCACTGCCTAGGGGGCTTAGTCATTGGCGTTTCGAACGACCAACAACTTGAACCAAGAACAAGCGCCAGCTCCCTCTCGGCTGGCTGAGTCACCTTTTCTGTGCCATTCCCACTTTTGGATCAGTTATCCTGCACTCTGCACCTTGCATCTCACACTGTTTCCAATTACCGACAACCTCATCTTGCTGTTCATTTGATACGCATCAAAATGGCAGCCAAGCACGGACGAGATGATTTTGTTTGTTTGTTTGTTCACCTTCAGCGTCCGAGGCCGGATTCGCGAAGCGGCCCGGCCAAGCGCCTCCAGCCATGGTCCTTGCCTGCGGCTAGTCGCATTTCCTTCGTCCCAGCAGTCGCCCTTCCCCAGGGCTCACCATAGAGTTGAGGCAACGGCGAGATGATCACGCAAGGAAAGCGCAGGGCTGCACCGGTACTGCAAGGAGTTTAGGTTATATCTAGGTCCACAATGTCTGAAGGGCAGCGTCGGTTCCCGGATCTAGTAGCCCAATTCATCTATATCTTGATATAACCGCTCATGCAGTCTTAGTACATCAATACCTACAGATTCCATGGAGGTCTTTGACCCCCGAGGAGATCTCGAGCTGGTTATCGGGCCAGAAAAGACCGTCTTTCAGGTCTGCTCCCGCGCGCTCGCCCGCTCGTCGCCGGTATGGGATGTGATGCTCTACGGCTCCTTTGCCGAGGGTAAGGACCAGGGTGGCTCCGCCGATCCTGGCCTCTAGGAGGTTACCCTTCCAGAGGACTCGGTAGAGGGTCTTCGTCTTGCCCTCCACGCGGCTCACGGCAATCTGACCGAAATACCCCCCGTCCTCCCCCAGGCCACCCTCTACGCCGCCGTCACCGTGGCCGACAAGTACGACATGGTCGAATGCCTGACCCCCTGGTGGCGCGGCTGGATCGATGCACTCCCGGACCCGCGTCCTGATCCCCACGTCCTCGTCCAACGGCTCCTGATCTTCTGCCTCCTCGGAGATGAATGCCGCTATCGGATGACTCTCAAAATACTTCTCTCCTGCTCGAGGAGGGATCCAAAATCTGGAAGCATTTGGTCGGACCGCCAGGAATACGACCTGCGGCAGGACAGCGACTTGGACTATCTAGAGATATCCCGTAAGTCTGGTATCTGTTTCCAATATCTGGAGGTGATGGCCGTTACTGACGATCGACCCGATGGGAATTCAGCGCACTTGGAATCTGCACGACATACATTGTTCTCTGCGGTGGGCAAGCATATGCGGCACGCGATGGAGCGACTTATAAATCATGAGGCCAGTTGCTGCAAAAGCAAACGCAATAAGAAGTGGAAGCGCACTTGTGACTGCGCCATGCTCGGCGCTGTGCTCCGCATGGCAACGGCCATGGAAGTCGAGGCTTGGTTCGAGCGGGGGCGAGACGACGACTTCAGCGTTCACACCTCGGACTCCTTGTTCAGCCTGATCGTCCAGCTGGAGAATATGCGCCATTCTGTCATCGACGAGTCCGGAATGTCCGGGAAACAAAACGGTGCCCACCGAACCTGCACCCCATGGCCACCCTTCGAAATCATCGACATCTGGGCAGAGCACCCGGTGGAGGACCTCTTTCCCATCAACCCATCACAGTTCTTGACTCGTGCGTTGAAAGCTGAATTGCTTCCTCGGAACGCGTCTGATGAATGTATGAGACGTGGCGCGCGGGGTGGTGCCGCTGCCAGGAGCTCGGAAACCAATGCTTGAAGATCGGAACGGAGGGGCGCAGACACCAGGATCACTACGTGAGGAACACCGTTGATCGGCCTAACATGCGCTCCCAGGCTGTGATCGGCTAGCTATTGGCGGTACTGATGGCCCTAGATAAGTTGTATTGGAGCTTGACTGGAGGGTGTCTAAGTTTTAGCGTGTATAATTGTAGCGAACCAGTACGTTAGCGTCTATACTTTTCCAATACCATCCATGTACAAGCGCTGGAACATACTAGAGATATTTACTGTCGTCACAACGTAAGCTTGACTAACAGGGCTAATGATAAGAGAGGCAAATGCAAGCGCAGAACCGCCTGAGCCCACAATGTGTATATACTTTACTTGAACCGTCCTGGCGGCATCTAATATAGGGAAGTCAGAGTCAACGTTAACACCATGCCCGAGTCCCTCCCAAGCCGCCGGCAGCCGTTTCCATCGACCATTCCGCCAACCATCATCGTACAAAACACTGCTAGTGCGTATCAACGCGTCTCTCAGATGATCGACTCAACATTTACATGGCCACCCGCACAGTCCGCCGCCGCCTCATCCTCCCTGCCACCCCGCCGGCCCTGGCTTGTCCCTGGGCCTGGGCGGCCTGCTGCTGTTGTTGTCGTTGCTGCTGCTGGATAAGCTTGAGAATCTCTTCGAGGTCAGCGATAGTCGCGGCGCCGTTGTTGCCCGCAGCTGCGTTGCCATGGTCGTTGTTGGCGTTTCCGTTCCGGTTGTTGCCATTGGCTTTGCCTCGGCCGTTGCCCTTGCCGTCACCCTTGCCCTTGCCCTTGCCATTTCCCTTGCCTCTGCCCTTGCCGTTACCCTTCCCCCTGCCATTGTTGTTATTATCGGTGCCGTTGTTGCCGATGGTGCCGTTGACGATGGGCGGGGGGACGTTGGCGATGTCCGTGGCTGTTGCTACTGCCTCGTCCGCGGCCTTGGTGGCAGTAGCGGTTGCAGTGGGGGTAGCGCCGGCTCCAGCGCCTTGCCCGGCTCCCTTTCCGGCTCCCTCTCCCTTTCCAGCTCCAGCTCCGGCACCTGCACCGGCGCCGGCTCCACCTCCTAGGTTACCGAGGAGGTTGCCGAGGAGACCCTGGATCTGACCCAGGACATCGGTGTTCTGGCCTTGGCCTTGGTTCTGGCCTCCAAGGAGGTTCTGGAGCTGGTCGAGGAGGTTGTTCTGCCCCTGAGCCCCTCCAGCGACACCTTGGAGCAGGTTCTGGAGCTGAGCGAGAAGGTCCTGGTTCTGATTCTGGTTTTGGGCTCCTCCGCCAAGCAGCGGAGTCAGGAGCTGTCTTGGTTGAACCTGCGCGGTGTAGGCGCTGCCGACGAAAAGAGTGGCCACGACAGCCTGCCGCCAGGAGAAGGTTGTTGGTGCCATTGTGGGCTGTGTAGTGGAAAGATTGATATAGGAGCGGTTGAAGTACAATGAATGGAGAACCAGCTCAAAGGTCTACGCAGTAGACGGAGAGAAAAGAATAGAGGAAAAGGCGTGTGTGGAGGGAGAAGTCCAGAAGATGGTCCCAGATGGGGGAGAAGGGGAAGCAGTAGATATAAGCTTATTGCAGATTCAAATAAAGTTCATGATACCCACACCTTACCCCTGTGCACGGGGTGCCAAGTCACGGAAACACAACCGAGACATCAGATGCTTGCACAAGCTGTCGAGTTAGACCGAAGGCTAATCCAGACCATCCAGGCACCGAAAATTTGTGAGCGGACTTCCCGGATTCCTGCTCCGGCGCAGCTACGCCCAGCGTCGATCAGTCTGTTCTGAGACCCGGTGTCTGGGGTTTACCAGGTTCAATCTCTTGGAAGTTCTGGAACAGCATTGAATCTGCCGCCTCCGATCACTGCGATCAGGAGATCCCTGCGGTTGCGGGGTGGCTGCTGCGTTTCTTTTTTGCCAAGCCCCTGAACCGTTTCAAGGATGATACCTTCGTTCTGCTGCCGGTCCGGTTTCGTCTCATGAGTTAGGGCACCAATCAATGGTTGAATTGCTTACCGAGGAGAAGGCAAAGTCTAAATCGACTCAACTTTCAGCATGACTGAATCCATCATCTGATCGTTGACCATGGCATGAACGAACGTGCTGATGAATGCTTTGCGTGGGTTGGAAACTTGAGAAGGTGCCACCGCGAAAAGGGGGGGAGGATTTTCAGTAACAGGAAAACTGGATATTGGGGGTTCTGGGTTCTGGGACTTTTCCCTCCCCTACAGCGCAGTTACGGTTTACCCTGCAATGCATATCTTGGGTCTGGGGTCTGATGCCCGACCTTCCTATTACATCGATCAACTCAACCATCCTTGGCATTATCGCCGTGACCAGCCTTGTTTACGTACCTACCTTAGTTATCATTCTCCATGTTTCCCCTAATTCCGTCCGAACTGCGTTTCGAGTCATCTGCACCAGACCACTACTACTGGTACTATCCAGAATGCGCTCCATACGACAACAAGTGTGAACCTACCAGGTAACTAAACAATCACAATGTTCTCAACAGCCCCATCGTATCCACATTCACCCATGAGCCTCTCTGCATAGTAACTCGTTGGTACCCGCACGAGCAATTCGCTGGAACTCGCAGCGAACCAGTGAACGGCGACCCAAAGTTTGCGATCTCGATTCCCACCCCAAGGCGACTGCCTCCTCGCTTGTCACCGTCTCATTTTAGCATGACGATGATCCTGTACGTGGAGTGGCCTGTGCCGTTCACTTCGAAGTCGAGCATGCCGTTATACTACTCTTGCCAGTCTTTGGGCAGGATCAAGTTGGTGCGGCTGAGGGGCTGGTTGGCCTTGATGGGCGGGAGCGCGCTGGTGACACTGAGCAGACATTCGAGCAGAACAACCGGGAGGCACACCCAAGCAGTTGTTCCTCCTGAAATCAGGGGCAGGTATCATAAGCTAGGCAAGGTACTGGAAGTGTCAGTACAGCAGGAACAGGGGCAGAGGACTGGAAACAGGCTCTCCATGTACAGTACATACCTAAGGTACATAAGGACCCAAGGACCCAGACCTTCTCAGACTCTTCAAGCACGCAATACAACCTGTGTGACCCCCTATGTCCAACAGCTCCTAAGCTGCTGTCCTTGTCGACCAGCACACTTACTGATATCTGTGTTCTTCTGTTGAACTAAGACATTGTGATCTGTACGTTCACTGTTCCTTTCAAACCCTCCACATATAAGCCAATTCCCTGGCTTAACTGGGCACTTCAACCTCTCTTCTTCTACACACAACACATTTTCCCATGCCTTTGACCTGCAGACTGCACTATAGGCTATAGGTATCCCAAGTGTAATGTACACTTCAACATCAGATACTCGGCACCTGTTGGTCAGTCTTAGAGATCCTAGGCTTATTTGGGAATCTGTTTGCAAAACTTAAACTCCATTACCATACCGCTGCCCGGAATCATTCTACTGCTTCTGGCCAGCCAATCTACTATTAGGAAAATGAGCCATTCTTACTCCCCTAGCTTTTAACCCGGATCGGCGATCGACCGCGAAGCTTGGAGTAATAGCATGCCTGACCACACTCACCTCAGTAGAAGTCCACCCGTGGAAATGTTCGCTTCGCAAAGACGGATATAGCGCACCTGAACACTCTTATCCGCCTTCTCGCCAAGGAGAAGAAGTGGGAGGACCTTGCACCCTTCCTCCACAGGCTCTGGGCGAGCCACGAGGCCCAGCGTGACTGGTCCGATTTGGGCACTTCGACCCTGGCCCGCCAGTATATCCTGGCGCATCAGGCAGTAGGCGAAAGCAAAGCTTCCCGCACGGCTGAGCGCCTTGTTTACAACTGCCGCCGTGTACGCGGGCTACTTGACCCCGTCACGCTCGATATGTCGGTCTTGTTGGCCCGGTTGTACACGGACACCGCGCAGCGCTACCAGCAGCAGCAACAGAGCGGGAAGAAGGGCCGTGGAGCAGTGACGAGGGAGACGGTCAATCGCTACTACAAGAAAGCTGCCGCCATTCACGGAAACATCTTGCGCGTCTTCAGCGACCCGGCTTACGCCGCCGTGAATGGAGGCTCATTTATGGACGGCTCGGACAGACATATCCACGTCGACCTCTCTCCAGATATCGACGGGAATCTCCCTTCGCCGCTAGGTCGCGTACACAGCTACCCTCCTTATGAAAAGTACTACCCCGAGCTACAGGAAGACGTCAGCCCGCGGGTCCGGCAACATCTACACCTCCTGAAACTCGCTGTCCAACGGCTGGGTGCCTGGTCCAAGAACTACGCCGAGTACGAACAGCTCAACGACGATTTATTCCGCACCTGTGGCGCTCATCTGCAGGCCGTCGAGGGTGTTGACAAGTGGGATCTCAAGCGGTTTGGCAAAGGTAAGGCCGAGGCCGACGATGATCTATTGCATCTGGATGATATGAGCAATTGGGACATGCTCCATATAGTCTATTGAGGACCATTGACTCGCCGAGGTCTGGGCAATTTGGGAGACCTATCGACGCTTCAAGGCATGGGGTAGGTTGTGAGAAGCAGTCATGGCGGAGGATGACGGAGACTTCAAAAGTTCTGTCCCAATTATTCACCATTCCACATCACTCCTTAGGCTTCCTGAGTTGGCGGAATCCTGGCTCAGAGATTGTATATACTGTACATGTATGCTTGCGCCTCTTACTAGTAGCTGTCTCCACCAGAATGCAGGCATACTCGCTTTTTTCTTGTGTCGGAAAGGGGTTGGATATAGGAATGATGGAACACCAGCTTGCTTATTCCGTGCCTCAGCCTCCCGGTGTGAGTGACGGCTCCGGTCTACACACTAAGAAGAGTGCCCAATGAATGGACCCTGACTCGATGTCGTATGTACTTGTACGCACCTTTGATGCCTCATCCGGCTTTAGTCCAGCCTCCCAACCAGCCCCTTTTTGTGGCTGGTGGCACTCGCGGTATGCTTCTGGCACAGAAACAGTGACGATCGGTAATACGTAGGTTTGTAGCGTAACTGTGCTTTGTGTAGGGAGGCCCACTAGTGTAAGCATGTCCGAAAGGTTCCATTATTACGCTGCTATGCCTCGGCCAGTTCTCGCACTCGGACCACACAGCAACAACAACAACAACAACGAACTGTGCGGCGGTTTGAGCAAGTTTCCCGCCGCTTTCTGAGCCTCCCCGGCCTGTATGCCAAGCCCCCATGTTACCATTTTCGGCCGACCCCTTCAACCCAAACGGCCCGCGATTGGCTTGCGCCGAAGAGACCCCCCCCCCGGCTGGGTTCCCCATGGTCTGGAACATTGAAGCTTTGCATGTTTGCACGTTCCAACCCGCCAACCTGGTTGAGCATTTCGGTAAGCGTTTATGTATAGTAGAGCATGGACTTTTTTATGTAGGAATGGATTGCAGCCGAGCAGGTGGCGGCAAATGTGCTCAATTGGCGTGATTTATTAGCACGGTGAACTTTCAAGGCGGGGATCGGTTTGTTTCTTGGCGCCTCGAACACAAAAGCGGCGTGTGGGGTACGGACCGGGGAGCGCTCTGGCGAGGAAACACAGCACTGGTGACACTGATGAGGTCAGAACGGCGCAGTATGACTTGGTACATTGTACACTATACATGGGAGGCGGCGAAGGCGTCGGAGCTTTAAGTAGTCGCACTGTCCCGCCCACATTCTAATCTCTAACTAATATCCTTCTTTGCCCGTCACTGGTGAACAGCACGACATTTGCTCAACCATCTTTTCAACAGCATCGTGCTTGTTGGGTCTGTGTCCGTAGCGTCCTTTCCGCCCACACACTTGCCATCTCACGTGCCACCTGCCACAAACTGAACAGATGGTTCTCACAACCTTCCTCGTGCTCGTCGCGGCGAGCTTCGTTCAAGCCCACTTCAGCATCGAGTACCCCACATGGCGCGCCGACACGCTCAAGAACGCGAGCTACGACCAATGGCTTAACCCCTGTAAGTCGTCTCTTCCGTTTACAGCTCCCAACACCTAAGCTCCAGAACAACGCTGACACAAAAAAAAAAAAAAAAAACAGGCGGCGGCGTACCAGGCAACCTGACGACCCCCTCGCAGCGCACGCCCTGGCCCCTCACGGGCGGCAGCCTCAAGCTGGGGCTGCACCACCCGTGGACCTACGTGTTTGTCAATCTCGGGCTCGGCCCGGACGTCTCCAACTTCAACTACACGCTGACCAACCCGTTCTGGAACTCGACCGGCAACGGGACGCTGTGTGTGTCGCGGCTCGCGCTGCCCACGGACTTGCCGATCAGCGACGGGTCGCTCGCGAGCCTGCAGGTCGTCACGGTTGGCGACGACGGGAACGCGCTGTACAACTGCGCGGATATCGTGTTCCGCGCGAATGCGACGACGTTGAGCAGTAATGACTGCGTGACGAGCGAGGGCGTGTCGTTCGCGCCGGTTGCTGTCGCGGGGCAGGGCCAGACAGGAGAAAATGACACGGGGTCCGGCTCCGGCGGGGACTCGCAGGGGAATGCGGGGTCGGCGAACGGGGTGAGTGTGAGCGCGCTGACGTCGGTTGTGGCGCTGGCCATGGTGTTGGTGATTGGAATGAGCCTATGATGGTGACGCTGCCTTAGGAGGATGGACTCTTTCGTGTTGTATTTCCCACCAAAGCGTTGGGGGTTCGGGCTGGCGATGAGGTGTGTTGTATTTCCTCCTCTCCAACGAAATCAGAAACGAGGCTCCGGACCTTGCGTGGGTAGGAAGGTGTTGTTGAAGTCTGTGTATAATATCCAAATTACCTGCAGCACCGTCACCTCTCGGGTGCCTGTTCGATGAACAACTGGTTGACAATATCCTTGGTGGTCAGCCGTTCCTTGGGGTTAGGTGCCAGCATTCCGTGCACCAACCGCTCCAGCTTGTCGTGGATGTCCAGCGCGCTCCGCACGGCCGTTAGCTCGCTCAACCATCGCCGCATGCTGGTGACGGCGGGAGTCTGCAGACTCCGGTCCCTCTCGTGGACGTGCGCGATGCTCCAGTACAGGTGCCGGGGGTGGGCTCGGTGCGCTCTCACATCCGGCCATGAGATTTTGCCCGTCACATAGAGCATCACCACGCCTAACGCCCACACGTCGCTCGGGGCGCCGCGCTTCCCCAGACCGATGAACTCGGGTGGCACATACCATGGCGTGCCGCCAAACGAGGCACTCGGCTTCTCGGAGGAGAGACCGAGGTCGCAGAGGACCGCTCCGCGCTCTCGGTTGTACAGGATGTTGCCCGGTTTGATGTCGTTGTGCACAAAGCCCTTGCCGTGGAGGTAGTGCAACGCACTGGCAATGTCCTGCAGTATACGCAAGGCGTCTGACCGATCCCCGGCAAACAGGTCCGTCCCGCCAATCCGCCACTCGCCCTTGGCCGAAAGGTCTCGGCCATCGATGGGCTCCATGTATAGGGAGAGGAACCGGGCATCCCCGCCGTACAGACGCACGATGCTCTTGTGGTTTAGTCTCTCCTGGTTCTCCAGCTCGCGCAGCCACGTCTGTGCTTGCCGTATGACATTTTTGGCCACGGCGCCTTCGTTGTTGTTGTTGTTTGTTGTCGCAGGGGATAACGTCCTGAGGACCTTGACAACAACGTACCGGCCAGGCGCCTCCGAGTATTCAGCGGTGAAGACGCTCGAGAGCGCCGTTGACGCGATGGGCTCCCTCTTCGTGATGGTATAGCCAACAAGCCCTCCTCCGCGGGGGACTTCCAAGGTTTCGTCAGGCTGAAGTTCCAGGAGCGGATGGCTGGTGGACGCCGACAGCTCTTTCCCCTTTTCGCCTTTGGATGAGCTCTTTGCCGGGAGAAGCATGATGACCCTGTCCTCCTCCTTCTTGTCGCCAACCCCATCGGAGGACCGTCGCCGCTTCTCGGGGCTGGCAGCGGCGTCTTCTTCCGCAATCAACGACCTCTTCCCTGATGAATTCACCACGTCACTCGTCATGGACCGGTCGGATGCCGAGGATGATATGGTGCGCAGGCGCACTGGTCGCCTCTCAAGGAGGCGGAAGTCCAACAGATCCGTTCCGTCCATAGAAATCCGCCAAGTGCCCGGGGCAAGGGCCTTGTTGAAGTCAGGATTAACTTGGTGCTGCTCCCCGCGCCTCTCCTCGGGCTCCTCGGATATCCGGGAGAGACTGAAAGGGACATTGGAGCGGTTCACGAGGATCTGGTTGTCGCTGGCCGGGTCGTAGTAGAGGATGCACGTCAGCCTACGGTTTGGGCTGGTGTAGTCCGGGATGGTTACGGTGAAGTTGATGTCCCTGGACGTCTGGCGGACAGCAAGGACCTGGTGCGGCGCATCGTCCTCCTCCTCGGCACGGAGCGCGAGCGGCATAATGTTCCGGTCTTCCCGAACCCGTCGATCCCGGGACAACGGCCGCATGAGGATCCGAATGTCGTCGTCCAACGGGACCACGAGCTTGTCCAGCGGTATCGTGCTGCTCATAGCGCTGAACTCCTCCATGCGAGCACGCTGTAGCCTGGCCTGGATTTCACTCTGCGAAAACGGCTCCGTCTTATCCTCGGACAGCTCCGAGTACTCCCTCAGGTCTCCCATAGTGACATGTATAAGGAACAATGCTTCTGATAATGCGCAGTTTACCACCGAAAGCGTGGTGGAGCAAAACTGGGGACGGTTCTGTGACGACGTCGGGGAGCACAGCGTAGGACAACAGCTGAGCGACGGACGGGAGGCAGCCGAGAGAACAGCAGCGCCACGACTTAAAGTACTCAGGTAGTCGGGAGAATGAGGAACGGAAACGAGAGACAAGACAGGAAACGAATATGACCGAAGCAAGATGAAGCAATTCCGTTGCGCATGCGTGCTTCATCAAGGTTGAATAGCCATGGCTCTCAGGGGAATGACCATTGCAGAGTAGATCAGATGGATCCCACGAGTGTGAGCGGAGAGTGGAGGGACGCCCTGCTGATTGAGCTTCAGCCTCGCTCGGTGGGAGACAACTGAGAAGTCACATCGAAATCCTCGGAAGAAAAGCTGCGCCGGGTGCCTAGTGTAGGTAAGCAGCGGTCCACGACCCCCGCGGTGCGGTGCGCCGTAAGCGAGCAGCGCTCGAAGATCTGGGAGCACCTGAACAGTGCAGATGACATTGTGTCCTCAAAACATTCATCAGTCGACGAAAGTCCTGTTGCAGTGTGTGGGCCACCTGGCAGTATATTATAACAGCCATGGGACATCCGTCGTCAGTTCCGACCCGGAACTTCTCCATCTCACGGCCATGGATCGCCTGGCGAGCGAGCTCTCCTCTTACCAGATTCCGAGGACAGGGAGGGCGTCCGGGCTTGTCCAAACCCCTCAGCTGACGCGGGGCTAACGTTGACGAACTACCCTATAACATCACGAAAACTCAGATATGCTACGTGGGGCGCGCTAACGGCTTTCCGTGGCACCGATTGGCTTGATCCTGCCCGGCCGCGCAAATGTGGTCTGTGTTACAGTGCTGGTCGGCTTGCATTATATGGTAGGCACTGTGGCACGGATCGTATTGCCCAGGGCACGGAAGGATCAAACCAATCGGTGTCCTGAAAAACCTTAGGCGCGCCCCACGTAGCATATCCGACTTTCGCGGTGTTTTGCGGTACGGATCGTACGTGGGCCGTGATTCGATCTGCCAGCTGGTGTGGCCAAGAGAGCGCAATCATGTCGGCCGTCACCACCCGGCATATCTCTGGTAGGGTCAAGACCTCACAGCCAGCCGGGCGTCGGACGTGCTTGGCGGCTGGCAATTGATTGAACATGCAGCAGTCGGCACAAATGCGAGGCGTCGACGCCCGTCCACGCCTGGTCACCACCGTCACCCCATCTGACTGCGCACCATCAGCTGCCGCCATCACGAGAGTGGTGGGTAGGCGAGTCGAAGTGGCCGGTCGGGGTCAGCTCGGTCAAAGCCACGCCCACAACACAAGCCGCCGCCCCTGGTTTCCTTGTCGGGTCGACACAGTCGCCCTGTTTCTGGCCATTTCTCGACGCCGTTGAGCCTTTTGAAAGTGTACACAGTAATACGCAGAACGGAGAAGGCATGGATGTTGTTGAGGGTCGTTCAGAAGCCGCGAGCTGTGATGATCATACCAGATGATGACAGAATGAAATCCCTCCTCGCTCTGTGCCGCGCCAATTCCGTGAGTGGAACATGACCAAGATTGCGGTCAAAATTGCAGGCCTGCAGCCAGCGCCTTCGGCATGCCTGCAGGTTACCATTCGCGCTGATTGGACAAACGGGAGCATGGCCGGAAGGTGCCACGCATGATTGGTTAGAGCCCCACTTAGCTGATGCGAGCGGCTGCACCGGCTCCGAATCGCTGCAGGCTGAGCCAATCGTTTTGCGAACCCTTGCACCATCTGGCATGCAAGGAGTGGCTTAGCGGCTATGGATTTCCGCTTTGGGTGCCAACACCTCATCATGTCTTTCATCCCGCGCACAGGCCATCTCTCTTCTAACACTCCAGCGGTCCCCAACCGGGTCCACCACGACCGCCGGCCCTTTCTGCGACGTATTCTGGCCTCACCAACACCATCCGCCATACACAACTCGTCTTCTGGATTTGACGAGTCGGCGTCGATAATCGCAACCACCTTCAGTCTCGATCTCCCATTATCAAGATGTACTGTCCTAAGCCCCTTGCTTAGATGGCTTCCAGCACAGACGCCAGACCCCCGTGTCACAATCTCAGCGAACGCCGTTCCTCTTCGGTTCACGCTTCTGGTTCCCTCTCCCGGTTCATACCTACGCGATCCTTGTCCTCGAGTTCCTTCCCTTCTCAGCCTTCCGCCAGAGAATGGATGATTCCGCCGACCCTTGTTGGAGCTGGCCTTACTGGAAGTTCGGCTTGAAGAGGGACGACCTCTTCGGCACGCTCCACGATCAGTACAACACAGTCCCTTCTCCAATTCTCGACCCCGAGGCTTTTCACCACGATGTCTATGAGATCTCGCAGCAAGCCGGCACGACCGACGAGTTTCATCGCCTTCTGCAGGAGCGGAAGGAACAGCGCCTCCGCGAGCTGAACGAAACGCTCGAGTCTGCCGCGTTCGAGATCATCGCGAACCCCACCCTCATTGGTACTGAGCAGTGGCAGCACGCAGTGCAGCTCTTCCGGACCAGGTCTCTCGATTCCCTTCTTCGTTACTTCGCATCCTACCTACCCTCCGATCACCCGTGGTACAAGTCGACGGATTCTGCGACAACTTCCGATGCGGGCAGCAGCGTTGGCTCTCTCACAGAGTCTCATGGCTCCCTGTTTGACGACGATGAGTCCATCATGACAGAAGAGCCTTCCGAGTACCTGAGCTACCCCAAGCAGCTCCTACCTCCCTCTCCCCGGTCGATGACCATGTGCTCGGACTCTTCAGTCGCTTCACCGATCGACGAGGACGTCCATCACCACTTCGACGATTTCGGCACCGCAACACCCGCTCGTACGCTGTCGTTTTCAGAATCCGAGCCCGATTGTTGTGCCATGCCGCATTCAAACGGATGTTGTGGCTGCGAGGACATCTCGCGCTCTACGGATTCACAACCGGCTGTCGCCCCAACCTCCGGCACCTATGCTGGCGGTGTTGACCACTCGGGCTCTGCAACTACACGGGTCGAATCTCGGCCTAAGAATGCGACGCACCTTTATTTAACCTCGAGTAGCACAGACTTCGACACACCCACACCAAGGCCTGAGGCATACTCTACGTCTTTCTTCGACGACACAAAAGACACCGCACCGGCAACTCCCCACCGACGGTGCCGCAGTCTCTCGCCATCCCGTCCACAGCCGCTTTCCGAACGCGAGGTCGGGCAGCTGCTCATTGCCCACCGCGATCCCCGCAACCCACAGCGTTCGAGATGCATCCGGAAGGAAAGGGAAAGCAGTCCGGCGGTGGAGAGGACGCGGAGGAGTCCCGTGGATTCAACAAAAACAATACCCAAAAAAATACAAAAGCCACTGCCCGAGGCGACTCGGTTGAGAACCAGGAGTCGCAGAGGTTTTGTCGACAGCTAGGCATTGTGGGTGTTTATGGCGTTCAGGAGCCTACCGATACCCTCTGTAAATACGTCCCGTCCATGTACATATCTGTTTTGCTTGTTTATTATGATGGTCTTGGTGCCAACCTCATTCTCCAACGGCGTTCTCTGGTTGTGATTGCAAGTGCAACGGTTCTTTTGGCGTTATGATGATGCTGACACCGGTCTTTTTGAGGCTATTCCAACCTCGGTGGCTAACCTCTGTGACAGTTTGACCAACACGTGGCATCTTATCCCGAGTAATCGTCCTGGAAGCCTTCACATTCCTTCGCCACGATAATGATAACGTGTGCTAACACTGCAAGCAGCTACTGCTGAACCCTGAGTGCCGTGTGTAGACTCCCTGACACTGAGGGCTTGTCTACCATTCGATGCTTCCCCCATGATCGTGCTGGTATGGGAACGCTAACTTTAGGCAGGATCACATATATAGCGGCCTGACCTTCCTTGGGCTCTATTTGGTTTCGTGATAAGGCCTGGCATGGCTCCTCCACGCTGTGTGCGTACACATAAGACTCCACTCCCGGCCATGATTGCCTGATTTCACCTTGAGGATTCCGTTATCCGTGCTGCTTGCTGTCCGAGGAGCAAGATCCTAACAATCCAAGTCTCAGCACCCCTTTAGTTGCGATGGCTGTGTCAGTTATCCCTCGCTCATCCTGAGTCTTATCCCTTTTCATCACGGTGTGCCCTCTTCAGTCAACGAGAGGTCTGACTGATGCACAACTTGTCATCACCGGCTTCCACTTTGACTCACCGGTCTTACTGTCAAGGGAACTGCCGAAGGTAAGTCAAACCGTAAAATGGCCCGATCATGGATTATTACTATCCGCTCAGTTCAGCCCGAGTTCTCATTCTCCCAGTCGCGTCAATCCATGTGGTTTAGAGCTCAGCTGCGAGCGTAGGAGCTAACCGGGCTGCCCAGAGGAAGGTAGGTCTGACATGATTGACGCGCCGATTGAAGGACGACGTGCATGCCCATGTACCGTGTAATTTCGGGCGCAAATCACTGCTTTTCGAATATGTGTAGCACCACGCCTTTTGTAAGAAAGCCGGCACGTGGGGGAGAAAGGCCACCCAAAGTAAGGTAAGGTAGGTAGGGTGAACTGTCCATCGAAATGCGCAGTTCATATGATTGCCAACGATGGCGAGACTCCGAGAGGATGTGATAGCAACACAATAGACTTTGGAAGCTATTCAATATGGTTCATTTGCTGTCCGAAGATCTATCGTTGAATCCTTTCTCCCACCTCTATCTTGCCGTCCGGTCGGAGCCGGGTGTGACGGTTCCTGGAGCTCCACATGCCGGCCGGTTTCCCCTCATCCCACGTCACAGAAAGGAAACGAGGGGTTTCGGCAACGAGGATTATATAGGACGGAATTGACAACAAAAACCCTCAATCAGAACGTGTTTTGTCTTCGTGTCGATGACGGCCCTCAATCACCCCGCTTCCTCAATCTTAACCCCGAAATCCGATTCGGATAAAATGTCCAATGTCGTCACGGTTAGCACTCATTCGTCGATCGTTCGTCGAACTGGTCCACCATGTCACCATCGATCCAGCCACAAAGGTCCTCCGAGAAGTGGGATGAGGGGTGATGGTGGAAGGCGGGAGCTCGCCATTTCCGCTATAAAATCAAAATTCCCCATCAGGTCGACTGATGTCGATGCGTCATCCCGTCTCCGGCAAACTTCCAAGCATTCCGCAGACCGCATACCGAGCCCTCCACCAATCCACCATGTCTGACTACCCAATTGTTCCCACGGCCTACGAGCCGAAGGGCATGAAATTCCGCTACCTGGGCAACACGGGACTGCAGGTCTCGCTGTTCTCGCTCGGCGGCTGGCTGACCTACGGCGGCACCCAGAAGGGCGACATTGTGAAGCAGTGTCTCCAGACCGCCTGGGAGCACGGCATTGTAAGATCTTGGGCTGCAATCACATACTACAGGGACAACATCTGACCATACAAAATGACAGCAAACCTTCGACACGGCCGAGACGTACGCCAATGGCGCGTCCGAGGTTGAGATGGGCCGCGCCCTGAAGGAGCTCGGCTGGCCGCGCGACGAGTATGTCCTCACAACCAAGATCTTCTTCGGCACGGGCCGCAAGGAACCCAACACGCGCGGCCTGTCGCGCAAGCACATCGTCGAAGGCCTCAAGGCGTCGCTTGCGCGGCTGCAGACCCCCTACGTCGACGTGGTCTTTGCGCACCGGCCGGACCCGGCCACGCCCATGCTCGAGGTGGTCGAGGCCTTCACGCAGGTGATCCGCAACCTCAACCTGGCCTACTACTGGGGCACGTCCGAGTGGAGCGCCGCCCAGATCACCGAGGCGATCGGCCTCGCCGAGAAGCACAACCTGATCGCGCCCGTGGTCGAGCAGCCGCAGTACAACGCCTTCCACCGCGAGCGCTTCGAGGTCGAGTACGCGCCGCTGTTCCGCCAGCACGGCTACGGCACCACCATCTGGTCGCCGCTGGCCAGCGGCCTGCTGACGGGCAAGTACAACAACGGCATCCCCGAGGACTCGCGCCTGGCGACCAACAAGGGCTTCTTCGAGGGCACCATCAAGGAGCTGCAGAGCGAGAAGGGCCAGGCCAAGATCGAGAAGGTCCGGAAGCTGACCGCCATCGCCGAGCGGCTCGGCTACAACGCCTCGCAGCTTGCGCTGGCGTGGGCGGCGAAGAACCCGAATGTCAGCACGGTCATTCTGGGCGCCACCAAGGTGGAGCAGATCAAGGACAACATCAAGGCGCTGGAGCTGTATGACAAACTGACGCCCGAGATCATGGAGGAGATTGAGGGCGTGCTGGAGAACAAGCCGCAGGGGGTCAACACTTTCGGACGGAATCGGTAAGGAACACTCTGGGTTAGCAGGGGCTTGTACATCTTTGTACATACTTACATACAGTACCTTACGGTTTGAAAATAGACGCAGCGTGTCGAAGCTTTAAAGGTTGCGGGATGATACGGAAAGGTAGCCGATACAGATCGCGGTTTCAGAATGTGGCCTGACATTTGGACTATGAAAGTAATAAGGTGTGAGTAACGCTCAGCAGTTTCTTGATTGTCCGTTTTGAGAACACGTTGTCGACCACTTGACCTCTCCCTTGATGGTAGAAAGGAGGAACCAACGTTCAGCAGTTTCTGTAGGGTCTAGTTCAACGACACGTAGTCGACCTCGATAGCAGAAAGACGTGACTGACGAATAACAATGTGTTTATTATTATCCTCTGGTCCCATTAAACTATCTATAACTTATAGAGTCTAGTTTAAGAACGCGTAGTCCACACTGGTCCACTCCTCCACGGTCGTAATGCGTGACCAGCGCCTAGCAGCCACTTAATTACAACCCCTTCGTCCGATCAATCCGTCTCTATATACCCGTCACACACTATCTACAACCGAGGGAGCTGTGCTTATGCTATGACACGTTGGCGTGAGTCCTGGTAGCTCAAGGACTGCTGGATGTTCTCCATCCCATTTTAGATACACAAGTACTATAAAGCTCATCATCCCCACCCTGGTTTTCCTCATAGAGAACACCGCCCGCGCATGCAAATCCGACCTGCGAGTCTCCTCCGGCACTACTACCGCCAAGCGGCTCTCTAGATACGTATTTTCCACGGAACATAGGAGAAGAATCCGTACATCCCAGACCACCGTGAATCAAGCCCTCGAAATGAACCCCGTGTCAAACCCACCCGAGTCCCAGCCGACCATTCCTCGCTAACTGCAGGTGAGACCTCCTCGGTGCTCAACGTCTTCTCGCTAGCTCTTTCTTCTGGGTCACCTCAAAGGCCCACAGCTATCGTCACTACCGGGCGCGCATCAGGGCACCTGCCGCTCATATAATAACCCCGAGTCGTAGAGCCACTTCGTCTCGCACTGCCAAGCGTGGGCGGACCGAACGCAGTCCCTCCCACGACGCGAAACATGGATGACCCCGCGGCAACAACCCAATTTCGACTTTGCATCGTCCACTGGGACAATGGGTCCACCCCCTGAGAGCTGGGGTTGGCGCTTTACCCGGACGTTAGAAGCTGTGCTAAACGTCCACGAAAGGGTCAGGCTCTTTGAAAACATCAAGGACATGGAGCGCAGAGTGTCTGCCAAAGTCAAGTTTATTCGCAGAGCTCGGGTCGCCACAGGATTCAGCACCCAGGGTCGCTCCTATGAACGACCGTCTCGCTGAACCTAAGAAGAGTCTTCCCGCATAGGGTCTCTTGCTAGAGGCAGGACCCTGCGGTGGTATGATGTACGGTGCCAGTTTCTCAATCTCGCGATTACCAACGCCAGGGAGTTACTGCATCCAGGTCACCGTCTACAGTACCCCCCCGTGAGGGTGGTACTCCGTTGCCTACGTACTGATTAAATTAGACACCACAGCCTTGTTCAGCTGCGGTTAGTACATCAACATCGTGCATTTGCCTTTGACACCATAGTGAGGGACTAATCAAGGATAGGCTAGAGAATCAGGTATTCACAGACAAATTCACGAACAATCTGACATACCTTGCGTTGCCTTCGCCGCAGGATGGCTGTGGAGTTTATCAAGGGGGGCGTAGGAAAGTGATTCAGAGGTAAGACTACCTAGGAGTAGGTACTAGCAACGCTAGGTCTTGATAACGGGAGATCCAGCAGTCTTTCCCATGCATCAGCATCAAGAATTTTCCGAACCTCAACCTCGCCAAATTTGAGCGGTGAACAACCCAGTCTTTCATACCTTTCTTGGCTCAGATGCTTCATCCACCGATCTGATGAAGAGCCCTGCGAAGTTCCTAGTCTATACTAGTAGTGATTTTAGCTGCACCTTTGCTAGCGGGAGGAAATCTCGTGTGGTGTTAAGCTCTGTCTGACGGCCATCATCGACCCAGGACTCGGGCAAATCAGCACTGGATACCTATTTCGAACAAGAGCCCCCTAGTTGCCAGTTCGCCCTCAAGGAGCTCAACAAACGCATCACCGCGCTCAGTAGAGGTAGTTGATGCGCTGGTACACTCCCATGTAGGCAACTTCAAAAAGTATATGATCCAGGCGCTGAGCCACCGTTTCTCGGACAACCCAACCTCGGCGGTAAAGGCAGGCTACATCCCACGTTAGACGCACCTACCTACGCGTCACTTTGACAGCATCCCGGAAACATTAAAGCAGCGCGTCCACTGCTGTCCCCTTCTTCATGTCGGCATAGTTGGATTGTGTTAGTGTCATTGGTCTGTGGCTTCCCCACACGTTGGCTGAGGATTAGATATTGCACTCCTTTTGTCCCAGACGGCGGTGTCTGGAGATCGGCCTGTTTAACATGCGCGACTGACTCAGGGCCGATTAGAAGGACTCAAGCCTTGGTTCATCCCAACTCATATGCGTAATCACAAGCTATCTATGTACAGGCTATATTCCACCAAGAGGACAAGTAAAATGCTCCCATGGCATGGTTGAGTACAAGTATGCGCCCTCCGGCTGAGATCAGAACCTGCGCTCATGCCACTACTCGGGATCACACCCTCTTTCTGGCTGACTGCAAATATCAATCACACCCTCTGCTAACTGGAAGCCACATTGAGGTCAATTTGTAAGCATAGCTGAAGTCTGCTGAACGCATTCCGATATCTCGTCGTACTGATGTGGAATCCGAGCACCGTGCCCCTCCATTCTCCGCCCCGAGTTCGGCTATAACAGAAGACGATCAGACAGCCGATTGGCTATAGCCCCGGCACCTCGTCTGAACTACCTTATCTGTACTTACTCCGTACTGTACCACACTGGATCCGCAGCATCCTCTCTAGGTCCACTGCGACGTCAAAAGAAGGGCGGGCGGGGTCGATGGGACTTGATCGGTTCATCCCATGATTCCCAATCCCAGCCATATTTCCATATATCTCGGGCTCCAGTCCCCTTTTTGTTGCCCACTTCGCCGACGACACCTCATTAGCTTTGCTGAGAGATCACCACAGAACACCGTCGTCTAGGTACGAAAGCCGATACTCAACATGGCCTCTGAACAGATTGTCTTCTTCGACCTGCGGAGCAAGGAGCCCAACAGCTGCTGGTCGCTCAATCCTTGGAAGAGTGGGTTGTTTCCTCTCATGTTCGGCATGGGCCGTCAATGATACAGAATTTTTTTCTGACTTTGAAAACGATACTCAGCGCGTCTGCTGCTGAACTACAAGGGCTTGGACTACCGAACGGAATGGGTGAGTTATCTTGTTTTAGCTCTTCACCGTCCAGACTTTCTATTTCATCCAAAACGCAGTAGACTAACGAAAAACCTTCACAGCTTGAATACCCCGAGCTGAAGGGCCGTTTCGAGAAGCAGTATGTGTCCGGGGCAACTCCTCTTTCCGTCCCCCTTCCCTTCCCATGATGTTTACTGACCCGTAATAAACTACCAGCGTCCCCGCGCAGGAAGGTTCCATGCCCTACACCATCCCGACCATCCTCCTCCCTTCGTCGGGGGAGTACGTCATGGACTCGAAGAAGATCGCGCAGCGGCTCGAGTCGCTGCACCCGAGCCCGCCGCTGCACCTGGACGCACCCGTGCTCGCCAAGCTGGAGGAGATCCTGTCGCAGCGCTTCTTCCCGCCCCTGCGGCCGATCCTGCTGGACCGCGTGCCCAAGCGCATCCTCAGCGACGCGAGCATCCCCTACTGGGTGCGCACGCGGTCCGCGATGGTGGGCAAGCCGCTGGACGAGTTCTGCGCCGAGCACACGCACGAAGAGTGTTTTGCGAAAGCGGAGCCGGCCATCAGGGAGGTTACCGCGCTGCTGGTGGAGAATGAGGCGGGGCCTTTCTTCCTCGGGGAGGAGGTTAGCTATGTGGATTTTGTGTGGGCGGGGAATTTGTATTTCTGGCAGCGGAATGGTGAGGATGTGTTTGAGGAGTTGTTGCGGCGGAGCGGTAATGCCGAGGCGCACCGCAAGTTGTTAGAGGGCGTGGCGCCGTGGGCGAAGAGGGATGCTGAGTGAAGGGGGGGTGTCATTCTCATTCTCATTGTTGTAACTGAACTGAATCCAGGGGACTTGATACAAATGAACGAATGAAGCGAGGACGTCTGTCTGTGATAATCCATTTTGTTTCGAATTCCTCCTATCAGAGTCAGAGACAACTGAGAGTACTGTCAAAGCAACAACCCCTGCCTAAACGACCGCCACCAACCCGCCTTCTGCGGAGCCTCATACCCGTCGGGTACCACCGTGTCCTCGCTGCTGCTGCTGCTGCTACTGCTGCTGATCCCTCCTTGTTGTCTCAGACCATCATTCCACACATCGTCGACGTCAACACCGTCCCATGGCGAGTAGATGCTACTAGCGGCACTCACGCTCCGCGCATCGTAGTCCCGCAGGTTTGTGCCGGGGCCCAGCATCCCGTCGATCACGCCCCACAGCTCCCTCAGCGCGGCTTGCTCTTGCTGTTGTGCTTGCTGCTGCTCGTAATAGCCGCACTCGTCGACCACCCCGAGCCGAGATCCTCCGTCTTCCGGCCCGCGCACAAGGGAGGGTGTGTTGTGTCGCCGTCCCATGTCGAGCGTCCCGTCAGACTCTGGAGTGTCCTGCTGTCCTTCGGGATAGGGGTTGTTGTCGGCCACGGGTGTGTCCTCCAGGTCCCACAGAGCCCATCGTGGGAGGCTCACCCGTCTTGGCTGGGGTGCTCGTGGAGGCGAGGGAGGAGGAGAACGGGCGCGTGCCGGACCGGCCGAGTACGGCGGCGGCTGGGACGGTGAGCGTGATCGGGCCCGCCTTGGGTAAGGGCCTGTGGCGTGGGTGTGGCGGCGGTAGCTCCGGCTCCTCCTAGTGACGGTCCGTTTCGATCTGCGTAGGCTAGGGTCTGGGCGCGGCGCCGGGTCTCGCGAGTCGGCGGGGAGTTCGGCGCACTGGGTGGCTGGATGGGGCCGGATAGGCGTCGGGGGAAGCAGGCACGGGTTGTAGAACTTGAAGAGGTCGATGTCGTCGATAAAGTCGTGCTCGAGCGGCCCGACCCGTGGCTCCGGCCGTGGACTGTCGCATGGGCTTCTATGCACTAGCCTAAACCGGGATACGGGTACGGGCATCTCCCTCAGCCGTTGCTCACTTCCCTGGTAGCTCCCCAGAAGTACGGGCGCCGGAGAGCGCCTATTTGGGATGACAAGTGGAGGTAACGATACGGGTCGCATTCTGAACGCTGGATGGGATTGCCGGAGCCGTAGCGAGCCCGCCTGCGACGAGATTCTGGTAGGTCGGAGAGGGCGAGAAAGGGCCTATTTGGACCCCATGGAGAGCATGATGGACTAAAAGACGGCATGGCAACTTTGACTTCCCTCTTCTATTTTGGACAGTTGACGGGCAGTCGCCGAGAAGCCCTGAGATAGGGCGCGGGATGATTCGTGAGGAAGATCTTCAGGGGCTTATGTTGACTTTGGAGTAAGCATCGCAATCGTCCCAGCAAAAGATGGCAGTTATCTCCGCCAACAACCCCATTCTCCTGGGCCCAACACTCCCAGCAGCAGACATGCTCTCCCCTGGCTTACTCCCTGGCACCATTCCCATGTTCTCTTCTCCCAGCTTTTCCCACATAACGCCAGCGCCATCGGGGACCTGGGATGCAGGGATTGACGCCACAATTATCCGTCAAGCATCGTTAGTGGCAGCGGGTCGCGTGGACAAAAACAGACAATAATAGATTCGGAGCCGAATGAAGCCGATCTTAGCCACACTAACGGGGACTCCAACCCCTGGTCCCTTGTTTAGCCCTAACCCGCATGTTGGCCAGATCATCTGACATTGACAGATATGAGAGGTTTTGCTGGAAAGGATCGATGGGAAACAAAATGGTAATGGTGTTGTTGTCGAATATGCATTGAGAGACATTGTGGTTTGGTCTTTACTCTGCCGGGACCGCCAAAGTGCAGCTCAACGTTGAGTAGAGCTTGAAGCCGTGAGAGTGGGGATGCTTACTCGATGGAGGACAGGGAGTCAGGGACGGTATCCGTAGGCATGTTGCTATTTGCAGCTCAAGACCACAAGTGCAGATCATGCTAGGTTCTTTGCGAGCCGTCTCATGCGTTCGTCCCGTCTTCCCGTTCGGGCCCGAATCAAACTGCACTATCGCGGGATCGCCCGACCTGACACCCCTGGGACAAAGGACATTGCGTCTCAAGAGTGCACAACTCCTGCAGATGCGCCCGAGCAGTTTCAAATAAAAAGACCTGCTTCTTCTGGAGACTCTGGGTATAACACCACCGACAGCGGTTGGGTGCCTGGTGGTAAGTGAAGCCGTGAAAGACAGAACGACGATAGAAAACAGAAAATGCAGTCGCTTATGATTCCACCCGACCCATATTCCATACTCCCCCAACGCCCGCCTCGAGTGCATGACAACTCCCAATCCCATGACTCCAAAGCCACTCAGCCCGAACCTGACTCCAGGCGTGTGCCAACCTTCCCTGACTTGGTTACCACCAAATATCGCCCCTTTGCATCCTCCCCGCAGCAGCCACCGTAAGCGGCATCTGCACGGGCATCCGCCCACCACCACCACCATTGCCATTCACGCCATTCCCCCATACGGGGCTGCCGTCCTTGCTTCTCTCCCTGCCAGCAGTGGGCGGCGTCGACACCCTCCGTATTAGCTCCTCCAGCCGCTTCAGGAGGTGCGCCCTGTTCCACAACCGGCGCACATGCAGCTGCTTGGCATCGTCATGGTGTTGCTGATGATAATGACGATGGTGGTGGTGGTGGTGGTCCCCTGGTGCGGTTGTGGGTGGAACCTGCTCAAACAGCACCATCGACTCGGCCCAGTGCGCGGCGTAATCCTCGTCTGCGTCCATGAAGGTGAAGGTCACGCTGTCCTCGTCGTCCGGGAGGCGGCAGGTTATGAACCTTGACGATGTCAATCGCTCTGTGATTTGTGGAGGGATTAGGAGAAGGGGGTTAAAAAGGGCTTACCAGGTGATGAAATCTGGTAGGGATAAGCTGACTTCCTTGGTCGTGATGTGAAGCTGTGGCGCCCGCTCATAGCCCGGGATGGCTTGGTAATGCGGGGGCCGCAGGTCCTGCGCACGAAGGTAGGCGGCGTAGGCTGCGGCCACTGCCCGATCGGAAAAGACCAGCCGGAGGCGGTTATCTGTGACGAAGACGTCGACGGCGACGAGGTTGGGCATGTTGGAGCTGGTGATTGTGGGTTCGTTACTTTGTAACCCAACCTGGATTCAGGTTGTGGGGTGTAGATGGTGAAGGTCGGAGATGGCGGTGAGCGGTGCTCTCCGACTCGGCTTGCTGTTTGAAGCTCTTAACGCTTGTTGCTCCAGGTGTCGACAGTGAATCTGCTCATAAAAGCCAACGCTCCTTTCGCCAGCTTAGCCCTTGGGTGTCTGCTTTAGTAGGGGCATCGGACAATATCGCACTTGACGCCGCAATCGAGTCATCGTAACCCGCTTTCTGCTGCATCGTCGGCGTTGTCAGTCCAGTTCCAAGCGGTTGCTCTGGCGCGGTCGAACCAATCACACGGCTCCAGTTGTTCGAGTCGCTTTATCTGCAGATGGATTCCCACTTCGTGGCTCGCATGCAGCCAGTAAACGGAACTCCAACTCAACCAATGCCCTGATATTGTGGGCCAGTTCGCTGCCAGCAACGCAGATTATCGACCACAGATGAGCAGTATCCACCGTCCCTGAAACAGGACAATATCTGTTGTCAGTCTCGGGAGTGCCATTCAGGTACAAATGGCCGGGCTTTCCCGCATTTCCCGCCCTCGTACCGACGGTCAGGCTGAAAGCTCAAGATCAGCTTGCGCCTAGATGACTCGATGCAACAGCGACCATGATAACCGAGTAGTAGACTCTGCTGGTCAATCCATCGAAAGAAAGTGAGGGACAGAGACATCAGTCGGATCCTGCATAGAAGCCCGGTTTCGGTCAGTCAAATTTTTCAAGCAGCAAGAGCACTGCTGCGGAATGCGGCGGAAGCGCCGTCAAAACCTGCGTCGGCACCCAACTGCGCTTCTATGCTGCCCAACGTATGTGTCTTCAGTTCACAAAAGAGGTTTTCTAGGAGTAAAGGGAGTGATTCCGGGCAGCAGGTAGGTAGGTGGTCATTCAAGATCTTTCCGGGGACTTTGTTAGGGCGGCGGCCCTGGAACCGCCTGGCCAGTACCAGCGCCGCTTGCCCCGTGGTTTTCTCGGGGATCCACCGCCGCTCGGGGACGGAAAGACGGAGCGGTGCCAGAAGCTGGATGCCGACTACCCTTGCCTACGGGCCATTGCGGGGAGTTGGTCGGCAAACCAAGGTGAGGTACCAGTCAAGCAAACGCTGAGCGCGGCCATTTTTGTCAGCCGATAATGAGCAAAAAGCCCTTGCACGTGTCTGCAGTAGAAGCACGATCGATAAAATGCGGGAATGGTGGGCGCGTTGTGCGATTTGGGAGACCGGAAAACTGTGACGGGGAGGCGGGGCAACCGAAAGAGCTGATCTGCGACTCGTTTTATGTAGAATCTAATATTGTTGGGATGCACATTGTGATGATGTAGCTTATCGCACTAGACCGGCGCATTGTGTGCCTTCCTTACGGATTCCTGGACGGTTCTTCACTCACACTTGAATGTTCTTAATCAGAGGGGTCGAGCTCGAAGGAGAGGATAATTTTAGCACAAGGGTTCGTACCAACTGCAGAGAGCAGGTGGGGCTACGATAAGCGAGGGCGGGGCGACCATCAAGGTTCTTCGGTATGATGTCCTTGGCGGTAAATCCTCAGAACTGGCTGTTGTCGTGACCTGATGGAGGGATTTCAATGGAAGGTAGGGAAGATTTGCACCATTCGGACTTGGAAACCTAAGGTGTCTTTACATTGGCATGGTACGAAACCGGATAGCACCGAACCTTCAGGTCGGTTGTCGAAGACGTTTTCAAGCAATCTGCTCGCATCGATTATGTGCAATGAATCTTATGTACAGTACCAGTACAACATTTTGAAGAATAATAGGTGCTTTTACTCAGGTCTTTCATCGTCCCTCGTTTCTCATCGGTCGACCTTGGCGAAGAACCTGAACTAAGCTGGGTGTTCTTAAGAGGCTGAAAATGCAAGGCCGATACCCGTTTAAAGAGCTATGGCGGCGGCAGCAGCAGCCAGACCGGCAATAGCCAGGCCTGTAGCTGCATGATGAGGAGCCCCTGCGGTGCTCGGGGAGGTTGAAGCGCCGTCAGCAGTCTGGCTGGTGGACGCGGTTGTTGTCACAAGGGTGGTTGATACGGAACCGGATGCAGTCACAGCGCCCTCGCAGTGCCAGTGGTCCCCGTGAGGTTCACAGCCATAGGACTCGGTCGGGCTGGGCGCTAGACTGGCGGTGCCGGACTCATCATGGTGCTCGTCGTGATCATGGTCGTCATCACCATGGGCAGCCGACGTGGTGACGGTGGCAGTAGCCGTGGTAGTAACAGCGGCAGCGGTAGTGGTGACTGTGCCGTCTGCTGCAGAGGTCTCGCGGGGACCCTCGCAATGCCTAACACATACGTTCAGTACAACGGAATAACTGGAACTGCTACGTCCTGTAATGCAATACTTACCAGTGGTCACCGTGAGGCTCACAGCCGACAGATTCTGTGGGAGATGGCGCGATCGTCTGTGCCAGGGCGGTGGAAACAAGTCCCAAGAGGACTGCGGCGCACGAGACTGCCCTCATTTTGGTCTGTTTTGGGGTCTCGCTGACGGGTGCTGCGGTGAAACGACTGGAGAGGGCGAGTGGTTCATGGTCGATGTATGAAATCGTCCCGGCATGATATATGCCGACTGAGGGAGGGCAACGCCATGTGCCGACCTCCAGCTGCCAAGAATCCAGGATTGAAGTCCCTCATGCGCACCGACTGCAGGGAAATGGCGTCCATCAAGGTCTCCAATATCCCGATCGCCGAGAGTCCAGAGGCTCAGTTAGGCAGGTCGCACCCGCAAATGCGGTCATTCCGGGCGGGCTCGCATTGTCAATAGCGTGGGATGCCGACGCCAGTTCGGTCAGCTTCCCTTGATGGTAGGTAGGTCGAACGAGGCGTGGAATGCTGTTGGTAGGAGCCAAGCTTCCTCTGCCTTGGTGGGAACGAGAAAGTGGGAGTCTTGGCCATATATGCCAAGCAGTGCAGCCGTCAAGGTTCTCAGCCCCATGGCCATCAAGGTGCGCAACTCCCGTCAGCCAATGAGGTATTATGCATTTATTTTCTTACACACCAACAAACAAATCCCATCCGAACTTGTTTCTGTTTTGGCCGGTGACCACGCGTAATTATTCCCACGTTGGTACAGATGATCTGATGTCCGATGTTTACTTTCGCCCCCGGTTTCCACTAGAAATTTCATGACTATCCTGTTTCTTCCCCCACGCTCGACTAACAAGTAACAACTAACAACCACATCCACCGAGTCTACCCCCACGCAAACCTCTTCGCGCCTTGCTCGCTTCACCAAGACCCTAGCAGCAGACTTTTCGGTTCGACACCTTGACGGCTCGGAAAGTGTTCGGGAAGCTGTGCTTCGCCAAGTCGACTCACCTGCCCACCGTCTTGGCGCGCCGTGCAACCGAGGTGCATCAGGCGTCCCAGACAGAAATAAACAACGCTCGCCGCCCGGCGGTCTCGACGAGCACGACGATCTTCGCTTTATAGTGGATCCTTGACTTGCGTGGCGTTCCCGTTCCGCGCCGGCCCGGTTCTTGAAAGTTGAATCCCGACACGGCAGGCTTGCGGACCACCGTCTGCGCACAACATGTTCCGATTCCCGCCAACCATCCGGGCGTCCGCCCTGTACGGGCTGCTAGCTGCTTCGTGTGGCGCCAGTGCGCAAACCGTCACCCCAGCTCCAACACAGACTGGCGCGGCAGCGTCAAGCCCGTCGAGTGTCACTGCCGTGTCCAAATGCCACACGCACGGCTCAGCACTGTAAGTGATAACCAGCTGCCCCATGAGGATCTACGTCGTTCGATCAATCAATACTAACAATGGTCAAGGTATTGTATGGCTGGCACAGCCGAGTACCATGTCGACACCATAATTACAGCGACACAAGACATTCCCCCCGCCATCACAGGGTGTCACTCCCACGGGGCAGATACGTACGGATTCCTAGATTGCGTTCCAGGTTGTTTCTTCGCAATGAGATGCTGACCTTAGTTCAGATACTGTATCCTGCCCAATGGAGACGAAGTAGAAATCCACGCAGAGGGTACCGAGCCGTCAGATGGGTCCACACACGACGGGGAGGACACACCCAGTACCGGCGAGCAGCATTGCCACTTCCACGCCGGTGTTGAGTAAGCTTTTGTGCCACACGTTGACTTGAATTACACGACCCTAACCTGGTATTACAGACATTGTGTCGGCGCCGGTGCGAGCGAAGACGACGAGCCACGCTGTGAGCGAGTCCAGCGAGACTACAACATACCTCTTCGGATTGGCCTGCTGTTCGTCATCCTTGTGACGAGCGCTATCGGCGTTTTCGGACCTATTCTCGTTGCTTCATGGGTCTCCCCAAAGCACATTGCCTTCAGCATCCTCCGGCAATTCGGCACAGGTGTCGTCATCTCTACCGCCTTTGTACATGTGAGTGTCTCGCCCTCAATGTCGGGTCCCGGGTGCATTACCAAATGGCTGACATGTTATGCAATAGCTCCTGACGCATGCACAACTGATGTTCGAAAATCGGTGCCTGGGCGAGCTCGCCTATGAGGCTACAGCCACATCGATTTTGATGGCGGGACTTTTCTTGTCCTTCCTCGTGGAGTACGCAGGGAACCGGCTCATTCAGTGGCATGAGGCCAAGGCCCGCTCCGTCAATGTTGAGGCAGCTGCGCAAGTGGCCGCTCCTAAGGCGGACATGGTCAACATCACCGTCCTCGAAGCCGGCATTATCTTTCACTCCCTCCGTAAGCCAACTTCTTCACCATCACCCAGTTCCACATCACAATTAAGGTACTAACTCAAGCTAGTAATCGGCCTTACCCTCGTCGTAGCAGGCGACGCCTTCTTCCTGACCCTGTTTGCGGTCATAGTCTTCCACCAGATGTTCGAGGGCATCGCGCTCGGCACGCGCATCGCCGCGCTCGGCCGGCCCAGCCTTCTTACTTCCGCGTCAGCCCATGGCGGCCACCATCACCACGGCCATGCCCACGCCTACCACCCGCCGCAGGACCCCAATCCACCGCCGGTCAGCGAATCGCAGGCCAAGGTTCCGTCCACAGACGACGCGCCGAGCTATTCCTCCAACGACGCTGTCGCCCCCATTCCGGGACTGATGCGCAAGAAGATGCTCCTGGCGGGCGCCTTCGCGCTGGTCACGCCGGTGGGAATGGCCATCGGTATCGGCGTGCTGCACCAGTTCAACGGCAACGATCCGTCGACTGTCATCGCGATCGGCACGCTGGACGCCTTCTCGGCCGGCATCCTGGTGTGGGTGGGCGTGGTGGAGATGTGGGCGCACGATTGGATGCTGGGCGGAGAGATGACGCGGGCGAGCCCGGTTCGGACGGTGCTGGGTCTGGTGGCGCTGGTGGCGGGCATGGCGCTGATGAGTCTGTTGGGGAAGTGGGCTTGATCTTGTCTCCTCTGAAGGGTTTTGGTCAGTCATATCTGGGTCTGTCTGGTATACCCGGTTTGGTTTCGGATTGGAAAAGGAAGGGCTGGATTTAGATGGGCTTCCAGTGTTTTATTTAGTTGGGATTTTGGATTCTCTGGCATTGGGCTTAGTACCTACGGTAGTCAATGGACAAAGCTGTACATGATATCCGACAGACTTTCTATGTATTACCAGCTACCCCGTCTGGCTGTTCTTCACACGCGTGGAGCCATATAGAGTTGCAACTCCCTTCAGGTGCAGTGGCCTAAAGGAGAGGGAGACTTGATTCAGGTCAGCACGAGTCTCATGGACAAACCAAAGACCCCAACGTGTCATGACAACGAAGAATACTAGTAAACGAATGGTGTATGACTCGAGTTCTCATAAGTCAACGCAAAAGGGAATCGCTAAAACGCTCTCTCAGGCACAGAGGCTGCAAACTCTGCCAGGATCTTCCGCTCCAGAGTCCCGCTCTTTGCGAGCTGCTTTCATTTTCCGACGATTCTTCAGTGCTTCCCTTGCCCAGGGAGGTGCCGACTCCAGGTGGCTTCCCATTTCTTTGCTCCCTCGGAGGTAGTTATTTTCATGTTGCACGGCTTCCGATTTTGGGAGGCCCATGGACCTTTTGGAGCGGGATGCTGTAGCCTGTGGGTGGCGAACAGTAATTGTGGCGGTGCCGATGGCTGCGCGGCGGGTTCCGAGGTCCTGGACTTTGACGTCATAACTCTTGGGGGGGCGAATGGGTGGAAGGGTCACGCGCGATGGCTTCATCTCGACACCGTGGCGTTAGGCAAAGCACAGGCACCACATTGATATGGGATAATCTCTATATTCTCGATATATTACTATCGATGCATCTACCTATCCCTAATCCTTCCCCTGCCTAGTCCGGCTCCGCCTCAGCCGTCTCTGGCAACTCGCGAGCCACGTCCAGCATCATGCGATACGTTCGTAATCTCGCCGTGGGCTCTTTGTACCGCCAGGACTCTGGGCTGAGAAGCTGGATTTCGGCTTCCACATCCTCGATGTCCCTCTTAACCGTGTTGACGACTTTGTTAAGTTTATCGGTTGCACTTTGATCAAGTTCGTCGGTCAAACCTTCCTTAAGTTCGTCCATCAAACCTAGCTCCGGTTCCGGGGAGGGGGAGCGCCGGGGGTTCTCATATATAGGCTCCATGTCCTGGTCTTCTTCAGGTTCGATGTCCATAAATCCTTGCTTCATATAAGATTTGTTTTGTATGAATGCTCTGTATTTAGCGTCATAGTCGTCTCGTCGTCCGGGATCCGTCAGGGTCGAGGAGGCTTCTTGTAGCTGTAATGATGCGTGTTAGTTCTCGAGAAAATGGTCCATATAAAACCTTACGCTGCCAACATGTCGCTCACGAGTTGAAATTGTGACGTTGCATGGGGATCCCCCTGATTCTTGTCCGGGTGGATCGACTTGGCGAGGCGTTTGTAGCTCGACCTGATCGCGGCGTCGTCTGCTGTCGGTTCCACGGCGAGGATTTTGTGATAGTCGTGGAAGGCGTCCGGGCTGGCCATGGTATTTGATACGAACTGATAAAAAAAGCGTAGTGTGGATGGAAGGCGACACTCTGGCGACGAGGAAGGATGAAGGAGGTTGGGGGGATGGAAGGCAGCTGCGAGGGGCCACCCCCAGTATGGTTAAAAAGCGTTCTGCAGGCCTGGCCCGAACTCCCGCTACATGCTCATTGTTTTTGTTTACTTCACTTCACTGCGTACCTCTCCGCGTTGTCCTTCATGACCAAGACACATGGATTACCCCTGGCTGGGGCCAGGAGGTGTGGCCGAAGCGCCTAGTGGCGGATCTCTACAACCAACGGCTCTACTCGATTCCTATGCACTTTGCTACGTCATGACGATTCGCTTCGCACCCATTGTGGCCTGCGGTTCGAAGACTCTCAGCAGGGTAAGTGGGGCACAGTTCCATGGTACCCCGTAAGGGGGGGTGGTTGAACTCAGGGGGTCACACAGGTTGTATTGCTTGCTCGTTGAGGAGTCGGAGACTCTGAGGACCTTGATCTGTACCTGGAGAGCCTGTTTCCTAGTCTTCTGCCCCTGTTCCTGCTGTACCGGTACTTCCAGTACCTGTCTAGCTTGTACCTACCTACCTAGGTAGTCTCTGCCCCTGATTTCAGCAGGGCGGGGCGGGAGGACGCGCATGCCAGTCATTCAATACCTGGAAAGGTACCTAACGTATCCATCGGTACTCTCACCGTAAGTCTCTCCTGTAGCCCGTTACATGGCGATGTTCATCCTTCAATCTGAGAAACAGCTCACCTAACAGTAGACGGCAAAACAATACAGGCGATTAACTCAAATTGACGGGTATCTATCCTCTACATAACGCATCCATCATCCAAGCCGCTTTCAATCATGCTACCTCTATACGCACAACCAGTATGCAGAATGCGCTTCTAAATCAAAAAAGAAAACACCGCCCAATGCTGTATGTCCATCTGAACTTAAAGTTAGAGGCCGGGTCCCCAGGTACTCCCCGCCCGGCCGCCATTGGCCTCGACCTCATACCGCCCCAAGCTTTCCTGCCACGTCTGCCAGTCAAAGCCCTCATCCATGTTCATGTCCATATCCTCGCCACCCGTGCTCGGGATACGCAAGAGATCGGGCGAGCCATTCGTCGTAGGCCACAGCCACGGTGGCAGGTTATTATCGTCATTCATCGGCACGGTCTGTACACCCATCCCTCCTGACTGTGGTGTTTGTTGCTGGGTTTGTTGAGATTGTTGTTGTCGTTGTTGCGACACGTGGCTTGGCAGGGCGCTTGGTAGGCTGATGGAAGTTGGGGTCCTGCCTATTTGTTGGATGCCAGGGGTGGGAGCGCTTGGATCGAAGCCGAATGAGGCGCTGGTATCTGCCCGTGCGAGGTCGCCGGTCGGATAGGGGAAGAATGCGGCACGGATGTCGTCAGACCCGGGGTACAACAGGGGCCCAAGATCGGTAAGGACAAAAGGCGTCGAGTCCGACATGGCTGCGTCGAGGAATTCCATTACTTCGGGTTTGGCAAAGTCCGTGTTGCTGCTTGGCTGCAACGGGGTCATCGTGCTATTCGGCTGGAGGGGGGTTGGACTTTCCTGTGGGCCCCGGTGTGCAGGATGTTGACATAGTTGCGCTTGTTGCGATTGTTGCGCTTGTTGCGCTTGTTGCTGCTGGTGGGGCTGTTGGTGGGGCTGTGTCGGTTCTTGCGGCGGGGTACGGATAGGCAGGTTCACCAGTTTGCGCCAGCGATCCAACGCAATGGCACCCTTCAGGGAGCTGGGAATGGCGCCAAAGCTCCTCGGAGGCGTGCATGCTTGCTCTTGCAGGTCGAGCTCCCTCGCAGCCTGCGGATCTGCCTGGAGACGAGCAAGCTCGGCCTCGCGATGCTTCTTTACCTTGAAGTACAGCTTCCTCAGCGGCATCCACACCGCGTGATGGCTAGCGAGCTTCTCGAGCTCTGCGGGGTTCGGCGACTGGAACGTCAGGTTGAGCGCCGTCCAGGCCCGCTCAGACTTGGGGCCCCATGGGTGGTGCGAGACTTCAATCAGCGTGTAAGCGAGCGCATGCCAGTGGCTCCAAGTCTGAAACAGCCAGCGCCACTGTTTGCACCGCGGATCGGTATTCAAGAGGTGGCTGTACTCGAAGATGTCGACGGCGGCGTTGAGCAGACGGGCGCGCGCGTCTTCGGAAAGGACATCGTTGCCCGGCCCTGGGAACAAGACGGGCTGGTAGATGATCAGCGTCATCTTGGCAACGACGATCTTGGTGACATTAGATGCCACCCAGTACAAGGGGTTGGAGCTGTCCCTGCCCTTCAGCAGCCGATTCTCGACGCGGTTGTAGACCTCGGTGAGCAATGCTTCGCGCTCCTCGAGAGACTTGCAGGCGTCGGGATATGCCGACGGAGCGATGCCGGACGGGACGGCATGCATGCGCCGCGATAAAGCACATATCTCGTAGCGGATGAGCGAGAAAGCCATGTCGGTGGTGCCTTCTCTTGGCTCGGGGAGACGTAGGCTGTCCGGGGAGATATCGGCATCGTTGATGTTGAGCGGAATCTGTGTGTCGAACGTCCGGTCGATGATGGTGAGGTCGGTGCCCTGGTCTTCGGCAGATCTCAGGTCCAGGACGCACACGGCCCAAAACAGCCGGCGGCGCATTTCGACTTGGAAGGGGGTAAGGTTGGGAAAGTGTGACCCGTCCCGGTGCAGGCCCAACGCCTGGCTGAGGCGGATGAGGAGACCCGTCAAAGTCCAAGCAAATCTGGTGTCGTCATGACGGCGGACGAGAATGAGGAAGAGCAGGAAGGCCTGGACCACTGTAAAGTCGGGTTTGATGAGAAACTCGGCTTTGGCAAGTGCTTGCTCGAGAGCGAAGCGGTACTTCTGGAGTAGCACGTTCTTCTCCGTGCGGAAGTTCAGTTTAACCTGGGCGGGCATTGTCAGCTGCGTACATGGCCGAGATTGGGACGAATGTTGCATACTTCGTCTTCGTCAAGCGATGTGATGGAGGCATAGTAAATGGAGAACATCAGCGCCTCCATCGACGGGGTGAGGCTGTCTAGGTTGTGGCGCAGCTCCTTGATGATCTTGCTCATGCTCGGGACGTGAATGACCTTCAGGATTGGGTCTACGTTCTCCTGGTAGACCTGCCAGATGAAGGGGATCTGAGATGGTAAGGGGTGGAGGGGTCTGAGATCGACGTCGGCGGAGCGGTATCCGAAGACGAAGGAATGGTGGTCCATCAAGCTCTTGTCGTGTTCGGAAGATTCAGGAGTCGCGTCCGGATCAGATTCCTCCGAACCCTCATCGGTAAGGCTTTGCGACGCCTTCCGCAGTTCCTCGAGCTATTTAATATCGAAGGCGCACGTCAGCATCCTGCCCTCCAAATGCCCTATGGGTGGAGAGAACGACGTACCTCGTCATTGATCGATGTCCACAGCGAGCTGCTGACGTATCGGGTACCGCCCTTCTCGTTCAATACCAGCCGTCCGAATTGTCTATGCACATCCGGCGACGCTTGCCCCCGCAGGTCGGGCTCAGACATGGACTCGGACGTCGGCCGGGCCGGTAGCCTTGTTGGTCCCATGCCGGGTCCGACGCCTGGAGAGTCATGGTTGGTGGTGCCACTACCGCTACCGACACTAACAACATGAGATCCAAACCCAGCACGCGCCCCGATGGTATGTTCGTCCCTGAGACTTGTCGTCGGCGTCTCCGGCGAGTTTCCGGCGCTTAGAGGATGGCGCACGGATTCAATCTCGATCTGACCGCTAAGTTCCTCGACGATACCCTCCAGTTTCCGCAGGCGTTTCATCAGCTCTAGTTCGCGCTCGCTCGACGGCTGTTTGGCCGGCGCATTGGGATCCTTGGGCCGCGGGCGGCGAGGGGCCCGGCCGGGCGCCGGAAAGATACACGGGATCTGGGCTCTGCGACAATTGGAGCACGGCATATGCTTGTCGCAGCGGACCTTCCGCCGCCTGCATGTCACGCAGCTGCGCGGATTGAGGGCGGCCGATGGGGCGGCGGTGGGCGAATAGACGGAAGCTCCTGGCGGCGGGTGGCGAGCGAGCGCCATGATCTGCGCGGCGTCGTAGCCATCGTGGCCGCTCGTCATGGAGGCAGCGTCCGGCGGTTTCGTGCTGTCCTCGGCCGCGGAGGCCTGTGAAGTCGTGTTTCCTTCCCCGGGCATGGCCGCGGCTGTGCGTGGGTAATTGTTTTGTTGCTTTTTGTTTGGACGGAGTCAGGGGCGGAATGCGGTGCGGGATCGATGCGCTCGACTAGTGGTTCCAGAAGGATTCGGCTGCTCGTCTGCTGGACGCATAAGATTCTGCGTGATGCTTGCTCCGTGGAGAAGAACGGTCCTCCTTCGCGATAAAGGTCGACGGACGAGCTCTGAGACGGCCGGTGGGGCCAACCATGCAATTCTTGAGATTCTGGAAACTCTTCTCGGCGGGATGAGTCGATGTGGGACAAAGCCCTTCATGACCGGTGGACTGGCCGAGGTGGAGCGGTGGGGCTTCCCGTCGATTAGTCGTGCCAAGGCCGTCGCCAATGGTCACTGTCTTCGGAGCCGCTGCCGCCATAACAAACCAGGCGGGAGTAGCATGCTTCCATTTTGTTTTGTAATCTATATACCTGTTGTGAGAATCTCCAAACGTTCAAGACACGGTTGAGGGCACGAGATGCTCGGGAGACATGGATTAGCTGCTTGGTACGACCGGACGGCAGTTACTGTCTGACAAACCGAGACACAGATCGGAACGCCAAAACTGACATACACTAGTTACACAGTAAATATAAGGTACGGATACAGTCATACAGACAGGCAGTTGAAGGTTCACAAAGCATTCGGAATAGGTATTGCACCACGGTGAAAGTACCACTCTCGATGCTAAGAGGGCAGACAATGCGGGATATGGCCTTAAATATCATTATACACTGCATACATCCTTTTTGGAGTGTGGTAATTTTGGAGTGCGACCTTGGAGTTCGGAATCGGTTCGAAGGCGGCATTCGGATCGGATTTCGGCTGCCCGACCGGTAATGCCGCAGTGGTGACTCGCGGAGTTAACGTTATGAGGGTTTCGTGATATTCGAACGGTGATTTTCACATATAACTCAAGTTGGCCAAGCTTCGGGATATTCGGTTAATGAATCCGGCGAACTCGGGGACATGACCGGAGGCAACACGGGTATACCGTGTATCAGGGTGCGGCTTATAAACTATAAAGTGAGCTGCTAATAAGCGCTCGCGCGATGTCATACAAGAGGGCCCAATAACCTACCTTAAGTAGGTCTGCAACAGAGAATGCAACAGAGGTTCCGCTCAGCGACGTAGGGTCACGTAGGCTATGGGTGATAGCCAGGCAATAAAGAGAAAATGATACATGATGTGTTGTTGAGGATTCACTGCTATAGTAAGGTAGCCCTGCTGAAGGTACATACCTAAAGGCCGTTTCACATAGCTACGCCTCAGCGCGATCTAAACTTTAAAGGCCACCCTAGCATGTTACCTGTTACTTATATCTAACGACATTTCAGTTCAAGTTCGAGTGCATCCGGCTTTTCATCCAGGCCGGCGTACTTTCGCCGCGGCAACGCAGAACATGAAAGTACCAAGCATGGCGAAGACGCCGGCAAAGAGTTTGACACCGAGCCACCCGCTGTCTTCCCCGTTCAAGATGGATCCACTGATAGGGTTGGTCGTCAGCCCGCCGATGGACGCCATGAAAAGAACAATGCCCGTCCTGAACCCTATCTCGTGCATGGGAGAGATCTGCGCCAAGACAGGCGAGAGAAGCGACGCGTATCCGCCCGAGAAGCAGCCAAAGAGGATTGCGAACGTGACAATGGCCGCGTCGCTCGCGGCCGGGATCCAGAGGGCCAAGATCCAGACACCGGTGAGAAAGCAGGTTCCAGTGAAGGCGTTGAAGCATCCGACTTTGTCTCCGATGTACCCTCCCGCAAGACGTCCCGCCAGAGATCCGGCGTTGAAAATGGGCACCAGGTCTTGGGACAGGCCGCGAGCCATGCCGGCGTGGATGGCTGAGGCGGGCAAGTAGTCGATGGGCACGAAGATACCATACGTCAAGCAGAGAAAACCAAAGGCCACCAGAACAAACTCAGTTTCGGTAAACGGTTTCAGGTATGCGGACCTAAGTGGGTTCGATCGAGCCGCTGGTGAAGTATAGCTCCGGAGTGTGAGGTTGGCAATTGTCAGGAGCGCAAGCATGGAAAAGGCAGAGATGCGCATGGACCAGGAGAATCCGAGGTCGCGGATGAGACGGGTGAGCATGACAGGCAAGACGATGCCACCAATACTGGCCCCGGTCATGACAACGCCGAAGGCAGTGCTTCGTTTTGTGCTGAACCAGCCATGAACGCAATTCAAGGCTGGAACTCTGTGAGCATCCAGCGGGCAAGGACTGAGCAGGGGCGCCGGATCACGTTACGTACCTGGCTGAAAGATCATGGAGGCGCCAATGGCCGAACAAAAGCCCTGGGCAAGAAGGATGTGGTAATATTGGGTGCCGAGGCTCGCCATCATGAGGCCTAAGATATGTAAAACGCTTCCAAGGGGGACCAACCACCTCTGACCAAACTTGTCGTACAATGCACCAACTACTGGGCCCTATGGGGACGCTTCAGACTTAGAGCGTAGCGTGGAAAGGGGAGGGATTCTGCGTACCGCGCCGTACAGGAAAAATACCTGCAGTGAAGGTATCCACGCAATGGTGCTTGGATCATAGTCGCTGAACATTTCGGTCTGATAATGCTCTTGGAAGACCCCAATGCCTGACAACAGCCGTTATTGTAAGTAAATGCCTTGGCAGAACCATGCGGCAGTGGTTTCAAAGTTGAGTGTCAGAGGAGCCATACTGTTGACCCATCCAGCGGTACAAAACAGAGCACACCATGCCCCCAGAACCACCAACCAGGCAGCCGCTCCGCCATCAGGGGCTTGACCAGCTCCATTTGCGTTCGGTGTCCTTTGCTCTGACGCTGACTCTAGGTCCTCGTCGGACAGCCGAGCACGGCTTGTCCCATCCGAGTCGTCTACCGGGTTCGAGTCGGGCTCGAGTTTCGGTTTCGCATCGCCGCTGACTAACGGCATGGCAGAAGGGCGAACAAGTGCTCTTAGGTTATTCTCTAGTGGATCTCCCTTCTTGTTTGAAAACCAAAGCCAAGTGATCCGAAGGACGCTCAGAGGCTGCAAGGCGCTGAGGAGGATGGGGAACCAAGCTGTCCATGTCCAACATGGCTCGGGATGGGAGGAATGTTGCAGTTATCAACATTTTTCAAACTTATAGGAGCATGCTGCGGCATGCCGAGCCGTCTCACCAAACATCGTGTGGTTTTGGCACCAATTTAAGGTGTCGTTTGGCTCCTTACGAAGTATTTCCACATTTGTCGTCGGTTGCAAAAGGGCGGGGCGGATAGGCCAATGGGAATACGCGGCCCTCGGCGCCGCTGTGGGAGTTTACCAGCGACGTTAGCCATCATTGGCTGCTTGTCGCCGAAAGCTCGGCTTCGGCTCTTTTGAAAGACCGCGCCGCCTCGTTCCTTCCTGCGACTGAGACGGGAACCCTTCAACGTTTCGCAGTTTCTCTGTTCTTTCCGAGTCATTTTCAAAAATCAGAGACGTCAACCACGAGGGGCCGGAAAAAAATTGTTACTATGGTTGCTGACCGGCCTGACGCGGTCGCGGTGGCCGAGGCCACCGAGCGGTTCCCACCATTGGACCGCGTCACACTTCATGTTCGATCCTGTTACAACTGCCACCGGCGCAAGGTCCGCTGCGACAAGGGGCAGCCTTGTGCTCGCTGTGCCCGTGGCAGCAAGATATGCACCTATCCGCCAGTTGGGCAGCGGATCCAGCGCCCCAGGAAGACGACCATGGCCTGGGTAGCGAACCGTCTCTACACTTTGGAAAAGCGCCTCCCGGTAGTACCATCTTCCCCTTCTGCTTCCAGGACGCCTGCCGCTGGGGCCGCTTCGCCAGACTCGAACCCTCCTCACTCCCCCGCTCGGCGTCCGACGACAGCAGCGACACCTGGGGAGGCTGAGCACTACTTTGGAAACGAGATTCTGGTCCAAAAAGGCTCCCATAGCGAATACTTCAATGAGCCGCTCCACTCTAGGATGATTGAGCAGCAAAAGGATATCCAATCCGTCTTGACCGAGCCACCAGCCAGTGAGCATGAACTGCTCTCCCGTTTCTCCATTTACAATCCGATGGGAATACTCCCTGCCGCGTCGTCCTCGCAGCCATGCTCCAGCTTCTTCCCGCGCAAACAGACGGCGCTGAAGCTCTGGAATACGTACGTCGAGAGGATCGACGCATGCTCCGGCATAAAGGTCTTGCACGTCCCCACCGAGGAGGCCAGGATATGTGGCACCATCGAGAATCCGGCCAGCGCTCAGCCGGAGGAGCTGGCCACGTGCTATGCCGTCTTCTTTGCCACCATGGCCGTCCTCGATCGCACCGAAGCCCAGGCGCTGTTGCAGCAGGATGACCCTTTCACAGTCCAATTCCGATGCAAGGCCGGATTTGAACAGGCCTTGGCCGAGGCAGAGGTGCTGGACAAGCCCACGTTTCCGATGCTCTGCGCGTTGACGCTCTACCTGTCGGCGCTCCAGCTCCACAGCCGCGGCAAAGGCATCTGGATCCTCAACGGCCTGGCCCTCCGCATCGCCCAGGCACTGGGCCTCCACCGCGACGGCGAGCGCCTCGGCCTGTCCCCGTTCCAGGCCGAACTCCGCCGCCGCGTCTGGTGGCACATCATCAGCCGCGACGGCCGCGCAGCCGAGGACTTCGGCCTCCAGGGGTTCTGCTCCCGGCGTTCCGACGCCCGCTTGCCGCTCCCCGTTGACGACACAGACCTCCGCCCAGACATGCTCGCCCTCCCGCCCGCGCGGTCCGGCGTCTTCACCGCCATGACGCTCCCGCTCGCCAGCTTCGAAATCACCCGTGCCGTGCGTCGGCTTGGGCACATCGCTGCCGCCGCAACACCCGCCTCTCCGCCGGACGAGTCTGACCGCGTACAGATTATCCAGGAGACGAGACAGCGCGTCGACGAGCTCCTCGCCGGCTGCAACCCCGTCATCCCTCGCCACCGCCTGGCGCTGTTGACCTCGCGCCTGGCGATGCGCAACGCCGATCTCGTGTCCCGACAGCAGTGGCTGGCGCTCCGGTATCGCAAGCATAATGACGATGGTAGCGAGTCGGGCGGCGACACGATGTTGTTGCCGACGGACGAGGACCTGGTCGAGTCGCTCGACGTGCTGGACCTGGCGTTGCAGATGTGGAGCGACGAGATGCTGAGGCCATACTCGTGGCTGTGGCGGACGAACCCGGAGTATCATCTCGTCATGTACCTACTCTGGCATCTCTGCGTACAGCCCCAGGGGCCCAATGTCGAACGGGCATGGGTGACGCTGGATAGGTGGTTCACTGTGAATAGAGAGATGGGAGGTGGTCTCGGGCAAAAAGGGGTTATACTGGCTGCGTTGCGGCGGAAGGCTGAGGCGGTGCGGGATGCGCGAGCCAACACTAAGACAGCTGGACGCGAGGGAGGGGGTGGTGGTGGTGGTCATGGAGCTGGCGGTACCAGGCAGCATAACGCTAACCCTTGTGTAATGCAAGTTCAAGCGCAACTTGCTGATGAAGCGAGTGACGCGTCGTGGGGAAGTTTACGTGAGGACAACGAATGGGCTGGCGACCTCAATCAGGTACCAGACTGGAGCGCCTTTGTCCCGGCGTTCCAGCTGGATGGCCAGGACTTCCCAGGCATGTCATGGTTTAATTGAGGCCGATGCTGTCCGAGAATATCTTCTGCGATTCTGACCATGTTGACGCCTTGAGTGGAACGTTAAGAGGATATCAATAATGTAATTGTTGCAAGATAGCCCTCTAATGCTGCTTCACTTTCGGTCTCTGTTTTTTATCCACCGGACGTTCGATACTACCACCGCTTGCGAACCCCAGTACATGTTGGTTCGTGTTCGGAATGCTGACCTTCCCTTTACATGGAATACGTAAGCTACATATGCATATAAAGTTTTGTACCCCTCTCTGATAATTGAAATGCTCTCCGCTAGGGAAATATTCTTCCTCAAGCCCACATTCGGGTAGTGCACTCCCTCCAAAACCACGGGACGATGTCTGAAAGCGTAAGACACAGCATGCCTGCTCCTAGTTTAGGCATTCCGACTTCCCCTCATACAGTTGATGTCTCCATCATCAACACCACCTCCTCCCTGCGAGGGATCCCAACCGCCCTAACCATTGACTCGCCAATCGAGGGCCACAACTGGATGGCGTGTCCCGTGTTCGCCTTTCTCATCCAGCATCCCACGCTGCATCGCTCGGTCCTGTTCGATCTGGGCGTCCGCAAAGACTGGGCCAATCTCAGCCCCGCGCTGCTAGCCCAGATAAAGGCATCGAGCATGACGATACACGTGGAGAGAGACGTGCGTGACATCCTCGACGATGCCGGGATCGACGCGGACAGCATCGAAGCCATCGTGCTCAGCCATTGGCACTTTGACCACATCGGCGATCCCAACCGTTTTGCCTCCGACATCCCCCTCATCGTCAGCCCAGGATTCAAAGAGAAGATGCTTCCGGGGTATCCGGCCAACCCGCAGTCGCCGCTGCTCGAAAGCGACTTTGCCAATCGCGAGCTCATCGAGCTCGACTTTTCCGGTAACAACAACAACAACAACAACAACAACAACAAGAAGTACAAGTACAAGCGGCTCACCATCGGCCGCTTCCCGGCGCTGGACTACTTCGGCGACGGTTCCTTCTACCTCCTCGACAGCCCGGGCCACACCTTCGGACACCTCAGCGCGCTCGCCCGCGTCGGCGGCCCGTCCTCCTTCGTCTTCCTCGGCGGCGACGCCTTCCACCACGTAGCCTTCATCCGCCCGAGCCCGTACCTGCCCCTGCCGGGCACCATCACCCCGGACCCCTTTACCTCGTCCTCAGCAGTATCATGCCCGGGCTCTCTGTTCGAGCCACTCCTCGCGGGCCGGAACCGCCCGGCGTGCGGGCCGATTTATCAGCCGGCGCTTCAGCCGCCGATCCATGCGGATGTGGATGAGCTGCTTCGGACGCAGGAGAAGGTGCAGGAGCTGGATGCGCACGAGAATATCCTCGTGGCGGGGGCGCATGACGAGTCGCTTTTGGAAGTCTTGGGTGAGTCGGATATGTTTCCGCACGGTACGATGAATGCGTTTCGGGAAAGGGGGTGGGTGAGGCTGCTGCGCTGGCGGTTTTTGAGGGATTTTGCGAAGGCTGTGGGGAGGGATGTGGTGATGGGTGAGACGAGGGAATGGGAGCCTGTTAATAAGTAGTAGGGAGTTTTTTTTTTTTTTTTTTTTTTTTTTTTTTTTTTTTTTTTTTTTTTTTTGGGTTCGGGAAGGGGGGGGGGGGGGGGGGGGGGGGGGGGGGAGGATGCGGAGCGGTTTGCCCTCCATGACAAGGACAAGGGAGGATATGGAAAGGCGAAGCAAACAAACTCCAGGCGCAGATGTAGCCCTGGGAGGTTCGTCCGGGTTAAAAGCAAGTTAAGCCTTCCGCGAAGGGAGCGGTTCCTTGTGATACCCCTTGCTAACGAAACTGAGTGCGTCGTGCTGTCAAGCACCAGAACGGCAGAAATAGGCTGTAAGTTCAATACTGATTTGCTTTTTGGTACCTGGTAGCGCGGAACTGCCAACACGATCCCGTAAGAGACAACAAAATAGCCATAAGGCTTGATTCAACGAACTAAAATAGGGAATATAGCAATACTTGGAAAGCTCAGTTCCACCAGCACCATGCTTTTCTTCCAGAAAGACTTCCTGTTCTGACGTTGAAGTCGGAATCTCGAAGCTGACTGTGAAAACAACAGCCCTACGCAACGATGGCGTCCTTGGTTCCATCCCACAGCCCAGCAAAGCCCACCTTCCCGGTGGAGATGGCATTCTTCTCCTGCTCGCTATGGGCGCGGCGATAGTTCTGGAACTTGGCATTCAGCCACTCGCCGCCGGTCCAATTGACGCCCTCGGTGTCGGTGAAGCGGACGGTGTTGCTGGCGCGCAGGAAGAAGATGGTGGCGTACCGGGACTCGGACACCCAGTGGGAGCTCGCCGGCACGACGCGGTGCAGGCTCGACTTGAGCCGGAAGTTGGAGATGAACTTGAGCGAGTCGCCGACGTTGATAATGGCGCACTTGTCGCGCGGCGGCACGTACTCCCACTCCTCCGTCTCCGGCGAGAACACCTGCAGGCCCCACTCGGTGTTGAAGAGCACCGTGATGCTGCCCGTGTCGGTGTGGGTGAAGTGTCCGGCGCTGGTCCCCTCCGGGAGCTTCGTCCGGGGGTAGTGTTGCAACACGGCCGACGAGGTGGATATCTCGTCGGCCTTGTGGTACGCCTCGAATCTTTGTTCACCCTGCAGACCCAGGTGGTCCGAGAGATTCTCCAGGATCCGGATGGCCATTTCCCGTGATTGTTTGATGTGGCTTGTGAACTCCTTCTCGTGCTGCTTCATCCCCTCTGGGAAACGGAGGCTGGGCTGGGCAGTCGGGTTGTAGAATAGATCCAGTGGGACCTACAGACGTGGCCATACCGTCATCAGCGTGGTGTCATTCCAAGACTTACAAAAGAAATGACACGCTTACCCGTAGGTTCTCGGAGCCGTTTCTCTTCTGCTTCATGTTGCCTTCGTCCAACCCGAGACTGCCCATAGGCTTATATCTGGTGGCCAATTAGACGTGACACCCTGGTATATACGTGTGGGACTCAGCTATTTCTTACCCACAGATGTTGTAAACAGGAATCTCCTTTCTGGTGTCCTTCAGCTTCTCCTCCAGGGGCTTTGCAAAGTACTCCTTGGCGGCGCCAAAGAGAGCACCGACATTGTCGAGATACTCTTTTGTCTGGTCGCCATCGAGGTCGAGGTAGAAGAAACCCCAGTGGGCACACGCTTCGTAGAGCTTCGCGACTTCCGCAGGATCTTTTGCGAGCAGCTTCTCGTAGCTGACCACTGCGATGTTTGCAACGCGAGCCTCCTTGACTGAAGCCTCTGGGGTAGAAGTAGCCTGGGCCATTTTTGGTGAATAGAATTTCAAAGGGGGAGAAGAATTTGATGATGGTTCAAAGCCGATGAGTCTGATATCTTGGAATCTTTTCCTCTGTAGAATAGGAAGGTTTCCAGGTACTACTTATACCCCCAAGCAACACGATCGGCGGCTCAGTAATCGACTCCATCGTAGCAATTCGACCATAACTGTCCCACGTACACACACTCGATCACAGTATAAGCCTCCGCGCTCTCGCGGCTGACATCTTGACGACGATGTGGGGTCGGGGGAGAGCTGTACGACGCAACAAAGTAACCAATCACTCTCGCCCCAGCCCGACATGGTGGTTTGAAACCTTCTCTAGGGGTGCTAGTAGATGCAGACCGTTCCATTTAACCGTTGTTTCCGTGACTGTAACACGGGCCTCGCATATAGGTATACAAGCATAGCCTTCTCTATCGCTTAGCCACTGCGTGCGCACCGAGCTGCTGTCTGAAGACTGACGCGTCCCTGCCGGTACCAGGTAGGAGGGGAGAGGTTCTGGCCCCTACGGCAGCACGGTTCTGCAGCGGATGGCATCTCATGTTGCAGTCGGCAAGACAAACCACAACAATCATCCATGGTAGATGTAATACAACATAGCAACCTTGCCTTGCACTTTGTATGCCTTGCCTTGTTGGGAGTAGGGAGCGCCGGTACTTGGGAGCTTACATAAACCCCCGCCACCTACTAATAGCGTACGGATTACTGCCGCCCCATCACATAGTAGTACACTAGGATGGCGTTATTGGCTGCACAGGTGCCCTGCAGACGGGACGGAAATTGCGCGGAATTGGGGTTGCGTGCGCCGAGGCGCGGAGGCTCGGGGAGATCTAACGTATGTACCTATTGTACAACCTCGCCAGGAATTCCAGATCTTACATACATACATGTAGGTCAGCAACCAGCGCCGGGGACCAATGAACATCCTCACTGAATGCGCATGCCTCTGGGGTTCGAATATTACCTCCGCGGGGAAGTTGGTGATGAAACAGCGGAGTTCAATGTAATGCTGACCGGTTCCATACAATGCTACGTCTGAGAAACAGCTGGTGATGGAACTGAGCGGTCCGATGCAATGCTGACCGGTACGTCCAAGAGGCAGTTGGGTCACGGCTCCTCGCCCTCCTCCGCCTCAATATCCCTTCTGGGATAGGAGATGTTGGCCTTACTCCGCCGGTTACATCGCGGCGAGCCGGATCTGACTCCCGCGACGGCACTTGCATATCTAGGTTCCATCGACCATTGATCGAGCATCTCCGATTCTCCTGGTCCTCGTCAACCTTCCTATTCCGTCGAAATGCAATAGGACGACGTCTAGACACTTTACGTAATATGGACCAAGTTATCGGATCGTCAGAGAGAATGCTTATAGTATAATGCATATGACGCGACGTGCTCTTTGATAAACTGGCATATATTCTCGAACTTCGGGATGGCTTTGCTAGTCGACTCCTTGCTTCCCGAGCGAGTAGTTTCGGGTAGTGCCAGTCTCGGTTACCTCTTCCTACGATGTCAAAGACAAAATGAGCGGCCGGACGTAGGTAGATTGTTGGTTAATGGCCTGGCGCCCATAGTAGTCGAGCGGGTAGTCGGCGAGAGACTGCTGATAGAACTGAGCAGTTCATTGCAATGCTGACCGATTTAATGTAGTGCTGACCACTTCAATGCAATGCTGACCGCTTGAATGCAATGCTGACCGCTTCAACGCAGTGCAATGCTGACTGGTCCGTCCAAGAAGCAGTGGGTGATAGAACTGAGCTGTTTGATACAATGTCGAGTCCTTGTGACCGCAGATCTAGCAACACAGCGGCTGACAGCCAGTGGAGCGCCTACCATCATGCGGGATACACTCCGTAATTCAGCGGAGTTGGAAGGGTTGAGGTAGGTCGCACGATTACGTGTTCGAGCCACGTCCCTTGGTTGGATAAGTCTCTCTGAGACGTTTTGGGCATGTCATTTCGTAGAGCGTTTGTGGCTCGCCCGAGCTCCCTGGACAAGAAACTCACTCCTGTCCCACTGGGCGGGGACGAAACATGAGGTTCGGGGCGGAATCTCGGGGAGGTGGAACTCGGCGGCAAGGTTGAGTCTGAGACATGTCCGTGGGATTGGACTCTTCGACCATCTGAAGCCTGTATGACAAGGGTTGGTGCAATGGTGACATGTGTCAGTGCCGCGAATGATGATAGGCATGGGCCGCACGGTAGCCACTCAGAGCCGCTTCCGCTGACGAGGGGTTGCTGGCAAATCGAATTCCATGAAGTGAAAAGTCTCCATGATTCCACATCACAACCTGTTGGAACCTCAACACACCAAACGGAAGGCGGGGTATGTGACGGCAGGTTCGACACGACAGCTTGTGGGGGCCCTGCCGTTATGCGGGATATGGTCGACCGAACTTGGAAGGTCCGGGGACCCTGCAGTTCCGACACCGGGGTCCGGGCCCTACTGGGAGCTGTGTGTTGTCGAGTGGGTGCCAGTGAATCAGCTTTGTTTGCACTCACCGTCATAGCCGTGCAGCCAACCATGAATTCTTTCAGCCAACGTCCTTGCTACCAACTACCCTTGTGACCGACGGCCCTTTCCCTCGGCTTCTCCCTTCCATCCTCATTGCAAAGATTTTTACGTCGCCGGCGTGGTCTCCAAAGCCAGTTGACTCTGGTCAAACCCCAGGCATTCGTCTCGCGCTACTCCTCCGAGCATTTGGCTACAAACCTACTTCTCTAAGCAGGTACAACATTTCAATTGCTTGCCGGTTTGTCGGCGTTTAACCAAGCAAACTTAGCTGGTCAACACCTATTCCCGTCACTCAGATCTAAACTGGACCGATTTCCACACCATGGCGAGCTCCTCGAAACCTATATCGTAAGAGAATGCTCCTCTGGGCCTCTTTCTGCATCAACCTAACAAACCTCATCAAGGGATCCCGAAAAGCAGCCTGACCATGTGGCACCAACCCCTGTGGAAATTGACCCCGTTCAGCTGGTGGATGAACCGCCCACTGCGGAAGAGTTGGAAACCTTACCACGTGTTTGTGATAAGATCCCATACGCCATATTCTTCATCGTGGTGGCCGAGGTGGCTGAGCGATTCACGTATCGGTCCTTGACAGGCCCAATGCGTAAGTCCGCTCTTTATTTATTCATGATTATATTGCCATAGAGATGCTAACCTTCCGGTCAGAAAACTACATTCAGAACCCGTTTCATGACACAGACCACCCTGGGGCCCTGGGGAAGGTACGCACGGCAGGCTACCTTACCTTACGCTTTCCGTTTTCTCCTCAATCCATCGGCCATCATCCGGAGTGGTCATGCAAGATTGTTGAGCTGATGCCGTCTTCTTTGTGCTAGGGCCAAGCGACGGCCACGGCGATAGGATACTTTTTTACGTGCTGGTGTTACCTGACACCAATCTTTGGCGCAATCATTGCAGACAGCTGGTTGGGTCGCCTCAAGACGATTTTGATTGGAACGACGTGGGTGACCATTGCTCCTTCGACTGTCCAAGAGTCCCTGTCCAGGCTCACATTTCCCCGGGGCTTTTTACTAATTGCCTTCAAGCACTGCCACTGTCGGCGTGTTAATTTTATTCATCACCTCCATACCCCTCTGCTTAGAGAAGGGCGCCGGATTCCCGGGACTGATCGTCGCGCTGTTCATTATTGGATTGGGGTAAGTCATCTCACTGCTTCCAAATTGCCGATGTTAATGTTGATATGGTGCAGCGCGGGGGGAATCAAGAGCAATGTCGGGCCTCTTGTGGCGGAGCAATACGTGAACAAGAAGGCCCGAGTGAGCGTCGACTCTGATGGCCGCCGCGTGATAATAGACCCGGATATCACGATTCAGACGATATTCAGTCGCTACTATTGGTCCGTGCCGTCTCTCTTGCGCACGAGGCGAGTAAGACAGCCAAAGCTGATGGTGGATTCTAGGATCATGAATATTGGCGCTTGCTCAGGGTTGATCGCAACTGTGAGTTCTGATCCAGTCATCATCGGCATGGAGTATGATTTGCTGACATGAGTCTTGCCTCCTTAGTGGCTGGAGCTTAGAGTCGGCTTTTGGGGCACATTCTTGATCCCTTTATGCATCTACGCCGTGGCTGTCATTGTGCTGGTTCTGGGCCGTCACAAATATGGTGAGAGAGCGCCATACATATTCACCCGTCTTCCAGCTTACCGAAGGCTGCAGTCACACGTCCGGCCGAGGGCTCCATAGTGCCCAAGGCGGTTCAGGCTCTCTGGATCGGTTTCAGAAACAATAGAAACATGGACATGGCCAAGCCTTCAAATATGATGGAACAAAGCGGAACGTCCAACGTATCCTGGGATGATCACTTTGTGGACGAAATCAAGGTGGCCTTGACTGCTTGTCGAGTCCTGTAGGTCCTCTGTCCTCTCATATTATCTTAACTTCGCCTGTGGCAAACAAGTTGCTAACTGCTGGCTGATTCAGTTCGCCGTTGTAAGTATCACTGAAGTCCGGTGGATGTGTGTGTGAAGCGAAGTGGTTTACGCTTACGATTTGCAGTCCTTTGTTTTGGCTTAGCCATGGAACTTCAATCGGCAATGTGATTAGTTTGGCTGCTGAGATGAAAACTTTCGGCCTTCCCAACGACCTCTGTGAGAGATCTCGTTTTCATATCCGATCTAATTACCTTACTTAACTGCATCAGAGACTGATTTGGTTTCTCAGTGGCGGGAAGTGTCAATCCTCTGAGTATTCTGATTCTTATCCCTATCTTGTCAGTAACTTTTTATCGCTCGATTCCCGCAATGTGCATACTAATCAGTTTCCATCCAGCGATCGTTTCCTGTACCCGGCACTGCGCCGTATGAACATCCAGTTCCTACCGATTACGAGGATCTCGTTTGGTTTCCTTGCCATGTCAGGTGCAATAGCACTTGCAGCTGGGCTTCAGTCTCGTAAGTGCAATGGCTCCCCGGAACATTCCAGACTCTGGCGGCTTTTTTGCGATTACTGAACGACAGCCAAGTTGTGTATTCCTCGCCATCCGAGTCCATAAACTTCTTCTCCATATTCCCGATCTATGTCTTGACCGCGGTGTCCGAAATCCTAGCCTTTGTCAGCAGCATGGAATACGCCTACACAAAAGCTCCTCGGTCCATGAAGAGTCTGGTTGCCTCGATTAACCTCCTGTTATGCGCCGTCGGCTCGCTCCTGGGGCTGGCCATTTCGCCAACCTCGGAAAAGCCGCGAGTCATGGTTCAGTTCGCTAGTCTCAGTGGGATAATGTTCATAGCAGCCATTGCCTTCTATGTGCTGTTCTCTAAATATAACAAGGAAGAGGAAAAGATGAACAGCGTAGAGAGAGGAACGGACGATGATGACACTACTCAGGCGTAAAGGGCGGCCCACAGTCGCTGCTATCATGTTTTTGGCTTGGGAGATGATGGGTGTGAGCTAGACTGGACAGAGTGCTAAGAGGCAAGCCAGAGGGTATATGCCCAAGTAACGCATGGCCACGAGGCAGGAGAATGAGAACATCTACGGCGTTATGAACGTGTGCCACTACTTCCGTCGGTTCTAGATTCTGAGCGCCGGTCAGGATGAGCTTGACACTTCCCCCTACCAACTACCGACGATGCTTACTTCGAGTTAATGAAAATACGAGACGGCCAGCAATCCCACCGCCTACATTTAGAATTATGGGATCAATTAGGATGGTGAAGACTCCTCAATGACTGAAACAACTTCGGTATGGGGGTTTTGGTTATCTACGGGCAAAGAGGGCTTGGAACTGCCCTTTTCACTGCATTAGGCAAGGTCTTGGTGCCGAGTTATAGCTCGCAGAGGTAGGCCAGGCTTGAATCACCCGAGCCGATTTAGCTGGTCAGAGACTCAGAGTGTACCTTTTAACTCACCTTGAGGACCGAGTTGATAAGCAAGTAGATTTGCCCAACTTGCTAATATCTATGCGTCGTCTACTATTGATGTCTTCCGAAGCTGCTCAATTATTAAAGCGAGACATAAGATAGGTATACACACAGAAGAGTAGACAAGTTGACTTTGGAGATGTCTTGGTAGATACCTTATATATCGGTGGTAGCAATACAAACAAAAACGAGGGAGGGACTCGGTATTCCGAATAGAGAGGTCAGGTGGAGACTGCTTTTCTAACAAATTGGCTACCAGCCCGTATAGCTCAGTGGTAGAGCGTTCCGCTCGTACTCGTCAACGGAAAGGTCGGCGGTTCGATCCCGCCTGGGGGCATTCTTTTTCTTCGGAGATCACTTCTGATCCTATCCTAAATAGGCGAAGTATGTATGTTTTTGCTATTATGTGATAGAGAGGCAGGCAAGGAAGGATTTGGTAATAAATGAAGTTGAGTCTATTGCTAACCCCCTACGTACTTCCCTAATCAGCTGCTCTCCACTTCGTAGCTTATACTTTCTCGGTTCTTATAAGTATCTTAGACAGATAGTATATAATCAGCGAAAGAGATACCTATATGTATAGCTCTACCGTCTTAGGCTCTCTACCACTGAGCTATACGGGCGAATCATTTATTATCGATCAACAGCCCGCGCGCGTTGCTATCTGGAAGCCTAGTCGCCTTTTCAATAGATAGCCCGAGAACTTAGTACCAGAGGTCCACAACTACGTTCCTAAGTACCTTCCTGTCTTAAAACTCAGAATGAGTACCTGAGATGACACTCCCTGCATGAAGCCTTGCCGCCAGTGTTGTTGGTCATAACCGTCGTCGCCGGCCAATGGCTGCCGCTAACCAATTGTGACTGAAGTTCCATCAACCAAAACACCTCCAAGGCAAGGTGTCGATGTGAGCGGCATAATAGGTGAAACAGAGCCTCATCTCATATTGCTCGGATAGGCAATGCTCGACTGATAGTGAATTATGTGTCGATTGGTGAGGAAGCTACCTACCTAGGTAGGTTGGGGTAAGTGGAAGCACACGACTGCACCTGATCGTACGGAAAGGTCGACCGCCACGATCGCCGTGCTACATCTTGCCGTTGCTCCCAAATCCCTCAAACGTCCCATCTTCCTTACCACTCTTACTCCATTGTTATATATCCGACCTTGCGCCCATGCGTTCCATTCCTTGGCTCAATTCGACCTCCTGTCTGTTGCGCTCTGAATCGCCCACATGAGAACGCCACGCAGGGATGGTGTTTGCCGGTGCAGCATGCGTTGATATCTGAATGAGACACGTCCGAATAACATTGCTCGCATGAGGGACCTCAGTCCGACCGTCTGTTCACTTACTGGTTGTGGATTCTAGAACTCGCCAAAAGAAGAGAAGAAAGCGGGGAAACAAGAGGAAAGGAGAATAAGGTTAAAAAGGGGCAAAACAAGAGAAGAAGGAAAACAAAAAGCGAAACAGCCACTCAGTCTCGAGTTCGCGGTATGGGCCGAATTGGCCCACAGCGTCATACACGTATTTGGTCAAGAGCTGGTCAAGAGCAAGTCATCTACGAGAGGTCGTCCCAGCCTGCTGGAATGGGGCCACTCAAGTGGGCAACATGAGTGCCTCGGTTGCGTCATTGGGCAGCTCGTCTCGATGGGCCCGTGACAGGACATCGAGATCTGTCCTCGGGTCTGCTGCAATTCTGTTGCCGACCTTCATCAATTCATGGACCATGAGCTTCAGAGCAGTCAGCAACTTGCACGTTTGTGGAATTGTCAGCTTGTTTTATGTCAAACCGCGCCAAACTGAAACACATACTGCGCCACTCTCAGTTGACAGATCAGGCGGTTGCCAAAGTCTCTCGAAGCGTCGGGGGGTCGCCCGGTCGCTCGAAGCAATTCGGAGCAAGAGAGACGCGAACGCAGTGACGACACCGATATCGAGTTAGGTAGTACACCACAACGGCACGACCAACCCGATTTTCCCGCAGATGACAACGCTAACCGGCGAGTCGTCTGCCACCACTCAACACACCGTTGACATATCATATCACGCTCATTTCTCATTGTCCTCCGATGAGGTTACAGCTGTCTGATTCCGGCTAAACTGGATGAATGGGGCAGTTTAACGTTGTTGTCCCTGCTGCACGTCGAGAAACCTGAAACGGCAGCCCAATCGTGAACTGTAAGTGAATCAACCCCACAGGGATGTTTCGCAACATATTCCTCATGCGTAATTGCTCGTTCATCAGCGGTCTAGCTCTAACAACTCAACAATAGTTACACAATTTGTTACCAGGCACCGGGGCCTTGGATCTACACGAGTCCAAGGATCTGAAGTTTCCAGGAAAGCTCTCTTCACATCCGTGATGATCTCGACGCCTCGACCGTAAGACGAGGATCATGAGATCAGGATGATGAGCGGACACTTGGGTGGGGTTTGCACACAGCCGCTACCGTCAACTTGCGGATCTGGATTCGGCACTTGAATACCGGCAGCTTGCCCGGTCGAAGCTTGCATAGTTTGCCAAGAGGCTTGGCTCTTTCCCAGGTAGATAGGCTTTTGAAGGGATACGAGCCGGGATTGGGGCGCCAATGAGTTATGTAATATAGTCAAGGCGGCATTACAGGAAACAACGGAGGCGAAGTGTGGGGATGCACCATGTCGGTGCTACACAGGCTGCTAGCGATGTATCAGAACCCCAGCGAAGGGCCAGACTTGTTGTTGAAGTGGGCCGACACCCAGACATTACCACATGCTAGAAATGGGAATCTCGGAACCAGCGACCGGCGACGCATGCAACATGGCGCCGGGCCAAGACCGAGATGTGTTGCGGGACACCCCGTAGATCACTTTAACGTCGTCGATTCAGGCTAAATATGCTTTCCTCCTTGTGAGGCTCCTTCATTCGCGCCAGGCGATAGAGAGTGCGCTACCCCGGACCAGCCTAAGCGGGCCCCTGCCTTGAGGCTCGTCACCCGCTCCGGTTGGTAGACGCGTGAATAGCCGACTACCACAGGAATGGTGGGCAACGGTGACAATCGCGCATAGCCACCGGCGCGAGTACAGTATTCTCGGCGCTTCCATGGGGAGAGGTTCCACGGGGACTGTCTCCCTGAAGCCGGGAACAAGGTGGTTGAAGGACCGGGGGGGTTGTTGGGCGAGCGCAAGGGTTTGGGTGTATAACACCAGTATATATTGGGACATCTTCTCTCGAATCTGGTATCCGTCTTCCTCGCCACCTCTAGCATCACAGTACCGCAGTAACCGCAGCTTCGCAGTATCATAGTCTCCAGTCAACCCGCAAGCAACAAACATGGTCTCCCTCAAGGCTCTCCTCCTCGGCGCCGCCGGTGCCCTGGCGTTCCCGTTCAACGTTACTGAGATGAACGAGCTCGTCGCACGCGCGGGCACCCCGAGCGGCACCGGCACGCACAACGGCTACTTCTACTCGTTCTGGACCGACGGCGGCGGCAACGTCAACTACCAGAACGGCGCGGGCGGCTCCTACAGCGTGCAGTGGCAGAACTGCGGCAACTTTGTTGGCGGCAAGGGCTGGTATGTAGTGCCGAGGAGGGAACGGCAAAGCCATACACATAGAAACTAAACAACATGGTCCAGGAACCCCGGCGCGGCCCGCACCATCAACTACTCGGGCAGCTTCAACCCGCAGGGCAACGGCTACCTGGCCATCTACGGGTGGACCAAGAACCCGCTGGTCGAGTACTACATCGTCGAGTCGTTCGGCAACTACGACCCGTCGTCGCAGGCCAGCAAGTTCGGCACGATCCAGCAGGACGGCAGCACCTACACGGTGGCCAAGACGCGCCGCGTGAACCAGCCGTCCATCATCGGCACCGCCACCTTCGACCAGTTCTGGTCCGTCCGCCAGAACAAGCGCACCTCGGGCTCCGTCAACGTCGGCGCCCACTTCAACGCCTGGGCCAAGGCCGGCCTGCAGCTCGGCTCCCACGACTACCAGATCGTCGCCACCGAGGGCTACCAGAGCAGCGGTTCTTCGTCCATCACCGTGTCGTAAAAAAAGGCTGCCGGAATCTGCGAGTGGGGGGACTCTGCACGGGTTTCGTCACGGCGGATGTATTCAAGGCGTTGTGCCACACAACACCACAAATGATGGCCATTTGGCCCTACTTACTTTCCCTTTCGAGGTCTTCCAATATTTGTACTTGTACATATTCTCTTGGGGCTTAGCCCTTCTGTCAGCTGATTTTCGTATCGAACGTCGGTACGACGGCAGTACATACATACAAAAATGCGACCCTCCTTTCCGTGACCGGCTGGTACTGATGTTTTCAAGTTGTAATGACACTTCCATGTCGTAAGGAGGAGAGTCCAGGACTAATTAAGAGATGGTGCGCTTGAAGCTGCCGTTACCTGAACCAATAAGGTACAGTCGAGGCCTCGGGGCCAATATCATGATTTGCCGTGGGATATGCCTGCTGCCGAATCGTGTGCATGCTCTCCAGCTGATGAGAGACATTAGTAGATGAGAGCGACTGGCAGATGCCTTCCTTGCAATGTAGGTACAGTGAGGGGTCAAAAGTTTCCATACACCCCACTAAATCCAGCCACTTACATTTTCTACTCCTACCTTTAACAGAGGATATCTCAACAACCATTGAACGTAGGCAAAAATTATTATATTTAGATAATAGCCAAGTTCCCAAGCTTCAATATTTTGTATACCAACCCCGAGCCCTTTTGACACGGCAAGCCGGCGAGGCGCAGAGTCGATCAGCCTGTCAATAAGGGCCTGGTCAATAGCCCACCACGCCGCACGCAACTTCTCCTTAAAGTCTTCAATATTGAGCTCATTCCTTTTGAGTTCCCAGAGATCAGGGAACATTCTCTGAAGGTTCCTTTTCAGAGCTGCCCAAACATGCTCGATGGGGTTTAAATCCGGGCTATACGGAGGCCAATCCATCCACTCGATTCTATGCTTAGCAAGCCAACTTTGGGTAGCTTTATAAATATAAATCTTGGCATTGTCTTGCTGGAAATACCTTATACCGTCGTAATAAGGTAGGAGACCTTCTCGGAGAGCCTTTTAATAGGACTTGGCTATATATCTATCACGAATTAACCAACGGCAGGCTGCAGGGCAGACAGCCGTATGTAGGGACGCGGGGGCGTCCCAAGCCAATCATTTGGGACAATCAGGCGGACCAGTCAGAGACAGGCAAAGATGCTAAGGTGCCAATGTCGCTAAGCACTCTACAGGATATAAGTGATCAGAGTGATCAGGGGCATATTACGATAAGCACCCAGGTGCTTATCCAAATCGAAGCACTAAGCACTCAAGGAGATAGCTAGTATATAGTCACTCGTTCTAGAGGACTCTGGGAGTTCTCCAGTGAGCAATACAAACAGTAGAGTAACCCTACCTTACTGTACAGACATTGCGAATAGCACTGTTGTGAACCCTTTGGCTTCACTGAGACCTATAGTCCGACCAGCAGATACCTTCGACCGGCGAACCCTTTCAGAGGCAGGACTGCCTGTGGTTTCATCACAATATCCTCTACAAGGGGCGTCCTTATCTCTCTCTATAACGATCAGCTTACTCCGACCACCCCTCTATACCGTTCCCTAGACTATAATTGTAATATTCGCTTTGATATAGTTCTTCAAGTTGACAAACCGCTTGTCAAACTTCTCGGAAGGGAAATAGAATACCTAAGCAATTGGATTTAAAGTATTATTTTAATACGAACACTTATCAGAAAAGAACATCAAGATTAGATTAGCTAAGGAAAACAATATATCAAATTCAGGGTTCGAACTCTTAACAACTCCTTAATATCTTTAAGCTATATATATACCCAGTCGTACCTCTTTTGGGCATCTTCTTCTAAGAGAGGTATTCTTTTCTTTACTTTCCATTTACATAGGTTATAAGCGCAGAGGCATCGACGGATCGTCGAGTAGGAGACTTTAGACCCCGTAGCTACTACTAGAGCCTTTTTAGCAAGATCCTAGTTTCTCTTTAAAAGAGATAGGATATACCGCTTCTCTAATCGTAAGAGCTTCTGAGGACGGCCCTTTCGAGGCTTCAAATCAAAGGTTGTTGAGTTTCCCAACGTCGAAGGCATTCTTATACAGCGCTGACAGAGACACCAAACGCGTCTGCTACAGCCCGGTAACTTTTGCCACAAGCCACAGCAGAGCATATAGCTGCACGAGCCACTGGTGATAATTCCCCGTTACGGCCGCGATTTTCCGTCAATTTGGCTCCGAAATCAGCTAAATTGAGCTTCATGGCGTTGAGTTGTTGGAGTTGCAAGAGGAGAGGGTTGTCGCGACGCGTGGAAAGTCGCGTTTGATTAAGTGGAGTGTATGGAGACTTTTGAACCCTGACTGTACGACATGCAGAAATCGAAACCTAGTAGGGCTTAGAATGCTGTAGCGGTACGTTTCCACCTGAAAACTGACCGTTGCTATGCTATGTTCTCACGAGAACAGTCGTCGCCGGGCAAGTGCAAGGCTCTGGTACCTAGGAAGCTAACTGCATTGTAAGAGAATATTTAGCTTTAGTTGCAGGAGGAAACGAGCAAGAAATGAAGTATTTACTCCTTATAGTAAAAAATAACGTTGTAACGAAGTTGGGCTACCAGATGTGGGGCACTTGCCAATGGTTCTCGACCATACCATAACCGTGCCCGATCCAACACTTTCTCGCCTATGCATCGAGCATTTCCCTGCAAAAAGATGATCTACTCATTGAAAATGTATGAAAGATTAATTGCTTGCCCACAGCCAGAATCGAACTGACGACCTCACCAAGATTGATCAACGAATGAAGGTAGTAGCAGAGTTGTTCATCAATCGGGGGAGTTAGTCGTACGGCATCTGAGTCTAGGAAAGCTATCTACTTGGCATACAACCTGACAAATTGCGGCACTGGAAAAACCTAGGACATGGCCCACGTTGCATGGTGCTCGCCAACTCGGAGCAGGCTAGCCGATGCGGTGACTCATACAACGGGAAGACGAAGGTTCGGTTAGAAATAAGAACTGAGGTTTATTTTTACTCCCTTGGTAGCTCTCTCTTCTCGCAGCATCCCATACGCTGGGCCACTCCACAAACCACCCCATTGACATTCATTCCATCAAATACTCGATGAGAATCTATCCGTCACCACCACCACCCAAGCTTGCCGGGTACATTTAGCCCAGCATGGACGAGAGTCTCGCCGAAGCACGATATGCCCGTTTGAGGTGGAACGCTCCGCTCTCCGAAAGCCACGCCGACCAGCTGCTGGAATGCCTGCAATTATCTTCCATCACGAGTCTCGTCGATCTGGGCTGTGGCTGGGGGGAGCTGCTACTTCGCGCCATCTCACGCACCGATATGGATGGGCCGGTCACCGGCGTAGACATCGATGTCGCCGTGCTACAGCGGGCAAGGAGGGCGGCCGAGCAGCGGGGGTTGAAAGTCTCGTTTATCGAGCAGCCGGCAGGAGAGTGGCGGGAGACGCGAAGCCGCGCCATATGCATCGGGTCGTCGCATTCGCTCGGCGGGAGCAAGGCCATGCTCGAGAGGCTGTCCGAAATTGTTCCACGCGGCAGGGTGCTAGTCGGCGACATGTGTTGGGAACGGCCGCCCACCGATGCTGCGCGTGCCGTGTTCGGCGACGAAGTGCCCATGCTCGCTGACCTCGCCGCTCTATGCCGGGAGACGGGCTGGGAGGTGCTGCATCTGAGCACGGCCGACCAGCGCGAGTGGGACGACTTCGAGTCTCGACATCGAGCCGGACTTCGGGAGTGGTTGCTGTCGAATCATGACAGTCCGCAGGCGATGGAAATTCGGCAGCAGCAAAATGCTCGCGAGCAGGAATATCTCACCGTCTATCGCGGTGTGTTGAGCTTCGTGTATCTGGTGCTGGGTCGGTAACAACTGTTCGCCGGTCAACATTACGAGTGGAAAGCCATCTGTAGAGGATCGGATCTAGAATCTAGACGACCGGAGGATTAGGCGCAATCATACCACAAAAGACAATAGACTTCCCATTTCGGGCATGTTTCATTACCGAAGACGGCGACCGTTATGGCCTTTTGGTTCATTTCCCTTTCAAACCGTCTCCCACATATAAGCCATTTCTGTGGTTTACCTGGGCATGTCATGATCTTCGTCTTCTACATACCAGACAACCTTTGCTCTAATTTGCACACTGCATACTGCAACATTGATCCCTGGCATCATCGCCTCCCTGCGATACCCTTGACGGGCTGGAAATCTTCGTAATGCTCATATTGTTACACGTTACGGAGTCGTAGTTTATTATCTCGGTTTGTAGATATCTACGTCCCAGACTATGCTCAGCCATATCACCGAGAGGCTCATCGACGGGAGCAGATGTAGATGTTCCTGACTGTGTTTGGGGAGCCACGGACATAAGAAGAACTGAACCCCATCTACCGTGAATTCATGAACGGTTGTTCAAAAGCCAGACAGAGTACTTAGTTGTTCAAAGCCAAACAGACTACGTAGCTGTTCATCGGTGACCACAGATAGAACGTTAAGACAACATAATTGTAGTCTGCCTACATTCCTTAGAGCTGGATATCGAGTAGCTCATTGAAAAATATACCCTAGGTCCCGCCTGCCCTTGTGCATTCAACTACACAACACCGCAAAAGGCCTTGCGCCAATCAACCTCCCAAGTCTCAACGAGCCCGTCTTCCTCACTCCCCCCAGTGTATCATTCTCTCCATCATCAACCTCCTCCTCCTCGTTCTACGTCGGTCCTAGCCCCGCTTCTCCCGACGATCGGGCCTTATGATGCAGCTCCGGCGGCAGCGGATCGGCCTCACACCGGTCGGCCGCGACATCAGCTTCGCTCTCGGTCGGATTGCCCTTCACCTCGGTCCCAAACATCTGTGCGGAGATGAAGACACCTGTGCCGGCCCCTGTCGCCGGACCAGGCCCATAACCGGGGCCGAGATGGTCACTTGTCTTGCTGCTGTCCGGACCCTGCTGGATCTGCGTGCTGTAGAAAAAGGAGCACCTCGGCTGCTGGCCGAGTGATCTGGGTGTGTAGATGGGATGGCAGCGGACGCCGAGTGTGTTGACGGTTGTGCGCAGGGCGGAGGTTGTTGCCCTGGGAATCCTTATCGGAATCGCGAGAAGGCGGCGCATGATGGTAAGTCTCTAAGCCGGCAGTTGGCATTAATCTTAAGGGTCTCAGTAACTGACCATGTCGTCGCCGTCTCTCATGTTTATAAGAGATGGGCTGGCTTCGAGAACGTTGTTGTATCTCCTGACATGACGTCATCGCAACAATGACTGACAGCGTGGAGCGGTCGAATATCCGGTGGTGTAGACATTTGGCCTATGCAAAGACTGCTTTACGACGATGGGCTATTACTATAGTCCCGTGGGTGCATCTGCAATCTTCGCTCTCAACTGGTCTGTATAGCAGCAGGAGATAGCTTGGGCTCTATGTCGCCTTTTCTCTTAGCAGGCCGCCCAGTCTAACACCCGCGCACGTTGGCAGAAAGTTTCAATGCGGAGTTCGGCATTCGTGAGCTCCGCCCGGCTTGCTTTCGGAAGACGGCACAAACCTGGAAAGGCTCAACTCAGTCGATCGTCGCCACCCCGTTGCCGCCGAAGTATGTATGGCGGTTGATGTGGGCAACCAGTTCATCTTCAGAACCAACTGGACAATCTTCTGTGGCAGACACACAAAATACGCACCAAAAACCGTGACGCCGCCGGCGAAGTTCTGAAACTTGCCCATGAGCACGCGGTTTGCTGCACCCGGTGCTTTGGATCGTCAGGGGCTGGAAATGCGGGGACCAAACGCCGGCCCGGGAGAAGATCGGCACGAGGACTGGATTAGGCTCGGCGATCCCAACTCTGAGAGGGGCCACAAGGCATCATCAAGGGTCCAGTTTGCCCGCGAGGAAACAAGACTGGTAGGGGCTTGAAACGGCCGTTGAGTCTAGGGACCAATAGCAGAGAAATTGTTTCGGGTTGACAGAGGCCTTGGGCATTGTGGGAATGGAGACTGCAAGGGAGGCCGCAGTTTTGATTTCGGCACATTCCTGCCGGGTGGCACCGAGGAGGGATCTCCCTTTCAAAATCCCCGAGTGCGCCGCGGCCCAAGGTTCAGGCCGTGTCCCTGACTGCGATAACTAAGCTTCAACGAAACTCCCAGCCGCAGAAGAACGAGCCAGCAACATGTCGACCCTCATAGGGCAAGCGCCCACCAACCTTGGGCCGTTGACGACGACATTCACACCGCCGGCGGCGTGTACTGTCGCGGTTGGCGCGGGTCGTGGTGGTCTGGCTGGGTTGCTGGGCGGCGGGGGCGATAACCACGTCGCGTACCTAGCACAGGCGTGCTCGCGAGGGAAGGCTTTCGATGCCACTTCCTGTTGGCCGGCAACGTCCAAGGGTGCCGAGGAGAAGGAACCGCCACTTCACGGATGGGGCTTCTACTCGCCGGGCCTCCACTGCCCCATCGGATACGCGACGGCATGCTCGGCTACAGGAGGGAGCGGCGGAAGCTCAGGTTGGCCGGTCCAGTTCAAGCTGCGAGACGGGGAGACGGCCGTCGGCTGCTGTCCAAGGTTAGTCTTCTCAGGCTTCGAGTCTTCGCATCAACATGAGGGTTTCTGACCTCATCCAGCGGCTATGGCTGTGCGAACGTGAACGGTCAGACGTGCACAATGGTGGCAATGTCGGACACTATCCCAACCGTCACATGCGACGGAACCAAGAGCGGCGACTTCGCCTTTCAAACAATCCCCGATATCGAAGCAACCATCACGGCACTCAGTTTATTCGCCCCGATGATCCAGATCAACTGGCAGAGCAGTGACCGCGCCGAACCGAGCAGTACCTCCACCCCAAAGATCACCGCCTCATCACCATCAAAGCCCGCTGCCGCCACCAAAACGACATCAGCAAGCCACCAAATTACCGCGTCCGGGACGCAAACCATAGACCTTAGCGCAACATCCGGCCCGGAAAGCGAAACGCTCGTCCTCGATAACAGCGCCCATACCACAGGAGGAGACGCGAACGTGGACCTCAATCTCGGTACCGACTCCCCAATTGCAACCAGCACCCCCTCCCTCCAAGAAGGAAAGGTGGGATCCGACGACGGCGACGACTCATCCTTCAGTTCAGGCGCAAAAGTAGCCATCGGCGTGACCGGCGCAGTGGCTCTCGTGATGGTGCTGGTTTGCGCGCTTTTTTATTTCTGGCGGCGACGGCAGCAGCGACGGGAAGAGGCCGAGCTGGACGCGATGTTCGATGGTGGGTGTGGTGGTGGTGGTGGTGTTGGACCAAAGCACACCATGACGGACGGAGGCGACTTTACGAGCAATGATGACATCCCCGGGTGGTATCGTGGGCAGAGGTTGGCTGCGGCTCCAACTCGGGATCCATTCTTTATTAGGGATGCAGGAGGTGGTGGTGCGTGGGGGATGAAGGAGGTCGAGATGCACGTCCCGGCTCCGGCTCCCGCTGCAGCGCCGTACGATTTCCGGACATATCGTCCATGACACATGTGGGGGGCGATGACCGGTGTGATTTTGCGTGCAATGTGTTGTACGGACTACGCCGCGTGCAATTTTGCAATTTGGTGTGGGCGTTGACCGGTGTTTGTGTATCGCTAATTGGTGCTTGGAGTTGGGACGAACTTAGAGAGATAGTTGATAGAGCACATTTTATCATTCACTCTGAACTTCCACGTGTTCGAACGGCGATGGGAAGTTGCTGTGGAAACAACGTTGAGTGAAGATGACCGACCCCTCTGCCCCTGAAGGCACGCACGGGCCACTCAGCTTCCCCAGATGCCAAGAGTCCGGCTCAAGGAGTTCTCAAAGCTCCAACATGTACAATTGCACACAACGCACCACATGGAAGGGAGCGCATAATCGTCAACAATCGAGAGCATCGCTCATGCCTCACGTTGCCCCTAACCTGCTCTGTCATTGTCCGCACTAGTTCGGGATGAGACGATGTCGGCCGAGCCCACGCGCCCGCTGCTGTTGCCTCAGAACCGCAAGCTGCGACACCTTCGCGGTATCGCTCTAAGGAACTTGCGCTTCTCACGACCCCGCGGCCAAACCATTGACGATGCCGCCCTCAATAAGAGCCCCGCAAAGCTCGAGTCGATGCGCAATGCGCCGCAGCTCCACCATGCCCTCTCCTCCGAAGACCTTCGACCGCCGGCTGCGCGCAGGAGGAGCACCAACCTTGCCAATGCCAGCCCGGCCGCAAGACAGAAGAAATTCGAGGACTCGTTCGACGGCAAGCTCGCCGATGCCTTCTTCTCGCTGCATGTCGAGGGCGATGAGGACCCCATTTATATCAGTGAGGTGGCAGAGCGCGCGACGGTACGGCTCCGGAGCGCTGACGGCTGCGAGGTTGTCCGGCTGACTGCGACCAGAACTTCAACTTCCGGCTCTTCGAGCTGGTCGACCTCGACTCGTCCATCACACAATCCCCGCAGGTGACAATCAGGGTATGGGCCAGGCGCCATGACGCGTGGACCCTCCTGCTTGAGGACGAAGTCGACCTGCGAGCCCTCAATTGGCTGGGCAGCCTTCAGAGCGTCCACTTCCCGCCGAACAGTCTGGTCTTCTACATGGTTGACGGTATCTACTCGCTCGAGCTCTCTAGCAAGCCTGCGCCGCCAAAGCATACTCCTCCGGCCCCAATCTCGTCATACAATGCGTTGATGAGATTGGCTACACTCGATAATTCGATCCAGGACGGTCTTGCGACCCGCGAGCGCCTTACGCAGCAGATTAACGACCTTCTTAGTCGAGAAGCGAAGAATGGTGTCCCGGCAGCCGAAGATCAACTCGCCTTGACAACAAAATACCTTGCGCAACAACGGCGAGCCGTGGCCGCAGCCAAAAAGCGCAACGAGGAACTGAAGACCTCCATCACCGCGCGCAGGGAAGCCATAGCCCAGGGCCGCGACGCTCAAGAGAAGGCGGCCCAAGACGTCTCGAACGCGACAGAGAAGCTTACCCAGTCGCAAGCCCTTCTCGCCCAAACGAAGTCTGGAATTCGCGGTCAACGCCGCCGCATCTGCGAAGACCTCTCCCGCATCTACAACATTGCCCCTGTTCCCGACGCGCCCCCCCTGTCCTTCCAGATTTGCGGCCTACATCTCCCCAACACAAATTACGACTCCACGTCCAAGTCACCCACCATTACTGAAGACAGCATGTCGGCCGCCCTCGGCCTGGTTGCGCAGCTCACCGACTCCCTGCAGTACTACCTCGCCGTGCCGCTCCCCTATCCCATCCGCCCGTTTGGCTCCCGGTCCAGCATACGCGACGATATCTCCCAGCTTCCCGATCTGCAGCGCGAGTTCCCGTTGTATTTGCCTCGCGGAGGATCCAGCGCCCAGTTTCGGTTCGACTACGGTTGGTTCTTGCTAAACAAGGATATCGAGGCGCTGTGCAGCTCGCAGGGATTGAAGGTGGTGGACATACGACATACACTACCCAATCTCAAGTACCTGCTGTATGTCTGCAGCGCGGGGAGCGAAGAGGTGCCGGAGCGGAAGAGGGGCGGGGTTAGGGGGTTGTGGGCTGGTAGATTGAAGGGTGGCAGCAGTGTTACCGCTGATGATGCCAGTAGCGGGGGTGCAGGAAGTCGACGGGGGAGTGAAGAGAGTGATAGGATGGGGAGACCCAGGGACGAGTTCAGGAAGGCGGTTGCTTCTGCCGGAAGGGAAAGGAACCATGTCGACGACATGATCGATGGGGGTGTGATGCTGCCCTTCGCAGAAGGGGAGACCAAGTTGACGTTGAGGACCAAGGGGCTGAGGGAGAGCGCGGCGGCTGAATGAGTGACTGTACGGCAGCAAGAGGACGATACAAGCTGGCACACCTTCTCTGGGAAGCCTCCAGTCACCATCGGCGCATCGACAGCATTGACGCAACCTAGGCTGCCGGACCGACAGACAACGGCGCTCAAGTGCCAAGAACACAGATCACACACATCTACTTCGTTGCGGCCCGGTAAGAGGCGATTTCGAGCGTACTTCAAGCTTGCCCACAAGGCCTGCTTTTCTACTTCATCGTGCTTTGTTGGCCAACAGCCTCTTGCGTTGATTCCCGTCCCTGAGCCGTGGCCACAAGCCAGCATGCGAGGAGAGCTTGTCCTTGTTAGATGTGTGTGTGTTGCGTCGATCCCCGGCGGCAACCCCCGGTCTTTGTCCCAACGGGAATAAAAATTCCCTGAGATCGTGGATTGTCTTGGTGCTGAAGAGGACTTACGTCGAAGAGCTCTGGTGGCAGGATGCCAAGCGTACCAACTATAGACTGTGGTATCGGAAGTGCCCTGGAGTTGTGCTCGGACGGTTACCTTGATACTATAAAAATGTTAAGGTGCGTTTTTGGGGAAGCCTTGGGTATTTGAAGTTAGCGGGATAATCGGCTAGGAAGGCTTTGACGTGTCAGGTCAAGTCCTAACCTATGATCAGCCGGTTAGTCAGAATATGGTGCCTCCTAGGCACCTATGACTGACTGTTGAACTTAGGGGGTCACACAGGTTGTATTGCTCACTTGAGGAGTCTGAGACTCCGGGGGACCTTGGTTCCTTACGTACATGGAGAGTCCGTTTTCCCAGTCTTCTACCCCTGTTCCTGCTGTACCGGTACTTCCAGGACCATGCCTAGCTTGTGGTCTCTGCCCCTGATTTCAGCACTGACGCACTAGTATATCGTACCATTCGGTGGTCTTCGTCAGGTAGACTAGGGAAAAATGACGCGAGACAGCAACTTTGGGGTGGTGAATGTCCGATACGGTGGAACAAAGTAGAACTTCACGAACGGATACCAGGGCAAGAGACACGCTTCCCGAATGCGACAGACGGGAGTGTCCTTGGTGGGAAGCCCAAGTTCATTGCGGCGAGACAATGAGAACTAAGTCGGACCCCCCCCATTCCGACCACCCCACTTTCCGACCACTTAGCAAATTCTCACCGCTCTTCCAACCCAACCACTTTAACTTACCACAACTCAGTCAATTTCAGGCCAAACAAGCTTATTTTTGACTATATTTCCGTCAGTTCAAGATGCCTTATACTGAACAGGACTTACATGATGCGATTGCAGAATACTACCAGGGTGGCCGTTCGATGAGAAGTATCTGCCGGGAATTCGGCATACCAAGGACTACACTTCACGACCGCCTCTCTGGCTCCCAAACCCATTCAACTGCGGCCGAATCGCAACAGACCCTTAGCCGGGTACAGGAAGATCATCTTACCCGATGGGTCTTGACCCAGGTTGCCCTCGGTGTTCCACCAACTCATGCCCAGATCAGGGAGTTCGCCAGCCGAGTTCTACAGGCACAAGGAGCCAGCCGTACGACTGTCGGAAAGGGCTGGATGACCCGGTTCCTTCGCAGGAACCCAGTCCTTCGAACCCAGCGAGCCCGTAAGATAGACTCGGTCCGCATCAATGGGGCCACTGACTCAGTCATCCGCAGTTGGTGGCCGCGACTGAATATCCCAGCTATCAAGGACATCCTACCAGCTAACCGCTATAACTTTGACGAATTCGGCATTATGGAAGGCCAGGGAACCAACGGCTTGGTGGTTGGAAGCTCACGAACGCGTGCGGTTCAACGGAGAGTTCCTGGTTCGCGAGCCTGGACCTCTTTTCTTGAGTGTGTCTCAGCGACAGGGGTAGCGCTCCCACCAACTGTCATCTTCAAAGGGAAGAGCCTTCAACAACAATGGTTCCCGGTCAAAAAGGAGGAACTAAAAGAGTGGAAGTGGGCTTCAACTGCTACCGGCTGGATAAACAGAGTGGTTGCATTAGAATGGCTTCAAGAGGTGTTTATCCCCCGGACCCGGCTACAAGATCCCTCCCAGAGACGGCTATTGATACTAGATGGCCATGACAGCCATAGAACTGACGACTTTATGTGGGCATGCTATAAGAACAATATCCAATTGCTCTTTTTGCCTCCCCATACGTCCTATATTCTTCAACCGTTGGATTTGTCAGTGTTCTCCCCCTTGAAGCACATATACCGGAAGCTCCTCAACAAGTTGACCTCCTGGTCCGAATCGACAGTATTAGGCAAGCAGATGATGATCAAATGTATCGTGGAAGCTCGTAAAGAGGCCATTACAGCCCATAATATCAAGGCGGGATGGAGGGCATCTGGGTTATGGCCGGTCAATATGGCTAAACCCCTGATGAGCCGGCTTCTACTGGAAAATTCAAACAGCGTAGCCGGGGTTGATGAACAAATGGCTTCTATACAGACCCCGGTACCTGTTCAAGCCTCTCAGGCTTTGACAGTAGCCACCATCGCATTCCTCAACACACCACAGAAGAAGTCAGACTTACATGGTCAACTGAACAACCTGGCCATCCGGAAACAAGACCTCTCTACCCGCAGGCTTTTGTTCAAGAAGGTTGAGAAAGCTTTTGATCAGAAGGACTTTGAATTGGCTCGGTTACGACAGGAAAACGAAGCTCTGAAGGCTCAGTTGGAAGCGGCCCGGCCGTCAAGGAGGAAGAAGGTAGTTCTTGATCCAAACAGTGTGTTCGCTTCGATTGAACAGATCCACCAGGCTCAAATTGAGGCCGGCCGTATAGATGACTCGGTGGCTGAAGAGAGCGGGTCAGAAAGTGCAGAATCAGAGGTCTCCTGTATTGTGGTAGGTTAAATAGACTGCAATATATGGTGTTGAAGAAGATGGGTGGGTTTGTAGACCAAGATTTGCCAAGTGGTCGGAAAGTGGGGTGGTCGGAATGGGGGGGGTCCGACTTATATCTTATCGTTGGACGCATCACCCTTAGGCTACCGCTGGCTACTACAACAAGACTAGGTAGACAATCCAGCATATGGGGATTTTGTTCTCCCGCTCGAACTGTACATGTAGTCTTGGCAATCATACTGTGTCAAAACAAGGAGCTCTACGATCAGCATTGAAGACCCAGCAATATACAGTATATCGAGTGTATGTAGATCTCCGCTCCACTGAAGCAACCTGCCCTGATACCTCAATATGTGGCACGATGACATCATCCAGTCATGCCTCCTTCCTCCCACACCCTCCCGTATCACTTTATACCTCGTCGCCATTCTAGACTACCTACCAAACCTAGGTACCTACACAACGATTAAATGCTACAATACTATACGTTACAAGCAAGGCAAAAACACCAAAACCCATCTCCCAAAAAAATGTCCCGCTATTACCGCGACCCCCTCTCCGAGCACATGGTAACCCACAACCACGACCTACGCGACGGGTCCATGGGCGAGCCCTCGGGCGGCGAGACAAAAAGGGAGTACGAACAGAGCAAGCCCAAGAAGGACGCTGTCGTTGACGAATCACTACGTCCGTCTCATGTTCTGGGAGGGGAGAAGAACGCGCCTGCGCCGATTCCCACGGAAACCCCCAAGCCAAGGGGGGTGGGTAACGGCTCGGAAATGCTTGACGTCGTTGGGGAGGAAAGGGAGCAGAGAAGGCAGGAAGAGGAGGGTCTGAGAAGGAGTGGGAAGGGGAGCGCAGGTGTTGGGGGCTTGGAGGGCAAGGATTTGAAGATCAACCCTGGTGGTGGTTCAAGTTCAAGTTAGGTGTACTGAATTCGTTGTTCGTGAGGATGTACTGAGCTTGATAGCTCCTTGTTGGGAAATCGATTCAGGAAGAACCTCACCGTTTATGTGAGTGTGTGTTCCGGTCAATGCCAAGCTTGCTATGTAGCCATTAGTCGCGGCAGTGCCTTAGGGGTAAGAAAAAAGAATAAGAAAACAAAGATGTAGAGAAAACGGGGAGAGAGGAATCGGGAAAATTAGCCTATGGAAGATGTGCCGCTTAGATTTCCAAGCGAGGTTCATCCAATGCGTACAATCAACTAAGATAGCCTGCCCTGAAGGCGCAGATACTAGGTAGGCTCCCTAGCATTAGCTAGTAATTATTGCACAGAATGCAAGCACCCAGCCCGGGTTACCGCCTTTCGTCAGTAGAAACAAACTTGACACTCTTCCTCCTTTCCCGCTCGACCCCGATGCCGCCCCTCCCAGGGCTCGAGCTGAGAATGCCAGTCCCTGTCCTCCACGCACTTCCCGACCCCCCGTCGCCGGCCAGGGTGCCTCTCACGCTCTCAACGGCCCTGCTCTGGGGGATATCATTCCCGTCACTGCGCACCGACGCCCCGCCATGTTTTCCGCCAAAGCCAGCAGCGCCAAAACCATCGCCATGGTATTCATCACTAAACTGCCCTGCAAGACCGGCCTCACCCCCTCCGTAAGTGACCCCTGCACCAGGTGTTTCAGCCGCCGCGGCCGCAGCTACAGCAGCAGCAACAGTCGCCTTGGCAACCGCCCTCGTGGCCTCCCTCACCACCCGACTGACATCCTCGGTCCTGGCAAGCGCGCTCTCTGCGCCACGCCTACTAGGCAAACATGTGTGTCCACAGCCGTCCAGCGGACAGCAGCCGTCGCTCGACTCAGCACCAGAAGGGTCGTCTAGGGCGGGGTAGTCGCCCGATTCGAGGACGGAATGCCATGATTGTAGGCACGAGGAATGTCCGCCGTGGCCGCAGCCAGGGCAGTACCACCACGTCGTGAGCACAGCCGATCCCGGTTCCTGCTCCTGGACCGGCCATGATGGGAAGGAGCGGGTGTCGCCATTTCCGAAAGGTATGGGTATCATATTCGGCGCTGTATCCCTGTCTCCACACACCGCACATGGCGCCATGACGGCTTTGCACCGCTCACAGTGCCAGAGAGACTCCGATGACGCAGACGTGCGGTCTACGTCTCGCGGCTTATGACATGAAGTGCAAACAAAGCTCGCTTGAACGCCCTCCTGGGCTGGCGTGAATATTGCGGGATAGTTCTTGCCCCAGTTGGTGAGGGGGGCGCCCGGCCAGCCCTGCATGCAGAGCTTCCGGAGCAGCGCGGCTTCGGCGAAGAGCTTCATACTCATGAGGCGGTGGTAGTGTTGGCGTAGGATTGCTGCAGCTTGGAAGTTGTCGATCACTTCGTCCGGCAGCAGCGGTTTGAGCAGGAGGATGATCGCAGACGCGCTGAGCGCCGAGGACTTGGCCTCGAAAGCTAGAGCGCGCGAGATTAGCGTATAAGGATGCAGGGGCAGGGCCATGGACACGCCTGATGATGGGTGTGTGGGGTAAGGGTATGGGGCATCATCGGGCCAGCATAGATAATCTGTCTCGACGATGAAGGGCGATGGGTCATCGTTGGGGAAAGCCAAGAATTCTTCTGGCTCCGGATGTTGCTGCGAGATAGGGGACTCGGCCGGAAAACAGGGTTCAGTAGTTTGCGACGGAAAATGCGAATCAAAGCTATCGGTCGTCTGCGTAATGGCATGGTGCTCATCCGTGAAGTTGGTCATGTCCGTCTCGGTCCTTGCGAGCTGCATCCTTTGCGGAGGCGCGGCAACGCTGCGTTCGGGGGACGTGCCAAGCTTCTCGCCCCGTATACGGCTCTCAAATTCCTCCGCATCGCCGTTTCGGAGTTGAGCGAGGATGGCGGCTCTAGTTGCTTGCCCTGGGAAGCTGCTGTCCGATGAGACAGTCAGGTCTGTAGCTCGTCTACTGCCCTGGGAGATAGAAAATAAGTGAGCGTAGCTGTCCTCAGAGTCGTGTCGAAAGAGAGGCTGCCGGTCTTGATGCAGAGCTTCAGGGGAATCATGCTCGAGCAGTTGAGTGGGCGTTGGTCTTGGACTGGGAACATCTATGGCTTTGGAGATTGCTTCCGTGTCATAGAAGTCGTACCCCTCTGTGCTTGCGCGAGTGGCTCCACTGTCATGACTTGCAATGGAGAGAGGCTCCGAGTTGAGGCGCCCCCGCCTCGCCAGGGAATGCGGATGGAGTGCTGGAGGCAGGTCGAAGTGTTCTGGCTCGGCGACGGCAGCGGGGCTGGGAATATGTAGTCTCACATCGTTTGCGCCGACACCCGAGCGATCCGGTACCGGGCGGGCGACGGGAGTGGGGACATTGGAGGTGCTTTCGAGCTCTTCCGAGAGTAGAGATCTGGGGGGCAGCGCGTTGTCTAAGCCTATGGTGGGCGCGACCTTGCGCGGCGTCTCTTCTCCGTTGATGCTGGTCTGTACCGGCAGATCAAACAATCTGGTCAGTGCATCGGCCTTCGCCTTTGCTTTGGCCTCGTTTTTCTTTTTCACCGAGTGGTGGTGGTGTTCCAGGCGGCGTGCAAGGTGATACTGTGCCCGCCTGTGAAGCAGCATGTCCGCTGCGTAGGCAAGGATGCGCCATGTCTGTGCGAGCCGGAATTGCTTCACGTTGGCGGCGGCCCTGGCGTAATGTTCGAGAATCGTCGCGACCCTGTCCGGCAAGGGACCCGCCCCGGCTGAGAAGGGGAGGTCCCTGTGGAGTGCTTCGAGGTAGTTCACCGCCAAGTATCCATACACCTCCACATTGGCAGCGGCCGGGGCGTGGCCAACTGCCATGGCCTGCTGGGGCCTGTAGGTGCCGGAGGCTTTGATGGTCTGCTCAAGTGACATTACCTCGTCCATACCCGGGCCAGCTGGGGGCGTCGTACTAAGCGTGGCTGTGGATCGGGTGCTAGGGCGCCGCCTCCGGCTGCCACGCCGTCTGGGCCCAATGAAGGTGCCGATGGCGTCATCCTCAGAATCGCTCCTACTGACGCTGAACTTGGGCGTTGTGGGACTGGAGCTGTAGGCCGGGACCCCCACGGCATCGTGGTGCAGAAGATGTGGTCGGGGACGGTGGGGGGGAGGTCGCTCATCGAGCAGCATCAGTACGTCACCCCGCGGGGAGAAGGCCATGGTTGACACAGCCTGGCGGTCGATGACCTTCGGCGCAAATGAGATGTCGCACTGGCTGAAGAGTCCATCTTGTCCCGCCGTCCACAGGAGGTACTGGTCGTGCCAGAGCATGCCACTGGGCGAGCTATCGAACCGTTGGATCTCCTTGTAGGGCATGGTGGGCCGCGCGAGATCCCAGACGTGTACCACACTGATTCCGTAGCGCTTCTGGCCGCTTTCGTCATAGGACATGGCCAGTTGCGAGGCGCGCTTCCCCTGGGCGGTGGCTGACCACTGGCCGGGACGCCAGGCAAGCGTGCCGGCGGGTGCCGGAGTCGACAATGTCCACTTGGGCTTCTGCCGCTTGTCCTGCTTGGACATGTCCCAGATGTTGCACTTGCTGTCCAGCCCTGCGCTGACGAGGTGGATGCCGTCCGGGTGCCAAGCCATCGACGTGCACGACTTCTTGTGAGCCGTGATGCGCAGGAGCGGCGCACTGGGCTTACGCATGTCCCACTTCAGCACGGAGCCCTGCTCGGTCGCGCAGGCGAAGAGGAAGCCATCCCTTGGGTTCCACTGGACATGGTGCACGCCGTCCGCGTTGCACTTGAAGGCTTGGATGGACCGGAAGGTGGCGCCGGTCCTGGTCTGCGTGGGCTGGCGCACATCGAAGCAGCGCACGATGCCGTCCTGGCTGCCCGACAGGAGCCACGAGTTCCGGTGAGGGTTGATGTCGAGCGAGTTGATCTGGCGCGAGTCTTCGCGGATCTGAACGCAGTCGACCGGGGCGCCAAGGCCAGTGGCCCCGGCACGCACGAGATCGTACTGGAAGATCTTGCCGTTGGAGCCAGCGGTGAAGATGGCCTGCTTGCCCTGCGACTCTCCCCACTTGGCGGCCTTGATGGAGAGTTGGTCGGCGGCAGAGGTGGGGATGTTGTTCCGCTGAGAGGGTTGCGCGGCAAGCAGAGCGCGGAGGTCGACACCCTCCTTGATCGAGAGGCCGTCGAATGTCACCGTCTTCAAAATATGTCGGCCGGCGAGCACGGCGGAGCGCCCGTCGGGGGAGCTATCGAGGCAAGCGATCGGCACGCCAGCATCGTAGACCACATCTTGCGATGCCGTCGGGCGGTAGTGCGGCGCAAGCGGCGAACTGGTGATGGCTGCCGCAGCCGGCTCATCGTGGGCCGAATTAGGGGTCCCCTTCCCTAGCAGCTTGCGCATGATCTTGCCCTGGTTGCCGATGCCGTACATATACATGGCATCATCTCATGCATGGAATAAACTACCACCAGTCAAGGTGTCATGGCGCGGGCCATTCATTCACTTGGGTCGTGGTCGTGGAGCTGTTATCGCACTAGTGGCTGCTGCGCCTTGGACTCTCCTCTGGGTAAACGGGGTGCGAAGGGATTGTGATGCGCGCATCTGAGTCTATCCCATGTCGTCCGCCGGGGTGTTCACTGATCATGCTGCAATGACTTGAGTGGCAATCGATGGATGTGGTGATTCGGGCGCCACGCAGCTGCCGTTGCATCGCAGTATCCCGCTAAAAAGCGCCCCGCCCTACCGAATCGAGGAAGGTGCGGTCCGGGAATTCTCCAGAACTTCGAGTTCCAGCCGCGTTCCTTCTCGCTCGGGCAGCTTCTGCACCTCTAGCAACTGCGACAATCACCTCGTCATTTTACCATCCACTCCGTCGCATACTCACCCCAAATTCGCGGAGATCCTAGAGGAAACAACGCCGAACTCCAAAGATGGACCCCGGCAGGCAAGCGATGATCAACGGGTGGAAATCGCCGCGGAAAGATAGAGAAAGGGACATCACGGCACCACGCTACGATGCGGCGAACCGCATAACCAAGTCTACCCGCCAACCGCCCTCGTCCACGAAGAGTAACACAGCAACAACTGCAAGCAGATATCTTACTCAGGATCAACAGTCGGAGCAGTTCGTTGCCGACGAGGACAAGTTCGTTTTGAAGCAGGCAAAGAAGAAGGCCGACATCCGCGTTCGAGAACAGCGCGCCAAGCCTATTGACTACCTCGCATTCGGTCTGCGCTTCATCGACCCCGGCCGCGACGTCTTCGACGACGACGATGCCGATGTCGAGATCCGGATCCCTGCGCCAGAGGCAGTGCTACAAGGCCTGAACGAGGCGCAGCTGAAGGAGCTGGAGGAAGACATCCGGTCGTACCACACGCTCGAGGCCAACCTTCGGAACAGGGAGTACTGGAGTGCGCTGCTGGTGCTCTGTGCCGACCGCCGCCGCATCCTCAAACCCCAAGGCCCGGAAGGACGAACGGTGAACTCGGTGGCGTCGGATATCGATCGTATCCTGAGCCCGAAGACCCTGGAGCAGCTGGAGGCGTTGGAGAAGCAGATCATGGCCAAGCTGCAGTCAGACGAGCCCATCGACACCGACTATTGGGGAGAGCTGCTCAAAAGCCTATTGGTATACAAGGCAAAAGCCAAGCTAAAAAGTGTGTGCGCCGCCATCAAAGATGCCCGGGTCGAGATGCTCCGGAAGCGCGACCCGGAAAAGGCGCAGGCGCTCGAAGCATCTAGTGGGTTTGCCGCTGCCGTTCCGGACCTTGCCCCGGGCTCCACCAAGCATGCGTCCACCAAGCCTGCGTCCCGGCCCGCGGCATTGACGGCGGCATCTCAAGCTAGTTCCAGTGCCCCGCCGGCAGGAACCGCTCGCTTTGCGTCGGCCGAGAATGAGGACTTTTCTCAGGCGACCAAGGCATTGTACGACCGTGAGGTCGCCAGGGGTGTCAGCGAGAACGAGGAGATCTTTGCGGCGGAAGAGGCGGTTCCGGGCATTCAAAAGCCTCTGTGGGCCGACAAGTATCGGCCTCGGAAGCCGCGCTACTTCAACCGTGTGCTGATGGGGTACGAGTGGAACAAGTACAACCAGACGCATTACGACCACGACAATCCGCCGCCCAAGGTTGTCCAAGGGTACCGGTTCAACATCTTCTACCCTGATCTGATCGACAAGACCAAGGCTCCAACGTTCAAGATCATTCGAGAGCACGGACGCCGGAAGGGCGAGTCATTCGCCCCCGCCGGCAAGGAAGACACCTGCCTCATTCGTTTCATTGCCGGCCCGCCTTACGAAGACATTGCCTTCAGGATCGTGGATCGGGAGTGGGACTACAGCGCGAAGAAGGAACGAGGCTTCAAGAGCAGTTTTGACAAGGTATGTCCACGCACGTGTTTTTCGCCTCATGCTGCTGTGCCCCTTCGGTGGATTGAAGATCGCGCGGGTTGCATGTGTCTCGGGCCCAGCCCGCGACCCGCGCTTATTTCTCTGCCTGCCAATGTACGCCACTGCCCCCGCCTGTCTCTGCGCCTCTAGCCGGTGACTCGCGACGACACTCGGATTTTCGCCATGTCATGTCTCACTTTGAACGTCGACGTGATACGCTTGGCTCGAGTCCCGCGCTAACTTCACGTCCACAGGGTATTCTGCAACTGCATTTCCAGTTCAAGAAGGTATGTTAGCCTTCCAAGGACTGTTCCCTCCTCAGTGACACAAACCTCAAAACTGACAACGCGTGCAGATTTATTACCGAAAGTAAATACCCACGGACGATCACACGGCCTCTGGGGTGCACTCCTCGTTTACCGGTACGGAGCTTTGGGCAGACGAGGCTCTTGGGTGGATGTGGCCTGACCGAGGCGACGCCGGCCCGTTTCTCAGCCCGCATCTCGAACGGACTGGCTCTTGTGCATGTATGATCTCTGCCGATACTGCAGACGGATGGGCTCACTGCCGACCGTCCACAGAGCGATTTGAATGAAAGCTGAGGAGAGCACAATGACCAGCCTTGCTTTGCTTGTACGACACTCGTCCCTGGACAGGTCATCACTCCGCCATTATCTCCGCGAGCTAGGGGTCCATTCCGTCACGTCTGGGCATGCCGCCTCCCGGGCCTGGAGTGTGGAACATGATCGCTCCACTCAGTTCCACGCTTGAGCAGATCGCTGTCCGGAACCGTTCCGCCTGCGCTACGGCCTCGACAGACTGACCCTTGGCCGCGGCATTCTGTGCCGCAGAGGTGACAGCCTGCCAGTGTCTGCAATGGGTCACAGCGGTCCGAGACACGCACCGGTAGAGAGATCTAGATTTGTGTTCCCATCACGTTCCTGTGGTTTGCTGTGCCAGCTTAGTGGCTGTCTCTTCCGCGTTCCTGAGATCACGGATGGCTTGCTGCTGCTTGCCCGATGACAAGCACCAAGGTGGCTGCGCAAATGCTCAACCTGCGTGTTTCGACAGGCCTTCTAGAATGAAGCACGCACGCTCCTGCAACCCAGAGATGACGGCCGGAGCATCGCACGGTGTGAGATGCCTTCGTCGGAGCCAAGCGTTGCATGGCCATTGGGTGTGGCCGACCAACTGTCATAACCCGTTGCTCGCCCAGCCGCCCCTGATTGGGCCTGTCAGGCACATGCCCGGTGACATGCACCTTGCCGGAGATCTCTCTTCTAGTTCTCCCGCCAGTTCTTGTTTATTCGGCCAGAGCTTTGCTCGTCTGCCTGTCGCGGACTGGCGGCGAAGACAATAGCAACGACATGGGCGGAACAGCGGAAAGGGAGTCGGAGTCGACAAGCTGCAGGTTGACAATTGAGTTGTTGACAATCCACGAGCCGTCACCGCTTCTCAGTTCGCGGACGGCTTCCTGCTTGCCGCCGCTAACGATATGCCGGCCCGATGCTGATGCTTTTGGGCGTGTATCGGGAAATTCCACTCCCAGGCCAATGCATGGCAAGCGTCCCCATGTCGGATTTTGTCACCTTTCATTCCCACTCATCTTGGACCAGTGACAACGTGCGGCAGAGTATGTGGAGAACGCAGCCCGGCACTGTACGATATGCAGGCCGAGCCGCGATCGCCCCAATGCTCAAGGTTTGGTCTCTGCCGGGGCCACCCCGGAGCTGTGGCTGTTCGATACAACTTACTCTTTCCTCAACGCCTGGAATGCCAGAGCAGGCAAAAGCCCCCCTTCTGCGTTTGCCTCTGCCTTTTTTAGCACACAACACACCTGTACACACACAGACACACATAGGCACACACACACATACACACACACACACGCACACACACACATACATACACACACATGCCTCCTCTCCACGCCCACAACGCTACTAGTATGTACAGGCTACAAGCACCGGTACACAACCACACGGTGTGCACTGCCAACCCTCCACATATCCAGTCCATGAACATGCGGTACCTGGTACCTCTGCCATAGCACACAACGGCGGCATCCCACACATTTCTTTTCTGTCCACGCAACACAGGTGCTAGTGCAGACCTGCAGGCACGTTGTCTGCTCCGGCCTGCTGATATAGAGCCCCCGCCAGCCAAACAATGTGCTGGCAGCAGTCAACCTTGCACCCGTCTTGCGTCTCAGTCTGCATACCCCTGCTCCTTCAGCCTTCCAGGGAGACGTAGCAGTCGGCCGTTGTAACCCGGGTCCCGGGTTCTTGAAGGTACCGAGATACATACAAGGCCCGTCTCAACCAGCACCTCCCTGCCAGGGATCGCCGTATCCGGGTTGGGGTACATCAACCGCCGTGGTTAAGTCGGTCTTGAGCCCAGGCTCATCTCCCCGACCAACAAGACCGGCCTGGCCGCTCAACTGGGACTACTTCTGTGCTGTCATTCCAAGCCCCAGGCAAACCTCTCTGCACATCAAACTCATATCACTCTGACCCTCTCAATTCTTGCTGGCTCTGAGTCTCTTTGTCCCCCACTCCATCGAGCGAGAGACCCAGTTTGCGCTTCGACGGTCCAAAGCATCAGACAGCCTTTGTCGTCGAGCACAGCTTCTCTCTCCCGTCTCGACCCATGTCGACACTCTTCAATATGGACGCCGTCTACGACCCATCCCCACAAGTCGCTCGGACAACGGCCTCTCCTGACTCAGCCCAGGTGGAACAAGAGTTGATAGCTGGTATGAGCGCCCTGCGCAGCCATGACGGTGATGCTGGCAGCCAGCGAGCCTATGTGCCAAGCCAATGGAGCGCCTGCCTCGGGTCACAAGCGGGCAGCGACGACTTTGACAACTACGCGCTTCACAACTCACCGACAATGACATACGTCCAGCATCACGAGAACTCGGCTCAGTCTTCCCCGCGCTGCTGGGACTCTCCAGAGCAGCTTGGGCCTACGCCTTGGGAGGCAGCGACAGAGCAACTTCATAACCAGTACCCTGGACTGGACCCCCGGCTTTCAGGCGCGATCTATCTCCCTGGCAATCTCAACAACACAGTGCCAACATCGTATCCTACCGATCCTGTACCCTTTGTCCCTTCCCAGAGCTTTGACGGGTCCCAGATTGTGCACCAGCGTGGCCAGAGTCCAGCAAAACAGAGTCCGGTTGGTTATCAGCCTTCGCCAAAAGAGGGATCTCCCTTCACCAGCAGCACCAACCCCCCCGAAAGTCGTCATCCTCTATCGCCCTGGACCACCGCGACGCTTGGGCTGTCCACAGGATACGGCATGCCGAGTTCTCCTAGCGACCGAGCGAGTCACCAGGCTGCGGTCGAGTTCACGGCCACGGGTCACCGGAGTCGAAGACCTCCAAGAGCTCGAGCTCGAGCTCGAGGCGCAACGCACAGTTCTAATGGCAAGGAAGAACCCTACGCAAAGCTAATCTATCGCGCGTTCTTGAGCACTCCTCGTCGGGCCATGACTCTGCAAGAGATCTACCAATGGTTCCGCGAGAACACCGACAAGGGCAAGACCGAGAGCAAGGGCTGGCAGAACAGCATTCGACACAACCTGAGCATGAATATGGTAACTCTATTCTTCCTCGGCTACACGACAAGCGGCTAACAAGCGTGTCTCTCCCAGGCGTTCACTAAACGTGAACGTAAACTCGGTAGCTGTAAAGACGGCGACGCTGAAAGCGGCTACGGAAGTGGCAGCCAAAGCGACGGCAGGAAGGTCAGTGAGTGGTATCTCGAGCCTTGGGCGGCCGAGGGTGTGCAGAGCACCACCAAATACCGCAAGCACAGCAGCCGCCGCCGGACAACAAGCTACGGCGGATTCGCCTCAGGAGCTCGCATCTACCGGAGCTATTTTGCTCCCCACCCCTCCAGCAGAAGGACAGGCATCGCGAATGGCATCCTCGCGGGCAGAACAGTCCGTTCTGCCCGCCAGGCCTTCGCTGCTGCGTCCTCGCGTAGCAACACTGGTGTCGATCTCAATGCCGGCGCGCTTCAGCCATACCACTTCTCCCCACCGCCGCAGCAGCACCTCCGCCAACCTTACATCTCCCACCTCCTTGACACCGACCCTTCCAATGCCACGTCACCCTACGGAACAGAGACGACAGATGCGACAACGACACCGTCTTTCTTCGCTCGCCACAGCCCACAAGCAAGTCAGACCGGTAACAATACCATGGACTTCGGCTACCCAGACCCGCAGCTCTTCTCAATCGGGGGAACAGCAGGACGCGCGTCAAGCGAGCCGGGCGGAGCAGCGCTCGACATGGACAACAACGAGCCCGTCACACCCGAGCCCGCCTCGTACGGGGATGAAGCCGGCATGGTGCCAGGTCCGAGGGGCGTCGGATATCGTCATCACCACCAACAACAACTGGGCAGCCATGAGAACCAGCATACGCTGTCTTCCGCGTACCCTGCTCTGCAAATGTACGACGAGATGGTGGACCGCTACCAAGGGTGGGACGGCCCTGGGCCTGTTGTAGGGATGGGCAACATGGATGCTGGGGAGATGGATATGAGTGTGGAGGGGGTTTTCGGTCTTGAGCAGGGATACAGCAACAATTGCCTGGACAGCGGGAATCACGGGCCCGCCGAAAGACAACTGGAGATTTGACTTTCGACTGATTCAGACTGTGGGATTTTTTTTTTACAGTATTATTGTTAATGATGGCTTGGCTCTACTCGGATGGATGGGATAAGGGGGTCGGGTGGCCAGTATGCTTTTTCTTGTCCTTTCTCTCTGACGGTCTGTCCCTTCTTTTTTGTCTGATACACGAAGGGCATACACCATCTGCAACGGACTGGGACAAGGAGTGGTGAAGTTGGAGGGGTGATTGCTTAATCCGGCTTGTACTGTGGACTGCATGTACAATTTTATTGTTTCCAGGTTGACCTCAATTAGATACAGACTGCATCTTGTCAGAAGCGCCCTAGTACTAAAACGGTACCAATGCTTTGGTTGGTCGGTTAGGTGGCTGTCTGAATCAGTTGCAGGCGCAAGTTGGTTACAGACTCGGCACAAAGAAACAGCCTTGGCGGGACTCGGTCGTTGGTCCCGCTGCATTGTACTGGCAGTATCCTATCAATTGTCAATTTTTTTCTGTCTCTCTGATCTCATGTCGTATCATCGAGATCACAAGCACGAATGCAGCACAACGCATGAATATCTTGGACGATCTGATGTGGTATTGGAGGGCAGATGGGCGGCTCGTTGTGTCCGACACTGCAGGCCCCCCGGTCCATGCGGGGGCGGTTGGTTTCTTCTCTCAAAGCAACAGATCTAAATCGCAGGACCGGTAGCCCGTATTGTACCTACCTAGTTAACTGAACGTTAGAATTCCTGCTCTTCCCGTCGGCTCCTGGAGCGCAGTGCCGTAAAGTTGCATCTCGCAAGTTCCTGCTTGCCTTCTTTCTCCAACAAGCTATCAAGCTTCTCGATGCACGATGAATGCTGAGTGCGTACAGTGCTGCTGCACAGTAAGATGCGATTGTATGCCAAGGCGTCTCATTCAGCCCGATCATGGCGGGGTTGACAAGAGATAAGGTGCGTCAAAGATGGATTTTCAGGGCTTGGCTTGTATCATTGATGGAGGGCTAATTACCTATTAAGCGAACAAAAAGAAATGGAAAACTGACTTGCTGCTGGCTCCTAGTGTGGTTCTGTCACCTTTTTAGATCATGGCCAAGAACCTGTCGGGGTTCTTGTGCGTTCTTGTCGAGGCAGTTGGGGCCGTTTGTATGGCTCGGTTACCGTAGTTCGCCGAAGAGGCTTCCCTTTTGGACAGGAATCCCCTGTAATTCTTCCAACGCGCTGGATATCCGTACTTTCCCCAGTTCGAAGTGGAAGCAAGCTTCTTATGCTTGACCTATGCGGCCCACAGTAGTCAAACATTAAGTTGTGTGTGTATTGAAGTCAGATTCGGCGGCCCTGAACAAGTTACGAGATCGCCAGTCGCGCTAAGTTACCTTAGCCAGCGCGCCAAGCGTTTGATGTGGAGGAAGAAGGGTCTTTGGATCAGCGCCCATCTCCAGCCACGGGCGGGGCGTGTTGGAAATGATTCGTTCGGTGAGTAGCACGGCGAGACGGCACCTGATTCTCCCTTCGGGCATCGGAAGCTTATGTCCACGGCATATCCTGGACTAGCGTGCCTTAGCAACCTATGTACCTACATTAGAGGTGGCAATACGCTCGACTCTCGAGAGGTGAGGGTTCTCTAAGGATGTCCGAAATCCGTCGGGCCGTTCGGGCGCTCCCTTGTGAGAAGCATGGGATCCCATAGTCTTGAGTAAAGCTCAGCATCTCGGCAGCTAAACTCCGTGAGGGGCCAGAACTGATCGGCGTAATTAGAAAACAGAAGGCAAGTTGTGTTTCTGCGCCCGCACAGAGAGGGTATAACGGAGCCGGCAGATTGCCCGCCATGAGGTGACGACTCGAGGAAACTTCCATGCAGGACAATGGCGCCATTGGCGGTGAATCAGTGGCTGCCCGTTCGGCCCCCCGACTTGGAGGGCAGGACGATATGCCGTTTATAGCCTGGCCGAGTTGGCGAATCACAAGTTCCCTAGCAGCTAATTCCACGCAAGGAACTGGTACCAGTGCATGGACGAACTAGTATTGTACATTGAGTACCGTACTTCCTTACCTTCGTGCACCCGGTATGTACGTACAGTGCGTTTCGGTGACTCTGCACAGCCTCCACCGCAGCCTTGTAAGCGACCTACATCTGTTCCGGTGTAACGTCAATGGCTTCAAGCAGCTCGGTCAGTACCGTCACAGTCACGAGACGTAAAGATAGACCGTCGGTGTAGACCGTGGCTTGCATCCATCAACCTTGACCGACTCGGAGACCCTTCACGAACGCACTCTGAGTCGGAGACACTGCAGGAATCCACTCGGAGACCAAGGACAGGCACTGTACAACCTAAGGTAATACCTTACTGGCACAAGCTGGCGTCCGAGTGACCGACACCACCTTGTCTTCGACTACAACTGTAGCATCTGTGAGCTATGTAGCCTAGCCGTTTAATGCAGATTCTCCCTCTCAACTATGGATCGCTTCCAACAGGAGGTTCGGGATCCAATATTTCGCATTTCAGTGGCCAATGAACGTCACCATTGGACCAGGGCATTCAAGGGTAACAAAACACATCGCCCACTGGTGCCTTGACTACAGCCATGCCATGAAGGTTAGACTCTGCAACGGTGCTGCATTGGTTTTACATGTCAAGCTAGATCGACAGGTCGAGCCAACTGGCCGCAGCAAGGACAACTGCTGATAAAGCCATTCCAGAATGGGCGTGGAAGATCACATCTTTGGCTTGACTTGTGGCGGTTGAATTTTCTGCGCTTCATTCCGCATGACGATCTATTCTGGTACTCCTTTTCCCACTCCCCCTTGCTCTGGCCAATGGTACTCTCCCTTCCGCTTCTGAAACGTCCAGAAGCGGTCAAAGATGCTCAAGTAGAGTGCGGCTGTGCCATTTCCCACCTAACGCTGCAGCCCCCAAAGCATGCTGTGCAACCACCATTGGGACTCGGGAGCCGTCTTTGCTTGGGATCGGGCCGAAAGACAATTCTCTTTCCTCGGCCTGCAGTCTTGCAAACGGCTCCTCTCTGCATGCAAGACGTGCGAGCGTGGCAGAACTAACGGTACGGATATGGCGACGGCTACCGTCACGGTGTCGGCGTCGCAGAGGGGAGGCGGCGCCTCATCACTAGGGTGATGGCCCCATTCGGACCCGGGTGGGAATCGGGACCCGAACCACCGACGCCGAAAGCCATCGGCCTTGTGGCGAAGATCTCGATCTCTGCTGGTGGTCTTCCATGTTAAGAACCACTTTGAAACACATTAAAAGCCAAGCCACTGCAATCACCGTGAAGTGAGGGGATCCTTGGCATGTTCGGTGTGCAACTTCTTTCTGGCCTAAGCAATTTAAGCGCCGTGCCGCTGCCCAAGATAGGTATGCACGTTAGTAAGGCACTACTAGGTACCTACTAGTATTGTTCGTACTGATGACCGGTCAGGCTCGGTGAGGATGTCGTGCCTGCCCGGTTTCAACTTACGAGGGTTGCCAACTTGCCGTTCAAAGTTCCAAACTCGCGACGTGCGGCCCCAAGTTCAACTGGGGCGCGTACGTTCCCCAACTGAGCCGAGCTCCGCTCATATCAGGTACGTTTAGTCTATCCCAATAGCGGAAGGCGCGATCCCGTGACGAAAAGGCTACGGGACGATGTGACACCATGGCGCGCAGCTTTGGAGTGACGAGACCAGGGTGCAGGCGATCATAATGGGTGGTGGGTCCAGCTGCTGCCCTGTGGCGTGTCTCATTGGTTACCGTTCTGTCGGGACCGCTAGCGGCTTCTCAGTCTGCCAATGGGGAACGCGCCTTCCTCGATCACAGCACCCATGTGTCTGCAGAGCAGGCCGCCGAATCAATAGTTCCAGACTGGGCAAATGTTGACGAGAAAGTTGTCGACCCTAGGAGACAGAAGATCATTGCCGCAGGAATCCTGTGAAAGCCCGCGGCGTCAACACGGCATGGGAGCGAGAAGGTGGACTCCTGGATCAGATGAGTATCTGCATAGTTACCCGGTATGCCTTGTATCAAAGGAATCCTCAAAATGAAGGAGACGAGACACAAAAGACCGGGGCCTGACGACCACTCCTGGGGCAACGGGACAAAACTCATGTGGCTGTGGTGTAAGGGCCCAAAGTGGCCTCCAACCATGAACTCATTGAAGTTGCGGGTCAACTCAAATTTCAGTCCGCTTTCAGACAATAGCTGCAGGGTACAGGCCGTTACGGGAGGTGTGAAGACCGAAAGCCGGGTGTGAGTTGCGAGAGATTCGATGCTCATGTGCAATTAACTCTTACAACGCCGCCAAGTCTCAGCCAATGAACTCTCTTCTGCCCAACAAGGCGCACACTATTGCAATTGCTCATGCTCAGCGTTGCGCTTGCAATCTTTTAGCTTCTCTCCGCCTAGCATGCGTCCTTGAGGATGTGAAAGTAGAAGCATCGGTGTCGGAAATTGAACGACCGTCCCGAGGTATCCGGAAGATAACGCGTTGGCCGTGGGAACCCCTAAACAGCTTGACAACTTGTTGTTCGTGCGTTCCCATTAAAGTGACAGTCCGCCTCAGATGTACGAGTTAGGTACACTGGCAATGCCTTTTACGACGTAGATCGCCTAATATCTCTTCGAGACCCAATGACCTCTATGACACCAATACACGTTCAAGCTTTCAGTTCAGACACTGCTGAATAGGTAGTACGAGTAATTCTTGTAACCCCAAAACCGAAAGGACCGCCTGGGGCTTGGACGCCTGCAAAACGCTTCTAGCAGACAAAGGCCCCCCATATCGTACAGACGCTATGTGTACAATACCTGGTTATCATACCGTACTTCCAGGCTGATACATACGACCCCCCTCACCCGTAAACGTGGGGTGCCTGATCACGAGCTGATGCACCACTCGCCCCTCTCTAAAACGAAAGGGCAATATTGAGAGCCTGAGACTAACAATAGCCTTGCTGTGTAACATAAGTCTACTATGCCTCAAACCTCAGTGCCACAGTGCTCGTTGACAGGGCGATACTACGGGGTCGCCCGTGCAATAAGACTGCGGAAGGCAATAGCACCAACAAAACATGCTATTTAGCCACGTCCATGTCTCATGCGCCAGCGTGTGGCTCGATGTATGTAAAGCCCCGACCAGCAAATTTCGGCCGAGAGCCTGTTTGGTGGCTGTAGGCCTTGGAGGGTATGATGTACTTGTACATACAATACGTGTCTGTACACACCGTGCGGGATACCGTGGCTGTATTGTACTGTACACACCCGCGTACAATACAGAACCAAGTAGGGGTGCTTGCTCCGATTGCCGCGGCACTTTTCCGGACTCCGCTCGATCGAGATTGGATCGGCCATAAAACCTGGTTCGCGGGACCGGTGTCACCATGTCGCTTCCACTTGCTGCAGAGATGCACAGAAGCCCGCGGGGAAGTCGCCCGACTGTCCGTTGTGACCTGTCTCAGACTGATGGCGACTTTGAGGACATGATGGAAGAAGCCTTTATTCTACACGTTATGCTATGCACTAGCGGCTATCATCGACAGAGCCTTCGCTCAATGCGAATATCCCTATAGAATATAGATTCGGAGCAACAACAATGAACTAGCCGGCACCCAGCCCCTGAAGCCGACGCGAGCCGACACGATTAATGGGCCCATATCAGGGGAGCAGGGCAACAGCGCGGTAAACAATTTCCCCGCGTTTCCCGCGGCGACGTGTCGTTCATATCGACCCGAAGGAATGCACTGAGCGAATGACGGCCACAGCGGGTGTGAGCAAAGCAAAGCACAATACCGCAATGCTGCCTGACTCACTACCCTACCTACCTTACCCATTGCCGTGTATCTAAGGTACATAGGTGAACATAAGCTCAATCCTCGAGGGCCCTGGTACAATCTCAAAAGACAAAAAAAAAAAGAAAAAAGTAAACGGGCGTCTGCATCGCGGCTGTCCAACAACGACCCCTGTTTTACCTGCACCTGCATTGCCCATCCCCTTTTGCTTCCACAAATCGAAATCTCAGCACCGTAATAAAGCGGCGACCAGCCCAACCACTGCTTTTCTTTTCTTGCGCAGGTGGCCCACGGATCGGAACGCCTGCAGCGTGCTACTGCACCGGGTCCGCCCTCCTCCACTCCTGCCGGTAGCCCGATCCCGCTTTCGCCGGCCGATGGTTTCATGCCAGCGGAGTTCGGCCATAGGGATCGATTCGAGAAATAACGAGAGGGAAAAGGAAAGACGGTTTCGGTTACAGTCCTCGCGGCAGTCTGCCCACCCTCGCTGGGAACGCTCGGATAGACCTACTTCCGAGTAAGGTAGTCAGAAACTAATATGTTAGCCCAACAAAAGAAGAGGGGAAGACTCTGTAAGTTGATGGCGTATTGCATGTACCGATTCCATAGAAGTGATTTGTCAAGTGCTTGGCCGGTCTAGTCCTTCTAATGCAGAGGATCATCTCGCTGGAGTCTCTGTCGGATATGACTACGGATCCGGAGAGAAGAAATACCTGTCCTGCCGCAAGTAGCCTGAACATACAGTCTGCATAACGATGACGCCGCAGTTCAGCTTCCGAGTGGAGGGGGCTTACAGGCTGCCGTGGGGTCTCCTGCTGTGTTACATGGGTGGTAGGTATCCGAGAGGCTATCGGTCCGTGGAGGGTTCGCTCATGGCCATTGAATCACCCACAGTTAGGCACGTTAACCTAGAGAGAATATCAGACAGGGAGGCTACCACCCCCTTAGCGGATATCCGCCTGGGAGTGCCTGAGCCAGGTGGGTGAATCACTGGCCTATCTTTGCATGAGCACCTAGTTTGGGCTTTATCAATGAAGCAGGAGACGGAGGCACCTATCTGCAAAGCATACCTTGCCGACAACTGAAGTCTATGCACTGCCTTTCTCGCCACAGAGGTACTCCGTGACTACGCGGCGGAACGGCCGATATGTGGCACTCCACGTCATATCTCGTCTGCTGAGGTGCTCGATTACGGGGCGAGTCGCTATCACTTATCATCCTTTACGTATCGTCCCAAGAGAACGTGACAAGAACGGGCCGAAGGGGAAACATGCGCTTCATGTATCTGGATGCGCCAAAAATCATTCTTCCTCAAATCAACTTTGAAGTGTCACAGTATGTTCCGCTCGGAAAATGTAGGCCGGCACCAACCATCGGATAGAGACTATGCACTTGCCGCGGGTTCTCGCTGCCTCAGACCACGAGCTATCATTCGTCCTTGCATCGAGTATCGCCTGTGTAAGCCGCGAATGAGCCTGTGTCCGGATCTGCTCGCCGTGATTCATGGTTCCTTCTATGGAGCATGTCGTGAAGTCGTACCAGATGCGGCTGCGCGCCCGGCCGTAAGCGTATTTGACTCGGTCCTTTGTATGGTTGTCCTGTCTTCCTTCCGGGTAGGTGCTGTCCGACCAATGTGGTAGCATCATCCCGAGTAGGGGTGATGACGACCTAATCTGTCCGCGTGCATTCCGTTCTGTAACCCGACGTACATCGCTAAAGTATCCGAGTGTAACAATCTTGCGTCGCCGGCCTGGCTGTAAGGTGACACGCAGCCCTTCGAGGGGATATTCTGAAACCTTCTCTTTGGCCGGGGCTTCGGTATCGCCGCATCTGTTGTGTGCTGTTCCTCCAGATGGCCGGTGGGTACTTGCAGTACGCATGGGACTTGAACCGTGGTTACACAGATGCAGTTACGACACCGAGCCACGGGAAGGCGTACAAATGCACGGTACAATGAGGCGGGACACCGGCAGCTATCCGCAGCCCTGGTCGATCCTTGGCTGTCCTTGGGGTAGTGTATTGACAGGATGCATTGTTTCACCCAGCTCAGCCTCGTCCTCATGGCCCACGACACGTCGGTCTCTGTCTCGGCTGATGCTGCTGACTCCCCAGAGTCTATCCGCAGGGTCCCTGAAAATTGAACGGGAAGAGTATCGAGGGCAGTCTCATCTCTCATTTGCGCAACGTAAAATGACAAGAAGATCACTCTGTGCATGTATAGACGGATCTGTGCGCAACAGTAAAATCCCCTGCAGATCTGGGCGAGGACCAACTTGTCTCAAAACAACCGTACCGCGTTCGAGTATCAAAACCTGCGCTTCTTCTTCGCAGGACCCGCAGCCGCGCGCTTCTCCATTTCCCTCTGGAGCTCGGCCCGCTTCCGGTCGGCTCGTTCCTGTGATGTCTCTCGTTTCCGCTCTTCCTTAGGTGCAGTCGCCGGTGTTCTGCTTCGACCCCTGGAGTCATCGCTCGCACTCGCGGCGGACGGCTCCGGAACAGGACTTGGCGCTGTCTTCCCGATCACGCCAAGTTTGTGCCTCTTTGGCAGTTGGCTCGATCCACCTTCTGGTGGAGGCGGGGAGGGTGATGTGGCGGCTGCAGTTTCTGTCTTTGGCTTTCCGCCAATGCGGCCCAACCCTCCACGCCTTGGCAAAGGCTTGGAGGGTGATCTTGGAGGAGAGCTGTGCGTGTCGCTATCGTCACCTTCCGAAGCCGTCTCGGAATCGCTACCCCCCGGGGCAGTCCTCCTGGCGGGCGAGCGCTGGGACGTGCTTGGTGACGGAGGGGAGGGTGACGGTCTATTGTGTCGACCTATGGTTCCCCGTTGGGAGCCAGAGCCCTTACTCCGCACCGTGGCCTTGGTCGCGGGTGAACGGGTCGTGGCCTCCGCGAGGTCTTCGCCATCCGATGTTTCATCATCTGCTGTCTGGGAAGGATGGTCAAGCCTCTTGCCGGACCGCAGGCCTGGTGGAGTAGCCTGCACCTGGAAGTCGTCCTCCTCCTCTTTGCTTGGCTCAGGCTCTGGAGGTGGGGAGGCTTTGCGGGATTCTTTCTTCCCTGGGCAGTCGGATAGAACAACCTTCCTGCCCTTTGAGATCTTCGTCCACCAATCATTCAGAAACGATGACGCCTCTATTTCCAGATCTGAACTATACCGCAGGCCAGAGGCCCCGAAGACCGTCCCGAGGAGAGCAGACACATCCGAGGCCTGAGCCACATCGCGAAGCTCAGCAGCTTCACTCCTGAAATCAGCTTCAGAGAAGGGAGCTAGGCCTTTCACATTCGCTTCTGCGGTGGCTCTAGCGACCCGACGCTTCCCCGACAGTGCGTGGAAGACGTATTCTAGCGCTGTTCCCGTGGCTTCGAGTTTGTCGATTAGCTTGTTGATCACGGCATCCTTGTCGCGTAGAAGCGAAATGAGGCGATCAATATCACGCGTGCGGGCCTCGTGCGCTTGGATCAGTGGGAGGACAAGCTCGGATGCTATGGTGGACTGCGGACATTTCTTCAGGCGCATGTTCCATTTCAGCGGTTCCAGGGGCTCTGGGAGCAGACAAGTGATGTGCAGGACAAGAGAGTTGTCGTCGTCACCCCGGGTAAGGACGAGGGAGGTATTGGCATGCTCGGCATCCTTGCTGTCGAAGGCAGCCGCCAAGAGCTCCAGGAGCCTTCGAATTTGGCCAGGCCCATCGCTTGGGTCAATGCTCGTACCCTCCATCACTCCTCGGTGGATGAGGGGTTTCCGATCCAAGCTTTCGACCCACACATTGGCGAGATCAGAGAGGTGCACGGTGTATGAGTCTTCCGTGAAAGCCGTCGACACCAAGAGCGTGGGGATGTCAGGGGAGGCGGCCGGCAGCAGCCGCCAAGACGGATGACCGGTCATCGCGAGAAATCCTGCCGCAAGGGATCCAGACCGCCGCTGATACACAACTGCAGGTAAGAGTCAGACGGCCTTAGATTGGGAGGAGCTAGAACCCGGTTCCTGGAGGGCGTGTGTTGGACAAGACCCAGGCTTCAGGGGCTGGTGGGACGCAGGCGCTGCGTGCCGCCTGCCAGCAGATGGCTGAGGTTGGGAGGATCTCGAGCTACCTCCCCTAACCGGCGATTGGAATGTGTGATGCGGCGGAGGGCTGATGCAGGCTTTCTGGTCGAAGATCAGCATTCGCCTTGCGAGTTGCACGGGGCGGTGCGCACGAACATCGGATCACGTCACCAGGGTAGTCGGCCACGCAGATGTGTCGTGTCTCATTTCCCCCAGGTCTGTAACTACCCGACCGCGCTGTCGTAATACGGTATGACAGTTGCACACCGACGGGCAGCGCCGCGGGCGGTGTTGAGAGCGTGGGGGTGAATGAGCACAACTGTTGGCAGCTGCGCTGCTGCCTTCTGACTCCGACTGAGGCGGAAGGCGAAATTGGGACGGGCGGCGGAAAATGCACCTGTTACTTCCCTCAGTGTGGCACCTGAATGAGATAGAATATATAGAACAGAATGCGCGACACTCGAAGTGTTGCCGATGTGGGCTTTGCGCTTTTTGGTGGAGGTGTCGATGTCGATTCTCTGGGGAACCGAAGGTTTACCGTTAAGTTTGTAGGCTGATTGGTATTACGACTGGCGACAGACCTCGCTTTTTTAAGGTCTGGGTAACCGACGCGTAATAGCTCCGAAATGTCAATTGCTTTCAGTTATGACGATAACTGTACCGTAATACCAACTGTTACACGTACCAGAGGTCTGAAATATGTCGGTCGCAAGTGCGGCTAAGCACGGACCTCAGACTGTTCATCTCAAATCTCAAACTTGAAGACGCGGTGAGGTGGTGGACCTCGATACTGGCAACGATCTCGCAAGCTGGAACTCAACTATTAATGAGATCAAGGATTTAGGCTACGTCTGCAGTCAGCAGCAGCATCTTAACTCCCCTTATCCAACTGTCGTTTCACCTGGTTTTGGCGTACGGAATCACCACGAGAACGAACTTACGAAGTGCCTTGGAACAAGGGGTTAGGGTTTCGGATTGTACTTTTGCCTATATGCATCCAGCAACAGATAGTTCCTTTCTGCGGTGATAATTGTTTAAGGATGCTTCTTCTCCAAGAGTCCAAGCACCTACCTTACCTATCCAATCTCGTGCTTGTGGCTCTTGAAACAACAAGAGCGCCGGGTGACATGTTAAACACTTAGCCGGTTCTACATTTCTTGTACTCGGGAAGCACTTGGGTTCTAATCACTCGGGCACATTGTTAACGGGACATACGATTAGATAGGCACCTGGTACATAGGGGTAGTAGTAGTAGCCAGTCTGTGGCTTCTTAACTCATTGGGGAAGCTCAGCGTAGGGGGACCGATACAGCAAATATCTTAGCAATGCATGCCCCTGGAGTTCGCGTTGCTTACGCGATATTGCCAGTCTGACAATTGCCTCAACAACCGGAACAATAGCATCATCGAGGGGAAAGCAGCAGCTTTGATGTCACCGTTGCTACTTCCGGCCGGTCTTCATGTTTACAGAACGGAATAGGGCCTTTATGCGGAAGGTAGGCGCCGGTCCGGCAATTGGAACGCAGCACTGCAACCCCAATATGCAACTCTCAATGCCGTGCTGACCTGAAACATTGGGGAAAGCTTATCGGCTCGGCTTGCATCTGGAAGCTCGAGCTGCCCTCCACCGGGATTGGCAGGCGATTCACGATGCGGGGTGCTTGAGATCAACATCGTCTTGGGAAGGTTGCAGCAGGCTTCGGCGGCTAGCAATGCCTAGCATACTAGTAGTCTAGGCTGCATAGCAACTCACCTCCCCAAAATGGCAGTTGTGATAGCACCGGCGCATGGCCCCGCCAAATGATGATTTTTCAGAACTGGGCCTTTCTTGGGTGCCGATCTGACTATAAATAAGAAGAGAGATAGGGCACGCAGATATCAGTCCGGTCCATACGGCAGCCGTGGCGAGAGCTCCTCCCCCTCTCATCTCGTCAAGCCAGAAACCGACCGCGGGTCTCCAGCCTTCTCTCGAATATGAGGTGCAGTCTACTTGCCTCGTCCGGCCTTCTCGCGGTGGCGTCGGCTGCGGCGGTCGAGTCATCGCAGAGAAAGTCGTACGACGGATACAAAGTGTTTCGTCTGAAAGTTGGGGAAGACGTGGCCAAAGTCAACAACATCATCGACACGCTCGGTCTCACGACATGGAAAGGAAAGCCCCGTGTTGGTGCGGCCGCCGACATTGTGGTTCCGCCCTCGCAGGTCGATGCCTTCGAGGCGGAGATCAAGGGGATGGAGGCGGTCACCATGCATGAGGATCTGGGCGCGTCCATCGCAGACGAGTCCAACTTTAGTGTCTACGCAGGTATGGCAATGGCAATGGTCAATCCCATTATCCCACGAGCACGGCTGTCGGTCTGGACTTCGCTCACATGAGTCACCTCCGTCACTCTTAGCTGGATCGGCCAATATCACGTGGTTCAACTCGTACCACAGCTACCGTGACCACCTCCAGTTCCTGAACGACCTCCAGGCGCAGTATCCGACGCAGTCCGAGGTCGTCTCGGCTGGGAACTCGCTGCAGGGCAACGCGATCACCGGCATCCACTTCTGGGGCAAGTCCGGCAAGGGCAAGCCGGCCGTGGTCTTCCACGGCACGGTGCACGCGCGGGAGTGGATCTCGACCATGGTGAACGAGTACATCGCCTACACGCTGCTGACGTCGACGGAGGGCCAGGTCTTCCTGGACAAGTACGACTTCTTCATCTTCCCCGTCGTCAACCCGGACGGCTTCATCTACACGCAGACGACGGACCGCATGTGGCGCAAGAACCGGCAGACCACGTCCGGCAGCACCTGTCTCGGCCACGACATCAACCGCAACTGGCCCTACCAGTGGTCCGTCAGCGGCGGCGCCTCCACAAACCCGTGCGCCGAGGACTTCAAGGGCCGCGCGGCCGGCGATGCGCCCGAGACCGCCGTGCTGTCCTCATGGCTGCGGACGACCAAGGCGAGCCAGGGCGTCAAGCTGTACATTGACTGGCACTCGTACTCGCAGCTGTTCATGACCCGTAAGCCCATGATGATCCATCCCTCCAATCTTTTCATTATCCCATCGGCAGCAAAGTAAGGTGCATGGTAACTACGTATTTAAGTACTAAAAAGTCACTAGCATATGGATACTCGTGCACGGCCGTCGCGGCCAAGAACAACGAGCTGCAGTCCCTCGCCCGGGGAGCGGTGGCAGCCATCAAGGCCGTCCACGGCACGTCCTTCACCAGCGGGCCCATCTGCTCGACCATCTACAAGGCCACGGGCAACAGCGTCGACTACGTCAACGACGTCGTGGGCGGCGACTACACCTTCACCGTGGAGCTGCGGGATACGGGCAACTACGGCTTTGTGCTGCCGGCGAGCCAGATTCTGCCCAGTGGCGAGGAGGCGTATGCCGGGGTGCGCTACCTGCTGCAGAACATGAAATGAGGCCAGTACTAGTACTAGTAGGGCGGCATTATTGTGTTGCTTCTCCTAGTCTGACTTCGTTGCCAGGAGAAAGAAAGGGTATGGATGGCAAGTTGTATATAGCAGCGCGTAGAATTCAAATAGGCATCACCGCGATGCTATACTAATGGCCTTTATGCACGGCTTAGCGTTCAGCTAAGTCTCTCAAGACACCATCCACTTCCGGGATCTCTCGGCGCAACACATCCGTGAGCTCCGCCCAAATCATGTCGACCAAGTGGTCACCGTCTTCGCCGGCGAGATTTGGAAGACTGTCCCCTTGTAAGCTGATTACTACGTTAAATGGCCGCGGTGTTAGGCAACTCACTCGTGTAATTCATCGTCATACCACAGCCTCCCATGGACCTCAGGTCCTACAGCGGCAGCACTCACCAGCGTCCGAGCCGCGTACTCGGGAGTCCTCATGAACAGACTATTCACCAGCGCCTTGACGATGGTCGCCACGGCACCCGTCCATCCCCGACTCAGGTTGGTCGCCACCCCGCCAGGACAAACAGCCGTGACCACCACCTCGTCCGCCTCCACCATACTCGCGAGCTTCTTCATCGCGCACGTCGTCAAGAACTTGGACAGGCGATAGCGCTCACTGGGGTTATACCGACCACCACCGGCACTTCCACTTCCATCTCCCTCTCTCATCGTCGAGCCCCTCAATAACAAACCCCCCTTTTGTCTCTGCTCCTGGGTCAACTGCACCGCCTCCGCCCGTCGGGAGGTCACAAACTCCAAAACCGCCCCTCCCCCCCCATGCTGGGCCTTCTTCAACTTGGGCAGCAACAAAACCGCCAACAGCACCGTCGACAGCGTGTTGACCTGCAGCGTCTCCTCCACGCCGTACCGCCCGACGCGATGATCTACCATATACACGCCCGCATTCAGCACCACCACATCCAGCCTCCTCCCGTCCTCCTCCACCCTCCTCACAAACCTTGTAATGCTATCGTAAGAATCCATATCCAGCTCCCACACCTCCACCTCCGCATTCACAGCCCCCCTACTACTAGTACTAGTACTACTAGTAGTAGTAGCCGCCTCAATGATGGCCCTCCGCGCAGCATGGCCTGCCTCGGTGTTGCGCACGGCCAGGATCAGGCGGGAGGCGGCCAGCGAGGCGAATTTGATTGCTGCTGCGAGGCCGAGCCCGGAGTTGGCGCCTGTTATGAGGACGGTTTTACCGGAGAAGGAGGAGGAGGTACTACTAGTAGTATCCGCGGGGTCGGCGAGGGGTTTTTGGCGGAGGAGTTGGAGGCCGAAGGAGGAGGAGGAGAGGGGGGTGGTGGTGCTCATTGTTCGTCGTGCTACTAGTACTGGTATTAGTGACGACGATCTCTTGGTGGGATTTGGGCTGTGAACTTGAAGACGGTGGTGACAGAAGGAAGTACTACTGAGAGTAATAGGGGACGTGTTGAACTTGAGATGTGTAAGGATTGATAGTGAGGATGGCAGTCTAGTATAGGCGCGACAAGAAAGCGTGGGAGTCCTCATACTGTCTATGACGATGTCTTCTAATTCAGTTGTTGACAGGGAAGTACTTATGATCGCTGAGTAGAAAGGCCATTTAGAATAAGAGAACTGATGCTTCCGTTCACACGATCCCGGACTTCGGACTTTGGACTCGGGGTTAAGAACGCGATAAAGACCAATGGATGGTAGGCAAGCTTCCAGGTTGTGGGTCTATCGACTACTTGACCCTCCTCGGACTGTTGACGGAGGAAGACAGGTAGTAGTCGATGGCCACGGAACTTCTTGGTGGTGGTTTGCTTGGGGTTTGAATATGTATTGGAGTTGGTGCGGAATGGCCACCGGGGCTGCCGAACCGAGTAATTATATTCAGGCTCCAAAAACAGGATCAGAACTCTACTTGCTTTGTCTCTACAAGTGATGGCCGCTCTTTGGAAACGAAATGAGAAGAAAAAGGCACATCTAAACGGATAAGTATCCTTAGGTTACCCGTCGCTCCCTTGTCTGCTCGCCACTCTCTTCTCCAGCCCAAGCCGCTGCACCAGCCGCTTCCCCAGCCGCACGCAGGGCACATCCAACGCCCGCGTCAAGAAATCCGCCACAACCAGGTTGAGCGGCAGCATGACGGCAGTGGCCAGCAAGAAGCGCGAGTTAAACCCGGGCGGCCCGACGTCGGGCACGCGCAGCCGGTCGTCCCACCACGACGACGAGTCCGCGGGCGCGAACAGCGGCACGTGGCCGAGCGCCCTGGCCAGCCGGTCGCCCACCATGTACTGCATCGGCAGGTGGACGAGGTAGAACATGAAGCTGACGCGGCCGAGGTAGCGCAGCGGGCGCGTCCGGAGGAGGCGCTGCAGCCAGGGGATGCGCAGCGCCGCGAAGACGAGCAGCAGCGCGCCCCAGGAGTTCCAATACCGGTAGTACTGGTTCTTGCTGTAGGCGCGGGGGATCAGGCGCGTCAGCGTTTGCCACCCGGGCGTGTGGAGCGAGTACTCGGGATTGCCGTCGTGCGCCGGCTGGCAGAGGAGGTAGTAGCCCAGGAGGAAGGCGGCGTGGTGAAGCGCCACCGGGAGGAGTCGCCGGGCGTCGCAGTGGCGGGAGAGGAAGGACCTGTCCAGCGCGCACACGTCCAGGCATGCGAGGATCAGCCCGCCGATGAAGCAGGCCATGGTCCAGAAGCCCGTCTGGAGCAGCGCGGCGGCCGCGATCGACCAGACCAGCACGCTTCTGGGAGCCGGCAGCCAGCCGAGAGCGTGCAGCGCCGACAGGCCGTAGACCAGCATCGACCCCTTCAGCTCGATGGGGATCGTCCACACCACGATGCTGTAGGTGAACCACGCCTCGTTGGAGTGGGCCCGGAACGGGTTGAAGAAGTGGACGGAATCAACGACCCAGTTCATCACCTCCAGGAAGACGTCGTCCTTCCGCTTCGGCCACGGCAGCTCCTGCACGAGGTGGAAGGGCGCGTGCAGCAGCAGCGCGAAGGCCAGCGTGACGGCCAGCGGCGGGGCATAAAGCCGGATGGGCCGCCGCACCACCGCCGAGGCCAGGCTGCCGAAGCAGGCGTCCGGCTTGCCGTCGCGCACGAGACGCAGCGGCGACCGGCTCAGCACGTAGCCCGACAGCACGAAGAAGATGGCCACGGCGGCGCCGCCGCCGTTGAAGAGGATGCGCACGAACGGCAGGCTGGCCACGTACCAGTGCTGCCCCGCCTCGCCGAACCCGTGCTCGTGCGCGTTGTAGTCGAAGCTGCCGATCGTATGCTGGATGAAGACGAAGAAGGCGGCCAGGCCGCGCAGGCCGTCGAGGAACGCCGTCGACGACGAGTGCTGCTCGGGCCCGCGCGCCGCCACGGGCTCGGTTGGGGCCGGCGCGGGCAGCTGCCGCTCTGGGTCATAGCCGGGCGCCCGCGCTGGTGGATTCGACGCGAGCTCGTTCAGTTCCATGCAATCAATGTCTGGTTCAAGAGTGTATGCGCATCGCCCACACACCCCTCGTGCCCCTGAATCCTGCTGTGCCAAGCATCACGGTTTGACCACTTGCCGCGGCTCAGTGGGGCCGGTAAATACGTACGGTACCTGCTGTCCATCAGCTTCCTCAATGGGTTTAGCAGTTTCTTTTTTTTTTTTTTTTCGTTTGCCAGTCTGGTTTCAAGCCAGCGTTACTTTCACGGAACATTGCAAGTGGGGTTGATCCTTGAAAGACGGGTTAAAGTATGTAAATCTTTAGCGATCTTTAATGTGTGGATGCCCGGACGCTAGCGTCTGGAATTACAACGGTACACTAGGACATCGTCGAGGTACCTGAGCTCAGGTTATGCTATCAAAACCGAGACGAAAACAAACATGGCGCTGCTATTCCTCCGACTCCGAGTCATCCATCTGATAATCCCCGTCCCTCGCCGCCCCTCTCGATAAAGTCCAGAATTCGTTCAAGGGCTTGCAAATCACCCTCCACCGTTTCCGCCTTCGCAGAATCAACCCACCCTTCCGTCCGGCCCCCTCCAAAATCCACAATCCACGCATTCCCATGAACATCGATAAGCACATTGTCCGGCTTGGCATCTCCCCAAGTAATGCCAGCCCGGTGCAAGGCAGCCAGCGTACCCCGAATCTGCTGCGCCCACCGCTCCATCACGGCAGTCAGGGTCTCCGGTGTCACCGCGAACGTAAGAGGCGTATCTTCCTCGATAGGGTACAGCAGCAAGCCGAGCAGCTACTGTCGCTCATTGCGCACGACGCCGAAGAGGCGGGACGTACGTACACCGGGGGCTCCAAGGTTCGTAGCGGTAGCAATCCTTTCGTACGTCTCGACCTCCTTCCTTGCGACCGCGTCATCCGGATCCGGACTCTGTTTGAAATATAGCTATTGCTGGCCGATACGTACGGGCGCCGGGTTCGAGTCGAAGGGATGCTCGAGGTCGTCGTAGATCACTGTCACCTCGGGAGGGCTGAAGGAGGGGAAGGACGTCGTCCAAACGTTCCTGGGTTCGGAATTGGGGGGAGAGGAGGAGGAGGAGGAGGAGGAGGGCCAGCAGTCCTCGTCCGATTCGACAGGCGTGATTTCCACAGGAGCCAGAATATCGTCGGTGGCGGTGAGTTCGCATTCGAAAAAAGCCGTGTCGAGAAAGTCGCTCAAAGTAAGCTGTTTGTACTCAACAAGCGGCGGAGGCGCGCGAGAGGCGCTCGAATTCGGGAAGATATGGCGTGGCTGCCCAGTCGAAGCAGTCGAGCAGAGCCGTAGCTTCTTCGTCCGTCTCCTCTTTTAAAAAGGGAGTCGTCATCGTCGCCGTCATCTTCGGAAAGCAAACGTGCAAAATACTTCTGGAATTCCGCGGACCGAACAGGTGAGTTGCGGAAGTTGGTCGGCGAGACTCGTATTCGAAAGCGAGTGCCGTATAGCTGGATCTCAAGCGTGGACCATTGCCGTTCGTCGTCCTTGTTGGAGGTTGTGAAGCTGAGGATGCGATATTTTGGTCTCTTGGTCTCCATGATCGTGATTCGTCTGTCACAATCGAGTCAGTCGAGAGAGGAATCGTTTCAATAGCGAGTGATTGCTGTGGTTCTGGGCTGGAAATGGACGAACTTATAGAAGTGTCACAACGAAAGCAGCCAGCCAGCCACCTTAAGTTCTGCGAACAACAAAACAGCGTCTGCCGTTGGAACGGTGGAGTCCGTTGCCGTCCAATCAGATGAGCAACCTTGCAGGCAACACACAGTCGCAAACCGCGGCAGAACCACCTCCGTTCGCATGAGTTGCGTTGGTGCTGGTAATGTTAATGGGGGGCCAAGATTTCAAGTGTGAACTTTCTCCTGTACTACAAAGCATGACTTTAGCAGGGATAACCCAGTAACAACCAAAATATGATGTCAGAAGAGAGTACCTACCCCCCTGCAAACGCCTCAAGGGGCAGTTGCGTTCGATGGAGTGTTTAGTACTCCTAGTAACCGCTTTGTTTACTTTCGTCCCATGCCCTGCGACTTATAACATTCCTGTAACCTAACTTGGGCGAAGTTATAACTACTAGTACCGTAGTCTTCCAAGGTAAAGGTATCACCGCTAAGCGCTCCGGAGACCACGAGTCTGGAGCTTTTGCCCCCGCCTCCCTTTGTCCTACTTCAGGGCCGGTCTAGCAACCAACCCGGAAACCAACAGCGGCTGGCACAGATTCCCCCGGCCATAGGCCACAGAAACACCGAAGACCGTGGATAAGACAAGGCTAGTATCCAGTATAATGCTCACAGCACACCGGGCCGGATAAAAATAAAACTGGAATGCTACCAACATCTTGCCACGAACTATATATAGAGACTATACTCAAACGGCGAGGTCGACGTGGTCCTTACAGACCAAAACCACAAGGTTGCATTTCAGGTCGCGTCGAAATTCACGGCCACGCGAACACAGACTTCGCTGACAAGGCTGAAGAGTAAGGTATCTTAGAAGGCCATCAAAGGCTCGATGATAGTTCCGGAGGTTCCGGACTCCCGGCGTATATCCACAAATCTCCAGCCCACGCTACGCGGCCTAAGTATAATAGAGACCTTCTCTCCCAGCAGACGAGGCCGTGTATCTTGAGCCTACACTATATCTTGGGGCGAAGTACAGCGGAATCGCCGTTAGGTCTGATTATAGTGCCATCGAATCTGGAACAAACACCGGCCGTACATGGTTGTCCAGGTCACAACGAACCTAACGTCCTGCGGCCTCGAACCTCTCGATGGTGTTTTGGAAGTTCATATTGGCCCATATAGCCGTCTCAGGGTTTCGTCATTTCATTAGCGGTGGACAGTTAGATACCATCCAGGACTATATCCTTAGAAATATAAGATCGCCAGGGAGGACGAGAATTCTGGTTGACACTTCATTCTACCCAGCAGATTACTAACACATCCTGACTATATTCACTCCTTATTGCAGTCCACCCCAACCCCCCCTTCACACCCCCCCCCTATCTTGCTTTCAGTCGTGACAGTCTTGCCCCTTTCCTCAATCCAGCCGCCCGTCCACGGATTGGGACATCAACCAGACAGCCTATCCCCGCCGAGGTGCCAGTCTAACAGACAACGTGCTACCGAACTGTCCGGGTATATTGGTGCGGCCACTCACACCGTACGCAGTCCGATCCACAGTACTACAGCCGGGCGCGAGCGGACCCGCAACACCACTGTCGTCTCGGATAACACCCGGACCTATAGGGCCACGCAATGCCGCCTCGATTTCAAAGTCCGTTGCCGTGGCGGTTGGATCTGCTACCAATGCGAGTCCAGGGCCAACCGTAGCTGGTATTATTGTTCGGCTATAGGATATAATCATCCCGTTTGTACGCGGTGCTAGCCCCGGGTTTCTTGATGGTAAGATTCGGCAAGCTTCTGTTCCTCTACAGTGCTTATCCCCTTTGTCATTTGGTCCCTTACCTCTGCGCCTACCCGTCGATGTACAGTACAGCTACCTCTATGAGAACAAAATGGGCTGACTACTCGTAGCTAAAGGATTCAGCGATGCAACCTAGTAGTTGCTGCGGGCTAGCGACTACTAGTACGTGTTCCGCTCCTTAGCAAGTTGGACTATGGGCTCAATGGTGTGCTGATGGCGGCATTCCGTTGTTTTGGTTCTGTCTCTCAGAATAGATAGACAAACAGAGTGTGTGGGGCTGTGAGGTTGTGCTGCTGGCAGCACTCTGTTGTTTCGGTTTATTGTGGCTTATAGGATAGATAAGAGACAGACACAGAGTAGAGTATATAGGAAATTAGAGTTCGCGCTACTAGCAGCATAGTGATGGATATCCTAAGCTACTATACCTACCGTGTTCTTCTCCCATCCCTATCTATCGCAGCTCTGGAGATCTGCCTTCTTACCCACTGGATATAGTTGTCTAAAGTAGCCCGATTCATCTTTCTCAGATCTAGCCTTCTATCCTCCACCGCCCAGCCCCCTCTCCTAACCCCATACCGCCACGGGGATAGGCCCGACCGGCAGCACCTTGCCATCCCCCCACAGCTCGGGCTGCGTTACCTTCTTGACGGTCTCGTCGAACAGTGCATCGGCGTGCTTCTCGGCGTCGTGGTGGTGGATCCAGTCCTCGCGCGGGAAGGCGATGCTCTTAGGGTCCTTGGCCACTTTCTCCCAGTCCGTCTTGTGCCACCGGTCGCGCGTGGTCTCCCCCGTCTTTTGTACGGCTCTGACACGGCCGCATCTGAGATTTCCTTTAGTACTTGTAGTTTGCCTGGAGGAACTCCAAGATCTTCTTCTTCGGTGGCTCTGCGTTCAGCATCAAAAGGTGGTTATCGCCGGTGGCTAACATTTCGATCCGCAGCCACAGGTTTTCCCAATTCGGTAGTTACGTCGGGTAGGTCAAGGTACCTTACTATACCAAAGACCATGTGTTGCAGTGTGCCCGGGTCAGAGGCATAAGTGGTCTGAGTTCTGTGGTGTAGAGAAGAACACCCAGATGTGCCCAGCTAAGCCACCACAGTAGCTTATATGTCGGAGGGCTTGAAAACCACAGTAGGCACAAAGACCACCAAGCTCTTAGTAGTTCAACATCATGGCAAGAGCTGTGTGGTCAATGCTATTATCAGACCTGCTCGCTGGGCCTCCCACAGCCCCACCATGGCAAAGGTCTTGTCGCGCGGGTCAGTTAGGTTGAGTGCCTCTGTCGCATCGCATGTATTGTACAAAATACAAGAGCCAGCAGGGTGACAGTAGCGGTACCATCTCCGTCATTCCTCGCCCTCACTGCCACGGACTACTCAAGTAACTCGGGAAGCAGGTGGAGGCGCCGAAGAGCAGCGTCAAGGTTAGGGCGTATGCTCAGCTGCTCGTCACCGATCAAATGCCTGTGATGAACGCAGTTATTGTGACCCCGAACGTACTATAGGGCTGTGTAGGTCCCTCGGACTTTGACGAGGCTGACCTCGATCCGCTCCGCGACCAAGGGGTCGTGATATGCACCGAGGACAAGCTTGCCGCTTTGTCTTGGACATGTTCAGTTGGGACGACCCGGGGTAGAAGCTATCCTTCATCATCGCCACCTCATACTGCTTTTCTCGCCTGCTGATCTGGGTCGTGGGCCAGCCTGAAACCTTGAACAACTGGACGCAACAGTATGCTCAAGTTCGGAATGGGGTTGGCGATTATCGGCGCCGGCTTTTTACCTGGGTTAGATGACTTCGGGGTGATTAGCAGCCTGATGTCTAAGTAGTAGGAGTTAAAATGTTGGAGGCAGCCACTGGGTTTTGGCCCCTTGGAAAGTTGGTTTGAAGGGGAAGTACCTTACGATGTCGCTCTTTCTTTTTTTTAGCGCTCGCCTGTTCTTTGATCCTAATACGGTACCTAAGGTAGGTACCTACCTTATCCTCTCCTAACTTTCTTTAACCTAGGGTTTTAATCTCTTCAAACTGGCTCAGGATTTGCTCGTATTCGCACTCTAACCCGTAATACAAGACATGAGAACGGTTCTAGCTGACATCTTAGAAAACTAGTACCTTACGTATCACGTCAAGCGTAACCCCCCTAACATCGTACAGTCTAAGCATGGGTTGAGTTCACCGGAGTTCGTTCTCGTCAACCATCAACTCCTCATTCCCGACAGTGTCCCTGGCGGGTCCCTCCATATCGTCATCGTCGTCCTCAAACTCCGCATAATTCTCCACATCATAGTCATCCCCCCCTTTCGTCTCGATGTCATCATCCTGATCAGTGGCGTCTCTCGGGACCGGTTCGTGATCCTTATGCTGCGAAATCTTGTCAAGCAGCGGCATGGGCGCGACTTCATTGGGACGGTCGAAATCGTCTTCTGCCGTCTGCCGTGTTTCGCTTTCGTCATCCTCGACCTTACTTTTGGCATCCTCGGTGTCCGGGTCGCGGAGGTCCGCGTTGGCGCGCATTTTGCGGTCTTGTTCCTCCGCGTCATCATCCGGCTGGATGACTAGGGCCCGGCTGTCGCGGCGGGCACGCTTGATGAGCCGATTGGCCTCGGGGTCGGGGTCGGATTTGTCCGTGGCGTCGCCGATTGGGTCTCCTACTACGGCCCGGGAATGTTTGGATGAGGAGTCGGGCTTTCGGCGTTCATGCGGACCGGAAAGATCGATATTGGCGTCCTCTGGTGCAACGGCGGTGGGTGGTTCGTCTTGCCGGAGGAATATGTTGGTGGTTCTGGGTTGATTGAGGTGTTGGTCCTGGTCTTGGTCGCCACTGTTGTCCTTTTCGTCCTCTGGCGCTGCGTCCTCATCGCGACTCATAAGCGCAGCCACTGCAGCGTCATCCGGGTCGGTGATGGGCGCATCTGCCGCATTCTGCTTGAATGGATTGCCCTCGTCCAGACCCTCCTCTGCGAGGCCGTCGACATACAAGTCGGACTCATTCTTGGTGTATTGCTCCGCTCTCGGCATCTTGCTTCTTGCTGCGCGCTCGTGGTTGCTTGGACTATTTTTACAAACCAAAAATCTATTCTCTGTATGGTGACAAACCTTTTCGCAACGTACAGATGTTGGTTTCTGACATATTCGGGGCTTGCCAGGGAGAGCCGGTGACCATGCCAAGCTTCCGACAAAGAGGATCTTGTGACATCATCGATGCCAGTCTATTGTCGCCTCCAGATTTACAATCGCCGCAACACGCAGAAAAGGGTTACCGCGGTGTCGGAAGTCAATAGAGCGCTCCTGATACATACCGAAAGTCAGATAACCGAGGCTTATGTTCATTACTAATCTTCTCCGCTTCCTCCGTCGAGCTGCTGGGGCGGAAGGTGGTTGGGACGGGCCCTCGCGGTAGCGACACTGGCTCTCTCAGTTCGATCTGTGCGGATGCGTAGATGCAATGCGTCCCCCCGATCCTTCGCAGTTTGGCATTCGGGAATCGGGATACACTCGAGCGGTGTCAGATATCCACCTCTGATCTCGAACGTAGCCCCGCGAGAAGTGATACGTCCGTTTGACACTCAAATGGGCAGCGGTGTCAGCAGAGACTACCTGAGGTATGTTGGCGAACTTAGCTTGCATAAGGTAGCTTTCCACGCTTAAATCTACAATCTTAGACCATACTACTTCCAGTATCTTTACGTCGAGCCTCGCTCATCGCCTACTGGGGTAGAGATCCTCCGGGGAAATGCTGTGTAACCCGAGTATCATAGGAAAAGCCAAGCATGCGGAGATCGCAAGTCGCCAGACGCTGAATCAGCACGACGATTGTGCAGCATGTTACACCGCGCTCGGCTGCTTGGCAATCCCTTGGCACTTGCAATGAGTTGGGGGCCGTTGGGTGCCATTGATTGAGCCCCCTGTGAGACACTGGGGAGGCATTGTGCCGAGAAGGCTTGCCTACTAGGCCAGCTGCGCGGGCTAGGCTGAGCAACCGGGCGTCGCTCCCAGATCCTATACCACGGGGAACTCGCGGGGGCTGCCGCGTGAGCGTCTTCATGCAAGGTTCTCCGTCGGGCCGGACTTCATCCTCCTCATGCGGCATACTACCGCCGATACAACCGCTTAGCCAATGCTGAACAACACTCACCTGCTTGAGCTGGCGCGGGGACTGAACCTTGCTACGGAATGGCGAGGGCTATTGGCGAGGCAGATAATCCTGGACAATGTGATGAGCGTCCTGTGAATCCGCTAAAGGGTGAGGTTCATCTGTCGCTGCTTCCGTGATGAGGATCCGGATGCTCGTATATAAAGAGGGCTACCAACGGCACCCTCCTGCTTGTTGAGATCAATCCAGAGCACTCACTTCACCAACACTTTTACTCCTCTCTCTGGTCTCCAACATGAAGTTCGCTGCCGGAATCCTGTCCGCCACCTTTGTGGCCGGTACTGTTACTGCTGACAGTGAGCGTTACCCCTGAGCCGTATATCGTTGTCTCGCGACTGACAGATTCAGGCTTTGCCTACGAGAGACTGAGTAAAAATGAATCCGTATGACTGACAACCACTGTAACCACGGTACCGCCGGCGATTTTGCTGAACCTACCCAGATGCTCGTGATTGTCGACCACCAGGAGGGACTCTTCAGCCTCGCCCGCGACTGGGGTGAGCCCTCACAGCCCCTCTACACACACCTCCCAAGCAAGATATTCACCGCTAATTCCTCTTCCCAACGACAGACGCTACTCTCTTCAAGGACGCCATGTTTGCCCACGCAGCGATAGGCAAAGCCTTTGGCCTGCCCGTGGTGATGACCACTTCGGCCGAGAAAGGTTTGGGGATCCCCATATCTGGTAGCGTCTTCCCAACCTACCTTAATTGACACCTATCCTAGGTCCCAACGGCCCGCTGCCGCAGGAGATCCTCGACATGTACCCCGACGCACCCCTCATCGCTCGCCCGGGCGAGGTCAATGCCTGGGACAACGCCGACTTCCGCGCTGCCGTCAAGGCCGCCAACAAAACCCAGATCATCCTGGCCGGCATCGTCACTGACGTCTGTACGTACTAATTGCCCCAACCCGATCATTTCCGATTGTGTCAAACCATGATTGATTGACTGACTGATAAAAAAAAATGATGAAAAAACAGGCACCGCCTTCCTGGCCCGCTCGCTCCGCGCCGAGGGCTACTCGGTGTGGGCCAACTTCGAAGCCAGCGGCACGACGACCAAGGAGATCCGCGAGATCGCCAACGCGCAGCTGCTCCGCGCGGGCGTCAACGTCGTATCTCTCTTCGCCATCGTCGGCGACCTCATGCGCGACTGGCGCAGCGTTCCCGGTGCCAAGGAGATGTTCCCCTGGCTGGACCGCTACTTCCCCGCCGCCGGCATGGTCGCGCGCGCCCACCGTGCCGCTATCGAGAACGGTGTTGTCATGCCTGGCCAGGGAGACTTGCCTCGGTAATTATTAAGGACGTGCTCTGCCGTATTGAGCCCTGATCGTCCATATATTGAGGCTGGCGTGTTCAGAAAGGTTGAGCTGAGTGTGTGCGGGCCACTGGGAACTTGGAAGTGAAGGAAAGATACGGGTTTCGGATCTTTTGGCTCTTGAGGCATAGCTTTCCTATCATGGTGACTGGATAGATGGGGGAGAAGGTATAAAGCCGGTCGTGTGCTGCTTGGAAACGGAACTGGTTCCATGCCAACACATTGCACAGGGTACTAGAACGACAGACTGCCGCAATACCACGATGATACGACCATAACCGTCCGTAATATCATGAGTTTCAATTTCCCATATCAGGTTCGCCATGTGGCAACGACCGTTTCTCCCGCCGCTCGATTATCAGACTTTTAGTCGCCCAAAGGATAAGCATGCAGCACCTGTCCGTAATACAACTCGGAGTCCTTGCTGGCCAGAAACACGAAGCTCGGCGCGATCTCGCTGGGCTGCCCGACACGGCCGATCTGCGACTTCCCGCCAAAGCCTTCCATCTGCTCGGCCGGCCGGGAGGCTGGCTGCAGCGGTGTGTGGACGGGACCGGGCGCCACCGCGTTGACACGGATGCCCTTGGGCATCAGGTTCTTCGCCAGAGCGCGCGTGAAGGACACGATGGCGCCCTTGGTGGCCGCGTAGTCGACCATGGAGGACGTGCCGCGAAAGGCCACGGTGGAGGTTGTGTTGATGATCCTGTAGGGGGGGCGCAATCGTTAATAAGTGAGTTAAGAAAACAGAACGAAAATAGGGAATAAGCTGGCCAGCACTTACGAACCGCCCTTCTTCATATGCGGCAGGGCAAACTTCGTCATGGCAAACATCTGCAGGATGTTGCTCCGGAACGTGCTCTCGACGTTGTCGAGGTCGATCTCCGCAAAGTCGTCGCACATGATCTGCTTGGAGGCGTTGTTGACCAACACATGAATCTCGCCGAAGGAGTCGACGTGCTTCTGGATCGCTTCCTTGCATGTCTTGTTGTCCATCAGATCGCCGGGGATCAGCAGGCACCTGCGGCCTTCCTTCTCCACCATCTTCTTGGTGTCTTCGGCGTCCGGCTGCTCCTCGGGAAGATAGACAATGCTGACATCGGCACCCTCGCGCGCGAAGAGTACTGCGACCGAACGACCGATGCCGGAACTGTCTGTGTCAGTGCCGCCTACTCATCAATCCTATGAGTGTTTAATCTCAGCTTACTCTCCGCCAGTGATCAAGGCCTTGCAGCCCTTCAGCTTGCCGGCCGCGAGATACTCGAAGGCTTGCTCCGCACCCTCCAGCTTCGTCGTTTCGCTGGACGGCTCCATCTTCTTCTCAAGTCTGCGGTAGCGAGTCAGCCATCTAGAATTGCCGCGTACTATGTCGGATATACTTACCCAGGAAGGTTTTGATGCTGAGCTTTCTGGGGCACCGCCTGGAACTCGCCACTCTTGGAGACGTGGGACTCAGACATTGTGTGTGATTTCGTGGGCTTGAGATTGGAAATACGGAATGTGATGGGCAGAGACTGTAATTGATCTGTTCAAAGTGAAATCGGGAATTTGCGAGGTCGGTGAAGGATTTATTGGCCTTTTTGAACTAGAAGAGAGCAGCTCATGCTTTATGTTGTATTCTGTGCCGGTTTGTGTTGTGGTGGCGATCTTCCACGCCGTGCTTGCCATGACGTCAACGACTGTAAACAGTGCATGTATTGTACCAATTCAGTCCTCTCTTCCACTGGCAGCCAAACCGGCTCCGACAAGTCAAATTCTGCCACATTTAACAGCAGTATAAGCAGTAACACGCAGCGACTTTCATTTCTGTTATCCATACACCAAAACCTTCTTACACATTGATGCAGGTCATCTTCCACAATCCTTGACTCGAAATCGGCATTGATGACCGAACAGAGACTGACAACATGTCTTGATCATCCCACTTCCTTCTCCTCAAACAAAATCCGTACCTTGCAGCCCCCCTTACATCAGTATGCCACCAATCCCTAAACACGCAGTGAAACGACGCCGTAGCATGAAGCAAAGTGATTAGCCATGAACTCGTCGGGGAGGACTGGGCCGCCAGTGGTCCGGGTACTTCAAGCCTGCGACAGTCAGTAATCGTGGCAGCCAGGGGTCTATGGAGTAGAATAAAGAACCCAAGCACACCTTCACAGCAATACTAGCGGAAACGTGGTATGAAGTTTGGACCAGCGCACATATCGCCATCGGCATGCAGCTTCTCAATATCGAGTTGGTACGAGGTAATGGTCGGAAGATCCGACGGTAGCGAAGCCTTTGGAAACCGGGCTTCAAGGTGGCCCGCGTTCCCAGCTGGGGAAGGTCGAGAACCGAAGTTGAATCTACCCGTATCTTCGTTCTGACCGGGTTTGACAGCTGAAAGGGAGTCCAACCCGAAGTTGAAGGAGTCCGGCTCAGGTTTCGGGGGGTCTGAACCGAAGCAAAAGGAGCCCGTAGCGAATTCGAATCCTGCTGTAGTGGGCTTGGGGGGGTTCGACTTGAAGCTAAAGTCGGCCGTACTGAATTCGAATTCACGTGTAGCGGGCTTGGGGGGTGGGTTCAACTCGAAGCTAAATTCGGACGTACTGAATTCGAATTCACGTGTATTGGGCTTGGGGGGGGTTCGATTCGAAGCTAAAGGAGCCCGAACCGAAGTCGAATCCGGCCTTTTCTTCAGCCTTCTCCTTATTCTCGCTCTGATTCGCTGTGGCAGCTTGCGAGGACCCCAAGGCGAAATCAAAGATGGCCTTCTTCCCTTCATCTTCCACCTTATGGTGGAAAGGCGGTTTGCCCAGTCGAGGTCGGCTGCGACGAGCTCGAACAGAAAATCGCATAGTATACGATGGGGGCAAGGTACGAAGATCGTCAAGGAAGTCACCAGGCCGTTCCAAAGGTTCGATGTAAATTCGAGCGCGGTGTAATTTCTGGAAAATCTCCTCCTCCACCTCTTTCCAATTCAGAGGGTAACTGGCGTGGTCGGTTTTCTCCACCGTGAAGTCGACTTTGCCATGCCCGTAATGAGCCCGAACACGGTAGACTCCGACACGGTGAGCGATGAAGGGGGCACCGGAATATCGACGGCGAGAACGGCGCGCTCGGCTGCGATGCTCTGGTATATTGGCGAGGGCCTCGAGGAAAGCACAGTTAGCTAGAAGGCTACAGAGATATGTGCGCGGAAGGCGGCTTTGCGACGTTGCAACATACCGATTTCTTTTCTTCGGCCTTCTCGTTCTTGAATGATTTGGTCGGCGCCATGGGGAGTGACGCAAGATCGCGCTCAAATTCGCTTTTGATGCGAATGCCTGGTTCCGTCTTGGTGGCAACATAGTCAGACTTGAGCAGGTGTCCATCGCCGGCGAAATTCATCTTCGAAGTACTGCCTGTGAAAGTTGGAACTAGGTGAACCAGGGAAACTCAGTAACTGCAGCACCCCTCAAGAACCTAAAGTAAGGTATTCTAAGATGACAGAATGTGTACTGCGGATGAATGGTAGGAAAAGTCCTAAGCCCATGGACTCAGGGAAAGGTAAAGAGAAAGTGAACTGCCGCATCAAGATAGGCTGGGTTTTGGAAAGTCGCTCCTTCCCTCCTTGGTAACTTCAGATTGTAAGATCGGACCATGCCACCCAAGGCGAGTTAGGAACCCAACATGCACCAAAGAGAGAGATTGGATGGACGTAAAAGTACTAGTAGCAGCCCTGATACCACCGCAATGATCGTTTGTCCTGGTCAGGATACCGTACTGGCGAGTTCTTGGTCGAGGTCAACCTGGAAGGGCAACCTGGAAGGCTCGGGGCTGCACGAACTCGAAAAGGTACGTTTTAGGAGAGGCCTTTGGCCGCCGGTTACACCTCGCTCTCTTGGGTCGGTCTGTTGGAAGTTTTGTGAGTTAATTCAGGCAAACAGACCGTTTCGTTCAGATCCAGCCCTGGCATTCGACACTCCCGACAGTGACTGGATTCCCTCGGTCGAATACAAAAGTGTCCGCCGCTCTTGTGCCTTGCTTCGAGATAACTTCCCCCCTGAATCCGCAATGCTGTTTATCATGCTCGTGGTCGACAGCCATAGCCAACACCGGTGACACTTGTCACCTGATGCCTGGAGACGTAAAAAGATGAAGAGTCCGGCCAGAAGAGTACACAAACCACAGAGCGCGCGGTCACATGGAAATACTTGAGAATGTCCGTATCTCCGGGTTATGGAAGTCATTTGGTGAAACGGTTGGGTCTAGGGCGGAGAACCGGGCGAGAATGGAAGGCAGCTAGCAGGAGGCCACGAAGGAATGGAATTCGAACTGCAAATACGAGTGCCGTCCAGAGCCGGCGAATGACGGCTAAAGGCAACAATGGCTCAATCACGATGGCAAATGAGAACCGGTCATTCATCTGCGCGGCGATAAGAGTTCAAAGAATTCTCATTGCGAGTTGCCAAACGTGTCAGACCCGTATCTGTACCATGGCGAGCCACTTCGTCGTCACGGCTTTTTCGAGGCCTGGGTTTAATCTGCGGCGCGGGAACTATCGAGGTAGCTCCAACCTCCCCTAATACTGAGGATGAATTGGGGGAGACTTTGCTAGCCGGTTGGGGTCACGAGCTCGAGCTAGAACGGGACACCGAAAAGCGGCCAAGAGGTGATCACGATGCCAGTTTATTCGTTCCGAGAGACAATGTCCGTTGACGCCATCGAGTTATCGGCCAAGATGCATGTCCGAAAAGAAAGCTCCAGATCCATTCCCAGCCGTCGTCCCGCCGCCATTGCGCCTAAGTCATGCCGAGGTGTTGGGCCCTTAAAACGCACATCTGCCAGCCAGTTAGCCTGTCGCCCGGATCATGTGGGCGAAAACAGATCCGACGCACCATCATCCCTCCAAAATGCTAGCATTCGTAATCTACCGCTGGGCGCTCCAGACGCTCTTGAGTAGCCCGTCCCGCTGGGCGAGCCTGTTCAGCGCATCGTCGCTCTCGCCCATCGCACGAACGAAACCCGACAGAGCGTAGATGATGTTCTCGCCCTGGATGGCCCGGCCGTTCTCGTCGACCTTGCAGATGGTGATCTGGCACGAACCGTGGTCCTTGGCCTTGATGATGCGGCCCGTCGCGGAGCACTTGCGGGGGACGTAACTGTAGGGAAACCGGGCATCAGTAAGACTGCGGGCTGGCGATGGAGGGCCTGTCGTCGAGTAGGGAAGCCTTACAGATCGACGATCTCGCCACGGTCGTTTTCCATTTTGGCGGCTTGTTTTGAGTACTGCTAACTGAGGGGTTCGGAGGTGCGTTGCGGTGCCGGAGAGCAGGACTGCAAAATTTCAAGGCCAATCTCGAATTTAGATCAGTTTTGGCTGATTTGGTGTGCTGGTGTGGGCTTGGGCAAGTGCACAGACCAGCCTTGCTGGTGCCTGCGAATGTGGGGCCAAGAGTCAGCTGACAGCGCGAGTCGCTCGTGAAATCGCGAGAGCGGGGCCTCCACTCGCAGTCAACACACCCCCTTGCTGGTTTTGTTGACAGTCGCTGGATTCAACACGCCGCGCGACGCAAGAATACCTCCACGACCCCGGCAGCTTCTATCACCATCACGACAATCATACCCCGTTTAACCGTAACGCTGTCTTTTTTCCGAGCCCTCTGCGGCAGGCTTGGACGCACTGCGCGCATTGGCTTGTCGTTGCTGGAAGGACCGAAGATGGCGGCTGATGGGTTGCTTCAAACGCCGGCTCGAATGATACAAGAAGCCTCGGTTGTTATTATCTCGTCATCACCAGAATTTCCGTCAATTTGCGACCTAGTTCCGAAAGCGACCAAGAGAACCGAGTTGCGCAGTGGCAGCAATGCCGCACCACTCCCCGACAATGCGCTCACCACGTTCACGAGCGCGGCAAGCCTTTGGCAGTCATCATGGACTGGGATAGAGAATGTTGGGACGCAGAGCTTGCGGACAGCTCAGAGCACTACGTCAGTGATGGGAACGGCCGAGGTATCGCCAGACCTCGCCGTTGAAAGCACGGACCGCGGTCTATCAAAGGCAAGGAACGAACACATAACAACCCTACCGTCTAATACCGACAAAAGCGTGAAGCAGTCGGACGCTGGTTGGTCAGCAGATTACTTGATGGCGAAAGACCGGGCCCTAGAAGGTCCGCCCGCGAAAAAGCGTGGGAGGAAGCCGAAGGCGACCAAGGACGCAGCAACGACGCAAACCACAATACCCAAAGGCAAGATCACAAAACCGGCAGCGAAGGAGGAGAAGAAGAAGCGGAACGCGGAGGCCGTCAGCAAACATTTCCGTCGCCAACCTTCCGCATCAGACTCCGTGTCCCAGCCGGCTGCAGACCCGACAGAAGACGAACCTGTCATCCGAGAGCCAGCGATGAAACGAAGGATGGACTGGACGCCTCCTCGAGAGAATTCCATGCTGCAGCGCCTCGCAGAATCGTCGGCCACGAAAGAAGTATCAACTACCGAAGGGCCTGCCAGAGGGGATGTGTTCAGAACTCTTCAAGATGCATATGGCCGAAAGTCAGATGCCTACGCGCTTACGAATGACACTGCATTCACCGCGACCATTACTGACGTTCTTGGCAAACGGAAGTTGATTGAAATGGTAAGCCCAGTGGCGATCAAGCAGAAGACACCAGAGGCATCACCGACCAAACCCAAAGCGGTCAAGAAGAAACCACGGACGATCACGGAGCTAGCAACTGCAGCGTACCGTCAACAAGAAGAGGTCGCCGTGGCCGCAGATGGGCCAAAGGGAGAGACTCTGCTTGCGTATCTGGACTCTGCAGGTCAAAAACCATCGGAGGGAGCCAAAAGTTCGAGGAGTAAGGGGAAGAGCGCAAAGGGGCCGGCAAAGCCGAAGGCAAAGGCGATCCAGAGGAAAGAAGAAAGCAGCAAGCAAAAGCTTCTTTCGCCAACCAGTGCCATGAGGCAGGTTGCCAAGCAGGACTTTGTGTTTGGGACTGCCAGCCAACTTGCTACCGAAGACGATCCTGAGCTACTCCGAGCGTTGCATGAGGCGATGAAGGTGTCGAATCAGGTAGACAGTGACCCTTTCGTCAGCCCCAATTTCGTGAGCAGTAATGTCGCTATCCGCAGAAGGCCGGGTGCCGGCCTTTGGGTAGCTGGTGCCAGGGATGAAGATGGCGACCTGCTTGATCTAGAAATGCTAGACTTGACACGGTCTTCTCCTTCATTGTTGGACAAGGTTCTTCCAGTACTGCCATCGGCCCCTGGGAATGCCGCGGCGGAAGAGACCCCGGGCAAGCAAGTCTGCATTGAGATCGAGTCGTCTGACGACGCTTTTGACCTCGGCGTTTCACCCAACGTAACACGGCGTAAACCGTCGCTACCTACCCTATCAAACGATCGCAGCCAAAGAATGATACAGCCGAACGACATGACGGTCTCCGGTCATGATCGGCATCGGTCGCCAACCCCGCCAAACGAAACGGGCTTCGAACCACCACCGAGTAACCAAGAACAACACCAGCTCCTGCTGTCCCAGTCTAAGAGTCCGGGGCAAGCACCGCCCGAGCTGCCGCCACGGCCCAACTTTGAATTGTATTCGGATGCTCGACTGGCCAAGGAAATTGCTTCGTACGGTTTCAAGGCCGTCAAGAAACGCGCAGCGATGATTGCACTGCTGAACGAGTGTTGGACAAGCCGACATGGGGCCGGCTTAATGAGTGGTACGGCCCGGCTTTCGTCGTCAATGGCACCCGCAGAACCGACTGCGTCTCCTTCGCGGGCGGGAGGGCGCCGAAGGAAACAATCGGCCAAAGCCCCCTCAGACGCGAGTGAACCGCTTGCACCCGGCAGGCGGGGCAGGAAAAAGCCTGCCACTGCCGCCGATGGCGATGCCGAGGCGCCACAGGCGGAGAAACGACCGCGGGGAAGGCCTAAGAAGGATGCTTCTGCCCCTCAGGCCAAGCGTTCAGAGGAAGAAGCACCGGCGTCCCCAAAGCGAGCCAAATCTCCGAAGAGGACTGTCGACGCCAGCCCGACAACGCCCAGAAGGCGTAGATCTCCCGCCAAGTCTGTAGTTGAGATTCCAGACTCCGACTCCGATGACCCCTTCGCGTCGACACCAGCGTCATCCCCAGCAAAACAAGACGACGTGTTTTCCTCTCCACCAGAGATGGATCTCTCGGTCACGGAAGATACCGAGACATCCCTCATGGCCAGTCCAACGAGTCAGCAGGTGTCCCTATTTCGGTACATCACACAAGCAGTCGTCAGCGCGCCGCCGACGAAGGACCCAGCGAGGCCGTCATGGCACGAGAAGATGCTGATGTATGACCCGATCATTCTGGAAGACTTTACGGCCTGGCTCAATTCGGGGCAGCTGGATCGGGTAGGGTACGATGGGGAGGTGGCGCCGGGAGATGTGAAGAAGTGGTGTGAGAGCAAGAGTGTCTGCTGTCTGTGGAGGGTGAACTTGCGTGGGAAGGAACGAAAGCGATTCTAAATGCTTTACGGGTGGTGGTAGTGTGATGGGCTTGAAGACACAGGACTGCATACGATCAGTGAGCGAGCGGGTTTGGTCTACATAATACTGTACAAGTTCTTTCCGAGAGTACCGTAGTAACGGTACCTTACTACCTATTCACGACGAGCCAGGTTCCAAAAAATCGCTATCCATGCCGTAGTGTATGTTCCCTGTGGCCCTCCTCGAGCCCTGCTCGCCTGCTCCCCCATACCGACGCTTGGTGGGGCGGGTGGGGAGACGCCTCAAACCTCGGCTCAGCGGCCTCAGCGATTCCAGCCCCTGCTGTCTTGCCGGTCACTGCAGCATTGCAGCGATGAGATCCACCCCATCTCCGATCATTTCATTGACATGACGGCTCTGACCCTGAAATGGCGGCCTTCATGCTTCCTCAATCTAGGTGCCCCGCACTCATCCCAACAAAGCGTGTACGCATTTTGTTGACAGAGGACGGCTACTCTCGGCCTGCGGTTCGCCCCCTTTCTACAAGCGCGTTGACATCTCGATCAGTCGCCTGCAGCCCATTGCTTTCCACCAAAAGAATAAGTGGGACGCATGTTGAACAAGTACGATATTGGAACAGATACTACTCCTCCATGATGCCGGCCCAGGGGCAGAGACAAGCAGCCAGTACGCCAGGAGAACGAGAACGGAAGACGAAACCCGCGCCATTAGCGGTGAGGCCAAGCTCCAGGTGTGTTGTGTGACACCAGTAGAATACTAGAAACAGCGTTATTTCATCGCGCTAACACCTGCCCAGTATTCTTCTCCTGTCGCCAACCAACCAAGTCCTGCTCCTACACAGAGTGCACAGTTCCACCTCTTTCGCCTCAGCCCATGTCTTTCCAGGCGGCAACTTGTCGTCATTCCATGATGGCCCGCTCTTGCCCGCAGATAGTCCGGATCTGCATAATGATAGTCCATCGTACCGGCTAGCTGCCGTCCGTGAGACGTTCGAGGAGAGTGGCGTCTTGCTCGTGAGGAAGCCGGGGCAGAGCCAGGATGAGGGGCTGCTTCATGTCCCAGAGGATGTCAGAGAGGCGGGCAGGAAGCAGATCCATGGGAACCAAGTCAAGTTTACAGAATGGGTAAAGCAGTTGGGAGGCGAGCCCGACGTTGGTATGCCCTGCCACCGTTCCTAGACCAGCACTACCATTGCTGACCGAGTTGCCAGAGAACCTCATTCCCTTCACGCGCTGGATCACGCCGCACGGCCCGCCGAAACGCTTCACCACTCAAATGTATCTCTACATGCTTCCACTATCCTCGGAATCCCTTCCCGCCACCGATCCTCTCCTCCAGAACCAGAAGCAGGAGACCATCATCCCTGCACCGAGCCACGACGGCGGGCTGGAACACACAGCAGCAACCTTCGACGACGCACGCGCCTGGCTGGAGAAGGCGCGACGGGGCGAAATCATCCTCTTCCCACCCCAATTCTACCTCCTGCACCTCGTCTCGCAATTCCTACACCCCTTACCACCAACCGCTCCGTCGTCCGGATCAGCAACCCTAGAGTACCGCCAAGCACAGCGCTCCGCTCTCCTGTCCTTCCTCTCGAAAGTGCCCACTTCGCAGCACGCCGACAAGCAAGGGACGTGTGATATTCCGTGGTCGGAAAAGGTCATCAGCCCCGCGGCACTATTTGTGCGGCAGCGAGACGGCAGGGTTGTGCTCGGGCTGGACAAGCCCGGGCCGGAGTTGCGAGGGAGCCGGAGGGGAGGGGATTGGGATCGAGTGGTTCTGGTGCGGTTTGAGAAGGGCGGGCCGAGGGATGTGGAGGTGCGGTGGAGGGACGAGGTGGTTAAGGAGGAACGGGAGGACGGGTCGAGGTTGTAAGCCGCGGGGAACCGTCGGGTGCTGCCAGGTGGATCCTTGACCGCAGCCACGGGCCGCCCGGGTTTTTTTGACTGTGGGGCCGGCCTCCGGACACGCCGTGCCGCAACCCCGCAAAGGCAATGAAGCCTTGGACAACGCCGGAGAATCCTACTTGTGGTGGTGCGACAGCATTCTTGGGTTCAATACAAACAGATCGCGAATGATAAGTTCCGAGTCTTTGTGCAGTGACTCAACGCAGCTGCATTGCTGCCCGCGACCGAGGGTGTGATGTGTCACACGAGGGGCGACAGCACTCCAATGGCGGCATCGAACTCGCCGCAACTTTCATTCCCCGCAGCCACCGGCCGGCTACCTTTCCGATTCCACCTCGGACTGGACTTCCATGGATGTCTTCTCGAATCTGAGTCGGCCGCGGCCTGCATAAGGCGGCTGTGCTTGGCGCACCGCCCGGCGGATGCTGCCTAACGGAACTGCATGCCTGCCAATGGGTCTGTTGTGATTCGCCCCGGCGTCGAGTCACCGCGTCCTCAATCAGCACAACAAAAGTCGCCTTTTTGTCCACTTTCTGCTCGCGGAGCCCTTTTTGAGCCAGGGTTACCTCCGTCTGCCTGATGCCATGGCAGTTTTGTACTTGAAGGCGATTGCTGAACCCACGCCGGCTGGCCCATTATTTCCGCTTCCAGGAAGGTGAATGTCTGATCGTGTCTGCAGGCAGACTGGCAGCCTGCGCAGCCTCCACAGAGGAGTCTGCCTCACGCTCTCCCTTTGCCACCGGCATTGATGAGATATAAAGCTCTCTCCCGCAGCAACATCTGGGTTTCTCTTTCTGTTTCCCTTTCACAACCCAATATCTCCCACAGGCGTCCTTACATCGACCGTCACACAACTAAGGCCGGGCCAATTTGTACTTGGTACCGCGTCACATTTCTTTACACTTCATCCCATAGTCCGGCCCAGGTTTCGTCGGACTAGCATCATGGCGCCCGGAATCCTCGCCGAGACTCCCTCGGTGGATGAAACCGGCAACAGATTGGAGGTTTTGACCATCAACGGGAAGGCCGTTGACAAGCAAGTCAAACAGTCGGTGAATGGTGAGAAGGCGGCAAATGGCGAGGCACAAGTGACAGGTGACGATACACCACGGAACGGAGCCTCTGCCGGGCCGGTTGGCGAGGGTGAAGCCGAGAGTAAAGACGCCACTAAGGCGGACTCCGAGAGCGAGTCCGAGGATGAGACCATGAAGTGTGAGATTAAGCATCTCGACAGGCGGTACAACGACGAGGATGAGCTATACTTCAGCGAGCGCAAGGCCGAGGCCGAGAAGCCAAAGCAGAAGGACTGGTGGAGATTGTTTGCTTTCTGCATGGTCCGATGCTACAATTCCGAGGATGAGGTGGTGGGCACAAGTCTCTACGTCAACCCACAGCCGCTCCGGCAGCTCCTTTTCGATGTCATCGGGAACTTCCCGGGCAACCCCATCGACGTGGACGATGTCCAGATCGAAGCCCCCTACCACTCCCTCTTCTACCACCGGAAGCAGCTGGAGACGGAGGGTTTCAAGCGCTTCGCTGATGACCCGGAGTCGCTCGAGCACCTCAACCTGCTGCTGAATTGGATCAAGACCCACTTCGAGCTCGACATCGCCGCGTACGAAAAGTGCACGACGCAGGGGCAGAAGGTGATTGCCTACGACAGATTGTGGACTCTCTTCCCTCCGGGAACCATCACGTACTGCAAGCTGCTCTCGCAGAACCGTGCCTTCCGCATCACCAACAACTGGTACGACCACAGCGAAGCCAGTCCCAGCCTGGCCCTCGCGGCCGACTTCTTCGACTTCGACGGTGACCGTCTGGGCACCCGGCACATCGAGTTGGCCATCCCCAAGTACCAAGGCACGAGGGAGCTGAGCGAGCTCGACGCGATCCCGCTGGACCTGCTCGACGACGCCGCCGACGTGCGGGAGGAGCTCCTCTCGCGGGGCCGGCGCTTCGAGGCCTACATTGGCCAGCACTTCCTGCACTACGACGGCATCGCCATCAAGAAGACACGCGAAGGCTACGCGCGCTTCACGGTCAACGGCCGCGTCATGATCGACTGCAAGACCTACCATCGCCTGGAGCCCAACGACTCCTTCACCGTCGTGACCAGCGACGAGAAGACCAAGATGGAGCGCAGCCGCAAGAGAGCCATGGCGCAGGCGGCTGCGCAGCTCACATTCGCCAAGGCCGACGGCACGCCCAAGTTCGACCCGATGTCGGACGAAGACGCCATGTTGACCAACGCCACCGTCCGCGGCTACTCGTTCACGGCAAAGCGCTTCCTGGAGTTTTTCATCGAGGACCTGTCCGAGATTCAGTGGAATACGAAGTGCTTTGACGACCTGGTGCTTGACCCGTCCATCAAGAAGACGGTGCAGGCGCTGGTGTCGACGCATTCGCAGACGCGCGAGAGCTTCGACGACATCGTCAAGGGCAAGGGCATGGGCCTTGTCTGCGTGCTCCACGGGCCGCCGGGCGTGGGCAAGACCCTGACTGCTGAGTGTGTCGCCGAGTTTGTCAAGCGGCCGCTCTACATGGTGTCTTCCGGAGATCGTAAGTTCCAACCTCCAGGCCCACCAATCTACCCATATTCATGAACATATATATGGTACTAGTACTAACCCCTCACGCTCAACCAGTCGGCACCTGCAGCGCGGACCTAGACCGGGCGCTGACCAGGATCATGGACATGACGGCCACGTGGCGCGCGGTGCTGTTGATCGACGAGGCCGACGTGTTCCTCGAGCGACGGTCGCTGCACGACATGCACCGCAACGCCATGGTGTCGGTCTTCCTGCGCGTGCTCGAGTACTACTCGGGCATCCTGTTCCTGACGACCAACCGCGTCACCACCTTCGACGACGCCTTCAAGTCGCGCATCCACATCCCCATCCGCTACACCGACCTGACGGTCGACTCGCGCAAGCAGATCTGGCGCAACTTCTGCCGCATGGTCCCCGGCGGCGTCGACATCGACGAGAAGGGGCTGGCCACGCTGGCCGAGAACGACCTGAACGGCCGCCAGATCAAGAACGCCATCAAGGCCGCCGAGAGCCTGGCCGCGTTTGACGGCGCCAGGCTGGATCTGAAGCAGCTGCTGCAGATCACCAAGATCCAGGCCATGTTTGAGAGCGATCTGACCAGCTTGAGCGGCGTCGATTACACCGCGCCCGGCGAGAGGAAGAAGGATGCGGATAGCCGGAATATGTTCTTGTGAATTAGTATGACTGGATTTGTCTTCCATTGGTTTTCCTTTCATCCATGATTTATATTTGTTTCGGTACGTAGCTCATACTCCGAGGTGAGGGGTTGGTACTTGGTACATGCACGAGGGCGTTGGTTTCTGGCGTTTCAATCCATTGGCATTTTGGTCACGATGGTACTACTCATCAGGGGATGATAGTCATGATATACATGGACAATTTCTCGCGGGATTAATAGGAGCTAGAATACCAAGCCTCTCATGACAATGCGACTTTCTCTCCGAAACGAGGTCATTGTCGCCCTACTCGCCCCTTTTCTGCCATAATGCGATGTGTTAATTATGTAGAATGGATGGGCTCGCGAAGGCGAACTCGGACCTAGACACGGCGCCGCATGGACTGAATGACCATCGACAATCTTTAAAAAGGGTATCCCGAAGTCAGGATCACCTGGTAAGCTTGAACTTCCGCAACCCAGCGTAGTTGGAGGGCTGTTTGGGTCAAACGTTGAAGCCAAGGCGGAGTGACGGCAACCGAGGAACCAGGTAGGCAGACGTGACTCACAGCTATGCTACAGTCATAGTGAGAGCCTCGATTTGGATGGCAGCGAAGAAGTCTAGACACTACCTAGGTAGGTAGAGATTGTCATGTTGCCTTCAGTGATGTAGAGACTAGAGACCATTGTACAATACATGGTAAATCCTGGAACTCCGTAGCAGTTTAGCGTTTATTGAGTGTCCCAGTCATTTGTTCACCGAAGCTACCTACCTTAAGTAAAATAACTTATCTTCTGGTGTCACGCAGCTCACGCTTCACATATCGTTGGAGGGAAAGGGGGAAGGGGTGGTGCTAGTGGTACAATGGGGGCTACTGTAGTCATTCCGCTAATCCTGGGCTTCCGTAATGTCGTCATCGCCGCGAAGCTTCTTTTCATCCCACCATACCCCACTATAGCTGCAAATCAATACACCCCGCGGACCCTTCGGGCCGTCCCCATCACCAGGAACAATATCTAGGTACGCTTTCGACAGAGGTCTATGGCGCAGTTATTATCCCGCTTCTTCCGGACCTTTACCTCCTCTACCAGCAGAATGGCCTCGACAACGGCGCCAGCACCAATTCCCGAGGGCGCCGAGCGCGCAACTGTCGCTGCGGGCTGCTTCTGGGGCGTGGAGCACCTCTACCGCAAGCACTTTGGCGACAAGGGCCTGTACGACGCGCGCGTGGGCTACATCGGCGGAGACACAGAGAGCCCGTCGTACAAGCTGGTGTGCAGTGGGAATACGGGGCGTGCGTGTACCCCTTTTCAGTTTTCATGGAACCTCTAACCCCTCCGGCGTCGTCCCCCAGGGTTAGATGAGAAGTGATGGATGCTAATGTGGGCCTAATATTTGAACATTGCAGATGCCGAAGCAACACAACTCATCTACGACCCCGCCCGGCTCTCCTACAGGCAGCTCCTCGAGTTCTTCTACCGCATGCATGACCCGACAACGCTGAACCAGCAGGGGCCCGACCGGGGCACGCAGTACCGGAGCGGCATCTTCTACCACTCGCCGGAGCAGGAGGCGGTCGCGCGCGAGGTCACCCAGAAGGCGAACGAGCAGTGGTGGGGCGGGAAGATCGTGACCGAGATCTTGCCCGCCGGCCAGTGGTGGGATGCCGAGGATTATCACCAGTTGTATCTGACCAAGAACCCGCACGGGTACGAGTGTCCGAGTCACTTTTTGAGAAACTTTCCAGATTTGAAGTGAACCAGAGGCGTGGATGGGGTCGGCCATTGGGGATTGGCGTTGGGCGGTAATAAGCGTTGGACACTATGCCGTGTGATTGGCGATCATACAAAGGCCAGCAAGGCTCTGAGAAATACGCACGATTTTGATCTGTTTTTGTTGTTTCTAGTCGAAATGACTAGCTCGTACATGAGTGGGAATACCTGACGCCGTTCATGTTCCGTCCAGTCGCATTGTAAAGGTACATACAAATAAACGAAAGCAACGAGTAGGAGATCGCTCGCTGACTTCCCCGTCCTCCCAATCCAATTACCTAATACACTCCTAACCTAAAACGCAACCCATCAATCCATCCCTTACTTCCTCCTGCTGTTCTGCATCATCAGGATCTGCACCATCCGGACGAAGATGTTGAGGAAGTCGAGCTCGAGGCTGATGCTCTCGTTGACGGGGTCCTCCTTGATGATGCCGCGCTGTGCCGCCCGCGCGTGGTACAGCACCTTCTGCACGTCGTACAGCGTGAAGCCGCCAAACACGGCCAGACCACCATAGAGCCAGAGGTTCTCAGTGACGGCCAGGGTGCGGACAGCCGTGGCGGGAAGAACGAGAGGCGCAAACCCGGATACGGCAACGATGGCAGCGCCGGCCAGGAGCGGGCCGCCAATGTAGAGGTACTTGTCCTGCTTGGCGGTGGCGCCCACGAACGAGATGCTGCCCATCATGGCGAGCGTGTAGAGACCAGCGCGGGCGAGCAGTGCCGGCGGGGCAACAGTCATGAGAGGAGCGATCAGAGCGGCCTGGGTGGCGTTGAAGGCGGCCCAGCAGGCGTACTTGGGGATGTAGCTGGAGGAGGCCCAGTTAGCGTCTGCCACGTTGTTGGAAAACGTTTCTAACCGTGCGAACTTACTTGTCGGGATCGATCGCACGAGTAGCAACCATGCTGCCGATGCTGAGAGCGAGACCACCAATACCGACGATCCACGGGTTGGTGACCATCAGGCGGTAGACGAAACCGCTCTGAACCATCTGGTAGGCGGACAGGCCGATGATGCCGACACCGAGACCCGTGTGCATGAACGTCCGGTTCAGATACGACCTCTCAAATGGCGGCATTCCCCCATCCTCCCTCGTTTCGCGGTTGAAGACGGCATTGATGCCAACGAGAGTGCCGCCGAAGATGGCACCGCCGATCAACAGCTTGCGCATGAGCTGCGCGCGGCGGGCTGCGGGGTCGACGTAGACGGACTCATACTGTGTTTGGTAGCCACGCGACGCGCCGCGCAGCTTGGAGAGGATGTTGCTGGAAGACTTGGTGTTGGAGCGGAAAGCGAGCGACGCCGTCCTCGAGGTGAAGAAGCTGTTTTTCGGTGTCGAGTGGAAGGCACGGAAGGCCGACGCTCCCGCGAGCTGCGGCGCCTTCGCAGCGAGGTGCGCGGGACCTGCGCGAATCGCAATCGTAAACGACATCATCAAATTCTTCGCTGTTTAAGTGACTGAAGTCAAAGCAGAAAGGCGACAACGTGATACCCGGTTCAGACTTGTTGCTTCGACGTTCTGATGCAGTGGTCGCAGTTGGAGATGACGTTTTGAAGGTGGCGGGCTTATCTAAACTCCATGCGTGGCCCGAGCTTTCGGAAGGTTCGAGCAATTGAACGGAGGTTCGGGCATGCGGACCCTAACCCTACAGATCAGTGTAAGTGGTGCTCGCACTCCACGGGACAGGGAGCCCTCATTCAGATGAAATAACCACAGGCACTCAATATATTGGTACTATGTAGTGAAGGTACATAGCTAAGCCCTATGCTCATATCAATCTTAGAAAAGCAACGGTCCGTATTCAATCTGTCGTTCCAACCACCATAGCCCCAAGTACCTTGATTTGGTGTCATGTTATTCAAGGTACTATAACGAATGTCCTTTTCGTATTTTCTCCGAGTTCTCCTTAATTGCGCGTCATTAGCAGTAGGCAACTCCGTTCTCGGGGCCAAATTTATTGCCACCACCTATGCTGTCTTGAAGAGATAAAGGATGGAGAGGACGAGGAGCAGGACCGTAAGGACAACCTCTCGCAGAGAGAATGCTTTCAGAGCGTAAGTTAGCTGTTCATAGATTTTTGTGTCATCTTAATCCAGACTTGATACTTACTGGGGGCCCCTAAATTGTGTACATGACTCTTCATGGCCTGCAGCGAAGCTAGGTCTGCAACACGGAATGGTTTGTATGATGTTCCTTCAGCACCACGGTCCGTGTACGAAGTAGGAGGCTGGCGAACAAGAGGCTTCTGTTCCGCTTCTTTCGCCTTGAGGACCAGAGGGCTGCCGAGGAGCCGGTGCAAGACTGCCGCGTCACTGACATTGATGTACAGTTCGGCCCTGCTTTCAACCTGGTGCTGATGAGCCGGGTTTCCTGGATTATAGACGAGATGGCTGAATTTAGCAGCCAGGTGAAGGGTCACACGGCTACGCTTAGCGTCCTCGTCAGGGCCAGCCAGCTCGTGGTCTAGCGTGAGCTGGAAGATGTCCCCTCCACCAGTGACAAGACGCAACCACCTCTCAGCACCGGAGGTGAGGTTGCTGTGAACCGCGAGGGTGCGGTCACCGACGGTGAGGTTCTGAAGTCGCGAATAGCGGATCGCTTCAATATCGGGTTTGATAATCGGCTGTGATTGGTTGCCAAACTCTTCGTCAGGCCGGGTTCAGATTTAGTCAGACTAATAGTGATCATGCGTACCTGATAATGGACATCAACTCTGTCGTTAAAGCTGAACGCCAGCTGCGGGTGATCGCTGCCTAGGAGGTAAGCGGTCATCGTGGCGTTATCAAACCGAGGAAGACCAAGGGCTACACCATAATTGGGTTCCTTGCACGGGGGATCGCCCTTGCAGGATTTAGGGGAAGGTTGCCTGTAGGAATCACCGCCTTCTGCCTGGAAGCGGAAGTCTTCTCCCTTGCAGGTAGCCTTGTCGGTTGCCGGAGGGGTTGTTTTGTAACTATATATGACAGGCCCCAATCAGCTGCGTGACAGATTTTATAGGAAGGAAGAGGAGTTTGGGGGGAGGATGGTTGCTTTGGTCTCAAAAGTTATCCACTCACGATACTGTGAACCAGCCCTTCTCTGGTCGACAACCCGGCGCCGGGCCGAACTTCGTCCTCAGGAATCCGCAGAAATCGCCTCCATGGGCACTGTTCTGCGACGCTTCGATGGCCTGGACCCTCGCACAGCATCCGCCGCGGGTGCACTGTTTGGACGCGTAAGCCGTTATACAAGGTTGACATTCATTTAGGCTGACAAAAAGAAAAAAAAAATCTTGCCTTATTCATGGGGACTTCATCGCGCTGTGTTCCCTTTGGCGGAGACCCCAACCGCGACATCGCCCACCTTCGTCTGGGGATGTACACGTCGTCGTACATCCACTTTATCTTTCTGCCGGCCGAGTAGGGGGACCATTTCCGCCAGCATTCGGTGTTTTGGCAAAGGTCCGGATACCTGTCGCAATCATAGGCGAAGTTTTCGGTATTTGGTTCCTCAGGCAGCATATATCGCGTGGCCTGATTAAGGTATCGATCGTGAATATGACTGCACGGCTAATTGAAATTTCATCTGTCAAAACGAGGACACTCACAAGGGACATTCCATCGCAATCCATCTGCTGATAGGGGCATGAGCTCAGCTCAACCAGCCTAGATCGAAGGTCGTAATAACCGCTACACTCCATCCATGTTTCAGCATCCATGTCTATAGGATCATCTCCATCAGTGACCTCGAGAGGAGGAGGAGCCATGTAAGGCAGGTAGTCGGCGAGATCCGGCCCCTGCAATATCATCACACCCGAGCCAATGTCAGGGTGAGGCAGATCTGCAGAAGACCGAAGCGACGAGCACAAGTTGGGGCGGTTATCAATGTAGATAGCAGGCAGGGAGATGCCGTCCCACGCGAATAGGGTGTAATCGCCGCGGTAGTTGCAACCTCCGCCGCAGCTGAAGCAGCACGTGAACCAACAGTACCAGCAGCAGCAGTTCCAGATCTCATAGTATAAGGAGACTCTGCCTCTCAAGAATTCCCCATTGATTTGGATCGAGTCGCCAAATCCGGCTGCCAGTGGAGACAGGGAGTTGACTGTTATGCCCCCACCTGCGGGGAGGTACAGCGACGCGAAGGCTAGGTCACCCTCCAGGCCAGCGCCTGCTACCAGCACCCGAACGTTGGCGCTGATTTGGCCTCCAAGCCCGATCCCGGGGCGGATATATCCGGTGATCTGGCCGGGGATGGGATTGGAGAGGTTCTGCGTGACCAGCTCCACGCCGTATCCGACCTCGAACCAGCCGACCAGCTCGACATGCAGATCGACCTCGGCAATGAGGGGGATTCCGTAGTAGTAGGTGGCCTGGATGAACGACTTCGTCTCTCGGATCGTGACGGCGGGGCTGCTCGGAAAGCTTATCGTGCACGGATCGCCCTGCACCAGCTGGAAGACTGTCTGGCTGAACCACTCGATGCTGATCAGGTAGTATGGAACCTGCTGCATGGACCCCAGGTCGAAGAGAAATACTGCTGTCCAGAGGAAGAATGACATGTCGCCGTCACTGGTCCAGACTGCATAGGCTCCGGCCGAAGCGATGTCGACATCGGTAGAAAAGAGCGAGCCGAGCACGAAAGCTTCAGCGTTGAATCCGGCTCCCGCGGCGTTGAAGTCGCTATCGACAACCACACCCACAGTTGCTCGGACATTTTCTCCTATCACCCATCGTCAGAACTGGATATTTTTACTAAAACGAGATAAAGAGGATATGTGAAAAAACAGAAATGCATACCTCCATACGATCTTGTCCAATGCAGAGGCGTGAAGAGGGGAGAACCGGGAAGTGGGTAGTCCAGAGTCGCCTTCTCAATGAGCGCTATTCGATTCATGCCTATCTTCGCCAGGCGGTAGTCTGCGAGGCGGTTGGCCATCCGCTTCTGGAAATAACCCTTCAGTCCTCGGATGTCCGCGGGAGCTCTACGCACCCGCGGCTGGAAGAGGGCGCCGAGGAGGGTCTTGGTTGCCAGGATGGGGTTTTCGTGGACGTGATGTTGTAGAGCCTGCAAGCCAGCGCGCCTCGCCGCCGGCTCGCTGTTGTGCAGGCTGTGGTATACTAAGTGTCCCGTGGCACGTTCCTGAACTTAGGTGAGCGGAGAGCCAGGAAGAAATCGATAAGCGGAAAGGCTGTTAAATAAGTACATACATTCGGCACGTTCGCCATCGCTCTTACCGCAGCCACTCGCAGAGCAGGGTTATCGTGCTCCGTAAAGTTGTCTACCTTGTCAATGACGTGGGGATGGCGGGTATTCGCGAGTCCGTATAGAGCAGTTAGTAGCTTCTCGTGCCTGTCCTCGTCCACGGTCTTATTATGCAATATGTGGACGATGTCGTGCGGCTCAAGCACGGTTTCGGTATCCCATGGGCATGGTGGCTTCGCTGCAAAGCTTCCGAGGGCCGCACTTGCTGCTGCTTCCACATCATCGGAGCCAGCAGGGACCGTGTTATTCGCGATGCTGGCCAGGTCGTAAACATAACCCTTGGGGGCGCAGTTCATAGCCACTGACTCTTGGATGGTGGCGACCTTGGCTGCGCCTGAAAAGGACTGGGCGAGAACGACATCTTCGAAGGTCTCCACGACCTGGATCGTCATGGGGAAGCTTGCCAACGTCCCCATTAGCACGGATGCTGTCAGACCGCCGTCGTCGTTAATGTCGACATCATGAGATTGGACTGCGGCACAAATAAGATTTCTGCCTTCCTCGCCAGCTCGCGAGATGTTGCGGCGGAAATCAATCAGCGTGTTCGTATCTCCAGGATTCGCACTGATACTCGATATCCAACCCAAGACGTCTGTTATCAAAAAAGTAAGCGAACTTCTCCACGGGCAGGATAAAGGTCTAGTTACCGGCGTAGGAATTGTTCAGGGGCCAACTCTGCATCCACTGGGGATCATCAAAAGACAGCGTGGTGTAACTCGGCAGGAGTTCACCGAGACGGAGTAGCAGGGCGTTTTGTTCCGGTGTCAAATCGCTTGGAGGGGCAGTGGTATTGGCGGTGACATTGGATGATGCTACAAAAAACGTTGAGCCAAAGTTCATGGCTTATCGAAGGGAGTGGCCCGCAAACCTGTAATTGCCGGGAACCCAGTTTCGTCAGGCGGGCTCTTGACGGTTGTAAATGGCTCCCAGTTTGTGTCAACAACCCACACTCCGGAGCCTTGGTAGGATAATGTTGTTACATTCACGACCGGATACGTGCCGACTAGAGCTCGCCCTAGGTAAGGATTGTTGGTAGTACCAAATTTGTCGAAGCTTATCTGTTTGTTATTCCACATTTAGTTCGCGCCATGAGAACGTGAGAAAAAAATTAATTTGCATAAATCATTTCTTACATCTAGAGCTCCAATTAAAGGCCCTTCGCCGCTTGGTGATGGGATGAGACGCGGGATTCCCCAGGGTGAAGTCCCAGACGGACTTAGCTGCATCGTCACGACAGTAGAGTTCTGCATGACGACGAAGACGCCGTCATCTGGTCCGTTGGCACCGTCGAAATGCCATGGCTCCACCTGAGAAACCAGAACTGTCAGCACGAGGAGCGTTTCTAGCCGCACAGTTTTCTCTCAAGATTGATCAGACTCACTGATAGTGCGGGGCCGCCAAGATCCACATTCACCCAGTCCAAAAAGCCCTCTGCCGGGTTGATCAGACTAGAATATGGCGGATTCCAGACGCTGTAGGTGAAGTTCTGGTCCTCGAGGATTCCGGCAACGACAGGGCTGGGCTGTGTCGGACCGACAGGGGCGAGATGGAGAAACGTGAGGATATCATTCACGTTGGCAGTGCTTGGAAACTGGCTGACGCTCGGCTGAGTGTCTCCGTTCGCAAGATACAGTATATATGGATTCAGTTCGTCTGACAGGTAGAAACCATAAAGCGTGGCCTGTACTGGGATGCTGGGGTGGAAGGGCCAGAACTGCGAATATATCAGTTGATCCCAAGCGATATTTATAACATTTGCCTTACTAGAATTGGCCGAAAGGCGTCATTCACACTTCCGGGATCCGTGTAGTTTGTCCACGTAATAGGCGAAGAGGGTGAGTTAGGAGATGTGTCATGTGTCTCCCAAATAGCACCGAATGTGTCTAGAGCCCACTGTGACCGATATTGGCCAGGCAGCTCAACGGGAGGACCGCCGGCCAGGCCCGAGAACGGCGGAGACGTGTCAACCTCAATCTGCGGCGTACCGCTCCCCGACCAAGCGAAACGACAGACTTGGCCGCTAGGATTCAGGGCGAGAAGGATTGGGTCAAGATTAGCACTCTGCCCCTGCTGTATGTCGGAGAATGGACCAGAGCAAGAGGAGTAATTGACCAGAGTAGGAATCCCGCTTTGGAGGACTTCTAGGGTGCCGTTCTGGCTAAGAGTCGCGTACTGAGAGAGGCTGATAAGCTACATGCATATAATGGACTACATATCGGAGCAGGGGAACTCACCAAGCCGCTCGATACCGTCACCTTATCGACGATTTCGGCTGCGCCATGAGTGGTGCCCAGCTCTGTAGCGTCGCCACCCGTCATGGCGGAGACCCCTCCTGCAGGAGACCAACACACATTCTTCGTGTCTGCGGCAAGTTCATCCCCGTTTATACTTTGCGAATCCGCCTGCCAGCATTGCGAGTCGGCGAGCTGGAGAACGATCCATCAGTCAGCAATGAGAGATATTGGCACTATAATCAAGTATCATTGCCCACCTTGCCTATATATTGATACTTCACAGTACGAGGGTTACCGAAACGGTCGGTTGTCTCATGTTCGTAGCTCTCTGATCCGTTATAGTACGACTGCAGCGTACGCAGAGAGCTTAGGATCAATTTGTGGTAGCCAAGTGGATCTTGCGATTGCGAATCCGGATCGTATGTGACAGAGGCATTGTAGTATACGTTCTTAAACTCCCCACTGGTGAGGTCCTGTGTGACCCAAACGCTGATCGGCATCAGATACCGGAACAGTTAAAAGAGTACTTTTGAGAGCTATACCTTGTCTGGTTGTCCACACCTTCGCTCCGCTTGACGCATTCTTGATCGGTTCCGAATGTATTTCTGATGACACGAAGCCCACTTTCTCCAATCGGATTGCCGGCTTCTACCAGACAATCAGGAACAGAGACGTAAGCAAGGAAGATCAGTGTGCCTGGTTCTGGTGAATCAGCTTGCGTCAGAATGGTCAAGTTAGACGCGACGGCAGCCGAGAACCCAGAGCTGTCTGCGTCGGCAATCCCACTGCCTGTGTCAGAGTCATGCTGATAGTTGTACGAATAGAGCTCGGAGGTAGTATTCAAGCTCAAGTTATACGTGTATGCTTTGCCAGGTTGGAACGCGGGTCGAGATGGCTGGTCAGTGATGGAGCCATGTTTGTCGATTGGCAGCGGAGCAAAGATCGGCTTTCTCACATGCTGAAATGGGAGAGGGTTCGTGCGAGAGGAGGTGAGAGACAGGGAAAGAGTAGCTTGGAGCAGGAGGAGGACGAAAAATGCTAGATTGACGGGCATATTGTAGGGACTTTACTTGTGATTAATAAAGGAAATTGCGAGTCCATTGATACTTTTATTCCTTGGAATACTTGTTAACCGGTTGGCGGAGAATCAGGTCTTGCAGTGGATGTCTGGTGCGGCGAACCCCGCTTGAGACGTCATGGTTCGAGGAGAGGAGCATCACCGAGCCCAGCGCAAGAGGCCCAGAACGACGAGGGCAATGGAAGCAGCTCCTAGCGCCAAAGATGCACCGCCATCGCGAATGCGCGGGGTGCGGGCTGGAGGACTTTGATAAGTGTAAACGGAGTAGACTAAGCGACGACTTCCGGCCTCCATCGCCGGCACCGTCTGGAGCCATTACGGAGGCGGCCCCGGTCCGGCAGAGCTTCGGGCGAGTGTTGGCCCAGATACAGAAGCCAATACATAGTTGAGTTTGTAAGATAACCCAAAGGTGGTCTGTGCATCAATGCGCCTGCACCTTCCGTGCCTGCATAAAATGCCCGGTTTGATGCATCCTATAGTAGCCTAGCCATAATAGGCCTAGTGCCATTGAACATGCATGCATATCTTCTACAACGCCACATCACTTGCCAGTGCGCCCACCATAGCCGTCGCCGTTAAAGTGCAGTGATGCCTGCAACGCTGGCCTGCAACAGTGCTTCTCTTTTGCAAATTACTGGCAAGAAGCAATAAGCAATGTCATTTACATTGCGTTCCTTCACAACCGGCCATCGATAGTTGCCAATACCCGTGCCGCCCTGGAGAAGCGACGCGACAGCCTCTGTTCAGGATGCGAGACTGTGCCAGGCTCGCCGCCAGAACGTTATTCAGAACAACTGCATCAGTGATTGGGCTTGCGGCGCTCGGTGACTGGTTTTCCAGCATTAGTAGCTACATCTACTTCCCCACCATCCCATTCCTGGCCTCCGATCTTCACGTCAGCATCCAGCAGGTTAACCTGAAAGTTACGTCCTATCTTGTCGGGTGTCTTCCTTTCCATCATGGGCAATGCCGCCGATCGCTTCGGGCGGAGACCAGTCTTCTTAGTAGCCCTCGTCGTCTATTTCGCGGCAAACATTGGGCTTGCGCTACAGTCCAATTTCGTCTCGTTTTTTGTCTTCCGAATGCTGCAGAGCGCGGGCATCTCAGGCACATTTATCATCGCCTACGGAGTACGGAGCCCTCGGAGACTTGTTCACCCCAGCTGAACCGGGGAGGGGCAAGGAGGGGAGGGGTGGGGGGCTACTCCGGCATCATCTCCTTCTTCTGAGCTCTTTCATGCCTGCCCTGCTTCCAGACGCCCCGCGATGTGCTAGCTGTCTGGGAGTCTAAACACCCCACCGAGCCTGGGCCCGGTGATCAGCGGGTTGCTGCTATTGCGTTGGACCTGGCGGTCTATATTCTGGTTTCTCGCAGTGGCTTCCGCGCTCTGCATTATCTCCATGGCGCTCTTCTACCAGAAACAGCGCGGAGTATACTTGGGGACGGGAGTGCGGCAGTCAACCCGATCAACAAGGCTCCAATTCCAATTCTCTCTCCAAAAGCCTCGCAAGAGGGAGGAGGAAGGCCCGATGCAGTCCCCCGAGAGGACCATCGGAAGTTTCCCAATCCATTGGCGGCATTGAGACTGCTGCGGATTCCCGGCACCGCTATCATCTTGGTAGCATATGACATCAACTATACGGTCTACTGCTGCCTGCAAGCCTCGCTCGCGACACTATTCGTCGACACCTACCAAGTCTCCGGGCTCACGGCCAGACTCATTTACCTCCCCTTCGGCGTTGCCGTTGCCTTGAGCGCCTTTGCAACGGGCCGGCTGCTGGATGTCAATTATAGCAAGACTGCAGCAGAGCTTGGCATCAGCGTCAAAATAGACGAAGGAACAAAGCTCAAGGACTTTCCCATCTACAGCGCACGCTGCCTGCAACTTTATCCGCTGCGAAGTGGCGCAGCCTGCCTTGAGGCGCTGGATACGATACTTCGAAGACTTGGCCCTGGGTGGAGCTTCCTGCTCTTTGGTGTCTTGCTAGTCCTCTTGTTTTTGTGCTACTTCTGTTGCAGCTCAGAGCGATGAAGTGGCGATGCCAGCCCTACTGAGCGAGAATAACTGCGATACAATCTCCTTCCGCAGCCTAAACCGACCTAGGGACATGGATGTCCGGGGCTCTTCACCGATACCACTCAACATTCTCACAAAGCCCTGTGCCCACCACCGAGATCGACACAACGCACGTACGCTTCCGACACAGCCACTCAACAGGGCCTTACATCTCTCCACGATACTTGTTGATGAGCCAGTTTAGCTCATTCAAGGCCCAGTTCCGCGTCTCGGACCCGGGGCAATGGGCTGAATTGATGAGAAGCGTCTCAACAGAATACAAGCGGTTCCGGTCGTCATATTCTCCGACCGGCTCACTTGGCGGAATGTTCATGAAATAATGTTCGCGGTATTCCCCATCGAAGAGCTGGTGATGCCTGCACCTCCAGATACCTACTTCTTTCTCGTGGTGGGCATAGTAAGCGCAGGCGTCGTAAATGTATATTTCGCCTGTCCGCGAGTCGGTGCCGATGTTGGACTCCCAGAGGTCCCCATGGATTAGGCATGGCTTGATGGTCCGCCCTTCTGCCGTGAGCGGATTCAGCAGCCGCGGGATCAGCTTGTCGAACGTGACTTGCAGGGCATCATCCAGCTCTTGCCAGAAGCCGTTGACCTCAACGTCGAGCTTGTACACATCGCGCAGAAGCCTTGTGAAAAAGGAGGTCCAACTACTGTCCCACGTCGTGGTGAGCGGCAGCTTGCCGTCGAAGGTGGTGCAGTAGAAGCCGAACTTGCCCGTCGGGGACTGACTTTTTCGATGAAGCTCGGCCAGCTTTTCTCCGAGGCGCTCGGGGTTAGGGAGATGGTGATCGATGTTCAGGAAGTCGCACAAGTAAAAGTGTGCGTTCTCTTCTCTGCATTTGCCATATCCGTGAGGCTGTGGCGCGATGCTGGGCAGTGTCTTGTGTATCTCGTGCATGGACATGTACTCGCCCAGCACACGCTCCTCGGCGTCTTCGGACCTCAAGATCTGCCACCACCGGATCCATTAGCAGTGAATCGGGGGCTGGCTGACAACTATAAGGTCTTTCTCTCCCTCACCTTGAGGGAGTAAGCCTTGCGAGAGCCATCCGCAGCTTCGGTATCAATCTTGAGTGTTGAAGCCCAATTAGATTCGCCACATTGTTCGACTACAACGACCCGGCTCTCCTTCGCGAGTGCTGCAGTTTGTGAGCAACGTTAGGACTTCTTGATGTTCTTGATCGACCGGGACGCAGTATAGAGGGTACTAGTACTTACCCTCGATTATCGCTGGGTCCAGCTTCGGCTCCATGGTGATACAAATTGCAACACGTTTCCCCGACCGTGGGAAACTCGCCAAAAATAAACTGTATGTTTGCCAGGGCTCCAGGGCCCGAATGCCCGTCAAGGCGGAAGCACCAGGAACTTATGCATCTACACAGTAGAGCCTCGGCGGTGCTCTCCTTGAACAAGACGTAAAGCAGCGGAACAGCTGCGGGTTGGCGCGTGGGCTGCATCTGTGAGATGCCCGTCTCATGCAGGCACAGGGGGGATAAGGCCGCGGCGATGCGGGATTGGTCCTTCTTGCACCTTTCTCGTAATCCCTAAGGGGGCCAGTTGACCCGGTCCAGGTTACATTATGCGGGACAAGTGATTGACTCTCCGCGATGGCCCCATTTCCCCGACCGTCTGAATAGTTGCACCGCGGCGACATATCATCTCCGGAGCATCTCGGATGCCTTAACTGGCCTCCCCACAGGTTCACGATGGTAAACATCCCTTCAGTTCGGAGAGATGATGGATTACGGTTCGATAACCAGTTTCATGGAAATTGCTGACAGGAGACCTCCAGTGGAAGCGCTTCAAGCCAGGTAGAAGCAGTAACTCCAATGACCGGCTGGACCAGACGTCGTCTGCGCCGCCACATCTAGAGGAAAGGTCGACATCCGCCCCGACGGGGCCGGCCTCAGACGGTCAACGGCATAACTCCCTACCGCATAATCCGACCCTTAAAGTTCCGACAGATGCACCTCTACCGAGACGTCGTGCGTCAGCACTCTCCGATGTCCATGCCAAGCTCTACTCGCCACACCAGCGGCAGCGTTCGCAGGATCGGAGAGATGATCCGCTGGGCCTCCTCGTGCTCCATACGCCACCGGAGCGCACAATAGATGTCATTTTCATACATGGCCTCGGAGGCACGAGTCTACGGACCTGGTGCCGCGACAGGGATCTGAATAAACTTTGGCCCAAACTGTGGCTCCCTGATGCGCTGCCAACAGCGCGCGTCCTCACCTTTGGTTACAATGCTCACTTCGCTTCCAAAAAGGAGCAAGCTTCGTCTACTATCGGCGACTTCGCCAATGACCTTCTGTTTCGCATGAAGTATGGAGAGAACACAGCCGAGCGGGTGGGTCAAGTGCCCATTGTCGTTGTGGCGCATTCGATGGGCGGTCTGGTGTTCAAGAAGGCCTTCGTGCAGGGGCACTTGAACAACGAGTTCAGTCAGATCGTCTCCATGATCAAGGCCGTCTTGTTTCTCGCAACACCTCACCGGGGCACAGACCTGGCCGAAACGCTGAACAGACTGCTACTCTCCGCCTCATTTTTGGGCCACTCCCCGAAGGAGTACGTCACAGAGCTGGCGCGGAAAAGCCCAACGATTGACGAGCTGAACGAGGCCTTTAGGCATCATGCCTCAAAGCTCCAGATCTTTTCGTTCTACGAGACTCTGGCCACCACAGCGGGACCCGTGTCAGTCATGGTCGTCGACAAGGCTACTGCCCTCATGGGCTACCCAAACGAGACACCGACACCTCTTGCCGCAAATCACCATGATGTCTGCAAGTTCACGAGCACAAAGGACCCCAATTTTACTTCGGTCATCGGAGCGCTGCGCAGTGTCGCCCGTTCCGTCGTTTCTCCAACCGACGACCATGCCTCGAGAAAACGGGACCTGCAACACTTAGTTGACCTGTTAGGCGTCACCGGTCCACCGGAAGAGGACCTTAGCTTCGGGCGTTCAGCGCGAAAGGAGGGCACCTGCGAGAGTTTTCTGGCGAGTGATGAGGTAGACAGTTGGTTCCGGTCCAAGTCTCGACGTATTCTGTGGACGCATGCCCAGCCGGGCGGCGGGAAGTCGACTCTCTGTTCTTTTGTCATTGGGCGCCTCTTCGATGCTGGCCATAAATGTTCGTACTTCTTCTTCAAGTATGGGCATCGCGACAAACAGTCCACAAGCAGCATGCTGCGCTCCCTTGCCTACCAAATGGCCCTCCAGTTGCCCGAATTCCGTCGCGCGTTGATTGGCCTCGCAGAATCAGGGGTTCGGGTTGCCCAGGCAGATTCAGCTACGATCTGGGAAAAGATCTTCTCGTCTGCCCTTGCGGGCATAAGGGCGGATGAAGACATGTGCTGGGTCATCGACGGACTTGACGAAGCGGAGTCCAGCAAGCGAGTGGTAGAACTTCTCTCACGCGTGGCCGAGTTTGAGAGTCAAGTCCGCATTCTTGTCTTCAGCCGGCCGCTCGCCAACATCAATCAGGCGTTTCAGTTGGCGAGGAGAAGGCTGCCCGTTGTGGACATGCCGCTGCTAGACAATCAAAACGATATCCGACGAATGGTGGCCGAAGAGATGGATTACCTTCTCTCTGGCGACAACTTTAAGGCCCAAGCCGTGGACGAGATTGTGGCACGATCCCAGGGCAACTTTCTCTGGGCTAGCCTTGTTACCAAACACGTGGTCAAATGTCACCGTGAAGAGCAGGTCAAACGAGTTCTGGACTCGACACCAAACGGCATGCATGCGCTTTATGATCGCATGGCAGACGCGGTCATAAACCTCGAGCTTGAAGAGGACAAAGTGCTGGCTAGAGTTTTGTTGACATGGGCCATGTATGCAAAGATGCCCGTTACCGTTGAAGAGCTCTCGGAGATTTACCCAGCGGAAATGAGCTCGATTATGGACCTCAACCACACCATCAGCCAGGTGTGCGGGCAATTTGTCGTGGTCAACTCACAAGGCCGAGTAACACTGGTCCACCATTCCGCCAGGGAGTATCTCAAGAGGGCGAAGCGTCAGCTACTATTTACTCTAGATCCTGAACCCGCGAACGAAGAGATCTTTAGCAAGTGTCTTGCAACCCTCTGCGACAAAGGCCTAAGACGGAAGCTTCACATGCTGAAGGTTCCGCAATTTCTGCCGTATGCCTCGACGTCGTGGGCATCACACCTCGAGCGCAGCCGAGCGAACTCCAACCACGTGCTAGACGCGCTCATCAGGTTCTTCAATGGCCCGTATCCTCTCGCCTGGATTCAGTATTTGGCCATGAGTGGTCGACTGAGGGAGCTCTTCACCGCTTCACGTATACTCACCACATATGTCCGCAGGCGCAACAAGGCAGACGCCGAGACGTCTCCCATGCTCCACCGGCTCACGGACCTCTCTGTTCTGGAAACATGGGCTGTCGACCTGATGAAGCTACCGGCGAAGTTTGGCCGCCACCTCTCTCAGTCTCCGGCCCTGATCTACCAGTGCATCCCCGCGCTCAGCCCGGTCGCCTCGATCATCCACCAGAGATTCAGCGAGAACCCCAGCGCAACCGTATCGGTCTCTGGGCTGACAAACGAGGAGTGGAACGACTGCTTGGCGCGCGTATCAGGAGGCAGCGGTAAGGCCCTCCGTCTTGCCGTCTCTCCGTTGTATCTGGCAGTGGCAAGCGATGAGCCGAGAGGCACCGTCACCATATGGGACACCAACCTCTTCGAAGAGCGCAAAGTCTTTTCCTTGGGCGAGCATATTTGGGCGTTGACGTTCAACAAGTCTGGCTCGCTCCTGGCAAGTTACTCCCTCTCGCGAACATTTGTATGGAAAGTGGCAGACTGGTCGCTCGATTTCTCTGCAAACAACCCGGGAGAGGAGCGCGCCCTCGAGCTCAAGTTTGACGACAGAGACTCGTTGATGATGGTCTCGGAGTACAGGCGAGTCTACAAATTGACGAGGCCGAACATCGAGGAGTCAGCGTTCTGGAAGCGACAAGACCCGGACCTGCTCGATGAACCAGGCGTTCCCGAGGGCACGTTCCTCAGCACGCCGTCCTGTGTTGCATTCAACAACGATTGTACCCAGATTGCGGTCTCATATCGCGCGTTCCCCCTTTCCATCTGGATTGTGGATCCCCCTAAAATGATCGCGCGGCTCAGGAGGAAATCCAAACACGGCCGAGCGGTGATGCACTCGTATACAGGTGATAACAAAGTCGTATGGCATCCATCAGGTACAATGGTCATCGGTATCTACGGTCGAATATTCAAATGGAGCCCCGAGGAGGATACTTATGACGAGATCAAGGGGGAAACGGACGTCGTTCCCCACGGACTTGCGTGCAGCCCGGACGGCCGAGTCTTCATCACCATGGACGTTGCGGGCTCCATCAAGATCTACGCCGTCTCGTCTATGTCGCTCATCTACAGATTAAGATCAGAGGACCGCATCAATCAGATCCTTTTTAGCCCTGACAGCGTGAGATTTTACGACCTTCGGGGGTCATACTGCAACGTCTGGGAACCGAACTGCCTCCTAAGGCTCGCTGACGCGGCGTCCGAGCAGACCAGCGACACAGAGAGCACAGCGGACAACTTCTGGTCTGACACTGCTGATACCCTCAGCACATCCATTACATTCCCTGCATCCGAGAGCCAGGCCGATAGTAGCAGACCAGCAATTACAGATGTCGACCCCGGGCAAGCGCCTCACGGACTACTTGTCGCACACGCTAATGCTGATGGCTCAATCAACGTCTACGATACCGTAAGCGCTCGCAAGCACCAGATTGACAAGGTCATGTTCGGAATGACTACTCTTAAGCATCTGACCTGGAGCCCGCGGCTCAATTGCCTGGCATATTCGCTACTCAACGGCGCGACCACCACCCGGTCCGTCACGGTCGAGTACACGGGCCCGAGATCCGTGTCGACCGGGCCTGTGTATTCCGAGCAAGGATCACCCGCAGAACGTGGACGGACGCGGCAACTTCTGTTCCACGGCACCGGCGACCGACTATTGATTTGCGGCATGAAGAAGTGCCAGGTTCTCTCCCTTCCAGACGGAGCGGTGCTGGCAGACCGCCAGCTTCCGGAGCCAGACGAACCCGTGAAGTGGCAGCAACATCCTTCAGACCCAGAGCAGTTGATCTGCCTCTCGGCAAAGTCAGCCACCATCTTCTCATGGGCCAACCTCGAACCGAATTCTTCTCCCATCTTGCTCGCACTACGTACTAACTCTTTACCCGAGGCGAACCACGAGAACGTCTCATTCCCCGCTCTCGATGCACTCCTCGACAGCCACAGCCCTCGCTTCCTGCTGCTCCGCACCGTAGCAACCCACTCCGGCCGTCGGCGCTACAACTTCGCTGTGTTCCCAACCGAGCACATCTATTACCATCCGCCCGTTGGCTCCCCCTCCCACAGCCCGGCCACCATCAGTCCCACCAGCAGCGCCAGCAACCTGCCACCCCGTGCTCCAACTGAAACGATCAAACCCCTTCCGATACCTTCCACCCTCGCCTCAACGATAGCCCACGCGGTTGGCATCCTTTCCGACAACCGACTCGTCTTCCTCGACCGGCAACTTTGGGTGTGCACGGCGCCACTCTCGGGGATCGGGACGAGCACTGGGGGAACAACAGCGTCATCATCGACATCGACACAGAAGCACGGACAGCGCCCCAGCCCCGACGTGAGGCGACATTTCTTTTTGCCGCATGACTGGGTGACGACGGAGGGCTTGCGGCTGTGTAGGCTCCTGAGAGACGGGACGCTCCTGATTCCTTGCAAGGGGGAGGTGGCGATCATAAGGGGGGAGCTAGTGCACGATTATTAGTATTACGTCTCGACCAGCGGACGTCTGGGGCTGCATCTCGGCCAGCGAGTCACCCCAGTCCTCGCGCCGCTTTCCCAGAAGGGATGTCCAGCATCCTCTCTTCTCCCCTGTCTTCCTCGCTAGCGAGACCTCTGGACAGCGTTCACCGTCCTCACCATTAGTGATGTTTAGCTGAACTGCGGCTGGCGGAAAGCTAGGCGCTCGGCAGACGCCCGGGGAGCGGATGGCTTGGTGGATTGGCCGAGCTTGCGATGTTGTGGAAGGCGACTGACTTGTCGATGCGTGTGCGGAGACTTTGTGGAATGCGTGGAAGTCCGGCCCTGTGTTTTGTGGTGGCTACTGCCGCCGCTGCTGCTGTTGCCGTTGGGTTTGCCGCCGTTGATGCGAAGATTTGACATGTCCTGAGCGAGACTGGAGAGATCCTGGTGCCTAGTCGCGCGGAGGCTGGCCTGGATTACAGGATAGCCCGTGAGAGCCGTGAGAGCCGCTGGGGAATCGGGTATTACCCGAGGTGCCTCCAGTGTTGCCCCCCTCGTCGCGGAGTTCGTCCTCGGTGGTGGAGAGAATTGTGAGATTCGCCCCCGAACGCTGATGGATCCTGCTCTTCTATGCCCATCAGCTTGCCTTCGACTGAACTGCTTGGGAACTTAATATTCATTCTGCGCGAAACCTCTTGGCAATGAGGGTTCTTTTTGCCCTCATATGGCACCAAATATCCATGGATGTTTGCTTGCACTCAACTGCAGGTGTCGTGGGAGCACAGACACGCACTACGAAGCTAGAATCCTTCTGGAAGCCCGGCAAGCGGTGAGGTCCTGGTAGGCCATTACAGGGAGCGGTTTCAGCCGGCAACGTTTAACCAGGGTAGCGGAAAGTTTCATGCGGCTTCACATGATAATACAATACAATACCTACAGGGTAGGTAAAGAACTATATCAGTAATACCATACGATACCGTTGCCCATCGGATAGACGGCCATTTGCATTCCGGCGATAACTTCCGGTACTAATGTAGAGTCATCCTCGTGTGTACATTTCTGCCCGGTAGCGCTTATTAGCGGCGAGACGTCCCTCGTGGCGAGCACGAGGCATGTTCGTGCGAAAATGAGCTCATGGAAATACCAGAAAGTTACCGTACACAGCTTTACGTGTTATAGTTTCAATTGCCCCTCCCGGTATCCCCGGTACATATGCACCCTTTGCCTCCTTGCGACTCTCACCCCACAGCATTACATCGATGACTGAGTTGGATGGAAAGCTTTGACCGCGCTGCGGTTACTGCGATCGTCCTCAATGGCGGGTTACCCTTCAAGCTCAGTCAATTACCAGCTGGTCTAGCTCATTTTCGTCAGTCGTCGCACGACTTCTAAGTTCCATCACAAGCGTCTTCGCGCGCATGTCGCATCGGCGCATTTAAGTCGGCTCGTCTTTGTTAGCGGCAAGCAGCCGGCTGACTCCCGCCCCTTCCCGCACAATCTCCGCCTCTATGACCTCAGCCCCTTCCCGCACAATCTCCGCCTCTATGACCTCAGCCCGCCGTAGCTCACCGTAGCCCAGCCGTTGCTTGCTAAGTCCCAATTCTTCCCTGCGAAGTTGCGACATCCATGACAAGATTAGTGTCGGCTGCTGTTGCGACGTCCTCCATTGTCAGACAAGCTCGCCGACACGACACCGTACCCGATTCAACGCCCGCGCCTGTCGCCTGCCGCCTAGCTCGGATTCGCCCTTTTCGGTTCTTAGCCAAGCGCGCTTCGAGTTGCCGGCTGCTTTAACCCGAACGATTCCAAGCCAAACAGACATTGCATCGTGCTGTCTTGAAACCCGCGTCTCTGGTTTCTTCGCCTTCCTCCCTACCATGTACGTGATGCCGCGGAGGGTCTGGGGAGCAGGGAGGCATGAAGGCTGACCAAGGTTCTCGGACGGACTCAGCATACCTCGAAAGCTATCCCGCCGCTCACATCGACAGCGCTTCTTACCCCACAAAGCATCAACAGTATCGTTGCCCCTGACCGTCAAGAGACCGAGACACAAAGGGGGCAGGCCCAACAACGCACGTTAGACTCTACTTTCTAGGCGGCTGTATCCCCCAGTTTCGTAGGCTCGCCTCGCTCATTGCTCGGCGGATAGACACCCCCCTCGAGTGGCTACAGGGCGAGAACGGCGCAAAGGCGATCGCAATAAACTTGGTTCCTGGGGTCCCTGCGGGGAAACTGTGGTCGCGGCAGCAATAGCATGACAGAGTTTCCGCCTAATATCCAGCCGCGCATCCTTGGTTTACGGACCGGCGGGACACGAGCCCGTCACCTGCACATCTCTGCTACCTAGGCTAGATTGGGGTTGTCGGAACGTCCCACCTCTCGGCAACCTGAGAGGCGATCCTCCCGGCCGACTCGTGACGTAATGCGACGCAGTCGAACTCCATCTGCGGGCTCGCCTTACCGCGCCCTGGCGCACCATCATGCCCAGCATGGCGCATCGTCCCAGACGGGCCAGCAGGCGCGCGACACTGTGTCGTCCGTTCTCAGGTCCTTCAACGTCGAGACAAACCCGACACGGCCTGTGCGCCCGTCGCCACTGACCGCTTCGACCATCTCGGACATGCCCCTGGATCTGGTCGACCGTATCAGATCGTTTCCGCTCTTCATGTCCGCGCCCGACGACTTTCTCGCCGCCATTGGCGCCCATCTGCGACTGCAGATCAACTCTGCACACGACCACATACTTAGCGAGGGGGATGAGGCAAAGGCGATGTACTGGCTGGTCCGTGGCGTCGTTGCTGTCACCTCTCGCGACGGGGAAGCGGTCTACGCACAGCTGAAACCGGGCGCCTTCTTTGGTGAGATTGGCGTGCTGATGGACATGCCGAGAACGGCAACCATCATTGCACGCACAAAGTGCCTCCTGGTCGTCCTCAAGAAAGAGGACCTCCAGGCCGAGCTCCCCAAGTACCCGGAGATGGAGAAGGCCATCCGCCAGGAGGCGCAGGAGAGATTGGCCATTCTCCAGAAGAAGCGCCAGGAGGGCGGGGGCCAGCCGACTTTACTACGAGAAACCAGTGGCCCGAAGCTGGCGCGCGAGTCGGTGCCGGGCGAGGTCAGCACCGGTGATGTGGGGGCCATCAAAGAGGGATCGGTCGTGAACAGCAAGAAGCGGAAGTCGCCGAGCCCCAGTGTTATTGTGGACCAAGCCATCAGCGGAAGCGCTCTCGGCAGTGGCTACATCAATGTTCGCACGACGCTCAAAGAGCTTCCCCTGTTTGCGACCCTTCCCACCGACATCCTGCATTTTCTCGGCCTGAGCGCGCAGCCCAAGACCTATCCCCCCTTTACCGATATTGTCCGCCAGGGCGCTCCCGGCAATGACATATTCTTCATTGTCCGTGGGGAGGCTGAGGTGGTGCATGAAGCTCCAGCCGCCGCCTTCGAGAACAAGACAAGGTCAAGTTACGCCCGTCCACGATTAAAAGAGGGGCAGTACTTTGGTGAGGTGGCGAGCCTTGGTTTGTCGCAATGGAGGACAGCGACTGTACGGTCCGTTACGGACGTTGAGTGTCTCATGATCCCCGGAGACACCCTTGACGAACTATGGAGGAGATGCCCTCCTGAAATCAAGTGCCAGGTAGAGAAGACCGCCAGGGAGCGGCTCCATGCAGCGGAAGAAGATGTCGAGATGAAGGACCTGGACGTAGATGCCGCGAAGCAAACCAGACTGAAGGAGCAGGCGCTGCCAGCGGTCGCCCGCTCAGCCTCAAGACCTCCGTCGCCAGTTACGGACGAGGCAGATACGCGACGGCCATCGGACCCGGACCCCTTTTTGAGTGTCGACATGGAGAACCTTCGAAATAGGCGGCGCAACTCGCTTGCTCCCCCACCACCGCAGTCGGACTGCAGTGTCATTGTTAGCGGGATCAAGGTGCCGTCAAAACCACCTACTCCTTCGCTCTTGTCGCCGGTATCACTCGATGATTCCCCGTTACCCGCTAAACGTGCACGGATCCTTGCACAGGAGGAGCCCGGAATGGCCAGGAAAGAGCGACCAGAATTTCCAGATATCGTCTGGATTGCAGCATTTCAGCATCTAGATCTCCTCGAACTGATTCGGCTGAGGATCGTCTGCCGCCACTGGCGCCAGCTGTTGACTAGAAGCCCCAAGCTTTGCACGCACGTCAACCTTGGCCCATTCAACAAGAAGGTCACAGACTGGTCTCTGACCAACATTTTGGCGCCGTTTATCGGGCCGCGCCCGGTCGAGATGGACATCAGCAACTGCTTCCACATCACCGACGAGGGGTTCCAGGCGCTCTGGAAAGCCTGCGGCAAGAACGTCAAGGTCTGGCGCATGCGCAGCGTCTGGGACGTCTCAGCCACCCAAATCCTCGAGATGAGCGAGAGCGCCAAGGGGCTTGAGGAGGTGGACTGGAGCAACTGCCGCAAAGTAGCCGACAACCTCCTCGCGCGTGTCGTAGGCTGGGTCGTGCCCAATCCGGCGCCTTCCCGTGATGCTGCTGCCAACAAGAACGTCGTCATCTCCAGCTCCACCGCCAAACCCCGTCGCTCCCAACAACAGCAACAGCAACAGCAACAGCAACAGCAACAGCAACAGCAACAGCAACAACAACAACGACCAGCCCAACCCGGCCCTCCTCCGAATCATCCTCCGCCGCCCGCCCCAGGCACCGTGATCGGCTGCCCGCGTCTCCGCCGGCTGAACCTGTCGTACTGCAAGCACATCACCGACCGGTCGATGGCGCACCTAGCAGCGCACGCGTCGGCCCGGCTCCAGTCGCTGACGCTCACGCGGTGCACCAGCGTGACGGACGCCGGGTTCCAGGCCTGGGCGCCCTACCGCTTCGCCGAGCTGACCCACCTGTGCCTGGCCGACTGCACGTACCTGTCGGACAAGGCGGTCGTGGCGCTGGCCAGCGCCGCCAAGAACCTCACGCACCTCGACCTGTCCTTCTGCTGCGCGCTGTCCGACACGGCCACCGAGGTCGTCGCGCTCGGCCTGCCGAACCTGCGCGAGCTGCGCATGGCCTTCTGCGGCAGCGCCGTGTCGGACGCGAGCCTGGGCTGTGTCGCGCTGCATCTGAATGAGCTGCGGGGCCTGAGCGTGAGGGGCTGTGTGAGGGTCACGGGCAACGGGGTCGAGAACGTGCTCGAGGGGTGCGGCAGGCTGGAGTGGCTGGACGTGAGCCAGTGTAAGAATCTCGGCGGCTGGCTGGTCGGCGGCGGCGTGGGCAGGTGGGGGTTTGATGAGCGGCAGGAGAGGCTGGGCGAAGAAGTGGGATGGGCCATCGCCGCTGCTGCTAGTCCCCCTCCTCCTCCTCCTCCTGCTGGTGGTGGTGGTGGTAGGGCGGCAGCGCTGGGCCCGGCCCCCGTGCTGCGGCCGGTCATACCGCCGAGGGGCGCGCCGGCGGGGAGGAAGAGGAAGCCGGTAAGGTTTGTGGTGGAGAAAGGGCCCGGTGGGTTGAGGTGACGATACACAAGAAAATGTGTGTCTCTGTGTCTCTGCTGGTTCAGCGCAATTTTTTGTATGATGAAAGGTTGACGACTTGGGCATCTGTTGGCATTTGTTAAAACAGGATGGGAAGTGTTTTGAGTATGGGGCGCATACTACGGACTTTTTGGACATCACATTTAGATCTTCGGCTTGGGGCAATCACTAGAATCAGGAGGCAGGCCCCTGGATATCTCAGGACAAGTACATATCACCATGTACCATGTTACGAGTGGTTTGGAAGCAGGTGATGCCAAGCTACCTCTGCGCGATTACCGGCTTGCGCAGTGGGAATGCTACCTACATCCAATCCCAGGACCGGATACCTATGGATGGAGGAAGCCAGTCTTCTATTATTCTTCCGACTACGTCCCTCCTTTCCTCCACGCGGCGGTTACGTTCTTACTGATAGAATCCATCTTTCCAGGGTCTGGATCAGTGCAACCCTGCTAGCTCAATGGTCGAGCATGTGACTTCTAATCACAAGGTTGTGGGTTCGAGTCCCACGTAGGGTTCTTTTTCTCCTCCGTGAGCAAAGTTTTCCCTGCTGTACGCCCGTGTCGTTGCGCTGGAGAGAGTGAATGGACTAGAAAAATTGCATTTTTGTTGGTAGTACGAACGTTCGCGCGACGCTGGAAAAATGTTACACTAGGTCGGGTCCTTTTTTGGCTGCATCGTTTTTTTTTCTCGCTTCGGATCCGGGCATTCGGCACCAGCGGAGCGCCATGCATCGGCATTCCAGGGGTAATGTAAATATGGGATGGTCATTGGCTAGCCCTACGAGGATGTGAAACCTAGTGGATATGCAACACGAGAGAAGGGTGAGAATTCGTTCAGGGGTATGTTAGCATGGAGCTTGCCCCTGGCTTCTTCCTTCTGTTGAGGCCTCATGAAAATCGCGTTTTCACCGCTCGCTTCCTGCCCTCTGCTTTTCGATCGATACTAGCAGCGCGACCAAAGTGACGTTTCCTGCTCCTCCTGATGTTTGTGGCTGGCTAGCACAGAAGGGGTTCTCATTTTCTCGTTGAATGCTGCCGAAACACCCTCCTCAACGGCCATGCGGTCGGCACCAAGATCCATCACGATCGCTGTGGTCGCAGTTATCAGCACGCTTGTCCCATCGATAGCAAACGCCGCGTATGTGCAATGGGTGCCGTGCCTCGACGGAAGCGGAAGGGCGCAAGGGTTCGGGAACCTACAGCCAGCATCGAACCGGGCGCGGCTCTTTCCGGCGGCCTACGATATTGCTGCTGGGCAGAGCGGCGCCAGACTGGAGCTGGACGTCCGCGCCGACTACTTGGGCGAAGCGACATGCGCGGAGCTGCTGGACGAGGGCGCGTCGGACGTGATGATTGCACTCAACGCGCTGCATGTGTCCGAGACGCACACCGTCCGGCCGTCGAACTGGACGTGCGTGGAGTATGCGGACAGGCCCGCCTGGGAGCAAAGGTAGGTAAATATTACAACCGAGCTTAACCTCCCTATTCTTGTGCTGCTGGAGTATTATAAGTCACGGTACTAAGCTGAACCCCCGGTTTGCCCGCCTTCCCAGGGAACTCCCGGGCCGAGGATCGCAACTACGGCTCGCTGCGCAGGTCGACCTCGGCGTGCTCGGCTTGCTCCCTACCTTTGCAGTGCAGGTGTCGTTCCCGGCGAGCAACCAGACCGGCTCGGCGGACGCGTCGTCGGCGTGCATCTATTCCGAAATCACTCCCCAACTGCGCAAGGAGGTGGCGGCCGCGGCGCGATACGGACCCATCGCCGTCTTCCTGCTTGTGTTCGTGGCCGGTCTTCTCGCCACAGTGCTCGCACCGGGTTCTAGTAGTACTACTTCTAGTACTCCTCTGCCGGATGGAGTGGGAAGCGGATGCGATTATCCTCCTCATCATCCTCACCATCATAATCCCGAGCCCATCCTGCCCGGGGTCGCCGACTGTCTGCTCTATCTCCAGTTCGTCTTCTTCCTGGGCGCCCTGACGCTCCGATACCCGGGCTTCTACCAGCCCGTCACCAGCCTGTCGCACTGGTCGGCGCTGTTCAGCCCCGTCGGGCCCTTCGGCCAGCACCGGCGGTACGACATGGTCAGAGACGGCATCTACGAGATCAACGGCACGCTCACGGGCACGTACGGACTGGAGCTGATGTCGCAGATCACGGGCGGCCCTGTGACGATGGACGTGTGGTGGAACATGGTGGTGATCGTGGCAGCCATCGTCGCGGCCGCGGCCGCGGGCATGCTGGTGCACCGATCGGCGTCGACGTGGAAGGTGCTGCGCGTGGTCATGAGCTACTTCCTGGTCCCGATCGTGGCCATCTCGGCCTACCAGCTCGACCACGTGCTGCTGCCGGCCTACCACCTCGCCCTGGCCGCGCTGCTCATCGTGCTGGTGGTGATCGGCCTGACGTGGATGTGGCGGACGGCGCCGTCGAATCAGCTGTGGGTCCTGTTTCTCGACTCGTCGAAGCGCTACCGCCTGGTCCGGACCGACAACCCGGACGACCCGGACGACCCGGAAGATGACGGTGGCGGCGGCGGCGGCGACGGCGAGGAAGCCCCCGGCAGGAACCGGGACATCTTTGCCGTCATCTTCTTCGCGCTCCAGTTTGGCGGCGGCATCGCCGTGGGCGGCTTCCAGTTCTCGCCGCTCTCGCAGGTCGTCGGGCTCGCCGCGCTCGAGCTGTGCCTGCTCGTCAGCATGGCCGTGCTCCGGCCGCTGCGGCGCCCGCTCTTGTCCATGTTCGTGTGGGTGGAGGTCGCGCGCCTCGGGGTGGTCGCGCTTACGGCCGTCTTCCTTCCGGAGCTGGATGTAAGTCTGGCGGCGAGGAGCCGCGTGGCCATCGCCATCCTCGCAATCCATGCCGCCGTGCTGGTGTTCGGGTGCGCCGTGCCCGCCGCCGTCCGCCTTGCCAGTCTGGTGTACTACCTGCTTTGGGCCCCGGCGGAGAAGCCACAGGTGAGTTGGCCGGATGCAGTAGTATTACTGCATTTCCTTGATACGTTCTAAAGACTAACCATGACTTAGATTTACGGATTGAGCCAGCTGAGACGGCGCCACGACGCTGTCAACAACCTCTCCTCTGCCGACATGTTGTCTACCGCGTTACAAAGCACCCCTTACTCCAGCAGGACCCACTCCCTGGTTTCCTACCAGCGCCACAACCCGCACAGTCCAAGCGACGCAAGCAGCATCAGCTTCTACCTCGACCCGGACTCATCCCCGGACGCGCTATACTTCCAAGCCGTTCCGCAACAATACTACTACTTCCGCCCGTTCCGGCCCTCGGCAACGCGCCACCCGGGCGCGGCGGCGTCGTCTTCCTCCTCCACCGCCCACCACTCCTCCGGTTCTTCTTCTTCGACGAGCTCACCGATATCCGAGTTGGGGACCATGACCATTCCCGCCACTGCGACGACGACGACGACGACGACCAACACCAACACCACCACATTATTATCCCGAGTCACTAACGGCAGCGGCGGCGGCTGGGAAAAAAAGCCACAGGCTCGCTCCTCGGACTCTACCGAGCGCTCAGACAGGAGTGCTGCTAGTACTGTCTCGCAGACGGCGGACATGTCTCTCCCGCTGCCGCCGCTGGCACCGCAGTGGTCGGATTATTCGTTCCGCGAGGCCGATCTGTACTACGGCCACGCCCGTGCCCGAGGTGGTGATGATGATGATGGGGGTTATGGGCCAGCTGCTGCGACAGGAGGAGGAGGAGAAGGAGGAGAAGGAGAAGGAGAATTCGCCGGGCCGCCGTTGTTCACTGTTCGTCGTGTTGCGTCGAGTATATTCTCGTCCATCACGGGCCGGACGCTGTCTTCGACGAGTAGATCTTCTGAGAGGCAGGGGCATAAGGCGGGGGGCACGACGAAGGGATTTGAGGTTCGCAGACCGCCGAGACCTCCGGGTCTTTAGTACTACTAGTAGTATATAGGCTGTTGAGGTGGTTTAGAGCACGTGGAAATAACTAATATCTGATCTGATTTTCAAGGCGTGGTCCATCCCTCATCTTCAACGGTGGGTATTATTGCCCTAATCCTACTACTACGTACTACACTATTGAACACCTCGCTGCCGATCGGTCCGTGGTTGCCTCTCACCACCCGCAACACATATTCGACCAGAGTCTTCATGGCTGTATAACAATCCCTGACTATCTAATAGACATAGCACAACCGCCCGCTCTGCGTTGTCATCAGCTCGGATACCTGGACATCCTCGGCGAGACCCAGGAAGGGCATGACATCCTCCAGCGTCGCCTCGAGCGAGTCCTCGTCCTGCGTCCGGGGCCCGCCAAACGCCGTGGTGCGCGCCGCCGGGTCCTGCTGCTGCCAGAGCCACCAGAGCCGGTCGACCTGCGTGTGGTGGAGGAAGAAGAGCGGGTCTAGTGGGTAATTAATGGAACTATTTGCTAGTGTGTTCTTCTCGAGGCAAAAACAAAAAAAGGAAAAGAAAAAAGGAAAGACCAAAAAAAGAAAAGAAAAAGCTTACCGTTGGGGGATGTGGCCGGCGACATGTCACCGCCCACCGCAGCATGGATGGCCCTGTGCGGTCCGCCCTCCAGGCTGTACCGGAAGTCCTGGTAGGACTGCGACGCCATGACCTCGCCGACGGCGTCCGGGGTGTAGGTGGACGCAATCATGTCGCCCGGCCTGTCGGTGCCGTTGTTCCAGTTCCGGGAGAGGCAGTGCGGCGCGTAGTCGTCCCCATAGTACGCAGGCCGCAGGTCCTTGAAGGGACCATCCGCGACGCACTTCCTGTCGCTGCCTCCCTCGGCTCTGTTCCCGTTGCCGCCTAGGCCGGTCTCGGGATCTCAGATCGGAGACTTGGTCACGTCTGCTTCGAGCGACCAGTCCCAGTAGCTAAGAACAGAAAAGAAAGGAAGAAGGAGATTAATAACTGTTGTGGACAAGATATAACCGCGTCAACAAGGGGAGAAAGAGGGGGTGCATACACCATCGGGCCGGTATACCCGCAGTCCCTAAGCGCCTCTTCGTAGAGAGCCACAAAGTTCCTGTGCCAGGGAAGGAACATGGCAACCGCGTGGACTACCCGTGATCGGTTCAGTAAAGAACAAAAGTGAGGAGGCCGGGAAAAGGGGACATGCTCGCTGATATGGTTGAGGCGGTTATGGACGTAGGGAAAGTTGTCGTAGCGCGTGGTGTTGAGGCCCAGCTCAGAAGGCTTGGACTTCAAGCACAGCACGGACTCGACATACTGCGCGCGGAAGACGTGCTCAGGTTCCGCCACTCGACGCGCCGCTCGGGGTTGGTGCAGGCGTTGCTGTCTCCGGCTTCGCGAGGAATGTACGCCCCGGCGCAGAGTCCGGCGGCGGAGACAAGGGCTAGAGGGAAACGCATTTTTGGTTGGGGTCGACGATACTAATTAATTCTGACACACAGCTCTGGACGGCAGTGCGTACTAACGATGGTGCTAGCGTTGGTAGGAAACACTGATAGTATGTATGTGCTGGCATATAGGTTCGTTACTTATATAGACACTGACGGCAGCTTCTCGTCGAACCGAGTCCCGACGTATACGAGAATACACAACCAGGGGCTGACCTTGGCCCGTGGAGCGACGGGCAGATGAGCAACGAATGTTACCTAAGGTAATTCAGGGACCAAGCGGGGGGTCCGGTAGGGTTGGTGAGGTATTACAGTACACATCTGGTCAACAAACAAACCAGGTTCGGAAACGTTCATGCTATATCCGCTGAGGAATTTCCCACAGTACCTAGTATAGCTAATGTTTCAGAGCCCATAAATACGTCTGGCACCCTGGCTGATCGCAAGCATCCTCTGATGGGGGCCCTTGTTTTGAAGAGGAGGCCGGGTGCTGAATGCCTGATTCTTATTCAAGCAACTTCAGCACCATACCTATGCTCGTCACTCCCCCGGCGGAAATGGCGCCATCCACCAAGTCCCCCTTGGAGTTGACCAGGTCATTGCAACCTTCGACTACCTAATTGCCCCAAATACATGTACAACAACCGCGCATACAGTATTGCGGGCCTGGTTATCAAGAAGCTCGCAGGTTAGAGATGGGAAGACTTCCTCGCACGCAACCTCTCCACGCCGCCGTGCACGTGGCACGTTAACAAGGTACCCAAGCAATGATGAGAATCTTGCGGCGGACCATAGTATTCTCACGAACAAGTCAGCATCCCGCCTGCCCTTCAAAAACGCGTATACATCGTGGTACACGCTACCGATTGTATCCGACCTATGTCAGACTCTTGCTTTCGACCTTTGTGCTGGGGGGCTGCAGATTTTGGGTAGTAAGGGTGTAGTATCGGTAGATTCCAATAAATTCCTCTACGATGAGAGGCAACCTGTGACTATGTTACCGTAGACATTCCACGTGAGAGCTAGAAGGACTATCATACGTGGGTCAGGGACTCAGGGTCATGACTTCAGCGGCAATTACAGGTTTGGTGATGCCACGAATGCTCTTGTTACACGAAACCCTTTGACGAGTAATCCTATCCGACGCCCGCATCGGCGCTTCTGCTGTGGTCGGCAACTTGAGTGGCATTCAGGACTGCCTCAACTTCGAGTGGAAGACCTTGGCCCATCATTTATCAGTCCCTGTCGCTTCGAGTCTCTGTCGTTTTGCTGTTTGACAGTTTCCGTCTCCACAGCGCATTGCATTGCACATCGATTCATCACCATTTAAAGGAGAAAAGATATGGTACTCCGAATAACTGAGCAAAAGACCTGCATTATCTACAAAATATACTTTTTGCCGCTTTTTGCCGCTTTTTGCCTGACAAGTCCTCTTATTAGATGTGTCTACCATAGTAGCCAATCAATGGTCGTGTGGCGCAATGGTAGCGCGTTACTTTCCGGTCCAGATTATCTCTGGTTGGTAAAGGTTCTGGGTTCGAGTCCCAGCATGATCGATGCTTATTTTTGCTCCTTCCAACGAGCGGTCGGGAACCGATCACCAGTTTGGCTTTTTGGCAGTCCTTACACCAATTCACCCACCCGGGCATTCCCCTGACAAAATGCTTGTAATGTTGCTTCTGCAATTGTCCAATATCGTAGCGGCACTCCAGCTTCATTCACTCACCCACGCGACTTGGGGGCCGCCGAGTCTTATTGGACAAGTCTTGCAACTCACACCGAGCTGAACTCGGCTTTGTCACCGGCCATGGCGAATTGCGTGATTGATCGTGCCCCGCACGCAAGTATCGAACCGCGCATTAATTAAATCGTAGTATTGAACATCAGTATGAAGCCCTCAGCTCCTTCTCCTCCGCAGCTCTAGACTTTACTGTTGGGGCACTTAAATTTGTGGATAGTAGTGAACCTGACATCACCCCTTAGTTACTCGTGTATTATCCAAAGAAACCCACTCGGCACTATAATGGACTCAGTCGAAGTTGTCACACTCGACTCGCCGTTCTTGAACCTGGCTGCCCTCTATGAGGTCGACCCAGACGCCGACGTGCTACTTACCGTACCACCGCCCAACCAGGTGTTCGCACCATGGAATGAGCCACCTCAGAAGGATGATGGAGTCAACCGCGGGAACATCAACAGCCCAGGAACCGCGGCGGCAGCGCCCCTCTCCCGACCAGGTCTGCGCATCAAGGTCTCCTCGAGGCATCTGGAACTGGCATCCCGCGTATTCAGGAACAAGCTACAGTTCGGCGGGTCAAAAGCTGCGCGGCAGTCGGATGGCCGGGTGCATCTGAAGCTAGCGGAGCAATTCGACCCCCAGGCCGTGTGCATCGTCATGGACGCCATCCACGGCCGAGGCTCCAAGGTGCCTAAGTCGGTAGACGTTGAGACGTTGGCGCAGGTCGCCCTGCTCGTCGATCGCTTCCACGTGTTTGACGCAGTGGAGGTGTATGCAGAGCGGTGGATCTCCAAACTAGAGGACACGATCCCCCGGGCATACAACCGCGACCTGGTTCTCTGGCTTTACATCAGCTATGTCTTCCGTCACTCAGGCATCTTCAAGGTTGTGACGAAGCTGGCGGCCGCGCAAAGCCCAGGCCCCATCAAAACCCTCGGTCTCCCGATTAGAGAAAAGATCATCAGTAACCATGCCCCTTTCCTTTTTCCCTCTTTGCCATGTGGTTGTCTCATGTCGTCTAATTAACCGCCTGCCTACTACCTACCGATGTAGAACACATCGACGAACAGCGCCAGACCCTCCTCGCCCAAGCGATCACCATCCTCCACCAAACCCTCGACGACCTCTCCTCCAACAGCGTCCCCTGCGCCGCCCAGAACTGTGACGCCCTCCTCCTCGGCGAGCTGATCAAGGCCTTGCAGAAGCAGCGTCTCCTGCCTGTCGTATGGCCATCATTACCACCACCACCATCAGGGAAAGATAAACCTTCCTTCTTCTTCCCCGGGGTAAGCTTTGCCGTGCTCGTCGACGCGGTACGCGACGGGATACGTCTGATCTATGAGGAGCCACATGGTTTGGGGCCGTGTGAAAAGAAGAAGAAAGGAAGCGACAATGAAAATGTGGCTGCCCCGTCTCATCAGTTGAATGTGTTGGGCATCTCGAGCGAGAGGTTGCCTGCCACGCCGGCCGCGTCTCCTGAGCCGGTGGAAGTAGATCGGTTTCCCCCCCCTCTGGCGCACGAGTGTGATGCGAGGACGGCGGTTTGGCGTTTGGATGGCTTGAAGGATTTAGGGGAGGGGGTGCAGGGGTTGGTGTTGGTGAGCGGGTTGGGATATCGCTTGTATTAGGCCGGGTGAGGTCGGTGTGCTGAGCTGATCTCAAGACTCTGCTGGCATTGAAGGCCACGGAAATACCTCTCGACGGCGCTTGCGGATGGATTGGAGAGCCTTCGCGTAACGGGAGAGCCGAGCCATGCGGCTAAGCTTAGGCTCAGGAAGGTAATCTTGCTCTCGGATTTTCATACCACGTCACTGAGTTGTGAGAAACAAGGAAGGGCAGAGAGTGCCTAGGGGGTTGATTATGTATGGTAGTAGCGGCAGCCTTTCCTCGGTGCCAATCTCTAATCCTGAACGTGGCGTTTCTGTTCAAACATCGCATATTAAGGACGCCGAGAACTGGGCAAGCAGCAACTTGAGTCGAATACGTCCTACATCACAGTCACTGTCACGCGGGCACGACAGTCTAGAGTACTAGTGTTGAGGAAGGAACGATAACAGGTCCTTAGAGTCTCGGAAGACGGATACTAGTAGTTGATGCTAATAAACATATATGGTTGCAGACCCAAATTGCTAAAAGGCTTCTCATCGCTACAAACTTCAAGTCGTTAAATCTCTCATTGCCAAAGCCGTAGTTGGCTAGGACAACTGAGATCAGCCGATTGAGACGACATCTCGTCCAAGCATCACTCCCCAACCGTATTTCCTCACCGGGCCAATACTGCCATACACCCAGGTTGTAACGTACTATATCGAACTGCAAACTCGTGAACATCATTGCAAGTTTGTTGTCTGCCCTCGCCAAGCGACCACATCCTGAAAGCGTCATGAATCATTCCCAACCAGACGCCTACCTAAAACACATTCTGAACCTCCTTAAATCTATGCCCCCCCCCCCCACCCCCCCCCCCCCCCCCCGTTTTGCTGATAGCCCCAATGTAACAACCGAACCCAACCAACGGCCTAACAAAAAGAAGAAAAAAAAAACGTATCATCATCACATTCACACCGGAGCGAAAGACGTCCACCCTCCCAGCGCGCCGTACTGACTCCCCGGATACCTCCCAACACCCTGTCCCTGCCGCTGCTGTTGCTGCTGCTCCACACCATGACCATGCAAATGCGCCGTAGCAGGAACAGGACCAACTCCAACTCCAAGCGGAAGGGGAAGGGGAAGGCTGGTAGTCGCCTGCCTGCCGACCGGCGTCTCGATCGGGCCGTCTCCTGTGCCTCCGCCTCCGCCTCCGCTGCCGAATAATCCCTGCAGTCCCTGAAATACTGACGATACTATTGTTGGTCCACCACCACCACTTCTTCCGTCTCCGTTTCCTGGTGGTGGTTGGTGTTGTTGTGAGATCTGGTCGCGGTCCAGGTAGCGCATTGCGTCGTTGGTCTGGTACATGGCCGTGTTATGACTGTGGCTGTGGCTGTGAGTCCGTGCTAGTGGTGGTTGCGTGAGGCTGATGTTGGTGTTATGATTGTTGTTGTTGTTGTTGTTGTTGTGGTACGGAGCAGGTCCGAAGGTGGGCGTGAATGGTCCGGTGTTGTTGTTGGTATCAACCCCTGTTGTTCCTCCTACTCCTCCTACTCCTACCCCTACCCCTTGCGGGATGGTGGTGAATGCTGGTGCTGGCTGCTCTGGCATGTACAACGGCTGAGGCGGCGCCAGAAAGGGGAGAGGTCCGAAGGTGGTCGTGAACGGTGTGCCGGGGTCCGATTCCGACGTCACCGTCTCGGTCTCGGTGGTCTCGGTGGAGGGCTCGCTCTCCGTCGGCTCGCTGGCGGATCTCCTCCTCCGGTGGTCCTCGCTTGCCGGCGCCGAGTGGGAGTGGCCTGTCCGCGGCCGAGAGGGCGTCGGCGTCCGCACGAACCGCACCTCCATGCGTGCCTTCTTCCTGGTCTTCTGGCCGGCGGCGTCGCTGTCGAATCGTCCCCGTCCGCAGCAGCACGCCCACCAGATGATGATGACTGCCACCAGCAGGCCCAGGAGCGCGCCCAGGATGATGAGTCCCGACGAGGTGGAGCTGGGCTGGCTGTCGTCCCGGGGCACGACCGACGGGTTCAGGCCTCTGCTTTGCAGGGAAGCAAACCGGATTCTTGGGGCCATGGCTCTCGTCACAGTGGGGGCCTGGTCGGAGCAGGCCGGAGTGAGGGCCCTTGGGTAGATTTACCACGGTAGAGAGTAGGACGCTCCGGTTATAATTAATCTAGATGAATATGATGCCTTTGGAAATGATCTTGGATGTGGGCAACGGGACAGGTAGTAGTATGTACTTGTACATCCGCGGTCCTCAAGTGGATGACAGGCTTGTTCAACTTCAATGAACACTTCCCTCTACGAGAACATTTACCAACCTGGAGGCTGGGAGAGAGCTTCGTTAAGTCCAGTTCCAAAGGGAAGGCAGGCCAAGGCCCCGATTGCCTAACTCGTCGCCTTGTTTCCCTTTTCGACTCCGCCTGCAGTCGTGTGTGTGTCTATTCGGACCTCAATACAGCGAGGGGTGTGGCCATGGAGTCATGAACCGATGCATAACTGCTATGCATGACCGTTCTGACAGTCTCGCTAGTCGCTAGCTCCCCCCTGGTGGCAGACCGCTCCTGAACTGACCTGCAGCGCGTGTCCGTTTCCGCGATCCGTAGCATGCCATATTTGATCGGATCGGATCGTACCGTGGCGATTTAGTGGTGTGCATTCGAGCCTCTCCTCGTTACTGGCCTTGTAAGTGGTTGGATCTTGGGTGTATCGTAAGTCAGGGGTCCCACCGCCAGTGGCAGAGGCCCAGCACCAGCCGACCTCGTCTGTGGCAAGATATTACAAAAACAGAAGAACTGGAAAGCGGTCGCAGATTCAAAGGCCAACAAATCGGCTCCCAGAAATGCGGTGTACAGACCCCTGGTGGAATTACGACGGGGGCCAGGATGCAGCCTGCTGAAAGCGGTAGCCATGGGCTTGCAAGGTGGAGATGCAGCCCACAATGTAATAACTTAGCTTCAATGTCAGTGGTGCCAGCCCAGAACGCCGCGTCAAACGACGTTTCCCCGTCGAAGAGATACAGCAAAGGTGAGCGCGGCGATCTCACCTCAGGCTCCCCAGCGCGCGTGGGGGCTCTGCGCCAAGGGGGGAACCAAGTGGCCAGGCCCAGTTGGACCGCTGCTGAGTTCTGGCCCGCGCCTTGCAGAACGTCAACGTCGCTTGTGTGGTGGGACTGTCTGTGGGTTTTCGCGATTACCCGCCGAATATACGCAGCAATGACAAACCGCCAGCTAATAAGGCACCGCAGCGTGTAGTGCCTGCACAGCTCGCGTGGTGTAACGCTCGTAAAGGAGGTATCCCTGAGGCTAGACCGCCAGGCGTGACAGAGAGAGTCCGACCCGGAACGCAGCGTGACCGCCCAGAACACCCGGACGAGGTGCCGAACGAGAGACTCGAGCAGATTGGTGACATTGGGATTTGAAAACAGGGCGGTCTGATCAGGTCAAAGAAGGCTGTTCACAATGGCGCTGAAAACAGAGTGGCTGTTGAGAGACGAGCACCGACCAAGGCGAAAAGCAGGAGGCTGTTGTCTTCGAAATCTAAACTGGTTTGTATGTTAGCTGGTACTGTTGCTAGTGAGGTGAAGTCAGATCAGCGGTCTAGTAATACGGTGATTCGAGATACGCGGATCCTTGTGTGTCCATGGCACTGAACATAAGCCTCCCGTATCATCGGCTTCCCAAGCAAACCTGACCGGCAACCTCTCTGGTGACGACGGGGGAAGCATGATGCCTGATGCTCTCCCACATGTTATCGATCCTCCTAGCGGCCGCATCAGTTCCAGCACAACGTGATAGGGGCATCTCGGGGTACTTACTCCATAACAGGATGACAGAATCCAGCCAAGGGATCAGCTTTCTTGTCGTCCTGCCCTGCGAGTGGACGTCAACTCCAGGACGCAAGAACAGGTAGGCGCGACAGATTCCTCAGTTTGTCCAACAGCGAACGTAAATAGAACAGAACTGTACTATATCTCCAAAACATGTTAATCGCTCACTGCTTGGGACTTCTGAAGCCATGTCCTGGTATCCCCATCGTTGGCTCGCATACTCGCTCAGTCCCTGGTGCGCAGAACCCAGGCCTTGATCAGTGGTAACTCGGCATTCAACCGCCGCAACCTCCACCGCCGCCTAGCTTGTCAGTCAGAAGGCCGGGTCACAGGATAGGTAGGTACTTACCACCGCACCCGCCGCCACCTCCACCTCCACATCCGCCGCCACCACCTGCACCACACCCGTCAGCATTCGGTCAATGACTGAGGTAAGTATCAACTAAGACATGTCGATCGAAACAGAGAGATGATCAGTACTCACCACAACCCCCTCCAACTCCCGATCCACCGGCACCGGCACCACCGCAGCCCTAGTAGATTAGACAACGATCAGCATCATCTTCTCTTCCCATTGCAAAATCAAAGTGAAGGGAAGCAAGGTAAGTACTCACCCCTGGCCCACCACAAGCGCCCGCGGCAACGCCACCTCCACAAGTGCCCGCCGCACACGCCGCCCACGCGCCCCCGCCACAGGCGACCACATAACCGGGATACCAACCACAGTACATTCCCGGCGTCCACCACAACGGATAGGCATAGGGCGCCATGTAGAGGTAAGGGTATCCCCAGTGATCATAGTAGACCTCCTCCTTTTTGGGAGGCTGGCGGCCTTTCTTCTCTGCTCGGGCACGTGCCTTCGCGTAGGCGGTCTCGAGACGTCGTTGCTGCATTGCCGCTAGACGGGCCGTGACCAGAGATCGGGCGTTTTGGGGGGAGGTCGGGTGGTTGGGGTCCGGGACGAGGGCGACGCTGTTGTGCGAGGAGATGTGTGCCGAGTTATCTGGTGGGTCTATCATTATGTTGAATGTGGTTAGTATGGGGGGGCGGGGACAGACAAAAAGAGGGAGGAGATATGGTTACGTACGGAGAGATGCGGCCCCGGAAGCATGGAAGGATTCGGCGACTGTTCGAACCAAAGGATTGGGAGGTTAGACTGGACACGACATAGGTGTAAGGAGGGGCGTTACCCTTTTCTTGCTGGGAGACGCCCAACAGTTTGCCGACGGTACTGATGTGGCTTGAGCGGATAGCTGTCGATATGGTTAGTTGTGAGGATATGCAAACAAAGGGACGTATGCAGGTAAACAGGGAATTACCCTCGCAATACCAACATGTGCACGCGCTGTACACGTCGCCGTACATCTCCTGATACGTCTTGCTGGTCCACTCAAACTGCTTGCTTAGCGTGTTCTCGTCGATCTTATCGTCGTGGTCGACAAACCGCCCGACCCGGGTCACCGTGTGGCGGTAGTACATGCTGGGACTCAGCTGGTGCGTGTGCCAGGCAAGGTCGACGTCAAGCGTAGGAACGGCCACCTGCTTCGGGTTCCTCCTCATGATCTCCATGAAGTGCAGGTACTTGGTGAGCAGGCGCGTCATGGTGTCTCGGGCCGACGGGCTGTGCAGCCAGTCCAGCTTGCACATCTTCTCGACAAAGATGCCCTGCCGCATGACGGCGCCGCACAGGTCCAGGGCGAACACGCTAAAGTTCTCCCAGTACCGTGACATCATCTTCCGAATGGCAATCCGCGACTCGACGGGCAGCGAATAGGCATAGCTCAGCGATTTGCCGTCGATCAGTCTCACGTTTTCTCGCTCTGCGAGCACCGCTTCGATTTCCTTGCGGACACGGTCCATTGTGACCGAATTGGACTTTGTGAGGCCTGTAACGGCAGTTCTGATCGAGCCGCAGCCGCTCTTTAGCATGCGATTGGGAAATGTATGCGGCGACGGTTCCTTCGACCGCTTTCGCGTGATGGGCGGACCAGTAGGTGTGCCCTTCATCAAGTCCAGCACTGTCCCCGGCATCGGTCGGTTTCCGGGCCCAATCAGAGCCTGGGTGTCCCGCACGAATTTGGCGACGGAAAGAAGCTCCTTGCAGATTATGTTGTTGCAGGCCGCACATGTGTGGTACAGGTTGCTGTCGCCGTAGCCGTGTCCCGTAAGGAGTGGCGGCCCGTTGTCCGGGAGGTAGTCCTCCGGAAGGCCACAGCTGGTCCAGGGAATTTCCATCATGTTGTCGCAGCGGGGGCATTTGAGCCTTTTCGTCAACCGATCGTCCACGTTCTTCCAGGCAAGGCCTGTTTGATGCGTCCAGCGTGTCTTGCAGGCATCTGAAACGGTGTAATTGAACTCGGTGTCGATGGCTTTGTTCACCATGCCCCACGGCATGCCGGTGATCCAGACCTGCCTCAGTCCAGCGAGCATAGCGTCTTCAAGGAACGCTCTAGGGTTCAACATGTGTGTGTGCCATACCATGAGCACGTCTACGCTACTTGTGTCAGCAGTGATCGAGAGCTGAGATGAAATGTAGAGTTGAGACGGCTCACTGACCAAGAGGCGGCAGCATGTCCTCGGTCCAATCCATCACCGCGTTGGTGTCTGTCGGAAAGCTTGCATAAGCGGGCGAGTTGATTTGGTCCATGTCGGCCTCCGACAGAGGCCGCCCAGGGAGCACTCTCATCAACGACTTCCACCATGTCTCGTAGCGGTCGACCGCTCGCGCAACAAACAGAGCCCAGCGTTTCTCACGAATGCGGCTGAGGGTTTCGAGGTTCTTGTCGTTGATCTTCTCCTCCAAAGTGGGCTCTGCCTCCCTTTCCTTCTCCTTCTCCTTCAGCTTCTCCGGTTTACCCTTCAGGATTGGATTGACTGGACCTGCATGGGCATCCCAGAGACCCCATAGGCCGTCAGCAAAGCCCACATCTTCCTTCATCCACTGGATCGCGAAGAGCAGCTTCAGGTGAGCAAGGCATGTTTCGACGTGGGGATCAACCGGCCTGTCCGTCAGAATTAGGTTTTCGAATGCGGCTGTCAGATTGGCGTTCTCTGCATCTGTTGCATCCGCTAGCATTCGGCTGGCGGAAATTGACTGCTGAGCCTGCTGTTGCTCGTGTACCGCGGCATCGTACGCTGGCGGAGGGGCTGCGGCATGGTCTGAGTCGTTGGCGTTTGTGGACTTCTCTGCATCCCGCAGCCAAGTGCGTCGCTTGAGCACGGAAGATCGTTTTGTATCCTTCGACATCCTCGGGAGTCGAAGGATCAGGCCAGGGTTGCACGGGAAGCTTGGTTCACCACCTGTACTTCAAAAACTAAAATCATAAACAAAGCATACCAAGGGTGGATGGTAACCAAGGCCCTGGGGGCTTTAATACCCGGGATTCTGGGCCGTTTTGAGTCTTACTTCAACCTCGCTGCATTGCATCGCTTATCTCGCGGACTGACAGGTGACGGGTGCTGGGCGGGCTTGCATCCCGTCGTGTTCCTTGGTCTGCAACTCGTTTCGGATACCGAATCAGCCGCTGCTTGTCCTACCAACCCGAAGGCAGTGCGCCTAGCAGTGAGGCAGTTTGCCATAGGGACCCGCTGTTGGGCGGCTGAGCCGCCCGCACCATTGCCCCCATTCGGTCGCGCTTTTGGTGTTTTCGGGAAGTGCGGGGAAGGATGCGCCAGTGGCGGCGCCGCGCTGAGGCACGCGGCATGCACGCAGTTCGGCCGGCCCCGATTTCCGGGTCCGCAGCTCCGCATTGTTGACAAAATGACGAGGCGGAATGAGATGATTGTGGAAACTGAAAAGGGCCACACCTGATACATGATGATGATACTATTCATTACCCACACTTGGACTGCGACCTGCAGGTGGTTTGCGTCAGCCAGGAAAGGCTCAATTGAATTGCCCGGTAATGGAGAGCGAAGACCGCCGGTAACGTTTTGGGCATCGCGGTCTTCGACTCTGCGTCTGACTCGATCCTGCCTTCCAGGGTCGGGCCATATATCGCTCTCTGCTCATTGACTTGGTAGTCCCGGGATGTGTGCGAAGGTTCACATCCTCGATGGTTCCAATGGTCTTTGCGTGTCCGACCGGCGAATGGTCAGCGGAAGCGGTTCAAAACTTCAAAGCAGCTGTAAATTTGCAGTGACGAGCAGCGGTGCCTCCAGCTGTTTCCCTTGGAGGCTCAGGCATTGCTGGCCTGTGTATCGCAGCTGACATCGGGCCGCAAGCGGACATAGGATTAAATATTGGAGATTGGTATGGACAACAACTTGAACATTACAACAAAATACCCCATATCGACTATTGGCGATACCATGTGGATGTGCCCCTGATCCGCTTAGACACGACGAGAGTGCAGAGGCAAAGGATCACAAAGTCCGATCCCACCAGCCAGGTCGCATACTCAGTTTGCTGCATGACAGATACTACTCCGTACTCGGTCTCATGACAGGAAATGACATGTAGTAACTTTGATTGGTGTCTTCAAATAGACCAAGGATTGTGTTTGCGCCTCCTGACCCCTGACGATTGTCGGCATGTGGATTCAAAGGTTGCACCGCGCCCGCCATCCGCGCAGCATCGTCTTTGGCTGCACTCAATTCTTCAAGCTGCTCCTGGAGCAGCCTGATGAGACTGATAAATTGAGGAGCTCCAGAAAGCGGACAGCTCACGTATATGCTTTCCCGACTTGACTGCTTGACTCCTGTGAATGTTCATCCGTGTCTCGGCTTAAGATCCCTTACAACCAAATGAAAATGACTTTGAACGGAGTCAAGAACGCCTTTGGAGGTGGAAGTCTCTCAGTGGCTTAGCACTCTTGAGGAGTCCGTACGTGAACCACCGATATGGCTGAGGTCTACGGCGCATCAGAGGAGCTCCTGGGCAGGCCGGCTCTGTTAAGAGAATCATAATAGAAACCAAGGGCCCGGCCGTGTGTCAATCCAATGTCCGCTACTAGTGACGAGGTCATCAAAACAGGAAAGGCAAGGCTGCAAAAGCTCCGGAATGACCCGCAAGTCAAGCAAGTCAAGAAGGATAGCCCAAAGCATAGCCCAATGAAGCTTTACAGTCTCGGGTATTGCCCCGACAACCACAAGGAACTGACAAAGCGAACTGAGCGAGTCCCTATCACCCTACGCCAGAGCATTTTCGCTAACGTGGTCATGTGAAAGCAGGTTGCGGTTCTGTCAAGTCCTTCGTAACCCCAAGCTGTCTTCGTTCCAGTCGATATCTCAAGGATTTTGGCAGGCTCGGAACAAGCCACGCCGCCGGGTCCCTAGATTTTCACATGTAAGACTCATTTTTTGCCCGAGGCTCTCCTGGGTCCTGACCAAGGCGGCAGTCCTCGTGTCACGAGTAAACAATTGCAGAGTAAAAAAATGGTGTCTCAGCTTCGAACGCTCCTTTCCCACCCACGTCGAGTTCTGTCTCAGTTTCCATCGTTCTAGCCAATGAACTGTATGTATCTCAACTAAGCGGCTGTTATTTTAGTCCCAACTCTCGGTCGCTGAAGACTGGCACCTTGAGTAAAATTCTTCCGCAGATGCAATTTCGTTTAGGATGTACGTCTCACACCGCTATACCACGTCGAGAGAACTCTGTAGGAATGGGGTTGGACTGAAGAGGACAAACAGGTCGTTACACTGCAGGGCGTGCACCGGGCGGGGGTTAGAGGATTGCGTGAGTTGTCACGGCACTCTTTCCCATTTGGGGTTAAGCAGGAGGCTCCAAGACAAGCGACGCGTCCCCGCTGGCTAGACGCGCGTGATAGCTGCACAAGGCTTGCATGGAAGCACAGTGCCAGATTCCCGTCCACCGTGCCGGGCTCCCGGGTGGTACCTGCCGACGGGATGTTGAGATCTCAAACGCGGATGGTGCCCGTGATCAGCAACGCAATTGGCTGAATGAAGTGACGGCAGGGAGCTGGACGGCGCCAGGTCGTATTAATCCCTTGGCTTTTCTTGGGGTTCCAGCCTCCCGGGTCGGTGAGAGGCTGCCGATTCCCTTGTCTCAACTACCCAACGGGTCAGCCTGAGTGACGGTTATCCCCCTCGATCGCAGCGCTAACCCCGATCTCGACGCAAAATCTCGAACTGGTGGCCCCCAATTTTGACACTCTGACTGCAGCGACCTTCGGCCGGGGTGTTGTCATTGTTGGGATCAGCAAATGATGCCCTATCTTGGGTTACCTGACGTCCGCGTGGCGCGCGAACCGCTGAAGAATTTGAGAAAGCGATGGGGCCTGGTCCTTTGGGAATTCCTGGTTGCCCTCAGCCCTCAACAAGAGCCGGCCCCGACAGTTTGGTAACCAGTGGTTCCAGCGTTCCACACACTCACCATCCCACATCGGCATTGTCCTACCCCCGTGGTACCTTTGCCGCTGGAGCCTACCATCTCAGACCTTCGAGTGTTCTTTGTTTTTCGCTTGCTGGGAAGCTAAGTCCCTGGGGACTCTCGCCTGGTCCAAGCCGGGCACCTGGCTTCCATCGCATATGAAGACCAACCCGCCCGGTTCCCTCCTGAGCAACTCGACACACCTTGAACACTTTGTCTGCTCCATGACAATCCTTTACTCCAAAAATGGCGGCCTTCGATCCCATCGAGTTCTTCGGCATTGGCCACGGTCGGGACATTGCCATTGTGCGGCATGCGAGGAAACAAAGCCAAAGTTCAATCAGCCTTTCGTCCGCGTGCCCTCCAACCAACGATGCGTTGGAACAGAGGTAGAGTGCCGCAACCCCCTGACACCACTTCATGTCATTCTCCGTTGACTGTTGTCTCTTAAAGCAGCGTGCCCCAGAGTCACTGGGCTACGCTGATGCAGCCAAGTGACTTGAATAGAGTGCCCATGTCTCCCCCGGTATATTCTTTCGTCAACATCACTCCTGAAAACTCGCTTTTCGCCGCGACTTTCGATCTCGATCACGCGCCTCCGTCTGCGTCGCCAAACGTCTCCATCGATTCAAGCCGAGCGTTTCTGTCCATCGAAGAATGCCCGCTCTACCGCTACCTTGGGAGCGAAGAACGACACGAGCGACTCGCCCTGGCCTTCTGCGCTGAGATCCAGACCGACGACAAACTCTCAACTGTGCAGATTCCGGAGAGTTGCTCCCCTTTTGAGGAACAAGAGCCCGGATCTGCCGGGTACCAGTCCATCAACAGCGCAAGTCCACTGCACCGGTACCTGGCAGACACCCTGCAGGTACACGAGCGACTGGCCGTTGACCTGGAGCTGCAGAGTCAGCAACAACTGGGAGGGAAGCCATCAGATCAAGAACAAGATCAACTAGCGGCTGACTCGTCCATTTCGCTGACGCCGTCCGATGGCGCCGGATTGGAGTTGAACAATGGCAGCGTCGTGGACATGACCATGGAGGACGCGTTAACAATGCTGTATGTCCCAGTTTGAGTTGTCTGTCCCTTTCATTCTTGATCACAGATGCTAAATCTGGCCTGCTCCTTACCGCATAGCCATGAACATCGGAGGCAGAGGGAGCGCCGAGCGGGACTCGCTCGTCCTCGCATCCACAACACGGCGAGCAAGAGGCGGAGAGGCTCGATGCCCCAGGGCCACAGGGATAAGGAATATAGACCGAGTTGAGATGTTAACATGGTTGGGCGAAGGACAAGAGGTGTTGACGGTTCAGACACTGTTACGATCATTGTCAAAGTATCCTTGTTGATGTCTTAAGATTCTGGCCACACATGTCACATTTGCAATAGATATATCTTCCTTGGTGAGGAGAATAATGATATTACCCTTCTCTGTCCGCCGCGATGCAGTCCAATGTCACACATGAGGGTATCATTCCTCCCGAGACTGCTCTCAGCTCATCAACTATACAAGTCCAAAGCCCAAAACCCAAAACCCAAACGCCGATACTCCCGTCCCAGCCCAAGATAATGCTTATGGTAATACACTAGACAGTCCTCCACTTCCGTCTTCCCTCCGATGAAATTCCGGTTCCCTTCACAGCACCGATTGTCCAACTCCAAGTTCTTTACTCCTCCTCATCCATCAGGTCCTCCCAGTTCTTCCCAGATATGTAGAAGGGATCGCGCACCCAGAGCGGCAGCTCTTCCTTCTTCTTGTCGACGGCGACGACAGCATGAGTGCCCGCCTCGTCTTCTTCCTCGTCCATCAAGTCCTCCCAGTTCTTGTTGGAGATGTAGAAGGGATCGCGCACCCAGCGCGGCAACAGCTGCGCCTCCTTCTGGACGTCACCGGACTTGTTCTCCTCAGTAGTCTTGTTGTCTTCCTCCGCTGGCACAGAGACAACGGCGGCGGCAGCAGCAGCAGCAGCGTTCTGCTTCTGCCGACGCTCACACTCCTTGTTCACCGCGCTCTCGAGCGTGTCGAAGAGGTCCAGGTTGATTACGACGTTCTCATTCACAGAGTCAACATCCGAGTCAACATCCGAGTCAACATCCAAGTCATCATCCGAGTCATCATCCGAGTCATCATCCGATGCGTCATTGCTGTGGTGGTCGATGATGTTTTTCTCTTCTTTCTCATCATCATCTTCCTCGAAGATCACCGACAGAGCGCGCGGGAGAGACTCAACACCCTTCCCCTTCTTCTTTGAAGACGAGGGCTTCGTGGGAGGAGGAAGGTTGACCCCAATGTCCTTGATTGCCTCCTCATCATCATCCGAGTCATCATCCATGCAGAACTCAATGATGGCTTCGGCGCGCGTGCAGTCGTCAGCGCCGCTTTGCTCAAGATCGATCAGCAACTTGTCCATGGTCCCTTCCTCCGCCCGCTCATCATATCCATCCCAGCCAAACTCGGCGTAGAACTCATAACACTTCTCTCCGCACCGGTGGCCGAACCGCCAGTCGTCCTCGGGGCTGTACTCGAACTCGTACGTGTACGAGACCCGGTCGAAGCAGTCGTCTGGCCAGAACTCCTCGCCCTCCGGCGTGGTGAGCTTGAGCTCGGGCACGCCTGGCACAGGGGTGGGCTGGACCTGGTCGGGGCATTGCCACAGACCGAAGCGGCACTGCTGGAGGAGCCCGTGGCAGATGCCGGACTGGATCTGGCGCTCCTTGAGCAGAGCGATGTGGCCACTGTGCGTGACGTAGGAGTGGGTTCCCCAGGGGGAGAGGTCGAGCCCCGTCCAGAAGTCATACGACTCGCGCTGCCGGTAAGGGGAAGATGGGGCGCGAGGGAGTTCGTCTTCGGAGTAGTATCCGTCTGCTTCTTCCTCAACGGGTGGCGTGGCGACGTGGTCGTCTTTCTTTTCTTCCCGTTGCGGGGAGTACGACGATGAGTCGACAATGACCGGGCGGTCGACGACTGCCTTGGTGGGGCTCGGGGGCTCCGGGTTTGATGGCCGCTTGTACGGCGACTCCACTTCGTAGGAGTCATCATCGTCCGGGTTAGAGATGAATTCTGAGCTCGTGTCGCTCAGGATCTCGACGACTTCGTTGTCGTAGATCTTGAAGAAAGACTCGTTCATCTTGGGAGCATCTGGGTACGCCGCCTCATACTGTTCGTAATCGTCTCGACGCAAGGTAGAGATCAGAGAGTGGCCGTGATAGTAGTACACGATCTGGCCGTTCTCGAGGACGGCAAAGTCAACGTTGCGGTGAGCAGGGACGGGATACAAGGCCAGGACTTTCTAGGTCTCGGCCCCCTTCTCGCCAATAACGGTCACATACAACGCTTCGACGTCATCCGTCTGATTCTTGGGATCGATATGGCAAACATCTTCCGTCTCTTCAGGGCCAACATCTTTGACCTCATCATGACGAACTTCGGCCTGATCAGCGACGGGCGTCAGGACTTCTTCGACTTCGGGTTTGGTAGGGGTGACAGAGTAGTCGGTCACCGGAGTGCCGGGGCATGGCGGGCTGTCGAAGAGCTCGCCGGCGGAATTGCTGGACTGCTTGCTGCTTCCCGATGCGGTCCGCGAATGGTTGCGAGCAGCGGACTCGTTGCTGCCTGACTGAGTGCCGGCTGTCGGCTTGGTCTCATTCTTGGACAGCAGGATAGTTGCAGGCTCGCCTGCACGTGTGGCCACCTTGGTGACGGCTCGAACTGGAGCAGTGGTGCCGTTAATCGAGAGGTTGCGCGCAGACTTCTCGAGGAACAGGTTCTGGAGGGTACACTGCGCTTTGGCCTTGGCGAGTCGCTCGCGCAGCGTGAGCTCGCCTTTCTCAATGATCTTGGGGACCGACCAGGTAATGTCGATGCCCATGTGACGCTCAAAGTTGGCGTCGAAAATGCTCGAGATGGGAGCATCAAAGTCGTCCTCAAAGATGAGAGGGAGTTCAGGGATCAGAAGCTCGTCGGCCTCGACAGGCTCACATTCGACGAGGTCCTTGAGATCAATCTCCGACATGCTTTCATTGCCGAGGACGGTATCCTTAATATCTTCGTCCAAGACTGCCTCGAGTTCGGCAACGTCGATGTATTCAAGAACATCCTCGATGTCTTGCTCAGAGTTCTCACCACTCTCGTCGAGGAGGCTCTCCTCGGCGACTTGCTCCAAAGTAATGTCATCCTCGTCGAGAGCGGCCGGAGTGAAAGGTGTGTCATCAGATGTGGCCTCGACGTTGACGTCGATGGCAGATGCAACAATGTCACTGGCAACGGCCGAAGTGCCCTTGGCGACGGATTCGGACGGCGTGAAAAGGGAAACTTCTCCCTCCACATGGTCGTCATAATCAGCAGACGCAAGTTCGTTATGGGATGCGATCTCTGTGATATCGATGGGAGTCGCAACAACTTCATCAGCAAGAGTGGTGTCGTTGATGACAGACTCTGCAACAGGGGTGAAAGCTGCAGCTTCTTCAAGAACCTCGTTCTCAGCAGCCAAAATAAGAGCGGCATTATCAGAGGCGACCTCCAGGATGTCGATGGCGGTCGCGGGAGATTCATCCGAGACCGAAGTGTTGTTGTCAAGCAGGTTCTCAACAGGAGTGGAAATTGAGACAGTGTTCTCAGCGCCAGTCATGGTCTCTTCAATGTCTTCGACCGGGATGTCGCCGGTAACAGTGGCGCATTCAGTGACCTCATCAACAACAGGATCACCAGCGACGGCAGGAGTCTCTTCTTCCTGGAGAGTAGGGATCTCCAGAACCGTGTGGGGATTTAGATCAGACTCGGCTGCGACAGTAGCGTCCGTGCTTGAAGTGATTGTGTTCGCTTCCTTAACAACTTGAACTTGGACCTTGTCGGCCGGAGCGACGTCCTTGATGTGATGAGCGATGTAGGCAGCATCGCAACCGGCGATATCAATGTGGGCAAGGGTACCCATGGCGTCGGCATTGACAACAGCCATTGACGTGAGGAGCGACTCAAAGAAGGAAGCAAAGCCCTGGGAGATGGGCTTGAAGGGGCCGCCGGGGGTTCGGACGCGGCCGAAGGGCTTCCGGGCAACGGCCAGCAGCCGGCGACAGGCACGAGAAGTGCCCTTCATTGTGTCTGGATGACGAGTCGATTCTGTAGAGATCATCTTGTCAGTGGGTCGGCCATGGATTCATGGTTCAATGAGCGAGCGAGAGTGGTGATAATGAACGAGTGTAAACAGTTATGAGATTTGTTGACGCGACGGGGAAAATTTTAGATGCCTCCGAAGCTGAGGCGCGATGGGGCCGGTGGATATGGGTGTGGGGAGATGGATGCCGGGGGTTGAGGTTGGTGATGGCTCGGCGCTCAGCCTTGTGGGGTTGCGATGCTCGGCACTTACAGCCTCGCGATAGCGCAGCGGGGAGGTCGAGGGAAGGGGAAGGCGATGAGGGGAGGGCAGGAGACATGGAATGGAGATGAAAGATAGATGGAACACTTACCTGATTGATGGAATGTGATGATGGAATGGAGGATCTTGATTGATTGAGTTGCGAAAGGAGAATGGATGGAGGATGGAGGATGGAGGATGGCTTGTTGTGGTGTTGGTCAAGATGATGTTGGTCGGTTGATTCTTCTCTGCAGCAGAAGAAGTGTAGGATGAAACGGTGATTGTAAAGGGTCAAGTCAGTCTATGACCGAGGCAGGACACAAGAGTGATGGAGAGAGTAATTGCAAAGATTTGCAGTTCAGAGAATTGTGGACTGCAAAAGTTGTGCGATGAAAGTTCGGTGAAGGAAGGAAGTTGAGAGAGAAGGTTTTGGAGTTGGGGACTAGAATTTATACCCCCAGGTGAGAGATTTTGCCTTTCCTGTGAACAGTCGGCTGTTCAAGCAGCGTTCCACGGCTGGACAACCTGCCAGGTCGACTGTTCAGAGTACCGGTATGCCACTGCTCGGAACATGCGTACTGTTCTCCTGTTCAGCCACCAAGTGACCAAGCCGGGTGTTCAGACCCGGCCGGGAGGTACTACCTCCTACGGCTACTTCGCATCATTCCATTCAATCTTCTTCCATGGCATCCCCCTTCCGTATCTCTCGTCCCTATATCTTGATTTCTGTTGTCTCTGTCCCTTCTTTCTGCCCTCTTCCATCCATCCCTGTCTTCCCTTATCCATATGGATTATCCTCCCGCCTTCCTGCATTCCAACATCAACTTTGAACCCATCCAACTGTTCATTGCTAGACGCACGCTCATCAGGCTTTGCAAGCCTGATCTCCAGAGGACAGGAGCCGTTGCGAGTCGCTGGAGATCGCATGTGGCGTCTCTCGGATTCGTCATCAAGTTGTTTGTTAGCAGAATCACTGATATCATCTCTTCAGACTTCCACAGACTCATAATTTCTTTCTAAGCCCAGCGACGCCATGCCCTTTTACCAAGCGGAGTCGCTAGTGTAGGTGAACCGCCTTGTGGTCTCGAGACCGCCAGCCGCAGCCCGCAACGATGAGGTGTCAACACTAACTTACGAAGTACTCGTAGCAAGGTAGCATTCCATCGATTGGGTCTTCGCACCGTAGAGAACAAGACTATGCATAACCTCCCACAGCAGCCTGTCTGCCGTCATCCTCCTAAAGACAAGGCATACGCTACTTGATACAGTCCGACTGGATGGGTGGGAACACCCATGGGAAAAAGGAGGATAAATACCAAGAGCCAAGGAGCGGAAGCACTGGTCAGAAAACAGGAGCACTGCGTTAGATATAGGGACCATGGGATGGCACAAGTATAGGATGTGGCTGTTATGGTTTGGGACAACGGCGTTCGGGACGTGAAGGTGGCATTCACGCTTTGCGAAGAGAATCAAATCAGTCTTGCCAACGGATATATTCTGGTTTGGTTTGGTTGGCACTGATTATCATTCGCATGCTGTCATCATCTCTGATCCGTACTTCTACTTCGTACTAGTATTCTCGCATCAACACGTCTGCAATCTCTACTAGGTACACGAGCCCCAAACAGCCCCCCCTTGCGCCATCGACAAACCAGTCCAATTAACCTCCCTCCCCCAAACGCTGCCTACTCTCCTGCTCCACAAAGGTTATGATACCTCTCATTGAGCTTTTTGCGCCTAAGCAATGGTCTCGTGGCAAATCCACTGATTCTCGGCGCAGCGACGTTCCACCAAGAAATCCTCACTTCCCTCATCAGTCTGATTAGGAACTCCATCTCCGACTCCGCCGTGTCGACGGCCATGAGGACCTGTGTCGGGCTCGGAGCATGATGAGCAGCGTTTGCCTGCGTGTTGGTGACGTTGCTTTGCAGTCGGACCAACACTAGCCGCCGCCTTGGCCGTAACCGGTGCAAGGCGAGCAGGAAGGCTATGATGGCGACTAGGCACAGCGGGAGAGTTAGCTTCATGTCCTGGCGTGTTTGGTTAGGCTGCTGCTGTTGGCAAGGTTGAGCGGTGGCTATGGACTTAGCAGTTGGGAAAGGAGGTGGGTGTAGTCTCTGCTTGGCGGGATGGAAGGATTCCGGGGTCCTCTCGGAACTGTATTTGGCGGTGATACTCAATGCTTATATATCCATCCGCCGCGATGAACACTCAAGCTGAATCACCAGTCGTCCGGACAGAATAAGTATCCCTGGCGGTTCATTGGCATTGTGCAGTCGCTTGGGTTCTTTGAACCGGGGCACCATCAGGGTTTTCTAGTCCAGTCCACAAGTCCTCCTTGTCTCGTGTCACACCCGTCATCCGTGGCTGGGGACAGTTCTATGTCTGTCGGATGCCGTGGGATAACCTTGCCCACACGACCATAAACGAGCTAGATGGATCGTTCCCAATGTCTTCCAGAACTCGAAGTTTCATCACTGGGTGCAACGCACTCTGTAGATATAGGACGAGATGGTTCTTCTGGAAATCCACCAAGTCATTTTTCTTGTCGTGGCCTTGGCCGTTCCAGACAAGCTGTAGTCAAGATCCCTGGAATGTTTCATTACTCTCTCGGCTGCTCTCCGATACGCTGCCTTCTATGTATGTATTGATCTGGTTGCCATGTTTCACAGGGGGTCTCACTCGTCTACCTCCAAGAAACAAGCTTACCACGCTTCCCTGCCTTGTATGAACAATACATAGGTACATACAAACATTCTCCTTGAACAATCAAACTCAACAGTGTCGCTGATGAACAGGAAGGGTGTCTAGCGACTCCAAGTTGACAGATGGCGCCAGCATGACCACTCGTTCTGAGCAGAGTGCTACGGCAAGGCGTCACTTTAAGGCACATTCCGCTTACGAGCAACGACTGTGAGCATCTACAGATTCGGGAGGCCAAGTTTACAACCGCGGCGCGGCGCCATATCCGTGTTCGAACTTCACTACTGAGATGATTAATCATTGGGGATGACGTTGCCGTTGGCGCCAGCTGCCTCAACTTCTCAAGTAGGATCACCGGAACAGCGGCGATCCGTTCATGCATCTGGATCTGGTAGGACGTTTGCTCCCAGAGCCACGGAGCCGAGGAAAGTTCCCAAAGTCAGGTTGTACCACGCTGACGGAGTTTGGAGTCTTGGACTTTAGAGCCCTTGTTGCAGTTGAAGCACCGGGCCGACCGATTTGAACGCTTCTCGGCACTGTCTTGGCGAGGGTTGCAGCGCTGATTGGAGCGATGCGAAGCCTTTGGTGTTTCAATCGATCTCCAAATTCCCACCGGATTTCCCGAGACTTCTTCCCAGTTCGTAGCCGCGATACAGAGCAGGAGGAGGCACCTGAGTCAATCACCGTGGCTGTGGATCGATCTGAGACTTCCAGTGAGGGGAGGGCTCTCGGAATTGCAGGGATCCATAGCCTTACCGCCCGGCTTCTGCATGGACCCGCTCAGGCACGGGCACTGCCGCTGCAAAAAGACTGGACCCCCATCCTAAAAGTTCCTATGGTAGGTCGCCTGCAACGGCTTCAGAAACCAGCGCTTGTTGAGGCAGATGAAAAACGATGGGTCTTAGAGGAAGGTCGCCAAGATCGGAGCCTGTTGATGCCAAGATTTTGAAACGTTGGAAGACGGCCGCGATCAGAACGGCAGCGAGTGAGCTGCGTTTCGCATTGCGGGGATTCTCATGCCAAGACATGTGCAGGGACTAAAGTGGTTAGTGCGCCCCGCGGACCCATCTTGCCATCCGATGACCCACTGACAAGCTGAGACGAGGCTTGGCTTTATTTCTTGGCGCGCTTGTTTCAACCTCCGGACAGCGCTACGCATGTTCGTCCCAACTTAGCTCATGCCCCAGGAATCAGGAACCGCGAAGCAATGTCGCTTTTTTGTCTCTCATAGTGTATTTTACACGTATGACCGCGATGAGTCCGGAACTGCGAATAAGCCGCAGAATAATCTGCATGGTCTCTGATGGAGCCGGCCCTCCCGCGTCGCCATGCTTGGCGGCCACGACGGCCCAGGGGGACAATCAGACGGCGGTCTTCGAGACTTTCGTACACATCCTACGAGCGAGTTTTGTCACCTACGTACCTCGCCTTCCGCATTTCCCACGGTTCTAATGGCTGGGTCATCAAAGAAGAACCATTGGGCCATTTTCGTGGTGATTGGCCCCAGTTTGGTAACGCTGGCTAACATTTTCGCGTGATAACACTAACAGCGGGACCTGAGACACCAAACGCATCGTATTTCCCCTTGTCGAGATCTTCGCTGCCCCCGACATCATGTTTGAGCTTCAGTCAGGACAGAATAGGCAGTGGGCCTGATAGACTGGCCGGGGCATCCATCTCTTTGTTCGGCGGATAACTGAACAAACAGACCCGAAAGGCCAGGACAGGGAGGAAAAACTTGGAATGTCAATGCTTACCCCTCCGTGTCACCTCCAGGTATAAAGGTCAGTCAACCATCCCTCAATTACCTCGATGGTTCCAGTCCAGATCATCAACCACCCTTCGGACTCTTCCACGGGCATCTAGTTCTTTTCCGTCTGTATTATTCATTATCTATACGGGCCAGGTGTCCTTCATTTCTCTTCACTTCTTCATTAATTGCAGTTGTCGGCCGACTTCGCTTCCGCTGTAGTAGAGTCCTCAGCCGAACCCATCACAACCCGCAACCATGGTTCAATTCTCCGTCGTCGTCAGCGCTCTGGCCCGTATGCTTGCTTCCATCCCCCCAGGCTGCTACTCTATGTTGATTCACTGACATTCGGCGATAGTGGCCTTCTCTGCCGTCCAAGCGGCCCCCAACCTTTCCGCTCGCCAGGGCATTCCTGACCCTTCCGGCGAGAAGAATGTCGGCAACGGTGCCGGCAAGCAATTCATCGGCGGCCAGTGTCTTGGCGCCGCCGACTGTGCCTCCGGATGCTGCGCAACGCTGCCCAAAGGCGGTCAAACTATCGGGGTCTGCTCAGGCGTGGGCGCCCAGACCCAGGCCGGCAAACAAGGTTGCGGCTTTGAGTCTTCCGGGGGTGCTGGCGCCGGGGCTGGTGCTGGTTCCGGGTCTGGGGCTGGTTCTGGGTCTGGTTCTGGCGCCGGGGCTGGGTCTGGGGCTGGTTCTGGTGCTGGTGCTGGTACCGGGACCGGTAGTGGTGCAGGCAACCAGGGCGGCGCCGGCGGGCAGACGAACAACAACCAAGGCAATACCAACCAAGGCAGCAACACAGGCGCGAGCGGAGGCACTGTGAAGCCCAGTGGACTGAAGCCCGACCCTTCTGGAGCTGGCAATGTCGGCAATGGCCAAGCCAAGCAGTTCATCGGAGGCGAGTGCAAGAGCGACGCGGACTGCGCCTCTACCTGCTGCGCGCTAGTGAACACGGGTGCTCAGACGTTCGGCATCTGCTCCGGTCTCGGTGCCAATACCCAGAACGGCAAGCAGGGGTGCGGCTTTCCCGCTGGTGGCCAGCGGCTCGCTCCCTCTGCGTGATCGTGACGTCGAAGGACGGGAGTCTGGGGAACTCGGAAATGTCGATGTACCGCGGTGTAAATAGAATCCTGCTCGGACTTGTCAATATATTGTACTTCTAAGAGCGCGACTATAACGGCTTGTTAGACAGGCCTACCCTTATCGCTAATGTCGTGCCATCAGACAGAGGACAGTCCACGTCAAGCGTGTTGTGGGGTATCATGATCATTTGATAATCTTTCAATTGAAACTAAACAAAACGCTGCCTAACGGGTATCTTGAAGAGTAAAGAACGCAAAAACGCCCGCTCGACATACTCCCCGCGCCAGCGAGCAGGGGACTGACCCCATTCATCATTAGTTGAGCACCCCCTGACTACCAGGCGAAGTCAAGGGGCACATTCTCTCCTTCCTCCAGGAGGAAATGCCATTCAGTTAGCGACAAGCCACGCGGCTTCCCTACACGTCTCAACTTCCTGTGTTCCCAGCAGCGGTACCTCTCCAACCCCTTCCCCCCCCAAGGCTCTTCCCAGCTCGCCAGTCCGCCTCACGATGTGCACCGGCGCCGCTGGGTCATTCCTTTGGGGAGTGAATGATTTGAGACCCACGGCTGCCGATTTGAGTTCGCACCACGCGGGGATCATCACGGCATCACTCCGGGTAAACCTAGCGGAGCCCATGCCCGACCCAGCCGCCCTACCACGCGGGCATAAGCTCCCATAGCACAGCCGAAGATCCCAAACACAGGCTCTCCATAAGGTACGAAGAGACACCACTGGAAAGTGGGATCCTGTGCTTTAGGACCCACGACGTTCCACGTCGAGGGGAGGGACTACCACGGATCTTTAAGCCGGATAGTCGTAGTCCGAATCCTGATTTCGGCTTGCCTGTGATGGTTAGTGTCGTGTGGTGTGTTTGTTCGGTATGTCAACACTATTTGTCGCTGCGGACGCTGCGAATGCTCGCTGAGCCCATGCCCGACCCTACCGCCCTAACATTCGGGATGTACTGTGCGTGCTGTTATGTTAGCGGTGCAGTGTTGTTTTGAACCCTGTCGTGTATTGCGGATGCTCTTTGAGCTCAGCTGCCCTACTACGTGGGTAACGGATCGCACTGTGGCCTGTTAGCGTTGAGCCCGGATGCGGACCCTACCACCCCGCCACGCGGAATCTGTTGATCCCATCATTGATGTCGTTGTCGGTACCGCGCATGTTGTTGCGTGGAGGTGCGGCGCAACCACCTTGCCATGCGGAATTTGTCGCGCTGTTATGCTGGGGATGCCACGATGTTTCGAACGTCGTCGATCCCATGCCCGGCCCAACCACACGACCATGCGGGCAGCAGCTTCGCTCGACGTTCCAAGCGGAGCCGGGAGCTACCACCACCTCGCCGTTTCCGACCAGGAGTGGATACCCTTCTGGTTGCTTGAAGGTGCGGATTTCAGGTCTTACCCCCTGAAATCCCATTTTGCTGGTGTAAACAGCACCAGCAACATACAAAAGCACCCTTCGTCCGTGAGCCCATGCCCGACCCTACCACCCTACCATTCGGGCAACGGCTTCTGCTGTGGCTCGATAGAGCGTAGCAGGGGCGTCCCTCATGGCCTTCCACAGCCAGGAAAGGACGCACCTGTATAGGCCCTCAGATTGAAGACGGCGCCCAGTGTGACTGGAAGCCCTTCGCCGATCCGGGATATTTTGTTCCGTCATTCGGATATGTAGTTGTAGCGACGCGGCGTGTCGCTACGCCTAGGCCTAGCCTAACCACCCTGCCATGCGGAACCTGTTGTCGTTGTTCCGTTTATTTGCCGTCCTGTGACATTCAAGCTCAAGGCGAGACAATTGACGAGCCGTGACCTGTGATCTTCAGCAGCGAACGGTTCCGGACCCAGCAGTGGCGCTCTACCATGCTGGATCCGTCCCTTGATCCGAGTTAATGTTGTCGTTGGGTTTGGGGATTGACGAACCATGACTTGTGAACCTGCGATCTCTGGTTGCGCGCAGGTTCCGATGCCTCTGTGAGCCCATGCCCGACCCAACCACCCAACCATGCAGGCAGGCCCCAGAGTACCGGCTGCGGGCGGCGATGTCCGCTGCGATGGGGTAGGCGTCGACGACCAGAAACTCTGCGGCGGGCTTGAACCCCTTGCCCCCGCAGAGGGCAGGCCAACGTCCGTGGCGTCGTTGGCATCGACACACCCGCGGCCCGCTGCCTGGTTAAGAAAGTCAGACATCACCACAGAGCCACACGGCGGAAGGCCGAAGATGATGTCTGACAGACCGGCGGGGGGGGCAGGGGGCGCGGTGCGGTTGAGGATGGACGCCCAGTTGACGGCATCCGTCCAGTAATAACCGATAATTGTAAGAATTAACGTCGTAAGACCTTTTTGTCTGACGAAAGGTTGGATGTAGGAGGAAGTTTGGAATGAGGGAGGAGAGAAGGGGGGAGAGGTTAATATTTCTTAGGCTGTAGGGTGAGAGGATCGTTGCTGATTCTCATTGGAGCCTTACACACGACACATGGCACTCGTTGGGGAGGATGGTAGGCTGGTGAGGGTAGCCTGCAACCAGGTCATGTGCCCTATCAGAAGAGTCTTTTGCGTGCAGCAGAATCGCCACCTCCTGATTACTGGCTCCTTGCCGGTCGTTAAGGGGGTAGGGGATGACGTACCGACGATACATGACACTGATACCTAGAGGGTAAACCCCTGAGCTGCCTGGCAGCAGCCAATAGGGACGTTGCAACGTTTATTCACCCCTTTTCGGTCGTTAGGGGGAGTGGCAAGGATAGCAAAGTAGGTCATGTGCCACCTATAGCAGAAGCGGATTGTGCGCGCAGTAGAGTTGTTACCTCCATTTGCGGCCATCACCACCCAGTTGTAGCTGCCCAACTCGACAATTTTCACAACGGCATGCGCATCATGAAGAGTTTAGATGCCCGAGACCCAAAATGGTGATGATTCGTCTGACGAAAAACGGGCGCAACTTACGATGGGCCATAAAATAACATAGATGTCGAATATTGGGTATTTTGAACAAACCTGCAGAATAACCGTAGCGACGACCGGAGTGATGACTGTGATGTTACCTCCTTATTCCCACACATTTCACTTCGCCGACTTCTATCCTGTCGCCCCTACCACGATGTCGACACGCCTCTCTCTCTCTCTGTCGCTGGTGTCGTGGCGGGCGCTGCAGCTGCAGGCGATGGCGATTTTGACTTTGCCTTTGTGGCTTTTGGGCTGTTTTGCCTTCGTCGACTGTCTCCCCGTCGGCGGCTACCGGCAACCCTTGCGCCATAGCACTCTTGGAGCTCCTGGAACCCTCCTTTGCCTTACCATCCTTCTCGGCAAGAAACTCCTTGATCTTCTCCACGGCCTCCTCGTCCGCTTTTGGATCATCGATGAAAGAGCCCTTGATCTTATAGCTCCTGCGGCGGGCCCTTAATGCGCCGTGATGATGGCCTCGACGGAACGATATCATGACTCCCCCCTTCAAGGGACGGGAGGCGTTGCGGGGTCCGGAGTCCGGAGTCTCTGGACCGGGCTGACTGGGCTGGAAGAGAAACCCCAATACGTTCGAGAGAAGCCTCGAGGGCTTTGGTATGAGCTTATTATAGCGGGTCAGAGTATAGGACTAATCCCTCGGCGGTAGGCTTGACACTGACCGAAGGGAGGCGCTGGTGTTTGCGATGGGGGCTGCGCCTAGAGCCCCTGAATCGTTGGTTGTTTATCTCCATTTCGACATGTAAGATTCAAGTCGTGACAGCTTTCAAATTGGCCGATCGAGCCCGTAAGTCAAGCAATACCATTTCACAATTCTAACTGAAGTAGTTCTAAGCCTTTTGGGCTAATTACCCTCCGATTGCCAGTGATGCTCACCCCTGATGTTTGGTTTCTCCACAGTAACGGTTTATCTTGGCGTGTGAAGTTGGTGGTGTTGCGGGCAGTCGGCAGCATCATGTGACCCAGTCCCACATCACCCCAGCATGACTTACCACGTGACTACTCCGTACTGGGAGCCCCGCAGATTCACAAAATTTTACTTCCCATTTCCTCCAGCCAGCGATTCCAACCACGACTCGTGAGGCCATAACCATTTTCACCACGTCCATGCCGGATTCGCATGTTTGTGACGCAGCACGCTGGAGCGGTTGTCCGGGACCTGTTCTGCCTGCAATTTGGTATGACATTTCCCCGCAACCTCAGTCGTCACAGGTAGGTGGGAATGGAGGTGCAGTTTGTCAATCGCGCAGACACTGCTAGACAACCCGATAAAAGGTTCTCTTTTCAGGTACTTCTCACATAAGGTGACTACTAGTAATCAAGCAGTAGCAGCAGCAACCCTCTCCAGCCACTCTCGAGCGAACCGGCAACGGACCTCTTTGGTGAGCCTCTCTTCGGAGGGCCTTCTCTTCCCTACACGTCTTGTGTTGGGTCTCGGAAGGGGCTGGGCTGTGGGGCGGGGGCGGACTTTTGGTCTGCTCTTGCGAATGGCTGCGAGAGCAATTCCGTTTTACCATCCAGGGCACTCATAGTCCGCGCCGTTCTGGCTGCGTCTTTGCGCAGGGTCTACAGAGGCGAGGCTCCAAAAGGCCCGACATGTTAGTTCAGTATTACAGTTCAGTGCTTCTGTTCCTTGAACAAGTCGCACTTCGCTCAAATGCAGTTATTACATCCGAGTAAGACATTTGTGTGAGAGCGGCAGATCATCAATGGCCCCCAAATGTGGGGCAGGTGTCGGGCTACCCCTGGCAATCCAACGACGTCATCCAGGGCCTCAATGTACCTGGCCTGACCATCAGCTTGCTCAACGGTGACAACCAGCCCGTATCGCGTATTTGTTTTGGTTGGAACAATCGTCGATGTTTTGAGACATCGTGACGCTCTGTGCCCCGTTGTCACGAGCCTATCGCTTCTGTCCTTGGTTGGCTTCAATAGTAGCACAAGCCAGCGCCACCGTATCGCATCCGAGACAATGCCGGCACAGAACAACTCCAGGCCGTCCAAGTTCGGGCACCTCCCCCTAAGCACATCGGGCCCGCTGGAATGCGCTCTCAAAGGCACCGTCCTGCTGAACCACCCCTACTTCAACAAGGGCTCGGCCTTCACCAGCCAGGAACGCCATGACTTCGAGCTGACAGGCCTGCTGCCGCAGAGCGTGCAGACGCTGGAGCAGCAGGTGCGGCGGGCATACGAGCAGTACTCGGCACAGCCGGACGACCTGGCAAAGAACACGTTCCTGACGTCCATGAAGGAGCAGAACGAGGTTCTTTACTTCAAGGTAATTACTCGTTAGCTCTGTTTCTGTTCGTCGATCTCCATGCCGGGTCTGATCAGGAGAACGCTGACATAAAATTACGGGCAGTTGTTGCTTGATCACCTCGAGGAGATGTTCAGCGTCGTGTATACGCCGACGGAGGGCGACGCCATACAGAACTACTCGCGGATCTTCAGGCGGCCGGAGGGGCTGTTCCTCAACATCCATGACATCGATCGTGTGCACCATGATCTCTCACTGTGGGGAACCGCAGAGGATGTCGATTACATCGTCGTCACGGGTAAGGCGAACCCGTTCCCCCTTTTTACTCGCGAAGCTAGCTGACTAACCAGACGCACATAGACGGGGAGGAGATCCTGGGCATCGGCGACCAGGGGTGCGGCGGCATTCTGATCTCGATCGCTAAGCTCGTGCTCATGACGATATGCGCCGGCATTCACCCAAACCGTGTGTTGCCCGTCGTGCTGGACTGCGGCACCGACAATGAGACCCTGCTGAGCGACCCGCTGTACTTGGGCCTCAAGCAGAAGCGTGTCAGGGGCGAGCAGTATGACAGGCTGGTCGAGACCTTTATCAGGTCCGCGCGAGAGCTGTACCCGAAGGCTTACATCCATTTTGAGGACTTTGGCCTTCAAAATGGTAAGTGGCAAGATGGAACTGCGCTTGTGGACCATTCTTTTCTTTTCGGAACAGGCAGAAGCTGAAAGAAGAGGGCATAGCACGACGGCTTCTCGACAGATGGCGGCCGGAGATTCCTTGCTTCAATGACGACGTGCAAGGAACTGGGTGCGTGACGCTTGCGGCCATACTTGCAGGTCTGCATGTGTCAAAGCAGAAGCTGGGCGGCCTCCGCATGGTAGTGTTCGGTGCTGGGACAGCCGGAGTCGGCATCGCAGACCAAGTGCGTGATGCCATCGCGGAAGAGCGAGGCATCAGCAAAGAAGAGGCTTCTAAGCAAATCTGGTATGGGATCATGTCCCTGTCCTCACCACCGGCGAGCCTTTGCTGACATACCCGCTGCGGGTCAGGCTCATAGACAAGTCCGGCCTTCTGACTGCCCAGGTTGAAGGGCTATCCGATGCGCAGAAGACTTATGCTAGGTCAGAGGACTGGTCCGGGAAGAAGATAGACCTTTTAGGGGTCGTCAAGGAGGTCAAGCCCAACGTGTTAGTGGGCACATCCACCGTGCCCGGGACCTTTACTGAAGAGATCGTTCGGGAGATGGCATCCCATGTGGACCGACCCATCATCCTCCCACTCTCCAACCCGACAAGACTGCACGAAGCGGTGCCTGCGGACCTGCTCTCGTGGACCGACGGGAAAGCCCTTGTGGCCACAGGGAGTCCGTTCAAGCCCGTCAAAGGCCCCTGGGGCGCGGACGGTAAGGAGGTCGAGATCGAAGTGGCGGAATGCAACAACAGCGTGGTCTTCCCGGGGATCGGGCTGGGTGGGGTGCTCTGCCGCGCCCGGCTCGTCACGGACAAGATGCTCATCGCCGCGATAAACGGGGTGGTGGAGTTCAGCCCGGCGCTGAAGGATGAGACAGCGCCATTGCTGCCGGGCGTCGATATGGTACGCCAGGTGAGCGTGAGGGTGGCGCGCAAGGTGATCCAAGCTGCAGTGGACGAAGGGGTGGCGACAGAGGAGGGCATCCCGGAGGATGAGGGCGAGTTGGATGAATGGATCAGGGAGCAGATGTGGGATCCCGTTTACAGGCCGCTCAAATATGTCGAGGCGCACAGCGCGAGTCGGGCGGCGAAGGGTGAGCTGCGGGTTGTGGGCAGCTTGCCGCAGAGAGGTTAGTGGTGGACTGGTGGTGGATTTATTTTCAGCGTCAATGGTTGCAAGCGTATCCGAATGAATGTTGGAAAAGTGTCGTGCTATAGTTCGAGGTAGTGAAGTTCTATCTCATCATTCTCATGCCTATATCGGCGTGAACCACCCATTCCATATCCCAGTATATGCCAACCGAAACACGTCGCTGCCGTTGCATTGCTCTGTGGGATGAAATCCAAACATTCTGAGGAAGTGATGAACGGTCTTAACATGCCACGTGACAGCTCTGTACAAACCGGATTACAGATATGCAAGCTTGCAACTGCGTTATGCAAGCAACATAACTCCGTGATTCGAATATCCCAAGACGGCGCACGATCACAGCTCAAGATCTCCACCACCATCCAGAGAGGAAAATGCAATTATGGATTTTACAATCCTCATACCGGCATTTCTTTACTTGCTGTTAGCTCATCAAGCACAAGCCGGGGGTTACACACCGCCCTACATGACCCTTCCCGCCCCGCCCAGTTTGCCAGACGCTGTGGCGACAGGCTATGTGAATCTCTCCGACGGCGTCGATATCTGGTACGCTCATTTCGGCCCAACCCTCGAAGAAAGCTTCGCTCGCGGAAGGGCACCGGTACTGTTTCTTCATGGAGCACACGCGAGCTCCGATTACTGGGGTCATCAGATCCGGTATCTGCTGTCGCAGAACGATCCTCGCACGATTCTGGCAATAGACTCCCGGCTGATGGGGCGCTCGACCTACGGGGATATGACCACGTCCTTTGCTCGCAAGGCTGCCGATGCCATAGCTGTGCTGGACCACTTCCACATCCCCCAAGCTGCCGTGGTTGGCTGGAGCAACGGAGCAGCCGTCCTGATCAACCTCCTTCTGGACTATCCGTCGCGTGTGGAGCGCGCTTTCGTTTTCGCTGGTTGGTATGATGCAAGCACCAGCCTCAACCAGACCACAGGTACTGCACAGTACAATGCCACCAGTGCGGTCTACTTCAACCGCACGTTGGAAGAGCTAATGCGCTTGTCGGTACATCCGGAGTTGGTTCCGGCGGCACGACAAGCTTATTATGAGGAGTATATGAGGGAGCCGCATTGGGACTCGACTGACTTCGCGCGAATACCGACGGGTCTTGACAACTGTCAGGATTCGCCTCTTGTATGGTATGTCGAGGCTGCTGAAGAAGAGGTTATCAATCGAGGAGTAGCAGGGATCAGTAAGTCATACACAATGTCCGCGTGTCCCAGATCTAGAGGAGTATTAAGGCCAAAGGGTCGGGTGGGATGCCTCAAAATTTTCGATGACTCCTTGATACCTACCAAAGGCCCGGCCAGGTATTCACTGACTGGGAATTCATAGTGCACAAATGGACCCCCGGCTCAACCCTATGGGTGCTCCCAAATGTTAGCCACTGGGCGTAAGCTGACTTTTCCACTCTCCCCGGTATGTTAGTTGAGTACTGACTTTGCCCTCAGGCTGCTGCAGGATCCTGTCGCGTTCAACGATGTGCTGCACAGGTTTCTTGAGGATCCGAGGCACTGTGGCCTGTGGGGTGCGACTTGCCTGAATCCAGGTTTTGCCCAACAATTACAGGACCGAGGTCCAGGTTTCCCTTTGGTTGCACGGTGACGTTGCTGAGCAGTAACAGTACTCATATTGGAATCAGCTCAAGGTCGAAGTCACTGAGGAAAGGCTTGGAGGAGAATTCAGTGTGTAATTATTGTTCGTTGATCTCCCTTTGGCAACGCGTTGTATCACTCGGCTCTCGGAAAGAATCTAGAGAAGGGGTCGTGCTGGAACCATTGCTTTGGGACTTGATCCAGTCAGCACTTACTTATATAACTATGGACTCGGCCGGCCTCGAATGCATCATGACACTCAGTATACCGTCCTGGATTCCGCGTTGAGTGCATCACACCGTGGAACACAGCTCGAATAGAAACAAAGAGCAGGCCCTCGGAACACAAGTTCCGCACTTGGTCTGGCAGCAGAAAACTGTGTAAAGCTAGAAGCATAATGCCGTCCTGATTGAGCGCACTTAGAACTCTCCAGTCATAAAATACGGTTGCGTTGTTGGGCAATCATGCTCAGACTTTTGTCATGGTCCTCGCGGTGGGAACTTGAACTCTCCCGGTTGTTTCCATAAATCCCCTGAGATGCAGTCGCGGACTCGCGTGTCTGGCTAGTACCCCACAGTGACAGGGTTAGGGTCCCATCAGCTCACACTTGAAGCCGCACGTGACTGCTCACAAATCCGGTAGGGTTTCCGGTCCACACCAAAAATTATCGCGAATCGCCGTCAATTTCCAAGCCTGCCTTTGCGTCTCCCGAAATTTCGACTCCCCCATCGTCAAGTCGCATTTCCGCAACCAGACAGTCACAATGGCCAAGATTTCGTGAGTACATGCCGCCGTATTGCTCCTCGCGCAGTTTCGATCAGCGACCGCTGCAACCCGAACCGCCGCTCTGCGCTACTCGTGGGAGGAACTTTGTGGGGGAGAGGGGGGGAACTCACAGGCGAACCGACGACAAGCGGCGCCCTCCTTCGAGGGCGGCGGGCGGTGGGCACGCGGAAGCTATCGCAAAAACTGCGGTCGAAACCATGAGCAACTGTGCTAACACCTGTCGAACAGGCGTGGTGCCCCCGGTGGCAAGCTCAAGATGACCCTGGGTCTCCCAGTGTACGTGCCAACCCATTCCGATTTTCGAGTCGCCCCCCTCCTGCCCGTTACGACACCGAATTCCCTTCGACCACCACGGAACGAACCTGGAAAAATCAGAGAATGTGCAAGGCTTGGGATGCTAACGTGGAATGCAGCGGTGCCATCATGAACTGCGCGGACAACTCGGGTGCGCGCAACCTCTACATCATCTCGGTGAAGGGTATCGGTGCCCGCCTCAACAGGCTGCCCGCTGGCGGTGTCGGCGACATGGTGATGGCCACAGTCAAGAAGGGCAAGCCCGAACTGCGGAAGAAGGTCCACCCTGCCGTCATCGTCCGCCAGGCCAAGCCGTGGAAGCGCTTCGATGGTGTCTTCCTCTACTTTGAGGACAACGCTGGTGTGGTATGTGGTGTCCCAAAGGGGTGGGGAAGAGCAGAAACAGTGCTAGCGGAGGCTGCTCGCGCCGGGCTTACTGTTTTCCTGCTTGGAAGCGGATGTTCGCTAACCATACGCAGATTGTCAACCCCAAGGGCGAGATGAAGGGCTCTGCCATCACCGGGCCCGTCGGCAAGGAGGCCGCCGAGCTCTGGCCCCGTATTGCCAGCAACTCGGGTGTCGTGATGTAAGGGGGGTGTCCGGGGAGAGCGATGGGTCATTGGCATGCGGCTTTTTCGAGGAGCGAACGATTCTGCGGACCGGGAACAATCTTCCGCCTTGGACGAGGAAGATACGGAGTGAAAGGCCATAAAAGGCTTGGGCTGGATTGGCAGGCTTTGCATTTTCGGCTGCGGCGTGCTAGGGAGTCATACTATGCATACACAGGTCAATTCAGAATCCGTTTCTCGAACCCCGGTTTCTCGGAGGGTCTTGTCTGAGGGTTTGGGCAGGAAGATGCAAGACCAACAACGAGCCCACAGCAGGGCCACGCAGGGAGCACGAGTCGCGAAGGCGTCAAGGACCCGGGTAGCTATCCTCGACTCCTCCAGCTGGCTTCTGCTCGTGCGATGTCACAGCGCATTTTCACTTCGCGGCCACGCCGGCTTGCTCTGTGGAACCTGTCAGGGCCTGGATCTGCGGTACTCCTGGTGTGTATCTCTGGACAAGCCTACAGCTGGCGATGGCAATCGCAGCTTTATTCACTAGCACATGTCGTCCAACTACTTCTCGTATCAGCAGCTATCCTTATTCCTGAAATCGCACATTGTGGCTAATAAGACCTCGTGAGAGACCAATTATGGAGTGTGACCTTCGTGCCATCCCGACTTCTCTTGAACACCCCACCCGTTTGACCTACTAACACCGTGGCGCACCGAGCTGAAGATAAAATAGTCCACCCCATCAGTGTGAACCTTCCGCTCCGTATGCTTCACAGCTCTCATCCAAAACATTTCTTCGCCTACTTCAAGTTCCCAACGCCCGAGTCGAACCCAACATCACTACTTAGGGGTGGCAACCCGTTTTCGTAAGCCGTAGTTATACTGTTAGGTAAATCTATAACTAACGGGTTATGGTTATAGCTGTTAAGTGGTTAGGAAATCCTACTGTTTTAATCTTGGGAAGGCGCGAATCTCACAAACAGTTGAACCGACTTAAGTAGTAGGAGGAGGACCGCTTCGTGACTGCCTTATTCCGGCTTGAATACCCGTAGGCAGCTGCTCTTGCCAAACGAGTCCTAACTTTCCAAGCGTTGAGCTTTTCCAGACCTCTCGTTGACGATAAGGCGTTTATTCTACCAACCGTAAGTCTCTGGTAGTGGAAACTGGGCTTATTCTGCTAAGTAGTACTTAGACCCTCAAGCCTACGCGCTGCCAGGCACACCAGCCTCGCTCAAAACGCCAAATGACAAGCCCGCTGAAAGTCCCGGGACGTCAGGCGGCCATACACACCTCTTAAACGTCGCATCTCTTAAGAGTTGGGGGCATTGCAGGGCGAAGCTTTGCATTACTTGCGGTTGCTACACCCAATTCTGGACCCAGCCATGTGCACCTACATATCCTTCGACTACACTGATTGCCCGCACCGGGTCGAGACATTCCATTCTCCCTGCGCGAATATGGGAGTGGGCGGCTGCCGGCGCAAGTATTATGTAGTGAGATACCTCATTCCTGGGAAATGCCGGCCGTGTCGAGGATAGTAAGGGAGTCATGATGCACTGTGGCATGCTTGACTAGGGAGTTAAGAGTTTTGGGCGGATCGGTGGTTTCAAGCTAAGCTAAGTTGCCGGGACTTGTGGACGGGTAGGTCTATTGATGGAATGACACGCAATGAGGGACATGGGGAGCAGGTGATCGTGTGGCTTTGTCCAAGCTGGACTTCTGCTGGGAGGGGAATCGGAGACGTAACACCGCTACCTACCTTACGCTTCAAGCTAGATTTCTGGTATTTGCAACAAGCATGCTTACTGCTTTTCTACTCTGACCTTGAATTTGATACGTCATCCGGGCGTCAAGGCGGATGGTTGATACTGGTATTGAATCTCACCCTGAAGACTACGAAGGCTGGTCAATGTCCTCCTCCCTTTGCGCTGCCGGGGCCGCCTGCCACAGCATCGACGACATGCTCAACTCAATCGCGCCCTTCTTCTTCCGCTCGACCTTGGCGCTCACCGTCCGCTGGTATTCCTTCTCCCACTTCTCCGTGAAGGTGATACTCCCCGCCAGCGTGAGCTCATGCCCCGGCCGCAATACCCAGCCCATGCCCTCCTGTTTCCCAGGCTCCCTCTTCCCCCTCGTCTCCTGCGCATCGGCAGCGAATACCGCCGGATTGATCACATCCACCATTACACTATCCTTCCTGCCTTCCGTCCCGGGCACACTACTACTACTAATAACCTCCACCTGCCCCGGCAGCTCCCATATCCGTCTCGCTTGCTCGACCAACACACCCCTCCCATCATCATCATCCTTCTCTTCCTCCTTTCCACCCACCCTTCCTTGGCCCGCTATCCCACTACTACTACTATTACTACTACTCCTATTAGTCCCCTTGACTAAATCAACCCAAACAAACCTCGACACCGCGTCCACCAAAACCCTCACCAGAAACCCACACCGCAAATGCCGATTCCAAAACGCCACCACCGCCAACTGGTACAGCAGCAACCCTTGTTTCTCCTTCCTAGCAGTACTAGTAATACTAGAACTGCCAGTGTTGATCCCCGCCAGCCGAAGCGTCCCAAAGTCAAACCCCCCACGATGCCAGTGCACTGCCACCACCGGGCCCGGCCCCCTCACCCTGCCCCGGATATCCACCACCTCGTAGCCTGGTGCGAGCAGGTCGGCCGCGCGCAGGACGATGATTTCTTCTTCGAGACCTTCTTGGGGAGCCGTCAGCTTGGAATAGTAGTGGGATATATGTTGTGTTTGAGCCGTGGTGGCGGGGATGTAGATCCTCTTTGTTTTGGGCTGAGCTTTGGATGGGATGGAGACGGAACTGATAGAGCAGGAGGTGGTGGTGTGGGTGCGGACGCGGAGGAAGACGTTCGGGGTGGCGGTTGGTGTTAGGAGGAGGGCGAGACGGCGCGTGGACGAGGGTTGTTCGGATTCGAGGTGGCAGTTTAGGATTGCTAGGTAGTAGTAGGAGTGGTCGTTGTTTGGTGGCATGTTTATGGCTGCTGCAGAGGTGGGGGAGGAGGGGTGCTGCTGGTTGACTGCGACGAGGGGCAATTCGATGTGCAAGCCTTTGTTGGTCATGGCATAGGCGGACGTGGCCTGGGCTGTTGTTGTTGTTGTTGTTGTTGTTGTGGTTGTTGTGCGGGGAGGCGGGGCGACGACGACGTGCTCCATGCCGGCGAAGTCGTGAGGGGAGCGGGCGAGGATGCCGGTGGTGCCGGTCAGCTCGTCGTAGTCGAGGTCGTCGAGGTCGGGTATTTTGTGATGCGGGTTCAAGCTGTTGTGATGGTGGGGGAAGTGGGAGCCGGCGTCGTTGTCGTCGTGACCGAGAGTGCCCCAGGCGAAGATGGAGTGGTCGTCGGATCGGCGGATGATCTCCTCCTGGAGGCGGAGGAAGGCGTTCTCCCCTTCGCCGTAGATGATGGGCATGTTGACGCCGAAGATGCCCAAGAGCGAGTAGGCCATGTCTTCCGACCGTGTTGTAGTGCGGTTGGCAGCCCAGGACATGCGCTGGGCCACGCTGGCGTTGTGGATGAGCCGCGGCTCGAGGAGGGTGAGCTCGTCGATGCAGGTGATCTTCTCGATCATCTTGACCAGCGATGACTTTGTCCCCAGGAGTTTCCATCCCGTGGCGTAGAAGACGACCCTGCGCGGGGCGAGCAGTTCTTGCAGTGTCCAGCCCCGAGTGAACCACCGGCTGCTATTGAAGTGGTCCTTCCAGGTCAGATAGCCCTTTGTGTAATCGTCTGAGTGTACGTCGTCCAAGTATGCATAACACACGGCGGCTCGCTGGTACCACGAGAACATGGAGTTGATGGCTTCCGACACCTCGGCGCTGCTCCGCTTGTCGATGCAGCACGTGTCGACCCAGACATAGCGATAGCCGTCCCTCCCTGCCTGGCCGCAGGCGTAGGCGATCTTTGCATAACCGGCCTTGCGCTCGAAGGGATGTGGAAGAGCAGAGGGCACCATGGTGCGGTGGGTGCTGTTGTCGTCGGAATCACAGTCGTCATCTTCGTCGCTGTCGTAGCCATCCGTCAGCGCGTGCAGCTTTGGGGCGCGGTCGTGTCGAGCGTGAGACCGGTCTCCGCGAAATGCCATCAACATGCTGTGTAGCAACATGAGTTTGTAGGCGTCAGGGCTGCTAGCGGATGGCGGGACCATGTGGGCTGCTGATGCCCCGTGGGAGTCATGGGACCGGCGGTATCTTGCGATTGCTTCCATCTCGTGAAGGGTAACCTCCTCGGGGCCCCATGTGTGAGACAGGATCGCATACTGCGGGATGTCAGTCCCGAGGAACTCCTCCACCTCGCGGGTCGAAACATTAATCAGTCTCATTGTCGGGCTGCATTCAGGCCTCGCATGATCATCTGTTCTGCTGGAAAAGGGTGAAGAAAGATGAAAGCACAAGTGCGTAATTCGGGGCTTTTCCATCACTTTTATCAACGAGAGGTCATGCCATCACAAGGTCACTACGCAGCGTCGACTCAGACATTGTTGGAACGACTCGAGGTCCACCAGGTGGCCCAATCAGAGAGCCAAACGCGGTCGAGTCTGGTCGGGTGCAATCGGGCACCGAGGCCCATCGGCCCTTGAAGTCGGGTTGCTTGTTGACCCGGAAAGAGGTCGACGTGGTGCGATGGCACTGACTTGAGGAAGTTGAGGTTTGGTCCCTTCTGGCAACCAACCTCCATTGCCGATATCAAAAATTCGGAGGCTGAGTGTGGGCTCAACTACAACTAGTTGAGCGGTGTAGGCTGTAGCACACCGACCCTCATTTCCCCCTTTCCCCATGAGACCATGCTGCGAGACAGTGTTCTGGGGGAAACCTAAGGCATGCAATGTAAAGGGCAGGTTGCGATAAAAGCAATAGACCCCCTAAAGAAGTGTGTGTGCACTCGTCTTGCCACGCTCAAAAGCCAGTCCTTGTTCTGATCCCACTCGCTCTGGTTGACCAACCTTGTTAACAATGAGCTCTGAGAGTCTGAAAGTGAGATATGCTGAGCAGTTGAACAAATACATTGTACGTACAGGACTCCAGAGCCCGCGTTCAGAAACTCTGGTAATGCTAACGCAAAGGAGAATTACTCTCTTTAAAAAGCGTCCCATCAGCCGGTTGAATTGTGCAACTTAGACTCTGCCGTAGTATGTGCTATCTCAAGACCTGAAGAAGTCCATCTGTACCAAATTGTTTGGTTCTGCAACACTATTGTCCGACTCTGGCTCCCAACTCCTTCCAGTACGATGTCCTCCCCGACGGCCATCCCCATGACCTACTACGACAACTACCACACGCTAGACAATCCACATCTGCGCAACATCTGCCGATACGACCGCGATGCTCAGAAGCACTGCATCATGTGCGAGAAGGCGGCCAACCCGACCTTCCTCTGCAGCGGGTGCAGGTACGCGCGCTACTGCTCCTGGGAGTGCCAGGTCGACGACTGGCAGCACCACGCTCGTTCCTGCGCCCAGGCGTCCAACCTTCCCTCCCTGCCCATCCCCAGCTGCCCGCCGCATCCTGATCTTCCCCGCGCAGAGCACCACCCCTGTTTTCGCCCGGGCCGAGATGACCGACGGCGGGAAACTCCAGGTGGCCCACAACGAACTCCAACGAAGGTGCGGCGGGGCGGGCACGATTGTCGCTGATGATGTCCCCTCGCCTTATGAGTCGGGGTTGACGGAAAAGGGAAATGGCGAGCAGGGGGCGGAGAAGGGGAGGGTGCTGTTCAGCAGGGAGATGATTGAAGGGCTGATGAAGGCCAGCAACTCTGAACATAAGTGAGTAGTGACAAGCTGTCGGACACACGGACAGGATCTTGGTACCGCCATCTTTGCAAAAAAACACCATTCCGTGCTATTTTGTATTCCCTGCCCCGTCCGTATGATACTCAGCAGAAGTATGTAGCACCGTATAGGCATTATTAAGACATAGAGTATCTCAACTCAGATTGAAAAAAAAAAACAAAAAAAAAAAAAAAAACGACGAATGCAATCCTTCGACCTCACTACACCAACCAACCACCACCCTCACTCTCCCAATGATCCAGCCATGCACAATTAAAGTTGTCGACTTGACCACCATGCAAATGCGAAAAGAAAAAATGCACATGTACCCCGACCCAATGCTGCTCGCAGACTATGCATGCATGCAAGTTCCCAAGGATGTAAGGGAAACAATGTCGTGGTCCTCCTGGGGGGCCTCTCTCCCGAATGGCTTGAAAATGCAGAGAGGGAAAAAGTGACAAAAGCCAAATTCGACACTGCAGATCCAGCCATGTGTGTTGTTCCCATACAACATCCATACCCCACCCATCTCTTCCGACTGTAATAAGCTCGTTCCATGGCCCGTGGGCCGCTCGACTACCTTACCCATACAGGTGCCGAGACCCGTTGGGTGACCGTTGTAGCTCTCGTAGCCCTTGTCTACTATCCTGCCAAGGCCGCTTGTCTCACTGTGCTTTTGACTCCAGGGTACTCACTCGGGGTTTCCTTGTTGCCTCCGTCATATCGTTATCCAACGTTCCATTAAACAATACCGGTTTAAGGTTTTCGCCCCCTCCCCTCTCCGTGCTGGTGGGACCCTAAATCAAGTACTGACGTCCTCCCTTGGGGTCTCCAGGCCGGACTGCTCCGACGAGAGGAAGGTCCCTGTTTCAGATTTGCGTCGTCTCCTTCGAGCATCGCTGCGCTGCAGTCGTTTTAAGACATCGGCCCCGGCGGTGGACCAGGAGGCATCGAGTACGGGTACGGCGCAGGCTGCTGCAGATACCCTTGGTGGTGCTGCTGCGGCTGCGGCTGCGGCGGCGGCGGCGGCGGCGGCCGTTGCGCAGGCCGCAACATGATGGGAGGAGGAGGAGGAGCCTGCGGCGGGGCCAAGAGACCGGGTACAAGTGTACCCGGACCAGCGTGCAAGCTCGGCTGCGGCATCGTCGCCGAAAGGGGCGTACTGCTTGCCGCGGATGATGGAATACTAGTAGCGGAACCCGGCTGGGACGGAGGTATGTTCAGCCCGGCGGCTGGCTGCGGCTGCGGCTGAAGTAGTGACCGTGGCTGCCGCCCCAGTGGTCCTACTACTACTACTAGTACTAGCAGTAGTAGTTCCGGTGCCTGTACCTGTTGCCCTGCCCGTTGACGCCGTCATCTTGTCCGTTTTTGCGTCGGCGCTCTCGCTCTTCTTCTTGGCCAGCGTCGAGCGCCGCTTCTCGACGGCCCCCTGCATCTCGCCCGAGGCCCACCGTCCTGTTAGTTGTTGTTGTTGTGTTAGTCATCGTCACCGTTTCCCCATACTACTAAGTACGCTCGGTAAAAAGAAAGAAAGAAAGGAAAGAAAAGAAAAGAAAAGAAAAGAGGAGAAAAGCAGCTTACTCCGCATTGACCAGCTCATCTTCTCCGACTTGGTCATCTCGGCGTACGGCTTGTTATCCAAGTCGGCGTTCGCACTCGCCACGGCGGCGCTCTTGGCCTCACTCGACTTGTTGGCACGCGCCTTCCCCGACTTGGTGGTGGTACTGGCAGAAGAGCTGGATGTGCTGTTCGCCGGCGTCGGCGGCCGCGACTGTTGTGCCTGCGCAGAATCCGCCTTGTTGGTAAATCTGATCTTGGTGATGGGCTTCTTCACTGCGGGAGGGGCCGGGGGTGGAGGGGGTGCGCCGGGGGGGAATGCCGGTGCCGCGTTGAATGTGTGCACATACGGGCCAGCGGCCGCTTGGGTGGTCGGGATGTGCTGGGAGCTACTACTGCTGTTTGTGCCGTGTGTCGCAGGGGTACGTACAGAGATGTTGTGGAATTTGGTGGTACCGGGCGCGGGCTGCTGCGACGACGGCTCGCTGAACTGTTCCGGAGCAGCCGACGCACTGCTTTCTCCCGCCTCGCCTTGTTTCTTCCGCGGGCCCCGTTTCTTCGGCTCGGCGCTCTCCTGCTGTTTCGGGGCCGGGACTCGGCGTCGCGCTGGCCGAGGCTCCAGCTCCGGGTCGTTCTCGAGCGCATAGTTGCGCTGGCGCCTCTCCCGGAAGGAATAACTAGACTCCGTCGTGTCGACCGTGCGAGCAGTCCCATCGGACGCTGCGGTCGATGGCCTGGAATCCGGTTGCGAGGCTGCCGTGGACACGTTGCTGTAAAACGACGAGCTCGCGATTTCGCCTTTCCCACCACGCCCACGCTTAGCGCTTCTGACCTCGATTCCAGCCTCGGGAGCAACCAACGCTGGGTGCTCCGAGAGCGGGATAATGCGTCGGTCGCGCTTGCGCGACGCTTGAAACTTGCCATTCACATCCGCTTCATCGTCCTCAGCGTTGATGTCTTCGGCTTCCTCGACGGCAGCCATCTGGTCCTGCTCGTCTGGCAGCATCGTGCCGCGAGAGCGTGCAGCCCGCCCCTTTCGAGGCGTCTCCGAGAAGCTCTCGGTCGCCTGAACCTGCTCCTGTGCCTCGGGGTCGTCTCCGTTCGCGGCGGAGGTGGCGGCCTTGCGCCTCGGACGGCGACCAGGACCAAACGTGGGGAAGCTAGTCGGGGTGCCGGACCGGCTGACATCCTTGCTCTGGTCCGAGACATAGCGCGGCTTCCTGACGCGCTTCCCCTCGACGACATTATCCTCGGCGAGCTCGGCCTTCTCCGTCCTCTTGCGCAGCCGGTTCTCGGGCATTTCCCAGCGCTGCTCTTCCGGGTTCTGTCGGCCGACCTGGGTGGGGTGCGTGTTGAGCTTGAAGCCGTACGCCTGCGCCATGATACGGTCCTCCTCCTTCTGGTGCTCGAGCACGGGGTCGTCGATGTAGGGCTTGGGCGCCCGAGCCCCGCGCACCTCAAAGGCGGGCGGGCCCTTGATGGCGTCGTCGAAATGGCGGCGCCAGTGCAGCGGCTCGTCGGCTTTCTGGCGGTTCTCCCAGTTGACAATTGTCTTGTCGTTCGCCTGCCGTCGCTTCGCATTCTCCTCGTCGTCTAAGTACTTCTTGAGCTCGTTGTACTCCTGTTGGTAGGCGTGCATAGTCTCCACCGCTGCAGCGACGGTCTCGTAGAGCCGGCTGGTGGAGAAGTCTTGCCATCCCTCAAAGGCATCAACGAACTCGTCGGGATCCCGGATCTTCGGAAACAAGTACTGCTTGGGCGGGTTCCTCGTCACTTCCACCGGTTCAATCGGTTCGTTAGTACTAGTAATAGTAGGTTTGATTTGGCCGTCGAGATTGTCTTCCGCATCCTGCTCCTCGTCGGCCGCGTCCTCCTGGTCCATGGCATTCTCAACCGGAGCCGGCGAGGGAGCAGCGGTTGGCGGTCGAGACTCGGGTAACTGCAAATTATGACCAGTCTCTTCGGGCACGGTTGCGGCCGGCGGTATCGGCCCCTGCGCCACAACCATGGAGCCCAATTCGATAGTCGAATCCGGCGTTGTCCCGGTTTCAAGGTTCGCTTCCACGGGGGTGGCGGCAAGGGTTTGGTTGGGATTGCTTCTAGTTGCAACGGTTGTGGAGTAATAACAAAGCCGGGGTTGTGTTGCCGAAGCACCATCACCGTCTTGTGCGTGGACCAACTTGTAGCGGCGGACGCATTGGTTGTAGAAGTCGAGGATATCGATTTCTGGCTCGCCCATCTCCTGCCGCCTCCTTTTTTCGTTTCGCCACAGCGTGAAAACCTCCCCGAACTTCAGCGGACGGCGCCCATCCCATTCAGCCTTGGGTTCCTTAATTGCGCCTAGGGGGGGTGCGGGCGGCGGAGTTGAGATGGATGCCGATCGCTCGTTCACAGGCTCTGCCGGATACACCCACTCGGTGTAAGGACCGGGGAGAGCCACTTCCTCGTCCAGGTATGGTGTAAGTTTCAACTTGGATGCGAATGGAGTGTCCTGGTCGTAGATGGGGCCCAATTGCCTGAGCCTTCTGAGACCCCTCAATCTGGCTGCTAGGGGCGGCGACACGCGCACCTGGCTCTCCGCAGCGGGTTCAGCAGGCTGTAAAGATGCAGACTCGGGTGCTGTCGTAATGGCCTCACTGGGGCCGGGTTGCTCGATCTCGCGGCCAGTGGTGAGTGAGAGGTGTGAAGGCGTGATGTGAGCCTTCTCCTCGGACGGCTCGGTAACAATCAAAGCGTCACCGATTGCCTCACTCTCGGCAGCGACGGAGACCGAGTCTTTGACTACTTCGGTACTCTGGACTAGTGGCGTTGGCGGCTGCGCCTGGGTTTGCGCAGTGCCATCTTCACTCTCTTCACTCTCAGTCGACGACGACGCCGCGGGAGACTCGGGCTCATTGACGGAAGAGCGATCCGACTCGTCCTCGGACGCCGGCTGATCGGAGCTGACATTGGGCAGACTGACGAGGATTGTGTCTTGCACTTCGTTATCGGATGGTGGCTGCTCCACGAATGAGCTGGTGCTGTCTGCCGCGGACTTCTTGGATTGATTGCGGCGCCGAGATGAAGTCGCGCGTGCTGGTGCCGCGGCCAATGCCGGTGACTTGTCGGTCCGATGACGCTTGTTGGGGTTGGAAATGAAATCTTCTGATTCCCCGTCTGAGCCGTCATGCCCGCCTCTCTTCTTGCGGCCCCGGGCGCTTGGCGTCGACGCCGACTTGACCACCAATTCGCTTCTTGCTGCGGGCAGACCGATGTCGTCGTCGATCATCTCCTGCGTGTAGTCGATGCGAGCCCTCTTCCTCAGGGAATGGCCGCCCTTGGAATGCGCCTCGTCATCGACCGCCGCCCCGTCATACTGCGTCTCAAAGGTCCTCGATCTCTTGCGAGACGAGCCGGCAGCAGCCATGATCGAGCCTCCCATCTCGGACGGAGGTTCGGAGTTGAAGGAAGAGAAGTGAAAAGTTTTGCCGCGAGCTGGCCGGTCAGTCCGGGCAGTGACACGCAGCGCCTGGTCAGCCGCAGGAGACGAGGCGCGGTGCGGTGTTATACCGCTCGATGCTTGCCGAGACTTGCCCCCGCGCTGTGGTGCGGTGTGCACCATCCTCTGCGGCGGGAGGTTGTGCACACCGGAAGGCTCGGGGGTGGTCGGGCTGGTGGGTGAGTCTGAAAGTGGCTGTTGAAATGTGTGGTGAGAGTAAGATGGGAGGGTGCCACGCTTCTTTGCGCCGCGCCCGCGACTGATGTTACGTCCGCGATCCATGGGCTACTCTGCCGATATTTCAATCCGCGCACCAGCAGCTCTTGCAGCAGCTCCCTCATCCGTCTGCTGCATGCAGTTGTGTGCCGACGTTAATGGAGATATAATGGGCCGTCCGGTATGAGTGGGCGATCGCTGTGAGGCGAAAAACGGAATTTGCACTAAAGCGTACTTCCAACGTGTCAGGGACTCGGGCCCAAGCTCTGTTGCCCGTATCCAGTTGGTCCGTTCGGTAACGGTTAGTTGCTTGTGACGTTTAAGTTGTGTAAAAGGAGAACTTTGCTGCGTGGCTGATGGGATGAAATACAAGAGAAACCAGAGGAATTGCAGATGGGATAACAGGCCATGCTCGATCTATTGTCTAAACACAACAATAGCAATGGTGGGCGGTGAATAACAGGCTGGTCTCGCTGCGCCGTGCTGCGCTCTCTCGGTGTTAGATTTCTTTCTCACGCCAATTTCTGGAGGTTCCCGAATAATAAGTCATGCCCAATGACACCTCGCAGCCCCTTGCCGGCAACACGGACCACACTCCACATACTGCAGTAAACAGAATAAGGGAAACAGTGAGACACATCCACATGGTACAAACAAGGGGTTGAATCTTGTTAAATCTGTCATGGTTTTTTTACTCTGATCGAGGCACGCACCAGCTGACACCACCTGCCTCTTGACAACAAGATTAACCTCTTCGGACTGTTCCAAGCCAATAATAGGTAGGCTTCCATCTTGCAGGCGTTCGTCGCACCCGGAGAGGCGGCCTGGCTGGCGGCTACCAACTGCCCATTACCAAAGGATTACTGGTAGTGAACAACCAACACGTTATCTTGACTTGGGTGGCACCCGACGTATTCCGTACACAAACCAATCCCACACTACCTTCGTTGTCTCCTCACATCCAGCGAAAAATGGCCAACAAACGATCAAAAGCCGCGCCGGCCGACGACGAATTCGGCGAGCTCTTTGAGGGGCTCGGCGACGATAAGGCGATTAAGAAGACAACAACCAAGGCCAAGCCGACCGCCGCCAAAACGAAGCCCGATGCGACTGCCGAGCAAGACATCCTCGCCGAGCTCGAGAGCGAACTGGTCGAAAAGGCGCCGTCGCGACCTCACACGCCCCGCGTCCGCGAGGCCGCTCCCAAGCCGTCTGCCGCAAAGCGGGCATCGACCGAGACGCCCCCGCCCCGCGCCGACACCAGCCGCAAATCGGTCGAGAGCACTCGGTCGCATCAGGCCAGCGCCACCCCAAGCGCGACGAGCTCCGAGTCCTATGAGGCTCCCAAGAAGGCCCAGGGCGCACAAGCAGCAGCAGGCGGCGGCGGCGGCGGCGGCGGCAGCTGGTGGGGAGGGCTGTTGTCCACCGCCACGGCCGCCATGAAGCAGGCCGAAGCAGCCGTCAAGGAGATCCAGCAGAACGAGGAGGCCAAGAAGTGGGCGGACCAGGTGCGCGGCAACGTGGGAGCGCTGCGAGGTCTTGGTTCGTAACCTATAGTTCCTTACTACCTACTTAGTACTTCCCCCTACATACCGTACCTACCTGCAGATCACTAGTAGAACCACCGGAAAGGGCAAGGGCTAACGAGCAACCCCCGGGCTTCCTTCCCCATCTCTCCAGGCGACGAACTCCGCCATCGCGCCCTCCCAACCTTCACCAACATCCTGCACACGCTCGCGCCGCCCATCTCGTCGCACGAGCGGCTCCTCATCCACATCTCCCACGACCTGGTCGGCTACCCGTCGCTCGACCCGCTCATCTACTCCGTCTTCAGCCGGGTCATGGCGCAGGTCGAGGGCGGCGACCTGATGGTGGTGCAGCGCGGACATGAACAAACACAAACACAGCAGAAGCGCACCGGCACCGCCTCGGGATGGCGCGACGGGCCGTGGTGGCGCCAGGCCGACGACGTGCCGCGCGACCTGGGCACGGTGCACGGCCTGGTGGAGGGCACCAAGCTATGCCGGGCCAACGCCGAGGGGTATGCGGCCGACTTCTTTGCCGCGCACGGCGGCGTCGAGGCGGCCAAGCGGCGCGCGCACGAGATCGTCAGCGAGGCGAACCCCGTGCGCAGCTCTGATCTGTTCTTGTCGGTGCAGGCTATCAATGTACCCGCGGAGAAGGAGAAGGATAGGGTGCTGTTTGCCGGGTCGACGGCTGAGGAGAAGGAGAAGGCGGCTGGGAAGGAGGACGACGACGACGACGACGACGACGACGAGGATGAGGTGTGCTTTGCCGTGTTTATCCTGGATCCCGTGCATGAGATCCAGTACGCGACGGTCAGCCAGCGGGTGCCGGCTCGGTGGATCCGCTGGCTCGACACCCCGGCCACGCCACTGACGCCGGCCAGCGGGGACGAGGAGTTCCAGGCCGAGTTCGGCCGGGTGCCCGAGGAGATCCGCGAGATCATCGAGAGCGGCGGCGTCGATCCCCGCGAGTGGGTTGCCGAGTGGGTGGAGGAGGCGTTGGGTCTGGCGGTAGGCGTGGTTGCACAGCGATATGTGGCGCGTCGGATGGGCGTGGGCGAAGGTGGCATCGGTAAGGCGAAGCAGAAGGTGGAGAGTGTGCTGGAGAGCGGCGGCAATGAGGCTGCGAGGGCTGGTTTGATCTGAACGCAGTGTCACGTGTGGTTCGAAATGGGTATTTGCGTCACGAGAGGAAGGGGAATTACTCGGCATGTAATGGATACCTCGACGACTTTTCTTAGAGTGGCGTTGTGGCGGGTGAATCAGGTGCTTTGTTTGCCTACCATAAAGTATCGTTATGTCCAAGTGGCGATTCAACGTGATGAGCTTGCTTCACAAAGGTATGCTTTCTGTATATTAGTCTCTGCCGCCAACGTGGGAGCTGTCGGAGATTAGCTCGATAGTACCTATGCCCTTCGTATTACCGCTCAGGTCGCGTTGTTCATGCCTCGATTCGAATCATATCTATTTGATGTTTGGACAGCTAATACTTGGAGCATGGCTTTCGCTCTCTACGGTTCTTACCTTGGGACAATATCACATTATCCCACCCGTAGACCCCCGGCTTTGACACTCTCCTTTGCTTGAATCCACATAAAAGTGCATCATATACTAACGTCAGGGATCAAATGTATGGATATGCGTCTGGTCGTGGCAGAGGCAGTGGACTCAGGTTACGGTGCGCGGGAGGAACAGGACACACACACACCATCCAAGCTTGTATTTACAGAACAAAAAAAAAAAAAAAATATAATACGGACGACTCGTTTTACTGACGAGTACATTACACCCAGATGTTCGGAACGTGGGATGGATTGAAGTGGGCCGAATGGCAATGTACTGTCATGTCGATGCGTGACGGGGAAGGCCAGGTTCGACCGCCACATAATGGCGGAAAGCGGCGTGCTGAGAATGAGGCTTCAATAGGTGCCCTGTGTCTTGTTAATCACATCCACCTGCATTAATCGCCTAGGGAAATACCTTCTACTCTATACGGTTGGCTTACGTTAAAGTGATAGGCGATATCGTATTATAAGTGGAAGATGACGTATTGGATCTAGCGATGTGGATTGCCCGGGTGCTAGTACATGTCATCAGGCTTTCAATAATGTCCCTACTAGACATGCGTGGCAAATACACAGGTACGGTACCCCGAGGAATCCACAAAGGTAGGTAGGTAGGTAAGGGAGCGTCTGCGATGCTAAAGGTTAAGGCAATCAGCGAGAACCAACGATACGACTATCATATATACGTGTGAAGTCACAGGAAACTGTATTGATTGATAGAGTTGGAAAGTGCAGTTGTGTTACCAAGGCCAGCATCATACCAGTCCCGCGGGTTTAAACATGGCAGTCCGAGAAGTACGTCTCCTGATATGTGGTCATCGAAGAAACACCAAGTGCTATCAGATGCCCAGGTGCTAGTGGCTCAGTACTCATCTGGCTGTTTCCCTTGAACCCAACTGTGTAAGGAAAATAAAGGAATCAAATGGGAAGGATGCTCGAGGCCCGTATTGGCAAATAATGGAAGGCATTGATACAAAGGAGAACCCGGTATCAATGGTACAAGTTTCACCCTCGGCATACGTGACACGTCGCAAGTCCCCCAATGCCTCCTGGTTTGTACAATACAATACAAGGATTCTCAGTTCTCAGTCGCATAGTTGAATGCGAGGGCCGTGTGGCAGGCGACATTCGCAGCGGCTACGATGCTGCTTGCACCTGGGTCAACTAGTTTTGAATGCTGTTCTTGCTCCGTTTCCCTAATAACGGGGGGGTTAGAGAGGTTTGAGCTGGTACTGGTAGTCGGAACGGCCCACCCACATTATCAGCAACTGAGAACCCAGAACAAAGAACCTCGAGCAAGCGGCTACCAAGTTTTCAAACAGCGAGAGCGCGCCCCTATCCAGGCCGCCGGACCCTGGCGCCAACGTATCCGCTATAGATCCCAGAGCGTTCGAGGAGTCGGCCAAAGTCCAGGTGAGATTGTTTCCGAGTTCCGGGTGCACCACCGGAGCATCCGCGATGCAGCGGCCCAGTTGTTCTGCGTGGTGCCGAAACAGCTCTAGCCGCGCGGACATGACGGATAGCTGCTTCCGGAGTGCGTCGTCGCCGACGTCTCCCGAGGAAAGTACCGTCTCAATCTTGGCGGCGGCGGACTGTGCCGTCTTGGAGAGCGCTGAGCACGATGCTGAGGCGCTGGCGCGGGAGAAGGTGCCCATAGTGTGTGACAAATTTAACAGCACCGGAAACGATGGATATTTCAGAAACTGGCGAGACAATGGTACCGTATAATAGAACCGAGAATGAAATGCGAGTGCCTTAACAGGTCGAAGGTCTGATGTGCGGGGTTCCCTTGTTTCAAAAGTTCGATGCTCAGGGTTGGCAATGAGGTTCAAATACAATGACTTCAGGGTTAGAGCTGGGAATAGTACTACTAGTACCAGTTACGTTAAGGAGTTGGGATTCGGTCAAGAGTGACCCTCATCGTGGCAACACCCTAAACCTGCATCCCTTTTGCTCCGGGTCTTTTTGTACCAATAAGTTTCCATCAGGTTCCTCCGCTAAGCTACCGACAAGTGGGAGTAACTAAAATATTGGCAGCCTCTATAGCATTTACATGTCCTGCCCGAAGGCCCCCACCCCCGCGGGCTCATAGACGCATCTGTTGGCGACGCGAAGTATTGAACTTCCACTGGGTTCGGTGTCCAGAGCAGCAAACCAATGCTATCAACTGGCCAAAAGCTCTACCACGATCTATTCTAACTCGTGACGATTCTACCTATAGAGGCGAGGTCTCACTCTCAGTCTCGGCCCTATTGCTGTTTCGATGTTCTTTTAGCTCATTGTCCTTGCTTGTTCTCGAGCCTCCCTCCTCAAAGATCCGCACAAACAGAGCCAAGCTCTAAAGCTGCTTGGACGCACCAGATCTCACCAGACCTAGATCAGGAGGAAATGGATCAAGCTACTGTACTAATAGTTCAATGCCTGCGGCCCGCTATCATTTGTAAACACCTGTTCCTCTGGACTGAGCCCTGAGAGACTTTTCTTGCATCGTGCCTTGCTAATAGACAGACCATCGTCCTCCATTGCGCGGCGGCCCGCAAGGTACGGCCCGGACGAGTGTACCTAGGAAAGAGAGGTTCGCCTTTTGTTATCCGTACTGATGATGCGCAAGGGCAGGATATTGAATTGCCCTGGACAGCCAACCAACCGAATCCTGACGCCGTCTTTCCTGTCCGCATATGGACCATCATCTTGTTGAAAGTTACTAGACCAGCCTGACAACCATTCAAATGTTTCTACAGCAGGGGCTCTCATACGCATCGCAAGAATCCAACAGGTTCGGGGAGCCCGTAAGTCATGCTGGTAAGACCTTCCAACGGAATTTGCTAGAGCCGTTCGCTCCTAGACTAGCAGAACCACCTTCCTCATGCTTTTTTTCGTTTCCCACACATCTCTCCCTCCAGGCGGCTGGGAGGTCCGTCCGTGTTACGGACTCGGCCAACACATGTCACGTTTGGAGCCGCACATGCCGAGACATTATCGGTGGCGATCGTTGACTTGTCCAGTCCTTCACAAGGAGGTAAACGCAGAGAAAGGCGACTGAAGATAGATAGTATATGCTTCGTGTTTGAGCTATACGCTACATATGCTACATACGACCGGCAGACGTAAGTACAAGGGCGTTGCTCGCTTGAGTCGCCCCTGTTGTGTCGCCATACCGAAAGGGACCGGAAAGCATGGCTGCCAATCCCGGTATTCGCCACCCCGTCAGATCACCCAAGGTCTCCCGGGCCCCAGATCCCTTGGTGTGAACTTTCCGGCGTGGCTAGTCCTAGCACTTATCCAAACGAGATGGAAACGCTGGCGCAGCTCAGCCGCTCCACAACCTTCTCCTCGACCTGTTCCGTCGCCTCCCTCATGGCGTCCCGGACGTGGTCCTCGAGGTTCTGCTGCGCTGTATATACCTCGTCCTCGATGCGAACCGAGATGATATCGTCGAGCTCTTGCCGCACATCATCAAGGCCCCGTTCCAGGTCTTGCCGCACGTCGTCAAGGCCCTGTTCGAGCTCTCGCCGCACGTCGTCAAGGCCCTGTTCCAGGTCGTGGCGCAGGTCTTCGGCCTCCTTGCTCGTGCGCAGGTGGGCCTCATGCGTGCCCGTTTCTAGCGGGTCGGCACACGAATGCACCGTCGGATTCAGTTCGGCCAAACGCCGCTCTATCGGCGCCAAGCGCGCATGTATTTGGCTGAAGCCCTGGTCTATACGCTGCAGGATTTTGCTGCACATGGCTTCCATCTGGGCCGCGCTGACACACTTGTGAGAGCAGCGCTCCGAATTGGAACCGGAGCTTACCCGTCGTCGTTTGGTTCCACATTCTGCAAAAATCATCGTTAGACTCACCGTCGCGGAGAGATAAAAGAATCCAAAGGTGAGTGCTCACTTTGTGATCCAGGTGCGGCATGACCAGGGCTGGCACTTGGGCCGGCTTCTTCGTACGACGGAGGAGGTTCCTCGTCTGCGTCAGATGGCGGTGGCAGAGCCGGTTCATTCGGTGGTAACGACCCGTCGCTTCCACTTGGTCGACGCTCGTGTTGGATGACGTGGCCGCCCTTGCCGCCATACAGGCTCGTCACCTCATACAGTCTATCTATGGATCGTAGACGGCCGGACGAAGCTACCTGGCACAACGCCTCCAGCCCAGCCTGGGATGCTTCAGCTGCCGGCAGGTAGACTGTGAAGACGACCTCCTTCGCCAGGCTCTGGAGCGAGTTGAGAATCTCCCCGGTCGTCCTTTGCCTTGGCGTACAGTCGCCCTTGGGCACAACGAGTGCTGGTGGCCTCTGCAGTGAAAACTGGAGTCCGACGACGCTGGTGCCCAACCTTGTTGCTGCGAGCAAGCCGATCTCGTCGTCACTGCTGGCGATCACAAGTGACCGAACTGTTTCCCAGTGAATCGAGAGGAAGACGGAAACCTTGTCCTTTCTCCCCTTGAGGGCTATGTTGGTGGCACGTATTTGGCAGAAGGCGTCGTTGGATAGTACATCGTGATGAAGTCGCAAACAGATCCGCTCGTGACCTGAACTCCAGAGACTGGCCAGAGACTTAGGATTGCCCTCGCTGGGCCATGTCACCATGACGGGCGCGCCGGAAATCTGCATACTCCCACTGTCGACGTTCTTACCCTTACTATTCGTACTGTTCTCATCGTCGGTAGCGTCTTCCGATAGCCGGGCGTTTTGAGGTTGATATGATGGGGGTTGGTCGACCGAGCCGCCAGACATCGGATGAAACAAAGCCATTCAGACAGGCTCACGGTCAATCTACGGGATCGACATGTTAGCAAGCGACGATTCGAGTGCGACTCCGAAGCACAATAAACGGATGGAGGATCACGAGTTTTGCCCCCACATCGACGGCGCACTATCTCGAACCCTCGAAACGGCGCGCCGCACGATGGGGATTCCCGCCCACCCAGGCTTTTGCGGTCCGTCAAGCGGGTCCGCACAGAGCAGCCTTGACTCGGACGGAGCGACAGACGTAGGTGGCCGAGACCGGCCGAGGCGACCGAGGCAGACAGCGGAGGAGGCGGAGGAAGAGTTCCCGTCGCCAGAGCCAAACCACGACGCCCCGGCGCACAACGGGTACCCGCTAGCAGGCGACCTCTCGCTGCGGTTAGGCAGCGAGAGGCCCCTTATCAAGACCCCGGTTCTTCCAACGAGCGCGCTCGTTGGGTAGAAGTCGGCATTTCCTGGTCTCGACTGCGAGAAACTCGATGTGCGCCGGAGAGACTTTGTGGGTTCAGCCGGCGACGCGGACATCCATGTCTCCAGCGCACGCAGCGGAAGAGGACATAGACGCCTTTGAACTAACCATGGGATGAGGAGCTGGCCGCGTCGCTGTCGCCGTGCGGTGAGGTCAAAAATTGGTTGGGCAGCGGTGGTTTGCGACAGCATTTGATTGCGGCGATGGCGATGATTGATGGCGGATGGTCGTGATGATACCGAATTGTTGATGGTGGCTGCCGGTGACGAAGATGGAGATGAAGTGGCTTGTTGCAAACCGATTCGGATGCAAAGCAGGAAATGAGTGGCTGGCTGCAAATGGACCACGTGATCTGGGGAGCTACCTGCCCCACTTTTACGAATGTGGACCCAACGCGAGCCACGCGGTACGCGCTCAAGCACCAGCAGGACCACCACCACCACTTTCTGTTCCCGATCGCTTCTGGCAGAGACGATCCCGGGAGCCCTCCTTGGGCTTAATATGGCCGCCGGAATGTTCTCGATTTATGAGCTGACTTCAGTGGCCAGCGCTGCGACCTACACAAGTTTTGACTGGTGTGGTAAACAGAACCATCTGAGAGTGCATCAAGACCCAACAAGTGCAGTACCGAGTCTGTGGCACACCGCCAAGACCTTCAACATGGCATTTCCAAACAGCACCTCGTCCTAGGCTCCTAGCCGACCTGACCCATACATTCAACGAACAGTCAATGAACAGCTTGGCGGACCCCTCTCCTCGACCAGGCGATGCGACAAGACCTTCGGTGGCCTCGGCTGGCGGACAAGGCTGCTACTCTCACAGGTGACAAACCACTCAATGCTCAGCAGCTCAGGCCGCAGCCAATCCTACGCAAAAATGTAAATGCGACGACTAATTACCGTAGAACATCAGCGAGTGCAACATGGTTGTGGTCTATAACTGTGATGACCGCGCTGGTATGAAAAGGTCATAATGGGCTCGTGGCGGACTTGTCGTCGAGGCCGTAGAAAGCCACCCGATCGATCAGAATTAGCTTTATTACGGGTGCAATACAGTTAACTGATGGTAGGACGAGGATATGCGTAGTAAGTAGCGGACCTCAACTCTAGGCTGTCCATTCCTGTTCGGACCATGACGAATCAATCAAGCTTTCTTCAAACAACGCTACAACGTGGCGTAATACCGGTAGTTGATCTCCATCTTCTAACCTTGGCTGGACTCACTGCTGCATCACGGCCACGTGGGTGCTGCCTGTTCGGGTCGGCAATTTAATTGACTATCATGTGAACCTGGGCATATTACGAATATCACGAACCCCTATGGAAGGAGGTGGGAGCACGATAAGCGCCCATGCCCGCTACTACCCATTCAGCCTTCAGCCTAAGAGGCGATGACGGGAGCGTGTCGGCAGGACCAAATCAGAAAGCTCGGCCTTGAACAATCCGCCCTAGGACCTCCGGCAGATTGATACGTCTTGCAACGCTCTATTTTACCCGGAATGTTGTGTATTGTTCTAGAAACATGAAGATCATAACCCTCTCCGGGTCCCTTCCCGTCCCGATTTGGAATCCGGAGTTAGGGCGACGGAGGGACTTTCCTCTCCGCCATGGCGACCGTAGTAATATAGTCATACTATCACCCCCTACGATTTAGACTTTCAAGAAGCATATTGACACCAAGGATCCTCCTGTGCTCCTAACCATGCACGCCCTTTCCCGGATCATCTCCGTCCTCCTGCTGCTCCTCAGCAGCAGCGAGGGCGGCCTTGCCTCCCCAGCGCTCAACAATCACAACCTGGATCTCGAAACGCGCCAGAGCGCCCCAGCCATAAGCAGATACTGCAACCCCGCGACATCGATCTGCTACCTCCAGTACACGTGGACCCCGACCGTGCCCGTCTTCCGCGTCGCCATCCCGGACACGGCCTCGACCAGCACCCCATTCGACACCCTCTTACAGATCACGGCACCCAGCTCGCTCGGGTGGGTGGGCTTCTCCTGGGGCGGCCGTATGACGCTCAACCCGTTGACGGTGGTGTGGCCGAACGGGAACAGCGCGACCGTGTCGAGCCGGTGGGCAAAGTATGTCTCCTCCCTCCTTCCCTCCCTCGGACCCTCACACCCCTTTCCGAAATTCTAAACTTCCCTCATATCCTTGCTTTGAAAAACCGACCATCAAAAACTAAACTCGCGTACGTTTTTCAAAAAAGCACCCGCACCCAGCCCTCTCTCTACCCGCAAGCGACCTACCGCACGCTCTCGGCCTCGCGCAACGCCACGCACTGGACGGTCGAGGCGGTCTGCTCGGGCTGCAGCGCGTGGAGCGGCGGCAGCGGCGGGCTGAACCCGTCCGGGGCGCGGACCTTCGCGTGGGCGGTCAGCAAGACGGCTGTGCCGCAGCCTGCGAACACCGCCAGCTCGTTTAGCGTGCACGACAGCGCCAACACGTTCCAGGGGGACCTGAGCTTGGCTAAGGTGCCCAAGGCGGCGTTTGATGCGTATGTCAGGGGAGGGAGGTGAAGGGCAGGGGAGGGGTTGATGGTGTAGGTTGGAGGGGAATGAAAGGAAGGGGAGCGGGATGAGTAGTAGTGGTAGTAGCAGCGCAAGGTAGTGGAAGAACTAGGGGAAAAGGGAAAAAAAATAAACATAAGAATTCCATATGCAGAAGCAGCCAACGCCAATCCTATCTATGCCCCACGAAGATATTACCGGAACGTATACTATATACAAAGTTAACAACAATTTAACATATGCTATAAATCGCTCCAGTCTACGTAAATGCAACAGTCAAAGAAAAGAAGCTCAAGCGAACGCGCCAACAGCAGCCATCAACGCCGCGCCACCAATCACAGCAAGGAAGGCATTCACCCTCCGGCGGCCCTTCAGCGTCTTGTAGCTCTTCTCCGTCAAGAAATCCTCCGCCAGCAGCTGCACCAGCCCGGCAAACAACAACAGCCCGCTCGAGATGGCGTTCATGACCCCGACCATGAGCAAGCCCGTCTGGCTCATGGGGTCATAGAAGCGGTGCACAAACAGGCCGATCGCCTGGCCGATCGGGGTGGTGGCGCCGAAGGCGAGCACCATCAGCCAAGGGCGCGGGGACGAGCGCGGGAAGTGCAGGGCCGCGATGCGCGTGCCGAGGGCTAGGCCTTCGAAGGACTCTGCGGGACAGTGTTTAGCGGCGTGGGTTGTTATCAGTGTATTACGAGATGGAGGGAAAAAGGAAACAAAAAGAAAATGAGGAAACAAAAGGAAAAGAGAAAAGGGGGCAAAAAAAAACGTACGGTGGAAAGAGATGGCGATGAGGAAGACGGCAAAGGTCGGCCCCGTCGCCACGGACAGCGCCATGCCGATGAAGACGCTGTGGAACAGGATGCCGGCCTCGAGGAGCACGCACTGCAGCATCATGCGCTGCTGCTCCTCGGCGCTGCTGGGGACGTGCCCGGCCGGTTCGTGCTCGCGCCGTGGTGGTGGGATGGCGTCGTCTGCGTTTGGGCGGAGCTCCTCGAAGCTCAGTTCGAGGTCCAGCGATTCTCTCTCGTCCGTTGCTTGCGAGTTGCGGCCATCTTCGCCGCTTTTGTTGAGCAGGGTTCCTCTGGCCGGCGGCATCGTCGGTGTCGAGCCAGGCAGCGGTGAGGCTCCCGAGACCAAACCCTCTGTCGCCTCGAGGTCGTCCAGCGTGATGTTGGCCGGTCGGTCCCGCCGCGCATGACGGGTTGTGGGAGAGCTTCCAGTGTGTGCATTCCCCAGTGCCGGACCGTCGCTATCCCCGCTGCTATCCTCGTCCTCCCAGACATGATGCGAATGCGAATGGTGCGCGCCGCGGGTTGTTAGGTACGATTCCAGCGCCACCACCACAAACGCCGACACCATGGCAATCAGCCCGGCGAGCGGCCTGTATCCCTTGCTGAAGAATCGCGGAAGGCACGGGTCGGTCAGCGAGACGAAGGCGGTCGGGAGGAGGTGGACGAAGGCCGTCGACATCAAAACACCTGTTCCAAAATGCTGGCAGAGGAAGATGATGTTGCGCTGGCGTCGGCTGCCTTTTGTCAAGCGTTGCGAGAACAGCGGGAAGCCGCATGCCAGCGTGCTCAGGGTGAGGATCAGGAACAGGGCGAAAACGTGGATACCCGTGTTATAATGCGACCCGTTCTTGCCGGAGCCGCATGCCGGTCGATCCTGGGCGTCATCGCGTCGGGAGAGCTCCGCGAGGAGCAGGTCGGTCGGTATCGAGGACCATTGGGGATCTGTTGGGTATAGGTGCGCAGGTGTCAGCGGTTTGAGCAAGGCCCTCCATCCCAAAGCACTGCATGGAACCGACCGTTTACCCGCGGACCGAGCCTTTCCATTCTCGAGCGAATCTAAATACACTGCTGCATCGCGGCGTCGATCAAGTACTTGCGGCGAAGAGGCTCTATAAGCGCATGCGTGGTAGCGACAAGCGGAAATGCATATGTGGTATTTAGTGAGTGTCGGGGGTACCGTACCTTGCGAAACCCGACAGCTTACGCCGAGACCCCAGTTGCAATGGGCCGCGCCTAATTTTAGCTCCTCCTCAGTGACGTCGTGTCCCGAACCATCGGAATCTCGCTTCGCGCTGCCCAGCAGTCCGGTCATTTCGAACAAAAGGTGGGGCTCCGCAGAAGAGCATACGGTACCCATTCACCGTACACTAGATCGTTCGAAGTGTACCTTATGTAGGAAGCCTACAGCGAGCGGCATGTTCGCATTACAACTGTCTTCGAGAACCCTCCTGGCGCAGCTTCCACGCGTGGCTCCACTGGCGCGTGTGCCGCTTTTGCGCCGCCAGTTCTCGGCGAAGACCTTCTGCTCGGTGTTTCGAGTCTTTCAAGACTCTGCACCACGACAGTCCGCGTCGAGGGTCCAGCTTGTTTGCCGGATTCCGTCCCAATGACCCGGACACGCAGGAATCTTTCCGGCTGCACTATGGCCAGTATTATGTCGAGGCATAGGAACAAGGGAGATGTCGAGAAGCCGCACATCTACACAGTTGCAAGAGCTAAAGCGCAACTTCTCCCGATCGACGGTCAAAGTGTACCCCCAGGATAATAGGGACCCAGGTGCCGAGGCACCTCACGAACTACATTGTTGCGTCCTTCAAGGTCCATTTCCCCTCACACCAACCAACTCAAATTCCTTCCCTATTGCCCCTTGGGAACAGCCGTCGCCCAGGGGAAGGCGGTCGTGACCGGCGACCCGTACGAGCCCAGGTTGTTATAGTCCTTGTTCGTTGGCGTGCCGAAGAAGATCTTTTGCACGTAGGGCAGAATGGCGGTGCTGTACACAACCATACAGCCAATCCCACCATCGGTCAGTCTTGCTCGGGAGAACGCTTGATTTTTGCAGTTTTTGCACTCACTATCCACTCATGTCGCAGTGCCCGCCGCTGCGCACGCTCATGGCAATCTTGTCGCCCACGCCGAGCCAGTCGTACAAGGCCTTGGCGGCCGAGTAGACGACCACGGCGGTGGCCTTACTATTAGTAAACGGGTCGCCGGTGCCCTGGTCGATGACGAGGGCGCGGGGCGCCAGCGCGGCGGCGATGGTGTGGGCGTCGTAGGGCAGGTGCTCGGCGTGGTTGACGAACGTGCCCAGCTTGCTATTAGTCCACCAGCCGGCCCCCTGTTTGCTGTTTTCCAGGTTCTCGCCCTGCCCGCTCATGGTGTAGTACCGGTATGGCCCCAGGCCCTGCACGCCCGACGACATGGGCATGGTCAGCGTGATGCGCGCGTCGAACAGGCCCGCCGCGAGCGCCGCCTTGCCAAGCCGCGAGCAGCCCGTCACGCCGACCCGCGTCGGGTCGATCTCGGGGACTGTCATGTTGATCGCGTCCAGCACTCGGTGGAAGCCCCATGCCCAGGCCGTCAGGACGCCTGATTACCAGGAGTCCAAGTCAATGAGCTCTTCCTTCGGGACAGGAAATGAGCAATATGGTAGGCAGACTCACCAATATCCCGCCCATTATACAAACTCCAAAACGCCCCCGTCTTCGCATTGCTATCGGGCGCCACAGACGTGTAATCAAACTGAACAACCGCAATCCCCCCACTCAGATACGGCTGATTCTGCATCCCCCCAATATTAATCACCACGGGCGCGGGCTTGCTGGCGGACGCGCCCGACGGCAACGACACGCTCGCGCGAAAGGTGCCCCTTTTGCCGTTGGCGGTGACGGCAATGTTGAGGGTGTTCCCACTGCGCGTGGCCTCGACGGTCTCGGCTGCACGGTCCGGGTAGTAGCCGTACTGGTACTCCTGCAGCATGCGCACGATCTCGGGCTGCCGGCACGCGTACCACTCTTCGCGCGTCTGGATGCGTCCCGGGGCTTTGCCGGTCATGACGTTTTGTGCGTCGTTGGGGTTGGTGTAGGCCAGGGGTAGGAAGGGGTCCGGGAGTGTGGATTGCTGGGGCAGTTGCTCCCAGGTTGGGAAGGGCGAGGGGATTGGGGCGCATGGGAGGGCGGTGCTGTTGCCGGCCTGGCGGGTATCGAGGGGCGAGGCAGCAGTGCGGCTGCCTATAGCAGTCGCGATCAATGCGTACGAGGCCGTCCGCATATTGGAGGGCTGTTGTTGGCGAACGTACCTGTCACTACGGACCGGTACTAGTTCTACTGACCTACAGCGGCGGGGATGGTTTGGGATATATCACCGTCGACAACATTATGGGGAAGGTTACAATCCGTCAGAATATCTTCCGAGCTTCGTACATCCTGTCACCCGGAGCCGTCTGGGCATCGAAGTCAAATGTCGGGACGTTGTGGGGTTGTGGGATTCAACCATGGCACAAATCCGATTACCCATATTGGACCGGAGCTTAGACTGCCGAATCCATTACCACGACAACGTGCCTTCGACCGGTGCTTACCGGAGTGGGTAGATCCAAGAGATGGGAAATCTGATGCTCATAGGGATATTGTTTTCTGGTTGGAGCCGGGGACCGCGGTGCAAAACCGGGTGTACAGTCACGTACTAAGTGGCTGTGTGCCCTGGCCGTCTATCAGGCTGATCCTATGGCCAACCCACGGTGCATCACGCCGATGACAGTGCCCTCACAATTGTTGGTAGACCCAACGTCCAAGGATGAAGCGAAAGCGAGCCACAAAGCGAGTGAGTTTCACCACCATCGGGGCGGAATTTCAGATGATTGCAACCCCCTTCATCTTATTTTCTCACTACAATCATGAGAATGCACTTCACGAGTGTTCCGTTGCCAAGCCACCCCAAGACATGCTTTCCGACTTGCTCCCACGCCATCCAACTCATCCTGTCTCATCGCAGAATCCTTATCCAACCACTTGTCACAACTCACAACAACGCCAGAAAGCTGATATAGGCTTGCTTAGCCAGTGTAAGTGCAAGTGAGATCAGAACCGCTGGTGCCGCAGCTGGTAAGGACCCTGCCGCTCTGGCGGATGTCGATGATGGTGCCGCCCTGCGGGGTGACGCGGCCGCCGGAGGCGGTGGTGGCGTAGGCGTTGGTGAAGGTGACGGACCCGAAGTCGGCAAAGGGGATCAGGCTGTTACCGACCTGGAAGTCCTCGACGATCCACTCGGCGTTGGTCTCGCACAGGGTGGAGGGCGTGTTGCGGAAGGTGTGCGACACCTTCCGGCCGGTGCTCAGGTTCTCGAGCGTGGCCACGCCGGTCGTCTTGGACGTGGCCTGCACCGTCATGCGCACCTGGTCGCCGGCGCTCATGCCGAAGCCGGAGAAGGAGTACGAGTAGTCCGGAATCCACTCGTACCAGGCGTCGTACGTGCCGTCGCCGTAGAAAGACACGCCCGTCTGCAGGATCGCCGTCTGGCACGTGTCGCCGTCGATGCCGACCCACGCCGACGCCGCCGAGTTGCCGTTGCCGTTGTACACCGACGGCACCGTGATCGTCCCCGTCACCGTGGTGAAGCCCGATCCGATCTGCACCGCGCCGGCCCAGTTGGACGAGTACTCCACGAATGCCGTGTCGTTCTTCCTGGGCGCCGAGTGGTGCAGCGGCCGCGCTCCGCCGCGCCGGGTCAAGGGCTTGGGAGTCTGCGGGAGCGCACTGGCGAGGCCGGCGACGGCGGCGACGAGGAATGTGTACTTCATGGTGACAGAAGGTAAAGGTAAAGCGGGCGGTGTTTGGGACTAAAGGGTAGTCGGGCGAGCGGGAGCCTGGGGAAGGGAGAAGGATCTTGGGGATCTTTGGTCCCTTGGGCCTCTTCTTATATGTCGAGAGGTTAAAAGGCGAGGCCACTACATACCGTCGCGAGTCTGTCGTGGCCGCCTTCGTGAAGAACGAGCGGAGGGGGCCGATGGCAGGGTGACATCTACCCTCGGGCTGGCGATAGCATCGACGATTACACCCTACAATGGACGCAGATAGGCCATACACACCACCCATTGGTGGGTTTCCGACTGCTCCCGGTACCGTACCGCTACCCTCGGTATCCCACGCGGGAAGCCCACATGGGAGAAAGTCTACTATCGGAGCCCACGCCACGGAGAACGGGAGCTTATACGGAAGGTCGGCGAGATATGAAGCTGCTTCGGCGTTCGGCAATAACCCAATGAAGAAGGAAGATGCATTGTATCATGTCCCCGTGCCCGACGGCCGCCCGCCTCGGCCCGCGAGGGGCGGGGCGCCACCCAATAGTGCCGGGTTCCGGCGCTTGGTGTAGTGCTGCAATAGTAACGAAACACTTATTACTAGTAGAGAGTGAAGGGAGGGGCACACACCCAGCCCGCGGGTGGCAGCGGATCGTTTCCCCCCTTGGCAAGTGCAAGCAGACGAGAGTTCCCGCGTCCAAGCACCAGGCGATGTAACCCCTCGGCAAGGCTTGATTCGCTTAAGCCTCCGCCATTCGAGTGCCATACTACCTTCCTTTTCCTTGGCGAACCAGACTTCTGCAAGTGCCGAAGCTGTCTAGTCTCCGTTATCTCCATGTTTGTGGTGATCTTGTCGTGGTAACGTTAAGGTCGAAAGCGGAGTCGACTGCATGACACTTTACAAACCGTATAGCTAGGTGCTACTATGGACAAGAAAGTCTATCTCGGTAGGTAAAGGGATTGAGTGCGAGTTGGCGAGTCCCGACTCCCGACTATTGGGATGTAACAAAGCACCTGTTCAGGGCTCACAGGAGACCTGACCAGTACTATTAATTTGCAGCGGCAGACCTACAGAGCCAGGACAGGGAAGTCGCCAGGCTCGGTGGAACTGCCACTACAATGATGCTTTCAGAAGCTCCAGTAACCTGCATGTCATTATCAGATTACTCAGCTCTTCACCTTAGTTTGTCGACTTCAATAGTGTTGGTGCTGATATCGTGCGAACGGCCTCTCAGCAGCTAGCCTTTTGTACGCGGCTCTTCGACGTCAGTGCCCCAAGACGGCAAGGTGGCCGAGCGGTCCAAGGCGCCACGTTAAGGTATTCAAACCCTTAATTAATCCAGAAATCCGTGGTCTCGAAAGGGGCGTGAGTTCGAATCTCACCCTTGTCATCCAACTTTTGCTGCTCCACCACAATTGTGGATGCAATGGCTGTCCTCTTTTGTTATGGCTCTGTGATGTGATGTGTCTTTGTGCCGTGTGGCCTAACAATCGAGCGACCACATGGGCAAAAGAAAGCCATAGAAATGTTCTGGTTATTTAGCTCCTGAATCAGTACATGAGCTTGGTCATTGTTGCGGCTCGGTGCTGTGGCGCGCATGGATCTGAGCAAACAAACCTTATTTTGACGTCCACCCCTTGTTTGTATGATTTGTACCACTGTGGCTTGAGGCTTCCAGTCATAAAATTCCGGCCCTCGAGAAGATTGGACAGTAAAACTTACCTTAACCTCTAACACTGCGGCCAGAGAGATATCTGATACTTGAGTAGGCACGCACTAGGTAGTAGTACTATGAAAATATGGTCCGTATAGAGACTCGAGTGTCGAGCACCTCATACAATACGATACAATATGGGGAGCGAGCTCGATACCCGTAAGTACTAGTAACTGCCAGATTGTCAACCTTGAGCTGGCGCGGCCAGGTAGTAAGGTACGCCATGAATCATTCATCCATTCTACTTTTCATTCCAGGAGCAGCAGTGCGGGCGGTCGGAACAGCGCCCTCCGAAGGGTGAAAGCACAGCTAAGAGAACAGCATATCTCCAGGAGGACAAGCGAACAAAATATTCACAGACCATCTGCCATTTCTTTAGATCAGCGCTCATCAAATATTTGCCAGAACCGCAAAGCCCAATCCCAAGCAGCACCTATGGCTCTCCTGAGCTCAAAGCCACATCAGGTCGCCATTTTCGTCCGCTCCGTGACTCAGGAGAGTCAAGCTCAATCGGAACCAGCGTGCTCAGAAGTCATGGCAGGACGGACGCATGGACAATTCGATGGATCTGCAGTCCGCTACGGTGGCCGCACATCGCGGCTGCAACCCCAGTCTTTGTTTGTGTCCTTGCTTCTGATTCGGACGTCGGATACATGCGTGAATACCTACGTTAGGCTGGCGACTCGGGCCTTAAGGGCTGCTTGCGGCTTCAGCATGGTCTTCGTCTAGAGAAAACGCAGTACCATGACCCTGTCGAGGCAAGCCGTCTAACGGCACAACGATACTAGCTTCTGATCGTGGTCATTGCCTTTACGATCTCACGAGAATTCCACTCATAGGCGGCCCTCCATTGTCTGGCAGCTTCTGTGGGCCTGGAATCAGACTGTAGTATGTCAGGTAGAAGGACGGGGTGGGTAGGGGGGAGAGTGTGAAGGGGTTGGTTGGGAGGCTTTTCCACTGAAACGGCTAATCTGGAGTTGCACGGGTCGTACATCTGTGCAATAATGGTAATATCGGGAGGCTGTTTGATGTGCTAGGATGTGAGTCCATGCTTTTTGGCAGTAATCCAACTCTACTTGTTTGCTTCATCTTGGTCTTGTGGTTGGTACTAGTGAGTCCCTACGGGACCTTCTACACATTCTTATGAGCTGCCCTGGGCAGGATAATGCGTTGAAGGTGGAAAAGATGTGATTTCAGGAGCACCATACCCCTATTGGTTGTGTTCGTTCGTCTCGATGAAAGTTGCAAAGCTTGGTCCCCGCAGTGGAAAAGCAACCTTTGGACACTGCAGCTGAACGATGTGATCCCAATGGCAAACAGTGGCAACTTGATCCATCTCACAACCACGCCATCAGATGCATGTCTCGGCAACGCCATGTTGTATTCATATATATATACTTATCCTGCACACATAGACCTTTAATGCTATCCAAAATCGGCATCTCACGTCATATCCAAAAAGAAAACCAAGGTAGATTGATCTGCCCACTCCCGAGACTTACCTCACCAGACGAAAAGCAGATAGGTATCTGACACAGGGTGATTAGCTCCGGGAAACAGCAGCTGAAACACAAGGAACTCAAAAGGAACTTACCCAGGGGATGGCTGCACGACAGCTGGGGCTTCTGTGTGTAATCCCTGGTCTCCAGCTCGTCGCGGATGGTGTTGAGCAGCTCGACGTAGCTCTGATGCGGGTTCTTTTTGAGGGCATTAATGAAGGCCCACGACATGGCACCCGTCGCCTGGGACGCGATGGTTGCGTCGGCGCTAAAGGGACAAGATCAGCATGGCGTTCCTGTATCTTCTTTTATACATGTAAGCACGTATTGTAGCTTACGATGTCTGGTCGTCCTTGCTGCCGCTCCACATGACCACATCGGCGGGCGACGTGTTGGTCTTCTTCGTTTGCTCGTAGGCGTCGTCGCCGCGCATGGCGGTCTTGGCGAAGTCGAACAAGGTACTCACGACACTGCCCACGTCGTCGCGTGCGAGGTGCCCCGCAATATCTAGCAGGCCCTGGCCGGCCTCCTCGGCCAGGTTGGGCTCCTTGAGCACGCCCTTGGTGCTGTACACGTAGGGCAGGTCCATGACGGAGCCCGAGTGGCAGCTGTCGAAAACAGCCGTTAGGCGCACGCCGGCCTGCAGCGGCTTGACCACGAGGAAGTGGATCTCGTCGTCGGTGATGTGCCCGTTCTGCCTGAAGTCGACTGGGTAGATAACCTCGTCGTAGCCGTCCTGCTCGTCTCCGTCGAGATCCTCGGTCTGGCCGCCGTGGCCCGAGTAGTGCAGGAACAGGGCGTCATTGGGCCGGGCGTCTCGCACGAGCCACTGCATCGCCTGTATGATGTTGGCCTTGGTTGGCTGGTTGATCGCGTCCTCCTGGTCGTCGGTCAGGATCACCATATCCTCCCGCTTGTAGCCGCCGCGCTCCTGTAGGAAGCTCGCCACGTTCTTGACGTCGTTGATGCACCCGCGCAGCTCCCCCTGTTGGTTGAAGTAGTTGATGCCGATCAGAAGCGCCTTGCGAGTGCCCGTGCAGTTGGAGTACTGGAACATGTACTCCTGGGGTGCGCCGTGGCCGAACTGCTGCAAGCCCTGTGGTAGCGGCTGATAGCGCTGCGAATCATGGCTTGGCTCCGATCCACCGTATTCCGGTCCGCGAGCGGTCGGGTCGCTGTAGCCATCGTAACCCTGTGGCGGCGGTCCAGGCTGCCACTGGTATCCGTGCGGATGCTGCGGATGCGGAGGCGGGTATTGTCCGTAACCCTGGTTCGGAGGCGGGTTGTACTGTCCGTACTGGTCCGGCGGATACTGGCCGTAACCGCCGTATTCAGGGGGGCCACCGGGCGGATAAGGATACCCAGAACCACCAGGTCCCGGGCCGTAGCCTTGGCCTGGATACCCGTACGACATTGTGCTGAGATTAGGTATGGATGATCCTGAGAAGTGGCAGGAAGAGTGGTGAACTGCCCCGATTCATCATTCGGAGCGACGGGGGAGGGATTTTGGATGCTGACGCTGTCAATGGGGCATGGGCTGCCTCAATGCCGCGAGCGGCTATCCTCTCCGCAGGCTCCATGGTCGCTGACGCCGACCCCTGTAGAGTAATACCTGTATTTACCTAGTATCACCAGGTCCACATTGCGCTTACGCGCAGTGGTCGAAGTCGGCAACTGGTAGCTAGTTACGGCTGTATACGAATACAGCTATGTTCCGTCGGTGGGCAGCTTCGGCTAGCTTTGAGGCTTGGTGTTTGATGCTAGGTGTCAGAGAACGTGATATAAACAAACATCGTTCAAGGGGGTATGCAATCAGGTACCACCTTGGCCGGTATTTACGAAAACCCATTGAGGCGGCCTCGCGCCAAGTTAAGGTAGTGGGGTGGGTGGGACAGGCCGTGACGATTCGTGTCTCTGCTGTCTATTGACCCCTGACTTCCGTCGCGGCAAGGGCGGGACGCCCCTTCCACGTATGGGTTGTCCTTCCCTTCCCTTGAGACGCTCCTTCCGTCCCTGACAGTATCCAAAGAGAGATGCTACTATGGTTCGAGACTCGGAGTTCGAGTTGCAACCGACTGAGAACTTCAGCAGTTCAGTTTCCTTTTGCGTTTCTCGGATTTTGCTGGACGAGTCGGAGATACAATACCTACCTCAACTGATTCATTTCTATATCATTGTTACTCCCCTGATGAAGACGATTGGCATCCTGATAGAGTATAGGATACCTTAGACTACCCATAAGACAATGTCGAATTTCATCCATCCTACCTGCTGAGCATATCCTCCAGCTCAGCTTGACCACCTGGCAGAGCTGCCTTTACATCGACGCCTAAAGCCATCAACCACCTAATAAATGTCTTCTGCTCTCGCAGCTTCCATCCAGGACCTTCAGACAACTCGCGGATCCTCCCCACAGCCGCTGCTGAGACAGAACCGTATTCTATCGATTGCATCTGCACATGCATGCTGGCGCCTTGATTGAGAAGCCATGCGAACATGCTCCCCCTTCCCTCTGCAGCTGCGGCAATGAGAGCGGTCCCGTACCTCCCGCTTACTGCCCGGAGGTTGAGATCAGCGCCTCGGTCTACAAGACTCTTCGCTGTTTCCTCCCTTCCGCACACAGCTGCGGCGATGAGAGCGGTTGCGTATTTGCCTGCTGTTGCTTGCAGGTTGACGTCGGCACCTCGGTCCACGAGAAGCTCCACCACTGCCTTGTGTCCCTGTGCAGCCGCGGCTATGAGAGCGGTTCCGTATCCGCGGTCTCCTCCTATTGCTTGCAGGTTGACATCGGCGCCACGGTCCAGAAGAAATGCCACCACCTCGGTCTCTCGATTCGCAGCCGCGGCGATTAGAGCGGTTCCATATCCACCATTCCTCACTCTTAGGTTGATGTCGGCACCTTTGTTCACAAGAAGCGCCACCATCTCTGTCGTCCCCGATGGGCTTACCGCAGTGCTACCCAAGTAGAATGCCATGGCGGTAGACGGCCCTTCGGCTGCGGCAATAAGAGCGCTTCCGTATCCGTATTCATCGGTGCTGACGTCCAGGTTGACGTCGGCACCCCGTGCCAGTAGGAATGCTGCCGTTTCTCTCATACCCCCCTTAGCTGCGGTAATCAGAGCTGTCCGGCAGCGACCAGTCTTCTCTTGTATGTTGACATCGGCACCTCTGTCCATCAAGAGACTTAGGGTCGCTGTCCAGCCTTCCCGCGCGGCAGCAAGCATCAACCAGGAGGCACGGTCTGCCTCAGCGTCGGTTTCCCCCGGAGACCCCATGCTCACATCAGCGCTAGCCTCAATCAGGGCTTGTACAACCGCTTCTCCGCGCTTGTACACGGCGCTACTGAGAGCGGATTCGTAGACAGACTTGGAGATTTTCGCATGCATATTGGCACCGCGCTCGATCAGTAGCTGTATCATTTCCTTCTGCGCCGATGTCTTGTTAGTGTCTTTCCTAGTCTCAAAGCAGCCGCAGGCGATGGCAAGACAGTTGTCCAGGGTTGGGTGGTCGAGTTCGAGACCGGAGTGTGATAGAAGCTTTCGAAACAAGAAAATAAAACCCCGGCGAGCTGAGAAGCATAGAAGGTTCGAATAAGGCTGCTCAGCCACAGTCTGGTCTCCATAAGTCGCGGAATACAGACCGTAGGCGTATGCCTGCTTCCAGTCTTTGCGGTATGGATACCACCGCGATTCCATAAAGAGTTGGCTTGCGGCTTCCAACTCACGTCGGCCCATCTTGTCAGGATGCAATCGGATGAGGTTCTCTGCGTGTGCCACCCACAAAGGCGAGTACAACAGAAAAGGGAACCGGCGCTTGGCATGGGCCCAAAAGTCTTGGAATGCGTCAGCCTCTGCTCCGAATACTTGGACGATTGCTCGGGCTGGCGTCTCAGCATGTGCCATGTGTTCCGATATTGCTGGCAGTCGCAAGTAGCGAAGACAACAACCAAACATCAGTTCATGGCTCGTCGCCTCGAAACTCGGTGAGTCGCCGACGTCGCCGATACCAAACTCTTCCAGTTTCCTGACTTGATTTTGGCAGAAGTCCTTGACCGATTGATGCAGGAACTGCACCTGTGTAGAAACGAAATATCTGCCCTTCCTCGACCACCCCGGCCCGATGTAGAACGTTCTGTTTAGGTACACGACCTCGACAAGGCCGCCACACCAGTTGATAACCTTTCGTTTCATCTCCTCGCAAAGCTGATCGGCGCGCTCGGGGTCCCAGAAGTCATCCAAATTGCCAGGTGGGTTGGGCGAACTGAGGGCCATAGCGTGCGCCAACTCCTCCAATGATAGCGGTCTCGCAGCCGCCAGAACAATCTTGAGGAGGCGCACGGCCTCTGCCCGGCGGTTTCTCTTGACCTTCTGCAGGACGCTCCGGAAGAGATCCCACAGATCGTCGGCCGTCTCGCATAGTTTAGACAACATCGACTGGATTTCCTTGACGCTCTCGCCATCGTACATGGCCGCCCTAAGCTGATCGATCACAAGCTTGGCCCAGAGAAAGACCCCCTGGGCATGTTCCAAGATCTGCGAAAGGAGCTGTGGTACGATAGTGTCGTAACGTAGATCCGGGTAGTCGCAGTCCTTGGCGATCTTGGTAAGAAGGCCCGTCGCGTACGCCTGTATATCGCCAGAGTTGCGTTCTCCCAAGTCCAAAGTAGTCCACCTCGTTCGGCGGTTCACGAAGTTGTCTGGCCTACTTGATAACCAGATTTTGATGATCTTGGTGTCTGAGAAGGTTCCGACTACCGTCTCCACGTAATCGAATACATCAGCGGGGAGGAAGCCTTCGCCTTCGTCGAGAGCGTCTATGAAGATAAATGCGGCGGACAAGTCTGGTGAGTGTATCGCCGTATGGAACATCTTCTTCAGCGTATCTGTCGCCCAGTCAACGGATCCTTGGCGGAATTGGTTCGCCTGGTCAAAGGCGCGGTGGTGTTCGATGAGAGACTTGAATGCAAGAGGGACCTGAGAGACCAGCTGATGAAGGAGCGTGCGGAGCATGCCGTCGACGGACCTTTCGATGGGAACGCCACGGCCATTGAAGAAGAAACCGCAAACCGCGGGCCCAGCAGCGCCGCGTCCCTCTCTGAATCTTCGGTAGAAATGCTTCATAAAGGTAGACTTCCCGCAGCCAGGCTTCCCTTTGATTAGTAGCTTGCCGTCGGGTGAGGTGAGCCACGTCTCGAATTCATCCGAGTGTCCAAACCACTTGTAGCTGGCTGCGAAAGCGGTCTCGACTTTGTTCTCACGCAGCTGCATCTCTGGAAAGGAAATTCTCTTGAGAAACTCTAACTGGGCAGTTAGCTCAATGCCCGCGGAAACCCCCAAGATACAATACGCACCCCTTCGTTCAATCTCAAGTTCAGCTGGAAGTTCACATGGAGGCAGGCGCCCTGCAACACATGAAGCCATGTTAGCAATCGTAGTATTAGGCCTCTGGAGAATCTAAGTAGTAGGCACCGACTCAATGCGTAATACATCAGGAGCACCGTCCCCAAACCTCGGGGGTTGATTAACTGGTCGCACCATACCTCCGGTCTGTTCTTCTTCCACCTTTCGAACGAGCTCCACAATCGCATCTCCAACCGGCCTGTACCGTTGGTACTCGTCCTCTCCGAATCTGATGATTGTGACGTGATCGGAATCGGTGGAATGGCAAATTTCCTTTTCCAGGCCCATCCTCGCCGAATCTTTGTCGACGACCTGCGGTGAGTTGGGACAATTAGTGAGCAAGCTCGTGCATTTCCATGGCAATGCGCCCCCTCAAGGCCGTACATCAGACTGCCCCAAAGTATGGTTTTGTATGGGGAATCAACAAAGAAAAGAGGGCACACGAAGAAGGTAAGGAGGAAGAAAAGGTAAGAGAGGAAAAAAATGTAAAAGAGGAAGAAATGGCACACACTAAAAGAAAAGAGATGGGGAAAAAAGAGGGGGAAATAGAATAGAGGAGAGAAGAGATAAAAAGAAAGAAAAATAAAGAAGATAAGGGAGAGAACCACTGATAAACAATTTGTGATTGCAACAGTGCAAGAGCATTCGAAATCTTCCTACCAGGACTGGGCCGATCTTCCTCGTCTCATAAAACGAGTGTATCGCAATCAGATTTCTGGTACGTGGCACGAAGTCGTTCGATATATTCCTCCACGTATCCGACTCCCTGCTAAGGCTGTCGGCAAAGTTGTTGTTGCCCATGAAGCCCACCGTAGAATACTTCATGATTGTACCGGGAACTGTCTTCCACCAGGTTTTGTCCGCGCCTCGATGGGGGACCCCCAGAAACACGCAGCCCCTAATCCTTTTGAGCAGTCCGCCGTAACGGTCATCGTCCGTGTGAGCGAGAGTTATGGCCTGTGAACGGACATACTCGTCAGCATCTGATCTTGAAAGCCTTCGACGGTGAGTCTGGGTCTGTGGCATTGCTGCCCGAAGTCTCGATGTTACCTTCTTCGCGACAAGTCCACCCAGGCTGTGAGCGACAAGTATGACGGGGCCATTGGTCTCTCGGTAGATCCTGTCAAGCAGCGCGTTGGCTACATCTTCGATGTTCGCCACAGAATTGGTTGCTGTCCTGGAGTCGTAGCCGTAGGACCAGACAGATACCCTCAGGTTCGAGCCTTGCAAGTCGGGTTGGAGGAAGCCTTCGATCCAACTGAACTCACCCAACACCCACGACCGTTTCCAGTGACCTCCAATCCCATGGACCAAGATAATACTGGGCGTGTCAGCTAGCTATCACCGGAATGCAGTGTCGATGAAAAGTGGCCGTCTTACGAGGTCTGCGGTGTCTGCGGCTTAGGGTTAGGCTCTCCTTGGCGGCCTCCATCTGTGTCAGCAACCAGAAAGAACCCGACATAGCTCCCCGCAGCGTGGTTGTCATTGCGCTGAGGCACTTGGTGGATGGCCGAATCCTATTCGAACAGTGTTGCAATGAGCCGCTAGATTCCTCTTTCAGTCAGAGCGTGGACAACGGGCCACCTACCTCGGTGTTCACCGGCGGGACGCGTTGTTGAGCAGGCTGGTCTCTTGTCCCGCTTTTAGACCGAAGTCGGAGAATCGTCTCCTTGATGAAGTTGGGCATGGTTAAGAGTGAGATACCAAACTCGGATATTTACAGAATATCTCCGTTGAAGACTCATAGGATTCCGCTTTGGGTAGCAGCACAAACGGCCCCCCGACCCAAGATGGAGAGCAGTCTGAGGAGAAGACGCGGGGATTGCAGGCGGGCGGCGGTCGACGAGTTCAGCGGCTTCAGCAGCTCCAGCAGCCGCCCAATTGTCGGCGTATCGCCGTCCCATACGTAATTTCGCATGCATATTATCTGTATCACACTCCATAATGTGACGGTCTTCTTTGGAGCCCCGAGACATCAGGCTCGCCAGAGGCCCAGCACGCCAACCATGACCTACGACCTGTCCGTGCCACCTTGGCGCTCGGCATCCAGTCTCGGAAATTGGCTCGATTGGCGGCCAAGACTCCACTCACCCCTTTCGATCACGCTTACGGAGTTGTACATGGTTTCAGGCTCTCCATCACCGTACCTCACGTAGACATATCCCAAACCTAATGAGGGAGACTTAAGAGCACCTAGGGAGTGACGACGAGGAAAGGGTGTTGGCTTGGAGAGAGAAAGCTTTGAGGGGTGGGAAGGTATATTATCGGTAGGCCATCGACAGGTATCGGTACGTGCATCCAGAAAGGACCTATACAGGTTTGAAGGCAGAACGAAAACATTTGTTTTTCTTTTTCACTTTCTCAAACTTCCGCTTTCTCTTCCTCCCCTCTCTTCTCTTCTTCATTTTCTTCCCCTTCCTCCTCCTCTTTCCTCCCCTCTCTTTCTATTCTTCCTTCGCCTATCCCAAATAATTCAACCGCATCTGGAGAGCTGCTCATGTGTCTACCTTATTCAACGAAGGATATTGGACACTACGTGATGGTCCCAATTCAGGGGACAGCTTTGGTTTGCATGGCGTTGCTATGCGGTGCCCATCTCCTATGTACTCCCCAATGATGTTTGGTCTCATTGATGACCACCCGGTAACTCGGCGGGGAGTTCGGCATGCGAAGGACCACAGGAAATCCCAATTGCGTGTGGAAGTTCCGAGGGCCCTTGTTGCACCTTTTGATGCCAATACACCCCCGGCGTTGGCGTTGGCACTGGTGCCTCGCATATCTCCGTGGAAGCGTTACTGCCGCCGGTAGTAAACATCGGCTTCCCTTGGCTCCCCGTATATCCACTCAGTGTTTTTGGCAGCTCCGCCCGGTTTCCATTGCTGTTCCGCTTCCGCCTGCGAGCGAGGAGCCAGCCACCCGCCCCGGCGAGAACTACCGCGGCGGTGGCCCCGAATACGCCTCCGACGATCGGACCCAAATTGGAGGAGGAAACAGTCGACAATTTGTCAGTATCGTTGAGCGGGGCTTGTGTTTCTGGCCCGGGCGTGCTCTCGCTCGCTCTTGACGAAGCCGATGTCGAATAGTCTTGGGCCGTGGAGGAGACGGTTTCAGAGGTAGAGGGTAGGGAAAGGGGGGCAGTGCTAGTCGTGCTGATAAGTGAGGACGTTGTGGTTGGTAAGACACCGATTGTGGTAATGGCAGTCGGTGTCCCTAATACACCGTCAGGTTCTGGGCCGGGCACCAAGGCAAAGGATATGAAACTTACCTGGGAAAAACAGGACCTTCTCCTTCTCCTCGCAACTGGCTTCCGTCGCAGACTGTTTGTCGATGCAGAAATACAGATCCTCGGTCGTGTTCTGGCACTTGAAGATGCCGTTTCCGCCATCCAAGAAGTCCACATCCTGCTCGATACAAAACAAAGGACAAGAGGAACTCCGCCACTCCTTGTCGGTACAAGATCCCCGCACAAACTCCGTGGCCCCGGGCTTCTGCAGCTCTTCACCCGTAGCCTGACAGATGCCGTTGCTCAAGCAGGCATAGCCCTGGCCACAGCACGCGGCGTTCGGCGTGTCGTCCCGGCAGGGAACGTCTCCGGCGGCGATTCTTCCGCTGGGGAAGTAGCACGCAGCTTTCGTCAGAGGCCAGCTCGAGAAGGCCGCGATGAGAAGGGTAATCAACCAGAGACGAGTGGAATGAACCATAGTGGGAGGACGGGTTCAACCTGTGCTTTTGGTAGCAACAATCAGCGCAAGATTCCAGGAGACAGTACACGACCAGCTTCGCGACGGCCCGCGGTTGGGCATATCGTGAACAACTGCTTCCATATAAACAAATTCCACATTGCTTTGATTTTGCCGGCCCTGGCATCAATCACTCCGCTTGTTGGTGCGCAATACCGAGCATCTGCGGCCCTAAGCGCCGACATTCCCAAGCGGGCGGGAACAGCGTCGCAGCCACAGTGCGGCGGCTTTGTTGGTTCTTTGTTTCTACAGCTTGGCGATCGCCAGACCAATCCCAACCGTTCTATTCCCGGATCGCTACCAAACAACCACCGACGTCACCGGGACGGCGCCAACCTGACCTGGTCAGATTCTCTCCTTCATCAATGATCATCCGCGGCTGTTCGCCCTCTCTGAGAGCACATGCACCACAGGACCTGTTCGCCCTTTCGCGGATTTCAAACTCAGTTGTCGCAAATCATCGAAGTACTTCTGCTGGTCTGAAGTGCCTTAACTCTTAAGAACGAGGTCGCACTGTGAGGCTCTAACGGAGCTATCAAACTCGAACAGACTCAGACTCCTACTGGTGGCCCCTGACCCTTCAGGATGCTCTTCGCTAGAAAACGAGGCTCGGCCACCTTACTCTCCGGCACCGCGCTTCTCCTATTCTTGACTTACTTATACTTGCGGCGAAGTGATGGCAACGCTGCTGTATGGACACCACCAAGGCCAGTCGAGGGCTGGCAGTCCCATGGCAAGCATAGTTCATTCTGGCCCGGGGTTCCCGTCCATTACCCGCCCTCTTCCATTCGCCCACTGCCCACCGGAACACCCGTTCGGTACCCCCCTGTCCAAGCTACGGCATTCACTGCAGAGAAACAGTCGCCGGAAGCGAGTGCTCGCCGCAGAGAGCGCCAGCAAGCAGTCAAGGACACCTTCTCCAAGTGCTGGCATTCCTACAAGAAGTACGTAATGGGTGCCGACGAACTTGCTCCTGTCACGGGCGGGCACCGGGACCACTTTGGCGGATGGGCGGCCACGCTGGTCGACTCGCTCGACACGCTGTGGATCATGGATTTGAAGGAGGAGTTCGAGGAAGCCATCACTGCGGCCAACGAGATTGACTTCACGCATACCGAGCTGGGGGAGATTAACGTCTTCGAGACCACCATCCGTTACCTCGGTGGCTTCCTCTCGGCCTTCGATCTGAGCGGCGACGTACGGCTGCTGCGGAAGGCTGTCGAGGTTGGTGACATGCTGTACAAGGCCTTCGACACACCCAACCGCATGCCCATTACGCGCTGGGAAATCCATGCCGCGGCCCGGGGCGAGAAGCAGGTCGCGCCCAATAGCGTTCTGCTCGCCGAGATCGGCAGCTTGTCGATGGAGTTCACGCGCCTGTCCATCCTGACGGGCGACGCAAAGTGGTTCGACGCCGTGCAGCGTATCACGGACGAGATGGCCGCGCAGCAGGACTCGACCGCCCTGCCGGGTCTCTGGCCCCTGACGGCGAACGCGGAAGAGAAAATCTTCAACTCGGGCTCGTTCTTCACCCTAGGTGCCATGGCCGACTCGACGTACGAGTATCTGCCCAAGATGGCGGCTTTGATGGGCGGTCTTTTGCCAGACTACCAGGCCATGTACGAGAAGGCGATCGACACGGCCGCGAAGCACAACTTCTTCCGTCCGCTGACACCAACAAACGAGGATATTCTCGTCTCCGGCGAGGTCCACGCTAAGGACGATGGTAGCTTCGAGCTGGAACCACACGGCCAGCACCTTACCTGCTTCCTGGGGGCCTGGTGGCACTGGGAGCAAGGCTATTCAGCCGCGAGAAGGACATGGAGGCCGCGCAGAAGCTTGTCGATGGCTGCATCTGGACGTACAAGGCTCTCCCGCACGGCATCATGCCCGAGACCTTCTATATGGCTCCATGCCAGCAGCCAAACGATCATGAACACAGCTGCGAGTGGAGCGACGACGCCTGGAAACAGGAAGTCCTCCGCCGAGCCGGAAAGGACGCGAGCGACACAGACGCCGATGCGATTATCCAAGCCGACCGCTTGCCGAAGGGTTTCACATCCATCCCGGACCGGCGGTACATCCTGCGGCCGGAAGCCATCGAGAGCGTGTTTGTGCTGTACCGCGTCACCGGCCGGGAAGATCTCCTCGAGTCGGCGTGGGACATGTTCCGTGCTATTAATCGGACGACTAGCACCGAGCTGGCTAACTCGGCGGTGCATGACGTGACCACCAGGGAGAAGCCCGAAGCGGCAGACTCGATGGAATCGTTCTGGATGGGCGAGACGCTGAAGTATTTCTATCTGATCTTCAGCGAACCCGAGTTGATCAGCCTGGATGAGTTTGTTTTCAATACCGAAGCGCACCCTTTCCGAAGGTTGGTGAGGTGATCGTTTTGTAGGTTTAGAGTTCAGGGCAGCATGTCTTGTGAGGATATCATACTTATGTAAAATACTATAATGGGCTAGATATGGGTACGGGGCAAGGAAACAATGCATGAGGGCTGAATGAATGGTGAAGTTCAAAGCTTCTGTAAATATCATATCTTACCCACCTCTCCGTTGAGGTCTTCGAAATTTCGAATGGTGCAGCCGCTCCCACTAAGGCCTCCTATCCAGACTACCACTTCCAGCATATCAAAACTAGACCACGTAACATAAAACTCGTTTAACATATATTTAGTTCCCAAGTATACAAACTAACAATACAAACACTTGCAGAGCAATTGACTATACGGTAGCGCTTGGAAGTTGGTTGTATCGGTGAAGTGCGTCTGACAGCTATGACATCGAGGTCTAAGTGAGTACCTACCGCAGGTAGTATCATTGGACGATTCTGTGCTAGTAGGCCGAAAGTGGTTAAACTGCAGTCCACAACGCCCTGCTCTATCCATTTGCGTTTGCGGCGAATTTGATGGCGGGGTTGGCGATGGTCTTCCTCTAGCTGAATACCCTCCGTGCTTTGTGCTATTGAATTAGAAGTTTACATCGCGGTGGCTTGTAGCATAACCCTAACCCGTCGACAACTTGCTCCGCTGCATCCCTCCTCTTACATGGTGGGTATACAATGACAGGTAAAGATGCGTGCGAATATGCCTATCATAAGTACGGTATACACTGTCCATCCGAGATCTGCTACGTACGGCCTCTTATTACCGGCCAAGAGGTACTGTATTCCATAGCCTCGGCCTCGGTTCTCCGTCCAAGCGAAGCAAAATCGTGGGGTACACTAAGGTACGGTACGGTAATATTCGGCCCGACACGCGCTGACACTGGATACGAGAATGGAAGGCGGCCCCGCTTTCGGCCTCAGTAGTGTAAGCCGTTCTGAAGCTCGCGGGGTATCCGTACTACCTGGTAACTTAGTAACAGCACGATCTGACGTTACCTTTGGGTGGGCGCGCTCTTATGCAGGAAACTGCTAGCGCCAGGCTCCCGCATAAAAGGTCGGGCTCGCGAATGCGGCGCGGATCGTCTGTTTGCCGTTTGCACGCAAGTCTGTGTAATGCTATATCCTCATGCTCAGTAATGCTCTGCTGATTTTCCCATGCCCATGCAGGCACACGTGGACGGGACCCTCTTCAGGATCCCTTCGGCGAGCTCTTGGTGTATATAGAGCCCATTAGGTGCCAAGGTAGAAACAAGCTTCCTGATCAGCCCTTCCGACCATTCCATCGACACTGTCTTGAACATTGAGTCGCGGAGAGATGATGTTGCTCTCATCGGCTGTTCTGGGCCTCCTTGCCACGGCAGGGCTTGCTGCGGCCACGCCCCTGGCGAGTGCCTCGTCACTTGAATCGCGTGCTGCCTCGGGCGATCGGTTGGTGTTCTGCCACTTTATGGTTGGTGAATTCAGTTACTCCTGAAGTCTTGTCCCTACCTATCCTGGAAACTGCAAACAAGCTCACCGACCCTTCTCCGCGCCAGATCGGTATTGTTGGGGACCGTACCAGCGCCGCCGACTATGATGATGACATGCGCCGCGCCAAGGACGCCGGCATTGATGCCTTCGCCCTCAACATTGGCGTGGACGGCTATACCGACCAACAGCTCGACTATGCGTACCAGTCTGCTGCCAACAACGGCATGAAGGTCTTCATCTCGTTTGACTTCAACTGGTACAGCCCGGGAGATGCGGGCGCCGTCGGCCGCAAGATCGCTCAGTACGGCAGCCGTCCGGCCCAGCTCCTCGTCGACGGTCGCGTCTTTGCCTCTTCCTTTGCTGGCGATGGTCTTGACGTCAATGCTGTGAGGGCTGCCGCGGGCACGAATGTGTACTTTGTTCCGAACTTCCATCCTGGCCAGACAACGAATATTGCATCTCTGGACGGGGCTTTCAACTGGATGGTGAGTCTGGTCATCCCATGATTTCTGTGGCGGCCGAGCTGATTGAGTCTGCAGGCATGGCCGAGCGATGGCAACAACAAGGCGCCCAAACCTGGCAGGTCGGTGAGCGTTGAGGACGGAGACAATGCCTACCTCAACTGGCTCGGCGGCAAGACCTACATGGCTCGTACGGCATATTCCTTGCCAGGAGAGTTGTACATGTACACCATAACTGACGTATTCCATTGTAGCCATCTCCCCGTGGTTCTTTACCCATTTCGGGCCGGCATGTCTTGAGCTTCCCAACCCCCATTGTGTACTCTTACCTAACCCTCGTTGATAGGAAGTCTCGTTCAGCAAGAACTGGGTCTTCCCGGGCGGCTCGTTGATCTTCGACCGCTGGAACCAGGTACTCCAGAAAGGCTTCAACATGGTTGAGATAATTACGTGGAATGTAAGCAGATTCCATCATTTTCAGCGAGTCTATGACCTGCTAACATAGTCACAGGATTATGGAGAGTCTCACTACGTTGGCCCGCTGAGCTCACGTCACTACGACGACGGCAACTCCAAGTGGACCAATGACATGTTAGTCGACCCTATCCCGCTCCTTTATACGTACTACTTAGTAGCACACGATCCATGGTTTAACCACGCATACACATACACAGGCCTCACAACGGGTTTCTCGAGCTCTCCAAGCCCTTCATCGCTGCGTACAAGAACAAGGATACCTCGGTAAACAAGTACATCAGCAAGGACCAGATCATCTACTGGTATCGCCGGACGCTCAAGACGCTGGACTGCGATGCGACAGATACCACGGCCGGGCGGCCGGCCAACAACGCCAGCGGCAACTACTTCATGGGCCGCCCTGATGGCTGGGAGACCATGGAAGATATGGTGTATGTCGTCACCCTCCTCACACAGCCCGGAACCATCGCGGTCACCTCGGGCGGGCAGACGGTCACGCAGCAGGTCCCCGCGGGCGCCAACCTCATCAAGGTCCCCGCCGCGGTGGGGAAGCAGCAGTTCAGCCTGTCGCGGAACGGCCAGGTGGTGCTCCGGGACACGTCGCTGATGGACATCTCCAACGTCTGCCCCTGCGGACTGTACAACTTCAACCCGTATGTCGGCACCGTGCCCGCCGGCTTCAGCGACCCCCTCGGCCCAGACGGCCTGGCGTCTCTCACCGTAGGTCTCCACGTCAGCACCTGCTCGGCCACGCCCTCGCTTGGCACCAACCCTCCCGTGGTAACATCTCCTCCCGTCACTACCACGCCGACCACCCCTACCACCACCACGCCGCCCTCGCAGCCGACACCGACGAGCACCCCGGGGTCTGGCCGTAAGTAGCAGTGTTGCCTTCGGAAATATAAATAAGAAGTATTGTGCTGACATCAAGTTCCCTTTCTTGGCAAAACACAGAACCTTGCAACGCGGGCACCAACGCCGACGGCGAGAGCGGCAACTACATCGGCCTCTGCAACTTCGCCTGCAGTTACGGATACTGCCCTCCAGGCCCCTGCAAGTGCACTTCCTTCGGCACGCCGGGGACGCCGCCGCCTCCCAATGGGCGCAACGGATGCCCTTTGCCGGGCGAGGGCGACGGGTACATTGGGCTGTGCAGCTACGCGTGCAACCATGGGTATTGCCCTGATACCGCTTGTCAGTACTGCTAAGTAAGCGGGTCGGAGAAAGCAATGGCGTTTTTTCAGGCCCTATTGACTCAGGGATGGGATGCGTAGCGGCCCGGTGCTAGTGGTGTGACTGGTTAGGGTAACTTTGGTGGTATTGTACCATAGTACATACCACATACCGCTTGTCTTAAGCTTTCAAGTTGCTCATAAGACCTCCAAATAGAAAGAATACCTTACGTATGGTCACTTTTAGGTTTGGACTACATGTCTCGCATATATACTCTTAACCCTAGCATTGTCAACCAAATTACCCCTATTCTCAAGGAATGAATGTGGGAAAAGGAAGCAATTAAGAAAGAAGGGAGGGAAGAGGGAAAACCCTAGAAATTAGAAGGAGAATAAAGAAGCGAAAGAAGCGAAAGAAGCGAAAGAAGCGAAAGAAGCGAAAGAAGCGAAAGAAGAGAAAGAGGGGAAGGAGGAGAAAGAAGAGAAAAAGAGAAAAAGAGAAAAAGAGAAAAAGAGAAAAAGAGAAAAAGAGAAAAAGATATATATTCTCCTACTCCGCTGTGCCTAGCTATTTACAAGGCGCGCCGGACCCTCTACTGCTATGTACAAAGGAAAAACCGTACCGTTTAGGCCGGGTGAAAACCTTCATCAAAAATAATAGGAAAGACATGGTTCCAGTGATACACGCTACTGCAAGTAAAGAAAAAGGCCTTGGGAAGGCCTTGGGCCAACGGCTAGTAGGGTACTAGCCCGGCTAAGCCGTGGCCACGGGTATGGCTAGCCGGGCTCCCTAGCTTCCAGTTCGTCATCAAGGTTCCAAGCGAGCCTGTATTCCCCTAGCCGGCCCGAGTTCATCAGCCAACCCAGTACCTTCTTCAGAAGTCTTCGGTTTCGGTAGCTTAGGCCCTGTAAAACAAGGCTAAGATCCCGGTGGGTGCGTATTAGTTGCCTAGGCCAAGTTCTTGGTATAGGTGGTATAGAGCACCAAATTACGAGATGCTCCACTGTCTCTCGGGCTTCTCCGCATTCGCAATAGGGGGTAGGCTGGTTACGGGCCTTTTGTTTGAAAAGAAAGTCCCGTAGGCCTATAGCTCCTGTACGAGCCTGTACTAGTAGGGAGCTCTTAGCCTTTGTAAGGCCTTGGTGTTTCCGTAGGCCTTGGTTTGTGAAGAGGACTGTTGGTAGGCCTTCGTCGGGAAAGAGAAAAAGAGAAAAAGAGAAAAAGAGAAAAAGAGAAAAAGAGAAAAAGAGAAAGAAAGAAAAGAAAAAAAAAGTATTATATCCCAAAAGGCCCAAGCCGCCCAACCCCAAGAGATATCGAACACTGTCCGATAACCTGCAAGAGACAGTGCTTGTTGCCGCTAATCTAAGGGCAGAGTATAGTATGGATGGAACTCTAGTCTACCTTACGAACACCGTGTCTATTACCATTGACACTATGGAGATTGGAGATTGGGAACAACCTTGCAGAGCTTAGCAGTATAGCCAAAGGGTTCACAACACTGCAAGTCGCAATGTCTGCACAGTAGGTAAAGGCTACTGTTTGAATTGCTCACTGAGGAAGCTAGCTATCTGAATGAGTGACAGAATGGCAGGACTATATACAGCTTCCTCCCCTAGGTATCCCCGTACCTAGATCTCTGGAACATTTGGAACAATTGCTGTTCTTGTTGTTCCATCTGGAACAACGTTCCTTGGCGTTGTTCCCTAGGAACAATCGTTCTTGGCATTGTTCCCAATCTCCCCAATCCTCATTGGTCCTTCCTGGCTTGTAATGATTGGATGCGGGCTCACCCGCTGGCCATGCAGGTCGGCCCCCACCGGCCTCTGCAGGTTAGTTCATGACATAGTTCTAGCTATTTTTCTATACGAAGTTTCCTACTCATCTCCTCTTTGACGGGTATTGCTAAGTTTGGAATAGGCCAGATCAAGAGTCCCCGCGGCTCGGGCTTGCTTTACTAAGGGGTAACCTCAGGTATGCCGTGTCGTCCAAAGCGGATGGGCACAATGTCAACGAGAGAGCAGTCACTAATTGCACCTTAAGTCGGTGCCTAATTCCTGGGGTACCACAGAATATCACACACCGACTTCATAATAAACCGCGCATTCCCGCGAGGGGGGAAGGCGGCTGTGCTGCAGTAGCCACACGAGCCGCATGCTTAAGTTCCCTGCATGTGCACTCGCTTCGGGGCTTGGCCCATTTCCGCCCCCACAGCCCGCTTTTCAACCTCTTTTGGCCCCCGCCATTCTGCAATGTGTCGATCTAGGAACCATTGAACCGTGCATGAAGCGGCCTGCAGTTTGAGCTCGAACATCGATGGCTGGTCTCGGGGGGGACCAAGGAAAAAAGGGGATCGGCAGAGGTTGCATGATCACTACATGTGTAAGTGGCGGGCGGTACTAAAAATAATGGTTACCGGGGCAGCGGGTCTTTAAAATCTCTCGAGATGCTGATGCCGACTCTCAAGTTCTCGAGATTTTAGTATCAGCACTTGTTTGTATGGCCGTCATGATTACCGGCACCCTCACTTTTGTCTGATATCAGTTCAGTCCGACAACTACTAGTACTTACCTGACCTACCTTACCTTAGGCCTGGCCACTCGTTTCCAATGAAGCTCCTTCTTGCAGCCTTCACGGCCGCACTGACGATCTCGCTTCCAGTGCAGGCAGCAAAAGAAGTTTTCGCCCACGTCATTGTAAAGTTCCCCATTTCTTTTTTACCTCTATTATTGGGAGAAGTCTTGACTGACAAGTCTAACCAGGTCGGCAACACGCCCGATTTCGACCACTCGGACTGGGACAACGACATCCGCCTGGCCCAGGAATCCAAGATCGACGGCTTCGTGCTCAACATCGCGGCACAGGACCCCGACACCAACGCGCGCGCCCTCAATTTCGCCTTCCAAGTAGCTAACAACCGTGGCTTCAAGCTTTTCTTTTCCTTCGACTACGCTGCCCAGGGTCCCTGGCCGCAGGACCAGGTCAGGGACCTCATCACGACGTTCGCGGTCGAGCCGAGCTACTTCAAGCCCGACGGCACGCGGCCGCTCGTGTCCACCTTCGAGGGCCCCGCCAACGCAAACGACTGGCCGGCCATCAAGCAGAACACCAGCGCCTTCTTCATCCCGGACTGGTCGTCCCACGCCCCACAGGATGCCGCCTCCCTCGCCGGTGGTGTCGTCGACGGCCTGTTCAGCTTCAGCGCGTGGCCGAACGGCGACACCAACATCACCACGGACGCGGACCGGGAGTTCCAGCGCGTGCTCCAGCCGCAGGGCAAGGCCTACATGATGCCCGTCTCGCCCTGGTTCTTCACCAACCTGCCGGGCTACAACAAGAACTGGCTGTGGCGCGGCGACGGGCTGTGGGATCTCCGCTGGAGCCAGGTCATGCAGGTGCAGCCGGACTATGTGGAAATACTCACCTGGAACGATATCGGAGAAAGTCATAATATCCGCACCGCGAAGGAGAAGGAGATGGGGCTGTTTACCTCGGCGAACGCACCCATCAACTATGCCCGGGGGATGTCGCACGACGGGTGGCGGAAGTTTCTCCCGTTCTATATTGACATGTACAAGACGGGCCAGGTGCCGGCGGACTTTGCGGAGGGCGTCGTGGCGACTTACCGCACCGCGCCGGCGCTGGCATGTCCGTCGGGGGGCACGTCGGGGAATGATGCGGGCCATGGTCAGACCGAGGTGCCGCCCGAGACTCTGGTGGAAGACGCTGTGTTCTACTCGGTGCTGCTGAAGACTGACCAAGACGTGACCGTGACAGTGTCGATCGGGGGCAAGGAGCAAACGGGTGTGCTTAGCGGGGCGCCGCCAGCCGGAGCTGGCACGCCGGGCGTGTATACGGGGAGCGTGCCGTTTGGCGGCAACACTGGGGATGTGGTGGTCAAGGTTGTCAGGGGCGGGCAGGAGGTTGCCACGGCCAAGGGCGGCAAGCCAATCTCGACCCAGTGCGAGAACAATGTTCAGAACTGGAACGCCGTCTCGGTCTAATATTCGCGTGTACAGTTAGTGTTATATAATTTGTAGGCATAGACTTTGTCCTAGTTTAAGCTCCGATGTTGGCACCACACTGTGATGCCGTTCCTTAAGCAAGTCAAGTAGGCCATTGGAGGCATCGTCCATAACTCTGCCCGCTTAGGTCTTTGGAAAAGAGAAGGCTGAGCGGTATTCCAGTGAGACCGCCCAGACAGGCGAGAAGCACCGCCCAACCTCAACGGCGACACTGTGAACACAGCCTCGCAGCTCAACTTGCGCCGTCTCATTTATTACTACCCTGCTAAAGGACGCGGGTCACGCGGCCACCCGACCCGGTTTCAGCCCTCGCCGCAGCCTTCACCCTGGAACAGGGAATATCCCACTCCGGCACAGCAATCCTGTAATCTAATGTTACGCACTCCGCCTCCACATCAGCCCGATCACCCCCCGGTCCTGCACACGCCGTATTCTTACGTTCCAGAGAACCAGACACAAGCCTCCGGGTGAGCACCGCCCTATAATCTGCCCCCTACGCTGCTGGTGGGAAGCGGCACGGCGAGAACGGGAATGAGTGGGATTGAATAAGTCTAAATCCTTTTGAGCCTTATGAGATACTAGTAGAGATTTGGTCACCACGGGGTGGCCCGGAGTCTGGTATTCGCGGTCACCGACAAAGCAATGGAGTACAACTATAGCCCACTTACTAGAAGGCTCTCCTTCCAATTAGACGTCGGGACAAGGAGCTGTTACCGCAGTAGCTAACACGTCCTCTCACTCTTAGAGTAAGACAAAACCTAAAGCAGACGAGCCAGTGACCAAGTTCTCAGAAGAGATGGCCTTGTGGGACTATGATGCTTGGGCCCGCGGGACCATATTTCATGATTTCACCTTTGCCCTCATCTCTTGCTTACCAGGGCATCTTCTTTTCTGTCTTCCGTTTCTCCCGTTTCCCGTGATATGTGTGGTTTTCTTTCTTGCCATTCCCATTTCCCTGTTTCTCTTTGATTATCATCTTTCATATCTTTCCTTCTCTCTCCAAACCTTCCTCTTTATCTTCTAAGCGCTTCGGATTCCTTCATCTTTCCATGTCCATTCTTTTTATAACTTACTGTGTGAAACTTCGGGCAAGAAGCATACCTGTAGTATGTGGCCCTTTTTGACCATAATAGGGTCCTAAGATGCTCTTAAGAGAGGAAGACCCTAGCGGGACCAGTGTTATCATGATGCTGTGGTAGCGGTTTGATATCGGACATAACACTGCTTGACCAGGTCTCATAGTCCTAATACAATGCTGCAGGGTTTTACATGAGCAGACCCGGATTTCCTTGTCGCGGTGAGAGTGGACAGAGCTTGCAATATAGCCGCTGCCATATCCGTACTTCCTATGGTCACGAAGCGGACAAACGAAGACGGCACTCAACCTGGGTAAATTCCATTTCCCGGTGGCAAAATGGGTCTGCCGCAGGAGTGCCGGCCGAGTTAGGTTCTCGGGCATGAGGTTCCAAGCTGTCAATATGGGTGTAGGGTGGCAACGTAGGAGTACTGTCTATAGTAGCCCACCCTGTAGCTTGCAGGTAGACATTAACCATATTTTAGCTAGGGGTAGGTATGCCTGCTACGGTGTACTGGTGCAGATATCCGATTATCAAGCGCAAGTTTACACCATCTATTGGATATGCTTAGATGCTCGAATCTAACGTCCCCAAGCGGAAATCTACTACGCCCATCGAAATCAGCAGACAACATTGCGGCCAAGGAATCTCAAAATGGCGGTACAGGAAGACGGAGACAGGCATGGCCACGGTCACAGCTACGTGCATGAGCGTTGCCTAAAGATGGCTAAACGAGAGGACGGTAGCCCATGGTGGGCTGACTTTCCGGAGCCAAGATCAATTGCCACTGTCGTTTACCCCGACGAAGTTCTTCGGCTGCTTCAGAGACATGCAAGCCTTGCCGAAGGATCAAAAGATTTCCTCCTGGTAGATGCACGCCGCAGCGACTGCAAGGGAGGCACTGTTCGGGGTGCCATCAATCTCCCGGCTCAAAGTTTCTACGCGACACGCAAAGCCCTGCACGACTTGTGCAAGCAGGCCGGAATCAAGAAGGTCATCTTCTATTGCGGTAAGTCTTCTTTTGCATTGCCATCCGCCTATCGAGAGTCGAAGCCGATTGCCTAGCTAACAAGTCCCGTCCCTCGTCCGGCCCATAAGGCTCTTCCCTCGGCCGCGGTCCTCGTTGCGCTGCGTGCTTGCAGGATTATGTCACCGAAATCGGAGGCGACTTCGAATCCCAGGTGATGGCGGGAGGAATCCGAGGTTGGGTGCAAGCCTACGGCGGCAGCATGATGGACGGCTATGATGCGACGGCGTGGCAGGGGGAGACCAGGTAGACTCTGGTTATGCTGGGTAGGTATCTTTGCAGTGACCTGTCCGAATTGGTCCTGCCCTTTTCGACCCAGCGGTTGTGTCCGATACGAACGCCGTTCCCAAACTGTGCCCGCAGAATTCGATTGTTGATGGCAGAAACACCGAGCGGATGTGCTGATCTGTACTCCATCCACGCCTGCCTGGGTGACAAAGCGAGCCAACAACCAGGGCTAACGCCCTCCCCTCTCGTCTCCGCCGATCCTTTCCAAGGCTTCTAGCATCACGACCGAGTTGCCGCGAATAACCTACTAGACATTAATAAAAAGTCCTTCAACACCTCCAGGACGTTACCTACGACCATGCCAAGCTTGACCTTCTCGCCGTTGTCCTTCTCCTCGAGGGCGTCGTCTAGCACAATGTTGAGGAAGACCTATAGCGGGCCACGTAAGTCGCAGGATGATTATCGGGGAAAACGGAGGGTGCGTACATCGTAGCCGCGGAGAACGCCGATGACCTTCCGGCTTCCGTTGAGTTGGACGAACAGCCGCTTGTCGAGGTACTGTTTGCAGCGGGCATGTTAGCACTTCAACCACGAATGGGTACGTTAGAGACGGCGAGTGGAGTTCCGGAATCGGTTCCAATATTGGATACATGAAGCAGCGTGGGAAATGGCAAGCAACTTGCCTTCTTGAGTTCTGGTTGCGCGGGCGCCATCTTGATGTGAGTGCGTCGCGGGCCGAGCTGCTGGGCAATTGTTTGGCGGCGGTATCAAATGTCAGTGGATGCCATCGGCGCGCGTCAACCTTGGGCTGGAAATGTCAATGGGATGTCACGTGGGGCCGATAAGATAACAACCAGCTCCACTGCAAGCCAATTGCGCCGATGCCTTGAGACTTGAGAAGTCCAAGCTCGCAAAACATCCGAGTGACGATTATTGGATTCTCCCATTCCCATCTTTCACCATGAGCTCCTTCGGGCCCAAGCGGAAAGCGCGTGTTATCCAACCCCTCGAAGACGATGATGCCGACCTGAAGCCATCGTCGGATACTGGCGAGGAGCAGCAGAGTGACCGTGAGTCTCAGCTTACCACTGCCCGTGCATCACTCAGTAGCCCTCCGTTGCTGATCATCGGTCCCTCAAAGAGCGAGCAAGCTGATGCGCTGCCGGCAGAATCAGCGCCCCCAGGGCGCATCAAGTTTGGTCGCAACAAGCCCGCCAAGTCCTCGGCTCTCAGGAAGAGCTTCAACCCCAACGACGACGACGAAGATGGGCAGGAAGGATCCGCATCTGCGCCGGCTGCGACAGCACGCGACGGGGACGAAGATGGTAGATCTAGTGCACCAGTCGTGGTTCGTCCAGTGTTAGGTCGCTCCGGATCGTCTAGGTTGAAGAAGCGCCCGTCATCATCTCGACTTTCATTCGGTACCAACGCGTCCACGGCAGACGAGGACGAAGAAGATAATGCAACTCCCAGTGTGGTCGCGAAGCCATTCACGCCGAAGAAGCCGCTCGGTCAACGCCTGCTCGAGAAAAACGCGCTCCGCCGAACCTCCTCCCTGCAGAGCCTCACGGGACGCCTACCGGTGCGCTTCGGCGGCGAGGAGGAGCGGCCGAAATATAGCAAGGAATACCTCGAGGAACTGCAGAGTTCGACACCCAACACGCCGCAAAACCTTGCTTCGCTGCAGATCCGCGACGACGGAGATGAAATGGAGCTGGACGAGTCCGAGCTTGAGGGTGCGCTAGTAGTGCAACAAACAGACGTCGCAGCAACTCCTCCAGCGTCGACGCCAACCGCGGCTGCCCACATTCTTACCGAAGCTGAAATTCGCGAACGCAAGGAACGGCGGGCGCGGTTAGCCAAGGAAGCCGAGTTCATCTCTCTCGAAGACGGGTCTGACGACGAGGAGACGGAACGGGGACAAGGGGGTCGGATGTCGGTCAATCTCCCGAGCAAGAAGAAGAGGGAATCGCGCCTCATAGCCGAGGATGAGGACCTAGGCGAAGGATACGACGAGTTCGTATCTGACGGCGGCCTTGCCCTAGGCAAGAAAGCTGAGCGGGAAGCAGCGAAACGCCATCGGCAGGAGATGGCAGAGCTGATACACGCCGCCGAAGAGGGCTCCGACGCCGAGACCGACGACAGCGAGGCGGAGCGTCGAGCGGCGTACGAAGCTGCGCAGCGCCGTGCGGGCATGGATGGCTTGCATCGGCCGCATGACCCGGATGGCATGGATCTGGACGGATCCATGACAGGACCGGATGCCATCCCGCGCATGAAGCCGCTGCCGAAGATGAACGAGGTGTTGCAGCGCATGCGCGACATTGTGCGGGGCCTCGAGGACCAGGTAACGAGAAAGCGGGCGAGGATAGAGGATCTCGAAAAGGAAAAGGAGGAGATCCTTGCGAGGGAAAAGGAGGTGCAGGAGATCCTGAATCAGGCCGGAGCGAAGTACCAGGCGGTAGTGGCGAGTGCTGGCGGCCAGGCGGGGGATGTAGAAAAGATCGTGAGCGGGCAGTCGCCGCTGAGGCCGCTGCCCCCGGGCATCGTAGGTGATTTTCAACCAGTGGAACGGGGCCTTGAGAGCTTTGGGGCGACGCCAACAAGGCGCGACGACATGGAGATGGCTTGAGATGGTAGCAAGGCGGGGAGTAGCCCAAGGCGTATGCCAATATTCTAATGCATCGAAAGTACTGTCACTGTAACCAAGTGCATTGTATCTAGTGTCTGTCTACCTTAAGAGGAAAAGGAAGCAAAAGATCAAACGCATCCCATGCCATACCGACGCCATTATATGATACACCAACAACCCCTTCCGTACCTAGTTCGACCAATACACAACTCTCCGTACAAGACAGTCTTTGAGCCCTTGAGTAACAGTATAGCATAGCCAAGAGACAACATCGTTATGAACGCCCCATGACGGATATTCTCCCCATGACCCCCATCGCCGACCCCAGTGACCTTGGGTTAATCGTACCATAGTTACCTTACTTGGACCTGCTAACACCAGCCCCGATAACCCCAGGCAACTTCTCCTCCCCGACGTTGAACAACAACCCAATCGCGAACGTGACCGCCCCTACAATCGTCACAGTGAAGCCGGCAATCAGCCAGAACTCGACGCTCACGTCCTCCTTCTGGCACATGTTCCCGCCCCAGTGCACCGTCCTGCGTCCCTGCGCCCGCGCGCCATCGCCCGGCTCCACGACGCTGGCCTTGCACACGCATGCGAAGCAGCTCGCTGCCGAGGCGGAGGACGTGGTGTTGCCGCCGTACTTGTTGGCGCACTCGCCGTGGCCGGAGCACGAGTTGGTCTGGGCCATGCAGCCGTCGTAGGAGGCGAAGCACTGCGGGATCGGCTTCTTGGTGCGGCGCGCGTTGTCGAGGGTCGTAGTCGTAGTAGCGGCGGCGGTGGCGGCGGGGGGGTGGTTGGCCTCGCCGTTGTCGCTCTCGGCGTCGATGCTCAGTTGGTGGTCGGTGATGACCGTCTCTTCGGCGTGCCGTCGCCGGCGGAGGTCGGATGCGCTATCCCATGATCCTGCTCCAGCGGCGGTGGCGCTCCAGTGGTTGAGCTTGGAATTGCGGCTTGATTCGGGCAGGAGGACCAGAAGGACTTCGAGCTCGCCGTTATTTACGAAGTTGTTTAGTCTTGGGAGGTTGTCGACGAGAGAGTCAAGTGTCGTGGGTGACTGGTTGTTGAGCAGGTTAGCACGGCTTGGACGGAAGGAATCGGAGGTGGTTTCACCTTTCGTAGGTCGTACTTGACGACTGCGGAAGGGCCGTTCCAGCAATCCGCCTTGAAGGGGTTGATTACTTCTGACAGCTCGCACTGTCGCGGCGACGCGACGCCCATGTTATGGAATCCTGCCATCAGGAACTTGTTTGCAGTGGCAGAGGGGGGGTCGGCAATGGTGTATGCGGCAGAGTGGCCCAACGTTTCTCGCAACCGGCTGGATTGCTCGGCTGCAACACCTTCTACGATCACGACTAATTGTGAAGGCTCGGTCTCTTTGGTGTGTGAGAATAAGGGCGCGGGGCTCTTGCCGAACTTCGCGATGTGGCCAACGGCCGTCTCGGTGTCGATCGAGCTGGGGAGATCGCGGAGGTCGCTGCCATATCGTTGCCTCGACGTCTGGCATGGTCAGCATTGCATCACTGTGTGTACATGAGTCCGATGCATACTCTTTGAAGCAGAATGTGGCGAGCAACTTCTTTGGGAATGCTGGGCGTGTTGGGTGAGCTCTGCGATGATGACGCCTTGAAGAGGTAGGCGTCGGCACTCGGCTGAGATGCGCCGACAGCAAGCCCAGACAAGGCGGCCGCTGTCAGGCCGGCAAGAAGCCTCATGGTGAATTCGCCGGGGCCTATTCAAAATGGGATCGGCTCAGAGGCGAGGAGATGCGAGATCACGGGAGAGGAAGGTCGCGAAGATAGGTGGTTGGCCGTCGAGGTCAATGGAGTTCAGGTTGCTGCAGTTGGCAGCGTCCAATGCACGCGGCGTAGCTGCCGAGGCCAATAGGTGGTCTGTGCTTCAAAGGACCCTTGTCTTCCTGGCATGCAGCCCCTCCAAGACTCCAGCATCGGACAGGATGGAACAAGCAGAAATCAAAGAGTAACGAGATAAATCAGCCATACGGATACTGTTCAGAATACGGGCCCTACCTAAGGTATCTCCCTGTTTTGCGGACTCGACCAAATCGCGCGAAGGGTCGACATTGCCTGCAGCTCATCGCCAACATCCACCGCGACCAACTTGACCACATAGAAAACTCCCTAGCGCTGCAGGTGACGAGCCCGACAATTCTACGTCCACATCTTACAGCCGCACTCCATTTTCGCGCGAACTCAGCCAGCGCCTGCAATTATTAGTTCTTTCCCGCTCCTCCGGTCCTCCGAGTGCGCCGCTCCTCCCCACGCCCACCGGGGAGGCGCGCGAGAGCCCTTCGCCGCGATGTCGCGCCCGTCGTTGTACCGCCAGTTCCGGACTCTATTGGGTTCTACGAGGTTAACGTCACAAGTGCCGAGCGGCCAGGCGATCCGCATCGAGCGCGTCAAGATCAAAAGGGCCAACCCGACGAGGCGTTTCTTGTGAGCATGCCCGGTTCTGTCCTGTTCTCCCTCTCCTGCCGCTGACGTTTGTTGAATGCAGAAGTACAGTGCTCAAAGTCGCTCTGGCCACCCAGTTTATCCTCGCAGTACCCTCTCTGTTCCCCGATGTAGAAGAGGGCGACGAACTGGAAGAGGAGCCGCTGTTCATTCCTTTCCCGTTGACCACGAAGAAGATCCCCGGACAGCCTTACAGGGGGAGTGACCCGGAATGGAGGGAGTTCGTCAGGCTATCCAAAGATCCGCAGGCGCAAAGACGAGTCAGAGGTAAGGTGCCCTTCTTGGTGTCGATATGTCATGCCTGTACCCTTCAATCGCTGATGTGCCCGTGACAGACTACGTTGCCAACCTTGCCTTCCAGGCTGCCTTATCATCCCCCATACTTGCGATAAAACTCGGAAAGCCAACGAGAATTAGGAGATATTGGTTGGACATTGAGTACCCTGTCATGGCACCGCCTACATATGAGCGGTCTGGGTATGTTGCACATGCGGCCCATCAGCGGCTGGTGACAAGGCTGCTAACGCAGGGGACAGTTTACTACTCACGGAAGAAGAGCTGCAGTGGGCCACTGTGCCGTGCGACCCATGGACGGCAAAGATCATGAACCGCGTTTTGTGGCCGCAGCCTGTGGCCCTGGGGCTGTGGGCTTTGGGCAAAGCGGCGGTCCAGCAAACGGCCCAGGACGTGGCGAGATACTTCGGGTTTGCGTCCGAGGGCCCAGCGGGTGCTCACGCACGGCCGAATCCAGGAACGCTGCAGCCTTTGCCGCCAACGCAAAGCCCCGAAGTCCAGAAAATGCTCGATCGCATTCGACAACAAACCACCAGACGGCCGGCCGAGGTAGACGACCCGAGTTCCGTATCTTCGTCAGCAGCCGCGCAACCTACAACCCCACGTGACAAGGCCCCCGATGCGTCGGGCAAGCCGGCGCTGGACCAGAGTAACCAGGCGACTCCTGATCAAAACACCTGGGTTCAGGAAGTGAGCTCTTCCATCGCCAAATCGCAACCGTGGGAAACCTTCAAGAAGACCTGGCGCCGGGAGTTCTTGAACGAGCTGAAGATCGACCCCGTTCGCGGGGCATTTTTCGTCTGGGGCCTCGTTGAGGTGGAGACGCCGAAGGCTTGCTTGGTCATCGATATGTACACCTGGTACGACCCGAAGACTAAGTCGTATCAGCCGGGGACATTGAAGATGCGTCTTAGGAGAGTGCAGCCGAAGATGCAGAGCCCTCTGCCGCCCCAATGACCAGGTTCAGGCGGGCTATGGGACCCCTCTTCAACTTTCAATCTCTTTCCATTCATCGTTGAGCATGTAACAGGCGTTTGCGGTCACAGGTCTCGTCGCAGGATAGCGAATCGCGATACATCGGGCGGATACAGGGCGTTAGGGGCAAGATACCACCATTAGACACACGCGACTTTGCAACGGACGGGCCTGCAGTTCGAGAGGCCCGTTAGAAGCAATGCGATCTTGTATACTGCAGCAGTTAATATACGAGCTAAACACTAACAGCCCTTCAGTCGGCGAGGTCTAACTCCCTCCCTCCGACTGCTTCCTTCACTCGTGCTCCGGTTCCTTGGGGCCGAGGCGGAGTGGGGCCGAGGCGGGTGGAGCTCATCCGGGCCCGATCCAGACGGTTTCGAACGCCAGGACTGGATTCCAGACTCGTCCGTTCGGCATCTTCTCTTTGCCTTTACCAACACTAGTAGAAAGCTCGATTGAGCGCAGTACCGGACTCCAGGCCCATGACCCTCCATCGACTCAATTGGGAATCTGCCCTCATCACCTCTACCAACTCGCCAGGCCAAGTCGACCTCGGCGCCTTCGCACGCTCGAACACCTCATCCGGTTTGTTCCTCGCCCAATCCACTATCCGATCCGCGAGAGCTTTCTCCACGTCGAGCCTCGGCAGTTCCGCGTCAATCAGCCGACTCAACTCGCCGGGTTGGAATCCACCAGGCAACAGCCGCAGGTTCGGGAGGGGAAAACAGTGAAAATCCGCTCGCACAGCAAGCCTTAAAGCCCGGATGATGCCATTGAGGTCCTCGGCAATTCTAGGGGTAGTATGAAGTGCGACGGCGAGCCTGGCCGGCAAACCACTTCATTATTAGCGATAATGCCTAGGTGGCTGTGGTTCATAGAGTACACGTAGGGTGTAAGAGAGGCATACCAAGCTTCACGAATAGTCAATACGGAGAAGCCGTGTCGGCCGAGGACCTTGGCGGTGGCGTCGGCACCGCAGAGCTCAAAACGCATTGCTGTGGCGTCATACCGCGGATCTGTCCTGTAGGCGTGGAGCATGCAGGCCACGAACAGGGCTACGGACCTGTTCGGGTCGCGGACAGAGGGGGCCTCAAGATAGGGCGGAGGTTTGAATTCGTGCCGTAGCGTTACAGCGCCAGGCGCATCTGGACCTGGAAATTCCGATATCATGAAGGTCTGTGCGTAAAGGAAGACGCGGAAGCTGTGGTTGAAAATGGGAGCAGGGAGATCTGCTTGCGCTATAGAGAAGGCTTTCTCGCATGCTGGATGTTTCGGGACCATCTCACGGAGTCGGTGTCGAATCGTTCCAGTGCGAAGGCGGGCACTGCCGGTCGGAGGGTTGGGAAATTGATCACCTATGGCTGATATACAGATGCCTCGCGTCCCGTACTGTGTTATGGAACAGGCAAGTGGGTAAAACAGTGATGCTGTTTGCGATACTAATCTGCATAATGTGGTGGAAACGAAGGCGGTGATGCGCTCCCGGAAGCAGTGAGCAGTGTCTATGTAGGAGTGGGCCGTAGGTTACAGATTCAAAGTTTCCTGTATAGGTCTTTCCATATACTGCCGACACACTGCCGACCGACGGCGGGAAGCGACGACCGCTGAATGGAAACACCAACCTACTCCCTAACATGCACGTCCAGGCATGTAGTGTACCTTGCCTCCCTGAGTGCTGTTAGATTCTCAAAACGGAAGCCGGCTCGTTAGGGACTGGGACGGGACGTCTAATTGGCCGGCCACATGAAAGCCACGTCTTTGCTGTTCTTATAAGTAGTACATCATGCATAAGGTAACACAGTCGCTTATTTCCAGAACGTCAGAACATACAATGGGCCCAGAGGTCAGCGCCACTCGTGAGTCTTCAGTGAAACTGCCCTTCCCACTCTTGTTGCTCAGCGATAATCGATCACGGTGAAATCTAGGCTTTCCCAGTTGACATGAGATTATTCGTCGAACCCTACCTAGTAATGATAAACGCAAATTGCTGTGCTGTAGATTATTTGAGAGGCACTAAGCTCAGATGTGCTAGTATATAAGCATCGGGGTCGACGGGGTAACTGCAGTCGAATTTCTCTAGATGCTGCCAGTGCCAAATAATGCGTGAGCTGGTCTCCAAGTTCAACTAGCAGAAAGGTGCAAGTATAACTACGCACTGTACCCTACCCATTCAGGTCAGTTAAGGCAAGTCGTCTCTAACGGGTCGTTGCGACGACACACTCACGTATGTCATTGACACGGCTGTAATCTGGCGCGAGATGTCATTCCATTCCCAGCCATTACTCCTGTCCAACATCTCTAACCGCCCGTGGCCAACACAGTTCTTGCACCATCATAATTTTCACGGAAGTGAACGTCACCCAGACCGTTCTAGTCCGGTTCAGGGGCCCGATGTTGGCCACGATGACGTGAAAGCTGTAAGCCGTTGTAGGCCTCCCAGAGGAGGCACCGCAGTTCATTGCTCACCTGATGCTAACCCAGGCATGTGTGTTCTCTTCCTTTCTCTCAAGGATACCTGCATTCACCCTATCAGTAAAGTCCCGTATATGAAGTCTTTGAAAGGGGGCGAGGGCATCTTTCCGGAGGGGATACAGATCCTACAGGTATTATGATCCTGATGAATTCATCATATCCCATCGCCCGGGTTCTCCTTTCTGACAAGAAGCGGTATGGGTTAAACCCATGGCTTCGTGGTCGAGTGCGACTCTGCCGGCGGCCGGGATTACTATGTCAGCGAGGTCCAAGCCATCTTGCTTTTGTGGCAAGCGGCGATAGTCCAGCGACCATAATGTTTGTTGTGGACTTCATCGACGGCCTATATTGGCTCCATCCAACGCCGACGGGCTGGCAGATGGTCGATGAGGTACAAGACAGTTGGGACTACTCACTGCGCCACCCAAAACGGCCGAATCTAGCTCTTCACCAAGGCGCAAAGCAGTATCTCATAAGCCTGTGAACAGATAAGTCTGTATGTAACAAAGAACTGCCAAGAATGCAGTGAGCAAGGCCCAGATATGAGGGTTGAGACTCGAGTCTGTGAACACGCACCTGGTATTGCCCCTTCCAGATGGTGTTCAGTATTCCGTTCGATTGGTCTCAAGTCCAACACGAAAGAGCATCCGACCAAGCAACAACAGTGCTCCGAGATATCCCTTCAGCCTTAACCTGGCACAATGTCGTGAGCTGCGTGTGTTGCTTCCACCTTGTTCTCGTATCATTTCTTTGTACATGTCCAGCATGTAATGTTTCTATGGTAAGATCAAAGCACATCCATCGAGGTAAGGTGAAAGAGGTCCGTGGGCTGGCTCGTTGTTCAGACGATGGCATTGTTCTCAATGGTTACCGCGTTATTGTTCGTGGATGGAAGGAGAAGTTGCGCCAAGGGAGAACAAGGGCATTGTCCATCAAAGCAGGAAGAGCAAGTTCGCCGTTCGCCTGGTGATCCAAGGATATATTCTTATCGAACTTGTATTTAAGTGTGCTGCACACGCATACGTCTTTCCGTGATGTTGTCAGACCTGAAGCAACCGACTTTACTATAGAGCACCCTTGCCTTTCCACGCTCAAAACATCATCACCCCTTTTTCCAATATAATAGCGAGCCGTACTTGTACAACCCAACCCCGTCGAATAACACACGACAACCTCAACGATGGCAGGTGGCAGCGAGCCTCCTCGACCACCAGGAAAAACCATGATGCGCCTCCGAGCTGTCCTCAACATAATCGTCATGGCGGCCACGGTCGTGGGTCTGCATGCGCTCTTCAACTGGGTGAGCGGTCACGATTCCTATCTCTACTTCTTCCTGTGTCTCTTTATATGGAGGTATGCGAGGTTAGTCATCAACCTGGTCGCTTTCTGGTGTTACTCACCTGCCCGCTGCCCGCGGAAGGAGGGACCGACCTACGTGCCACGGCGAGACGTGACGGCGGTCATTCCCACGGTAGTAGCCAACCCTGACGACGCAGACTTCCAAGAGTGTCTTGTGTCGTGCGCGCAGAACGGGCCAGCCAAGATCGTGATTGTCACGGCCGGCGACGCTCTCTGCGCCAGGGTCCAAGCAAGCATTCGCAAGGTCGAAGTTCGTTTCCCTTTAGTCGAGTTTGTGGTCGACAGGACGCAGGTCGCTAACAAGCGCGTTCAAGTGGCGCACGCCATAGCGCACATCGACACGCCCATCACGGTGTTGCTCGACGACCATGTGTTCTGGGGCCCGCGCTTCCTCCAGTCTGTCCTGTGCGGCTTCGAGGACGCCTCGGTGGGTATCGTTGGCACGAACAAGCGGGTGCGGAGGAAAGAGGACGTGGACATTTGGGGCCGCATCTGGAACATGCTCGGCGCGACGTACCTCTACCGGCACAACTTTGAGATCCGAGCGACGAACACGGTCGACGGCGGCGTCTTTGTGGTGTCGGGCCGGGCCTGCGCCATTCGCACCGAGATCCTGCGCAGTCGTGAATTCCTCCAGGACTACACCACTGAACGGTTCTTCTTTGGCCTCTTGGGGCCGCTCAACCCGGACGACGACAACTACATCACACGGTTCATTGTGCGCAACGGCTGGAAGATTAAGATTCAGTACTGTGAAGACGCGGTGATGGAGACGACCATCGGCATCGAGAAGCCGCTGGCTCGCAAGTTCCTCGGCCAGTGCCGGCGCTGGGCACGCACGACGTGGCGATCCAACATTTGCAGCCTCGTGACCGACCGCACCGTGTGGGCCACCCAGCCGTACTGCGTCTATGCCGTCTACCTGACGTCGCTGACCAACTTTGCTGCCGTCGTGGACCCGCTGCTCGTCTACCTCCTGACCCGCTCCTCCTTCTACGCGGCGCACTCTTATGCTCTGCCCAGCCTGGTCGTTTGGACTCTGATGAGCAAGACGGTCAAGGTATTCGACTATTTCCGTCGACATCCGCAGGACATCATATGCTTCCCTGTCTACTTGCTCTTCGGCTACTTCCACAGCCTCATCAAGCTCTGGGCCTTGCTGACATTCTGGGACTGCACATGGTCAGGACGCCGCCTCGACAAGATCCCCGTCAAGCCAACACCAACAACAACAGCCACCACCACCACCGACGAGCCCACCACGTCTTCCATGGAGACTAGCACCACCACCACCACTACTCCCATTAAAACCCCTGATCCCGCCATCGTGAACGACAATCCACAGTCAGCACATCCTCCCCGCCCCATATCAACGCTCCGCACGCTCCGCAACCTCCGCGCCCGCGTCGCCGAGATCAGCGAGCAGAACCTGGCCTACATCGAGAACTACCAGCTCCCACTCATCGCCGCGCTGAGGCAGCTCAGGGAGGCGTTTGAGGCGCTGCAGCGCGAGCAGCGCACCGCCGACACGCATGGGAAGAACCTGCGCGCGGAGCTGCGGCGCGTCGCTGAGCTTTCTGCTGCGGCGAGGGAGATGAATTCTCTGAGGAAGAGGACTTCTTCTTCTGTTGGTGGTAGTGGAGAGGAGGAGGAGGTGGTGGGAGTGGGGGTGGACGAGACAGAGAGGGAGATTTTGAAGGCGATGGAGGAGGTGGAGCGCGTGGTGGACTGGATGATCAATGGGGGCCGGTGGAGTAAGAAGGCTGCTAATAAGGGGAAGGGAAAGGATAAGATTTTCAATGGTGGTGTGGTCTCGCCTCCTGGTTGCTCGTCATCTTCTTCTTTGATTGCTAATGCTGAGAAGAGGTGAGCTCTTAGAACGCCGGAGTCGGAGGACTTGCTTTATATAAGAAGGAGGAGTGTGGAGTCCGTATAAGGGTGAAAAGAGATGGATAGACCAAGATTGTAAGAGGTCCACTATGTTTGTTTGTATCACAACCTAAATAAATATGTAAGAACGAGTTGATATAACAGTCCTGCTACCAGTACTAGTAAGATGATGATTTGCCCGACAGAATAAATGAATGTGTGCGTGCTGCGTGAAAGCAGCAGCAAGACAATGAAACACAGACAGCCCGCATTAGCTTCTTTCCATCACTCACTTCACTCAGCCCTGCCTGACCTTCTTCACAGTTCACACCCGCCCGCGTACTACCTCCTCCTCTTCATCACAGCCCTCAGCGCGAGGTTCTCAATACTCACAACCTGCCCCTTCGCATCCACCTCAAACACAAACTGGTCCAGCGGCTGCGTCCCGTACGTGACGCCCGTAAACGACACCCACGTGCCACAATCCGTCGAGAACATAGCCTGGGCGGGATCCCTCGCCGGCAGGTTCAGGTCCTCAAACACCGCCTTGAACGCCACCCTCCTGCTCCCGTCACTCCGCACCGTCTCCAGCCCCGTCGGGTACAGCCGGATGCTCGGATTGACCGGCGCATACCCGCCCTGGAGCACAACAGCCACGGTCTGCATGTCAGTGCCATTGCTCACCCAACCTTCAATCCCGAGCCCCGGGCGATCAGACTGCGTCGTCAGCCGAAGCCGCGACGACGACGATGAATTGCCCCCGTCGTTGTTGTGGTAGTACTCGCCCGCAAACTTGGCCTCGGCCTGCTCCCTCGCGGCGGCCTCCAGCGCGGGGACCAGCGCGGCGCCCACCACGTCGGCGAGGTTGAAGTTGGCGTTGCCGGGGATGGCCTCGCCGGCGAGCAGCACGGTGAAGCCGGCGTCGTAGTCCGGCAGCAGCACTAACAGAGACGAGTAGTACCCGATGCGGCCGGCCTTGTTGAAGGCGTCGACGACCCGCTTGCCGTTGGCGCCGTACGACGGGAGGGCGATGCGTCGGATGCCCCACGGGTAGCCCACCCCCGCGATCAGCTCGGACGTCAGGACTGCGGGCTTGAGCCAGCGCCGTGTGAGGACGGGTGGGAGGAGGGTTGAGGCCAGGATGGCGCGGCCGAGGGCGGAGATGTCCGCTGCGGAGGAGTACATGTTGCCTGCGCTGAACATATAAAAAAAAAAATACTTAGTGCTTAGTCTACCAGCGGATATCCATAAATAAAATAAAAAATAATCGTGTGTGGACTCACGGATTCTCGTCGCCGAGCTGGTAGGTCCACTCGGCCTGGGACAGATTGTTGCCCGGGATGATGCCCTCGGCGGCCGGGGCGTTGCGGTAGTACGTGTGCCTCAGCCCCAGCGGCTGGAGGACGCTCTCCTGCATCATCGACTCGAAGGACCTGCCCTTGATGTTCTCGAGCGCGTAGGCCAGGATCTGGAAGCCCGTGTTGGTGTATGCCGGCGTGGTGAAGGGCGCGAAGGACGGGTAGGCGCGGAGGAGGCCGTTGAAGAACTCTGTCCGTGTCTGTCAACCCCCTTCGTGCTTCCTAGGGGAGTGTTGGGTATTAATGGTGGTGCTTTGACCTACCCGTCCTATTGCACTGCGGCCACTGGCCACACGAGGGCAACATCGGATCCCCCTTGCTCAGCGGCGGGAATCCCAGCCCGACCGCCTCGTTTTGATCAAACTCCTGCGTGACTTCTCCCATCAAGCCATCTAACATCAATCAGTCAGCCCCCTTTTCTTTAACCACCCACCTCCCCAGTATTTAACAAAAGAGAAATACGCACAATCTCGAATAGCGCCGCTCAACTGCCCCGCCAGCGCACCGACAGTGACCTCGTCCCACGGCACATTCGCGACGGGGTCCGCTCCCTGCTGTTTCGCCCGCTCCGCCGCCGCCGCCAGCTCGGGCACATAGCGCGTGATCGGATCGTTCCACTTGCTGTCGCCGTCCTGCACCAGCCACGTGTACACGGTGAACACCTTGGTCAGGCTGCCGAGCCGATAGACCGTGTTGGTGTCGACCTGGGACACGCCGACACGGCGAGCTGTGCTGTTGCTGTTGTTGTTGGATGAGTTTGTAGTGGGTGGTGGTGGTGATGGTGGTGCGAGCAGCGACGGGGCCGTGTGGTGCCAGCTGAAGATCAGGGGCTGCTCTTTGCTGGTGCTGAAGACCTCGATGCTGTAGCTGGTGATGTCGGAGCGGATGGCCGACGCATTGCTCTGGTCCCAGGCTGTGAGCGTTGCCGTCAGGTTTGCGATGGCGGATTGCATGGCCGAGCTGGTGTTGAAAGTGAACGGCTTTTCGAAGGCTGGGCCGAGCGGAGGGCAGTTGGGTCCTGCGAGCGCGGTTGCCGCCACGATGGCGAGGACTGCCACCGACGTCTTGCTTGTCCACATTGCTACTTTCCTTACTCTTCCTACCTACCTATATGGCAAGCTTTAGAAGGCCCCGAAGACGCCGGGTTCTCTGGCGGGTCTTGACGTCAACTGCGCGAGACAAAACCATGGGGTATAGTCGGGACCTTAACTGGTGTCACAGCTTTATGTCTCTCTTGACCTTGTCGATTGGTCCTCCGAGAAGCAGCATGTGGTTGGGGGTCATAGCCACGAGTTGGAATACGGAATGCGACGCCGGTTCCTGCATCGGGTACGACATGAACATTTTGCAGCCATACTCCCGGAGTCCGGGGTCCGAACACCTTTTATCCCGGGCATGCTTGGTACCCAAAACTTGGGGAGGACGTCTGAGCGGAGTCCTGCCGAAAAATTGGAGGAAGACCGCGAGGCGAAGCATTGTGCTGATGTGACAGTGACCGATGGCAGATCCATAGATATAGCAGTTTATCTTAACAAGCTGGTAAAGGCCGGCTAAATCTCCCATATTGCCTTGCTCCGGAAGCGCCAAGGGACTCTCTCTCTTTCAAGTTACGGCATCTGGCTAATTCAGGTCTCCCCGGGCAGCACAACACTGCGTATGAATGGCCGATGCGGATTGGTTTTATTTGTTCGGAAGAAAATGTCTCTTGGATAGACCTTGAAACGCCCTGGGACAGGAAGAACCCAGGAATATCTGGGACAGTTGTGTAACATGGCCGAAGAACTGAACAGGGCTTATCAGAAAGACCTTCGATGAAATCTATTTTCATGAATCATGATAAAGCTTGGGACGTATGGTGTCCCTGGCGGGAGAATATCCACACTTCCTGCCACATCGTCCATCTGAATCACCATGAACTTGGAAAAAAGCCGTCATACAAACGCCCGCAGACTTTCCATGCCCATCCCGCCCTGTAGACGTGCGTGGACATTGATGAAGCCACCCTCTGGCCCGGCATCGAACGGCCGGACGAGCCATATTGACCTTCGTTTCCTTTCCCGCGGCGGTATGTGTTCCGGCGCTGAATTGCTTCTGTTAGTTATTGTGATTGTCACGTAATGTTCCTGAGCGAGCCTATACCTTTCTGTTTGGACCTCGCCTCTGGACCTGTTTGATTTCCTGTATCCGCCGTGCGTTGGTCCTCTGAGGCGCTTCCTAACCCAGAGAACCCGCCGCTCTCGGGTTTGTCAAACATGGCAAGGTATGACGTCGGGTTCTCCGACCAGTCCTCCGTCGTTCGCGGCTGGAAATCCCGGAGCTCAGGGACATGGATCGGGACCAACTGCGGCGCCATCCGCGGCGGATTGCTCCAGGAAGGAGGCTCGTGCAAACCTGGATCCGGCGGCGCCGCTTCTCCCGCCTCGCTCTTCGGGTCGACAGCTGCTGTCCCCGGCAATCCCTCCGCCGCTGCAGACGAACTCCCTTCCTCCCTGGATGGTAAACCCACAACATCGGCCCAGACAAACTGCTCCGCCTTGTGCCACCTCCTGACCGCAGTATCGATAATCCTCTGCTCCAGACCCGTATCCATCCTGATGCCCAGCATCGACCCGACAAACACCAGATGATGCGCCAGCATCTGGCACAGGTGCTCCTTCATGGCGAGCCACAGCGTCGGACTGCGCTGGAACTCCGGGCTGATGAGCGTCCGATGGTGCATACTACTAGTATTAGTAGTACTACTACTGTTCTCCCCGGACGAAGCTGAAGAAAGCAGGTGCGACGGCGACGAGTATCCCACGCCGAGCACGGCGCCCAGCACGAGCAGGAACAGCACCTGGCACGAGTCGCGCCCACAGCGGGCGAGGAACTGCGGCGTGAGCACGCGGTCGAGCCGGCGGAGCAGCCGCGCGCCCGACGCCTGGCCCACCGCGCACAGGTCCCGCGTGGTAATGAAGCCCCTGCTGCTACCGTTGCTGCTGCTGCTGCTGCTGCTGCTGCTGCTGTCGCGCCAGCCGGCGTGGACGAGGGATGTGGCCAGCACGAAGCGGCGGAAGTCGGCGAGCAGGCCGTCGTCGTCTTCGTCATTCCCCCGTTCTTGCTGAGGAGCCGGAAACTGCAGCCCCAGCAGGCTGGAACAGCACAGGCCGACGATGCTGCCGTTGGGAAGGTGGAAGTCTGGGTCGGTGAGCCAGGCGAACAGGGCGTTGTTGAAGGCGGCCGGGTGGGAGGTGAGTGAGAAGTGCGCGGGCGTGGCGATGCGGGCGAGCAGGGCGCTCATCCGCTGCATGAGCGTGTCGATCTGCATGGTTGTTGTTGTTGTTGTTGTTGCGGTGGCTCGTCCTGGACCTGATGAGCCTCCTAGTCTTCCTTCTAGCTGCCAAGGCGAATCGAAGATGTTGACATCGGCGAAGCGGGTCCGCACGCAGTAGCAGAAGGAGAGGACCTTCCTCTCGAACCCCTTCACGGCCGACTGCAAGCAGGGTTGACACGGGTTATCGACGGAGCACTGGGGGTAAAGAGAGAGTCCCGGTTAGGTACCTAAGGTAGGAAGCTAGGAGGATGGGTGTGTGCCCGGGACAAACCCAACCTGGATCTTGAGGATCCTACACCTCAGGCATGCACCCTGCCGTCTGACCCCCAGCACCTTCTCTCTCTCTTCGACCGTGAGCTTGGTGCGGGATCGTGGGCGTCGATCCGCAGTCCGGAAGTAGTGAAAGGACGGTGCAGGCGGGGTGACCACTGTGATCTGGGAAGGGGGCAGACCAGGTCTGGGTTGAACAAGATGGGCCATCGAGATGGAGCTTCAACAAGCGCTTTAAGGTTCTAGGGACCCGTGGCTCTGGGACGCATCTGTCGATGATCAATCGATCTGCGGTTGACTAGTAGTGTCACGGTAGCGTCAGAACTAGCGGCGACCGTTTGCTGTCGTGGCGAGACTGGAGAGCTGAATACCGGAGACTGAGGGACATTCTGGGCTGGAGCCATGGTCTGCTATGTAGTACATAAGTGTGCGCTAGTGTGGTGTGTCTCTTGTGGTCGTAGCTCCTCAGCTAGCTTCTGGCGGTCCTGTCTGGCTGACGGTTACACGATGCAATATCATTAACTTTTATGCGCCCCAGCGCAGGAGCATGTGAAATCCTGGGAGCGACTGGGATGCGAAACAGTGCCCATCCCCGAGCATTCCACATCTGGCTAGCCCGAATGTGGGGCTCCTGAAAGCCGGTATTGCTTGGCAGTTGAGTCGGCCTGAGCTGAGCCAGGCGCGCTAGTAAGATACACCACTGGGCAAGAGAAAGTGGGACTCAAGGCCGAACAAGCATATGCGCATTTGAGGCGTACTTTAGTTAGCAAATGGATTTCCGCTGTTTCGAGGCATCAACTGCGAGAGAGCGTGTTTAAAGCAAGCAATGGCCAGTCAAGATCCTCGGTCAGTTACCGTAAAAAAAGCATTATGAATCATGGGTGGCTTCACCGAAAACACGGCCCGTATGCATGCATCTGCGTGTGGCGCCGATCGGGTCGATCTAGGGACCAATCGGCAGTCGGGGTCAGAATGCCGCAAGCTGAAAGTTGCGCTGTGGGTTGCTGTCTGCCTGGGTACGAACCACCATGGCCAGCTGAAAAGCCAGCAGCACAAACAAGGAAACCTGGAAGCAGTGGAAACGGCAGCTTCCATCACAAGTTGGCGTTGTTGCTAACTTAGCAGACCGACACAATGCTCACCCGATGTTTTGCCGGACGAAATCCTGTTCGCGTTCCCGGACCAGGGCTCTCCTCCGTAACGGCTACCTACTGTAGGTACAAACGGCGCCGGTGACGGAGGCCGGAAGGCGTCGCCCATTCTACTTCGTTCACATCCATCAAGTCCTCAGGAATGTATACCGCACATTCGCGATTGAGATGCATTTTCCGCGCCAGGGTCCCGCCCCCTGTTAGGGATGCGAATTAATAATCAACCATGGTGTAAAGCCGCGATTTCCATCCTGAGGCTCTTCCGGCTTGTCGGTGGTCGGCCGCCGGCTTGGCCGAAACATCCAGTCGTCGCAGCTTATCTTCAAGTTCAAGGTGTCGTCACTACGAAGCGGGACTCGTTGACCGCACTTTCCCGTTCTTTCGACCCTTGGTAATACCCGTCAAAGAGGAGATGAGTAGGAAACTTCGTGCCTCACATGGGCCACCCAGAGGAATACACCGGTCGGTATTTTCCGGTCATAGACCGTCTTGCATCGTGGACTTTCGTGCTGTACGTTGAAAGTCGAGACTGTAATCAGCTGTCAAAACTCGCAGGCGAAAGACCTGGACCGGACGAGAGATAGGAAGCAGATCGCATTGAACTTGTTCGAGCAGCCGAACTGAGCCAATATGCTGGAATTTCCTCCCTGTCACCAATTGTACCCAGGAGGATCATATCTCGTGGTTCAGCGTTTCGGCCTAGGTGATATCCCCAGGGAGCTTCCATCATATTCTTGTCAGTACCTTACCTACTCGGCCAAATAATTAGCCACGGCAGTGATCGCCGGTGCCACTATTCTGATACTCTTTAACCACGACCCAGTGTTGGCTATACCAAGCCCAAAGAATCCTAACATAAGGTACTTTGCTGATCCTAAACAACAATCATAGGATCCCTTGCAGCTTCGACCAACACGCGTGCTACAGCCTTTTTGTCATTCATACTAATCCCTCGAATGAATTTACGAAAGTGACAAGCCCGCCTCCCTATGTTTTGTCTCTACCCCTTAGTCTTCCACCGGTAACATTTCGAAATATCCATACTTTGCCTTAGCTTTCGCCGTCCGCGGCACCGCCGTAATGAACTCGACATTGCCTTCATCATCCAGCTCCTTGTTCGACTGTAAATAGACCACACAAGGGTCATTGTCTGTGCTCGAGATGGAGCAATCGACTTTGACGGGGAGACTCCAAGAATCGCTGGCGGGATGTCCCGTGAACGCTTCTTTGATGTTGACATCGGGAAGAGGGACCACAGACCGGGAACAGGTGTTGAGAGCCATTCGTGCCAGCTGGTGAGACACTGGATGGTCAGGACGACTCGTGAAGTCCTCTACTGCGAGAGTCTCCGGGAGATCTGGGTCGAAGTGACACAACAGATTTCCTTCGATACACACGATGATTCGAAAAGGGTCTGAGGCGGGAAAGTCCTTCGGAACCACGAGAGTAAGGGTCGCTATTTTTTTTCTTTCTTTCTTTCCTTCTTCCTTTTTTTTTTTTTTTTTTTTTTTTTTTTTTTTTTTTTTTTTTTCATTTCAGATTCACTGTGCTATCCACGTATTCCGGAGAAGTCTTTTAGTGTCTGTAGACCTTAGGAAGGGGTTTCTAATGCAGACTATACCTACCGGGAATGAATGGCTCTTGCGGAGGAGCTGGAAACTGAGGGGCTGTAGGTGCGGTGGGTTAAGTGCCTGGATGAATCGGGATGAATGGATGGATGGATTTATGTCGAGCCCGGCAATAGCCGGGCTCATATCCATCCAGTCCAGTGCCCTGTCGGGCTGCGGGCGCCGGGCACCCACATTGACTGCAGGCTTGCCACTGTCCCGCGACGACGTTCTCCACGAAGATGTTGAAGACCTTTCGGCCTTACTATGCCACATCGCAAACAGCAACACCGCCATCGCCCCGGTGCCCGGAGACATCAGAGCTGGAAATCCAGGACAGCAAGTTTTCTCTCACCCGCATTGGCCTTCTCCTTGGTAAGGACCAGCACCGACAAGACGTCGTCTTGGTCGAGTCTGGCCGAGTCCACCAGTGGTTCGCCCGAGAAACCATGTCCGGTCCAGACCTCCTCGTAGGTCGAGTACCCACCCGCCTTGGACGACTTTAGGATCTGGATCTTCGTCGCCTCGAAATCCGGGAGCACAATGTACAGATCGCCCGCCTTGCTTATGGCCAATCGGCCGCGCGCACTGCCGCTGACGGGCCGGAGTGCTCGCCGAGACCATGTCCCTGGACTCGCGTCAGCACTACGGTCTACCCGCTGTTTCCACTTAAGTGGTCCTGATGTTCACAATCACTAACCGTCTGGGGACTTGTGATAGTGCTTCCACACCGGACCGTCGCCATCCCCATCCGTGGTGTCCCTATTCAATACATGGACACCGCCCTCCTGGTCGACTGCCTGCGCCTCCTGGTTGGTGAGGCCGGAGTGCTTGGGGATGTCAAACGCTACGATGCCCTCGGACTCGTTGGTAATGCTTTCGCCCTTCCTCAAGTCGGCGATGACATTTCCGGCGCCGTTCTTCCACGTGTACCCCTTATCGTCGCTGCACGCATAGCAGATGTTGTGGTTGTTCTCGGCGCCGTTCGGTCCGGCCTGTTGCTTGTGCTTTGTGTCCAGCGGGTCATCCCAGCCGTCGTAGTGCACGAAGCCGCGGTACACCCAGGTGACGTGCAGCCTTCCATTGCGGCAGTCCATGCCGTGGACGTACGGGCTGCTCCGGATGCCGGTCAGGTGCGGCCCGACGAACTCGAAGCGCCCGCTGCCGCCGCGGTAGAGGTACAGGTAGTCGTTGCCGAGGCCGGCCTTGCCGTCGCGGAAGGAGCAGAACATGTCGCCGTCATCGGCGAACCCAAACCGAGGGTAGGTCACATATCTGAAATGGCGATGGGTGGACGACAGGCCGGGCAGGTAATCCAGGGTTGGTGTGAAGTGCGAAGGTACCCACTCGAACTTCTCCGGGTCTGCAGCCAGGCCACGGACTGAGTAACGGTACCTCAGGCTGAGGTGAAGTCAGCATTGCGGCACTTTTCATCCTTGATCGACGCCCCTTACACGTCGCAATGGTGGTCGTATGAAAGATGTATGGTGCCGTCGCCGGGACAAATTCCCATCTGGACCGTGTTGTGTCCGTCGTCGGTCGTCTGTGGATAGTCATCGAGCACCATGACCTCCCACTCGCCCTGGGGCAGCCGTCTTCTCGCGAGGTGCACATAGAGCGGGTCTGAGGGGGGATTCGAGGACCCCGAGGGGGAGAAGGTGTAGAAACAGGCATACTGCCAGCCATTGAACGAGACAATGGCGTCTTGCTGGAAAGCATAGCAGTTGATGTTGAACTTGCGGTGGGCGGGGTCCCGCGCGAGGACTTGGACTTGGGGCTCCGGCAGCATCTTGGCGTCAAAGAAGGGATTTTAGAATGTTTGAGGCAAAGTTGCGTCGTCTGACGTCTGCGGACTCCCTGCTACCGGGGGCATGGGACCGATGGGTGCATAGCTACCTAAGGTACCTACACAGTACATACCACGCGGCTACCAGTAGGGTGTCAATCTGCCACATTTCATATCACATCATGGGCCTGCACCATGCCTCGCGAGTCAAGAGACAGACAGTCTCCCCGTTCGTGGCATGGTGTTGACCGCGATGTACCGGTTCGTCGTTGGACTGTCCCTGATTCGTGGATAAAAGTAAAGGATGCATTAATCCACGACAGAGATCAGCGCCTGGCACGCACACTAACATGCCGGTCAACTTGGGGAACTCCCCGGTCAATGGCTGGAACAGGATAGGGTCGGGTACCTTAGCTCGGCTGGCTAAATTGGAGCATCGTTTCGAATCGTTAAACCTTCCATACTGTGTACATGATAAACCACGATGGGTTGGAGAATGGGTGGTCTCTAAACCGGAGATTTCCAGCAGCTCTAGAAAGAAAGTTAATGGCGGATAGCAGGGTCCCGGTTTTACCCTTACGTACAGTAGTATGTGATTTGACACGGTCTGCCCGCACTGAGAATGAGGACATTGGAAAATTCGGGTTCTATTTCAAGCTCAAGATCCTCACAGTCGGGCATAGTAGAAGGATTGTGCGGGGCCGGGGGATCTTGCACGATGCTTGTTTTCTCCAGACTCCAGACTCCATCGCTCTTTCCCCAGAGGACTTCCCCGCCTTTTGGGTGGCCCAGTTCGCAACCCCAAACTTCCACCCTGTCTCTACCCCACACCATGAATAGCCTAATACGATATGGCACTCAAGAGGCAACTGAGCAGCGCGATAAGGATGGTTGCAACTCATGCGCTGTGCGCTGGACTGTGGGTAGGTGACTGAGTCTTCGATACAATGCCGATATCCACTCCGGCGGTACAATACCTGAATCATTGTGAGCAAAGGAAGTAAACTGTATCTTAGTCATTCAACTTGTCAACCAGGGACTGAAGCTGACGCCCCGGAGGATTACACGAGTTCAGATGTAAATCCGACTGTCGCCACACCGTCTTGGCGGTAGGCACTTGGCACCGGGGCGGGAAAGCCGTTGACCTGCTCCAGGGGTCAAAGCCCCTTGGCGGCGTCTCCTTTTGGTGGAAAAAAGAGAAGCAAGAGAGGCGAGAGCAACAAGCCGGATCGTGGCTTGACGCTACCTATCAACCAAGCGCGAAGGCACGCCCAGACACACGGCGCCGGGGTGACTTTCGAGCGGCGAGCGAGTTTAGACGCTACCAGGCCATAACCTGACCCGAACGGCGTGTTTGTAAAGTGCCCTGGCGGAAAACACCATCAAGCATGTCTCCGCACGGCCCAAGGTGTGAATGCACATGGGGCTGACCCGGGATCGATCCATGGGCCCCCCCCAATCAGAGGCGAGCATGCAGGAAGGGTGATCTCGAACCCCGTTCATCCGCGCGAATATCCATGGGTCGATATCACGGAGACGCAGTGTGGCTAGTGGCTACAAAAAGGCCCGGGTTGCTGCCGTCATGTCTTGCTGCTCCCGCCTCGAGTCCCGGTATCTGGGGTCCGTCTCTTCCTTCTTAACTTCTTAAAACTCAAAGATCCCCAGTATTGCACCTTGAGATATCCATCCCGAGTCCCGGACGTTCCCTCCTCCTCGGCTTGTCCCGACTCCGACAGATAAGCCGCCAAAATGTCGCTCTCGGTGAGGGTATTGCGGAAGATCGTGAAGAACGAGGCCATGGCCTCGGATCCTCCCGAGATCTACGGCTGGCGCGTGTACATGCTGGCTTGTTCGGTGAGTTTGCACCTCGTTTTGTTTCTCTGTGCTTACTCAGGAACGGAGGGGATTGCTGACACCGCATTGTCTTGTCTTGCCTAGGCCTGCTTCGGCGCAATGTCCTTTGGCTGGGATTCGTCTGTCATCGGAGGTGTCATTGTGCTGAAGCCCTTCGTCAGGGACTTCGGTCTGGGTGACCCCAAGTCCGTTGCCTCCGCCAACCTCTCGGCCAACATCGTCTCGACACTCCAGGCCGGCTGCTTTCTCGGCGCCCTGCTCGCGTCCCCCCTGACGGATCGGTTCGGACGCAAGTGGTGCCTTATCGGCGTGTCAATGGTCATCATCATCGGTGTTATTATGCAGGCCTGCGCGCTCGGCAACCTGGGCGCCATGTACGCCGGTCGCTTCCTGGGCGGCGTCGGCGTCGGCGCCGCCAGCACCATTAACCCCATCTACGTGTCCGAGAACGCGCCGCGCGCCATCCGCGGCCTGCTCACCGGCCTCTACCAGCTCTTCATCGTCACGGGTGGCATGATCGCCTTTTGGATCAACTACTCGGTCAGCATCCACTTCCCGGAGACCAGGATCCAGTACGTCTTCCCGCTCGCCATCCAGGCACTGCCGGCGGGGCTGCTGTGCGTCTGCATGCTCATGTGCCAGGAGTCGCCGCGCTGGCTCGCGCGCAAGGACCGCTGGGAGGACACCAAGCGCGTGCTGGCGCGCATCCGCAACCTGCCGCCGACGCACGCCTACATCCAGGACGAGTTCCAGGAGATCATCGACCAGCTCGACAACGAGCGCCGGCTGATCGGCGGCGCCACCTTCTGGAACCTGCAGCGCGAGATGTGGACCATCGCCGGCAACCGCAAGCGCGCGCTCATCAGCATCATCCTCATGATCTGCCAGCAGATGACGGGCACCAACGCCATCAACACGTACGCGCCGACCATCTTCCAGAACCTCGGGCTCAAGGGCACGTCCACCAGCCTGTTCAGCACCGGCATCTACGGCATCGTCAAGGTCACCAGCTGCATCTGCTTCCTGCTGTTCATGGCCGACTCGCTGGGCCGCCGCCGCAGCCTGCTGTGGACGTCGATTGCCCAGGGGCTCGCCATGTTCTACATCGGCCTGTACGTGCGCATTGCCCCGCCCAAGGAGGGCGAGGTGGTGCCGGCCGCCGGCTACGTCGCGCTCGTGTCCATCTTCCTGTTCGCCGCCTTCTTCCAGTTCGGCTGGGGCCCCGCCTGCTGGATCTACGCCAGCGAGATCCCCGCCGCCCGCCTGCGCTCCCTGAACGTCTCGTACGCCGCCGCCACCCAGTGGCTCTTCAACTTTGTCGTCGCCCGCGCCGTGCCCAACATGCTTGTCACCGTCGGCGCCTACGGATACGGGTAAGTCTTTTTTTTACTCTCACGCTCATTCATTTACCCACCACCCCCTCACCCATCTCTCTTCTGAGACCTGTCCTCCTCCCTCTCCACACAGGACTAGGACGCACAAACGCAAAGACTAACCCGTCTATGTTTATGATGATTATTATAGAACCTACCTCATCTTCGGCAGCTTCTGCTTCTCCATGTTCTTCTTCGTCTGGTTCTTCGTGCCAGAGACCAAGGGCATCTCGCTCGAGGCCATGGACAAGTTGTTCGGCGTTACTGATGTCCCGGAGAAGTCGGTCAGCGAGGAGGAGACCAAGGAGAAGGATGGCCCGCAGGCCCGCGAGACCGAGGTGGCTTGAATTATTAGAAACTTAGACCATGGAATACTAGTATTTATTGGTTCGGTGGTGCGGGGATATGATATGATGATGATGTTTACGTACAGTACGTTTTATGTCAAGGAGGTATTATTGTTTGTTTGGATCAAAGCTCGTCAATGAGGCTATCTCATCTTGTGAATTTGACGACTCTTGACCTCCCCAACTTGAGATATTCCATGGTCATATTCCAATACCGAAACTAAAGCATGCTGCGCGCATCATCAAACTGATGGGCGTTAAATGGGAGATGGACATGGAGTCATGAACATGGGTATTGGGTTGTCATTACACAGGTCGTCCAGCTTGATCTCATTGGTATCTCGTGTCATCTCACAATATGTGCCTAAACGAACAAACAACAACAAAATATCTGGAACACCAATCATAGAGTCGCCACCCCTCCACCTGAGCCACCATCTACCATGCATGCTGCTGCTGCTGGTGGAAATGCGACTTAGCATGAGCCACCAGGGCAAGCGACCATCGTGCCGTAGGTGCCTCCATCGACGCCGGCGAGCGTAAGGATGGCACCCACAACACCGCCGAGACCCTCTCCGGCAATGAAACCTACAGAAACAAGGGGTTAGCTTCGGATGCAAGTCAAAGAAAAAAAAAAAAAAAAACGAAAGGCCAAGAATGGGAAAAACGCTTACCGGCAGCAACAGCGTAACCGTAAATGTCCCATGTCCTCATGCTCCACTTCCTCCAGAGTGCGGCAACGATGGCGCCAAGCAGCGCAGCGTTGGCGAACACGGGGGCGGGGATGACCCAGGACAGGGCGATGGCGCCCCAGTTGGGCAGCCAGGCGCGGTACTTCTCGCGCGGGCCCACCAGCCAGTAGTGGCGGACGACGACCTGGATGATGGAGACGGCGCCCATGACGATGGCGAAGATGCCGCTCTTGAGCGGAATCTTGACGTTGGGGTCGGTGACGGCCTGCGCGACCGCCTTCCAGGCCGACACGGACGGGACCAGGAAGGGGCAGTGGTCGTCGACCTTGGTCGGGTCCCAGATGCACGGGTAGGCCGAGGTGAAGAGCACAAACAGGCCCGGGCCGAGCCAGACCGAGCAGAAGGCGCCGATGCACTGGGCGATCCACTGCTTGATGGGCGACGTCCCGATCAGGAAGCCGGTACGGAAGTCGCTCACCAGCGCCGTGGCCATGTCGGCGCCGCCAGAGGCGAGAGTGCCGGCGACGAGGTTGATCTTCTGGGCGTGCGGGACCGAGTAGCCGCTGTGCGAGGTGGCGCCGCCGAAGATGAGCTGCGACGCCTTGGACGCGGCCGTCAGCGGCGTGTTATCCGTCACGGCGCCGATCTGGATGGCGAGGAACGAGAACAGGAAGGCCAGTACGATGGCAAGGATGGTCAGGCCGGGATGCATCTCCCACTGGAAGTGGAAGATGATCATGCCGATGACCAGAGTGACGAGGAGGCCGAGGGTCCACATCCACGTCTTGACCTGCTGCTCCGGCGGGAACGGGTCCTCGACCAGGGTCTCGTCCCTGGCCCGCGATGCGCCGTGCTTGGCAAAGAAGGCGCTCTGCTTGCCGCGCGCCGTGAGGGCGTTGTTGATGCCCGCGCAGGACTGGAACCATACCGACTTGGCGCCGGCCCAGATGGCCTTGTACTGCACGAACAGCTCGGCCATGGAGCAGCACACCATGACCATGACGCCGGGCCAGAGCAGCCAGTACCGCGGCGAAGGCGTCCGCTCGCCCAGCTTGGAGAGCGAGGTGAACGAGTAGAGGCCGTTCCACTTGGGGTCGTCGCCGCTGGCATCGAGGCCAATGCACTCGCCGTAGTGCACCAGGGCGGGGCCGATGATGGCCCAGGCGATCACGGAGCCGGCAAACATGGAGATGGCCGGGTTCAGGCCGATCAGGATGCCCGAGCCAATGAAGGCGGGCGTCCACTCAAAGTACCAGCCCCACGACTCGATGTTCAGGGCCCAGCTGGTGTAGCCGCTCCAGATGTGGATCCAGGTGAAGACGTGCCAGTCGTAGAGGATGCCAATAGCGTAGTAGGATGCCACCCGGTGGCAGAGCGCGCCGATGAAGCAGATCGCAAGGCACTTGAGTTTCTTGATGGCGTCAAGACTCCCCGCCGCGCCCGCATGCATGGAGCGGATGGTGAGCGCGACGGCGGTCGGCGTGGGGAACATGAGCTTCAGCTCCCGCGCGACTTGGATGATGAAGAACTTGCGGAGCGGTGTGACATAGAACATGCCGACGAAGGACGTGACGAGGGTGATAGTGAAGATGATGCCGATATCTTGCGTGGGGCTGTGCCCGTTCATGACATCGAGCTGGTACATGGCGGGGAGCGCAGCCACGAAGATACCGCCGGTGCCGCCAGCCCCCGTCGCCGCCGCCTGGACGATGGAGTTCTCCTGGGGCCCGAAGAGGCCGCCAATGATGGGGAAATTACGCCCCGACTTCTCCATCAGCCTCAACACACCATACCCAAAGATGGCGCCGAACATGTTTGCGCTGAACGTGAACCCCGTCTTCAGACCTGCCACGAACGTTAGCACGAGCACAGGCATGGGAAGAGAATAGGAAGACGTACCGAGGTACAGGTTGGATGCACAAACCAGGGAGCCGAGGATGCAGCCGGTCACGACCGCCCTGACGGTGAGCGGGTTCTCCTCGTGAGGGATAGAAGCGTCCATCAGAAGAGGCCGGTAGAGATCCTCCTCAACCTCGATCTCGACCTCGGATCCGGCTTTCTCGATCGATACATTGTGCGTCTTCAGGTCGGCCGTGTTCTCGATGGGCGGGTTGCTTTCCGAGAATGGGCGCACCTGGGCGGCGGCCGCCTCCGCCTGGAGGTCGAGCTCCTTCTTCTCGTCCATAGCGCTGGGCTTTGTGTATTACAGGACCACCAGTGACACGGGCGGCTCCCAGCCTGGCGTGAGCGCGATCGAGCAACGAAGTTCGAGGTGGGATGGGACGTGAGAACAGAAGGAACCCGAGAGCGAGCGGGAACGCGGTGGCCCGCAGAGTGTATTTAAGCTGAGTCCCTCGGTCCGTCTATCGGTCATGCATCGAGTCCAGCATTCCAGACGAGCTGCCGTGTAAGGTGACTCCGAGGTCTTAGTCCTGCGCTTGGCACGTATGTTGGTACCACCCGTCCGAACGGAAGCAGAACCTACTCATTGTGTCCAGGGCTGGCCTTATCCAGTCGCCACCGGAGGCAACGTCCCCCGGGCCCGCTGCCATGTGCTGCTCCTCCATCTTCGGCCGCGATAAACAAGGATGCTGGAATGGACGACATCCCTGCCGGGAACGCAAACCGAGGAATCAAGCGGGGATTGGCCCTGACGAGACAAACCAGCCAGCAGCGCGCTCCCGGCCCTCCTCGGCGATCAACCAGCCAGTGATTCGCCGGAGCGAGGACAATGTCCCAGATTAGGCAGGTCGATAGCGACCCTTTTTTATGGAGGAACTGCAGTGGTCGGTGGTTCCCGAGGGTCCTGCACCAGCAATGGCATCAAAGGCTGCCGATCCGGCAAGTGCATGCGTAGGGCGTCTTGGTATACAACTCTGTACCAGGTATTTTAGCCTGCTCCGATCTGATGCTTTCGCCAACGCAGATAGCATTTGACTTGCAACTGCGTAGAGTTCTGTCCACGGATGTTGACTCAAGGTGCGTCTTTTGATGCGAAAGCTCGGTTTGCATTTGCAGAACCCATACTCTTGTACCTCCGTACGTGCCATATCATCACTTCAACCGCTGCAGTGGCAAACAGGAGATAACTTGATAAGATTGCCGGGTGGTCGCTCACAACATCCAACCGAACTGATTGGGCCGTCTGATTGGCATCTGCGACGCGCTTGCAGTCGAAGAAGGCAGGTTGAAGTCTTCGGCGCCATGCCGGAAACAGCAGGACCGGCAAGCTTGTGGGACGGAGCGGTTCAACAACCACCTCACGATCCACTGAAACGGATTTACTTACCACAACTAGTCTCGCGTATAGCCTTTATTTCTCCATCTTGTCAAGTCCAAGGGCGCGGATTCTGCTTCACTATGGATGTGTGACACGAGATTGGGAGGTAAATCGTCAGTTTTGCCGAAAGCCGGGGCGTCTTGGCATGATCCACGGGTGTAACCGAGCCGATTTCGCTAGCTGTCCGTCAACCACCCGTATCCAGGACCTGAGGAGTAATTATCTCGAAAATGCTGCATGCAGCAAAAACGTCCGCCATTGCACCTCCCTATTTCAGATTGTTTGCAGTATACATTACACCACTGTAGCTGTACACTTCAACATTTATCGATTCGGAGCCTGAAAAAGCTACTTCAAACAGGCAGGTAACGGTTGTAGTGTAGTGTGTTCTTCGAGCTGGCCATGTGAAAACATCTTCGACTCAGAGTCCAGTCTCGCAGATGCAGCAGGGTCAGGACAGCAGCAAGACAAGCGACCATCTCAGCCCAGGCTACGGCCCAGGTCCGGCTACAGGGGCAGGCACAGGCGTCTTCATCTCCGCACAAATGTTCGGAACCGAGGTGAAGAGCAATCTGACCGAGAGCGAAGCCTATGTCGTCGCCGGTCGCTGCGAGGCAGATCCGCTGCCGCCGGAGCTGCATCACAGGGCCCGGTCGTTTGCAGAGGGGAGCCTGCGGCCGACAACGTAGAGCGAGGTGGACGACGCTCATCGGGGGAATGTTACGCTGGGGAGGGTGAGGAAGACTGCTCGCTGAGACTTGGAAGTTGAGGAGGGGCAGGGAAAGGTCTATCGACGGTGCTGATTTGCCTGCCAAACGCATCACTCAATCTGCCTCCACAGGTATTGTAGTTACATAGTAGCAACTGTTTCGGCAATGTAATTTTGTAGCAATTTACTGGTTCATCTATGAAACGTATTAGTATGTATTGTACAGTGATCTGGCATCGTTATTGTCATATCCTTACCGCAGCACCTCCATCGCCATCCTGGGCCGCCCCCTCAGACTCGGCATCAGCACCAGCCCCTTCATCAGCCACAGTTTCCTCGGCGGGGGTGGCCGCGTGTGTAGGAGCCGACGGTCCCGGCGTAGCGGCTGCAGCGGATGCAGCGGCTTGCTCCTTTGCCAGCTTCTTCTTCTGGCTTCTTTGATACCACCGCTGGCGGTTTCTCAGTGTTTTCTGGAATATATCCATTAGATAGAGTCCTTCTCATTGACATTCTAGTGATACCTATAACATAAAACAACTTACCTTTGATGTGCTACCTGCGGGTGGCGCCTCGTGCGTGGCCTTCTTCTCCTTCGGGTCACGATAGAATGATACTATTAGTATATATCCATCTAAAAGTCTCAAGACCACAACATCAGTTAATCATACATGGCGCTTGTTCAGCTCCCTCATTGCTACCCTTAATGTGCTGGGCGCAACATAACCGGTAAATAGGGCGAGGGTCGGTGCCACTAATATAAACAGTTAACGTATTCGATAAGCGAGCGGTCCAGACAAGCGAACGGTCCACTTTCCACTACCCTATAAACACTGTCCTCAATTGCAACACACCAACACTAAGAACCAACTATAATTACATCAGAAACAGCTGAATCTGAGGATTCTGCAGCCTCCCGGCAAGTACGCGCATTATGGCCAGGCTTGCCGCACACACCACAGCACCGAACCTTCATACGACCCCCCCCCATACTGCTACCTTCCGGCTGCGTTTCTCCTACTACCTCTCCACCCACAGCCTTCTAGGCCAATAGATCCTATGCACCTTGTATAGTGAGTGATCCTCTAAGCTGCACGCGTGTTCTTTTAGCTCTCCGGCGCTTGCTCAGTGCCTCGTTGGCCTTGCGGATCGAAGAGACCTCTGACCGAAGGAGAGCAACCTGGTGCATTATAGCCATTGTACCCTTGGTAAGTTGATCTACAGCAGCCAACATCGAAGTTAGAGAGCTGTTTTAATAGTTAGCAATTCGAGTCTTGATGAGCGTTGACTGCGATTCGGCTTCTCGGGAGTTGTGTGGTGTCTGAATGTCATGAACCAACCATATATGCAGGCCGGCGGGGCCGCAGCCAGGCCGGGACGCCAATCGGGAACGGGACGCAGTGCGGGCCCCGGGCGGCTCATTGCTATTCCGGATGTTGCGGTCAGCATTTCTGTCAGTCGGCCCTACTTCGGCATGCATGCCCGGCTTCGTGGGGCGCCCGGGCAACCACGGGCACTTGTGCCGGTTCGGCCTTGACAGCAGGGAACTACAGTATGCAACTGGCAGTTGGGACCCACTTCTTTCGGTGGATTTGCATTGCATTTGAGTCTTGGCGGTGTGTCCAGGGCCATGTATTTAATCAGGATGAGCCTTCCTTCGGGAAGTGTTCATCATACAATCAATGGACCTTCTTTCAAACCCTACCTTTGGGCTTCGGCCCCAACCTAATCGTATACGCTGTTGAGCTTACGACCCTAGTCATCCTCTGATCAGAAGTAGAGGACTTAATTTATCTATGATTTGTGGCTGTCGAGCCCGGAACATCTGAACTATCTATAAGGTGCTGACCTCTCTCCTCCGTCACGCTGATACATGACCTTACCATACTGAGCAGTGGTGTGTGTCTGTGTTTGGTGTAGTTGTGGTGGTCTCTGCACCTGTTCAATATAGGGTCTATAAATACTCTCCTCGCCTGTATAAACTAGATGAAGTTCCTTGGTACTATAAGAGCATTGCTATCATCTATAGCGTCTATGCTTATAAGAGCTAAACTAATATCAAACTTATAAGTATCTAGGAATAGCTAATATACGCTCGGGCCGTCTATAAGTGGTCTCTTCCTCGTATAGAGCCGTACCTTCTCTATAAACATCTCTACGCTCTAGGGGCTAGCTTCTAGAGACATGTCGATACCTAGTATAGCTATAGGCTCGGAAAGCCTCTAGAGTATACCGTATCTATAGCTTCGATAATACCGGTAGAAAAGATGTAAGGGATCCATAGGTTGAAGGAGCTCCTTTAGTATGCTATAGAAACACACTCCTTAGGACAGGCGGCTATAACTATTGCTGGAGGAAAGCGTAAGAGGGACGGCGATATAGACGGCGAGTACGCCGCTCGAGCCGCTAAGCGCAAGAGGGAGAGCGGCGCCGACGGGGTGTACGTCGCTCCAGCCGCCAAGCGCAAGGGGATCGCCAAGCACAACGTGCCGTACCAAAAGACGCCTTCCCTTATCGTGTTATATAGTGCCGATAGCGATCCGTGCGAGGATATAATTATCTGTTCGCCGATATGCAGATCACTCTGTCCGCACACAGGACCTCCACGCCCACGTCGTCAGGCCCTGTAACCGGTTCGCCTGCGATGCCACGGCCTGCTGGCCCTGGCGGAGTTGCAAGCAGAAACCGCTTCTCGTCCCCAAACCGTGTTCCGAATCAGTCACTTCGAAAGACCGCTTCTGCCCCAACGCTTGTCCCATGCCGCGCGGAGCCCGAAACGACCGAATTACCTCCCAGCCCAGGAGCACCGCTGGTTTCAATCACGGCTGACCCTGACCCGGTGCTCACAGTTCCGTCTTCAGGTATGGATCGCCGCCTTCCAGACCCACAACTCTTCTAACCGTCGATCAAATGGCGACAGCTCAAACGATGGTTCGGGCACAGAGCAATTGTTGGACGATCAACTCGCTTCAAATAGCACTACCCCAGCAAGAAACCGAAAAAGACGAAGCTCTCCCCAGCCGGTCACAAGCAAAACGTCAAAGGCAGGAAAATAGAAGGCGCGGCTGTCATTAACGTTAGATCCTGAAGACAGCACCTTTCCTTACCCTTCCAGCGTGCATCAATCGCCTTGCATGCGATGTAGTGCGATGATATCGAGCCTGCAAAGCCTAGCGGTTGCAAGAAGCTCAGCCCGTTCCTCCAGGCTCCTTTGGCGGGCCGCTTACGGCACGATCCCCCTGTACCTGGGGTTTGGGATCAGAGGGAGTCATTGGTTGTAAATAGCTTCACTCTCTCCTTTTTGGAGGTTTTTTTCTGGCGTGTGTTGGCTCGGCTAGGGAAGGGGGGGGGGGGGGGGTGTGTTGCAAGGTGCCCCACAAAGGTCCTTTGTTCCCTACCACTGATATCTTCCACCCGACACCCTACTGCCTTTTCCTCCACCACTTCAACCAAGCAAGACAGACCACACAGAATACCACCACCAGTTCTGCCTTGCCTGCCTGCATTCCCCTGTGACAGTTTCTGCATGCCCAGCTCCACAACCTCGTTCCGCTGGCCATGACGCTGACGGCCGAGTTGGGTCCAAAACAGAGTCCTAGCTGGCAGGAGCGGACAAAACTGATGGTCATCAACATGGGAGAGGTAAGGGAGAGAACCAATGAAGAGAAACGGCTGCTTCTCGCGGTGTGGTATCTCAGCTCATAGTACGTCCGTCGGCCATTTAATAGCTCATCTCGTGTCCCCGGGAGAAGTTGACCATGGTGGTAGTGTGTCAACGAGCTTTCAACAACTCGATCCCATGAGATTCTCGCCGTACATGCAGCAATGCCTGCGAGAATTGGAAGAGGCGGGGGAATACTCGGCTATCACGCAGTGGCGCTGATTATAGACCGTAGCGACAGAATAAGACAAGCTCCAGGCTATCTTGAATAAGCAGGTCCAAACGAGAGGACGCTAGCTAAAGCTAGCTACAACCTAGCGTGCTAGGATAAGTTCCAGCCTTATCCATCGACTCCTTCGCACACTGGAACACACCCGTCCGTTGAAACGACAGACCGTAGCGCAACAGGAGAACTCGACATGTTCCTCCATGTCTGCTGTACTCGTAATGTTAGTCAGTGATGTTGGAAACAAAACATGACAGAATGGCACTGAACTGACACTGAACCTAAGGGTCGGGGGTAGTGCACATGGGATTGTCGCAGGGAACATGGCGTGGCACAGTCTGGCCACCAGTATAAATAAGTATGGCCTGGGGCCGACTTATTGTGGCATGGTTCGTCTGGGATGCATGTGAACCGGCACTCTTTGCATATAACAAACGAGTCTCGGGTAAACAAACAAACGGCGTGATATCAACGGTTGACTGGAAATGCTGTTCGAGTGGGCACTTCCCCATAGGGAAATGCAAACCTTTGTGTGCCGATGGCTGTTGCTCGACTAGGTTGGGAATTTCCCACCCCTGTACACAACCTATCCCATTTGAGGGAAAAAGACAAATGTGTTTAGCCCACTCTGCACGTAATCGGACGCCCTAGGCGTCGTGGGGATACGTCGGGGGGCGTACACGTGGTCGGCGTCGTTTGCTTTCCCATATGTCAGTGGCAATCCACGCTTTTCAGTGACGATCTACAACGACTATCTGGAACGCTCACCCCCCAGCCTGGCCCGTGCCTATCCCGTCTCGTTCTTCTTTTCACCTCTCCTTCGGATATATATAGCCAAATTACGGCCAAAGAACTCGTCCTCAGCTGGGAATGGCAACTCTATATATTCCTCAACCATCCGTTCCACACGCAACGATACAGGGTCGGTTCTAGGAGAAGTTAGATTCCTAAGTCGACATACCAAGAAGGGGGAAAAGGAACAAAGGAACAAAGGAAAAAGAACCTACACCGCCATGTTTCTGTCATCCACAGTGACCTTGTTCCAGATCATGATCGCGGGCCGGGCAAGATCCGCTATAATCTGCCTCACTGGAATGTCGGGGTTCATGGCAATGATAACGCTTGCTTCGTCCACTTCGAGGAAGGCTCTCGGGTCATCGACAACGGTGAAGCCAGCTTCGGATAGGACCCGCTCGTCGACTGGCGTATAGATGGGGTCCTGAGCATAGCATTTGATCCCGCCAACATCCTCGCCGTCGGCGCCCGTCATATCGCTATTTGCCAAGAAATCTCGGACTGCCAGGGCCAGGGCGTGCTGGGCCATGCTGCGCGTGATGTCGTTGCCGGCCCAGCTCATGGTAGAGCATGCAAAGGCGACAATCTTGTCAATGCCAGGTGGAATGGCAACAGAGGCGAGTGTGGACTTGAGATGTACGAACTCTTTGCTAGAGGCCAGGGACCGCGTTGCCCGCTCAAACCTCTGTTTCACAGCCGCGTAGTCTGAAGTTGGCCAGAGGCCTACGAGCTCATTGGTTCGCGCGTCCCGTATCTCGGTTGAATGGGCGACCTCGATTGGCAGACAGGAACGGCGTACTGAGTAGGAGGACACACCTGGGGCGGCGAGAAGACGCTCTATAGGATGATATACAAGGCGTGGTTTCGTCCTAGTCGAGGAAAAGATTAGAGAAGTATACGAGACTCGAGGGGGAAAGACCACCAACAGGGGTAGTCTGTCATCAATCGTACATGATACAGACGTAGTCATCCTCATACATAGGAGTCAGATACTCCCTCCCAATCTCGAGCGGAAAGTGGACAGCGACACCGTCGAGGCCGGTCACGGAAACCAGGCGATCAAGGTTTCCGTCGCTTTCGAATTGCCGTACCACGTCGCGAAACGAATCTTTGGTGAAAAAAAGGATCCCCGCGTCGTACTTGGCCTGGATTAGTCGATGGGCTGCCGTCATCCGCTCGCTTTTTTCGTCGAGGGTCATGGGAGGATCTGGGAGATCGGCATAGGCTACAACAATAAACACGCCATCGTCATCACCATCGCCATCAACCTGGGGTCGCAAAGACATAACTTCGACCTCTCGGAGAGGAAGGAAGAAGAGTTGGGCGTCGCTGACGCCTTCGAGCGAGCGACGTTGACTGAACGAGAGGGGCAGAAAGCGGGAAAGACGAGATTCAGGGAGGCCTCCGTGCGGTTTCGCCCACGTGACTCTGTAACCTAGCGACCACAGGAGACGCAAATCGCTTGCGATTTGCCCAGAGCCTTGAGGAACGAAAGTAGATCTGAGACTGTTGGGGGAAGGACGGGAAACTGGTGATGGTAATTATCGTCTGTTCTATTTGGTCGGTTCTGTGCTGTGGAAGGGGAAGAAAGTGGCATTAAGGCCGTGGGTAGGTGGCTGCAACCAACCAAAGCCGTGGGCAACTCTAATCCTGCAACAGAATTGTGACGAAACCACAGGCAGTCCTGCCTCTGAAAGGGTTCGCCGGTCGAAGGTACTGCTGGTCGGACTGTAGGTCTCGGTGAAGCCAAAGGGTTCACAACACTGCAAGTCGCAATGTCTGCACAGTAGGTGAAGGCTACTGTTTGTAATTGCTCACTGAGGAAGCTAGCTATCAGAATGAGTGACAGAATGGTAGAACTATATACAGCTTCCTCCCCTAGGTATCCTCGTACCTGGATCACCAGTGATCACCTCGGCCCGGTGATCATAGGTGAGCCGCTCACCGGAATCACCAACTCCCGATTGATCTTGGTGATCCCTGCCGTCCCTGACGGCCATTTGACCCGGGGTTCCGGGGTCGCGCCCCACCCGGCCGCCATATATGGTTGGTTCATGACACCAGGCCCAAGATACCGGCCGGCGTCGACTCGGTTAGCATATAGCCTAGGGACACTACCATCTTGCCTAGTAGCAACGACTAGAAGCGTTCGTAGGGCGGGTTCTGGACGGCCCTGAGTGCCGAGGAGGTGAACAGTACGACGCCGATCGATATGACCACGGCCACCCCGACGCCAACCGTCGGTGGGACCGGCGCTTCGGGCCCTGACTCGAAGGAGAAGCAATCTTGGCTGTCGACTGGGGCGATCGCGGGAATTGCCATCGGCTCAGCCGTTGCCGGGATGGCGCTGGTTGGGATTGTGGTGCTGTTCTGGTGCCGGGGGAGGAAGCGCCAAGTGGCTCCTCAAGCCGGGGAGATCCAAGCTGCTCCGCCGGCTGTTGGCACTTCCTACTATGACGGGAAAGAGCCCGGCTGGGGCGGGGTAATGGCTGAAGCGCCAGATTCATTGCACAAGATTCATGAAATGCCGCCGCCGGACAGAGTTTATGAGATGGCGGGTGATCATCCTGAGGCCATCGGGTGGGGCTTGGCGCGGTGATGCTTTCCAGGCTCATCCTTTGACTGTTTCCGACTAGTACTGTTACTTCAACCCGTCAAGTGTATATATACTTCATTTAGGAATGCGACTGAGGGACACCAAGAGTTTCATGGATGTAGATTTTTTGTTTGGTTAGGTCCTTAATCCATGCCCACTAACGTTGTCATGATCCTTATTGAGAACGTGAGCCAGTTCCAAAACTTAACTCACGACCGACAAGACATAGTACCGTTGTAGAAGATCGGGGGGCAAGAAGTCTCACCAGCTGTTAGCCCAGCATTTATCAAAGTGCGAGAACGCCTCTATATCCCTGTAGCCCTGAATTTTTCCAACCTAGAAAGGCCCCGCACATCGCGTCTAGACTCTATCTTCATTACCCCAGCCATAGCCCAGCGGTCTACTCATCCCTCGCTCGTCTTCAGAAGACGCCATAAAGACAAAGAAAACGCAAGATCACCCGACAACCCCACATGTGCGCCTTTCCACTCTATATCCGATGGAAGCCATCCAGTTCCTCTCTCACTCAGCCTCATCATCCGTATCCGGCGGCCGCGGCGTGCCCTTGGGACTATTCAACCACTCGATATGCCTCAACCTCCGCCTGACCTCCCGTTCCTTCAGCTCACGCTTCGTCTTCTTCTTCTTTTTCGCCTTGAACTTCATGCTCTCCTCCGTGACCGCGGGTCTACCGTTATCCTCGGCCCCGCTGTTCACCGCGCTGCTGACGGCACTGGAGCTAGGCACAGGACTGTTCATACCACTAGGCACCACGCTTGCAGGCTGGCTCGCATCCTCAAGCCGGTCCAGCGTGACGGCCGAGTGGCCGCGGTGGGTAACCCGTCCGTCCACTACGTGCCACTGTTCGGTGGCCAGGGCACCGACGAATTCTTCGTTGTGGGAGATCATGACCACGCCAGCACGTGCGTTACCCAATGTGCCAGCACATTCGGCCCCTTCGCCGCGGCGGGATGTAGCGCGCTTTGGAACACCTGGTTTCTGCCGTCCATGTCCCCACCAACCGAGAGTGGAGCCAGTGGACATCCCATCAGTGGAAAAGTGGCCGCCCCGGTGCCGGCTCCCGCGCCTGATGTCCATCGACCGCTGCTATGGATAGACTCGTGATATTCACTACCCCGAGGCGCCGATTGTCGGGTGCACCGGCACAATGCGTGTGACCCGACCTGCAGCAGGTTACAATTCCAACCAAGTCATCCGAGAAGTAGTCTCCCGCGGCTGGGGATCGCATCTAGATAGATGCGTGACTCATGAGCTTCCAGCTTTATGTTCATGCAAAGACCACCTATCCCAGCACCATCTCTTGTTCCGGTCTTATATGTAACACAATCGACTCTCAGACGGTAGGAGACCCCGAGTATTGCCAAGGACGCATGGAACAGGTTACAGGTAACCTTAACCACCTGCCAATCCAGGTAGCTGTACGCATGAGGGGCAAACCAGCTTCTGTGACTAAGCGCCGCCAATACACGACACTTCAAAGGGACTCCGTCGAATTCTTGAAATGGAAGTGTATAGTGTCTTTCAAGACACCGTTAGATCAAGTGAGCAGGGGTACCGCAAACAGCTTGGATACTTTAATATCAAAATCCCATAAATTGTGACCCAGTCGTGAGAAGATTGTCCCCAGATGGTCACAGGGTGTATCTTCTTGATACGATATGGAGAAAAGGATTCCTCGAGGCTAATAAGACGAATCAGATACAGGAAAAGTACGGATAGCTAGTTCAAAGCTTGTCTCCTGCCGTTTCTGCCAAAGCGTCGTTGTTAATATCGCTCCTAGCACGATGGAGCAGACTAGCGCGTCAGAGAGGAACTATCCGAGGCTTGAAAAAGTTGGCCGGCATCCAGTTAGGGCGGTTACCTGTATGTATTCCAGGTTGTTGATTGAACTGTGAGTGTGTCGATGCTAGATTTAGAACCCGATTCCAGGTTAGTAGAAGTATTTATACTACTACACCGCACCTAGAACCGCAGGGTCGAGCATCATCCCCGGCTACTTACCTTAGACAAGGACTCAAACCAGGTAGATGATTGCACGCGAATCTGAGCAGCAGACAGCACTAGAACAATGGCATTTCCCATGTCTTTGCCTAGGTACTCTGACCCGGGCCGGTTCTACACTGGAGCACCCATGCCCAGTTTGCCGATCTACTAGTAACATCCCGCAGCAGAAACGCGTGACTCAACCTTGCACTCCACAGGAAGGCCGAATTGTGTGTTATATCACGCCACCAACACCTCCAAGGTCGCTTTATTGCTGTATTTATTGTTGTAATGCTTCCTTCAGACCAGTGACGTGTTTTTTTTCACAACTTGCCTGCTATCTACGACGTACAAGCATGGAGCCATGAACCGTACCTGACGGTCCTGACCGACCTGATGAACAATGAATGACTCAGAGATGGTGTTGCTTCCGAGTGGAAGAATCAGACTTTGGTCAGCGCAAGGAGCTGATCTTCACAGCATATCCCCTGACTCTGAGCCACGTTTTCTCCAGGGCCAAGAGAAATCGGGGATTAATTCAGGTCATGGAGTCTGCAGCTTTGCACCAAGCCCAGTCTGTGAAGTCAGGCTCTTCGATGCCTGCTCGCTTAAGTACGACGCCCAGCGTAGGCGACAGAGTGACCAGCTTATAGGATGGCATCACGATGCTAGACTGAGAGCGTCAAATATGCGCCATTTCCCAAGGTGCTATCAGGGGTCGACGATACAATCTTGGTTGAGGAACTAATAGATTGGTTCGCCGTAGACTGATAGAATCCCGGCGTACTGCAGTGGTACTTATTTGCTCTTTAATTGAAGGGATAAGAAATTCCATTTTCCCCAGTTAGAGCATGCTGATACCAAAGACTCCTGGTGGCATAACGGGCAATGACCGACCATGGCGAAAGGACCAGGGAATGCATTGGTTAAAGGGGGGAAACAGACCCGCGAACATGAAGGTTCTTTGCCTTTTGACCATTGTCCAACCCCTTTTGCTTTGGCGAACGGATTCTCACAATTCGCGTTTCTATCTCTTGAGCACGACCCGATCTTCTAGTCAGATATTCGGGCCATGATGCGCACTCTTCTGAATAAAATTTCTTGAGCTTTCGTGTTTGGCTACTCGTCATTGATCGGCACAAACGGGGTTGCCAGATCAGCTTTACATTTGTACATATATCTTCACACCACCCCTAAACTTTGCTTTTCTTGGACCACCACCTGTCTCGAGTTTCTGTTTTCTGACGTTACATGAAGAACAGCGGATTGTGTTAGGTAACGTCCACCTGGGGTGCTACATAGGTAGGAATAGATACCTTAGCTACCAGGCAGCGTTCGATCAGCTCCTGCCGAATTTCAGACGCTCTTGCCATACTACTAGGTACCTACCTTGAATCGTCCGATTCTGGGGCGTTTAATTGGAGCCATTTAGTAACACAAAACGGCAGGCACGACCTGGAAGTCGGGAAATTCTTCTAACAATCCTGAACGAAACTGAAAGCGTTTGGACCATTGTATCCAACCCTCAAGCTTGCAGGGCGGTGCTTGATCCTAACCGAACTTTTCATTGAGTTTCGGACTTTTCTGCTATCCATCAAACCAATCCAGGCATTGATTTTCTCAGAGCAAGATCTTCCCAGACTACGTCTTTCAACAGCACAGCTTCCGTTCGTCATGCGGTTCTTGTCGTATTTCGTCGCGGCCGCGCTCACGGTTGGGGCTTTTGCACGAGTTCTGCCCCCTTCCTTGGATGACTCGGGCATCGGTCGCCCTGCCACCTTTTCTCTGAAGCAAGAGCGCAACCCAGAGTTTGTCCGCAGCGGCCCGCTTCAGCTTGCCAAAATCTACCGCAAGTATGGTGTGCCTCTCCCGGAGGACCTCAAAGCCGCCGTGGCACGAATCCGGAGAGAGATGGGCAAGCGATCTACCGGCAGCGTCGTGACCAAGCCGGAGAAGAATGATGTTGAATACTTGGCACCGGTTTCCATCGGGACTCCCGGCCAGGTGCTCAACCTCGACCTCGACACGGGATCCAGCGACCTCTGGGTCTTCAGCTCCCTGACTCCCAGTAGCCAGGTTAACGGGCAGACTCTCTACGACCCAAGCAAGAGCACCACGGCCAACCAGCTGCAGGGGTACACATGGCAAATTTCGTACGGGGACGGCAGCTCGTCCGGCGGCGATGTTTACACCGACACAGTCAATGTTGGCGGCCTGAGCTTCTCGTCCCAAGCAGTCCAAGTTGCCACAACGGTGTCCAGCGAGTTCACATCGGACCCTGCCAACCACGGTTTGCTTGGTATGGGGTTCAGCTCCATCAACACTGTGCAGCCCGTTGCTCAAAAGACCTTCTTTGACAATGTCATTCCCGAGTTGGACCTCCCTGTGTTCACGGCTGACCTCAACCGTGGAGCTCGTAAGTGCCAGTGCCTTAGACTCCTTGAAGCTGTGCTACCCAGACTGACGTGATAATCCCCGCAGCTGGTCGCTACAACTTTGGGTATATCGACCCGAGTGCTTACAAGGGAGACATCACGTATGTTCCGGTGGACAGCGACTCGGGCTTTTGGGCCTTTACATCCCAAGGGTATGCAGTTGGCTACAGAAACTTCGTGGCAACCCCAATTAAGGGCATTGCGGACACGGGTGCGTCCCTACTTCTTTTGCCTAGTGAGCCGATCTCGGAGTACTACGGCGCCGTGTCCGGCGCAAGGTACGACGCGTCCCAGGGCGGATTCACGGTTCCATGCGACACATCAGCGCCCGACTTTGCCTTTGTCGTTGGTGACCATGGTGCCACAATCACGGTGCCCGGGGACTACATCAAGTACGCCCCGATAGACGACACTGGAAAGACATGTTTTGGTGGAATGCAGGTGGATACGGATATCGGGTTTTCCATCTTTGGGGACGTGGCGCTCAAGTCTGCCTTTGTCGTCTTCAACGGTGGCAACAGGACGATAGGATGGGCAACCAAGGCGACTCCAGGAAAAGACGAACTCAAGACAACTGGTGGCGGTGCATGAGATTCGGCCGGGCTAGGTGGGAGAGGAGCCCTTGGGCTGGGAGGTCCTGGGCATGATGCGCCGGATGGAGTTTGATTGCTATCATTACATCTGGCTGCGGGATTTGGTGCTGAGGCTGTTCGGTGAGCCCGATGCAGTCCTTCGACTATTTCGACATGTATTGGTAGTTGCGGGAGACATGCAGCAAGGTGGTTTAGGACTCTCAGCTCTCCATCATTTACCATGAGAGTTGCCCAAATTCGTTTACAGCCAAGGAGATTGAGAGAATCGACCGCACTGATGAGTGATTTATTTCCCTCGCTGGTTATCCGGTTTGCTGGGACTTTGTGCCTATTACTCAGGACCAATGGGCTTGCCACGGCGTAGCAAATGACAGACGCTGGAACTGCGGCAGTAGATGGCATATATGCGATGGGTGTCGACTTAATTCACCTCGATGCCTGGAGCTTACGTTCCTCCTGACTTTGATACATAATTCGCGTAGTCAGTACTTCCCAACTTGTCCACGTAAGATACTCAAGCTTCACAGTCATCTGATGGTTAACCTGTTCCTCAACAAAAAGGTCCCATGCTAAACACTGAATGCCCGGCAGTCCAAGGTAAAGCACCGCTGCACCCCGCCGCTACCTGAGAGCAACAGTTCCGCGCCGGGTATTAATAGTACTTGGTCTAGGAGTAGTAAAACGGTGGACATATCAGACGGTCCATAGTTGTCTCGTTTCTCCCATGGAACCCAGTGGAATATTGTATATGAAACGCGCTCCGCGCTGGAACTTGTAGTTCAGTAGATGTCCCGATTAGGAAAAAGTGAGGTCGTGCCCGGGTTCGAACCGGGGTTGTTGGAAATGAGAGGATGCCCTCTTCAAAATCCAAAGTGCTAACCGCTACACTACACAACCTTTGTGCAGGATTTGGCACATTTCTTCTGACTGCGCTCCATATCAAATCAGATCAGGGAAAAGAAAAAGCTGCCACTTCCATTTGTTTTGTTGGGCACTGCGCTGCCAGTTTAAGGTGTTAGTACCTTGTTAATTACCACGCCCGGATGTAAGCCGCTACTAGGATGCAAACTGCGTCCCAGGAAGGTTGGGTTCGATTACCCGCTTAGCGCCAACCTAGTACGCAGCCATTTACACGCCGAGATCGCTCCTGTGGTCTCACCGCAGCAACCGGTAACCAGTCTTCGTGCTCCAGCCGCCTGCAAATGTCGATTCGGCCCCCTATCTGCGCGTGGCCAATCACCCGGATGAGCCCTGTGTCCAGGTTTCCTCACTTCTGGCACGATGCCCTCCGAGTTCTGTCTGAGTATCTTTTCCTCTCCTCCACGTCGCCGCGAGTGCCATGATTTCCTCGCACAGGGAAGGGCAAACGGCGAGTTGCAACCAGTCCGGCTCTTCACGCTTCCTCATCCTCTAACGTCGGAACCTCCACCTGGAACTGGACGTCACCCTCGTCCGCAGTCGGATCAAGCAATGCAAAGGCGACGGAGCATGTATCTGTCAGTCCTTTCTTGCCCAGGAGGTCGCTGGGTTGTGCCTTGATGTTCTTCCATCCTTGTGACAGGTCATTGGCGTTTTTGGGAAGGGCGTAGGCGACTCGGATATCGTCGTCGCTAGCTGGCACGGGTGTTTTCTGGGGATCGCCGGTGGAAGCCGTTAGACCGTCCGGATAGCGGTCACGGAGGATCGAAAGGAGCTCGGTGGTAAGACGCGAGAAGGTCCAGTCAACCATTGTGAATAAGAAGATAGTGTGGATGCCGTATTTCAGGCGGACGCTGATTTCGGGGTCATCCACGGCATTGCGGGGGACACGCGGCTAGGAGCGAGTACGGTGTTAGTGTAAGTCACTTGCATTGCGTTCGACAAGCAGGAGGAACAGGCGCAAGTCTTACCATTTTATGTGCTTTTTGCTAAATCCTCTACCTGGTAGGAATGCAATAAGTTTTGAAATCCGTTTCGCGGAAGATTATCGTGTGAGCTGCGTTGCAGGATAGTATCCCGTTGACGCGGGCGACGCGGCAGAGAAGAGCGCCTTGCCAAGGCGGGATCCCGCAGGTGCACGCTACTTTAGCGGCCGAGGCCCAGGAGGGACGGGAGCTTGGGCCACCCAAAAATTCACACCACCACTGCATTCTTCAGTGCTACTGACTGACCGTTGCATGTGTCAGCTTGACAGTTTCGTGGGCTGTATTGATTGATTTCGGCTCGATCGACTCGTTCCAAGCAATTTTGCAGTGGACAAACTATCACTGTCACTGCGACGGTTGCTGCGACGGCCCCAGACCCACTGCGTCGAGAACGAAACAATGGCGACAGCAGACGGCACCGCGCCCTCGCGGCGGCTGCCGCGTGAACTGCCACCGCCGCCGACACAGGCCGAGATGGAAGAGCTCTACCACAACGCTCGACTTTCTCTTCCAGCCCCACTGCGTATTCCACTGGCCTCGGTTCTGTCCTTCCTTGCTGGATTTACTTTGGGAACAGCCCGAGGGGGGAAGTCGGCAGGCCTGCGGTTCCGCGCCGAACACGCGCACAAGCTGCCTACGAGCATGACGGGCTGGTTTCTCTACCACAAAAGCAAGAATTACCACGTCGCATACGGTGGGATCCGTGAAGGCTTCAAGATGGGATGCAAAGTGTCGTTCTGGACCAGCGCCATGTTCGCCATCGAGCAGATGTTCGACTCGTACCGGGGGACCGCCGACTTCCTCAACACGGTGACATCTTGCGTTACCGTGGCAGGAGGCTTCAGTCTTTGGAGTGCGGCCCTTTTGCTATTGCCCTGTTGTTCGTGACATCTTATAGGGCTGGTGCTGACCGCAGCCGCGTGGTAGATCGCTTCTCACTCCCCATGACCGCCCGAACGACGAAAGCCGCGCTGGTCGCCGGAATGGTCTATGGCGGGCTTCAGGACCTCCTCGGCATAGCAAGGGGTCGTCCCATTGGATATGTCGACTGGGTCAAGCAGCGATTGGGATCACCACGACAAGAGCAGTCGAAAAGCCAGTAGGCCACTGCACCTCCCGCGTGGTCCGGCCCGGCCAATGGCCCTGTTGCGGACCGGCCCCCGTTCCCAATGGCCCGAGACAACCCCCTTCGTCCGTTCTGGTTTGCAAACCAGTGTGCATCAGCATGGCGGATGTGGGCGACACAACTCGGCAAGAGGAAGCGCGTTCAGATTGGCAACATGCCATTTTACACTTCAACGTAACGAGCTACGGATGAGCGCCGACACCAACCGATCCGATAGCCCGCTCGATGCTTAGAAGCGACTGGGGTTGCGTTGTTTGAGGGTTTGAGACGCCCCCCTCCCCCTTAGCCGGCGGCAGTTGATCTGACGTCTCGGCTCAACTTAATGTTGGACCCATTCTGCGGGCTACAGCGCTCCATTGTTCAGCGCGCTAGGAGACTTGGCAGGCTCCGCTGGGGTGCTTTTTGAGTTCTAGATGCACCTCGTGTGGCTCTCTTTGCGATGCCGGCAGAGCATGGCTTCCCCACACGTGCGGCTATCTGCGGTTTTCTGATAAGGGACTGGCGATAACAGCGTCGCCCGCATCATCCCAACTTGACAAAGGCACGACTTGACGCAAGAATGGCAATCATCTTGTCCCGCTGTTCTCGGGCCATTGGTGGGTTCTGGCACATTCCAATCAGGGTAGGATGCGATACCGGCGGCAAGGCCGAGAGCCAGCTCAGCTCCTTTGCTGGACATATATTCTCGAATTTGGCCCGATGGGGGGGTTGGTCCAACACCAAACATTCGGCCCCTCTGATATCACACCCACGAACTCCTTCCCATCCCACCTTACCCGCCGCTGCCCAACTCCACGCCATTGGTATTCCCCGCGGCATAGTGGATCACACAGCAGTGAACAAAGGATATCGAAAACGGTCACGTGGCGTAGTGTGCTGCAATGGCACCACTTTCCCTATCACGACCCGGCGTGCTGCCGCCTTGCAGCATAGCTCGGTCAAAAGCGACCACTGCGATCCCCGCTACGATATTCTTTGCTGCAGCTACTCATGCATTCCCCTCACCCGTGCATCGGGCTTCTCGAACAACTGCGAGACCAGCATCGACAAGGTCTATCCACTCGTCGCCGAACCAATCTTCGCCGTCCGGGAATCTCACAGCAAGCGACGCGGTCGGCTTGCCATCCACAACCACGTATGAGCATCAACCAGCCAAGATGGTTCAACCAGCGCCGTTGGCGGTTCTCCCACTGAGCAATGTGCTTCGTTCGCTCATGACGACGACCGTCTCGTCTTCACCCATCCTCCTTAGCCCCTCACTAGCGATCATGTCTGTCTTAGCCAACACCACCAACCCGGTACTCAACCCCGACAGAAACCCCTTTCTCCACTTCCTTCTCAAGAAGACGTTTTACGCTCAGTTCTGCGCCGGCGAGAACGCGCCGCAAGTTCGCCAGACGATTCAATCGCTCAAGAAGATCGGGTTTGGCGGTGTCATCTTGGGCTATGCCAGAGAAGTGGTGCTTACCGAGGCACAGACGAAGGATCTCTCGTCGTGTAGCACTGGGGCCGCCGCGGAGGACTGTGTGCGGAACGAGATCAACCCGTGGGCCGACGGGACTCTGGAAACGGTGCTCCTCGCCTCACCTGGCGATTTCGTGGCTCTGAAGTTCACGGGTGCGGGCCGACAGGCTCTCCACGCGCTTTCACAACGCCTCCCGCCCTCGGAAGCTTTGGCATCCGCCATTGACACCATCTGCAAGATGGCCGTAGCACGTGGGGTCCGTCTGCTCTTCGACGCTGAGCAGCAAGCTCTTCAGCCGGGCATCGACGACTGGACGCTCGAGTACATGCGCAAGTACAACACGCCCGACCGCGCCGTCGTCTATGGGACATATCAGGCGTATCTAAAGGCGACACCCGCGACGGTAAGCCGCCATCTCGCCGCTGCCCGTGAGGGCGGGTTTGCACTGGGCGTAAAGCTCGTGCGCGGCGCCTACCTGGGTTCTGACCCTCGACACCTCATCCACGACACCAAGGCCGACACCGACGCGGCATACGACGGTATTGCGGCGGCCCTTTTGCGGCGGCAATGGAACGAACAGCTGAAGCCGCAAAGCGAAGCCGATGGGAAGACCTTCCCCAACGTGAACGTCGTGCTGGCCTCGCACAACCGGGAATCAGTGTTCAAGGCACGGGAGATCCTTTCTTCCGAGGGGAAGACCGACACGGACGTGGTGTTCGCTCAGCTGCAGGGCATGGCGGATGAGGTCAGCTGCGAGCTCGTGGCCAGCAATGGCGCCGACCCGAAGCCCCGTGTCTACAAGTACCTTGTCTGGGGCTCCACGGGCGAATGCATGAAGTACTTGCTGCGGCGGGCGCAGGAGAACCGGGATGCGGTGCAGCGGACACGTGCTGGTCGGGACGCTATGCGTGCCGAGCTGATCAGGAGGGTCAAGAGCCTCTTTGGTTTGGAGTAGTGGGGGGATTTCTCGAAACGGGTTCTGTACATGCCGGCGGGGTAAGCCGCGAGGGGTAGGGGTAAGGCGGCTGGCGCTAAGGAGTGATAGATTTTTCCCGGTTTTGATGTCGTTATGACACTGGCGTGTTTAATAGCAAGGATAGAACCTAGCGAGCATTGGCCATTCTTGATGATTTAACTTTGTTTATGCGAGCTGCTTCTCATTCATCTATTGTGCCCGATGTTTGCATACCAAGATCCTCCCCCCAATGTCATGACTTGCTAGAGATACACATCCCAGCAGAAGCAATAGTCGAAGGCTGCCCCATGGGCTTGGACAACCTGACCTCGAAGAGTGGACCGTCCACTATAGGGCGCCGCGTCGAACAGTATTGGGGAACAATAGCCGCGCCCGCGAGCGACGCCCACCGTCTTTCCTCCTTAACAGGTTAGGCACGTATCCACCAGGCTCGCGCCCGCCCATGCTGAGGAACGGCAGTGGTCAACAGGGCTGACGATGCCATGGACATGTACACGTACAGTACATTGTTAGGTGGCGGCGGGGGGCTTTCCCTCATCAGCCGATCGGATTTCCCTCGCACCCTCCTCTCCATCCATCTACCCCTTCCCACCCCATCTCTTTCTGCGGATGGAAGCCTCCAGAGTACCCATGCAGCAGCCATGTTTCGCGGCGGGAACCAGTGCCATTCATCACTGCTTCTTTTTGCTTTTTATCTCCCTCAGCCACTCTTGATCTGGTCATAGCCCCCGCAATGCCATCCCCATAATCGCGAGCGTCTCGCTCTGCTTCCGCCTCTCGCCCTCGTCGGCAAGCCTGTCCAGCGCCGGCACGCCGTTGAGGCGGTAGTACTTGCGCACTTTGGGCCAGTCTGTCACCTGGGAGAGCTCCTCGTCGGTCAGGGGCGCCGGCGTGCCTTGGATATGTTGGGTGAGGTGGGTCCAGATGGCTTCTTGTGTCTGTGTTTGCGTCGGTATTGGCTCGTGCGCAGTTGTGGACAGCACAACTTTCACCACGATTAGGTCTTTGGTCTTGCCGGGCGTTATGCCCCATCTTCGGTAGGCATCCGAGATCTGAGCCGGGGGGGAAGGGGAGCTGGTTGTTAGCGCTATGGACGGTTTGTAGAGTGGATCTTGTTCCCCAATGGCACATGGGGTTTGAGGGGGAGGCAGTTACATTGTTGTTCGTGTTCAATGACACCACAATCTCGGAGTGCACGTTGGGTGTCCGCAGTGTCCCGTCTACCAAAGCGTTGAGCGCATTGTAGACGGCCGAGAGCAGGTGCAGCCTAGAGACGACTGAGGAGGCATCCACAAAGGCGTATTCGAAGTCGCTGTTTCGGGAGAGTAGTTGGGCGTGGAGGAATTCGCTGTTGGTCACATCCCGAAAGAGTGCTGCATACACGTCGTATGATGGTGGCACAAGTTCGAGTCGGAGTCTCTCGAGGGACATTGTTCAGGGTTCGATGTTGCTGGATCGGAGGAGGGAGTTGAAAAGCTCGTCGCGATGATGTGTTCCAGGACTATGGTTCCTTCCGTGTCCAGCCAAGAATCGATAGAGAACCCAGAAAGACCGCTGAAAGGTGCAGCTGCGTCTACGTCAACTTGACTTTGCCGATGCCACCTCCAGGATGTTCAGGCAGCGCGGGGCAGGAATGCGACTCACAAGCGTCTCCGTAACGTGGGGCTACGCCAAGTTTCGGGATCCCCAAGTTTGGCAGGCCCGCGGGTTGCCGAGCTCCAACCCTAACCTACCACGTGCCAACGTGTAAAGCGCGTGGTACTATTGTACCTTTGGAAAACAAGAAGCCCAGCAAGTAAATCCAATCGAACAGAAACAGAAAAGGGAAAGGGACAAGAAGAAAAGATCAGAACAGTAAACCTAAGGAGAAGAAAGATAAGAGAGAAAGAAAGGAAAAGATGAAACAGAAGGGGTAAATGAAAAGAAGATATGTAGTGTCTTGCAACTGCACAGTACTACTAGTAGTCCGCATCTATCCGGCCTACAGCGATATTTACCGTGCGGCTTAGCATTATTTCGTGTTTTGGGAATGAGCGAAGCATCTCTCTGTCACCCTTGTCGATCTACTATCGTGGATCATTGTAATGCAACCGGCAGCAGAACCGACGTTTTGGACGCCGCTGGACGCGACAAGTCAGTTTCCACTGTATATGTGATTTTGGTTGGCTCCCTTGGCTGGCCCCTGAACTTCCGGGGCACTCTCCATCGCTCCGCATCAATCGGCCATCGGCAAACCCCGTCGAGTGTGCGGAACTCGATCCGGCCGAGTCAAGGCACGGGTGATTTTCCACCACGCGCTGCGCATTGTGCGTAGGACATCGCGCGGCACAACATCTTTCTTCAGTTTCCCCAAGCGCGGCGGGAACTGCCGGTAGCCGAACCACGATGCCTCCAGCCCGCCCACCCAAGCGGCCCAGCGACGCGGGCGATGTCCCAACCGACGCCGCCTCGGCGCCCAGGACGAAACTGGCGCGTCTCGAGCGCGGACCCGAGGATTTCTCGAACGTGGTCAAGAGCAAGCTCCAGTCGTACACGCGCACAGGCCAGGCATGCGATCGGTGCAAGGTGCGTTTACGTTGTCGATGTTCGTCTCGGCCGGAATTTTGACAATTGATTCTGTCTCTAGGTGCGCAAAATCCGATGCGATGCCTCGCCAGAGGGCTGTTCCCACTGTGCAACCCAAAACCTCGACTGCTACGTCACGGATCGTGTTACCGGACGCACCGAGCGGAGAGGGTATCTGCAGCAACTCGAGCGCGAGAAGGGGGCGATGCTGGTCCATATCCGCGAGCTCGAGAAGCTGCTGGAGAGCAAAGGGGTAGATGTGAGGCCCTGGGAGTGGCCGGGATACAACACCTCGTACCCGAACGGCGTCACGTACGATGCGCTGGGCAATCTGACCCAGGACCCGTCCTCGAAGGACCAATGGCAGCAGGTGGGCTTGGTATGGGTCAAAAACCACAGGCAGCAGCCGCCACCACCAAGCACCAGCACCAGCACCTACACGCCATGGTCCATGCTCTCGTCGCGTCCCAAGGACAGCTACCTCGGCGTGTCATCAGACAGTGCGCCACTCAGCAACATCAAGGGGACGACGCTCTCGATTCTAGGCACCACGATCGACCTGACGTCCTTCGACGCCCCGGACATGGACGAGCCGCCGGCGGGAACGCCTATCGGCTCGCCGCTGTACAACAAGTCAGTCATGGCGTTCTTGCAGTCTGCCTACAAAGTCAACCCGCCGCTGGACAATGTCGAGTTGCCCTCCAAACAGGATGCCTTCACATACGCCGAGTGGTACTTTCTCACCGTCTTCCCCTTCCTCCCAGTCCTCCATAAGCCTACATTTCTCCACCTCGTGAGTAGCCCGCGCCCGTTCATCAACGTAAGGTATACTTGCCGCTGATGCCCACCACAGCTTACACGCATCTATGATGATCCGACCTTCAAGCCGTCCGTTGCCGAGTTGGTCATTGTCCATATGGTCTTCGCGACCATCTACTTCCAGTACGGCGTCCGAAACCGAGAGGAACCCGAGAAACACGCCCAACTCAACGACCTCTCCAACAAACATTACCATTGGAGTTTGAGCAAGTTCTTCGATCTCGCCTCCTCGCAGACCGTCACAGCCGTTCAGGCACTGGCCATGATGGTCTGCCATACCCGCAACTTTCCCAAGCCGGGCTGTTCTCTCACCATCGCCAGTTTTGCCTTTGTGAAAGCGATCGAGATGAACCTGCACAGGGCCGTCAAGATTCCAGGGGGCGGCACGAACCTGGAAAACGAGATGCGCAAGAGAGTGTGGTGGGCCATCGTTGGGCTCTTGTGCACGCTGAACGGTCGCCTCGGCAGGCCCATGCCCCTCTCGGTGGAGGAGTTCGACGTCGACTTTCCAGTCGCCGTCAACGACGAGTACATTGGGGAAGAAGGCATTCTGGATCCGACGCAGATCGGCCATTGCAACTTCCAGGTCGGGCTCATGGGATACCGAGTCACCCCGCTGTATATGGAAATGTACTCCAAGATCTACAGCGTGCGGCGGGACCCGAGCAGGTACGTCGAGGTGGTCAACCATCTCGATCAGGAACTGAGCAACCTGCTGGACAACCTCCCCGACGAACTCAGAATAGAGAACTGCCAGCAAACCAGCCAGATATTTGCGCTTTATACCCAGGCCTTCTGTCTCGAGTTCCGCTTGTGTCTTCGACACCCGTCCGTCTGTATGTCGGACGACCCGAAGGTCTGTGCGGAAAACACGAGGATATGTGAAGACACGGCACGGAAGCTGCTCAAGGTGGTTGGAATGCTGCTAAAGATGAAATCCCTTGACACGACATGGTATCAGCTGGCGGTGTACGTTGCTGCGATTTTCTCGTCGCTTGTCGCGCACTGGCAGCGCCGCTACGACACAACCCCGTTTGAGGTTGCCGCTCTTCGGGAGGATATGGCGTTATGGCTAGAAATCATCGGGGAAATTGGGAAACTTCTTGGTAGGGTCTATTTTGCCACTCCAACCCTCCGCTCTTTTTCCTTCTCACGGCTGACGCAACCGTAGGCACCGGTAATCGACTTGCAGCTGAAATCGGTGCCATCATTGAACGGACAATCGACTGGATCGAGCATGATATGGGCCGTAAATCCGGCTCGCCGGGCGGCCAAGCCCGCTTTACACAACAATCTCCAGCAACGTTTCAACAGCCGTCGGTGAAACAGGAACGGGGCGCAATGGGCTCTGAACAACAGAACAGCGGCGCCCCAAAAAGCAACCACTATTACGACTCCAGCGCGCCAGGCCCGGCAGCGCCATACTCGTCTCTGGGGTACAGCGCCCAGTCTAACGGAGGAGGGAGCATGAACCAAAACGACAACGGGACGGCCGAGGGAGCGGAGGGAACCGAGGGAGCCCAATACATGTATGCCGCCGCATCTGCTGCGACAGCAGCAGCGGCAGCCCACAACAGCACGACGCCGGTGGAGCAAACGGCCTCGGCCGAGAATCCCCTGATCGCTTTCGCCTCACAAGCAACACAGCACGTTGCCGGACAGGCAGCGGATACCTGGTCCGCGCAAAGCCAGCTGATGGCGCACAATCCAGCCGCGTCCGCCAATACGTGGCACGACTGGACGAATGCCATCCAGGATAGCCAGGACCGGTACGGTGCCAACACCCTGCTCACGCTCGGATCTGGGCGACCCGGGGATGTCGGTGCCGGCGCGGTGGTCGATCATGCCAACCAGGGCGACACCATGGGCAACTCGCATGCCGCACAGCAGTGGCCTCTCCTATTATTTTCGGCGCACGATGGGTCAGGGGGAGTGAACGGCGGTTAAGAAGGGGACCCATCTCCTTGCCGTGTTTTCGGTAATCACATTCGGAAAGGTGGTATTGATACCAAGGTATACGGGTTACTTGCGCTTCTGTAAACAAGGGGTGTCACTTGCCGACGAAGGCTGTTTGCATTCTGGGGCGGGCAGTCCGGCCCCCATGGGAGCGAACACGACAAATCTGGGCTGCGTCGTCCATCATCGCCGGCCGGTCGGTCGGTCGGATGGGACGGGGCGGCGGCGTTCAGGAGTTCAGCAGGGGTAGAAGGAAACCATTTTGGTTGGGGTTTGCTGTTCAGATATGTGGGAGTCTGTATATTGTTACTGGTTTTGCCAGCGTGTGCCCTCCGTCGCGGCGAGGACATCCACCTACATTTATATGTAATGTTTTCATCTCTCATTGGAGAGTTGGACAATTCGCTGCTTCGGGAGTGCCGCTGCCTAACGTCGAACACAGGGGGAAGGGCGCCATGATCGTTATTGCCAGCCCTGTGAGTTCAGGCCGACATCGATGGTACCTAAGGTAAAAGGTAACTCAGCTACTCTACGCAAGGTAGTATTAGTAGATACTCCTAAGGCAGGCAGGCGTGGTGCTGCCTAGCTGGTGATGTAAAAAGTCTGAGTGGGGCCGGGAGCATTACCAGCATCTACCAGGCATACCTTTAATAAATCAATCAACCGCCATAGTGATCCTTTGTCCGGTCCTAGGAGCGGCCATCCGTCCAACTGGCTACTGATGATGCCAAATTCTAATCCCCCGACATGATCAAAACTTTCTTCTCGTCTAAATCCAGCTTGAACGCGGACCCGGGAATGTTCCGAACCCAGGTCGGGTTGGCCTTCCTGACGGTGCCATCACCAGACTGGCCACGTCTTGGAATATGTTGTTCGGAAATGAGGCTAGTTGACCAATCGTCATGGGGGGGCCAGGAAGAGGTTGCGGCAGTCCTGGCACACATGGCCCTGCCAATGCCTGCGATACGGCCCTCATGGGCATCTCACTGAGGGCCCCAAGAAAGCAGCAGGGCAAGTCCACAACGACAGGCTGAATCAGGTATGTAAATGACTTCCTTCGTCTCTCTAAGAAGAACGAGGACAAGACATCACAATACCGATACAGATCAAGCATCGAACTGGGCAGGAACCCAATATCGAACCACACACTACTAACGCTAAGATCCCAATACACGACTAAGGTATGCGCTTCTTTCCCTCGAGACACCCTCCACGTCGAGCAAAAATACTAGTACGATGTATCAAACCTATCTAACACACACTCAAATGCCACAGAAACCTCCATCACTAAAAACCAAACTATAACCATGTGCCGCTACCGACACTATGTGTATCCCTGCGGCCACCCTGCTGGTCAGCGACTCGCCGCGGACTGCGGAAGATTTCCCACCTGCCCAAACAAACGCGTCGAAGTGGGACACAGGTTTGCCTTGACCTCGCGGAAGATGTCCTCGTAGGTCTGCCGGACAAACAAGTCGATGCATGGTGACTGTCCAGGAGGATGCGGACATTACAGGCTTGGGAATGAAGAATGTACTAGTATGAGAAGTGAGGTTGTTGGGTGTTAGAGTGTGAGGGAGTCACGGACGTGCAAGTGGGTTTAACAGACTTAGTACATAAGTCCTGAGGCGAGTGATATTAGCCCGGCAAACTCGTCCGAAGACAGATACGCTCCTGTAATAAGCTGCCTTGGTTAACTGCGGACTACACCATAGCCTGGTGCTTTTGACTTGCTACACATAATCAAGCGCCGATGCTACTATCTGAGGTTTCTTGGGCCTTTACCGCGCGGCACTCTTCGCGTGACATACATACTACTTATGTAGTAGGTACCTTGCATTAATTACTATGTGCCCCTGATGACCTGATCCCTCTACTCCTCGATACCTTTGTGTAGTGGGAGCACTTGGGTCATCCTTCTTCCTCTTCCTCTTCTACTCTTCACACTCAATCAACCTGGAGATGCCATTTCAAGACGGCCATTGCTGAGAGGACCTTGCATTTCACAGGCTGGCGGCAGGTAAGACCAGGGCTAGTACGGTTTAGTGCCTGACAGACCAGTATCCGTAGAGACAAGGTAGACATGTAGATTAATACTCTCTTGCTTCTGCGGTGCATACGACTACTACTACTAGTGCTACCAGTAACCACTCAACTTCGTGTTGGGTATAAAATAAACGAAGCTGTGAACAATCTGAAGTGAAGATGGATGTAAGTACCCCGTCCCCCGTCCCCCGCCACCTGTCCCCTTTCCCTTTTCTTTTGTTTTGCAAACTTGAACTGTGTGAATCCCTTCAGCGAGCCTCCTTCAGACCAAAGTCGCTGTCCAGGTCCCTGCGCAGGCGGACCTGGCGCTCCAGGAAGGTGGCCAGAAAGCCCAGGACGGCCAGGGCCAGGAAGATGATCCAGACGAGCTTGAAGCTGGCGGCGAAGGCGGCGAGGATCTGCTCCTTGACCTGGTCGCCGAAGGCCGAGACGAAGGTGGCCGAGGCGTGCTCGTAGGCCTGGCCGTTGCTCAGCTGGGCCGTGGCGGCGGCGTCCTGGATGGAGTGCAGCGAGGCGGCGAACTGGGCGTTGAACACGGCGTTGGGGACGGCCACGCCGAGCAGCGAGCCGAGCCCGCGCAGGAAGGCCCACGAGCCGGTGGCCGCGGCGTTCTCCTTGTCGGTCAGCTCGACCAGCACGGTCGGCAGCGTGGTCGACACGATGATGCCGGAGCCGATGCCGACCAGGAACGACAGCACGATCCACAGCCACACGGCGCGGGACGACTCGAAGGCGATGCAGGGCAGCAGGCCGGCGATCATCAGCACGAAGCCGGCGCGGTGCATCAGCCGGTACTTGCCGAAGCGGGCCAGCAGGGGGCCACCGACGGCGGCGAGGATGACGATGGTCAGGCTGCAGGGCAGGATCAGCACGCCTGACCGGGCCGGCGAGGCGGCCAGCACGGCCTGGAAGAAGGGCGGCAGGTAGAACTGGAAGCCGTAGGTGATGAAGCCATGCACGGTGGTGACGACCAGCGCGGCGACGGTCGTGCGGTTGGAGAAGACGTGCGGCGCCATGATCGGGTGGGCGCAGCGGCGGCACCGCTCCCAGAAGACGAAGACGACGATGCCGGAACAACCCCCCGCGAGGGCGGCCACGATGGGCGCGTCGGCCCAGGCGTACACGGTGCCGGCCAGGCTGAGGGCGCACAGGATCAGCACGACCGAGGCGGTCAGCAGCAGCAGGCCGGCGTAGTCGACGCGGCCCATCTGCTGGCGCACCGACAGGCCCTGCCACGAGTCGCCGCTGTGCAGCTGCAGCCAGAACCACATCAGCACCAGCGCGACGATGCACACGGGCAGGTTGACGCCGAAGCACCAGCGCCAGTTGGTCTGGGCGAAGACGCCGCCGAGCAAGGGCCCGACGGTGGTGCCGAGCGCGTACACGGCGGCCTTGATGGCGACGTAGTGGCCGCGCTTCTTCAGCGGGATGATGTCGCACAGGATCAGCTCGGCAAACAGGTCGATGCCGCCGGAGCCCATGCCCTGCACGACGCGGCCCAGCACGAGCACGGCGGCGCTGCTGGCGTAGCCGGCCACGGCGCTGCCCACGCCGAACACCACCACGGCCGCCATCATCAGGTGCCGCCGCCCCCAGATGTCGGCCAGCTGCCCGTACAGCGGCTGGAACACGATCGACGCCAGCAGGAACGCCGTCGCCACCCACGACGACGCCGGGCCCAGCCGCAGCGACCGCGAGATGGTCGGCAGCGCCGTGCTCACCACGCTGCCCTCGAACGCCGACAGCAGGATCGGGATGCACAGCCCGACGAAGCACCGCCAGAACCCCACCCCGCGCGTCCACCCGGCGTCCGACGGCGGTTTGGAACTACTACTAGTAGTAGATTTGGGATCGTCTGCTTCCACGCCGCCTGCTTCCAGCCCTCCTCCTCCTCCTTTCTCCTCGGCGTAGGGGAACGTTGCCGACGACGACGACGATGATGATGAGACCGGCGAGTCGGGCATGAAGGGGGGAGCCGTCCATCGATGGTGCCGTGGTGGCGGAGGAGCCAGCGCCGGGCTCGGCCTCGGAACCACATGGTCATGGTCATGGTCATGGTCATGGTCGGTGTTGATGGAGATGGATATTCTCCCTCCCTGGCCCTGTGGGTGTTCAGACCTCGGAGCCCATCGGTGTGCTGAGTTCAGTGAGTTGTGGGTGGTGTCCATGTCCATGACGGCCTCGGGGCTTGGGACGAATTGGGCCGATAGTACTAGTACTAGTACAGTAGTAGTAGTAGTAGTAGTAGTAGTATAACCCCCTGTGTCGAGTGCAGCGAATGTAAACTCAGCCGGGTACCACCAAATGGCCTCTGTGATGCTGAGATAGGAACAAACAAACAAACACCTGGAGAGGTTGTCGACACGGGAGGGAAGAGCAGAGCTTGGTGACCCAGCAGCGTCCTTCACTCTCTCTCATCGTTGTCTTCCGCCATTTTAAATGCCAGCCCATGCCGATCTCTCCTCGCAACTTTGATGTCATACCTCGAACGAACATGGATCACGATGCCCCCATCCCCCCCTCTCCTTGTGCGGCTTCCTTCTTCAAGACATTCTATCTAAGACATCGGTGTTAAACCATCTCAGTCGGAGAGGGGATAGCGGAGGCGGAAGATGACCCAGTGACTTCATCGGTCTGGGTCTCAAACTGCTTCGTTTCACCGTTTGTGTTCCGTGATCTACTACTACTACTAGTACTCAACGTCCTTCATCCGGTGCTCCCCCGGGTCCCGGGTGCTGCAAGTGTTGCTCTCCTCGTGGGCGTGAGAGCTAAAAGATCGAGTCTCAGAGAAAGTGTGTGTGTGTGACAGAGAGAGAGAGGTTTGAGTTGTGTATCCCCACTCCCCATCCAGTCAGACCAACAGCTTCCTTGCCCCATCGACGTCAAAGGTCTCTCCGAGCAATGTGTGTGCCGTCATCGACCGGTCTCAAACACCCCACCCCCTCCCGGGTCCCGTACGCCGTCTCTGTGGTACAGTGGGGATCGAAGATCGGGGCGGCCCCGATCTGTGTGCTTGTTGTTGAGCCTGTCTTGCCTTTCTTCTCGTCCTCCTTTCTCTCGTGAACCCTCTACTAACCCTGCCTTGGCAGCCATCACCGATGCGGGGTGCTTTCGGTCACAGACCCTTCCCGTCTGGTGTCGCAAACACAAACATTGTGTGCCCCGGCCCATCCAGCACAAGGTAGGGTGGGTAGGCAGGGTTGGTCGGTTGTCTAAGGCAGGTACAGACTACAGACTGTAAGACTGCTGCACCTTGCCGTAAAGGGGAACTCTCGGATTGCCGTCACACGTTATCCCGCAGCATGTTTGTAGTCATAGCCTGGGCCCGGAATAATCACCGGGGGCCGGGCTCCCCCAGCCAGGTAGGTATGCTTGGGTCTACAGTTCTACAGCCGTAAGGGAAAAGATCGTCTTTTTTATTTTCCTCCCTCAGAAACAGAGTGCTCTGCAGAATATTGCCGTCTTGGGACTGTCGGTCTCGAGTAATACGAGCCTGGGCATGGAAAATTGCTCTGCCACGCTTACAGACTTGGCCCTGTCAGCGGAATGTTGTCCTCCCGTAATAATGTACATACCGCTGGGCGCACAGCTTGGCGCTGCGAACTCTACTCTATGAGTTGGTATCTTATTAGGCTATTATACGGAGTCAGATATTCCGCGTCACAGCAAAAGAAGAACAGGCCATTCGAGGTAGTGCTCATGTTTCTAAATCAAGCATACGACTCTTACGTGTCCAGCCCAGCAAAGCGAGAAAGATGCTGAATTCTGTCGTAGTCTCTCTGTCTCTCTCTCTATCTCTCTCTCTCTTACTAGCAGGATCGTCGGTGGCCGGCCCCATTACGAGGATGAGGTCCCAGGAATGCGGGTCGAGTTGGGCTTCCAAGTTTTTTCATGTATTTAACGTGCCAGTTGTACCTCGCCCTTGTGTCCCCGAGCCTCAACGGTTCACAATATCTTGTCTCTCCACAAAGTTCTGTGCATCGTCTTTCACTTTGCAAAACGACATCGAAACAAGCTACGACAACACCATGACTGCCTCCTCGCCCCTCCCCCGAGCCCTGCTGCTAGTGGCCGTGTTGGTCACGGCAGCAGCCAACGGCAACCCGATCGATATGGCGGCAGCATCCCCCAGAGGAGACACAGAAATCACGCCCTGTGCCACGTTCAAGTGCACCAGAGACACCGTCTGCAAGGTGGTGGACGGCCAATACGCCCAGTGCGTCCCCATCATCATCACCGCGGGTGTCCCGTGCGGCAACAACACGGTGTGCGAGGCCGGGGAGTCCTGCTGCAACCCGTCGTGCGGCCTCTGCGTCAAGCCCGGCATGGCCTGCACGGCGCATATCTGTCCGCCCGGCCCCAGCATTCCAGTCACGCCCCCCGATGACGACAACAACAACAACAACAACAACAACAATGGCACAACAACAACACCACCAACCCAGTGCGGTTCGACCCAATGCAAGCCCGGTCTCGAGTGCTGCAACCCGAGCTGCGGTATCTGCGTGGAACCGGGTAAGGGGTGCACGAAACAGCTCTGCCCTCCGAAAAAGGGGGAACCGTGTGGCAAGACTGTCTGCCAGGCTGGCCTCATCTGCTGCAACGCGAGTTGCGGCGTGTGTACCGCCCCTGGGATGGCTTGTACGCAGCACGCCTGTGAAGATTAACTACTAGTACCTAGGTACCCAGGGAATCAAGGAGGTTGCATACTAGTACTACAAGAAGATATGTGATAGTGACACAGCGAAAGGTGGTAGGAATAGCTCTCGTATGTATTATGTATCAAACGGGGAATGGAGAGGAATGTAGGAGTGACAGTTTAAACCGCGTGAGGTGAGCCGAGTTCCAACAACCAGTACTAGGACTACTAGTAATTTTCCATCCATCCTACCTACTCATTCCCCCTCGGCCGTGGCTTCGGATAACAACCTCTGGTACGCCTGCATCCCCCGTCTTGCGAACTTCCTCAAGTCGTCCCCATACTTCTCCTCGAACCTGCCATCAAACACTTCGATGCTGCACCATCCCTTGAAACCGGTCGCCAGCACGGCTCGGACAAATTGCTTGATCGGTGCTGGTAGATAGCCGCCGTCGTACCTGGCCCACTCGTTAGCTTGTTCTTCCGTATACAGATGAGATAACATAACACCGCGTTCCACCGGGGGTGTGCCAGATGAGACAAAGTAAAAAGGACACATGACATACGGGAGAGGTCGCTGGTCGTGACTCCATCGCCCCCGCGGCCTGAGACCAGACTCCGGGTCTGCTTCTTCTCCCAATGGCGGATCCGGGCGGTATGCGTCGCTGATCTGGAGGAAGAAGATCTTGTCCGCCGGCACGGTTGTGGCCAGCCCCTCGAGACTGGCGGCGTAGGCCTCGCACAGCTCCTCTTCCACCGTGGTGATGCCGCCGGCTGCCTCGATCCTTCCCGACTTCGTCGTCGGGTCCGCCCACTCGGACCCCGCGGTCTGGAAGGTGTCGAGACACAGGCCGAGATTGGGCCGGTCGGCCTTCTGGACGATGTCCCAGACATCCCTCCACCTGGGCGCACGTGTGGCCCAGCACCAGTTCTCATAGGCAAGCCGGAAGCCGCGCGCGGCCAGCATGTCGGCCAGGCACGCGAGGTCGGCCGCCAGCTGGTCCACGTCGCGCGACATGTCCGGTGAGTCAGAGGAGCCGACCTGCAGCATGTCGGTGCCCGCGGCCTCCATGATGTCGATCCATGCCTCGGCCCGCGCGAACGCCTCCCGCCGCTGCGCGCTGCCCCGCGGCCATCCCTCGAAGTTGGCAAACGGCTGCAGCACGAGGATCTTTAGCCCGTGCCCGGCAACCATCCTGCCCACGGCCTTCGCGGCCTCGCACAGCGAGCCGTAGTCGTCCGCGGCGATGTCGCGCCCGAAATGCCGGCTGGCGTAGGCCTGCAGGTCAGGAAACGACAGCTCGATGCCGTCGAAGCCCGCTTCCCGGATGGCCTCGACCTTCTGGTGCAGCGTATGCCGAGGTAACCCGATGGAGCACGAGGCAAATGCCACGGGGAGATGAGACGGTGCACGGTTCAAGTTCTGAGACATGCTAGGCGAGTGTGGCGCGTGTGTATAGAAGGGAGAAGGGAGACGAAACAAAACAAAATAAATGATTTTGTATAAGAGCCTGAGACTGAAAACGATTAGTGCTTAGTGCAAAACATTAAGTTTGTCTCGTTTCTGATATTTCTTTCTTCACAGGTGATCGCAACTCACAGGGAAGTGGTTCTCCCACCAACTTGGGTTGAACCTGATGGATGATGTCACCGGCTACGGTGGTGGCCCCACACAACTTGACTTGGGATGAACACAAAAACAACAGATCTACATAATAAGGAACCCGGAAGGTACTACCTGTACTAGATTTGGTCGGTAATCTGGGAAGGTGCGTTCTGGGGCGTGGGGTGCAGAAACCGAACTGAACTGGATCTCTGAAATCCTCAGGACTCTGCGAATTCATCTCACAGCACCCTTATCATCATCATCAGCTTGGTCTGGGTCGGTGTCCCAGTCTCATGGATGATCAATCAACCGACTCATCTGGCCACGGCCATCAGACCATGTTCCAGTCATTCCCACATTCTTGTATGTGAAGCTTCCTGATAGCACGCCGTCTCAGGTCTCGGTGAGATTTCTCAGAGTATAGACGCCCGCTTCGCAACAGACAACGATTGATACACACGCACAAGGGAAATAGAACGGCAATATAGGTAAGCCAGGTATTAGCTGGGTAGACCAGGGCCCTGCCTGCCACAATTCAAGTGCTGTCAATCCTCCATGTGAGAACCGTGACTCAGTGACCGCGAGCCGGAAGCATGTGACACCTGTGCCCTAGGTGGGACGCTCGAGGTAGCACAGCGTTAGGAAGATGGCCAGCTTGAACAAGATCACGTACCACAGCGATCACAAGCAGACATCCCAGTATGCACCAAGAGGCAGGGCCTGTCCCCCCAGAGTTGTCCTCAGGACCTGACAACTCAGAAACGTAACCTGAATCTCGATCAGCGATGATCGAGGACCGTGCCACCTTATCAGCATGTACAAACTTTAGGTTGGGTATCATTCGATCTAACCAGCCTTGTGAAGACTGGAAGCCGTTGCACACACTTCTTGGTCGGCAGGATCCCTGGAAGCTTAACGGCACCTTCAAGATTTCGACAAACCCTGGTTACTCCATGTATGCTTTGGGTACTGACTACTAGTAGGAATGCAAAACGACATTCCCACCCAATCTAACCATGTGCTTCATTCAGCGACTGCTGATCTATTGGAAAGAAACAAACGCTATCGAGGGGTCGACTTCATCATCATTCGACTATGACAGCTTAAAACGGAGTGAGGCTCCGCGATTCACCACAGCAGGCAAGATGAACCCTTAATGCAGTGGGGTAGAACTCCAAATCACTCTGGTAAGCGACCCAGCCCTTTACTCCTCACTGGTGGTTCCCGAGTCATCACCACTGGCATCTTGCTTGAGGACCGCCGCACCCTTATCCCTGCGGGCGGTCTTCCCCTTCTCTCTCTTGCCGCGCAGATTGGCGGGCACCTCCTTGCGGACCTGGCCGTCCTCCAGCAGCAAGCCGATGTCGGGCCGCCGGGCGACCGCCTTCTTCCAGAGACTCTTGGGCACCTCGTCGGCGGTGATGATCATGCCACCGTCGCTGCGGTGCCAGGTGATGCTCGGCTCCGCCTGCAAAGCCGAACGGAGGTGGATCCACACGCTGACTTCGGCGGCGTCCCCCGCGGCGGTGCCGGGAGTCTGGCGTGAATATGATTCATTGCCCTCTTCGTCCACGGTGACCGGTACGAAGGTTCGGTATTGGCTGCCTCCCGGTGCGCGCGCGATGGCGCCCAGGGCTAGCAGGAGGGGGTAGCGCTGGTAGGAGGTCTCGTAGATGACAAATTCGGGGAGGTCCGGTGAGTCGGCGCTGAGCTTGTCCCCTGCTGGGATGGGGGATGTGACGGTTTCCCGGGTCGCGATTCGAGAGATCTGCCAGGAGGCCGGATCGTCTGGCTCGTCGGCCTCGGCTTTGGTTGTTCGGCGGAGGTCCAACCGGGCCTTGGTGGCTGTCGATATGATCCGTCTGATGTCCTCGAAGGTGGCGCCCAGCGCGGTGATGCGGGAGTGTGCGAGCTGAAACGGGGAGCAGAGCAATAAGCATCCTGTCTATTTACCCGTTCGTTCCTGGGGCACCACATGGCACAAACAGTACCCGGACATTAGACTTACCACATCGGCAACACTGACCCATCCGTCCGGGTCGGCAACAATATACTCTCCGTCGTCGCCCTCCTCCACCTCCTCTTTCTGGATGGCCCGCTTGACCACGAACATGAGCGCCTTGGCGATGGTGACGTCCCGCTCCTCCACCACGCTGTAACCCCGTTGCCGGCCGGGCCGTCCGCCCTTGAAGCTCATGGCCCGGCTCCGGCCGTGGCGCGGCGTGTGCTGTACCACGGCGCTGGGCGGGAGAACTCCGCCGAGCTCGCCGTTGATGGTGGACAGGGGAACGGCGACTGCGGCGGCCATGGTGGGTAGTTGCTGGGACTTCTAGCAGTAGTAGTAGTAGGAGGTGGGTGTTGAGTGGATAGTGGAATGATTCGGGTGTAAGTTGTGTAAGTGGAAGCTGTGGTTTGTGTGAGATGTTGCAGCTCAGGTCCTGGATAACACTGTTGTTGCCTCCCTCTTATAAAGTTCATCCTGGACCTGCGGCCCAATGGCCACGCCAGACCGAAACCGGATAGCCCCTTTGTAGGGCAGCAGCGATGAGCAAGCCGCAACATGGCACGAATCAGGCATCCTTGACCGCGGTTCCTGCAGGACTCTTCGCTGTGACTTGTTTATTGCGGTGGCATTATCGCGCTGTAGCGGCTCCCTACGGCGACAGGTTGCAAGGACGCGCAGCTGACGCCCCGGATCGGATCTCTGCCCGATGCCCTGCATCACGCGGGCGCCCCTCTACGCATTCGTGTACGGTGTAGTAACCGCCCCCACCACCCCGCCTTACCACCATCACCTCCCATCGCAACCTCTTGGGACACTCATAGTCATGATGTCCTCACCTATGCTATGTTCCAGTGTTGATGCGTCATATGGCGATTCGCTTCGCCGTCCCTCACTCAGGATGAGTCATGACAAGGCAATCGAAGCAATGAGCATGTGAACCCCGCGTGGCACGGTCGGAAATGCATTCGACTGCCGCGAATCTGCCCCTCACTGCCTTCACCGCCTGGCGGCTGCTACGTGGTCGACCTGTTCTTGTCCCCCTTGGCTTGCAGTTAATGTTAGCGCCCTGCGAATGCGAGCCCCAGTCGCAGGGCCGAAGCATGCAAGTCATGGCATGACGCCTGATGTGTCGATTGTGCTTCTGGATTTCTTCGTTCAACCCATGCCACCTCCCGCGCTACCCCTGATCAGTCATCGCTATCTCAGATCTGCATGTTTGGGAGTCTTGGGACCCACATCCGAATCTGGCCCAACTTCCAAGATGGCGTGCCACGCTTCCAGATGACCCAACTGGATACATAGGTAGCCGTGACGAACGACTGGAATCAAGGCTTGTCCTAGGGACATACGACCAAGTACTAGTATCCATATAGTTAGCTGAGATTCCGAGGCCAGCATGCGTTTTCCCGACTGACATCATTTGTTATTTTATTAGGCAACTGTAGTCTTGGCTCTGGAGATTCATCGCTTCCGCCAAGCTAGTGACTCAGAGGATAGCTCAAGAGGCACTGTCAAGAAGAGACAGCCAGCGATGCAAGAATCACTATGGCTCAGTGCGGTATAGGAGCACATCAGAGCGGGCGCTGATTGGTAAATTCATACGCCCTATGACTGTAGTCTGCCGATGTCCCAAATATATGGGACCAGGGTTCCATTTGGTGCTATTTGGTATAAGGCGTAAAGGCAGTTTCTAGTGCCGGCCGTGTTATATTATAACAACAGTCTCGATATCGAAGTTCGGCTTCGGCTTGAAATCTGCTTCTGTAAGCCCTCCGATGCCTCGGGTATGTAGGTAGATGCCGACTATCCGAAAAGTTCTTCGCCCCACCGCAGCCGAGCCCAAATCAAGATAAGAAGCTCTGCGTGATCGACTTTGAACAAAACTTTGGAAGGTGAAGTCAAACGTACCAGTATCTCGGCGGCCAACGGAGCAGTCCCAGCTACCATGCCCGCCGATTATGACAAGCAGAGCTACTGGCATGGCCGGTTCACTTCCGAGACGGCCTTTGAATGGTACACCTCGTCGGCGACATTTCTACACATTCTCAATCCGCTTCTTGACGAGCTCCCGCGCGACGCCGGCATTCTACATCTGGGCTCCGGAACCAGCGACTTGCATAACCGCCTCCGCGAGAGGGGGTTCGTGAATGTAACCAACATCGACTACGAACCGCTTGCGGTACAGCGAGGCCAACAGCTAGAGCGAAGTCGATTCGGGGATGTGCGGACGGGGTACCTCGTTGCGGACGCGACGCAGCTCGATCTAGACGACATATATCAGATAGCCGTCGACAAAGGCACGGCCGACGCCATCGCATGTGGCGGGAGCGAGGCTGTGGACGCGATGGCAAAGGGAATCCGCCGCTGCCTTGGACCCGACGGAGTTTGGGTCTGCCTTAGCTACTCGGCGTCGCGGTTCGACTCCCAGGCCGTGCAGTCGCTGTTTCACGTCCAGGTTCTCGGCCGAGTGCCAACGCCAAAGTCCAAGCCCACCGACCCGGACATATTTCACTTCTGTTATCTCCTTCGGCCCAAACAAGGCGTCGCATGAGCCGATCGCAGAGAGGTGTGGATGAAGCGAGCAGGTAAGACCATGCACCCAAGGCGGACTAACCTTAGACGTGTGCCGCTGAGAGTGAGTCCACAGTCTATGTATATAGTGTCGACATGTCAGGCAGTCATTTCGACGACTTGATTCTCGTCGACACCCGCCGCTGCTAGTTCCCTTCCAGTCAGTCCCGTCGTCAGATTCAGGATCGCGCGTGACGACTGTTGAGTTGCTGCGGTTACTTCAAAAGTAAGGTAGTTCTGGTACGGTTCGTCTCAAAAGTCCCGAGAGGGGTAGTGGTGGGGCGTTTGGCGTTTGTGGAAACCAGGCGTGATACTGCCGGAAACACCCCACTTGGGTCCGAACCCCATCCACGTTAACGTTACGGATACCACCTGATAGATCTTCGGCCAAGAACACACCGGAAAGTGAAACCACCGTCGCGATGCCTGAGACAAAGGCTCTGTAGTCTTCTACTTGATACTCTTCTGCGTGTAGTCATAGAACGGTTATCCAGCTATGCATCGCTGAAAACTCAAAATCCAGCCTCGGGTACACATGCCTATGTGGATATATGATAAGGATACCGTGTTTGTTCCGTACCTTACCTCCCTATGGAGGTGGGAGCGCGACCCTGCGGATCTTTGACCCCTGAATGGCTAGGCTGCGGGGGATGTGGGGCGAGGGCCGGGAGATCAGTCTCCGCTCTCACACTTTTTACATGTACACGTTCCGGTACCGAGCAGCCGAGTTATCGAGGACAGAGTTGGCCCATGAGGTTCGGTTACCGGGCATGGAAGGTAGGATCGTCCACAGGCGCGACTCTCACCATTTGCACCCCATGTGCACCAGTCGTCTGCCGCGAAAGTGCAGCTTATGGCCAATCCCAGGGTGGGCTATCGGGCCCACTCCCCCCGGGCCGATCGCGCAATTGGCCGATTATTGAGGCCGAGACCGTGCAAGCGCACGCGGCCGGAGGGCCAGGAGATGATTAATGGGACACCACCTCCAGTCTCACCATGTACGGTAGTCAGCAGCCTTCCCTCTCCTTCGTCCCTCCGCTCCCTGGAGCCTTGCCGGCCTTCGAGGCTTGCCCACGCTTATCGCGCCATTTGCCGCGCAATCGAGTTCCTCTCGACTTTGCCCAGCAAACACACTTTGGCCTCGGATGAGTCGCGCAGGATGGATGCGATGTCAGTTCCCGTTGCCCCTTTCCCCCCTCGGCACTGGTTCCCGCTTATTTATGCTGACGCGCCTGACGCTCCAGCGCAACCGTGAGCGCGACCTGCTCTGCAGCGAGCAATGCCATTGCCAGGACGTCGCTCGCCCTGAACGACTTTGTCCGCGAAGTGCGCGAGTCTCGATCGGAATTCGACGCCATCTCCACCCAGGTGCACTCCCTGGCGGGCGTTTTAGATCTGCTCCGATACGACGCCGCTTTCCTTCCCGTTCGGCTGGCTCGGCACACGCCCGCCGTGCTGGATACGTGCCTATCCCTGGTCAACGAGATCGAGGGCTGCGTCTCGGTCCTCAATCGGCCCGGGATCTCAAAGGCAGAGAAGAAATCGCGCTGGCTGGCAAGTCGCCATCACGTCAACACGCTGCAATGGACACTTGGCGAATACAAGTTGGTGTTGGGTCTCGCCGCGGACTTGGTTGGGGCGTAAATGCAACCTGTTCTCGCCCGTCCCTTCGCGAAGGCTGACCTCGATCCCTCTATAGGATCAAATCGCAGGCAAGCGATAGCGACGACCGGGACCTGTCGGAACACGGGCTGAGATCGAACAGCGCGAGCGAGTCTAGCGAGTTGGCCACGGTTATAGCCAGCATCATCGACGTGGCCAGCACTCTACAGAAGGAGCTGACCGAGAACGCGGCTCTAGCGAAGCTCGGACAGTATCTCGATGTCTTGCGAGAACAGGCTATTGCTGCGGGAGGTTATTCAGAGCCCCAAGCCCGCGATCACCGTCGCACGGTCTCTTCGTCGCTTGGGGGCCCTCCTGACAGCGCCATCGATATGAGCTACGACGACGCGGAAACTTCGCCACTTCCAACTCACACCGACATCGCGCCGACGTCCTCTGCAGACCATCCACGCAAGACCCGCGCAGAGGACGCCGAGGAGACAGACGACTTTGACGGTGAGCTCCATGAGATGCCAGTCCAAGTAGTAGTGCCCCCTCTGCCGCCACCCAGATCGGCCGCGAGGCTTCGTTGCGCTGCCGCAACCCGCGAGCCCCGGCAAGTTTGGAGCGCAGCAGACAGCCGCTCTAGCGCGGACTACTCGGCAGCAACCCTCAGCGAGCCACCCAGCCCCGGATCCTCGATTTTCAGTTCAGGCACACCCATCCGCCCCGCACACGACTCGTACTACACCGCCGTGACCGAGCTCTCGGATCCTTTCGAGGACGGTAACTTCTCTCGCCCAGGGACGAGCACCCATAGTCGCAGGAGTAGTAGTGTTGTTGGGCAGGTCATCTCGTCCGCATTTGAGAACCCCCGCGCCCACGTCCCTTCTCCCCCCGGCCGCCCGACAACTTCGGGCTCTGACGTCCAGGCCCCTTCCCACGACCGGTCCAAGTCCGACCCGCCTCGGCGCAGTAGCTCCAAGTTATCCATCTCGTTTCGCGGTCTCAGTCTGAAGCGGAGACCATCCCTCAAACCTGTGCAGGAGAATCCAAGTCCGAATCCGGACCCAAACCTGGATTCGGGGGCCGTCTTTGGCGTGCCTTTGGCACAGAGCATGCAGGTGGCGAAGGGCATCGCGGGCACCAGGCACGGCGACAAAGGGTCCTCGGTGCGTGAGTACCCGCTCTGCGTGCTGCGGTGCGTCTACTTCATCCGCGACTGCGGTCTGGAGACGACACCGCACGCCTTCGGTGCGGACAGCGACTCTAAACTGCGCGTGGCCCAGCTCAGGGCGCTGTTCAGCGCGGCCGAGACGGGCTACGGCAAGGATCTGGACTGGTCGGACTTCACCGTCCACGACGCCGCCGATCTGATCCTGCTCTTCCTCTCCGAGCTGCCCAAGCCGGTCGTCCCGGAGTCGGTCGCCAAGCGCTGGGTCTCGCTCTCCCGCCAGGCCGCCTCCATCCGCTTGGACCAGGGCCTCGATTTCTGGGAGGAGGCCTTCATGGGCATTCGCGGCCCGGGCCGCGCCCTGTTCAAGCTGCTGCTCAACCTGTGGGGGGATATCGCTGATGCTGCCGCGGCGGCCGCCAACGATGCGACGGCCGCCGAACGCCTGGCTGGCCGCGTGATCCGTCCACTGATGCACGCCTCGGCGACGCCGGCTTCCGGGCGCCACCATACGGATTTCATGCTGGGCCTGGCCTTCTTGATCCGGAAGCGCTCCGAGTATAACCTGGCCGCGAGGGGTGTGGCGCGGAAGAGCAGCGCTGCGTTTCAGATTTGAGGTGTCGAGGGAGTAGGACTCGACGATAGGGTTTATGGATATCGTTTGCTTCTTTGTGTTATGGGTGGTCATTTGGGCTGTTTCTCGCCTCGTGTTTGATACCCACATGAATTTCAGATATCTGTCTTATCTCGGTTGGCTTGGGGACCGCACTTCATCAATCTCGGGTGCTATTTAGAAGAAGACATAACCGCCGACTTGAGAATTCAGAGAGCCCGACTTAACAATGAAGGCTCGTTGACCCTACAGGCTCCCTTTTACTTCCTTGCCTAACCCCACGCCACACAACTCATCCGCAAATTTCCACGCTCTCTCATCGCGAGAGCTGGGCCCTGTACTCCTCCCAGTCCACAATGGACAACACATCCGAGATCTTGCCCTGCTCCAGCCAGTAGAAGACGTGTTCCGAGAAGGCCACGGGACGTCCGTTCGGAACGCCTCCGGCATACGGCTTGACGGGCGTGCCGGTGAATTCGAGGCGGGCGGCCAGCTGCTGGCGGTTCTCGTCGACGACCAGGGTGTGGATATCAAAGAACAGCCCGGAGATGGCGTCCAGGCTGCTCTGGATCATGTCGCCGTACTGCTGCACCGTGTACTTGGTGCCGTTGTGCGTCACACCCGACGGCTTGCAGAACTGGTGCAGCTCCTCGGCCATGCGCCCGCTGTTGATGCAGGCGATGTAGTCGGCGTAGAACTGGCGCAGGTCGATCGACGTCCTCGGCGGCGGCGGGCGCAGGCTGGGCGGCGGCACAATCGCCTGGAGCTGGCTCTGCTTCTCGCTGTGGTCCCAGATGTCGTGCACCTGGCTGATCTTGTTGTCGGCGAAAAACACGAACATGTGGCGCGCGTACTCAAAGTGCCGGCGCGCGGTCGACGGCATGTAGGGCCCCTCGGTGACCAGCGTCTTGATGCGCAGCCGCGCGGCTACGGGGCCGTCGAGCGGCCACTCGCCGCCGACTTCCACGACGGCGTCTAGGGTAACGTTTGTCTTCGGGGCGAACTCCTGCTTCAGGAGCTGGGTGAACTCGTACAGCGACAGTTCGTGGCCGTTGTACGACAGCCGCGCCTGGACGGTGTCGCTGAGAAACTCCCACTGCCGCCTGTTGATGCGGCTGAGGAAATTGTTGAAGCGGCAGCGGTTGTCCAGCTTCGGCGGCGGCGTGACACCTGTCCTGGCATACTGTGCCGACTCCTCTCCGCTCTCGGCGTCTGCTTGCGACTGCGACGGCGGGCTTGACTGCGGCGCCACCATTGCCCAGGCAGTCCCCAGTCACAGACTCACAGTGTGCCCTTGGAAGCTGTACCTCAACACGGGTGTCTCCCAAGTTCAAAAAGCTGGACGATGGGGAATAAACGTGGCGGTTTCCGGTGGCCTTAAACCTTTTGACCCTCTGGACCTCTGGGGGCAGATATTCAGAATAGAATGATAGAAAAACGCGTCACGGAGCGACGCGTGGCGGGGTCGTGGAGATGAGATTGGAAGGCACAGTTTGAGTTAGGTCAGGTAAGGGAAGTAGTTGGATGTAAGTCGGTAGGAAGCACAGGACTGATTGAAAGAGATGCGTGTGTCACCATCGTACTAACGGAGTCAATCCGAACCCGAACGCAAGAAACGGCGGTCTGTGGTTTGCAGCTAGGGTGTTTGGGTGTCGGCCAAAGGGCGCATGTGAAGGGAGGGGCTTCCTTGATGTGTTGGTGCGAGAATGCTGCGTGCTCACGTGTTGCAACAAAATTACCTGCTTACACGTCAGCCAAGTGGGGACGAGTTTCGCAACTTCGAGTCATGCTGGACCGGTAATACGTAAGACATTCCGCCGCCCTCACTGCCGCTGTGGAGAGTGCTGCAGGCTGCAACTTTCCCGGTCCTTCGAGTGACAGGTTTATTGTTCGCCTCAGTTGCGAGCGTACCTTGAACAGAGATTGCAGTCAGCTCAACTTTCTGGGTGATTCGCTTGTAACTTACGTTGTTACATACCGGTGCCGTATGGATAAGGTATCCTCCGGACGCCGTACTACCTTACCAAAGGCCGGTTCTGCGCGGCGGTCGCAAGGCATCTGCCATGCTCAACCCAGTTTGTTGCTCAATTTGACAATACTCATAATGACATGTATAGAGACTCGGCGAGCTCAGAATCAGACTGTCTCTCTTCCATTTCAAACACTTTCTTGCATGTAGCAAGCAGTACTCGGATAACTTGAAACGCACCATCAAGTTTGTCTTCCAACGGTATGATGCGGCAAGGTCCCTGTTTCGAAAACAGCCAAAAGATCTACTCTTCCTGCGTCATACTTGCATCTCGGCCCGCATCCTCCATACTGGGCCGGAAAAGCGAAATTCTGGATCGACCTCTCAGAACCAATCGAACAAGCATTTGCTCCAGATCCCTTTCCTGAATCGGGAGTGGAAGAAAGCCACTCATGCCTGCCGCAAACCACCTTTCGCTGTTCTCCAGCATCGGATTACGGTACGCCATGCCGACGATTGGGATATTACTATAATCTATGTTGTAAGGGAACTCCCGTCTCAGAATGCGGGCGCATTCGAAGCCGTCCATCACGGGCATTTCCGTATCCAAGAAGATGATGTCAGGTTTCCTCTGCGACTTGTCCTCGGCAGCTGCCAAAAGGAAGTCGAGCGCTTCTTTGCCGTCCCCGACCGTTGTGACTTGGGAGAATCCAAGATGTATCAGGAGATTGCGCGCGACTATCTGGTTGCTGGCATCGTCGTCGGCAAACAGGATATGTATGGCCGCCCTCTCAGGAACTAGGGATTTGAAGTCCAGAAGAGGACACTCGCTCGGATCAGCATAGAATGTGCCTCCGAATCTCTCAATCTGCCTGCACTTCTCCTCCATATCCCTAGCGTTTTGAATTCTTCCCAGTTGCCTATTAGAACAGTCTTCCAAGTTCGTCTCGAGTGCCCACACCCCCCCTTGGGATGCAATTCCAATGAAGCGCACCCTCTCCTCCAGTGCGGACGCGACTCCAATGAAGCGCACCTTCTCCTCCAGCAGAGGAGGTCCTCCCCACAGAGAATCCAAACTTGGCCACCATTCGGCGCCGAGCAGTCGCATCTTAGCACAGAGTGCATCCTCCTCGGCCGGGTCAGACGATGGTAGCGCGGTCTCAAAACGGTCCAAGCCGAGAAAATCGAGCTCCATCGGAGAGCAAAAAAGACTATACACGCCGTCTTTGCTAGGGAAGCCATTGACCAAGGCGCCTGCGTCAGTCCCAAAGCGGACCCTGAGCCGGAGTTTATTGCGCTCGTCGGGAATCTTCTCGGCGCGGCGGTTTTGTCGGGTAACCAGACCGGACTCGGATGGGATCGCGGTCTGCCTGGTTTCTTCTCGGATGCTAGCTGAGCTAGGGGTTGATGTGGAGGTACCCATGGCAGCAAAAAGTCTGATGATGGGGAGCCAGCGGTTACGTTCTTCTCGGCGTCACAGATATTGACAGGAGATGAGCCTAGCAACAGCGAAACTGAAAAGGAATGTGGGAGAACCAATTTTGTCAATGTCGGCTGAGGTGAAGGTGTGTTGTCAGATGCAAGGCAACAGGGTCCACGGAAGGCAATAGTTTCCCCGGTCACCGGTGTGTGTGTCACACTCTACGGGGCACAGGAAAACAGAGCGACGGGATCTATAGGCGCATGGGCTGGGACAATGGCATGGTGCCGAGAGCCCGAGAGAGCCTAGACCACATAGATCATAGTAGGCCCTGCTCGCATGGTCAAAAAGGAGTGCTGTTGGTGTCACATCAATGCAGCACTGAGTTCTTGGCATCTGTGCTTCTCAATAGCCACTGTACCTTATGCTTGGAGATGGAAGGCGATACCCCGCAGGTACACCCAGTGTTTCCTAGGCCCCACGCGGCTTGGTTTTTCTCGTTATGCAGGTGGCAATTACACGAAAGCGACGCCGAACAGACTCGACCGGTGTGATACCATTTTTGGTTTTATACCTACCCGAAACGGAACACCCTAACACTGCACAGTCGGGTTTCAACTTCACTGATAAGCGACTTCCAAATGCGGTCTGGACTCAGTAGCTAAAGGCCCCTCTTCGACTTTGTCGACAGTTCACATCGGAGTGTGTGAATTTGAACCTAGAATCCTCTGACTGTCTTGGTAAGTGGCCTGATGAGCCAGGACTTAGAGCCCAATCGGCAACCTACCGGTACCGGGAGACCTTCCCGGAGTCGGCGTGAGGCAGATTACATGGTTGATTCTGTCTCAAAGCACGTACGAACCGAACATTGGCAGGCTCTTTCCAAGCCCATTAACGACAACAGGAGGTTATATCACAGCTTTAGAGAGCTTAAGAATTATTAAGAATAGTCCTAAGAGCATGGTCACTAGCTCCTAAGTTACGGATTGACCTACAAGATGTTTTGCGGTCGTCCGCCATGTGCTAACCCACCATTTACGTACCCTCCACACAAAATGCTGCTTAGCGAGGAGATGCGACGGAACGTTGTTGGTGATATGTTCGCAGGATTGCAGCATCGCTGGGCTAGGGCTCAGTCTAGACTTCTTGAGGCCCCCTCGTGGTGCACCTCTTCGTCCCAGTAAGGGGTCCAGTAGATGGTACGCCTAATGTCCTAGTATGCTGTTGGTTCCGCAGAGACAGGGCTTCGCCGTAACCAAACGAATGAGAGACGACAGATTTCGGAGGATGGTTAGGTTGAGGGATGGCCAAGCGCCTCGTCTCCTGTGCAAGTGTTCGCTAACGCCTTGGTCAGATGTTCTCGGCTGTGAACGAAAATGGTCAGGCAACTGCGCGGAACTTTGGGAGGCTGCGTCGGGAATCGGACTCTGGCGCTGTTGGTGACCCTGAAAGGGAGATGGGAGAAGACCTCAGGAGGAGAGTAATCGGCGGATATAAAGCGCTCTGGTGAGCTGTGTAAACCTCGATACAACTCAGTTCGTCACTCACTCGACTTCAGCGCCCTCAGACGCAAAGGTCTGGCTTGCTTGTTGTGATTATGAGAGCTTCACGGCTGGCAGTTTGGCACGCCTGGTCCGTTTCAATCCTGTGTTTCGCTCTTTTCGTTTCTCCCCACCCTACAGGTTCCGTCGCGGGGAATAATGTCTCTTTCGCCCGTGATGTCGGCGCCCCCGACTTCTACGCCCGCATCTTGCTTTTGGGTGGTTCGATTGTGTTTGGAGTTGGGTCTTTGGATGGCAATGGGTATGTTCCTCCTGCCACTGCTCTCCGCTGCCTATGAAACCAAGCCTTTCCTGACACTGCCTCCGACGGCAAGCTTTCGAAAACCTCTGCGGGACGCCCTGAGGCAAGCAGGGTGGAAGGTGAACATGGTGGGAAATCGGGCCAACGGGCCTATGAAGGACAACGTAAGTTCAGTCTGTATTACTGGGTACTAGTAGTATCCATCTACTTCCATGATCTTGGACGAGAACGGGCGCCGAGTACAGCAATCTCACCATGTGGTAGTCTGTAGAGGCCAAGTCCGGCGACCGCGTCGATCAGATTCACGAGGCAGCAAAAGCATCTTTCAAATACCAGCCAAACATTGTCTTGATCAATGGCGGGACCAACGACTGCGACCAGGATTACGATCTGGACAATATAGGGGCACGGATGGAGGCTCTATTAGACGATCTCTTCAACGAGATTAAGGGGACGACGATCATCCTGTCGACTGTAATCCCCTCTAACAAAGACAGCATTGCCTCTAGGCGTATGAAAGTCAACAACCGGTACCGAAGCCTGGTATAGTACCGACGCCGGGTTCTCAATCAGAAGATCGTGCTTGCCGATATAGATACTCCGGGGACGACGTTTCTCACCACAGCGGACCTCACCGGAGATGGAATCCACCCAACCGACGAAGGCCACCGCAAGATGGTCGCCATGTTCCTTCGAGCCATCAACGAGGCTCGTGATGCCGGATTCATCACTCCGCCCAACGGCACGCCCGCCGTCCGGGACGACGGCGCTGGTGGCAACACATGCAACAAGGTATACGGCGTGGCCCGGGGCCCCATCAACACCCAGGCCGGAAGCGGCCTCGACGATGGCATTTATGTACACGACAGCGCTGACCGAGGAGTAAGGATGACGGCGCATCGATACACTTCGACCACGTTCTGGTTCGCGCACATCTGGACGAATAACTTCAGAGAGCTCTCCGACCTAGTCGAATACGGTGAGGTCGATCCCGGGACAGGTGGCCGTTGGTATGTACGCTACCCCCCACTCGGGTCCGGTAGGTGGGATCTCGCCAACGGCTGGGAGTAACGGAGGGGCCAAGCTCAAGGCGGACGGCGATCGGTATTGCAACATGAAGGGCCATGCCCGACGGCGCCATGGACTACGTGTGGGTGCACTCGACCGGCTACATGAGGATCTACGAGAGCTTGGGCGGAAGCTTTCCAAGTAGTCCGCCATACTGGGGCTCCAACTACATCATCTTCGACCCCGCTGTCAGCATCGGCAGACAGCTGAATCGCCGCGACCTCCACCTGGCCGACTGGAACGGCGACGGCCTGTGCGACATCATCCACGTGGACGACGATACGGGCATCATAGAGGTCTGGATCAACATGTACGCGCAGAACAAAGACTTCGCCCAGTGGGAATACTGGGCCGAGGGCGCCGGGCTGCCAAGCCTGGACACGGCTGGCAGGTGCCGCGAGAGAAGGGGACACGGCGTTTTCGACATTCCCGTCCGGTTCGCAGACATTGATGGCAACGGCCTTGCCGACTTCCTGTGTGTCGAGCGAGACGGCCGTACGTGGGGCTACCTCAACTCGAACGGCGGGAAGACGCTCACCTACGTCTCTCAGTTCAAGAAGTCCGAGGGAAAGGACCGTGCAAACCTCCACTTCGCCGATGTCAACGGCGACGGCCGGGCCGACCTTCTGTGGACCGACAAGTTCAACGGAGACGCTACTGTTTGGCACAACAGAGGACCCATCCTGGCGGCCGGTAGCGCCTTCACCTGGGACAATCAGGGTGGCCGCTCAAGGCTCCTGCATCCGCTACCCGGACTTGGACGGCAACGGACGGGCCGACATGCACGTTGTCGACTCTCTCGCCAGCACAGCCGTGACATGGTTCAATGACTGCGGAAACGGTGGCGGGGATGATGCCGACACTCTCACCACCCCTACTCCTCAGCCGGGTTCCGAAGTTTCGGGGGAGGTGGAAGGCTTCATGGCAGCTATTCACGACAGCGGGTACGAAGGGACTATATCCGACGACGGCGTGGTTTCCTTGGCAACGATGCTGATCGGCTATACTTCATGCGACCTGTTGGAGAGACAAGCAATCAGATCCGGTTGGTTGCAGTCCTGGAAACTGATGGACTATATACGGCCGAAAGTCAACAGCCTAGATCTCAACTCAGCCGCCGCCATTGAGTACCTCGGGCCACCTGCGGTAAATCAGCCGTATCAGGACCGCTTCAAAGGTGAGCACTCGCGGGGAGGGGCTGACTACCCAAGGGGAGATTCAAGTCGACCACTGCTGACCTGCTCCATCTGCTCAGAGATACTCGGCAGCATAGCCACCTTCAAGGAGGGGCCCTGGTGGAGACCAGGCTGGTTTGACTACAAGATTCATGTTCGATGCGACGATCCGGACAACAAGTGCTCTGAACCATGCGGGGACAGAACCCTCTCAAGCACAGTAGCGTGCACGGTAGACAGACAGGGTAGTACGCCCGCGTGGATTAACTTCTGTCCTCGCTATTTTACCTTCGACACACTGGCTGCGAAACTGAGCAAAGCGAGGAATGAGCCCTTTTTTATAAAGCGGTTCGATCTGACAAATTACTACGAGAACCAGGGTAAAGAACAGCTTCATCCCCCTTTCCCCTCCCCCTCCCTCTCCCACTCCCACTCCCACTCCCCCTCCCCCAACCCCCCCAACCCCCTTTTTCCCCCGGCGCGGCCCCGGGGGTGTCTCTCATGTTAGGTCAACAACGCTGATTTGTCTTTGCGAATGTATAGGCTTCACGTGGTTTCATGAGCTCCTTCATATTAATGATGTTTCGAAGGCGACCGGCGGAAACGAGATGATCCTTGATTTCTGGAATAAAGTCAGAGAGCGAACCAGTTCTGGCCTAATCATAGAACACACTCTCGTGGCCTACGGACCCGAGAGATCCAAAATTCTGGCCCGATGGGGCGACTGGCCAGGTGCCGTTTTCACGCACAGGAACAACGATAATATCGGCTGTTACGTGCTCGCTCTCCTTTTCCAGGACACAGCACTGGATGGCACGTACCCACACCTTCCCCGAGCACCGCAGCCGCCCTCGGCGGTCTCCCCATTCGAACCTGTCAGGATGGGAAACATTTTCCTTGTTAACCCGGACGGGACCGCTACGATCCTCGACGAGGCTTATTTCTCTGCAAACGAGCAGTGCCCATATTCGGCAGCGGGGCAGGAGATGGACTTGACGTACAACTTCGCCACGAGAGACCAGTATCCAGCCGAGTACTTGGCTCTCTACGACTCGTGGGTGGCGAGCTGACAGCCTGTACAAAGTCGAGCACCAGCAAGGCATCTTGGGTTTATGAGGGGCATGCTGCCAGCCTACCTACACACAGCTTTCATTCCCATAGATCGCTTTCCTTTTGTATGGCTAGCAGCATTCAAGTAGTAGATAGTATCGGTTGCAAACGGGACTGAGATATCTCCATCGCCACCTGCACCACCACTTCCATCAAGCCAGAATCCGTCAAAGCGAGTTCCAATTTTATCGGAATTGTCGAGCTTAGAGAATTGAGCATCCTCGAGCTGCTTGCGGAGAGCTGTGCGCTGCAAGGCTGTGAGGGCCTTTGGCTGTTCCAGAAGCGGCCGCAACATCCACAGCTACTAAGGTTTCGACGTTGAGCTTCCAAACGAGGTCGACGGTGTAACAGTTACTGTAACCCTTGGAGCCCACCCGTTGGCTGGGTTCGATCAAGGACGCCAGAACAGGCCCTGAACCGGACTCATCAAACTACTACCCAGGTACTATGCAAGTGGACGCCCGCACGGCGAGCAGCAACCCAAATACGCCTCCCTGCTTGTGCTTGTATACGATCATCACTTCACAGTTCCCACCTCATCCGTTTCAAAACCTGATACCGAAAAGACACTAAAGCGGCATGAAAGCTTGCGTTCTATGTCTATGGAATCCGCAGTTTCCTCTTGATGGTAGTATCATCAGCTGCCAGCTCCATTACTGGGGTGCTGGCGAGCACCTGGCGGTTGCCAATCCCCTGCCTCGGGTCACCCGCGTCCAATTCATTTATCTGATTCCCATCGAGCGCATGGGAATTGATGTCCTCGGTAACCGGCCATTCTGCCGCACCGTCGGCTGTGGCGGTTTCATGGACGACGGCTCCGGCAGCTTTCTTCTTGCGGTGACGGAACCCGCACAAAGCCGCGAGGGCCGATAGAGCAATGAAGCCAATAACGCCGGCAACTATACCCCCGATCTGACCGCCCGTTAACCTCGAATGAGACGACGGCTCGGCGGTAGACAGCGGAGGTGGTATGCCGCTCGCCGGGATCGACGCAGTACTCGTGAAGGTCGATGGACTGCTCGTCCAGCTCGTCTGAGTTGTTGATGGGCTTGCCGTAAAATTCGCAGTGCCGTTGACCATGTCCTGGTATTTCACACAACATAGAATGTTGGCGTCACCAGGGCAAGGCCAAGCATCCTGAGATTGATGGCTTATGTATTAGTCTCAGTACTTGGCTCCTGTTGGCGGTAACAACAACAACAGCAGGCGCCGGGCTTACGGGATTTCCTTCAAAGAATACACCATCTGTGCAATTCTGCGTTGCTCGATCCAGGCAATAGCCGCTCCCTTGAGGGACGTCGCAGTGGTGGATGAAGCAGCACTGGGAAAATCTCATGTAAGTGTTTGAGCCGGTAACGCTTTCCGCAGGTGGCGAACCGTGTTTGTGCCCGGACATTGATTCTGATAACGTATGCCCGGACCTTGAATCATATATTAGCTGGGCTAGTCTAAAAAAGCGGGTAGCGAAGGGAAGGCCCTGGTTCACAGGATCGCTGCTTCGGACAGACATCACGGAGTCGGAGATGCCAGTACTTCGTTGAACTGGAAGAAACGGGTTAAGAGTTTTTGCACCTACAGGCTGTGGGGGAAATGCAAAGCCCTCGACCAAGGGCACCTCCCGAGCAAGTAGGAGTCGGCTCTGCAGCCTGTCGAGCGATGAGGCCGTATCTAGCCTGCCAATCCATCTCGAAGCAGTCGTCAATCGTCTCTGCTGCTTGACATGTCTAGATGTCCGCCTCCGGGCTCAGGAAGGTCGCTTCGAAACAGCTTTACGTACCTAAATATCTGAATAATGCACCCGACCAGGTGAAACGCTTTTGCCCCTTTCATATGATGAGCATGACTCTCTGTTCTACCCGCTCAAGAGTAAGCCGATCTTGCCAGACTCCCGGATCACATCGCCAAGATCCTTTCAAGTGGCCGGGCTTCGCTTTCAGCTGCGCAAACCAGCGTTCAGAATCACACAGTCACTAATACTTGTAATTACTGACCGAGTGAGTTCAAGGGGGCGATCAGCTGCAAACAGCCAGTCGTAATCACCGACTTGCCAGTAAGCCAATATAGAATCGGTCCGTTTCTCTTCAGCTCTTTCGCGCCTGCTGTGTCTGTGTTACCCACCCCTCTGTCGATCCTCGAGCCTGAACAGTATTAATAGTCGGAGTGTTTCACCGAACTCCAAGGTATAGAGCGCGCAGGGTCAGTACGTCTGGAAAGCATGAGACATGTCTTAGCTCGGATAAATCGGAAAGCCTTGCGGTAAAGAGAGGGTGTTGCTCTGAATTCGAATACAAATAGGTAGGTACCTAAGTTGCTGCTAATAATGTTCCACTGCCTAGCCCTGCGCCGCATGTGTGATATGTGCGTCGCTACTTTCGCTCTGTTACGATTGGCAACTGCGCTGCGGGATGCGTTTGGTATGTTTTTGGGGGGGGAGGGCCATTCTGCACCTACATAGGCCCTTTGCACGTGGGAGCCGGTGCTCAGTCAGTGAGGTTTGAGGAGGAGATGCGAGCCACGCAAACTTGGATCATGTGGGTATGACCCAGTATCTTCTTCGAAGTAACCGCCACTGGTCCTCTCAGCCCTTGCTGATTTCGCCACCATCAAACCGATAGTGACTCGGCGGTTTCGGACATCTAGACGTCTAGACGTCTCCGCTGCGTCCCATCCTGAACGTGTACGCCGCCCTGGGTAACGACGCTTGGGAGGAGCACGTCTTCGATGCCTGCTCACGAGTCCGCAAATCAAAGCATTGGACACGGCGGAGTCTAAGAGAGGCGGGGATATCCGTATCTACGAAGGGTTGATCTACCGCTACTCGGAGGTCTTGCTGTCAAAGGAGACAGATGTGTACAACACCTGAGTCGGCGCGTCGCAGGAGTTGAGATGCCGACTCGACACCCATATCTGCCACGGAATCCCGAGCATTTATCCTAATATGTGAAGGGAAGACAAGAGGGCGGGAAACAGGCGGATCGACGTCGAGGACGGTTGGAGGTATATGGTTATGCTGATCGACTGGCGGGACAAGAATGGTGAGATATCTGCGCTGGGCTTGATTTGCTACGAGGGTAAGGCATTTCTACTGTCATGCTAGTGTGACAGGCCGCTCAGTCTCCGGACAATCCCCAATGCCTCACTCCTAACCCCTTCGACGATCTCGCCGGCGGGCTCCACGCTCCTGATCAGCCCGACGCCGGTACCAGCATACGTCGCCGTCCGGCCCTCCGGACCCCATGCCGCATCCCCCTTGGCAACCGCCTCGTCATGACGTTTCTTGAGATCCTCCATCGCTGTCCCGGCTTGGTGCTCCACCCAACTCCGATTGATGATAGTGCGCGGACTGAACTGCTCCGGCCAGCCAAACGTGCCGCGCAGATGGTTGTACAGCTGGGTCCGCACCGTATTCCCACCTCCGTCTGTCGCGCGCACCACCTCATCCTGGTACCCCTTCTTGATACGTGCCTCCCGCGAGGCAAGGAAGCGGGTTCCCATGGCCACGCCGGCCGCTCCGACGCCCAAAGCTGCCGCCACGCCGCGGCCGTCCACCACCCCGCCCGCCGCGACCAGCGGAATCCCGGAGCCCTGCGTCGCGTCGGCGATCTCCGGCAGCAGCGTGATGAAGCCGATGCCGTCCGACGCACGGCCGTGTCCTCCCGCCTCGGCGCCCTGAACCACGAGCACGTCTGGCGGCGACGCACTCCGCACCGCGTCAAGCGCCTCCCGCAGCGTGCCGATCTGCAGCCAGATCCGGGTCTCCGGGGCGGCTTCGCGCAGACGGGTCGTCCACCGATCGACGTCCGGCTGGCCATTCGCCGGCGCAAACAGCCACACGGCAGCGGGGCGGTACCGTGCCACGGCCGACGCCGAGATTCCGAGGTCGCCGTTCCAGAGCTGGAAGCCGACTCCGACGGGGAGGAGGGCGGAAGAAGAAGAGTGCGGACCGGCCTGGGGGGCGCCCGAAGCAGCCGTCGCCGCGGCAATGAGCCCCGCTGCTGTCTCCAGGTCGGCCGCCGTGGCCTGAGGTGTCAAGCCGGGGCCGATGAAGCCGAAGCCGCCGGCACGAGACACGGCGACGGCCAGCTCGGGACCCGACATCACCCGCATCGGCGCGCCGACGATGAGTGGGGCCTTCGTCCAGGGGTAGGCCGCTGCGAGCCGCTCCCGGAACGCCAAGGACTGCAGCTTGTCTTCCATGGTGCGAAAGGGGCCGGTATTATTGGGTCTGTGGTGTGCTACTAGTGATGTCGAGAGAAATCGAGCTCCAGAAACTGGTCTTTGGCGTAACAGTGGGAATGGCATGCCATAAGAGCAAGTGCACCCCGCATGGGTTGACAAAGCGCGTCGACAATTTCCGCGGACCGAGGGCCATCCGCCCTGAGACTTGGTGGACGACAACCTGCTGAAGCGCATTGTGCCGCGGTACTACCTACTACACTAGGAAAACTGCACGGTTAGAAGGAAGTTGAATAGCAGCGTCAAACGAGATCCGCTTGTTATAAACGGTGTCACATGCAGGAGAGTTACGTAAGGGCTGCGAGCTCGGGATCAGGTGACTGGCATGGAGAGAGGCCCGCTCGGCCATTTGTTTTGTTCCGCAACTTCCGCTTGAGTAGGAGATGCCCATCAGTAAACAACGACGCTCGTCTCTGCGAACAAAATTCCTGGCGTATCATACATCATCCCACCCTGTGAAATCAACAATCAAGCTCGTCTTCCAACCCAAAGAAACCAATGACAATTATTTCGTTACTTTCGTGCCGCTGTTATTGCTTCGTCATCATCATGATCCGTCCACCCCCTCTCCGGGCCCCAGCAGATCCTCCTCCCGCGGGCTTCTGCCACCGCAAGGAGGCCACTCATCATGGGGCCAGACTTCTTGACGCTGGACCAAGCGTCAAAGTGAACGCTGTGCAAAAAAGGCATCTGCACCAAGACATTGTCCAGCAGGTTTCTAGTGAACAATTCGTAGAAGTTATCGGCCTGGCGGAACCCGTTGAAGATGTTATCACTGGGATCGACCTCGACGAACACTGTGAGTTTTCGCACATTAACGCAGTCCTCCAGTCCGAGTGCCTTGTTCACGACCCAGCTGCGCGGCGGCTTGCCCCAGTGGGGGCCGAGCCGCAGCTCGAGCGACGTGATCAACCGGCGCTGCCGAGCATTGAGTCGCGCAAGCAGGGGCTTCTTAGTCGTGGACGGGCGCCCGGACAGCGTCGGGAATATGCGGAACGTGCGTGTGCTGTAGAAGAAATACATGGCCTCGTGGTAGATGGCCCTGCATGTCCGGAAAAGCGCCAACTTCTTGTGGATGCGTTTGTAATTGTCAAAGCTAAGGTCGATGACACGATTGCATTCCGCGAAGTGGTGCGCATATATCTCAATGCGCAGCTCTGACGGCAACGCCAAGAATGGGAACGTCTTCCTCGCTTCTTGCTCCTGCCTGACGGCATTCTCACCCAAAGCGTCGGTCTGGTCGGAAAGCGTCAATGTATGGATCGGCACCTCGGAGAGATCGTCTTCTTGGTCCAACTCGGCCTCGGAGGGGTAGGTCGACGGATAGGCCGAGCTCAGCGGGGTCGTATCACTCGATTGGACCGGCGTTGGGAGAGAAGGGCCCGCGGCTGCGCGCGTCACCTTTCTGGGTCGTCTGGCGGGCATTGTCAAGAGGTTGGGGGTTGAAGCCCAAGATCGGCCGTTGGTGTTATGGTTTCAGCTTCTGTTGTAGAGCTTCTGTGGCATTGGGTTGAATCGATTAGCAAGAGCGGCATGGGTCGCAGATGCGTTGGGCTGAGTGACAGGCAACTTACGCTTTACAATAGGGTATTCAGAACTGCAGATGCCGGTGCAGACATGCAGGATAGGAAGTCAATTGCGAGGTCGCACTCTGTATGCTCGAGCTAGCAAGGTATATCTCGGAGGGTGGTCCCATTGCGAGTACTGCGACACAACAATCGGGCCACCCTCTAGAATGCATCCGCGGCGGCCATCGCTGGCAATGTCAAGAAAGCAGGCGGGTTGGCGACAGAGGATGCGTGGATCATGGAATTCCCGTACGCGACGTGGTAGAAAAGGGAGGATAAATGGGAAAAGGCCGGTAAAAAATGGAAACGTAGTGTAGGTATCCCTATTTAAAACGTCTCTGAGGTGAAGTTGGAGAGGGGAAGTCGTCTGGTGATCAAGAGGCGACCCGGAGAGAAGCATGCCGAAAGGGCCGGCCTCAGCACTTGCCATTGACAACCCCAGACTGCAACGCTCGCGGGGCGAATGGTGGTGGGGCACGTGAGCATGGGCTCATCCACCCCTGGCCAAGCGACCACTGAGCCGATCCATGACGAAGGACGGGCCCACATTGAATTGTGACCATATTCGGCTATCGCAGGTGGACCGTGCTTGCGCTTCAAGTTGTCGCTGGAAACTTCAACAAAAAACAAAGGTGCGTGCGTGATTGGAAGCTTCAATTGTCAATGTTCAGCTACAATAAAGTACTTTGACAATCAAGCGGCGTCTCATTTCAAACGACGTAGCCCAGAAGTCCTCCTCGCACACTCACTTGGAGGACCCGTGACCCCTAGGTACGGTACCCAAATGCCGCTCCACTTTACATGGGCGCTCCGTCGACAACCCAGTTCAGGAGAGTCGAGTTCATGATCTCGTCGGCCCTCTCCAGAAGCTCTTGGGCATCCCAGTTGGCCCAGACAAACTTGCCCTTCAGGAAGTTGGCCTCAGGCGACGCCAGCCAAACATAAAAGTGTCCGGGAAGGTCAGCTGTTTTGTAATCTTTGATTAATATCTATGCAAGGCAACGCTTTTATTTAATCAAACGAGAAAATGACAGCTTACCGGTATCCTGGGCTTCCTTTTGGTATCCATTGCTTTCGGTGGGCACCCAGCCGGGCTGCACATTAACAACACGCACACCCGGGTTCTCGGTCGCGATGAAGTTGGCTAGCTTGAGCGCGGCTGCCTTGGCAACAGAGTAGCCGCCCATGCCCGGGGTCGGGGCAGTGTTGGCCATGCAGCTGGATGTGTGGAGGAGAATGGGTTCGGGCCCAGCAAGCGGCTGGAAGGCTTGGAAAGAGTTGAGCAAAGCCAAGAGGGCGTCGGTGACGCCGCGAACGAGTGTGTCGGCATCGTAGCCTGCAATCGGACCCGGCGTGGGGATCCTACCCGCGTTGGCGACAAGGACATCGATTTTGCCGACCTTGTCGGCGATGGCCTGGAACGCGGCCTTGGTCCGCTCCAGGTCGGAGAGGTCCGCCGTCTGATATAAGACCTCAGTGCCCTTGGCTGCGGCTGCCGAGATGTCGGCCGCGCCGCTCTTGAGCTTGTCCTCGCGGCGCCCGACAATGGCGACAGAAGCAGCACCTGCTTTGGCAAAGGCCTTGGCGATGGCGAGACCAATACCAGTACCGCCACCGGTGACAATGACGTTCTTTCCCGCGGCTGACAGCTCAGGCCGAGTGGGCGAGATGAAGTCGTACGGCTCGGAGTGCCACTTCTTGGTGAAGGAGATGACACCAGGCATGTTGTTAAGGTCAGGTTGATTCGCCATGGTTGTGTGATGTCAAAGTCAAGGTGTTGGGATCTGACGAGTGAAGCTCAATATGAGTTGTGAAGCGAATAATGAGTACCGTGATGGTGAATCCTGTGGGTTGACGGCTGCAGTCCGGGCAGGGAGATGGGTCTTTAAATACTAAGTATTTGTCTCAACTCTCGAGTCGGGTCTTAACTTGCCATTCCTCATCTTGAGCATTCTTGCTTACGAATCCACAGCATAAACGAGTAGAGGAATACCGATCAATAAAGGCAGATGGGCAAGTTGGAAGGAAGCCCGAACCGGTCGCTATCTCTCGAACAATGGACCATTGCGTTGAGGTTCAAGTTACGAAGATGATGGAAACCAAGCTTCATGATTTATCAGCTGTATATGGAATGCAGTAGAAGCTTAAAGTGAGGTTCCAGGTACGAGAGCGGGAAGGAGGGCCTCGAAGGCTTGGAGTCGTTGAATAGCCTTCGTCGTTGCTCGGAGCTCCCCCTGGATTCAGGAGCTGGGAAGTGTGGGGCCTGCAACAGGGAATGCAAACCTGGAGCCCAATGGGCTGGTTAATAAACGAGGCGAGGTTAGCGTCTTTCGGTGTTAACGCAGCATGTCATATAGGAGACTCGGAAGTTGAAACTGTTTGGGACTCACTGGGAGACTGTTGCAGCAATGCATCGACCGACGACAAAACACCGTCTCTATTGCAACCACGCCACCTCTCGTGCTGTTGTGTGAGCTGGCTTGTGCTTCGCTGACCAGTTCGCCAAATCTAGAGCACCTCCAACGAAGAATTCTCGCTTACCTGTATTGAGGCAGATGGCAGGATCCTCGGCAGACACTTCCCGAAGGCGCAAATTCCACAGAAAATCGCGCCTTGGCTGCAGTAACTGCAAGCTGCGGAGAGTGAAGGCAAGTAGTAGCTAATGTTAGAGTTCCAGGCGCCACCATCATCTAACGTTATACAAGTGTGATGAGACTAAACCGGAATGCAAAAATTGCCGTTCCTACGGAGTCTTGTGCAGTTACCGCTCGAATGCAGGTGACCTCCATGTCCCCCGCGAGGTCATCACGAGTGCGTCTGCCGCCAGCAGCGACACAACAGACTCCTTGGAGCTGGATGGCCAGTGCGTCATGTCTTTGATGCGGCTTGGGACCCAGACTGCCGTGTCCATTTTAGACCTTGACCAGAGGGACGTATTACAACAGGCCCTTTCGGTATGTCAGGCCTGCACTATCACAAACCGCCATTGGAACATGCAGCTGAGTAAGGTACCTACTCGTCCCAGACTCCGTATCTCATGCATGCCATCCTGGCCGTCAGCGCCATCCACGACCGCTACCGGGGTAACATCCCTATTGCTGGTCCCACTCGGCGCGAGGCCTACCACTCATCCCAGGGCGCGAGCCTGTTCAACAGAAAGCTGTCCGGGCCGATCCCTCCCCAAGACCGAGACACACTCTGGATGGCTGCTACCTACCTGGGGATTGTGGCTTTCTGCTCTAATATTCCAGAAACACCAGAGGAGTGCTGGCCTCTGAAACCCGACCCTTCGCACCTGGACTGGCTGCGTATGACCGAAGCCAAAATGGCCATCTGGGAGCTTGCCAATCCTCTGCAGCCTGGAAGCCTGTTCCGGAGCATGGCAGACGAGTTTAACGAGATGTACACGCCGCTGCCAACAGCACCTATCGAAGGGGCCCCGCCGGCGCTGCTACACCTCTGCCACATCACTTCTTGTTCTTCCGCAACCAACAACCCGTACTACACCGCGGTGCGACTGCTTGCCCCCCTTTTCAACAACATGAAGCCTGGAACATTGGCGAGGTCCAAAATTCTCAGTTTCACGAGTCAAATGCAGAAGAGCTTCAGGGCTTTGCTCTATGAACGAGATCCTGTCGCCTTACTGCTCCTGGCCCTATGGTACGAGAAGAGTCGCCCACATGTCTGGTGGCTGCGGCATCGCTCTACCATCGAGTACCAAGCAATCACTTTATACCTCAGGCGATGTCAAAGTGAAAACGGGGCTATTATGGGTCTGCTTTCTGAAATCGTCCAGGGATCTCCCCGTTAGCCGTGCAGCTTTGGGACTGACTCCCTATAAGACAGAATACAAAGTCCCTTCGCGTCCTAACCTCCCCTCTCTCACATCTTTGAGTCAACGGTGGGGCCGAATACCACATCACCAGGTGTTCGACAGTCTCCCGCCCCTCTCCACAGGTCTTGTCTTGGAACAGGGTCTCCTGCTGATAGTCGAGGTCGTTTGCGGACCGTGTTGTCGTCCGACCGTCTCGTTTCTCAAGGCGCCTCTCTCTCCAGGCCTCATCTATTACCCTATCCGCATCGGTCATCCCACCCATCTAAACTACAACTATATTGGCGGCTCCTTCTACCGCTATGAGCTCCTATAGCCTAAAGGCTTGCGGTCGGCCCCTGTTGTCTGTTCTCGAGTTAAACTTTCGGTCTATCCTACCGCAAGCCGCGTAGATAATGCTCACCATAGTCTCCTTTCCATCTTGGCCGTCGGCTAAAGTAGGTATTTAAAGCTATCCCTTAAAATTAGCTAGTCGTTCGTAAAAGTATAGGTCTAATAGCGGCACCCTATATCTCTATTTTTAAGGTTCCGAATAGGAGTAGACTTGACGACCCCCACCACCATCCGTAGACTCTCGTTTGGGGCTCTACCAAGCGCCTTGGAAATCCCTCTCGTTGCTGGCTCACCCCGCCTTTTCGGTAAGAACGTGAAAGGATGATGCGCTATAGTCTATCGCTAATAACCGAATGCATTTGAGCATACCTCTCGTGCTTTAGCCAGCCCTAGGCCCCATGCTTTCGCCGTTATCCTTGATGGAGCGTAGCTCTGTGTATTCAACTTCCGCTCTACTGCTACTATCATGACCCAAGGCCTGCAGGCATTACCGAACTGAGCTCAGCGGCGACATGCTGAAATATGTATAGTATGAAATTCGCACAAGTTAAAGGAAGTCAACAACGCTTGGTAGTGCGGTTGCATCGGTGATCCATCTCAACTAGCTGGCAGCAAGAGTAGCATACTGCCAACCGTTTTTGGGCCGCGGTGCAGAGAAAGCTCTTGGGCAGTAACATCATAGACATAATAGTCACCCTCGTGTGGTTAACCCTTGCAAGTCATACACACGTCGTCTTCGAACACCGGGTACACGTTGCCACTTTCCCGTTGATGAACTGCTGCGGTATGAATATAGAACATGTTGGCTGGTGACAGTATGTTCTGTTCGGTATCTCGATCTCCCCCTTCTTGACTAGATTGACCAGAAACTCTCCAACATTACTTGACGGAAGGTACGGTTTTTCTTTAGACGTTAGAGTGGCGTTGATTTGTCACACACTACTACAGGCTACGGCATCCTCTTAGTCTGCCGCATGTTAAGTATAAGTGAGAAACGGGGACCACAAGAGCACTGTGGGACCTCCTTTCGCTGTCTGGGAGGCGCTTGCCAGAATAGTATTGAACTCGTCATCCCCAAGGCGGACAGTCGCATCTCTGCGGATGCTCTTGTCATTATGGCTCTGCAGCTGGCTAGGCAAGCAAAGTACCTTGAGAATCAATGTGCGTGCTCATCCTGTTGTCGATTTTGGTTGCTTATTATCTTGTTTTCCATCGAGGGCGAATTCGATAATCCAAGCATGTGTGGAGTCGCGCAACGGGGACCTGATTAGATAGATTGGTGGGGCAAGTGGGGGCGGGCGGAGGAATCAGAAAACGGCATGGCTCTCTTTGAGATGCGATTTTCACCCACCGCGAGCGCGGCCAAAGAGAATGCAGAAGGGTCATCTGTGGATTGCGAACAATCAGTGCAAACCGGACGGCAATCCAAGACTTTTCCTTGGACCTCGCCCGCTTTCCAGGAGCAGCTGCTTCCATTTGGATATTCTGCAACGGGCGCACTGGTATTATCCCGTGACGCAGCTGAACCCGGACTAGAGCGATGATGTTATCGCGAGCAGCTGCGCGCCAGGCTGCGGGCCTACGGCGAGCAGCGACGCTCGCGCCGCCATCTGCTCTTCGGCCTCGCAGCTTGCCTGCGATTTGGACAAGAGGCATGGCCAAGGACAACAACAAGTCGCAGCAGCCCCGATTCTCCCGATCCCCAAACCCGTCCGCCCAAAAACCGTCACAGGCACCAGCCACCGGCTCTTCGGCCGCGTCGACGCCTGTGCCTGAACCCCCGAAAGAACCCGCTGTCCAGCGGTCCGCCGAGCCTTCTGCGCCACAAGAAGTCCAGGAACCAGTACCCGATCTCTCCAAGCTTCCCGATCTCACACAGGGCATTCCTTCGACACTAGAGTATGAAACCACGGGAGCCACCGACCGGGCCGCCCTGGCCGCTATTGAAGAGGGGGAAGCTGCAACATCTGGATCCGGCGGGGGCGGACGTCGGCCAAAGGGTGAACTCCCTGCATCTGCGTACGTTTCATCGTCGGAGCGGCGGCGGCAGAAGTGGGCCATGTGGGCGCTTGCCGGCGCCGGTGCGTCCGCCGTCGTGGGTGTTGCGTACCTGGGCCGGGACTGGGACGAGGATGAACTCAAGAAGAACCCTGACATTCCCAACGGCTGGGGCATTGGCCTCTGGTGGAAGCGCGCCATAGTACGCATGGGCAGTACCGTGACATACTATCAGGAACCCGCGTTCGAGAAGCTGCTGCCGGACCCGGACCCTTCGTTCGAGCGGCCATACACGCTGTGCATCAGTCTGGAGGACATGCTAGTGCACAGCGAGTGGAGTCGGGAACACGGCTGGCGGGTGGCGAAACGCCCCGGCGTCGACTACTTTTTGCACTACCTGAGCCAGTACTACGAAATTGTCCTCTTTACCACCGTCCCCTTTGCCACGGGTGAGCCGCTGGTGCGCAAGCTCGACCCCTACCACTTCATCATGTGGCCGCTCTTCCGGGAAGCCACCAAGTACAAGGACGGCGAGATCGTCAAGGTATAACGTCCCCCTTCAGCGTCGTGGCCGTAGAGTGTTCGACGGCGCTAACAGTGGAACAGGATCTGTCCTATCTCAATCGAGACCTGTCCAAGGTGATCATCATCGATACCGAGCCCAAGCATGTGCGCTTCCAACCCGAGAACGCCATCATCCTGCCCAAGTGGAAGGGTGATACCAGGGACAAGGAACTCGTGTCGCTGGTTCCCTTCCTTGAGTTTATCCACGCAATGCAGTACAGCGATGTACGCAAGGTCATCAAGTCGTTCGAAGGCACCCACATCCCGACCGAGTTCGCCCGGAGGGAGGCAATCGCCAGGGCCGAGCACAACAAACGGATCCAAGCGAAGTCGCCCCGCGCGGGAGGCATGAGCTGGCTGGCCAGCCACCTCGGCCTCAAGCCCAGCAGCATGAGCCTGATGGTGGCTCCCGAGGGCGAAGAGAACCCGACCGAGGCATTTGCTAAGGGCAAGATGCTGCAGGACATTCAGCGTGAGCGTGGCATCCGGAACTACCTGATGCTGGAGGAGGAGATCCGCAAGAACGGCGAGAAGTGGCTCAAGGAGGAGCAAGAGGCCATGGAGAAAGCCCAGAAGGAGGCCATGAAGAGCATGAAGTCATCTTTCTTTGGCTGGTTCACCCCGGCCGACGCTCCACGGGACGGGAGCCAAAGCAGCAGCGAGACGAAGCGCAGCTAATGACGCGCGCGGTCTGACGCTCCCTGCACCATGTATCATCATCACTCTCACACAGACCCCCGCTTCTCTCCTAAGAGGATTGGACGCTACAGGTGCCCAGTCTCTCATCTCGGTTGATGAGATCCTCACACGAGGCGCAACATCGGCCAACGACATAAGATAATCACTAGCCCGGAAAGCAGGCATCCGGGCCCCATGTATCATACCACCACCCATACTAAACTGCAATGTACAACACGTCTCCAAGTGCTCTTGCATCATCTCCTCTCTGTCTGAGGTTGGAAAGGATGTCCGGCGCACGGCGTACCATGGAAGGGCAAACACACGTCAGCTGTGTCCCGGTCCACAAATCCCGCTGCAGACCACTTCGCGGTTCACAGAAGGTCTGACAGGGTTTCCGATGAATGGGCAACGGAGAAGCGTTCCCTCTCTTAACTTTATCGCAATCTAGCAATAGCAACCTTCACATTACCAGGAAGCACTATCAGCTCCTGTTTCGTCTAACCGTGGGAATACTACTTGCTAGATAAGTCGTTGCGACCAGCATATCCCAATCCCAAGGAGAGAGGAAGTTGTACAGTACACGCTCTCAGAGTCCAGCAATCGTGTAATGGCCCCCCTAGGCTTGGAGAGCGGATGCACGTCACCTCAAGTGATAAGATACCGACGGGTGCAGCGCAGGTTGGTGTCTGTTTCCCGTGTTTGCTGAGCCATCCGTATTCTGCACGGAGCCTCGCGGATGTGACGATGAAACAAGCCATCAAAACTCCAGAGATGCGCCGGGTAGTCGACATGGATGAAACCTTCCTAGCATATCAGGGTGCTCAGACGTTGATCCATTCCCAGTCAGATCATGGACACACGGGTATTCATCATGCTTGAGCCGGTCACGGAGCTGGAGACTGGCGGGCATACTTTGGGACATGGCAAACAGAGGTGCTTGGCCATACAGTTCTCCTCAACACGTAGAGACCGTCTTTATGTTAGTTAGAGATGTCTATATGTAGACCAGCTCTGCCCGCCCTCTTCTTTCTGCGCTTCCATCATCAGACTTCCAACACCATTCGTACCTTTTCCAAGTCCATAACCCACATTGAGCCTCTGCATCAACGTCCACGTTCCCATCTCGTTCCCAGCCTCTCCGGCTTCCACTCAAGCCAAGATGAAGCTCAAGACTACGTTGATTACCGCTGTCCTGGCCACCCACACAGCCAGCGCCTTGCCTACTACTGGCGGAGGCAATGTGAATGAGAAGACCGCGTTCAACCAGCGTCTTGAACAGGAGATGCTGAACAACGCCCAGTCGTCTTCGGGAGTACTATCCCGCGACGAGTCTTGGGTCTCTAAGGGGCAGGTTGATTCTAAGCTTGCCGACAGCGCCTTTCGGAGTGGGATGGCCATCCGCGTCATCCAGACATCGACATCCCCACCGGCTCCCTGGGATGTTGCGGAAACACCCACAGCTATACCTGCTCTCTGGGATGAGGACAGCAAGTTGCCCTCGGTTCAGCAGAGGTCACACATACCCACGCATCCGGAGGACGGAGGAAAACAGTTGGTCAATGCTGTTGGGGTTCACTCCGAGCTCCAAGCCGAACAAGGCCCATCCACCCGCGGGGTGGAGGATGCCAACATGGCACGCAATCCCCTCCCAGCCTCCGACATCAGCCCGGCCACATCGAGAAGGATGGGCAATGCTCGGAGCGCGAGGGACAACACTGCGACATCTGCTTCTTCGGAAAATCAGCAACCCGGCTTGAAGTCCACGGTCCGCGAGCTCCTCAGGGCCTTGGTCCACGGCAAGGAGCAGCACCAGCAGCACCAACAGCAGCACGCCGCCCAGGAAAAGGGAGTCCACGACCGGGTGCGTCTGGCGGCGCGGAACCATGAGATGTCTCACAAGGAAGCCCAACAGCAGGGGTCGTCTGAGCCTTCCATCGGAGTCCGTCAGATGTCGCTGTCAAGCGGGAATAGTAAGGCCATGACCGGCATGTCGCAGGATGCGATGAGCCAAAACCAGGAGGAGAAGCAGGAGGTTTCCTCCTCGGGCTACCTGAACCCCCGTAGTGCACGGCAGGTCGGGGAGGGCGAGCGAATGAGGGGATCCCAGTCCGAGCTGATGGACTGTGTTGGAGCTGCCGGGGACGATATCAACAAGTGAGTTTTTGATTCCGCTTGTTGTTGTTGTTATTGTTGTTTTCGTTCCGTTTCATAGTATCTCGCTTTAGAGTTCTTCTCCCTCCCTCCCGCGCTTCCCCCCCCAACCGGCCCACCCTTGCTTGATCGAAAATGCAGATGCTACTAAGTAGTAATCTCGGAACAAGTCGCTGACATGCATGGCCTTAGGCAGAGCCTCTGCGTCTCCGCGACCAAAGCCACCCACGTTTCCAACGGAACCAGCTCGGCTTGTATGGCTGCTCGAGGGGTGGAAAATTAGCTGTTGTTCACAAAGAGAGGAGGTGTCAAGGGGGTTGGTACCAAGTAATAAGTATTACTGGAAGGGCGCCAACGCTGTATGCTAGTCTTGCGTTTTCTCTTCACCAAGGTCGATGGCTCAAGGAGCCTCAGATGTCTATTTGTAACCGCGCTGAGTTTATGTCCGCTGCCTTTTGGTAGACTCCTTCCTCAGAGGGGGCCTGTGAGGCTGGTTCTGTAGTCATACAGATTGGTGCCCGGCCCTGCGTATAAACGACCCCGTGCTGGTGATTTGAGACGCATGTGGTATAGTCTGCCGCATTTACAAACATGTGTTGACGGATAGAGTGCGAACATGGTAGATATTACGTAGATTTTTATACAACAGAGACTGTAAGGTATACCAATCCAAATACATTTTTTGTTACCCCTTGCCACCGCCGTTGACCAGGTCGCCACCATTCACGCGCGTTTTGACATCGGCATCGGCATCGGCATCGGCATCAGCCAGCTCTCTCTGCGGTGTACATAACCGCACGACGGACCTCTCCACGGTCTCATCCACATCAAACCCCACGGCAGAAAACACCGTAGCGAGACCATACAGCAGGATCCCCGCCACGACAATGACATCCAGAACGTGCACCACCCACCAAAAGTGCTGCTTCCCCAGCGGGCAGGTCGCATACTCGGCCTTCCACTCCCAGGCGGCCTCGTCGAACCAGACGCTCAGCAGGCCCGCGTTGCCGCCGAACTCGCCCATCATGCTGCGCACCGTGACCTCACGGACGCCGGGCAGGTCCTCGCGGCCGACGATCCCGGCGGCCTTGGCCTGGCGCCAGCGCTTGACCTCCCACCGGCGCTGCTCCGAGTCGGCGATGGACTGGTTGATGTAGTGCCACGTGTCGCAGCCTTCGTGGTCGTGGCCGTTTAGGATGATGCCGCGTCGCCCCTGGCCGCGGCCAGGCGCCGTGGTGCTGCCCGACATGCCGAGGATGCCCTCGAGGAAGCCCTTGCTGGCGGCGTCGCTGAGCTGGTTCTGCTCGCGCAGGGTGCCGTCGTGCTCGTGGAAGTCGAAAAAGGGGTCGTCGACGCAGACGCCCTCAGGCTTGTACAGCGGGATGTGGGTGAGGATGAGGGTGAACTGGCCCTTGAACTCGACGGCGGCGGCCGTGCTGATGACCTTGTTGATGAAGGCGTATGTGTCGTCCTGCAGCGCGGTGCTTGCGGCGGGCGTGTCGAGGTTCATGTCGTTGAGCACGACGATGCGCAGCTCCGGGACAAGTCGGTCCGAGGTGCGGTCGGCGTCGAAGACGGTCGCGGCCAGCGACGCGTTGCTCAGGGGCAGCTCGAAGCGCAGCTCGTAATTCACCTTGCCAAAGGTGCGCTCGAATCGTTCGGCTCTCTCCTCGTTGATGTCCCCCGCGTAGCCGATGTCGTGGTTCCCGGCCACGTTGATGATGCGGCGGACCCATGCGGCGGACTCGTTGAACGGACCGCCTCCGAGGTTGCCCGCTAGGTCGTACTCGTCGGCGGGGTAGGCGGCCAGATCGTCCGGCACGCGCTCGGCACCGCGGAACACCCGAGTCCAGTAGCGGTCGGCCCGGCGGTAGAACTCGTCGTCGTCGAGCCATTGGCTTCCCACCAGGTCGCCGAGCACCGTGACGTGCGTCGGGCGTGTCCACCAATGTATCGTCCGGTAGATGTGAGCGAGGTAGAAGTCGTTGCCAAACAGGTCGACTTTCTTGCGCAGCGATTCGAGCGCGTCGAAGGTGTCCTCCAGCAAGATGTCGACCAGGTCGTGGAGGCTCTGGCGGATGCGCTGTCGCAGGGACGGGTGGCTCGTCTGGAACGTCACATGCCGGAGCAGGCTCTTCGCGTGGGGGAAGACGCCGAGGTAGTCGATCGGGATCGACGTGTCGCCCTCGAGCTGCGGGTCGCCCAGGGCGAGAAGGCGGAACGGCGCGAGAGGTCGTGAGGGGACAAGCACGCTCGAGTTGCCATTCCCAGCAGTCCCAGCGGCCGAGTGCCAGTGCACTTTCGCTGTCTCGAAGAATGCGGCACGCCCAGTGTCGGCGGCGGACGCAGCATGACCATCGCTTTTCTGGCCCGGCGGCAGCGGAAATGCGCACGCGTTGAAGACCGGGTAAAGGTACAGGTAGATCGTCAGCGCGACCGACAGGGGAATCAGCATGCGCAGGCCATCGCGAAGGAGCGCAGTTGCCGACAGGCGCGTCATCAAGGCAGCGGCATGAGGGGCGCTCACTGAGGCCCTGTTGATGCAAAGGGGTGTAGCAGAAAAGAAATAAAAACCAGAGCCGTACGGATAACCAAACAGCCGGAGGATGCTGCTGAGCTGAAACTTGTTGAACTTCCTGTTGGCGAAGTGAAACAGCAAATGGAATCGTCGGAAAAATCGGGGCTTGGCGTGGCGACTGCCTGTAAGTGGGTCGCAAGGGGTCCTCAGGGGCAACAACCCAAGGGACCGGTTCGCCTCCACACCTCGGAGCGAACCGACTTCCCACCTCATCATGCTATGCCAGACTGTATCGGTTGTCTGTTGTCGTTCTGATGAGCGTCCGACTTCAAACTATTGATATGTTGAGTGTATACGATTCCAAGTTGAGCTGATATAGGAACTCTAGATCCCGAAGATTGCCGGCTGGGGTGTTTCAGACTTCAAGATGGGCAACTTCATCTAACGTATCTTATAAGCGAGCCGGCCACTTTACCCGCGACGCGTCACTTCCGCGCTTAAAACCAGATTTTCTTTACAACCTAACATGTCTTCTTCTTCGTACGAGGCTAGGATAAACCTAGCCCTCGAAGCGATACAAAAAGACCAAAAACTAAGCATAAGGGCTGCAGCGAAGTACTACGACGTTCGACGAACAACCTTGCAAGACCGACTAGCGGGCCGGCCTGCACGACGCGACACTACGCCCAACTCGCGCCGGCTCACCGATTCCGAAGAGAAGGCTCTTGTTCAGTATATAATTAAGCTATCTAAGCGAGCTTTTCCGCCGAGACTACGTAGTATGGAAGATATAGCTAACCAACTGCTATATATACGACGCGCCCCCTGTCGGCAAGCTCTGGGCGTATAACTTTGTCAAACGCCAGCCAAAGCTCCAGACACGTTATACGTATAGATATAATTACCAGAGGGCCAAGTGCAAGGATCCAAAGGTTATTGCCGAATGGTTTGGCCTTATATAGAATGTCAAGGCTAAGTATAACATTATAGATGACGATATCTATAACTTCGATGAGACTGGGTTTATAATAGGCATTATCTTCCCGGGCATGGTGGTTACAACCTCGGATGGCCGTGGCAAGGCAAAGCTAGCCTAGCCTGGCAACTGCGAATAGGCGATAGTAATCTAAGGTGTCAATGCCCTTAGCTGGGCTATCCCTCCGTTTATCATCTTAGCCATATAATACTACCTCGTGTCACGAACCAACCATATAGCAAGACCCGGTGGGGCACAACGGAAACAGGCAGAACCAATCAGCAGGGGTGAAAAGCTGCAGGCGGCCGCATAGGGACGACCTGGGTAGCTCAGGGTCGCCGGCGAGCGAGAACGATCATGATAGACTTGGGTAGCCGTCTACCCAAGGCGATCGAGGGTAGACCACGGTAGCTGGCGAACGACGGCGAGCCAACAGGATCGGCTAGGTATATAGTCATTCGTTATGGAGGGCTCTGGGAGTCCTCCAGTGAGCAATACAAGCAGTAAGGTAGCCCTACATTACTGTGCAGACATTGCGACTTGCATTGTTGTGAACTTTTTAGCTTCACCGAGACCTACAGTCCGACTAACAGATACCTTCGACCGGCGAACCCTTTCAGAGGCAGGACTGCCTGTGGTTTCGTCACACCTCGCCAACTAGTATACTGAGTGCAACCTCCTAGCCGACTGGCACATCGCAACTACCGAGAATGGCTAGACTACTAATACAGTTGGCCTTAATTAGATCAAGCACTTCGACTACTAAGTCGACCATTCCTCATTCCGCCCACCCCCTATTCCGCCCACTTTGTAAGTCCACACCGCTTTTTCAACCCAACCACTTCAACTTACCATAACTCACTCAATCTCTGGCCAAACGGCCTTTTTTTTGTATCAAACTGATTGCCAGTTCAAGATGGCTTACTCAGAGCAAGATATACAAGATGCAGTTGAGCAATACCGTCTTGGGCGCCAGTCATTGCGAAGCATCTGTAGTGAGTTCGGCATCCCACGCTCTACTATTCGCGACCGCCTTCGTGGTACTCAGACCCATTCAACTGCGGCCGAACCGCAACATACACTTAGCCGAGTACAAGAAGATCATCTTACGCGATGAGTCTTAGCCTAGGTCGCTCTAGGTGTCCCACCAACCCATGCGCAGACCCGGGAGTTCGCCAGCCGGGTTCTATAGGCCCAAGGAGCACCCGAAAAGACTATCGGGAAGAGCTAGATCAACCGGTTTATCCGAAGGAACCCGGTCCTCCGTACCTAGCGAGGCCGTAAGATCGACTCAGCCCGTATCAATGGCGCTACTGACTCAGTTATCTATAGCTGGTTCCCACTCCTGAAAATCCCAGCCATCAAGGACATCTTACCGGCTAACCGCTGGAACTTTGATGAATTCGGCCTTATAGAAGGTCAGGGTATCAACGGCTTGGTAGTTGGAAGTGCCCACATACACGCAGTTGTGACGAAACCACAGGCAGTCCTGCCTCTGAAAGGGTTCGCCGGTCGAAGGTGTCTGCTGGTCGGACTGTAGGTCTCGGTGAAGCCAAAGGGTTCACAACAATGCGAGTCGCAATGTCTGCACAGTAATGTAGGGCTACCTTACTGCTTGTATTGCTCACTGGAGAACTCCCAGAGTCCTCCAGAACGAGTGTCTAGCTGTCCTATATACTACGGTCCTTCCTATGGATCACGGCCTCCCTCCGGTGATCCCTTATACTGGATCACCTTGGATCACCAGTGATCCCCCTGTGAGCCTCATACCTGGCTCACCAAGCCTTCCCTATGCCAAGTGTGATCCTCTTCTGATTGGTCCGTTCCTGGACCAGAATGATTGGACGCAGGCGTCGCCCGCAGACCATGCAGGTCGGCCCCACCGGCCGCTGCAGGTTAATTCATGACAGCAGTGCAACGGAAAGTCCCTGGTTCGCGTACGTAGACCTCCTTCTTAGAGTGCGTCTCTGCGACAGGGGTATCACTCCCACCAGCTGTTATTTTCAAGGGCAAGAGTGTTCAATAGCAGTGGTTTCCTATCGCCAAGGACGAACTAAAGGACTGGCTATTCACTGCAACTGAAAAAGGCTAGGTAAATAGAGTGGTTGCGTTAGAATGGCTGCAATAGGTCTTTATCCCCCGGACCCAGCCGCAAGATCCTACCCAGAAGCGTCTGTTGATACTGGACGGCCACGATAGCCATATAAGCACTGAGTTTATATAGGAGTGCTTCAGCAATAATATCCAACTACTCTTTTTACCAGCCCATACCTCCTACGTCCTCCAGCTGTTGGATTTATCAGTGTTCTCCCCCCTAAAGCACACCTACTATAAGCTCCTCAACCAGTTAACCAGCTGGTCAGAAACTACGGCATTAGGCAAGCAGTTGATATTGCGGTGCCTCGTCAAGGCTCGCAGGGAGGCAATTACAGCTCATAATATATATATTCTCCTACTCCGCTATGCCTAGTTATTTACAAGGCGCGCCGGACCCTCTACTGCTATGTATAAAGGGAAAACCGTACCGTTCAGGCCGGGTAAAAACCTTCGTCGGAAGTAATAGGAAAGACATGGTTTCAGTGATACACGCTGCTGCAAGTAAGGAAAAAGGCCTTGGGAAGGCCTTGGGCCAACGGCTAGTAGGGTGCTAGCCCGGCTAAGCCGTGGCCACGGGTGTGGTTAGCCGGGCTCTCTAGCTTCCAGTTCCTCATCGAGGTTCCGGGCGAGCCTATATTCCCCTAGCCGGCCCGAGTCCATTAGCCAACCCAGTACCTTCTTCAGAAGTCTTCGGTTCCGGTAGCCTAGGCCCTGTAGAACAAGGCTAAGGTCCCGGTGAGTGCGTATTAGTTGCCTAGGCCAAGTTCTTGGTATAGGTGGTATAGAGCACCAAATCACAAGATGCTCTACTGTCTCTCTGGCTTCCCCGCATTCGCAATAGGGGGTAGGCTGGTTACGGACCTTTTGTTTGAAAAGGAAGTCCCGTAGGCCTATAGCCTCTATACGAGCCTGTACTAGTAGGGAGCTCTTAGCCTTTGTAAGGCCTTGGTGTTTCTATAGGCTCTGGTTCATGAAGAGGACTGTTGGTAGGCCTTCGTCGGCTAGCCTAGTTGGCTGTCCTTGGACTTGGGTATTCCACCTAGCCTCCCAGGCTCTTAATAGTGCCCAGTCTTCCTGGGTCTTAGCCAATGGTGGGCCCAGGGCCTTAGCTTGGGTGTTCCATTCGGCCACTGTAGCCGAGGCCTTTTCGACATCTGTTGGCTTTTCTAGGCTCCAGGGCCGGCGCCGTAGCGACCGGAACCTCCGTTGGAGCCTGTTGCAGGCCCCTTGGATGATTTCCTTTGGTCGGCGCCTCGGGGCCTCTGGGCCTAGCCCGGCCTGTAGGGTAGGCTTGTTGAGCTGGTCTTCGAAGTCGGCCAGCCTCTTGTTAAGATAAAGGTCTAGGGGAGGGATCCAAGTTTCCGTCTCGAGATTCCGTATAGGGGTAGCCTTATAGGCCCCGGCTACGATGCGTAGGCTTCGGTTCTGGGCCTTTGCTAGGTCTCTGGCTAGGCCTTGTGGTGAGCCGTTGAGTGTTGTAGGCTTGTGGAAGCTGGATGCCCCATAGGCTACAGCTCATAATATCAAAGCTGGGTGGAAGGCATCTGGGTTATGGCCTCTGAGTATGGCGAAACCACTGATAAGCCCTCTTTTGTTGGAAAATTCGAACCAGGCGCTTGGAAAAGATGATCCACTACTACTACCATAGACCCCGGCATCTAGGCTACCTAGCCAGACTATAACTATGGCTTAGGAGGTCGAATTCCAGACACCACGCAAGAAAGTAGACCTTCGCGGTCACCTAACCAACCTGGCTATCCGGCGGCAAGATCTTTCTACACCACGGCTTTTATTCAGGAAGGTTGAGAAGGCATTTGACGAGAAGGACTTCCAATTGGCTCAATTGCAATAGGAAAACGAGGCTCTGAAGATTCAGTTAGAGGTAGCCCGGCCGTCGAGAAGAAAGAGGGTGGTCTCGGATCCGAACAAGCAGTTCGCTTCCATTGAACAGGTCCACCGGGCTCAAATTGAGGCTGGCCGTATTGAAGAGTCTGGCATTGAAGAGAGCAGGTCAGAAAGCCCCGAATCAGATGCTTCCTGTATTGTGGTGGGTTGAACAGACTGTAATAGATGGTGTTGAAGAAGATGGGTGGTTTAGACGCCAAGACTTACAAAGTGGGCGGAATGGGGGGTGGTCGACTTATATAGAGCCTCGGATAAAGGGCAAATACCGGTTATTGATCCTCGATAGCCACGAAAGCCACTACTCAACCGAGTTCGAGCTCTACTACCAGCAGAATAACATTATCACGCTCTGCATACCTCTATATTCCTCCTACCTCCTCCAGCCACTTAATGTTGGCTGCTTTAGGCTGTTGAAGCAGGCGTACAGTCGCTAGATCGAGGACTTAATATATAAATATATCAACTATATAAGCAAGCTCGAGTTCCTTTATACCTTTCGCATAGTCTTCTTTATCTCTATTACCAAGAGGAATATATAGAGCGGTTTTACAGGGGCTGGCCTTATACTATACAATCCAGAGAGGGTGCTTTCGAAGCTAGATATCAAGCTTCGTATACCAACACCCCTAACCTCACGGCCGGGCACTATACAATCTTGGGTCTTCCAGATACCACATAACCCTCGAGAAGCCGAGTCACAGTCAACGCTTATCAAGACTCGCATTGCCAACCATCAAAATAGTTCCCCGACTTCAATGTTAGCTGCTATAGACCAGCTTACCAAGAGTACGATAGCTATAATGCACCAGGTAGCCCTCCTTCAGGCAGAGGTATCTTCGCTCCGTAAGGCTAACGAGGCGCTAAGCAAGCGCCGGAGAGCCAAAAGAACACGTGTGCGGCTTGGAGGATCACTTACTGTGCAGGAGGCACAGGAGGTGGTAGCTCAGGGGGCTGTAGGTGGGAGGAAATGCAAGAAATACAGCTGGATGGTAGTGGTGCTGGGGGGGGGGTCGTACGAAGGTTCGGTGCTGTGGTGTGTGCGGCAAGCCTGGCCATAATGCCAGCACTTGCCAGGAGGGTGTAGAGGGGTCTGATTCATCTGTTTCTGATGTAATTATTGTTAGTTCCTAGTGTTGTTGTTTTGTGATTGAGGATATTGTTGGTAGTGTAGTGGAGAGTGGCCGGCTCGCTTATATGGCCGGCTCGCTTATAAGATACGTTAATTCGATCAACTTGAACTTCTCATTTCTGAATTCAGAGCTGTTAAGTCCTCCGTACCGGCGGCTTCCGTGGTCTAAATTTAATCCCTATAACAAATTCAAACGGAGAACACGCAAGCGACAAGACACTCTCGAGACACTGGCACCTAAAGCAGACTCAGCAAAAAAGAACGATGTTTTGACAGGGCTTGTCATTAACAGTTTCTAACAGTTTCTCCAAGCTGCCTATGCAAAGTCAAACGAGCTGCACTTTTTGGATACAGTACCTAGCCAGCCCTCCCGTGCTAAGACTGCTCTGCCAGAGTTCCAGCCGCAACCACTCCGCTGCTGCCATAGCCCAGCCCGGCAACCGAGATCCAGCTCTTCTCTCTGCAACCCGCCAACAAAGCTTCAAGAGCTTGCCCTTCCCACGCCGGCTTTTAGGGCCGGTCTGATTCCATCATTACCACCAGCGGAGGAAGGGAGTAACCAGAGGTGATTTAGCGCTTGAGCTTACCGCGCCCCTGCGAACGCTGGCCGTGTCATACAGGCACTGGGGGCACGGTTCGTTGCGGAGCGTGAAGGTGCCCCCTCAGCCGCGGTTTAATTGGGCGCTAATGTAAATCCGGAGGACTCCTTTGATCTCGAGGGAGAGCATAGCATCTACTACATGGACGGCATCGTCTCGCGCAGTCTCGGCGTGCTGTTACGGCTCCTGGCCATCGGCGACCGCACTTAATCAGTATTTATAAATAAATAAGAACATCTGTGCATCGGAGGCTTCACCCGTACCACTCACACCCCGGACTCACCTTCTATCCAAAGGGCGTTCCGTATGATTGGTCTTGGCGCACTCTTCTTTCTCTGTTTTTTTCTTCTTCCTCCTTGTCACATGAATTTAATCCCTTAGCACCAATATCCCAACTCCTCGCTAGCTACACAGGCCGAGCAAGACCATACCTATGCCTTTGTCCATGAAAACAGTGCAGTAGACTTATCCACGTACATCGCATCCCGCTCCGGCTCATCTGGCTCCAGCATGTCTGCAAAGAGTGCGTATTCCTACGCCTCTGCGCTCTCGGATGATTAATAAACCCACGATTGCATCTCTACTACCTCCTCACCTTTCAATGGCTGAGGACGCACTGCGGTCTGCAGCGTCACGGGCGGACCGTGTCGATGGTAGTATACCTTATTGTACCGTTGTGGCTTCAACAGCTGGAAGTACAGCAACTTTGCACAAAAGGCCGGATCGGATGATCTATCGAATGTAATCATCTGTGCTGGACTTGCTTAGGTGCACTGCAAATCGAGATGTCGCCAACAGCCCTCCACCCCCTTCGACACCGAGCTCTCCAAAGGGAAGCTCGTTTCCATGGGGCACTGGGGCAACCCTGGCGCGGGCGCGGGCAAGGGGAGCAAGCCGAAGCAGGTGTCAAATTCCCCATTCCTGATTGGTCAATAGACTGGACAAGCTTCCATGGCAAAGCTTGTTCGTCGTACCCCTGCCCCGCGCGATGCCACACTGTGCTCCACTTCAGGCACAGCATCCGCCGTCCTACCCGGTCTCGGGCTGTTGCGAAGCACGTTGAGAGCACGGGTAGGCCCCGCGGGCCAGGTTTAAAAGACGTTCTTGGCCCGACAGCTTGGGGGGATTGCGAAGACTTCTCGAGCTGCGCGCACTAGAGTCGATTAATTCACGATGAAGAACTCGAACTTCCTCTTTGGAGCGAGCGTTGCACTGGCCGGTGGAGCGCTCGCCGGCGTCACGACGGAGCCCTCGCCCGTCAGCTCGCGCCCTCCCGAGAGCACGGTTGAGCCGCCGTTGTCCTCCATCTATGCCGCCCAGGCGACCGCGGTGCCGCAGTCGCCCGTTTCGAACGTGGCCGGCAAGGGGTTTGATCGCATCGTGCAGATTTGGCTGGAGAACACAAACTTCGATGTGAGAAGCCTGAGGAGTGAAGAGACGGGATTTTTTTACTTGTAATAGAAAATGAGCTGATCGCCGTGTGTAGGCGTCTGCCGGTGACCCCAGCATGTCATGGCTCGCCAGCCAGGGCATTCTGCTCACCAACTACTACGCGGTCACCCACCCCTCGGAGCCCAACTACGCGGCCGTCATCAGCGGCGACACGTTCGGCATGGACAACGACGACTTCAACTCGTTCCCGACCAACATCTCGACCGTTGTCGACCTGCTCGACACCAAGGGCATCTCGTGGGCGGCCTACCAGGAGTCGCTCCCGTACGCGGGCTTCCAGGGCTTCAACTTCTCGAACCAGGAGACCTTTGCCAACGACTACGTGCGCAAGCATAACCCGCTGGTGCTGTTCGACAACATCGCCCACAACGCGACCCGGGCCGCGCAGATCAAGAGCTTCGTCAACCTGACCAGCGACCTGGCGGCCAAGAAGCTGCCGCAGTGGAGCTTCGTGACGCCCAACATGACCAACGACGGCCACGACACCAACGTCACCTTCGCCGGCGCGTGGGCCCGCGCGTTCCTGGAACCGCTGCTCGCGGACGACTACTTCATGAACAACACGCTGGTGGTGCTGTCGTTCGACGAGAACGAGGACTACGCCACGGGCAACCGCGTCTACACGGTGCTGCTGGGCGGCGCCGTCGACAAGGCGCTGCACGGCACGACCGACGACACCTTCTACAACCACTACAGCATGATCTCGACCGTGTCGGCCAACTGGGACCTGCCGTCGCTGGGGCGCTGGGACTGCGGCGCCAACGTGCTGGCGCTGGTGGCCAACAAGACGGGCTACCGCAACGCCGACGTGTCCCTGGGCGGCATCACCTTCAACTCGTCCTACCCGGGCCCGCTCGCCGACAAGCACTTCACCCCGGGTTGGTGGCCGGCGCCCAACACCGAGGCCAAGTGTGCCGCCGGCAACGGCGTGCTGCCGTCGGTCGTCGACACGTGGGGCAAGCAGTCCGGCACCTTCAACTACACGAATGTGTACCCGTACGATGCCGTGTCGGGCATTGCCACGGGCGGCACCCTCGTCGCGGGGGCCAATGACCGAGATGGGGGAAGTGGTAGTGGCAGTGGCAGTGGCGGCAGCAGCACCACATCCTCGGCGCCGAGTTCAACCCCGACCCACAACGCCGCCTCGCTCATCGCCCCGGGCGTTATGGGGGCTGGAATTGGTCTCCTTGGCTTTGTTGCTGCTCTTTTGTAGTGACACTGCTAGGCGTTCCGATGGGTGTCATGTAATGTACCGTTAAATGCATTGCGAGGTAGTAATCGCATGGCGAAATCTTAGTCTGGGTACTACCTAGTGATGGTCAATTTGCAATACTCTGAACACAGAATCTCAATCCACAGCCACGCCACGAAAACAATTTGAAAGATGCTCTCCGCGAATGACATGCTACGCTGCTGAGTTCTAGGTTTGCAACGCTCATCCACCCGCACACAACCCCCGGACATCCCCCGGAATGCTCGTCGCCGCAAGCACGTCCGGCCGGCTCATGAACTGCATCATCAGCCCAGCCTCCATGTGCCAGGCGATGTGGCAGTGGAAGGCCCACAGCCCGGCGTTGTCGGCCACGAAGCGGAACAGCGTCCACGAGTACGGCTGCAGCGTGAAGGTATCGCGCCGCAGCGAGCGGGCCGTGGCCGGCGAGTCGGGATCGGGGTAGTAGATGTTCTCGTAGTAATCCGTCCAGTTGAACGGGCCCGATCCCGTTTGCAGGATCCACTGGTTTGTTGGGTTGGTTTCCCGGGCTGTTAGTACTAGCACTCCTAGTAGTAGTCAAATGTCACCGAGGGATAATTAAACTCACAAAAGTGTGTCCGTGCAGGTGGAACGGGTGCGACCCTTCGTCGAGACTGTAGAGCAGGATGTCGACCACGTCGATCCGGTCTTTGCTTAGTCCGAGCACGAACTGGCTCGGCCCGAACGCATCCACTTGCCCTTCCACGGCCCACGTGCTGCTGTTGCTGACTGAGGACCCCTGATGAGCCTCCCCAGCCAACCCGTCGACAGCTTGCATGAGGGTGGTCGTATTCTCGAGCGCCGACCACGTGGTCCCGTTGAACTTGGCTCTGTCCAGCTGCATGGCTCCGATCCCGAAGCTGAAGTCGAGCCGCCACATCTTGGTTGCCCCCGGCGGTGCTTCTGGCTGGCTCGGGACCAGGGCACTGTCTTCCAAGTCGATGCAGTGGATCGGCAGCGCGTCGGTCCAGTCTACCGAGGAGGCGTCGCTGGGCACGATGGTGGTGTTTCCCGAGTACGAGATGACGGCCTTGGTTGTCGAGTCGAGCACCGGGTTGTCGTCGGTGAAGCAGTTGATGATCATGGAGCCGCGCAGCCAGTAGTTGGTCGAAGTCGACTGGTTGCTGTGCAGGATCACGCTGTACCGCTGCGCGACGTGGATGGGGACCCTGGTGGCAACCGTTAGATTCCTACGGTCATGTCCACAGAGCACTCGTCATGTGGATTCCGCATTCTCACCTGTGCACTGTCACCGGGTTCACAAGAGTCGCGTCGGCTTCGATGACAGACAGTGTGTGGTTATCGGCGCTGACGTCGAACTCGGCAAACGCGCCGGTGTTGATGAGCCGCAGTCGTGTTCGAGTATTCTAAGGACACGGGGGCTAAGTCTTAGAAATGTCGGAATGGAACAACCGCGGTGAGACTTACCGCGTCCAGCGACAAAACGGCATAGGTGTTATTGTCGTAACAGGTGTATCCAGAATCGGCTCCATACATCGAACAGTTAAAGCTGGCATGGATGGTCAGGCCTGTCTTGTCATCTTACGTTCCGTCAAAATATATGACGACTTACTAGGCCATGCCGTTGACCAGCCCGTTGTCAGGAATAGGTTCCGCGTTCTCGTTGTCCGGGGCCAGATACGCCTGCACATTGACCTGGCTGAAGCCGTGGTACCAGTCTTGGATGAGCACGACGCGGTCCTGATCGTACTGCTTCCGCACCTCGGCCTCGGGCGGGCCGTGGATGATGAGAGGACCCAGAATGCCATCGAGGTACTGGGTCCCGTAGTGTGAGTGGTACCAGTACGTGCCGAACTGATCCAGGGTGAAGTTGTACACAAAAGACTGCCCCGACGGAATGCCGCATTGCGTGATGCCCGTGGTCCCGTCGAGCCAGTTGGTGCCGTTCTGGTAGAGGCCGTGCCAGTGGATGGTCGTGGCGTTGGCCGTCAGTCTGTTGGTGACGTTGACGATAAGGCGATCTCCCATGTTCGCCTCGATCAGCGGCCCGGGAAACTTGCCGTTGATGAAGAGCATATCGCGCACGACGCCTGAGAAGATGTGAGTGACATGATGACTACTTCGTGAGTGGCACCTTGTTCCAGATCATTCTCACCGTCTGGCCAGCCGCGCCCCTCGGTGATGACAAAGTCATAGTGCCTGGTCGTCGGGGCCGCGCCGATGTCCCACGACATGTTCAACACATAGTGGTCGGGATCCAGCCTCCACTCCTCGAGCCTCGCATTCGGATCAGCCCCCGATCCGGGCAGCGGTGTCCCAGATGCCGCCGGCGCAGATGGCGGACTGCCGGCACTGATGTGACGTCTGAGTCCCAGTCCAAGGCCAAGACCTAGGCCTAGTGCTAGAGACACCAGGATGAAGGCGACGATGCTCCCCACGATCAGCAGCACCGAGGGCCTTCTTCGTGGCGGAGGGTCAGTGCTCGTCGCGGCCGGCTTGGGCAGCGATGACTGAGAAGTACTAGTAGTCATGACAGCATGTGAATAGTAAATGGATCCCTCTGAAAACAGCCGTCGACATGTCTTGCTGTACTAGCATGCCAAGCAGACTTGTAGTAAATAAGCTTTGCCCGACCATAATTTGATGAGTGGCCAAGACACCGTCGCATAGGCCTCGGGAGCGGCCCTATCACCCCTGGCGTGCTTGGTTTGTGGACACTGGACAGTGGGCGCTGCCACACTCCCACAGTGCCGTATGTAGCACTGCCCCGGTGAAAGAGGTTAACCTTGTCGCACCGAGCTACCTTGAAGAGGAAGTTGTGTGAACCCTTGTCCCACATGTTCATGTTGAGCTACGTCATTGGCTAAGATCGGGCAGGTTACTAGCCTCGAGCTAGTATAGCCGCTCGTGTGATTTATTGCCGGCCATATTGCCGACGGACTGTAACTAACCAGCGATGCCCTGCGTACAAGTTATTCACCGAAGTATGAGCGAGATCTACTGGAACTTCTGCTAGTTTTCTATCAGCATACGAGGATTAAAGGGTCTCTCGTCGTCATTGCCGTTGTGGGGGAGGCTGATGGCATTGCCAAGCAGAGCGTGGTCGTTTAACTGTTGTTTTGAAATAACGAACCTTTTTGGTTTGGGAATACTACCCGTTTTGGTGGTAGAAGGTCGAATAGATTTCCTCGTCCGAGGATTTTAGCTAGGTTCTGTACCTAGCAGCTACGCTTTGTGTCCCCTGAAAACTAAAGAGCCCACGGGCGCGGAAGAACAGGCAGCTGCAGAAAATGCGAGCGAATAACCCGCCACTTGGGGCGGACGTTCTGCTAGAAGAATTACCAGGCAACAATGCTTTTGAGAAATGTATTCTTCCGTTTTCTGTTTGATGAGTCGTCTTCCAAAGTTCCAGGTCGGCAATGCGTGTGTAAACCGTACGATATTCCTGGCACGTGCCTGGGACGTTTGTGGTTTTCCTAACGGCCCTCGGGGCATGCCACGTGCTCGCCCCATAAATGACACGCCTTATGTCACCGAAGAACCCCGCAAAAGTGGGAGCTCTCCCCGCCAAGCCGGAGACGATGCGAACTCTCCACCTTACATCAACAACACCTCCCTGCCAACAAAGACATCACCAGACAACATGTCGTCTCAAGATTACTACAACCAGCAGCAAGGCTTTGGCTACAGCAACGGTGGCCAGCAAATCTACGACCCGCAGGCGCCGTACTACGCCCAAGCCCAAAACCCGCCGTCACAGCAGCATCACTCGCCTCCAAACCAACCCCACCATCAGGGACCCCCGCAACACCAGCCCTACGGCGGCGGCGGGTATCAGCACGATAGCAACCCGCACTACCCCCCGAGCGCTCCTCAGCACCACCAGGGTGCGCCATACTCCCAGCTTTCACAGCACGGCGGACAGAGCCAAGGACAACACTATCCGCAGCAGCACCAGCAGCCACCGCACCAGGACCAAAGCCACGGCGGATCGCATGACCAGCATGGACAGCCGAAGCAGGCCCCGCTGAACTCGCTGCTAGGTGCAGCCGCCGGCGCCCTACTCGGTCATTCGGCTACGGGCGGAGGAGGGGGTGGTGCCCTGGGAGCGGCGGTTGGCGTACTGGGTAGTGCGCTTGGGGGATCAAAGTTGGAGCACGCTTTGGTTGGGGAGTAGGTGCCAACTCCGTTGCATAGCTTAAGGTACCGTATCTATGGTCAGGGACACATGCTGACTACCGACTTTGCCATCACAGCATTGGTCACGAAAAGAAGGATAAAAAAGACAAGAAGGACAAGAAGGAAAAGAAGGATAAGGGAGAGAAGAAGGACAATAAGGACAAGAAGGACAAGAAACACAAGGAGAAGCACCACAAGGGGTCAGGCGAATCGGGCTCCGACGACGACTCAGATAGTGATTCTGACTAGGGGTTGCTGGTCGCTGTCCTTCTCAATATATCTCGTTCCTCCTTTCTCATGCGCCATGCGTCATTGCCGCCATCATATCCCTACAGGCACAACCGGCACAGCCAGCCTGTTACCGACGTATTAGGTTGCGCGCCATGTGTTTTTCACGGCGGCTGTTTACAGTGAAGGTCATCTAAGAGACCCTCAGAGGCACTGACCTGTCTTGCTTTTAAAAAAATGCCACAACCGACCGGACCCACAAGTTACCCATCAACACACACATAGCCATGCCACAGGCGTATCACGTTGGGGTGCGGAATAATCCCACCCACTAGCCCCCCTGGCAGAGGCGTTTCGCACGACGCCACAGAGCAAGCCGTTGCCCACAACTGTGTTTTGAGTTGCGATTGGCTGGAAGTCTGGTAAGCAAAAGAAGCCAAGGTGACAATAATAAATTCCCAAGACACCTCTCATCAACCAAAATAACATCCCGGTAGAGTCTCACGGTTTAATAACGCAAATCAACTAGCCATCGTTTGTGCTACACCACCCTCTGTCAAGTCTTCTCGTCCTGGCATGAACCCTGACGATCCATCCGAGTCCTTTATTAGACGAACTCCGTCTCCTCAACCTCATCCACCTCCGCATCCTCTACTGGCCTGGATCCCGACACATGAATCCTCTTCCCATCTGGTTTCGCATCATCTGACTTTCTCGAACCTAGTTCTGTTTAATCGAGCGAACCTATTTCTGTTTAATGAAGCCACCTTCGCTTCTGTTTCGCTTCATGAGGCCGACTCCGTCTGGGTGCACGCAGATGACCGGCATGAGAATGAGGGCCGAGCAAGCAGCACTAGCCGCCCCCCGCGCCCGACCCGCCCGAACGGCCCATTCGATAGCCTTGATGTACTGTGGACAGGGGCGTGGGCAGAGGGCGAGGGTCATCTTCCAGTCTCCACCCTCTTCCTCGACGACAGTGAAGACCACGAGCCTGCAAGTGCTTTCATCGAGGTTAGCATTGGCAAACGCCTGGAACTTCCAACACCATGTTCGGAGAACTCCCCTTCGTCTCCGGGGGATGCAGCCAGCATTGCAATATCCAGTGATTCAGGACAAGTCGATGGGAAAGACGGTTACGGATTCCAGCTCTTCAAACAAGTGCTTCGACGGCTCATCATAGCACACCAGGCCGAGACAGCTGAATGCAATACCAGTCAGCCTACCCCTCGTCAAGGTGACAGGGAAGCTGGAACTTCCCAGCCGGGTCGGCAAGCACCAACCGACTCGCCGGCGGTGACAAAACAACGCAAGCGGCAGCGAGGCTCCGATCAAGACTCTGGAGAGGATGAGGACGGATGTGACGGACGTCGTGCAAAACAGCCCACTGGTACATCAAGGGACGCTTTCCGAAGACAAAAGTTTCTGGCTTGTCCGTTTGGGAAACTGGACCCAAACAAATATTGGGAGTGTTTCTTGAAACGGATTACGACCATCAGCTACGTGAAGCAACATCTGTCAAGGAAACACACCCCGGATTTCTTCTGTCCTCGCTGCTACACCATCTTCGCGCAGGAGCCCGTCTACGAGACTCACGTCCTTGCGGCTGCGTGTTCACGGGGTCCGTCGGCGAGACTAGATGGGATATCGCCGCATCAAAGCAGGCAGCTGTCATCATGAAAAGGGTCCAGGGGCTCGGTTGAAGAACGGTGGTTCGCAATCTGGAAGATCCTGTTCCCGGACAAGACCCCGCCCACTTCCATCTACATCGACCCCCAATTATTCCGAGGACTTTTGTTCAACCAGCGAGTTCAGCGAACGCCATGGAGTGGTCGTGCTACGCCAAGAGCTTCAGTCCAGCGGACTTCTACTCAGGCCGGGAGTTTCTGATGAAGAGGTGGAACACTGCCTGCGAGCGGGTTTGGATGCGATGTTTGAACACTTCACGGGGAACCGGCCCTCTCGAAACACAAACAGTACACTAGTAATGCCAGTCTTTGATGATGGCAACATGAATACTAGTACCCAGGGACCAACTCGTCACGGAAGCTTAGCGAACCCCGAACCGGACCCGGACGATGATGCTGCAATGGATGTTACTTCGGCCGGTGCTCAACAGGCAGATGACGCTTCACCCCCGATCTTCCTGGATTGGACATTCCTGGACGCACCGGTCGTCGAACCCGTACATCCACAGCCATTTCTTGCTGAACCGACGTTGAATACAACTGCCCATGATGCGGGCGACTATGACTTCACAGTCACTGCACCGGGAGCGCATGAGATGCTTGCAACCTTTGATACGAACGATGGAGCTGCTTTTGTTGGTACGTTACTGGGCGGATTTGCCTCGGGCAACCGTCACGAAAGCTCCGGTGAACTGTCGGTATGGCAAGGGGATGTCCGTGGAACGGCGCCACAGAACACTGGGACCTCAACAGGCGACTCGGCAGAATTCTCACTGAGTGATTGTCTACCGACACCTGGGCCGGCTAGCGGAATGTTTGCCCTCGATCTCGGTCTAGTCACTGACGTTGAACTCGGGTCGGTAGACTTGGACGAACTGATCCGGGGAATCGTGGATGCGAATTCATGGCGGTCAATAGTCGGCAGTGATCCAGACGGCGCAGACGCGGAGCCATGCCAACCAGGCTGCGGCTAGGAGGAGAGGGGAAGGACTGTATTGATATACAAGTACATATAACTTATAAGTGCTCGACTGTTACAGTTTGGGGCACACCATAATGGCTTTGACCCCGGCCAGACTCAGTCACATTTCCCAAAACGAGGGAGACGCTGTCCCAAGGCCAATGGGAAGAGGATGCGCACCCAGATTTACCACGGGATATTTCTCATCCAGGATTAGAGTAAAGAGATCCTCCAATCTCTCACCACAGACGGGGGAGAGAGTGTAGCGCATCAAGTACCGGTGACCATTCCGGACCTCCCCTAGGGGCGATCATTGTTGTGACCAGGCCTTTCCCACATACCTGGAAGCAATCCCGAGTGGCCATGCCACGGCGTTTCACTTTCACTCACCCGACATCCCACGCCCCTCGCCAAGCGAGGATTCCACAAGAATGACAAGACAACGTGCGTCTTGGCAGCACAACGTGCTCCTTGGCGCTGCCGCCATCGTCAACGCCAAGGGGATCCAAGAACTGGCACCGAGAGAGAGCAAGGGGAACTAGCGCCGCCGAGGTGTCTCTTCCACTACTAGGTGGCTTGTGGCTGACACGCCGCCACAGCACCACTGCTGTGGGGGGGCTATTCTCGCTACTAAATCTACTGATTGCGTGCTCGAAGCCGCACATGTTACCATGTTCGCCCAGACTCTCAGCTGGAGTTCGCCATGGCCCAAAGGGGACATTACCCAGCGGGCGACCAAGATGCCCATAAGAACTGGCATCCGTCCGATTAAAAAACAGGACCGGACTGCTGGGCTACAGGGTCTGGCCTGCACTCACCATACCGACACAACAGGCAGGATACCCATTCTCCGTCAGCAACCATGTCGGACATCAAGTCCATAGGTCCGGACCATTACCCGTCTCCCAAGGAGGATGAGGAACCCATGGCACTGCATGTGGACTGGACAAAAGACGAAGAGAGGAGAGCGAAGCGAAAGTGAGTATTACTTACTAGTATCATTCAAATGCAGCCGCCCGATGACAAGAACCTGCTGACAAAAAAATCCCTTTCAAAGATTGGATCTCCTGCTTATGCCACTCCTCGGTCTTGGATACTTTTGCTTGCGTGAGTGATCTCTTCGCGTCCTATCATTTCTACTATTAGTACTTCTACTCTGACCTATTTGTCTTCTCCAGAGCTCGACCGCGGAAACATCGCCAATGCCATCACAGACAAGTTCATGGAAGATGTCGGCATCAACCAGGACCAGTTCAACGTGGGCCAGCAGATGCTCTCGCTCGGCATCGTGCTTACCGAGATTCCGTCCAACATGATACTCTACCGAGTCGGGCCGGGCAAGTGGCTCACTCTCCAGCTCTTTCTGTTCGGTACCGTCAGCACGTTCCAGGCATTCCAGAAAGGATACGGAGCCTTCCTCGCGACCCGATTCCTGCTCGGCATCACCGAGTCGGGCTTCATCCCGGGCGGGTTGTGGACGCTCTCTACGTGGTACACCCGGTCGGAAAGCGCGAAGCGGATCATCATCTTCTACTTTGGCAACCAGCTCGGCCAGGCTTCCTCCAAACTACTCGCTTACGGGATTCTCCACATGCGCGGTGTCGCCGACCGACCTGGCTGGTTCTGGCTGTTCGTCATCATGGGCGCGTTCACGCTGCTCTCTGGTCTTCTGTTTGGACTTTTCTTGCCCGACTCCTTCAAGAACCCGCACAGGCATGCCATCCTCCTTCCGTCCGTTCCCGCTTACTAGTAGCCCTACTTACTGACACAAATCCGCGCGGTCAACAGCACCTTCTTGCCGGGTGTCTCCATCTTCACCGATCGGGAGATTCATATCCTGAGGACACGGGTCTGGCTCGATGACCCGATGAAAGGGAAGAAGAAGAAGCGCATCGGAACAGCCGCCTTTAGAAAGGCCGTGAGTCCATCTCGGTATTCCCGTTGTGGAAGAGTCTCCTGCTGACCTTTTCGTCCCCTGTCGTTCTCAGTTCCTGAGCTGGCGTTTGTGGACACACTTTCTCATTTCGCTCGCCAACAATGGTCCGCTCCGTGCCTTCGATACCTATGGGCCGTCGATTGTGACCAGCTTTGGGTTCCCCGCGCTCTCGTCCAACGCGATGGCCTCGGTCGGTCTGTACATTCAGATCCCGATTGCCTTTGCTTTCAGCTACGTTTCGGACCGTTTGTGAGTGGAAATGCAAGGTCAAAGAAATTAGAAAGGAAAGTGTCCCCTAACTTGATGGCAGTAACAAACGTGGCGAGACGGTCATGGCCGGCTTCACCTGTCACTTGATCGGCTACATCTTCAATCGCGCATTCACCTCGCTCGGCCCCAACCTCCGCGGGGTGCGATACTTCGGCGTGGTGTGGACGCAGGCCTTTGGCACCTTCTCGCATCCCCTCAACATCACTTGGATGTCCCTGGCATGCACCGACTCAGAGGAGCGAGCGTTGGCAATGACCATGTAAGTCCTGTCCGACTCCTTTGTCCTATGGTTGAGCTACTGCTGACCACCATGTTTCAAAACAGGGCCATCATGGGCGGCAACATTGCCGGCATCTACGGCGCGCAAATCTTCCGGCAAGACGACAAGCCCCTGTACAACCGTGGATTTGCCGTCAACATTTCCATCCTCGTGGTCGGCCTGCTGCTCGCTGTGGTCCGGTACGTCGATGACTGGCTGCGGCGCCGCAAGGTGATTCAGTCCGAGTCATTGGCGGCAGACAGCGACAACAGCGATCGGAAGGAGAGCGGTGGGCCAGAGGGTGACGGCGACGTCAAGCGGGAGCTGGGAGATGTCGTTGCTACCGCTACTTGAGCCCTGGCCTCTCTATATCAGATTGACAAGACACAAGGTTGTCACTTGTCAAGTAGTCGGGTACTACTAGAGTAGTAGGAAGACAAGGCGTGTTGGACATTACCGGGTGGCCGTGGTTGTAGTGCAATGCCATCATGTACTGGCACCAACATCATAAGAATACACGGGCCAAGGTGTCTATTACTTGGACGAGAACCTCCAATCTTGACCGATCTCGCGCAGCTACCTACTACTAGTAGTACTTATTAGCATGTACGAAAGACCCCTCTGCATACCCCAAGGCAAAATCACCTGAGCATCCAACCGGCGACAGTCCCATCAAACAACCTGGAATCAGAATAACTAAAGCAAGGTAATAAGTTCTCCAACAGCGCCAACCACCCATCCCATACTGCTGGTAGTGCCGCGTACCCCAGCTGCTACTCCAGACGTGGACGTGGACGTTGACGTGGACGTAGTACTTCCAGTTCCGGCAGCCAGGACACTAGCAGGCGGATACCGCAGGCTGCCGACGTGGACGGGTCAAAGACGGCGTCGCTCCCAAAGTCCGACGCCCGGGCCAAGGCCACAGAACAAGCGTGGACGCGGGGATCGACACACTCCCGATGCGCGCCCGTGTCGGGTTCGAGTCCGGCCAAGACAGCGCCCTCGCGGAGGTAGACCTCGCAGACCGACGTGGTGACGTTTTGCCCGCTGAGGTTGGTGCTCAGCGTGCGGGACGTAGGTCGTGACGAGCAGCGCGTGCGCGGACTGCGTGGCCTGCTCCGAGAAGTCGGGGATGGCGGTGGAGACGGCTCGCGGACGCACACGGAGCGACTGGGCCGTGGTGTAGGCGAAGCTGGTGCGCGTGCACGAGGCTGGGTTGCTGATGGCCACTGGCGCGTAGTAGTCCGTCGTGATGCTGCTGCTGCTGCTGGCTGTGGGCTTGGGATTGGGCCCGCAGGACGACAGATAGGGGCAGAGTCCGGAAGCGTTGGCGGCGTAGAAGAGGTTGGTGACGGTGACTTCGATCGTATAGTCAGGTCCGTAAAAGCCCCCGCCACCGTACCCTTCCACGGTCTCCAGTGTCGTGGAGACGTTGGAGGAGATCGGCGTCACGGCGTCGGTGGGGAGAACGGTAGTGGATGATGTGGTGAACTCGGTGCTCCATCGAGTCTGAACCGTCATCTGCCAATGATCGGTACGGGACCACGCGGCCACAGTGCCGATAAAGAGCAGGAGCAGACACATGGGGCTGTCAAGGGTCATTTTGCGTTCTCCTGCGAGTGAAAATTCGACAAGTCTGTTGAGACTCGGGCGCTGATACAACTCGGGACGACGAGTGAAGCTTTGGATAATCAACAAGGAGGAGCAAAGAATACAGGGGCAACAGAGAGCAAAGGAAGTATGTACATTCCGGGCTCTTGACACTTTCATGAGGGCTCTTCTTCACTTATATCCAACATCAACAATAACCTCAGCCGCCCGTATGCATCCCTAACAAGGGCTGAAGCCCACAGCGCGTGCCCTTGACTTCACCTTCTAATTTGCGGCTGACATGTCTGCCAAGCTGTGTTCTGTGCGGGCCAAGAACACCACCAGCGCTTGCAGTTCGCAGGTCTCGCTTGATCGAATCAGTAGCCGCCGACAGACAGTCCTAGTGCCGTTGCTGTTATTTCCATATATTTAGAACGAAGTGAAAGGAAGGCGCCACCATGCGCGCAGCATACCTGGAAGCAGCTCACGGTACAATATCTAGGCGCCTGGGAGTTGGATTTATTGCATCAAGCCCGAGTATGAGAGCAGTGGGCTTTGGTAAGATCATGGAGATGTGGGAAGATTGAGTTTAGGTCGCCTGAAAGGGCTTGATCCTTCTTACTTCCTGCAAGTCTTTCCTATTTTCCACTGAATCCTCGACCAGGGTGAAACCTGGCCTCCATGTTCCTCATATTAGCATCTACTCTACGAGCGACGGCACAGAGGTAATGTGGTGGGAGTCACCGTAGGAGTAACCGACTATGCGGGCACGTCGGCGCCCGTTCCCGCCGCGGGAGTTTGCGGGCGGCATGGCTGAGAGACCGGGGATGGTCACCAGAATGTGGAATGCTAAGTCACCCGCTGCCGTTCGGTATCCTGATATCTTGGCAAATTTGGATGAAGTGCGTCATGGTGATGGTACTGCTCATCAACCGTCAAGTCTGCCCCTTTTGGTGGTCCCGCATCGTCCTGTTCACCGCACCGGATCCTACTCTCGCCACGGGATTCTACCCTACGGACTACCTCAGCAATGCACGTCGCTTACTGAGTAATCGTGCCTTGTCACATTGACGTCATCCTGCACGGCAGCTATCATACTACAACTATGAGCTGGGTTAGGACACCCCGTCTCTCCGGAATGTAGTATTTGAAGTAGTATTTGAAGTGGTCCTTAGTAGATAAGAACCTCGATGCTAGAAGCCTTAAACAGACAGACCCTCAGTCCACGTTCATGGGAGAAACGTCTGGGACATACAACGCTGTCATTCGTGCCATTTCTCTTACACGTAACGGAACCTCTCACTGTGGCAAGCGCAAGACACCACCCAAGATGGCCAAGGTCACCACGGCCGGAGAGAACGCGGAGCTACAACTGCGTAACGAAGCTGCCCACCGAGTATGCTTTTACACGCCGGCTCAAAATCCGCTTGCCGGGACTGCGGTGACACCACAGCCAAGCGGGAAGCCCGTGCCCAAGCTTTTCACTCGGCTCCAAATACGCGGCATGACGATGCAGAACCGCATCATGGTCAGCCCCATGTGCCAATACAGCGCCCACGAGGGGTTTTCACACGATGTGGCATGTCACCCATCTAGGCGGGATCGTCCAGCGCGGAGTATGCTTGGTGTCCCTTTTTATTAACCAGCCTCTTCATACCCACCCCTTCTACCAAATACCGACCCCTATGAATCTGGCCTGAGCTAATTGATGATATCATCATCCCTGCGGTAGCCAGGTCTGACGGTAGTCGAGGCGACAGCCGTGCAAACCAACGGGCGTATCACGCCCGAGGACTCCGGGCTCTGGCTGGACGCCCACATCGACCGTCTGCGCGAGCACGTCGTCTTCGTGCACAGCCAGGGCCAGAAGATCGCCATCCAGCTGTCCCACGCCGGACGCAAGGCGTCGACCGTCGCCCCCTGGCTAAGCCGCGGCGCCGTGGCAAGCCCCAGCGCAGGCGGGTGGCCCGACGACGTGGTGGCACCGAGCGCAATGGCCTACGACGCACACCACTCATCGCCGCGCGAGATGTCGCTGGCCGAGATCGAGCAGCTCAAGACCGACTTCGTCGCTGCGGCACGGCGGGCCGTGCGCGGGGGCTTCGACGCCATCGAGATCCACGGCGCCCACGGCTACCTGCTGCACCAGTTCGTCAGCCCGGCCTCGAACCTGCGGACGGACCACTACGGCGGGCCCTTCGAGAACCGGGTGCGGCTCGCGCTGGAAATCGCCGAGTTGGTGCGCGCGGCCATGCCCGAGACCATGCCGCTGATGTACCGCCTTAGCGCGACCGACTGGCTCGAGGAGGATGCCGACGCCGGTCCCGGGTGGACGGTTGACGACAGTGTCCGGCTGGCCCCGCTGCTGGCCGACCGGGGCGTTGACATGCTCGATGTGACCAGCGCCGGCAATCACCCGCAGCAGAAGATCAAGGGCGGGCCGGCGTACCAGGCGCCCTTTGCCAAGACCATCAAGAAGGCGGTGGGAAACAAGATGCTCGTTGGCACGGTTGGCGCCATCACCACGGGCACGCTGGCGGAGGAGTTGGTCAGCGGCGGTGAGAACGGCGACGATGTGCCGCTGGATCTCGTGGCCGCCTGGAGGATGTTTCAGAAGAACCCCGGCTTGGTATGGGCTTGGGCCGAGGAGTTGCAGACTTCCATCTATCTGCCCAAGCAAATCGGCTGGGGCTTTGGCGGGAGAGCTAGGAAGCCGAGCCACCATTGAGAGCGGGCACCCTTGGAGTCTATGCTCTGGCAATGATTGTAGTCCACACAGGGAACACCGTGATATTACAGGATCCTTCACTGTAGAAGGTTAGCCCGGATTCTGAGACGTAGAGAAACCATTAGCATCATGCTGGACTGCCGGGCCGTCTAAAGCCGAGACTATTATCCTGTCTGCTATGTAATGTATCCTGAAATTAGCTGTGATTACTTTCCTTCGTGCTTTATATCGTCGACCTCCCGCTTCCGCCTACCCCGTCCACCCCTTCTTCCCTTCCCCAGTCCTCGCTCGCAGTGGACTACCCCTGGTGTTGAGCCGCCCAGGACTGGTAATGGTCCTTTAGCATTTCCTCAACCGGTCTGTACGTAATCCCAAGCTCCTTGATACCGCGCGAATTATCCAGCGAGAACCCGATCCCCCAGTTCGCCGTCACCCAAGCCTGCGACAGGCCAGCAAACGGCGCAAAGAGACGAAACACCAACGCCGGCAAGTTCCACGTGGGCAGGACCCTCGGCTTGCTATGGACTTGCTTAAACGACTTGGACAGCTCCAGACACGAGGTCGTCTTGCTCTCTGCAACGATGTACCTCCCTTTCGCCTCGGGCACCTCGCCGGCCCTGACATGCGCCGCCGCCACATCCCGCACGTCCACCAGCGCCCACGACAGGGCGGGCACGCCAACCATCAGCAAGCCGCTGAGCAGCTGGTCGATGAGCGCGAGACTGCCCGAGTCCGAAGCCGGAGAGAGCGAGGGGCCTAAGACGAGCCCCGGGCAGATGACCACCAGATTCCAGCGGTTCTGGGCCTCGGCCATCTTCCAAGCTTCCCTTTCGGCCAGCGTCTTGGAATGCTGGTACGCGTTGTGCGAGGGGCTGCTCGTGGTGTTCCAGCAGCCCTCATGCAGCGTCGCCTTTTCCGACTGCAGAACGTCGGCGGCGTCCCCATACATAGCACCGACTAAAGTACGTGGCAAAGTGCTGGGTCGTTAGAAAATCTGGATTCTGGACTGCAGTGTATAGCAACCGACGACTTGGATTTGCATTAGCCACGCACCGGATGAGGTCAGAACGACCCTCTTCACGCTCTCAGTCTTGTTGACAGACCCGAGGACATTGCGGGTCCCCTCCAGCGCCGGTCGGATGAGCTCAGTTTCCGGGTTCTTCACTCGCTCCGGGACCAGAAACGGCGAGGCGACGTGGATAACAGTGGAGCAACCCTGCATTGCCTCGGTGAAGGAGTCCGCGACAAGCAGGTCGGCCTCAAAGAGCCGCAACTTGCCCGGGTGCTTGTCCGCGAGCGAATTCAGGGGCCGGGTCTTCGTCTCATTTCGCAGGCTGCGGACCGTGGTATGGACGGTCCACCCGGCCTCCAGCAGGCTGTTGACGACATGCAGGCCGATGTAGCCGCTGCCGCCCGTGACAAGAGCTGTGCGTGCCGTCATCGTCGCGGTTGGATGTTGGTGTTGATGACGATTACCACCACTTGAAAAGTTGAAGTCCCACTCGTCTGACGGCGAGCATTTTCAGAGGGATCCTCTCTCATTTCAGAATGATTTCGCCAGGGGTAACCGGCTTACACAGTCGGCTTAGCCAGGCCATCGCATTCGGGCATACGCCGGAGTGAAAAAATCCGAAGACCCCCCAGCCGGATTGGACAAGCAGCCTGAATACGGAATAGTTACAGCCTAGAATGCAGGGGGCTCGAATCTCAGCCGCAAACTTCATCACGTCGAGTAACTATCTGCCCGCCTCACCTGAGAGTTCGCGAGCAAGCTGGCTGGTAACAACAAACAATTGCTGTTGCTATCTAGGAATCCCCAACCCTATACTCCGTATATGATTTCAGTTTACTTCCAAGAAACAAACCCCACCAACAATGCAATACAATGCAAAATAGTACTAAAATAAAAGAAGACCTTTCCCCTCTCTTTGATCATTTCATGCCTTCTTCTTCAGTAGTCTCGGGTACGACGGCGCCCCGGGCTCGTCAAACGTTTCAATCAAGGCCGCCACAGCCGGATGCAGCCCCGCGGCAATGGCGCGACGCATCCACTCGTCCATGGGGATCACCTCGTAGGGCTGCTCCTCGCGGCCGCGATAGCGAGCAATCTCGGTAGCCATACGGTGCATAGGAATCACAACGTCGCCGACATTGTTGACATAGGTTATACCAGTAGAAGAAGAATGCAACAGGCCGGCCACGACGTCGGCGCAGACGCTGCGCACATAGACCAGGTCGAAGCTGCCCTTGTTGTAGTGGACGCGGGGCACGGCGGCGATGGCGTGGGCGTAGTGCAGCAGTGCGTTGACCCAGTCCAAGCCGGCGCGGTCGTTGGTGGCGTCGGCGCCCTCGCGGATGATGGTAGACGGGCGCTGGATCCAGATGGGCAGGCCCGTGGCGGCGTGCACCTGCTCCAGCATGCGCTCGCACACCCACTTGCCGCACATGTAGCCGTGCGCGCCGTCGGCGGGCGGTTTCTTGTTTGTCGTCATCACGCTGATCTCCGGGAAGGCGTCCAGCCCGGCGAAGAGGGCCACGCCGGCGCTCGAGATGTAGTGCAGCGGGATCATGCGGCGCACGCACAGGCGCACAAGGTGTTTCGTCGACCCGACGTTGCTGTCGCGCACGGCCGAGTAGTACTTGAGGTGAGACGTGTCGGAGCCGTTGTGGATGACAGCGTCGGCCTCGTTGAAGATGGCCGTCTCTTGCTCCTCCGAGAGCCCGAGCCGCGGAGCGCTGAGGTCGCCCTCGTAGTAGACGATGCGGTCGCTGGGCGGAGCGGGGAGCTCGCCCTTGGCCAGCCGGTCGGCGAGTTGCCGCACGGCAATGCAGATCACTTTCTCGATCGACGGCTCGGCTGCGAGCGTCTCGAGGAGGTGGTGGCCCAGCAACCCCGTGCATCCGGTGAGCACCACGACTCTCGGCGTCGGGTTCGGCGCCTTGAAGTTGGGGCCGTCCACCGCCGGACGCGATAATGAGTCCGGCGGCGGACGGGCCTCGGCTTCCCAGTCGATGCCAGGAATGACTCCCTTGGCCGGCGGAGTAGCGCTACCGGGCGAAGTCGCTGCCGTATCGGGCTCGGGCACCTGTCCGTTCAATGACGTGCCGCTCGACGGGGTGGCGGCCGCGTTGGTGTTGCTGTTGGTCTCGGAGCCGCTGTCGTCTCCCTTCGCGTCGGCCCGGACCTCGGGGATCAGCTCGGCGGGGATCCCTTCGACAGCAGCCTCGACGAGCTCCGACATCTGCGCGTCGTTGGCCATGATCTTGAGCACGGGGATGCTAACCTGCAGGTTCTTGAGGAACCACGACCGGATGTCGACCGAGATGAGCGAGTCGAGACCCAGATCGATGCTGCGCATGTTCATCATGTCGTCGTCGCCCGTCGAGATCTGCAGGATCCTGCGCAGCTGCGCGGCAAAGGCGCTCTTGACCACCCGGAAGACGTCCTCCTCGGAGCGGCACGCCTTGAGGCTGTCCAGGATGGACGCTGCGCTGGCCTTGTTCTCCTTGCCCCCCTTGCCGCCGTCCGCCGTCTTGCTGACGATGAGGCGCGCGAACTTGGGGTCGCTGTACCACTTGGGCATGTTGGGCGTATCGGGCGCGATCTCGAGCAGGCCCGTGGAGATCTCGGGCCCGTCGGGCGAGTCCGGGTATCCGGCTTCCATGGCCTCGGCGAAGATCTGGTGGAAGTCCTCCTCGGACAGATGGGTGAGGTGCGTGTTCGCCACCGTGAGATCGAGCTGGCGCGCCGACTGGGTGATGTAGCCGACGCCGATGATGGCGCCCACATTGGCCACGCTGGACACCAGACCGCGCCGTCGCCGGGCCGCCGCCACGCCGCACATGCCCATGTTCGCGGCCGCGTAGTTGGCCTGGCCGACGTTGCCGATGACGCAGTTGATGGACGACAGCAGCACGAAGAAGTCGAGGTCCACGTCGTGGAAGATGCGGTCGAGGTGCATGCTCCCGAGCACCTTGGGCCGGATCACGTCGGTCACCTGCTCGTACACCATGTTGCGCACCATGCCGTCTCGGAGTACCATGGCGCCGTTGAGCACGCCGACGATGGGAGGAAACGTGTCGACAATGGTCTTGTGCACCGCTCGGAGGGCAGCCTCGTCTGTCACGTCGCTGTAGAGAGCTGGAGTTAACACTACTAGTAGAAATAAAGTTCCCATGACTTAAGACTTACCAAGACAGCGTCCGGATGGTTACACCCTTCGCCGCGTGGTTGTCGATCCATTCCTGGTTGATCTTGGGGTTGCGGCTGGTGAGGACCAGATACCTCACTCCGCGGTCGATCATCCAGTCGCAGAGCGAAATACCGAGCGCGCCCGAGAGACCGCAGAGCCAGTACGTCTTGTCGTTCTTGAAGAGCGGAATGATGTCGAATCGAGTTACCCGAGCAGGGACCACAGTTGCCGAGGTCCAGTCGACTACTGCCAGCGGGTCTTGGGGACGTGCTTTGCCGGCGATAGTTTCCAGGGGCACCGCTGTTGCTGACTCAGTGGCTTGCTGGCTCAAATTCTCCTGAACATATTGAGCGGCCGCCGTGAGTGTGTGTCCCAGCAGTTCATCGGTGGAAGTGCCGAATTCGACGGCATGCGGCAAGTAGATGGTGCCGGCGGTCTCCCTGCGAGAGTAAGACGGCAGCGCCGAGAGGAGCGTCTGCTCGTTGGCTGATTCGTGCCCGGAGAAGCCGACAAAGACGGCAATATCCGCTGGGAGTAGCTGGCTCACTTCCGCCTTTCCGGCATATTGAGGCAGCTGAATCCAGGAGCCGGGAAGATTAGTACGGGGCGCTTCATCCGAAGTACTGCTACTAGTAGTATCCGCCACGAAGGTGACCTGGATCTGTTTCTGCGCAGCCTGGGATTCGATGGCCCGAGCCAATTCATCTGGCGCGTTGTGCGTGACGATCCTTTGTCCGGCAAACAAGGGCCCGACGATGGCTGCGGCGATCAGCTGAGCGGCGGCGAGCCTGAGAATGGTACTCTCGGAGAGGCTGGAGGAGGCGCCAAGGGGCACGGCATGCTGCACGGGGAGGTGGAGGACCGAGGCAAGGGACGACACGAGCGTTAGATACCGAACACCCTCTGGGGCCGCACCGATAGCGAGGAACCGGTGGCCGATTGGGGTCTTGATGGCAGACAAGATGGCGTGGGTAGTGCGCAGCTCGATACTATCGGGCCTAGAAGGCAGAAGAAGAAAGTCAGTATGAGTTACTACTACTGGTAGTAGCACCTCTCCCTTAGGGGAAAGGCTCAGTCGAGGGCATACCTCGACCTTCCTACGCGCTCGTCGTATCTCGACAGCTGCCTGACGCAGCAGGTCCCAGCCCCACCATCCTGCACCAGCTCGACCACCGACTTGCGCACGTCCACTTCGTGGTCGATGAGCCTCCGCGTGGAGTTCAGGCGGTTGTTGGCCGCCGGAATCGTGGTCAGGCGAGGCACCAGCTCGCGGCCCTGCTCGTCCAGGATGATCTCGGGCTCCACAGTGTACAGGATGTCCCGGCTCTGGAGCTGTTTCGAGTTGAAGCGCACAAAGGCCTCGACGACGGTTTTGGCGTCGATCTGGCTAATGTCGGGTATGTCCAGATACTGAAGGTGCAGGTCATCGTCCTCGTGCACCGCCGACCGCCCGAATCCGACCGTCATGTTGTGATATGGCTCGTCCCGGAGCCGGCCCTTGGTCAGCCAGAGCACCGACTTCTGGCCCTCAAAGAGGCGGCGGAAGCTGTACCACCTCTCGGGGGTGATGTCCTGGAACACGGGGTGGTCGAGGTCTGCTAGGCTGATGATTTTGCTGCCCTCGGGGCTCACGACCCTGTCGACGTCCATCTGCTCGAGCGTGGAATACGCGTGAACCTGACAGCCGAGGCCCGTGAGGATGTTCTCCACGCCCCGGGCAAGCTTCTCGACCGCAGGCGTCTGACCGCCCACGAGGACGACGTCCTTGACAGAGTTACCAATGGGGACGGACAGCGGGTCCCGGGCCAGCTCGATCCGAGCATCGACGGCCTGCGTAACGAACAGCGTGATGCCGAAGGTGTCGAGGAGCTTGGGGGGAGACATGGTGTCGATGCCGGAGAAGCCGTTGCGCTTGAGAATGTCGTCCCACTGCGCGGCGTTGACGAGCGGCGACAGCGTGCGGCCCTCGTCGACACCTCTCCACCAGCCGGGCAGCGTTCCGAAGATGAAGCCAGCGCCCACCTGCATCATGCCGTCGCTGCTGCCCTCGCCGATCAGCAGGAATCCGCCCGGGCGGAGAAGCTTGCGCAGATTGCGCACGCTCTCGTCGAGCCGGGCCGTGGCGTGCAGCACCATGTAGGCGACCACGACGTCGTAGGTCCCTTGCGCGAAGCCCTGCTCTACGGGGTCCCGCTCGGCGTCGCACGTCTTGAACACGATGCGGTCCGCCCAGGGGGACAATGCCTCGGCCGCGTTCTCGAAGAAGCTGGAGGAGATATCGGTGAAGGTGTAGCTGTCGAAGGTCTTGCCGATGGCGTTGAGGATGTATTTCGTAGCACCCCCCGTGCCGGCGCCTGGAAAACCGAGGTGAGATGTGATTAGCTCTGTGTGTCGCTCCGAAGACATGTCATAGGTATCTTACCAATCTCGAGAAGGTTCAGGTGAGGGTGGCGGTCCGCGATCTGCTTGACGACGCTGCCCAGCCACTGCGCCGACTGCATCGTCCCAAACCCGCGGGCGTAGTATTCATCCAGCAGCCCGGATTCGCGGAAATGCTCCAACATGGTGGTCTCTCCGTTAAAGACCCGCGGCATGACCTCGCCGACGAGAAGCATGATTCGGACGTCGGAGTTGTTGCCGACTCTGGTGGGAAGGTATTAGTATTAGTATTAATACTAGTACTAGTAGTCATCTGGGGGGCCTTCGGGGCTGGCTTCATTCACACTTACCCCTTGGCCTCTATCTCATCCAGAATGTCCTGCAGCGTATCGTTTCGCCACTCGTCCTTGGCGAACTTGTTCTCGCCCCGGTCTAGGAGGCCCGTGATGTAGCGGGCATAGTGGAGGTAGTGGCACAGCGGAGCCTCGGACCTGGCGGGGGAGTCCTCGGGGACATCTCGGTCGAAGCGGCGCAGATAGAAGTTGACGATGCGGCTTAGGATCCACATCACGTCTCTCTCGTACTGCGTTACGGGAATCCCCTCGGCAGCGGCGTAGCCGTCCGGTTTCGCGGGCACCAGGTCCATCTTGCAGAAGATATTGTGGTCGTCGCTGGCCGCCGCGCCCATAGGCTTGAAGAGTACGTGGTCCACCTGCACAGCGGCGTGGCGAGAGCCGTGGACGTAGATGTTGACGTTGCCCGAGAAGCCGGATCCAGGGCTCGAGCGGTCTTCGGGATTGCAGGTCGAGTCCACCTCCATGAACTTCAGGTCAGCCTCCTCGCTGACGACCTCCTCTGGTTGTGCCAATGCCGAGGGGTTCACGCGGATCTTGGAGATGGTGGTGGGAAGATGCAGGTTCCGCAGCTGCTCGTCACCCGGGTAGCTGTACGAGACCATGATGGACTGGAACGCGGCGTCCAGATCGACCGGGTGGATCAGCAGCCCCGCGCAGTCGGGGGTCGACGCCCGCTTGGCCACGCACGCGGCCCGCCCCAGCTTGCGCTCAAGCGTGACGAGGGAGCGGAAGGGCCCGCTGAAGTTGTACTCAAGGCTCTCCATAAAGCCGTACAGACGGGCCTCCTCGACCGGGATCATGTGGGGTGGCTTGGGCTGCCGCTCCGGGAGGAGGTTCGGCGAGGCATCTTCGCCCAGGAAAAGGCGCAACTCGGCGTCGACGGCCAGTGTGAGGTCGGACGACGCCGTCTCGCCGCCCAGCGCTGCTGAGTAGGTGAACTGGGCGATGAGGCAGTCCGGCTGGTTCGGGTCGTGCGAGATGTGCGTGAGCTCGACCAGCACCTCGATCCCGGCGTCGTTGTTGCCGCTGAAGGCGACAGCCTGGTGGATCGTCATGTTGCTCAACTCGATGAGCCGGATGCTCTTCCTAGCGGAACCAGCAGCGAGCACACGGGCCGCCTCCAGTGCGGTGGCCACGTATCCCGCCGCAGGGAAAACGGTTTGGCCCTGCACCGTGTGACCTTCCAACCACTGCATCTCGCTGGGCTTCAGCATATTCTTCCAGCGCAGCGCCTGGGCGCTGCTGTCAGGGGTCGGGTCGCCGAGGAGCGGGTGGAAGGCCGGCTGACGCAGACGCATGTGGCGCGACCTCCGGGACTCGTGCCAGAACTTGGTCCCGTGGTTCCACTGGTATGGCGGCAGGTCCTTGAGGACGCGGAAGCGGAAGCGTGGCTCCGCCCCGGAACCCCCGGACAGCGCCGCCTCACAGGTTCCCAGTGCCACCGATCCCTTGTCCAGGTGGGACCATAGGAAACCCAGGGCGGTCGAGAAGGCTTCGATGGCGTGGCTTCCTCGTGACAGCGCGCCTTGGTAGGGGAGCGGCTTTTGGAGCACCTCCTGGATGGTCTGGCCGGCGGGGCTCTTCAGCGCTGCGTGGGGACCCACCTCGAGCGCGGCGTCGAAGGAGGCACCTGACGATGACGCTGACGATAGGGCCGCCTCGAGCGCGCGCGAGAAAAGCACCGGCTTGACCATGTTCTGCACCCAGTATTCGTCGCTGAGCTCGGGCGAGTACTCCATGGGCCGTCCGTCGAAGACACTGGAGAACCATGTGCAGGGGGGGTGCGATGTAGGCGTGGGCTGGCGGGCCTTGATGCCGGCACGTCTCATGCCCTGGAGGTAGGGGTCGGCCGCGGAGACCATGTGGTGCGAGTGGTAGGCATTGTCCACGCGCAGCCGGCGGTGGAACTTCTTTTCCTCCTCCACGATGACCTCGAGCTCCGCGATGGCGTCCTCGTCGCCCGAGATGGTAACGCTGGTCGACGAGTTGACGGCCGCCACCGAGATGCGCCCGGAAAAGTCGGGATCGTTGCAGATTTCGGCGGCGTCGGCGGCCGAGGTGCCCACGGCGAGCATGGCGCCGGCGATGTGGCTGCCGTTGGGGCTGCGCGCGTGCTTGCAGTTCAGCCCGCGGTAGTAGGCCACACAGAGCGCATCGCGCGCTGTCAGAAAGCCGGCGGCGTACGCGGCGCCCACCTCGCCTCCCGAATGCCCCACGACCGCGTCGAAGTGGATGCCGGCCGTACGCAGGAGGTCCACGAGCATGATCTGCACGGCCGTGTTGAGCGGCTGGGAGATGGCGCTCTCGCCCATCCGGGAGACGGACGGCGCCGCCAGGATCTCGGCCTCGAGCGACCAGGACGGACGGTCGGGCACAGGGAGTTCGCCGAGACAAACCTCCAGGTCGCGGATGATCCTGGCGGCGAGCGGTGATTCTCTGATGAGCTCGGCCGCCATGCGCGGATACTGGGCACCCTGGCCGGTGAACACGCCCAGCATCTTGGGAGGGCTGGGAGAGCCTTCTCCGCCGCGTTTCAACAGCGTCCTCGTGCCGACGTTGCTGTCCTGACTCTCCAGGCGCGCTAGGATGTTGGCCCTGAGCGCCTCGATGCTCGTCGCCGGGAAGGCGGCCCGGTGAGAAAAGACGGTCCGGCGCTCTCGCAGCGTGTATGCCAAGTCGTGCACGTCCGTCTCCGGATGGTCGCCCAAATGCGCGGCATATGCCGAGAGCGTGGCCCGGAGCGAGTGCTCGGATGCTGCCGAGAAGACGAACGGGGTGAACAGCGCCCTGGCATCGGCACGTCCGCGATCCCGATCCTCATAGCTTTCTAGAATAGCGTGGGCATTGGTACCCCCGAAGCCGAAGCTGTTCACGCTGGCTCGTCGCGTCGGGACGGTCGGCCAAGGTTTGGCGGCGCGAAGGATCTGGAGGTTTTGGTAGAATGGCTCCACGGACGGACTGAGCTTGTCAAAAAGGAGGTTTGGGGGGAGGCAGGCGTTCTGGAGCGCCAACTTCGCCTTGAGAAGCGCTGCGATGCCGGCCGTGCCCTCGGTATGGCCGAGTACCGTCTTGATGGAGCCCACGAATAGGGGGTCGCTGTTGCTTGCCCCTTTCTCCCCGCCGAAGAATGCAGTGCTGATTGCCTCTGCTTCCACGGGATCTGAGACCAGGGCGGTGTCAGCACTTATTATTACGATGGAGGCGGAGATTTCAACTTCACTTGGTCTCCATGCGAAGCTCCTAAGTGGTACTTACCGCCAGCCGGTGTGCCTGTGCCATGCGCCTCGAAGAACTGAGGACGGTCTGCCGGAGCATGTACATCGAGCCCAGCTCTGGCGTATGTGCTCCGAATCAGCGCCCGCTGGGCTGCCGCGCTCGGCATGGTCAGCCCGGTCGTCGTTCCGTCCTGGTTGAGCCCTGTTTCGCGGATGATACACTCGATGTGGTCCCCGTCGGCGATGGCCGCGCTCAGCGTTTTCAGCAAGATGGCTGCCACACCATCGCCACGCGCGTAGCCGTTGGCGTCCTTGTCCCACATGCGGCCGCGGCCGTCGGGGGATAGCATTTTAAGCTTGCTTTCGATGATGTACGTCTCCGGGCCCAGGATGACGTTGGCACCACACGCCACAGCCATGCGTGAGTCCCCCGCGCGGAGCGTCTGGATAGCCGAGTGCACGGCCACAAGACTCGAAGAGCAGGCCGTGTCGATGGTAACCGCGGCGCCATGCCAGTCGAAGAAGTACGAGACACGGTTGGACAAGATGGCCCGCGACGTGCCTACCGCGAAATACGTCGGAGCGGCATCCAAGTCACGCAGCAACATAGCCTCGTAGTCGCCTATCATAACACCCGCATAGACGGCCGTGTCGCTTCCCTTCAGGCCGTCGAGGGTCATGCCGGCCGACTCGACCGCCTCGTAGACGGTTTCGAGGAGGATCCGCTGCTGGGGGTCCATGGCGCGGGCCTCGATGGGGTTGATGCCGAAGAACTCGGCATCGAAGGCGGCGGGGTCCTCGTTCAGGAGATACGAGTGCTTCACGTTGGAACGGCCGTGGTGCGCCGCGTCGGGGTGGTAGAAGCCATTCGCGCTGAACCGGCTGTCGGGGATCTCGGACCGGACATCGCGAGGCTCGCGGAGGAGGTCCCACAGCTTCGAGGGGGAACTCGCATCGCCGGCAAAGCGGCAGGCGCTGCCCACAATGGCGATGGGCTCTTGCGGCGCAGTTTCAATCTTGGATGGCATGGTGGCAGTTTGGCAGATGGCGGTGTCTGAAGTGTGTACCTGATGAAGTTGAGTCGGTTCGATACTTGTACTCAGTACAGCGTCCCCGTGATCGTGACGGCACTGAACAACACAGTATTGTTGAACAACTGGTCACTGCCTGCCGGAAGCGTTTGTTTATGGCAGCAACTGATAGAAAGGGGGGCGTCAGTATTTGGTATTTGCGGCCAGCAACGACTCGGAGCCTACGATAACTCAACACCCCTCGAGCTAGGTCGGCGGCCGGATACGGCAAGTCGCATCCATTGTGGTGACTGCATGTTGAGTGCCGTGCTGTGTGCTGTTGCGCTGCTCCGATGCCGAACTAAACCGGCTGCAAGACGCGTGCACCGTACCCGAGTCGGCTTCGGCCTATGTCAAGATGCACCGCATGCGAATTACCCGGTTGATCTTATTGGTGTACGACGTAGCATATCGAAGGGGAGGCCGACGGGCGGCGACGTGCCCATTGTCACCCCCCCCAAACATTATCCATCTGGAGGAGAGACCGGAGCCGGATTCCGGCTCCGAACTCGCATGCAGGACGTGTTTCTATTGCCCCTGAGGAAAACAGCGAGAAAATGGGGAACCCGGCCATGAGTTCCAGACACATAGTCGCCTCTTTTGGAACCATACGCGTTGGTTGCATTTCAGGTTCCTCTTGGACATGGTGAGTCGTGAGTCGTGAGTCGTGACTCGCGACTCGCGAAAATGGATGGACCCTTCGCATTCCGCGTTGGGTGCGAGAGCTACTGCCTTCGTTGAGATAGAATTGTGTAATTGAACCCTCATGACCAGATCATTGACTAAAGAAGGCTTTGGGGATGCGATGATGAGGTTGAGAGCAGATCTTTGGGTGCTCCACAAACTTCCACTTTTGGAAGAAGCCAATTCCACATCGAGGTTCCACTTTACACCACTACCGAGTTGGAAACCAGAAACATGCAGACGCTTCATTTCGATTCCAATCAATGGCTTAACTGGCGATGCCAATCATGCTGCCGAGATAATCACAACAAGCTTCTGCCCCCTTGCCTCCCCGCGCTGCAGCACCTCGACGGCGCGGATGACGGCCTCGAACCCGTCGCCGCACTCGCGGATGCGTTGCGTCGTGAGGGCGCCCTTGTCCAGCAGAGGCTGCAGCTCGGCGCGCCATTCCGACGCGAGCGCGTGCAGGTCCATGTTCGCGCTGCGCGAGTAGACCGGGTGGCCGAGATCGACATCGACCCCCTGCGCTTCAAAGCCCATCACCACCTTCACGCGGACCGACGCCCGCGTGCGCCACGCCGGAGGGCAGTCCTCGAGGCAGGCATAGCGCCCGCCGACCCTCGACAGCGCTGCGAAGCACGTGGCCACCGACTCCGGGTCGGTGATGCAGTCCAGCGCGTGCTTGACGGGCACGCCGCCGGCGAGTTTCTTGACCGCCTCCAGACAGCCAGCGGGCGACGTGTATGAAGCCGTGCCGACCGCGCCGTAGCTCATGACCTGGGCTGCGGACTGGGGCGAGCAGACGGCGATGGGCGCGTATCCAGATCTGTTTGTTGGCGTTCGCCATCATGTTAGAAACAGTGCCAGCAGTACTGGTAAAGGGTAAGTAGTAGTGCCAGTACTGACTGCCGCAACATCTGGATGGCTATGATACCCGTGGCCGTAGCTCCGCCGTACACCAAGACCGGAAGCGGCTTCTCAGCCGGCCGAGACGGTCTTCCCGGCAAGCCCAGTGCATCTTCGGGCGATATGGCCAGACACGCAGTGCCCCAACCGATGGCGCCCAGCGCGGCTGCCCGCGTATCGCTCCAGTCCTCCGGGACAGCGAGGGCGAGACGCGAATCGCACACGGCGTACTCGGCGAAAGCGCCGTTGTACGGGTTGTTGGGGCGGTAAGGGAAGTCAGCACCACATATCCGGGTGCCGGGCTTATAGAGCGCCGAGGGACCTGCGACCTCGACGATGCCGCAGAAGTCACACCCGATGGTGTTCCCCTCCATAAAAAAGTGGGTAATCATCTTGTAGTCGGTCGGGTTCAGCCCTACGGCGCGGACGCGTACGAGGACATGGTAAGGGGTGGGCAGCTCGGGCACCGGCTGCGAGCGCGAGATGGCGAGCGGAACCGCCGACCCGGTTGGGGACTGCTTGGATTGGACCACGGCCGTTTGGACCTTGGGTGCCATCGTTGGCTGAGCAGTGGCTGAGTGAGCAGGCAGAAGGGAGCGGGAGCCGGTGCTTTCGCAGACACTCAAGAGACAACATTGCCATATCTTACTCTTGGTTGGACCGCTGGCGGGGCTGATGTACGGCGCGGTTCGCAGTGAATCCGACGGGAGAGGGCAGATGCTGTCTGGCCGTTTGCTGGCAGCGCAGATACTGGACTGGCGACTCGACAAGAGACATTCGAATTAGGAAACCGAATCCGAAGGGCCGACCGACCGAATGTTGAGACGGGCCATTTCCGGCTGATCCGTACCCGTGTTCACCTTAGCCCACGTCAACTATCGAAAGGTGCGAGGCCCAATCGCCGGAGCGGGTGTGCTGTGGCGGCAGATAATGGGGAAAGCCGGGCGGATGTACTGTACCAAGGTGCTCCGACCTATTATCTGAGCGCCTCGAGGGGTCGAAATCTCACGGGCGCAGAGAGGGCAGCGACCCCGCCTACTACTGCCTGCTGCCACCTTGACACGGCAGCTCATAATCACTTACTTCCATCTGCTTGCGCGACAGAAGCAGTGGAAAGGCGGACGAAAAAGAAGAAGATCCAAGTAAACAAGACAAATATTGAGCAGCACTATGCCCACTATCAGTTCCCTCCAGGGGACAATCCTCGCTTCCGCACCACGGTTGTCACTCCCGTCGCTGGGACTGCTTTTGGTCGGGCTGGTACGTGTATAGCTGTGCCGCAAGCAGATTCACCGACAAGAGTCGAACTGACAAATGGCGTCGAAAAGGCTGCGTCGTACTTACTCGTGCTGCGGCCCATCTACAACATCTTCTTCCACCCGCTCCGGCGATACCCGGGGCCCAAGCTGTGGGCGGCTTCGTCGCTGCCATGGGGCTTCTCGTTCATGAGCGGGTACTGGCACCACCGCGCGATGCAGCTCCATGCCCAGTACGGCCACATCGTGCGCATCGGTCCCAATGAACTCTCGTACGACGTGCCCGAGGCCTGGGAGGACGTGTACGGGCGGTCCAAGCACCGCAAGGAGAACCCCAAGCCGGCGTGGTACCTTAGCCCCAAAACCAAGGAGATCGTGGGCGCGCCGCTCGAGGACCATACGCGCATGCGCCGCCTGCTGGGCTCCGGCTTCACCAACGCGGCCATGCTCGAGCAGGAACCGCTGATCAAGAGCCATGTGGACCTATTCATACAGCGACTGCATGAGGTTACTACTGGTAGTAGCAGTAGTACTGGTAGTAGTAGCAGTGCGGGGGGGAAGAAGGCCGTCGACATGTTCGAGTGGTTCGCGTACTGCACCTTCGACATCATTGGCGACCTGTCGTTCGGCGAGCCGTTCGGCTGCCTGCGCGACTCAATGCTGCACCCGTGGATCGCCTGGGTCTTTGCCAACATCAAGCTGGCCCACACGCTGGTCCTGTGCAACCGCATCCCCTTTTTCTTCCTCTTCCTGCCGCTCCGACAGACCCTGGCGCTCATCAAGGGCTCGGGCTACTTTGAGAAGACCATCAAGGCCGTCATTGACCAGCGGCTGGCGCGCGAGGCCGAGAGGCCCGACTTTCTGCAGATCATGAAGACGCCGAGGGGCAGTTCGGTACGTTTCCAACTTGCCAGGGGCACGGGTTCTCTCGTGTGCCGTAGCTGATTAATATTGTTTTCGGCACTTACGTTTTACTTAGTACATGACGCGCGAAGAGATACATAGCAACGCATCCTTCTTGACGCTGGCCGGCTCCGAAACGACTTCCAACTCCATGGCCGTGGCCGTGTACATGATTGCACTTTACCCGGATATCAAAGCCAAGATTACGCAGGAGCTCGTGGCAACCTTCAGCGACGAGGCCGAGATCGACATGCGCAGCGCGGCCAAACTGGCGTATCTCATGGCCGTCATCGAGGAGAGCATGCGCTGTCATCCGCCGGGGCCAAACGCATTGTGGCGTGTAACACCTGAGGGCGGGAACCAGATTCTTGGAGACTGGCTGCCGGCAAATGTGAGACATGCCCATCCCATCCCATTCCCAGCCAGCTTGTTTTTTCACAGGGTGACCCCTGTCTCTATCTCAGGGGTAAAAACATGGCTAACGTCAACGACACACACAACCACACAGACTGTTCTCAGCATACCGCACCGCGTTATGTATCGCAGCGAGCACAATTTCAAGCGCGCGCAAGAGTTCATCCCCGAGCGCTGGCTGGATTCTGGGGAGGGCAAGGGCACGTCGGAATTTGCCAATGATCGCAAGGACAGCTTTCATCCGTTCTCGTATGGACCACGGACCTGTCTGGCTGTGAAGTAAGTCGTCGTCCCAATCCATGTCTCCATGTCGTCCCAAATTTGGAAAGCATGAAGCGCATGCCGGTATCAGCGGCTGACGGACAACGACCAGCCTTGCCTACGCTGAGATGCGCTACATCCTGGCCCGCTTGATGTGGAACTTTGATTTTGAGCTCGCCGACCAGAGCCGGAATTGGGCCGAGGGTCTCCGGGCTTGGTTGATTTGGGAGAAGCGGCCGCTGTATGTCCACTTGGTACCGAGACGGCTGAAGTAGTAGTAGTACAGGTGCACCACGTGTGTGGCCTTGGTGATCCGGGTTCGCCTGGGAGGGGCGTCCCAAACCCGTGCATCTTGTGGGAATGACAAATATCAATTATCCTGCAAAGTCCTCCCCTGCGCCATGCAAAGCTAAGATTCGAACTGTCAGTCTGTAGTACTCGTAGTGTCCTCCCTGCCTTTGTGTGGTCTGACCATAGGGTGAGTGTGATGTGAATTTGCTATGCACGTTGTCCCGTGTCTCCGGAGATAAGGTTCCCTCGGCTGAGCTTATCATCTCAACTTGGGCCAAGGGGGAGTGGGTCGGCGCCCATGAAGGCAGCGGCTCTGTACTACCACCCACCCAAGTTCGTCCAATATTTTTCTCTCATGATGCATAACCGGCGTGAAGGAGGCGCCGTTACCGGGTTACTGAGTTACCAGCTGTTTGGAAGCGGCAAGCAATGCGACTTGGCATGTCGGTTGATTCTTCTAGGGACCTGCAGTCTGCTGCAGGCCGTTACACCTGGGATAGGTCAAGCTTTTCCACCATTTCTGGGATCCAATCCTATCATGTCTCTAATAACCCCTGTTCACTTGAGACCTACAGTAGGAACTTGAACTCTAACCACTGCGAGGGAGTCCGTCATCGAGGCCTCGGTCCCGGACTGTGTAGCCTATCCTATCCTATATCGGCGAGCAATATTGGCTTACAACCTTCGGTGGGGGCAGGCAGACCTTCCAGTGTTCTTCCTGCTCGTGCTCCCGGTTCCTTTCTACCTACTTAGTCACTTGCGGCACAGCTGACCGCGCCTGCGTCATCCTTTCCGACCGGGTTGTCGGCGCGAACACATGCCCGGCAAGCCCGATGGCGTCCATGACACGCTCGAAATCCAATCCCAAGCCAGAACCAGGACTTTGTCGTCCGCTTACTCGAGTGGCGCCGGCCATGGAGAGACTCAGCCCGTAAGCCGGTGAGCAGAAGCGAGGTAGCCTGGCGTGCGCCCTTCGGAAGGTGATGCCTCTTAAATCCGGCGGATAGGAAGAGGCTCAGCGAAAAGGATGAAGGGAGTGAAGCTTCGAAGAATATAAAGGCAGTCGATGGCCGCGTCGAGAGGAGGATGCGTTTCTCTCGGGTCAAGCTTCAGAGAGCGCAGCGACAGCGACATCTTCGATACACCAGTATCGTTGCTCTTCTAGAAAAACAAATCTCTTGATTCGTGCCTTGAATTCTTGATTTACCTCCCAGTGTCACCCCAAGACTTGCTACCGTTGCAGCGAGATGGCCCGCGTCCACAGCACCGGAGCGGTGGTTACATTGCTCAATTTATTTGCAACCGCTCTTGGCCTCGCCCACGTGCCGAGCTGCAGATACATCCCCGGAGATATCGGCTGGCCGACGCAGAACGACTGGGCCAGGCTCAACAAGACAGTCGGCGGCCGGCTGATCGCCACCAATCCCCAGGCACACGTCTGCCACACCCCGGGGGTCGACCAAGCGGCATGCGACGCTCTGCGGTCGCGTTTTCACTTTGAGGAGGCACCTCCTTCCTTGTGTGTTCCTCATCACTACCTTACCTTAATTAATGGTTCATGCAAGCTGACCTCAGACTATAGCGTGACTCGGCTTAACCTTACCATCACAGAGTGGGACAATGCCCCAACCTAGTATTACCCCCTTTTTTTATTCTTTCTTTTTTTTACATTTCTAAAAAAAAAAAAAAAAAAAAAAAAAAAAAAAAAAAAAAAGGGCAGAAGGAAAACAAATTGGTTTAAAGATTGGTGTGCTAATCCTGGTCCTCTGCAGCGTCGACAAACCAGCTGAGATGATCAATGCCTACTGGCAGAACCAGTCCTGCGATCCATTCGCCCATACGTCGCGGCCCTGCGTCCTCGGCAACTACCCCGTCTACTCGATCAACGTCAGCAACGCCGATGATGTGGTGGCCGGGATGCAGTTTGCACGCAAGCAGAACATCAGGCTGTCAGTGCACAACACGGGCCATGAGTATGTCTCCCTATCCAGCTACCTAATACTAGTAGTTATTACTTGTAGTAGCTCTTCTTCCGTAACATTCACCAGTTTGGTACCTTGCTAATTAACAACGCCGTCACAGCTACAATGGCAGATCAAGCGGCCAGGGCTCGCTCTCGCTGTGGACCCACAACCTGCAGACCAAGGAGATCATCCGCCAGTACCGCAGCCGCGTGTATTCCGGCCCGGCGGTCAAGCTGGGGGCCGGAGTGCACGCCGGGGTGGCGCTGCAGTACGTGGCGCAGCAGGGCTACCGGCTGGTGACGGGCGAGTGCGGCACCGTGGGCGTCGCCGGCGGCTACTCAATGGGCGGCGGCCACAGCCCGCTCAACAGCTTGTACGGCATGGCGGCCGATAACGTGCTGGAGTGGGAAGTAGTCACGGGCGAGGGTAAGCACATCGTCGCCACGCCCGACAAGAATGCCGACATCTACTGGGCCATGACGGGCGGCGGCGGCGGCACGTACGGCGTGGCGCTCAGCATGACGACGCGCATCCACGCCGACGGGCCCGTGGTCGGCCCCGTGCTGAGCTTCACGAGCCCCAACGTCGGCAACGAGACCTACTGGGCCGCCGTAGGCGCCTTCCTGAAGCGGCTGCCGGCCATGATCCAGGGCACGCCCAACTCGATCCAGTTCAGCTTCTGGAACAACCAGTTCGCCGCGCTGGTCGTGATTCCGGACCAGACCAACACCTCCGTCGCCGACGCCCTGCTGGCCCCGCTGCTGGGCGATCTCAAGACCATCGGCATGCCGTACAGCCTGAGCGTGAGCCAGTCCAAGTCGTACGCCGACTACTACAACACGTGGTACGGCCCGCTGCCGTTCGGCTACGAGCCGCCGTCGACGACGCTCAACAGCCGCCTGGTGCCCGCGCGGGTGGCGGCCGACGACAAGGCCCGCCCCAAGCTGATCGACGCCATGAAGCTCACCACGCAGGACGGCCAGTTCCTGGTTGGCTGCTCGGCCGGGGACGCCAACCGCACGCCGCACCCGGACAACGCCGTCCTGCCCGCCTGGCGCGAGTCCGTGGCCATCTGCAACCTCAACGCCTTCTGGAACTGGACGGCCCCGATCGAGCACAATCTCGGCATCAAGCGCGCCATGGTCGACGTCTATGCGCCGGCCTGGGACGCCGCCACGCCCGGGTCGGGCGTCTATCTGAACGAGATCGATCCGTGGTATAAGGGCGACTTCAAGGTCAACATGTTTGGTGCGAACTATCCGCGCCTGTTGGATATCAAGCACAAGTATGATCCGTACCATCTGTTCTATGGACACCATTCGGTGGGATCTGATGAGTTTACCATCGATGGGGCGGGGAGACTGTGCTATTCCGGGCGCTGAGATGGCTTTCAGCATTTTCCTTGGGCAGGAGCGGGTACTACTCCGGTACTAGGGTAGAGGGTTAGAGTGTGGTGGGCTTGACGTTTCTTACACGTTGTGGGCTTTCCTATCACTTCTACTTTTCATCGTGTTATTATAGACTTCAAGTTGTTTAGACTATATATGTTCTCCCGAACGTGGCTTCAAGCTTTTTGTCAGTCTGTTCTTCATCCACGCGCAGTACATTAGGCAGTAGAGTATAAGTGTTAGCGGACGCCGAATGCACATCAATCCGGTCATCCCGCAACCCCTCGGCACGCACTTCGGAATGAATTGCCAATCGGACTTCGCATTACTACCACTAAAGCCATGTGCTTCCCAATGCGGCACCAGCCTGCCAGTCCATTTTTGCCTAGGACAGGTACAATACCTGCGCACTGGGACTTCCCCAAGCAATCGTTAACTTTGCTCAGCGAAATCTCCAACCGGGTGATATCGTCAGTTGTGGAGCAGAACCTAATACTACTAACCTACCATTACACATACTATCTGCCACCATGGCGACCCCAGACACTACGACCAGTACTCACAATGGGACAGCATTCGGGTTGCAGGCCGTTGTGATAAGCTCCTTCGCTCCCGGGACGTTGATGTCTCTCGTGTCCGCGGTGGTCCTGGCCGCCACTACAATTCTGGTCTTCGCGCAGAGGATGGGAGGTGGGGTATCCGGCAAGCAGCAGCAGCCCCCCCGGCTGTGGGATCCGATCCCGTTCGTCTTCAACAGCCTGCAGTTCCTGCTCAACAACGCACAGTTCATGGAGCGCGTGCAAGCCGCCCTCAAGACAAACAGCATCGCCCGCTTCTACCTGGGCCGAGACCTCGTCTACCTCGTGTCGGGCGCCAAGAACGTGCAGGCGGTATTCGGCCGCTCGCCTGCGAATACCAGCAACATCCACGCCGACGACATTATGGTGCGCACCACGCTGCCGCTGTGGTACCGGATGACGGGGCCGGATCTGGAGCGCTTTGCGCGCGACAAGACCGGGCGCGGGCGCAACCCGCTGCCGGGCACCGAACACACGCCGGCGGGCGAGCGCTTCTTCTTCGGCTACGAACATGTGCACAGCGAGTTCCTCGCCCGCGCCCAGTATCTGACGCCCATGGTGGAGCAGTTCCACAGCCAGATGACCGGCGTCCTCGACAACAAGCACCTGTATCCCGCGGGCCAGTGGACGACGATCAGCGTGGTGGACTTCTGCAAGCAGCACGTGGCGCGCTGCGCCCTGTACGCGCTGCTCGGCCCGCGCATGTTCGAGCTGAGCCCGGATTTCGTCGACCGCATGTGGGACTTCGACGACGTCGTCTTCCCGCTGGTCATGGGCCGGAACCTGGGCCTGCCCAAGTGGCTCAACCGCCGGCCGCACCGGGTGCATGAGCGCTACCTGGATGCCGTGCGGCGCTATCTGGACGCGGCGTGGGCCGGATTCGACTGGAACAATGCGGCGTCGGCCGAGGCACGCTGGGAGCCATGCTTTGGTGCGCAGGTCACGCGTGAGGTGGCCAAGTGGTTCCGGGAGAGTGGGTTTACGGGGAGGGACACGGGTGCCGGGGCGATTGGCATCTTGGCTTGGGCGTAAGTAAATTGATTCCTTACAAGTACAAGTACTGGTTGCAACCTGTTACGTCTTCCACGTTAACACTTAAGCTGTCTTGCTCTGCAGACAGAATTCCAACGTCATCCCGACGACAACATGGCTGATGATGGAGATCGCCCGGGACCCATCTCTCTTCCGTGCCCTGCGAGAGGAGGTCGAGACGGCATACACGACAGACCCAGCCACCGGAAGACGCCTGGGGTTGGACCCGCAGAAGGTGGCGGCACTGCCGTTGCTGGCATCGGCCTACACCGAGACGCTGCGGCTGCGCATGAACTTCAACGTCATCCGCAACGTGCGCCAGTCCTTCACCCTAGATGGCTACTTGGTCAAGGGTGGCAGCCTGTTGCAGGTGCCGACCCTGGTCGCCCACTACGACGAGAACGTCTGGGCCGCTGACTCGCACCCGGCGTCCGAGTTCTGGGCCGAGAGGCATGTCAAGTACGCCGACGAACAGCCCGACGAGCAGGGCAGGACCGGGCGGAAACGCGTGTTTGCCATGGCGGGGCCAACGGGGTCCTACTTTCCGTACGGTGCGTCGACTTAATGCTCACCTTTCTTTGCCTTTTCGATACGACCATTAAGTTATTAACTGCTATTGTTCTGCAGGCGGCGGTAACTTGATCTGTCCCGGCCGGCACTTTGCCAAGCACGAGATCATGTTAACCATGGCGCTGTTGGTCTCGCGGTTCGACGTCGAGTTCCTCGAGTGGACCAAGCCGGACGGCTCGCCGTCCGATCGTCCGCCGCGCAATGACCCTCGCTTCAGCGGGGGCGGGGCCGCACCGCCGGACCGCGATATGAGAATTAGGATTAGGCCGGTCGGGAAATAACGGATGCCTACTGCTTAGGTCGTATAGCGGACGCGTCACTGTGGAAGAAGAGAGTACCTTACCTTAGGTGCGCGGGCATATTGCTTAACGTTATTAGTGGTGCACCACAATAAATTACCCCTAGCGCTGTGCCACGTCGTAATTCCCGGACACGTTATCAAACCTGGCTGTTGTGCTTACTGCTTGTCCTACCATACCAAATGCTCGAGTAATCAGCCACTACCACCACCACTACCCCAACTGGGAAGGACCCTCCGAACGCCTCCCTGCACGTTCGGAGTCGGCGTCAACTGCCTCATTAGAAAACCGGGGATTAGGTGACCCAAATGTGACATGCATTCCTGCCATCTTGATCACCTTTTGATGATTCTAGCCAAGCCCCGTCGGCGAGGCAAGGACGGGAATGGGAACAGAGTTGTGGCGTAGGGCTAAGTCGGGTCTCGACAGGGCGTCGGATCTTGCCTTGTAGGTTGCAGCATTAGTCGAACGCTGGCAAGGCTTGGCACCCTGGTTCCCGGTGCTACTAGTAGTTATAGTAAGTTGTATCGCCACGGCCAGATAAGGTGATGACGAGCATTGCCTGTTCTAGTCATCAAGCCGAGAGGACCAACGATTACTCTGTTTCTCCATCCGCTACTCATCACATCCACAGTCACATCGATTCCACAACCATGGCAGCTGTGGCCAACTATCTGCAAGACTCGGAGGTCCACAAGACGGAAAAGCCATACAGGTTCAGCGGGCCGGACCTGGGATTCCCGGCATCCAACGTCGCCTTCCAGCCAAGTGAGTTGTCCGTAACCGATCTCCGGACCGTCCCCCACTTCCGGCCGACCCTGGAGACGCACGGGTTTTGTTTCATCGAGAACAGGTCCGCCGAGCTGCCCGCTCTCGATCATGAGAGCAACTCCAAGGCTTACGCCGTGGAGATGGCGGGGTTGGTCAAGGAGCTTGTCGGTGCTACACGAGTGATCCCGAACCATGTTCTGGTAGGTGACCTCGGTCTTTGTTTTCTGCGGGTTGCTGATCTGCTCGGGTTTAGCTCAGAAGCGCAAACAAGGCACATGGAAGAGCCGGTGTTGGGACCGAGGCGCACATCGGTAGGTTTCAGACAGCCAGGTGGCCGTAGAAGCACGTGCTGGACTGAGCTGTGGACCTGACTTGGTTTCCGCCCAGACACATCCGCTTTCGACGCCTGGGACAGGATACGCGGCATGATGACTCTAGAAGAACAAGAGGGCGTGCTGTCGGGCAAGCTGCGAGCACGGATCATCAAGTGAGACACAAGCGCAAAACTTGGGATCTCGCTAATGGTGCTGAACTAATACAAATCAAAATCTCCTCTCAGTCTCTGGCGGCCTAGGGTCAACCACGCCGAGGACTTCCCGCTGGCGGTGCTCGACCCCACCACGGTCGACCCCGAGAAGGACCTGGTGTGCCTCGATCACATCTCGCAGGTTACGGTCGCCGAGACGATGTACATCCGGCACAACCCCAACCACCGGTGGTACTGGCTCGGCAACCAAACCCCGGACGAGGCCGTGCTGTTCACCCAGTACGACACGCACCCGCCGGCGAATTCGCTGCACTTTGGTATGCCCAGCCCAGCTCTCCATATATCGAGGATCGTAACAGGAAGTTACCTAGTACCGTGTCTGACTTGGGCGTCACAGGCGTCGCACATTGCGCGTTTCGGAACCTGGCGGCCCGCCCAGGATGTCCTCCGCGCCAGAGCGTCGAGCTGCGGCTCACGGTTCTAGAACCGGCTCCGTATGAAAGGGCTGTCACCGTCCTCGACCCGCACCCGCCCGAGACGCGCAAGCAGCCGTGGAATGGGCGGGTCCAGTTCCTGGCGCCGCCAGTCAAGTATGTGCCGACGTTTACGCGGGAGGAGTTGGCGCTTGCATAAGCCACGAGGGAGTAGGCACAAGAAATAGTAATGGAAGAATCTAGAGAATTGGGGGTTGCAGGAATGACAGTTGTGGGAACAGTAACATTACAATAGTATCCTCCAGCAAGGATGAAATAATTGAACAGGTAGTACAAGACAACTGCTCAATTTGATGTGCCTGCTGCATCGCCTCCTACGAGTACCTATCAAGGAGCTATCACCTCTATGATCACGTCGGTTCGTTCCCAATGTTGAGGATTCCCTATGATTCATGAAAATGACCGGCTCGAACTTACATGTTCAAAGACACCTGTAAACTCCGAAGCTTCCCCCTTAACGAAGCCAACGCGCCCAACCCTACCACCCCAACCTTTTCATTAGTAGTACTACCACTCGTATCCTCTGCACTCACCTCCCTGTCATACCACCCCTCATGGCTGACGATAGCATCTAGCAGTCCCGAGGCACACGCGTCCTCCAGCAGCCACCCCTTAGGGTTATACCACCACCGCCGCCGCCACCAATACCACCACCATCTCCTCCCCCTTCACCGCTGTTCCGCCTGGTCGGGGGACGGCATAGCTGCTGCCGCTCCGTGACCTGGAACTCGCCCGGCAGACCCAGCAGCCGCTCGATGGTTTCGAACTGGTGCAGAATGGCGTGCATTAGGATCTTGGTTTGCAGGCTGGCGCCGCCGGGAGATCCGACCGTTCCGCCTGCACTGGAAGTACGTCGCTGGGAAGCAGGTGCGGTGGAGGAGGACGATGACGAGGGGAAGGAGACCAGTTGCGCCAACGCCGGTAGCACCGTCTTCTCCTGATGTTGAATTTGATTTTGATTTGCTGCCCCTGCAAGGTAGACGCTGCTACTGTTGTTGCTGCTGCTGCTGTTGTTGTTGTTATCACTACTACTAGTACTAGTAGTATTGTTATCGCCATGGAATACCAGCAGCTGGTCGCTTAGCAGGTGCAACAGCCGGTCGTAGATGGCCACCAACTGCAGGTAGACGACCAGGAGGTGTAGTGTGACCACCATGCCCGGCCGCGGCGTGCTGGGGCCACCGCTGGTGCTGCTGGTGCTGCTGCTGCTGCTGCTATTAGTATTAGGATTATTCATGCGGCGCTTCTCTGGGCGGTAGGATTGAATGATGGTGAGGAACTCGGCCGAGTCGGCGAGGGCATCAGCTAGCAGGCGTGACGCAAGCGGCTCCTCCGGCGTCGTGGAACTGCTTTCCTCCGCTTGGTCGAGGACCATCATCTCCGGGTGGGTTGGCGTCCCCCCTTGCGTGCGAGCCGGGCTTGCCACAATCAGGTACTGCCTGAGCTGTCGGGACAGATCCAAGCTCAGAGCTGACAGCCGGTGGTTACAGTCCAAGACATGCGTGAGTTGGCTAATGCTTGTTCCTGTGCCTGCGCCTAGCCCTTCGTCCCCGTCCGCGTCCTCGTCCTCTTCGTCCTGCTGTTGTTCTTCTTGGTCTTCATCCTCCCTTAGCCGGTCACCGTCTACAGGTCCGTGTCCCCACGTGGTGCTGCTCACATCGCCCGAATGTAGCAGCGGCGGGACAGCGCCGGTGACGTCGTCAAGAAAAGAAGCAGGGTCCTCGTTGTGGCTGAGATTGTGGATATGGTTGTCGAATAGCGGTGTTAGACCAAACATGTCGAGCGAATCCTCCGGTAGGGAGAAGGCGAAGTTATGAAGGTGCTGGGAGCTGACTGAGCCCACACTCGGCGCTGCATGTGCCACATGGCCCGCATCTGCCGTGGGTGGGAGGAACAACCCTGCCGCAATTGCGTCTACACTCGAGGGCGGGGGCTTGGGCTTGAGCTGCGATGCCGAGACGCTACTGCCACTAGTCCTCCCGCCGCCGCCGCGGCCGGGCGGTCTTGGATAGCTTGTCTCGCACTTGGCGCCCAGGCGGATGCATCGTGAGCAGGCCTCGCTGCCTGGCTCCCTTGGCGGGCAACGGAGCTTCTGGCTGCGGCAGCGGTTACAGGCCGACCGCTTGGACGTCGGGAACGGTGGCAGCGGGAGTCCGAAGGCCGACATGGGGGATTTACTTGGGGTGTTGGTCTCATAAACGAGCTGAGACTTAAGAGATGGGCGCTAATGCTTGGAACTTCGTTCATGGTGCTAAGTCCGAGGTGCTTGCTACTAGTACTAGTTCTAGTAGTAGCAGCACTCTACCGCAATTCCCCGGTTTTCCCTACTTATTCCGTTGTTCAACTTTACGCGCGCAACCATCCCCAGGTTGCGAGTTGCAGCGGGAGCAACCTGGGCTCGACGGGTTACTGCACAGTTCTCTCGAAGCCGGACGGATATTCGACCGCGTTTGCAAGACTGCATGTCGATGCTGACTGCATATTCATTGATGTTATCGTGGTTTATGTGGGGATTGACCGGCAACTCATAGTGCGGGGGGGTCAACAGACGGAGAGAGGAGGGAGGGAGGAGGTAGGCACCGCGCTGCCCCTGAGGACGGCTGTCGATAACAGAGGCAAGGGGCAGTGGCTGGCTGACCGGCAATCATGGATGCCTATCCCGTGTCTGATGGTTGGTTACACACCGGGGCAGCTCCCTGGACAGGAGCCCCTTGACCTTTAACCGGTGTACGCCATCTCGGATGCAGTGTTACACACCTACTATACCCCGCGCCTTCCCGCGCCCATCCAGAGGCATGGAAGCGTGTGGGATGGGCCGCCTTGAGGCCAATGCGCGGTAACGTTGAGCCTGTTGAAATCCATGGTTTTGTAAGCGATAACGCTCGCTCTAGGATGAAACCGATCTGCAGTCCGAATGCCTGTCTTTGGTGACTCAAGCGATTTTAGTGTAAATAATAGGCAGTAGTGAGGGTTGAACATCGCATCCTGCAGTCAGCTCGTGTCGAAGGCCACATGGGCAAATCAAAGATCGCAACGAGTGATGGGGAACGGCTGGTCAGTATTATGACTGCAAGTACATTGCACTTCGGAATGAGCATGTAATCATTATCGAAGTCATACGCCGCTACCTAGCTACGAGCACTCATAACCCGCCGAGATAGGGCCTGATCTGCTCCTCGGTCCAGTCCCAGAATCTAGCAGTGCCCCCCGTCCCGCCCTCTGATTCGCGCCGCATGGCGTTTTGCAAATCCTCACGTAAGGGGTACATTCGGCCGAAGGGAGCAACTACTACAGCGTCAGTCTCTCTACCCAGATGTTGTAAAGTAAATAGGCTAGGCTAGGCTACGAGGATCACTCACCCCAGCTACTACCGGCCCTTTCCATCGCCACCACCACGTCGGACGAGAAGGCGGCGAATAACTCGGTATAAGCCCCCAGCAAGGGCGGGTAGCCAACCAGCCGGGCCACGGTTTTGAGCACGAGGCCCTGGTGGCGCGGCAACTCCGAGGTCAGGTTGCCCGGGTTGATCGCAACGCTAACAATGCCGTCGTCGCGATGCCGTCTCGCATACTCGACGGCCAGCGCCCAGACGCCCACCTTGCTGATGCCGTACCGCTCCGTCCCGGGCTTGGGGACGTGGTAGTCAAGGTTGTCGAGCGGGACGCCGACGTTGGGCTGCGCAAACAGCTCCAGGGCGAACGACGAGAGCCATACGACGCGCACTGCGCCCGAACTCGTCCCAGACTTCGCGGTGGTGGCGAGCACGGGCGTTAGCAGCTTGGTGAAGAGCAGGGTCCCGATGCAGTTGACGCCGAGGGCCAACTCGTAGCCCTGGGCCGTCTGGGGCGGCGGCTCGGCCGACGACGACACCATGACGCCCGCGTTGTTGAAGAGTACGTCGAGCCTGTCCTCCCGCGTCAGGAAGTCGCGCGCCGCGTCCCGGACATGGTTCAAATCGCTTAGGTCCAGGGGCAGGAATTCCAACGATCCCCTCGACGCCGGGACCGAGCCCGTGAGGTCCTGAATCGCGCTCCGCGCCTTGTCTTCATTCCTTGCCGCGACGTAGACCCGGGCGTTTTTCGAGTAGAGAATCCGGGCGACCTCTTTGCCGATGCCCGTGTTGGAGCCCGTGACGATGCAGACCTTATCCGTGAGATCCGGGACGTCTTTGTCCGTGAACGTGGGCTTGGGCGGATGGAAGTGTGTCCAGGTGGTCGACAACGAGGGCGCCATCGCGGCGGTTGTCTGTCTGACTCTGAGTATGGCCTGAGTACCTGAGTAAGATAGGATGGAGGACAGGACAGAGAGATGCAAGGTTCCGTATGCTATGCTTCGCAACAACACATGGTCTTTGCCGGCATGTGCATCACTTCGGCTCATGCAACATCAAACACTCGGTCCGTGGCTCTGCATCTCTGGCGGATAGCGGACAGGGCAATTCCCGCCGATGCTGTCGAGTGCATGGCGGAGAACCTGAGACTTCCGTAGGCAAGCCGCTTCCAATCCGATCGGCTGCCGGTTCGGAACTTCGGATTCGACTTCCCCTAGGGGCTGTTGATCCGAATCGGCGTCGGGTTACTAACACAGAATTAAATTGACTGTTGTAGACTGGTGCGGAAGCGGGAGCTGCGAGTGCGTATCGGCACGACGCGGTCCATCCCTCCACCATCCATGCGCCCGCATGCGGCTTGATAGTACCGGTAGTCATCAGGGCCAGTCGCGGCACAGAAAACCTCGGTCCGTTAAGTCCGGCATACCACCACCACAGACTTAGCGCCGGCTGTCAGCCAGATGCCCCCCCTCCAGTCCGTGGGGGGCAGCCGGATGCCGCGTCGGCTTACCGTCGCACCGTCGCGCAGTGGCGAAGATGCGCACCGATTCGGACGGCTCGGAACAAGTATGCTCTGCAATTCAAGGGACGCGGATTTGACTGGTGCCCTCGGACGTCAACCCGATGCCTATATGCACTGTTGCATTGCGAAGCGGACGAAGGAGCACGTGGTAACTACGAGTAGTATGTAAACAGCCTGGCAACCACTACACATGTACTAGGTCCGCAGTAAGCCCGCTGCATAAGACACCACCAGACCCACTCACTCACCTTGTGCCGCGATCCCGTCCTTGGGTCTGTCAGAGGAGAGCATAAAATGGAAGAGAATACGCCCCTGTCGGTGCATGTCAAGATAACCGTAGACCCCGCCAAGTCCGAGGCCTTTCTCGCCGTCCTGCGCCCGCTCTTCGAAAAGGTGACGGCAGAGCCCCTCAATATTTTCTGCGAGGTGTACCGCGACGAGAAGAATCCCGGCGTGTTCCGCATTGTCGAGAACTGGAACGCCAGTCTGGATTACATGATGAATGTGAGTGAAGTTCCCATTGTGAATCGGATGAAGAGAGGAACAACTGCACTTACGTACGGATTAGTCTTCTAACACGCTTGCCGCATGACAGGTGCAGGTGAAAAAGGACTACTACAAACCCTATCGCGAGGCAACCGAGTCGTTGTTCATCAAGCCGCAAGAGGCCGAGATTCTAAGTCGGATGCCCGGTACAGACTGGGCAAGTGCCAAGAGGGAGTTCTACCCAGAAAGGGGTTGATACATGATAGTGATAGGGTCCAACAGGGAATATACATTCTGCTATGTGTAGCGCAGCAATGCTAGAGGGGCGATTAGGACCGCGCCTTCTATAGTATCGGCTGATGGGATTTTCTTGTATTTTGAGCTATCTCAGAAACACACCATAACCATCGACATTGGGAAATCTATGCCCATCACACCCTAAATAAAGGCTAAGCCTCCAGCGGCGGCGAGTCACCAAAGTAGTAGTCGGTCAAGATGGCACCCTCCCTCCCTCCGGCCACCTTGTCCGCAAGCAGCCGAATGGCCTTCTCCTCCTCGGCCGTCAGCACCACCTGCAGGGCACCGAGGTTTTCGGCCAGCCTCTCGGGATTCCGCGTGCCGGGGATCGGGAAGATGTCGTCGCCCTGGGCCAGCAGCCAGGCGAGGGCCAGCTGCGCCGTGCTGACGCCCTTGTGGCCGGCAATCTCGGACAGCTTGTTGACGAGCGCCAGGTTGGCGTCGAGGTTCTCCTGCGAGAAGCGGGGCGCAAAGGCGGCGCGCATGTCGCCCGGCTTGGACACGTCCGACACGGAGCGGATGGCGCCGCCCAGCATACCCTTGCCCAGCGGGCTATAGGCCACCACGGCAATGCCCAGCTCGCGGCACGTCGACAGCAGCGCGTGCTGGGGCGCCTCGATGTCCAGGCTGAAGGCGCTGTACTCCATCTGCACGCACGCGACCGGCTCCACGGCGTGCGCCCGCCGCAGCGCCGACGCGCTGCACTCGCTCAGGCCGATGTGCCGGATCTTACCCGCCCGCTTCAGCTCGGCCAGCGCCGCCATGGTCTTCTCGATCGGCGTCACCTTGTCGAGCCGGTGCAGGTAGTACAGGTCCACGTACGACGTGCCCAGCCGCTGCAGCGACCGCTCGATCGCCTGCCGCGCGTATTCGGGCGACGTGTCGATGCCGTGCTCGCCCTTCTCGCTGCGTCGGTAGCCAAACTTGGTCGCCAGGAAGATGGAGCCGCGCTTGTCCGGGTTGGCCGCGAACCACTTGCCAAGCAGATCTTCCGAGTCGTGGTACATGTCGGCTGAACGCGATTTCCGTCAATGATGAAATGAGTTAATGAATAAATCGCAAGGGGGAGGGGCTCCACCTACCCGTGTCCCAGAACGTCTCCCCCATCTCGTACGCCTTATCGAGGAACGCGAGACGCTCGGCATCAGGCTTGGGCACGCCGTGCGCGCTGCTCAAACCCATCAGGCCGAGCCCTATGCGCGGTACGAGGGGCCCGTTCTTGCCCAGGGGTCGGGTGGCTAGCTTTACAGCGACGCTCATTGTGATGGTAAAACAGAGCTGGTGTTGAAAAACTGTCAGATGCAGTTGTCGTTAGTCGAGGTTGTGAAGAGCAATCCACAGGACGCAGGTTGCGACTGCCAAAGGCAAGATATAATAGTTGGAGTTCTGCGGAACTTCGTCTTTGGTCGTCTTGCGCCCTCCCATTGCTCCACCATCGCAGCCCCCCTGATCTTGTTTGTGTGTTCTTTTGGCCGCACACACACAGCTTATTTTGTGCAACCTGTCTGTTCTTGACCGGCGGACTTAATGGATATAACGGGCGAAGTAATCCGATTGGTGTCGATGTCAAATGGCTGAGACGCGGCACACACCGACAAAGGACGCGCCGGAATGGGTGGACGGAGATAGAGCCGAAGACTCGGGCTCGCACGTTACACGGACCGCACAGGTGAACAATGCGAAAAAGTTAGGTATGGACGGCGGTGTCGACGGGCGCCAACAACTTCCCGAAGCCGCGATGCATTGCAAAGCGAGTCCCTTGTAAGGGACGAAACACTCGGAAACAGGGAATGGCGAGTGTGACAAACGACCGTCACAAACTGTGATCCTTCCCACAAATTAATTATCCCATACTCAAGTAGGTGGTGTCACCTTCGAGCCCAGTGGTATTTTCCAAGGAGCGCCAGAGAACTCCTTACCGATAGAGAGCAGCCCAAGTGCAGCAAGCCGGCGATCTGGAAGGTGAAGTCTAGATACGATAGCGAACGAGACATATACGGCAGAAATGCATGCTGTCAAGCTCGACAGAGTTTTCGAACATTGGTAGGTGTAGACGTATGGTTCGATTTCAGTCTCCTTTACTGGATTGCCCTTCTGATCCTGGAATATAAGGCCCAAAAAGAGTCATGAAGGACTTCTTACCTCTATCCAGTACAATCAGCCACCGTGCCATGGCGGACGCCCATCGCCGCAGCCTGCCTGATGGCATCCACATACCTAGTGTTCATCCTGGAACGGCGATCCGGTTCAGGGGAGGGCAGCTCCGGGAACACGTTCTACACTTTTTGCGAGTTTTTGTCGATGTCAAACAGCTTTGCGACGTGGAGTACGGAAAGCCACACCTACCCCGGGCTCGTCATCATAGAGTTCAGATCATCGTCCAGCGAGCTGCGCAGTTTAGCGTCATCCATTGGCGCCGCCTCCGTAATACGTCCGAAGCCGGGAGAAGTGGAAGCCCCTGGCCCTGGATGGGAGCAAGGCCGACTTGGCCAACAATGCGGCGCAGCCTCTGAGGCCGCCACAGGGCGAGAATCTCGAATACGTCGGCATCTGTTGGCACGCGTGGAGACGGCAAGACAAAAAGCTCCGGGTCAAACATCTTCCCTCCTCCTTGATGTAGCCCTCCCCCAGCTGCCGCCGCTGCTCGTCGGTGCTCAACTCGGGTGAATGGTTCCAGTTACGTTAAAGCTGTTGTTGGCTACCGTCGAGTGTTGAATGTAATGGATGAACATTTATAATCAGATAACTACTGCTCTACCGGTAGAGCGTCCCATGCAAGTGTGGCTATCTCGTAGTCGGTCCTCATCTCGTTAACAAATAAGCCGAGGGAATGAGGAAGGTAAGAGCCCAACAGGGAAGTCTCGGAGACGGATGCGAGAGTCAAGTTGAGTTTCGGAAGCCAAGGGGAGGAAGCTTGAACAATCGCTTCCTTATGCTACAGTACGTGTCCAAAAGTCTGGAGCACCCCGCACCAACCACCCCGCGCCACACGATTTTTGACATCATGACCAAGACACCTATCCTACAATAACGTTCCACCAGATGAATTTCTAGCAATGCAGATATATATAGTTTAAAGCCCTGGTTCTAGCCATTAATATTTTGTATACCAACCCCTGGCTTTCTTGACTGCAGCCAATCGCCGGGGTATTGAGTCGACCAGCCTGTCAATCTGAGCCTGGTCAATTGACCACCAACAACGCCGAAGACATCTAGTAAACTCAGCAACATCCACGTGGTTCTTCTTGAGTAACCAGATATCTGGATATTCCTGCTTCATCCTCCGTTTCAATAGAGCCCACATATGCTCAATAGGGTTAAGATCTGGGCTATGAGCAGGCCAGTCTTCAAGGACCTCAATCATATGATTTAGGAGCCACTCGGTCGAGGATAACGATGTATGGACCCGGGCGTTATCCTGCTGGAAATGCCTTGTACCATCGTAAACTGGAAGAAGGCCCTTTTCCAATGCCCACTGATAGCTCCAAGAGCTATATCCCCCTTTTTGCGGTGGTTGATAGTCACGTTCCATGACTATAAGGTCAGTCCTCCCCCCTTTCCAGATTCCTGCCCAGATCATAATCGAGATAGTGCCTTTACCATGACTTTGTATATTAACAAAGTTCTTATCCCATTTTTGAGAAGGGAACCGGAATGCCCAAGCTGCTGGGCTACTTGAATTGTTCTGGCAAGACGATTCGTCGGTGAAGATAGACTAGAGGTTGGTCAGTAGATTCAAGGGTAAACTTCAGAGTCACTTACTCGCATTAGCACCTCGAGATTCTCTAACCAAAGATAAGCAAACTTATATCTAGCCATTGCTATAGCCTTTGTCAATGGAATTCTCTTTTGTGCACGCCACTTGCGCATTCGATGATGGCGGAGAACTCGGCGCACTGTTGATCGAGAGATCCGAGCATCAACTATATTAGTGAGCAGTTGCGTTGTAAGGCAGGGCTTCCGCTTTGCAAGTTGGATGATGTACCGCTTCTCCCGACGCGTAAGAATCTCTGGCCGGCCAGTTCTAGGCTTGGATTCAAAGGTGGTAGAAGATTCGAAGCGTTGAAGTGATAGTTGGACTGCACGACGGCTGATGGAAAACGCGTTGGCAACAGCCGTCTGGCTAGCCCCCGCTGCGACGGCACCAGCAATGGCTGCACGTGCAGCTGGTGATAACTCCTGGCCAGGCTGACGGCCGACCGTCAATTTGGCACCAAGCTCGGCCAAATTGAACATGGTGGGCTGTATTTCTGTTGGTTGGAAGGTTGATGATGGGGGGTGTCGTGTCGCGATGCGCGTTTAATTAATGTGGGGTGCTCCAGACTTTTGGACACGTACTGTATATACCTGTGTAAAATACGCATTCCTCTACTACTACTGTAGTTTAACTCTCGGGCTTAACTGATGCTTCGTTGTCTAGACTCTTGGCAGCCGGTGGCAGTGCATCAGCAACCCCGCTACTGCGTTCGAAACTTCGAATCGACCCCTCAACAAATCAATCCTTTATAAACAACCGTGCCGATTCCAACACATCTCGATAAGTAAAGAATCCGCTTGACAGACACCACGATGGCTGATTCCGCAACCTCAAAGCTCTCATCACGTATGGCCCGACTTAATCCCTTCAAGAGCAAGAGCATGTCAAGGCGCGAAGAGGACGATGAGGACATCGGCCAAGAGATCGACGCCGATACCTTGGCCGGGGGCGGCCACAGCGCGTTCCAAACTGACATCACGCTGCGCCGGCTGCGTGTCAGCGAGGCACTGAAGTGCTTCCTTTCCCACGAAGGGGTCCTGAATGAGGACGATGCCGAAGGACTGGGCGCCCTCCTCGACAAGCCCATAGTCTCGCCGCCGGCCCATCTCATCGACCGATCTCACCCTCTGCCAGAGTATTACATCAGCTCCAGCCACAACACATACCTTATGGCCCATCAACTCTACGGTACGTCATCTGCTGCAGCCTATGAGACCACGCTTAGGGCGGGGGCGCGCTGCATCGAGATCGACGCCTGGTAAGTATCCATCGTCCTCCAAACGAACACGCACACCCCGGAATTTCCGTGGAGAAAGCCGCGGTTTGTTGACGCCTGCCGAAGGGACAATCCCGACGATCCCAAAGAGCCAAAAGTCACGCACGGTAATTAGAAATGCTTTTCTGGCTTATCATGTCCAGTTGCACCAGCTCACGGGATTGTTGTAGGTTACACACTGGTCTCCAATATCCCCTTCCGAGCCGTCTGTGAGACAGTCCGCGATGTGGTTGACCTAGAGGCCACGAGCCCTCCGGTCCAGGGCTATTCGCCAGCCCCGATCCTCGTGTCACTGGAGAACCATTGCGACCATAGCGGGCAACTGCGGTTGGTCCAGATCATGAAGCAGGTATGGGGCGATCGCTTGCTTAGCGCGCCGGTTCGCGAGAAAGGCCACGAAGAACAGGAGGGCGGAGAACCGGTGCGGCTCGAGGAGCTGGGCAGCAAGATTGCCGTCATCGTCGAGTACCACCTCCCCGACGAGGCCGATGACTCGAGCGACTCGTCCGACTCCAGCTCCTCCAGCGACTCGGAGGAGGAGGAGAAGCAGGCGCGCAAGAAGTACAAGACGAAGAAGAAAGCCGCCCCGCCGCCCATCATCGTGCCGGAACTGGCCGAGCTTGGTGTCTATGCGCAATCGGTCAAGCCGCGCGACACGTCTTGGTTCACGGACGGCAAGATCAAGGACGGCCCGCCTCGGCATCACCTCGTCAACATGTCCGAGTCTCGCGTGGCGTCGCACATGACCGAGCATGCGGTCGAGATCGCGCAGCATAACGCCCGACATCTGATGCGCGTCTTCCCCAAGGGCACCCGCATCTCCTCCCACAACCTTTCCCCGATCACGTTCTGGGCCATTGGCGCCCAGATCTGCGCCCTCAACTGGCAGGTCTTTGGCGCAAGCATGCAGCTCAACGATGCCCTTTTTGCCGGCACCCCGGGATATGTCCTGAAGCCGGCCGCCCTTCGCCCCGGCGGCAGCGGTAACCCTTCCTCGCAGGCTCCCCGCAAAATGCTCCAGCTCCGCGTGGCCGGGGCTACCGACATTCCCCTCCCCGAGGGCCGCGACGTGGACGAGATCAAACCCTACTTGACCTGCACACTGCTCCAGCCGGGAAGCGGGCCAGATCCGATCAAGGTCAAGCGCAAGACGGCACCATACCATAGGCGGAGGATTGCGCCGCTGCCCTTCCTTGGCCTCGGCCGTGGTGAGCGCGGGAACCCTGAAAACACGGACCCCGTGTGGGACGAGACCCTGGAGTGGGAATTCGTCGACGATGAGCTGGTCTTTGTGAGGATGCTCATTAAGAGCGACGACAGCTTCTCGAGCAACCCCATTCTAGCCGTCTCGGCTGTCCGGCTGGTCTATGTTGAGCCGGGTTGGAGATTTGTCCGCATGCTGGATCTTCGGGGACACGAGACACAATGCTCGCTGTTGGTCAAGTTCGAGGTTCGGGATGTATAGGTACTAGAGTAGATAACCTGACTGAGCGCTCAAAATGCAATGGTTTGTTGAACGGGACAAACACTGTTACAGTTAAAGCGAAGTACTCGGGACTAAGCCAGTATTGCGACCGCGTTGCGACTCCCAAGTACGGAGAGCAGGCATCGGCCTTTGATGTCGTCACCCTTGGTGAGTATACCCATGCGTTTCAAGGTCCCTAAGGCATAGGTACTTAAACAATGGTAAAATATTTCTAGCCAGGTATTGCGTGGTTTCTATTACTGCTCCTTCTTTGTTAGCTTCCGAATGGCATGACCCGTTTGCGGCATTATAAGGGCCACCTTGAGATGAACAAAGAAGAAGTTCTGGGAACATAACCGCGCGATTATCTCCATGGCTTAGTCACCGCATTATTGGCACGAATGCCTCAAAGGTTACGGAAATATCTCATTCTGCTGGGACCATAGAGAAAAGGCAGGAACTTTGCCCACTCACCAATTCCGAATCAGGGGCTCCGGCAGCCCTCGCGGCCCACCAAAATCACTTTTGTTCAGGATAGTGATATCACCACGGCTACTCCTACGCAGTGCCGCGGTGGACATGTCTCTCAAGAACCATCTGTCCTCCGACGAATCGTATCTACGTAGGTGGATGAGGAGGACTACCTACTGTAGCTAATGGGTGTTTGGTTTGATAAGGATGAGTTCGAGAAACAAAGGCACAGAGTAGTTTGTGGCACGTAGTAAGGAGTCGGAAGATATAAGATACAACAGCATTCTTTGTCTCGAACGCAAAACATAGCAACTCTTTGATCATCGCACTCTGCCACACCTCACATCAGACGGCCGCGCCAATAAAAGGGCTACTAAACCGCTCTCCCTAGTTTCCCGTTGACACCACGCCTTCGTCTTCCCTGGCACGCTACCCTGACTTCCGCATCGAAATCACTCGGAAGCTCTCCACTCCCTCGACGGTTCAATACCTACCCAGCGAACTAAACAATTACTGTCCTCAAAACTCCAACACTGCACCCTTCACCTCACACAGGAGCTCCACAGAGCACCAACAGGATAATCAAGTTCGCTGTCAGTTGACGGGAGGATCTGTCTCCTCACCTGCTTACAGCACCTCAGATCATCTCACATAGCACTCGGCATCTATTGTGAGGATGACATCTCGTTCGGCCCCAGGTCTTCCTTCATCAACGTCGTTATCCGAATTGCCTTATACCCCAGAGACCAGCCCCAACCCTCAGAGAACTGCAGCCGACGCCGATTCCGCTCCTAAGAAGGAAGAATCGAAGGCTAAAGAAGGTTGCAAAGCTTGTTGCGAGTGCCTGTTCTGTCTCTGTTGCCCGCTATGCTTCATGTACAAAGCGGTCTGGGATATAATGTCTTCTTAGTAGTTGGTACTATATACGGTCCATTTCCCTCTCCTTCTCCATCGTCGGGTCCCTAACCATCTACAGCGCGAACACCATCTACATCAGCAACCTCCGAACTCAAGGAGTCTTAATCTTCACGGCACGCACAGTCTCCGAGGCACAGAATTGATTCAAGTAAGCCTGTGTGGCTATGGCCCTGCTAAAAGGAGCATGGAACTGTGGTCGTTATTGCCATTCTTAGCTAGTGGGTGTGGGATGACTATTTCTATGGCTCCTGCCAGCCCTCCCGGCACTTGGAAGAATCAACAAACTTTCTCCCGTTTTCCATGGTGCCTACTACAAGAAATGAGGACGTACCAGCCACGCTTGCCCGTTGGTTTTCCTGATCTTTATCTTGGCCTGCTGAAGGTCCTTTTACGGTTTTACCTCTTTCGAGGTCCTTTTTTAGCTCTTCGGAGGTCTTCTTTTCTGCATAGCGCAACTTTTGCCCACCTTCCATGAAACCCAGGACAAATCCGTTTTGGTACAAACTTGTGGTACAAACTTGATTTGTATTCTTTTCGCTGCCGCCTCCCAACTGATACTGTTCATCTTGAGCATCTGCTGAGATGACCATAATGCGGAATTCCTCGGGATGCTTCCTCGATGATGATGAGCATCCATTCCCGCCCTCCCCGCTGCTGGGATCGCATATTCAACCAGCCATTTCTAAAAAGGTATCAGACCATTTGTTCTCGAAATCCCCAACAAATGATTCTGTTTACCCACCCGACTGTATGGGTGAAGAGTTGCTGTTTCCCAGCAAGTCGGCCCCCCCACCCCCCCTCCCAACCCCAATAGGTCTATACCTGTCCCACTCGAGATCGAGCCACTCCTGCCGTCCTAGGCTTTCCAACAAACTCATGACCTCCTCGCCGGGTCTCCAGTCGCCAACCTGCCACTGCACCACCGGTGGCGTTGGTACCGCAGCAGCAGCATCACCGTCCTTCTGCTTCTTACTACCACGCGCAGCAATGGACTTTGCACCCCATCTGTGGCCCTTTCTGATCGGCGGGCCATATTCCTCCACTTCTCTGTCGTCTGACAGGTCCCACCACTGTAAATCTCTGCGTCCTGCAGGCTCCGCATATTGTCGCGAGTCAGAGACTTCGCAAACGCCGCAAGCAGGGGCTCGATTTGCTCCCTGCAGGGCTCAGTGCGGAACATGTTTAGATCGTAATCGTACCCGTCGTCCGGGTTGTCGCCGTACTCGGCGTGGAGGTCCATGTCCCCGTCCGTGTCGGTTTCGCGAGGGTAGTGTTCTATGTCTGAGATCTTATACCCTCCTTTGTTCAGAGTCGTGCGGATCCTCGCCACCGCGGCCGACAAAGTACCACCGGCCGTCTGGACGGAGGGAATGGAGCTCGAGGAGCCGGAATCGCCGCATCTGTGACCACTGCTGGTCGGTTGATGCCTTGAAACTGGGGAACGGGTCTGAAGTGACCATGGCACGCACTTCGAACAGGCTTAGCTGCGCACCGAGCTTGCACTTAAAAATTGTACATTCTGATAAAGAGTATCAAGCTAAGCGTTTAGAGGCTATTATGAACTATAATAATAGCGATAAAAAACAAGAAGACTTAAAGCGTTTTTCACAGGCCGACAAACACCGGGTCTTTATCCGCGGGATGGATCAGGCTCGGCTGGGTCACCGACTGGTCATGCTTAGGGAGCAATGGGCCGCTCCCACAACCAGGGGGCATTCCACTCTTGGACAGCCGGCAGGTGGACGAGGCACTGCAGCGTCACGAGGGGAGACAGAAGGCGTATGTCTGTCGCATTTTCGGCGCCGGTGCCGTTCGACATTGACTTGATGGTCAGGCTGCTCACAACGGGTAGATTTGGCAGTGTCTCGGGGTCGTGCCGATGCAGGCGGCGCGAATGACGTCTAAAGCCTACGTCGGCTAGCTAACTCGGGGGCAATGGCAGGAGCACCGACATCGCAGGCCCCTCGCCAACGTGAAAGGTCAGCCATTTGGCTTTCCCGAGAAGGCGGCGAGACGTGGCGATCGCCTTAGTTTTCGGCGTCCGGCTATTTGGGCTGGTCGTCTGGGGTCGGATATGCTCAGGCCCGGCTGACTTGACCGTGCCGTGGTGGTTGAGGTCCGCAGCTTTGTGGGTCGTCGGTCCTCTGTCGCCTCCTCGCTGGTACTGGAAACCCGCCGACGTTTCGCACTCCGCACTGCCGCGCGCTTGGGAGCGTCTGTGAAGTCGGGCGGAGATGGCATGCTGCTGTTCTCTTGGTCTCGCTCGTCAGGGCGTGTGAGTGGTGGCAGGGGCCGCGGGGATCCGCGGTTGGCGAGGATGCCTTGTGAGGGGGTCGGCCGTGCCGGCCGCCGGGTGGTGCGCGGCGTCCGGGGGTATTCGATGATACGGGGCCGAGGCGCTGGCGGAGATGTTGGTTGGACGAGTGCTCCTGCTGGTGCTGGGATGTCTGGCTCAAGCTCAGGAATCGCGTTCCTTGGCGTCGTCAGACCCTGCCCGTTGAATATCCTCACAAGCATCTGAGCCGCAGATGCTCTGCGCGCTGGATCCATTCTGGCCATGGGCTTTAGCTGGTCCCAGCCTTGATGCGCCTGAACGGCTCGTACAATATCAAGGTAGTCCGTGACACCCGGTGGCGGGAAATTGGACTGTGGGTGGATTTCGAGCATTGTAACGAACAGGGACCAAACATCCAGTTTCGGAGTCTGAACACCATGACTATGAACCTCTGGCGCAAGATAGAACATCGTTCCGCAGAAGGTGTTTGCGAGGCGGATGTCGTTTGCGAACCCGAAATCAGCGAGCTCGAAGTGATATTTGTCTTGGCGGAGGCTTTTGTAGAGAATGTTTGGAGGCTTGACATCGCGATGACATAAGTTCTTGAAGACCAGGTAGTCCAGAGCGCTAAGCATCTGCTCCAGAACCTGGGTGCAGAGAGCATCGGAAGGTGTGATATTCTGAACAAGCGAGGCAAGGTTGCCCTCACGCAGGGGCATGAAAATCAACGGCTTGTCGGTGTGGAAGTCCTTTGTCCCGAGACATTCGATTATATGGTTCTATTCAGGGGGCGGTTATTCGACCGGCCAGCAACCGAGCGAAAAGCGGGAGACTCACATGCGAGATCTTCCCCAGGATCTTCATTTCCCTGTAAAGCGCGGCTCGGGAGAGCTCAACGAGCCCTGGACCGTTTTGCCTTTGGAGGTCGACCTCCTTGACCGCAAAGAGATTCCCCGTCTTGACATCCATTGTCTTATACACCTTGCCAAACGCGCCTCCCCCAATCTTGACACGCCGGTATCGGGCTTCGGTGACCAAAGGGGCTTTCGCAGATTGCAGTCTTGTCATATACCACGAATCTGACGTCGAGATGTCGGGACCGACGGAGAGGTCGCGTGATCTGACGTTCTTGAGCCGCATCATAGAGTCTTCGTACTCCCTTATGGCTAAGTCCTTCAGAGCCTGAACGTTGTCCTCGTTCTCGACATCGCGCCAGTGCAATAGGAATTCGTAGACAGGAATGCTGATGACATAGGGTCGGCCATAGAGAATGGCACAATCCCCGGAAATTTGCTGTGACTGTATCCGTCGCTTCTCGACTGTGGTGACGGTGACGGACGACAGATGCTTCGTTCGAACTGAAAGCATGACGACGTGTGTTACGGGATGTATTTCGAAGGCAACATGGACGCGCGAATAGGTCTGGCGGAGAATTAGATCGGCGTTGCGACCAAGTCTGGTGATGACCTGGCCGCCAGAGAACGGAGGGACATGGAAGCCTATTTCAAGCCCGGGCTTCCCGGACTTGGGAGCACTAGGCGAAACAAAACGCCGGTTGTCGGGGTGTTCCAGGGCTTCTTTGGCGGCCTGGTTAGTCGGGACCAGGTGAAAAAGAGTCCTGTCGTTGGCCTTGGAGGCTTGCGTCATGGGAACCATCGCTGAGGTCGGGGGCGTTGAACGACAAGTGGATGTGCCTGCTGCATGTGGCGATCATCCGGCAGTGAAGTTGGGCAGGTTACTAGGTATAACATAACAGGCCAGCTGTGACGGGAGGCAGGGGGCAACAGTTCACCGGCCGGAGTTGGCGAGCTGCTTTCTTTGTCATACATGGGCCAAAACTTATGATACCTGACCAGTAGGCTAGACGGGTAATGCAGCACCTTGACTTGCTGGAACTGTTGGTCAATAATCATATGAGGGGTTGCAATTTGTTTCAAGCAGACCTTTGAATGCGTGCCGGACAAAGAACGGTAGGGCGGGGGGCAACAGTTCACCCGCCGGAGTTGGCGAGCTGCTTTCTTTCTTTGTCATACATGGGCCAAAACTTATGATACCTGACCAGTAGGCTAGACGGGTAATGCAGCACCTTGACTTGCTGGAACCGTTAGTCAACAAATCACACGAGGGGTCGCTACTTGTTTCAAGCAAACCTTTGAAGCGCTTTGAATGCCCGCCGAACAAAGAATGGTGGCACCTGACAGGCTGATGATTGGCTATAAAATGCGCGCGTGAACCACGGAGCTGGTCACTGTTAATAGCCAACGTTTCAATGCGCTCAAACATCAACTGAAGGAGCAGCCTCACGGCCGAAGATCTCTTCCTTCCACAACCTTTCAATCAGCAGGGCCGCGATAACGATGCCGCCGTTTTTTGACAGATCGCAACTGCAGACTGCGATAGCGGCGCGCGCCCTTCCAGCACTCGAACTGCTTGCCGAACAGCCGAACCGGCTTGAACGATCGCTCAACAACCGCTTTGAGCGCGATGATCCGCCGCCTTACGAGTCGTCGAGCGAATCCGAAGCGGAAGAAGCACTGCGTCACCCAATGTTCAGGCGGTCCGAAGACGACGCTCTCGAAGAGTTCAAAGACCTAGTTAGCCAACCCGCGACATCCCATCAGCCGGGCAATGCAGCTCCGCGACAACCTGGCGTACGGCGAGCACGCCACGCCTCCTCCACGCTCCTCTCTTGGGGATGACGCTTCTGCCACCGAGTCCGAGTCATTTATAATCTCAAGACCTTGGTTCATGTACTGGGCCGAGAGCTTCGAATTCATGACTAGGAGTCACCGAATTCCTTGGGACCGACGAGGACACCACGAACCGGAACAAGAGAGCCGGGTGGAAAGATGGTGGAAAGAACGGGGAGAGTGGAAAAGCGACTGGGAGGTACCGGGCTGGAAGTGGCGCCACGAGAGCCCGTCGCCGGAGCCAGAAGACCTGTCGCCCCTTATCACCGACGACATGGACTTCACACCTTCCGAAGTCGATGCCCTTGAAGCCGTTCCGCCACCGTCGCCGCCACCCCCCTGGTATATGCGATCTATCCTGCCGGAGTACGCTGCAAATGACCTTTCGCACCAGTCTTTCATTTTCCAGAACGGCGACGCGGACCGGTTTCCTGACCACGATATACCCAACCACGACATTGCTCCGCTGGACGCAGCCGCTGACGCGGCGGCCGAGCCCGAAGACCAACCCATCCAGGATGCGGAGCCACAGCCCCCCAACCCGCTTCCCCGTCGCCGTGGACGTCCACGCAAACAAAACCAGCCGGCACAGGTTGCGCCAGCGCCGCTACAAGCACCCCGGCGAAGCGCCCGGATAGCTGCAATAGCCGCCAACTTAGTACCGGCAACCCCTACGGTCACGACAGGTCGGAAAGCGAGCAAACGCCCCTCAAGAGCCGTTCCCGCCGCCCCACCACCCCGCAACACGCGGTCGACTGCGGACCCTCCGAAAAAGAGAGGCCGTCCACGGAAGACGCAGGACGCGGGCATCGCAAAAGCGGCTGCTTCCCAAAGCAAGAGGGCGAGGAAGCCCAGCGGCGCGACAGGCACAGCGGCAAAGAAGACGGTCGCGGCTATCGTGGATGCGAGAGAAGGGCGGCGGCGCGCCAGCGGATGTGAAAAGGGGAGCGGTCGTCCCAGGAAGACGCAGCTAGCCGGTTACTGATGACTGAATGATGACAACAGTAACCGTTCACCATTTTGATCTCGCTGCGTTGACGGTGTTGTCCAAATGCTACTTCCTTTACATCCTGCTCGATTGTGTCACTTTAGGCCAATTACACTTCCCACTGCTGAGCCGAGGTCAGCCAAGGGAGCCATTAGGCCTGGCCAAGTCCTTATCCGCTTAATCTTCCACCACCTCGGAGCAGATCACGGGGTTTAGCCAAAACGTTGTGCTGTTGATGCTATGTCGAGGGTTAACATCAACATTAGGGTTCGCTTCTGGGGAGGCACTCGATGGTGAGAATGTCTGCTGCTCTGGTAGTAATGCTTGATCTGTCCCATCCGGGCAACGCCGATCCAACCTGGGGAGCTGAACCGTCAACTTTGGGCAGGACGTACGACGACGTCGACACGTCCACGTGCTATACGCTACCCAGAAAAAGTACGAAATAAACATTGCTGACTTCTTTTTGAATTCGGACTTGAACAAGGACAGTTCCAACGTCCAACTAAGTTAAACGTCATGAATTACGTCGCTAGCTATACAAATCGGCCAGGTGCCAGTACCTATAAGTTTAGTTAACTAACGTTAACTTAAGGAGCCAAATCTCTACGTAATCCAACTTTGCCAAGAGTTGTCAAGTCGGTTCCCGACTTTTCGTTCTGTGCTAACACCGTCGCCGGTTGCCATTTCTGTCTGATGACACTACGACAGACGCGACAAACTTCTACAAGATAATGCGCAAATCAAGTCCACACTCGTTCGTTCCTGACACCGCACCCCCACGCTCATAACGGGCTCCTACAGTCCGGATCGAGACCCCAGCGCCAGCGCCAGTACTGGGCCCGTCTCTCCTCCGCCGTCGCCGCTGCACGAGAAACACGACTATAAGGAGTTCAACAGGCAACTTGATCTACGTCTAATGGGGCTTCTCTACAGAATGGAACTCCGTTTCAATATGTACGGCGAAGTCGCCGGCTATCCGCCCGGTTTCACCCCGCCGGGGGTACACCAGAAGCATCGGAGGGAGACGGAAGCATGGATCGAGCAGATGGAAGCGCCCACTCCATCGGATTGCTCCGACGATGGCGACATCCTCTCCATCCTCAACTTCCCGAGAAGCCTGATTCGTCGGCCGAAGGAGAGGCGCGATGCCGCCAAGCGTCCGGCTTCCCGTCCCGACCGGACCGGCGTTAGCATCAAGAAACAGCTGACTGTGGATACCAAACCACCGCAGGGTCGAATACGCCAGGCAATCCTAGCGCAGGGAGCCCAAGTACTGGAACTGGCTAAGAGGCAGCCTAATAAGGGACAGAGCGAGAAACAACGGGAGAGACAACCCTATGCTCAAAAGCTGCCAGACCCACAACAAGGTGAAAAGCAGCTAGGTGTGAGTCGGTAACATGCCACGTTCCGGGCGCGTTCCAGCTTAAGATACAGAGCCCGGAAAAGGCTCCTTAAGAGCTTTAAGCAAGAGCTAGCGGCCCTGGTTAAAACTCTCGTCCGTTATCGTCAGTACATTCAATTAACTTTTCCTTCTCCCCACCCCCGCCTCCTTCTTATCGGACACAGCAGAGTGCTTGGCAAGGACCGGGGTAATAACTCCTAGGCTACATACCACTATGGGAACCTTTCCAATATACATAAGCAGTAACCTCCCTGATCCGTTCCGTTCTCTCATTAGATCTCTTTTCAGATCAGTTACTTCAATGCACCTATCTTCATCATATGCTACCACTAATCTTTTACCCTTAGGCTTCCCTATAGTGTTACACCTCTCTCCCTCTGCTGGTAACTCTACATATGGTGGAATACGCCACAAGATACCAACGAAGAAGACGACGACGACGACGATATAGATGATGACTATTACGTCGATCGGGGAGAGTAGTCTGCGTGGACCATGCGCGGCAGGCTTTGGCGGGGACCGCAACCAGATCCCTAGGAACCCGGCGATGATTTGCGGGTTAAAAGGGCGGATACAATTCGGACCAACCGTGGGAGTATAATAGACGCTTCGTTTCCTGATTATTAAGTCTTGTAGGGCAAGGAAGGGGCCCGGGGGGGGGGGAGAGACCGAGATGGTTTGCTCGGAGCACAACCTCTAACCGCGATTCTATTAAAAGAAGGGGTGATCTATCAATGAAGCCGTTTTACGGTCCTGAGCATCCTAGCGCCCTATATTTGCGCGTATTGAAAGTGCTGCCACAAAATCTCTTTCGGCCCCTCCTTATTATTCGCATACATGCTTTTATACCGATCACCCATAAGAACCGTTCGGCGTGTTCGTTCACCTTCATCTTCAGTTTTACCATCTTACAGCCTGTAGCCGAGTCTCGGCAGATGCCTTGTGGAAAATCGCTCGGTCTATTACCAAGGGTAGGGTTGGCTGGCAGAGAACCTGGCGAGACCGCTTCCCGCCAATGGTTTCAGGGAGCGAAGGAGATCCATATAGGCATCTATGATGGCGTCCCCGTCCGATATAGTCATCCGTGGGGTGTATACCTCTGTAGTGAAATCGCCGACTTCGGCCCCGACTAGCCGCAGTTTACGCCCGAGAGCGTTGATCTTGTCGCGGAGCCAGTCGATAGTGGCGCACCAGTCCTCCATCGCAGGGTGCCCTACGTGTCGCTAGCTGCGGGGGAAGTATGGAGGGAAGACTAGCTCTAGAAAGCGGAGATAGGCGATGCATCGGGTGGGGATGACGTCTCGTAGAAAGTGCGACGCAGTTAGGGGTTCGTTTGGATAGGGGTAACTCGGGACGACATTTCTTTCTGCGCTTCGATCAAGAAACGGTAAACCCCAGGCGGGCACGGCCCGTTAATCGTAGATGATAAAGCGGTTCCCCGAGAAGAAGACGAGTTCGGCATCCCAAGTTAGGGTGCGGCAGATAAGAAACAGGCTAGGTCCGGGCGGAGCCCAGCACTTCCAAATCGCCGGGAACGAATAGGCCATGTAGCGACGGCGGTTAAAGCAACCGAAGAATGCCAAGGTCCTCCGTAGTCCTAGCACCGAAAGAATTGTCCACGGTGTTCAACGCCGGGCAATTCCTTAGAGTCTGTACAGAACGTGATATATCCCGGGTCCTACCTACTCTGTACAACCTCCCTGCTAGGGACAATGCGGTCAGGATACTTAAGAATGCGCAGGGTTAGTTTGCGTGGCAAACTGGTCAACGTGCCTTGTATCGACGGCTTGAAATATGCGGGAGAAGTAATTCGGCAGGCCTACGAGGTATAGTCCTGGGCCACTTGCTAGAGCCGAACATCCCGGGTCTTGCATAGCCGGATATGGCACCTCTTTAACGGCGGCAGGAGACGGAGCGGCGTAGTAACGCACATGGCGATATCTAGCGCCCGCTCGTCCTAACGGTTAATGTCGCAAACGAAGGCGAGCTGAGGCGCCGCTTTGCAATGTATGATAGACAGGTCGTAGCGGACTGCCAAGCGCTTAGTAGAGATTGAGCTGCCGTGACTCTATCGATATCGTTGCCATAGGTGGGACCAAGTAATGGGGGGCAATATAAGCCGCTATGAAAACGCTTGTAATAGCTCGGACCGGGCAACCATCATCTTCGGCCGCGTAGCGGCAATAGAAGGGATAATAGTCATATTCATTCGCTGAATAGTAGGATGCCGATCAGAAAGGCAGGTTAGAGATGCGAGGAGTGACGAAGTTAGGGCATATAGAGGCTTAAGCGGTTCCGGGTACCTGTGACGGTGGAACCCGCCGTACTATGGCACAGGAGCTCCCACTAGACGCACATCATGTGCGCCTTAGTCAGCCCAAATTGATTAGTCAGCACAAAAATGCATCTAACGTAGCATCAACTCCGCGCCCCTGAACCCCTGAATGCTGCTGCCGTATGCTTCGACGACTATGGCCACCTTCGTAGACGACTGCCTCCCTCCCAAGGGCTTTTTCAAGTCATGCGACGCCTTGTTTGAGTTAATTAACTCGTATACGAAGCCTCGAGGCTATACCTTTATAACTCAACGGTCTTTTCGACAGCCAGACGGCTTTCTAAAGGTCTATTTCGCATACGATCGAAGCCGCCGGCTACCTTCGTCGCTAGAGAGAGATCGCCAGAGAAAAACGACTACTCGAATAACGAATTGCCTCTTTTCAGTCATCGCTAAGGAGTCTAGTAAAGGATGGACTCTAAAGTACCGTCTTAGCCAATACTACGCGACTGTCACGAGGGCCGTCGTTCAAGGCCAGGGTCAAGCCTCTGGTGGTAAACTGACTGCATTGCAAGAATATTGAACTTGCAGGAGGAAAGAAATCCTCGAGACTGCAAGGTAGGCTTTAAATACAGGATGCGAGTAGGTCTGAGCTTGCATGCATGATGTAATGGAACATGCATAATGAATCATCACTTGGTATGATGAATCATTATACATACAAATGATATCATCATCATGGTCGGTGCATTGCACCGTCACAGCGACGTATAATTATAAGCTGAGCCTATACCCGTCTACGCACCCTATCCACCGATAGCTCTAATAGCACGTTATAATTACCAGCGCTCTTAGATACTAGCCTTGCGCCGAAGGAGATTCAAATAGTTATATAGTAAAGTGGCTCTTTAGCGATGCGTTAAGATATCTATAATTATATTATAGAAGTCTAGCAGGACTCTCGTCAAGGCAAGAGCCCTATCTACATACTTATAAACCAGCTTAAGAAAGAAGGCTTCTAGAGCTATATATAGTACGGGCTAGATCGGCATATGACTGCAGTTCTCTTTATATATCCTGTCACGGGCATAACCCGTGCCATGTAGGGTTAGTGTGACGGTGGAACCTACCGTACCATGGCACAGGCCATTGATTGGTCAACCTGGTTGGTGCCCCACCTTCCACATCTGAGCACATGCTCCACATCCTATATTTAGACTTCTTCGCACCTTGCAGTCTTCGAGGATTCCTTTCCTCCTACAAGTTCAATATTCTTGCAATGCAGTCAGTTTACCACCAGAGGCTTGACCCTGGCCTTGAACGACGGCCCTCGTGACAGTTAGGGTTAGAGTAGAGCACGAGGGATGTGGAGCCCTGATCGGGTCCACAGATGCAGTCTGTGCGCAGTGGCCACCTATAGGGACTTCCCTGCGCCACTGCGTCTCCCATCTTCCTTTCCTCGTGCAACCACAATTGCAGTATCATACCCCCAACATTAGCCCCGTGAAATATCCCGACTCTCTCGTCTACTTTTGAGTATACCCTAAAGCCTCCTTTTCGACTATATATATAAGACGAATAAGTATAGTATACCACTCCTCGATATAATTGGTGTAGATACAACTAGGCGCTCCTTTTATATTGCCTTTGCGTTCTCAAGCGGCGAAACTAAAGAAGTTTATATATAGGCTCTCGAGTAGTTGAAGACATTATATAAGCAGTATAACAGAGTCTTTCTATCTATCATCTTAATAGACCAGTGTCTGGCAGTTATAAATATAGCTTCGACTCTCTTTCCGTTAGCAACCTCTATCTATATCTGGCATGCGAATAAGGTGGTTCTTATATAATGCCAGCCTATATTCTAGATAGCCGAGGAATAGGGAGAGTTTTACGCTTTTTGGTTCTTGATTCTTAGCTCGCCAACTAAAGAGATATACAAGGAGCGTCTAAAGGAGTTTGAAAAGAAGTATACCTCAAGAAACCTCGAGTAGATTGATTATATTAAAAAGACGTAGCTTCTACTATATAAGGAGAAGCTTATCTCTATATAGGTTAATCAACAAGCTTATTTTGGGAATATAGCTACCTCTTATATTAAAGGGATTTATATAACGTACATGATAAGCGAGTGACCCAGACAAGCGAATGACCCACTTCCTACACGACGCGACATCTTTGCACTCAACAACAAAATTTCCTCTACCATCCAAAATGCCCTCTACTTCAAAAGAAGGCCAGATAATCTTGGCTCTCCAAGCTCTTCAAAATGACAAGAGTCTAAGCGAACGAGCCGCAGCTAAGATCTATGGGGTTGACCATAGGACACTAGGGCGCCGACGCACTGGCAAGCCTGCACGATACGATCTTCTAGCTAACTCGCGCAAGCTTATAGATCTAGAAGAGAAGGCGATAGTTCAATATGTCAATAAGCTATCTGCACGTATATTCCCGCCTAGGTTGTATGATGTAGAAGATATGGCCAACCAACTATTGTGCGAACGCGACGCGCCCCCTATTGACAAACGCTAGGCTTATAACTTTGTCAAACGCCGGCTAGAGCTCTATACGTAATATATATATAGATACGACTAGTAGAGAGCTAGATTCAAAGATCCAGACGTTATTCGCGAGTGGTTTAGGCTAATGCAGAACACTAAGGCTAAGTATAGTATTGTAGATGACGATATCTATAACTTTGACGAGACCGGGTTTATAATAGGCATTATCTTTACGGGTATGGTTGTTACGACCTTAGATGGCCGGAGCAAGGCTAAGCTGGCCTAGCCTAGCAATCGCGAATAGGCAACAGTGATCCAGGGAGTCAATGCTCTCGGCTGGGCTATCCCTCCGTTCATCATCTTGGCCGCGCAATACTACCTCGTTAACTAGTATATCGAGTACAACCTCCCGGCCAACTGGCGTATTGCAACTACCGAGAACGGCTAGACTACCAACGCAGTAGGCCTTGATTAGATCAAGCACTTCGAC